TCACGTGACTTCTTGTGCGACGAGAAATGATGAAAAATAATATGCTTCTTAATAGCATTTGTTCCTTTAATGACTTGTCAGGTAAAACCGTGACAGTCAGTTAGCCAACCAGTCATGCAGACATAGCCCATCACGAGTACAGTGCCTACAGCTGCTTCATCAACCACACCATCTACGTCGCAGCCTATAGTCACTATGCCGGAAGCAGACAAGGAGCCAGAACATCCCTATCGTGTAGCCAGGGATGCTACCTATATGCCACCATCCACGCGTAACTTTGCCTCGAACGCACCGAGACCTCAGAACAGAGACCCAGCCTATCATACTACCACCCCAGTCTATCAGCCACGGCTCTCAGACGACGTTTTTAAGAGATCTATGAAGAATCCCGCGATAGCTATCTCACTCGAGGAATTACTGTCGATTTCACCGGATGTTCGCAACAAATACCGAGAGGCTTGCACGCCAAGGAGAGTTAATCTGCCAAGTACAGGGACTTCTATGTCAGTGATAGAGGAAGCTGACGAAGAGATCTTCATGAACAGGACCACGGTGCAGATTGGCGAACTCTCGTGTCACGGCGAACCATTGCAGCCCCATGGTTCAATCGTCCCAGATCCTTACGACACGTATCTGCAACACATACACCAGCACGGAGACCCAGAACAGCTGACGGTGGCTAAGGATTCTCATTCGCTTCATTCCATCATGGCTTTGGTGAATAACAAAGAGCAGGTAGAAGTGATCCTAGATCTGGGGTGTCAGATAGTGGCAATGTCGGAAGATGTCTGCCATGCATTGGGGCTCATCTACAATCCAACAGTCAAGCTGAATATGCAATCAGCTAATGGAGAAGTCGACCAATCATTGGGACTAGTGCGCAATATTCCCTTCCAAGTTGGTGACATAGTGCTTTATTTGCAGATCCACGTTATCCGTGCTGCTGCCTACGATATCCTACTTGGAAGACCCTTTGATGTTCTAACCAAGAGCGTGGTTAGGAACTTCTTCAACGAAGATCAGACGGTCACGATAGTTTGCCCAAACTCAGGCCAAGTCGTGACTATTCCAACCATATGCCGAGGACCTCCTCCACGGTTTCGCCGACCTAAGGACATGGACCAGTCAGGTTTTCATTAGTGGAGGGTATGGACGACCCAAGTGACAGTTTGGCCCTAGTCATCGAAGCAAATGCCCAGCTCCAGCCAGAAATCGTCGCATATACCCAGATCATACCCTCCGACCCCACCGCTATTCCAGTCAGATATTTGCAAGCATCCAAACAATTTGTACAAGCTCTCAATTTGCTTTATTGTCAAGATTTGCCTCGCATATCTACGTTACAAGCCTCGCATACACAAGCTTTAATCTCGACTCTATCCCTTGATACACCCACATCCGCCAATCACCGTGAATCAGGCAAACCTCTGTCAGCAGGCTTCGCAGCTACCAAGAAGAAGTACAAGCCCGTTGCGCTCAAGACTCGACCAGTTCTTACCACGGTACCAGAATCTTTCAGAATCATACGTTCCATTACGGGTGACCTGCTAGCCATGCTACCACAACTACCTACGCATCCACCACAGTTTACGCCCACCAGCAGATACTCGCTAGAACGCATGATGGCCCTGAACCAAGCACATTCAGGAGGATTTCTATGGCCAGACGAGCGAGCACTCTTGCATACATTTATCTGTCTTCACAACAGGGCCTTCGCATGGGATGACTCAGAGCGAGGCAGCTTTCGCACCGAGTACTTTCTGCCAATTGACTTTCCAGTGGTTCCGCACAAGCCCTGGGTTCAGCACAACATTCCGATACCCCCAGGAATTTATCAAGAAGTTTGTGCGATGATCAGACAGAAGATAGACGCAGGAGTCTACGAGCCCTCGAACAGCTCGTACAGATCACGCTGGTTCTGTGTGGTCAAGAAGGATGGCAAATCCTTGCATTTGATCCACAGCCTAGAACCACTTAATGCCGTAACAATTCAGCATTCCGGAGTTACCCCAACCCCAGAGCACCTCACTGAACAATTCGGAGGACGCGCATGTGGGGCAATGCTGGATTTATATGTCGGCTATGATGAACGGCTAATTGCAGAATCCTCCTGAGACCTCACAACATTCCAGACTCCCTTCGGCGCACTCTAACTCGTAACCTTGTCAATGGGCTGGATGAACTCAGTTCCAATCTTTCATGACGACGTCACGTACATTCTTTAATCAGAGATCCCAGAGTTTACTGTGCCCTACATCAATGATGTGCCAGTCAAGGGGACAGCCGCGCAGTTCAAGCAGTCAGATGGGATGTTTGAGACAATCCCAGAGAACTCCGGCATATGCAGATTCATCTGGGAGCATTTTCAGAACCTCAACTGCATAGTACAATGCATGGAGTACACGGGTGGCACATTCTCGGGGACAAAGTTAGCGCTGTGCAGCCCGGAGATTATGGTTGTTGGCCACCGATGCACACCAGAAGGACGACTCCCAGATGAATCACGTGTTGCAGCAGTGCGCAATTGGGGACCTTGCAAAGATCTATCAGAAGTCCGAGCATTTCTAGGCACTATTGGTGTGGCAAGGATCTTTATTAAGAACTTTGCCAAACGTGCGCATGTGCTGGTCCAACTTACACGAAAAGGTGTACCATTCGAGTTCGGCCAGGATCAACTCCAGGCCATGACAGATCTCAAAGAGGCTCTCTTGCAGTCTCCCGTGTTGCGAGCAATCAACTACTCCTCAGATGCACCAGTTATTTTAGCCATGGACACGTTCATGATAGCGGTTGGGTACCACTTGTGCCAATGCTCGGAGGAAGACCCAAAGAAGCGCTACTACAATCGCTTTGGGTCTATCACGCTTAATGCTCATGAAGGTCGATTCTCTCAACCCAAGCTTGAGCTTTATGGACTGCATCACATGCTGCGTGCCCTGAAGATGTATCTGATTGGCGTCCGAAACCTCATCATCGAAGTTGATGCCAGATACATCAAGGGAATGCTTCAAAACCCAGATCTCGCCCCCAGCGCAAGCATTAACAGGTGGATCATGTCCATTCTACTGTTCCACTTTAAGCTGGTCCACGTCCCTGGCATTAAACATGGTCCAGATGGCTTATCTTGGAGGCCAGTCCAGCCCGATGATTTGCTGCCTACTGAGGACGATGATGGCTTCGAAGACTGGATCGACCGACTTCACAGTTTTATGCACTGCGTCTTACTCAGTTCCTCTCATCCCCTCACGCACACACTTCTGACTGGGGACAGTCAGTATTTTAGTGGGGAGGAGGATATATGCGGCACTTTGCGGCCAATTTTTGCGTCTTCCGCACAAGTTCAGACCAGCTCCAACCCGGCTATACCCGCCACAGATTCGAGCTCATCGGATGGCTATAGTAACGTTCCACGATCTGAACGAGCCACGAAGTCAGACCTACTAGTCAAACGTGTCTACCAATGGCTGGGAGATATGCAAAGACCCACCAGTTGGACAGACAAAGAATATGAGAAGGTCGTACGGTATGTGGTACATTTCTTTATTCGAGAATGAAAGCTATGGCGAAAGGATTCACAAGGGGTGCATAAGGTCGTTGTATGGCCAGAGCGGTGAATGGCTGTCTTGCAAGCCTCGCATGATGACTTAGGGCACCGAGGAATCTTTGTGACCAAGGCTCTGGTCTGAGAATGATTTTGGTGGCTGGATATTGGAGCAGACATAGCATGGTTTGTGCGTAGCTGCCTGCTCTGCCAGCAAAGACAAGTATGGCAGATTTCGATTCTGCCAACTGTCGTGAGTCCGGCGTCGGTATTTGCCAAAATTTACATCGACACAATGCACATGCCGTCCAGCAATGGGTTCAAGTACATTGTACAAGGGTGTTGTTCTCTTACGCACTACCCAGAATTTCGCATGCTCTGAGCAGAATCGGCTAAGGCCCTGGCAGACTGGATCTTCGAGGACATACTTTGTCGATGGGGTGCACTCTCGGAGCTCGTGACAGATAATGGTGCACCTTTCGTCAAAGCTGCAGCTCATCTATCCAAAAAGTACCACGTCAATCACATTCGGATCAGCGGTTACAACTCACGAGCCAATGGAATAGTCGAAAGGCCTCACTTTGACGTATGACAAGGCCTGTTTAAGGCTGCAGATGGCAAAGAACACCACTGGAGCCAAGTAGCGCACTCTGTATTTTGGTCTGAAAGAATTACTACAAGGCGTCGCATGGGGTGCTCGCCGTACTTTGCAGTCACAGGAATGCAGCCAATCCTACCAATGGACATAGTCGAAGCCACTTACCTCCTACCACTGCCAACTTCGATGATATCTACCACGGAGCTAATCGCGTGACGGGCTGAAGCCTTACAAAAGCATCGAGAGCAAGTAGAGAAGATTCATAACACCATCTACAAAGCTAGAAGGGAAGCTGCACAAAAGTTCGAAAGGGACCATTCTGCAAAGATCCGCAATTTTGACTTTAGCCGCGGAGACTTGGTACTGGTCCGACACACGAAAATTGAGAAATCTCTCAATCGCAAGATGCAGCCCAGATACATTGGGCCCTATGTGGTAATTCTACGCAACCGAGGTGGGGCTTACGTACTAGCAGAACTCGATGGAGCGGTCTTGGACAGGCCAGTGGCAGCCTTCCGAGTAATACCATTCGTTGCGCGCAAGCGGATATCGGTACCAGAAGAAGTATTGAACGTCTCTCAGAAGCGGCTAGATGAGATGAAAGAAGCAGAAGAATTCGGGAACCTGGAGGAAGAAGAAGAAGAGCCTGGAGAAGGGGAAGTTAAGGATTTAGCAGGGCAAGGGTCAGAAGAGGAAGAAGAGGGCTAATTGGCTGCGCTCTTGCATATCGGCCACTGAGAATATTGTTACAGATCACTCTCATCTCTTTTTCTTAAAGGATTTACGGGCACACTAATGTGGAGCAGCAACTATATTCAGAACAAGCAGACTACATTGTACAATGACATGGCAGGCTAATGCAAGTAACCACGAGGCACAGCGCGATGGACTCCAGCATGCGATCACTCTCACTTCTTACGAAACAGGTCGGCAATGGCGTCAGACAGCGTGTCCTGGTCGACCATGACACTGGCAAATTCCACAAGATTGGATGAGGCAGAAGCAGCCACCGATCATGTAACTGATGAAGCATGAGTTGGGTACGGAGCCAGAGGGACGGAGATGAACGGAACCTCACCAGAGGGTGTAGCAGTGGCACGTCTGGCAGGCGCGGAGCGAGAGGACGAGGCGGGCTTGACGTCTACTGGCTCAGACTTGACTTCTTCCTTGACTTCCTCCTTGACCTCCTTCTTAATGGACACACCAGACGACGATGCTTTGGACTGAGCGTTAATATAGAGCACGATGCGAACGGTGAGTGGGAGGAGCATCGAGCTCACCCTCCATAGAGCCCGAGCGCTTTACGCCACGACCTGCCTTAGTGGTCGAGGGCTTAACCTCCTCCAACTCCGGAAGAGCAAAGGCAATGCTAGTGGACGTGGAAGGTCCAGCAGTCGAGGAGGAGACAGTCAGGGCTACGACCACATCAGCAACAAGGAAGGAGAGCTGGCCATGGGCAGGTAACTCATCAAGTATGGGTGGTTTGCCGTGCATCGGAACAATACGACGAGGTACGTGTCGGCCCTCGCGGAAGGCCTTCTGCTCCTCCATAGCGCCTTTTACGCCTACGCCATGCTTGTTGAGGGCACGGATTTGTTCATCGTAGTCCCTGAACGCTGCATGACTCTCATGCAGCTCCTCCGGAGAAGGCTCATCTGGTGAGGGCCAGCCCCGAAGCTCATAGAAGTCACGAAGGGGCAGCCAACCCTTCAAGTCCTGCGGATTGGGAATGCCCTTTCAGGCCCAGAAATGGCACTTCGACTTGGAACGCATGCACTTGCGGCAGATGGGTTCAAGCTCCGTCATGTAACAGCTCTTCGACATGGCACCACTGAAGAAGTGAAGGCACTAGAAGGCAAATCAGTCAGGCCAGTCAGAGAAAGGCATAATGGCGTACCAAGCAGCAGCTTTGCGGTGTGCGCCACCGAGGGAAAAAGTCAGGAGACAAGGAGCGGTCACGATAGGAGGGTCGGCTCTGCAGCACCTGGTTCTGGGAGATGAGCACGCCGTTCTTAAGATGTATCACGCCCTGAGAGTCGATGGCGTCCACGGTAATGTTGCGAAGGTGAGTGTCGACAAGAGTTTTAGACGAAGGGGTTTTGGCCGTCGAAGGTGCTGGATAATCACCCAAGTCAGGCATAGCAAAGGGCGGGGGATAACGAAGGACGTACCAGGTTTAACCTGCTTCGGAGACGGAGGATCTACCTCATCCTCACCCTCCAACTCATCCACCTGGGGCTCATCGGCGTCAACCATCTTGTCATCCGCAGGAATAGACTCTGGGGAAGTAGGGGGTCCGTCGACGATCTCCTCGACGATATCCGCCTCGAACGGCGTTGGTGAATGACGAACTAGCTGGTGTCCTTGGTGTTGGGCACTTCGCAGAGCCTCCTCAGGCTCAGAATTGACCTAACGAGAATCAGTAAATGAGCGAGAATCCAAATGCAGACGGGTGCACCATTGCAAGCTCTTGCATCAGGGCCTCTTTGCGGCCCTCGGACAACAACTCCATGCCCCACTTTAGCCAGCCCGGAGTAGAGACACGGTCTGCGATCAACTAAATGACCTTTTGGAAGGGTTCTAGGCGAAGACGGCCTTCGGGAATCTCGTGCAGTACACGCTGGCAGCTCCGCTGAGCCAGGATAGCAAGCGACAGAAAGGAAGGGCATACCATTGAACCCAGCAACTGCTGGCCCACTGCATCATGAGCAGCAGCATCGGATGAATGGCTACTGCGAAGGTCTTGAATACGGTCAAAGAGGGCACTGGCCAAAGTCTCTAAGGGAGGAACTTCGGGGGCCACGATGGTCTCCGAAGGTGCCACAAGTGCAGGATCAGAAGTAACAGTCATAGAGGAATCTGACGCGAGGAGCAACAGGTGACGGAGCAGCTGTTGGAGGCTCAGGAAGAAAAACCTCGGTTGGGATGACCAGCACCACCACAGGCACTGGGTCATGAGTGACGGGCACGGCAATCCCGCTAGACATAGGAGCCAAGGATGCACCAGGAGAATCAGGAGAAAGTACAGCAATTGACGGAGGAGGACTCAGAGGAGAAGAGGTGGTCATGATGGATGAAAGGTGAACGAGGTGAAGGACGAGCATGCCAACCCATGCCCATTTATGCAGGCTGAGTAGCAGAGTTCGAAACGGCAAGAGGATCACGCAAAGAACGAGTCATTCAGGAAGGGTTGACCACAGCATGGTCTAGCCAATTGGGCAAGGCACATTCGGGCCTCTACGTGCAAGGGACACGGCAGTAATGCGATATATTTGTACAAGGCCAATGACAGATGAGCAGGTGACAAAAGGACAACTAGCTACCAGTACAAACGCCATTATGGCATACGGCCGACTCGCCCACTATGGCAGGGCTATGGCAGAGCTAAAGGATGGGTTCGGTGCTACCAGAGGTGACAGGAGAGGACACTGCTGCAACGGGCCCACCCAGGGTCTTGGTATTGATCACCAAAGACTCCAGCTCCAGGAAACAGGCGTAGGCCAGCTGCATGTCACATGCAAGCTGGATGCGTTTGCGATCTGCAATCTCTCCAAGAATGGCAGGAGGAATAGCGGATGTGTTGAAGCCACCTTGGATCACAGTTAGCACGGTGTGCAGGTCAACTGTGAAAGAAAGTCAGCCGGTGCAAGCATCGCGTCGATAATAACGTACCAAACTGGTGAAGCACTGCAGGAAGCCCCACGCCCGCGTCCGTATTCAACAAACACCCCTTCTTGCTCATACAGCAGCACAGACAAGCCTTGCCAGGAGGCATCACAATGCAGGAACTCTCATCCTCGCACGACGTGCACTAGAGCGAGTCAGCAGCAGACCAGCACGGCAAAAGTCGAACTACTCACATGAGCGATACCCCACGGTTTGCCAAACTGTGCGTAATACTGCTGGACGGATGTTCCGCCTATGTTATCGAGGTAGTCGAGGAAGGCTTGAGCCCCTTCCACACGTGCACGAGGGGAAGGTCCAGGCGTGGACTCCTCTGAGGGACGTTTAAGGCCTCGCGCCTCCTTGGCAGACTTCGCCCCCTCAACAGTAGCGTTGAACTCGCGCTCGCTCTCAACCTGGTCCCGCGACACCTCGATTAGGTCAAAGTCTTCTTGCATTGGGGTGTCGGCAACACAGGTCTTCCCCGCAGGAATGCTCGGAGCAGTGGCGGCTAGGGAGGGAAGAGCGACAGGAAAAGGCATGAAAAGCGATGCAGTTAACACAGACAAGGCCACGTCCCAGCCAACGAGGAGCGGACGGGTGAAGCCAAGGAATGATTGGTCACGACGGTCAACAATAGTGTGGTTTGTGGTAAAGGTCAGCAGCTGGCTAGCCACCTGCATCTGCGCCTTCTCACAGGTAAGAGTACCAGCAAGGATTGCATTGATAATGTCCTCAAAGCGCGAGCGAGCCTGTGGAAGCAACAGCATGGTGCCAGCGAGCCTGTGGAAGCAACAGCATGGTGCCAGCGGTAGAGCGAACACCAAGTGAGGTGAATAGGAAGCCAGCCGGAACGAAGTCACCCCAAAGTGTGGACCAGGCAGGATTGGCAGTCACCCCTACCCAATCCAGCACAGAAAGCCAGACATCTCGGATTGCAGGCGTATGAAGACTGCCCAGCATTGCCTACCCGTTACTCAGATTAGTAAGGCAGAAGGAAAGCAATGGCATAGCGGCGCACGTAGGACCCAGCTAACTCGTGGCACCAGGCCTCCCACTCGGCAAAGGGGGCCTCAGCACATGGAGGACGGACGGCTAATGTGTCAAGTTGATGGATGCATCGCAGCACAGCATCGCCGAGGGCAGATGTGTCAGCGATGGATACGAACGGACCAAGAAGGCGAGGAGGGGGGACGAGCGACATGGTGGAAAAGCGAAGGAACTGGCGAAGCAAGGGCAAGCCATGAAAATTTAAGTCTTGGCAGGACCGAGGATGGTCCAAGGATAGTGGGGAGGAGGTGATGCGCGGTGAGAGCAGCTAACCCACAGAAGCACGAGAATGACCCCGATTTTGGCAAAGTTAGGCCAGCAAGGCGACGAGCCAGTCTGTGCTATTGCCACCGTGGGAGTCATTCACCACGAGGCAGCAGAAATGAAGCGTAGTGGGAAGGCTCAGCCATCCTGAAGCTACGCCGACGCTTCTGAACGCAAGAAGGCTCGGTGGACTTAGTGGTAGCAACGGCATCAGGCAGTAGGCACCCAGAAGACCGGGGCAAGGGACCACCATCATGGCAAAGATGCGTGAAGACTGCCCAGCCAAGTCAGCATGGGTGAAACGTGTTTTGATACATGTTAACGGTCTGGTCCGGTATCTCAAACAGGAACACAATTATGTTGCAAGTTTCAGCTAATATCTTACTCGTTTCAGTCTTTCTTTTACCATACCTAGTTTAATCACCCAAGCAGGCAAACTCTCAGCGGTGGCCTGCTAGGGCGGTATATAAGCCTACCACATGTACATACCAAAACAATCAAATTGGGAGGAGCTCGAGTCTCCTAGCCCACAGCCTACGTCTCAGCACTTCGTCTCTCGGCCAGCAGCTCTTTTCTATTGCCTTAGCTACAGTCACTAGGTGCATTCTCGCAGTTTCAGCTAAGTCCCAGCACCAATCACAGCGCACTTTGTCATTATTACATCATCAGGCCCAGCCCACCGAGCAACCGAAGATATTCCATCACACTTCCACGCTACGTCACTCAGTTACCCCTTTCAGCCCTACGTTCCCAGGACTCCTCAGAACCTGTCTGAGGCCTCACTCCCATTGGCTTAGCCACCGGTGCTCTGACGCCCTCCGATCAGAAATGCATATACGATCAGGTCCGACCCGCCTTCTTGCGACAATATCGCATTTCCGATCAGCTCTGGGCCATTTCTAGCCTTAGACCATGGGTTTCATCCCAAATATAGTAGTTGGCCCAAGGATCTTCGCACATCGGACTTAACCGAGCTTCCCCACCATCCTCCGATCAGCATCTCATATACGATCAGCTCCGCTCTGCCTCGCTGTGATCAAAACACATTTGCGATCAAGTCCGACGATCCCACGCTTGGAGCCCCTTTCAAATACAGCCTTTCCTTCCCACACAACCCTAGTTCCTTTCCCAAGGCTCGATATTGGCTGCCCACACTGTCATTTGCCGATCCTGCAATTGTTGGCCGCACCTGCACACTACCCCAGTCCATTACCAACCCATTACCCATCCCTATTGCCAGTAGCTTCAAGTCACTAAACCGGCTCGCAGCAAACCCTCGCCAAAGTCGTCCCCCGCATACACCTCACACAGCGGACCCCAGATTAGTGTTGGAGTAGCACGAGGCCAGGAGCTCCGCGGACGCATCAACGTGAGTTTCTTTCTGCCTTGGTAAGTAAGCGCTCTGTGGTCTTTATCGCTGGCTAACCCGCTTTCTCCTCTAACATGAACTTCATTTATTCTCAGATTCCATATCACAGACGCGCTACGCCCGGTTTCATCAAAAGGCCCAAGTGCACCTCGACATCTTTGTACAACCATCGTGGCTTTCATGGTGCGGGGAGTTAATTTCGCCTGAGTGGGCTGCTGCCGTCTCAGTGGACAAGGTGCGTGCGCTGACCTTCGGTCCCACCGCCGTCTTCTAACACTGCCTCGCAATCTTCTCTAGGAACCGAGCCCTCCTCCGGTGACTGAGGCCTCCGTGCACATGCCTTCCAATACTGGGGAGGTTGCGGCCTCTGGTTCCCTGACCGCTTCCACCAGTTTCGACGACTTGCTTCCCCCGGCTGTTTCAACATCTGCTTCTGTAGTAGCTGCACCAGTTGCTGCTGTGACTGCTGAGGGTGTTCCCATCCTGAAGTTCGAGTTTCAAGCTCGTGCGGCAAACCCTGTCGCTATTGACCCTCCTTCCGATTCCGATACTGCGGCCATGGAGGTCGATATCCCGCTGGCTACTGTGGTCGCTAAGCCCCCTTCCGCACTGGGCTCCGGTATCATTGAGCTTTCCAGTAATGATGAGGACAACAGCAACAGCGACGAGGTCCAGTACGTGGGTGGCAACATTCCTAACTTGTCTCCGGCCCACCCGAAGAAGGGTAAGGGGCGTGACCACAAACATGCGAAGCCGTCCAGCATGACCACCGTGTTCGAGGATCAGTACGTGCGCATGCCGGTCCATACATTTTGCGATCGCTCCCTTCCGCCGACGTACCTCCCGCTGTGGCAGAGGCCTTTCATCGCTTGCTTGGTAAGTTTAGGCTTTGTTCTTTCATCGTTCATTGCTAACTCCTTCTTCCTAGTGTCTCTACTGTTTATCCTCTGAGAAAGTCTCACATACGTGCATGCTAAGCGAGTTCCGGCTGAAGTGTCGCAAATGTCATCGCGACCACAAGGCCTGCAAATGGTGTATTCGCAACACGGCCGCAGACGCTAACGATTCGGACGGCTGGCTTTCGCTGAAAAAGATCTACCGTCACAATGACTGGGAAGTGCCTAAATCCCCTGAGGCCTCGGTGATGGCAAAGGCTTCTCGCCACCAGGTTAGATATGATCGGAAGATGCGCGACACCAACACCACTGGAAGCGAGAAGGTGAGGTGACCGAGCTGGAGTTGCCTCTCGACACTCCCATTAATGAGTACGAGGTTGCGCTTGCTGCGGCGCTGCGTCTTTGTAAGTCTCTTAACTCTTTTCCGTGTTTCGCCCTAGCTGATATCCTCTAGTTCTGGTCAGCTCCCTGCCTGACACGCCTGAGACTGAGTCGGAGGTCGATGATGCGTTCGACGAGGTCGTAGTAAAGCAAGAGAAGGAAGCCGCCGGTCCTTCATGTCGTAACCTGGCTATCCCACCACCTCCGAGTGGTGCGGTCCACGCCGCCTTTCTAGTTTCCTACTTACAGTTTTTCTAGCTCGTCTCGACCATCCTTCCAAGCATCCTCGCATCGACGATTCCAATCCTGATGACATCATGATGCAGCATTTTCACGCCGGTACCATCGTCGTCCCGTCGACTAAGGTCTTCAAGTCACGTTCATCGAAAAGCAAGTCTCACGTCAAGGGCTCCTCCAAGACCACGACTGCAAAATTGGAGCCGTCTCACACTTCAGCAACTGCCATTGAGCCTTCTGTGGCTAGCACGCAACTCGAGCGAATGATTGAGCTTTCGCAGCAGCTTCTCGTGGAGAATCGTGCCCTGAGGGCTCGCAAATTGTGACTTCGTCAGTGCGCTGGACTCGGGCTGGGGTGACGCAAAGCAGGCTGTCCGCGATTTTGTTCATATTACGATCGTGATCTCTCCCTCCGCGCGCGCAGAGCAAATGTATTTGTTTACTTGCCTGAATAAACCGTGTGTCGAAAACCTTGTGCGAACTCGCCTGACCGAAATATTACGAAAGTTGTCGCAGAATATGATAGTCTTGGTCGCTTCCTTGATCCTCTAGCTGAGTCCTTGCCTATGTACTGTTGAATGATTAGTTCGACTTCCTATACTTGTCTATTCTGACTCGTTTTCATCGTACTGGTCTTGCTGTCCTTCGTCTTCATCTCCCGACTCCTCATCTTCTGGTTTCTCATCTGGTTCCTCTTCCCCTTGGTCGTCCGCTTGATGCATCTCTTTCAACCTGTTTTCCGATGCATCTAACATTTCTTCTGCGATCGCGATCTTCTTTCTTGCTGCGAATGGTACCACCCTAAATGCAGCAATTGGTCAGTCCAATACTGCTCCATCCAACTCACAGAGCATGTAGGCTCCTCCCCGATTGTGGAACAGCACAATATACGGCTCAATGTAGCATGGTCTCATTTTCTGATTGAGTGCCTTCTCGATTTGCGTATGCCGAACCAATACTAAGTTTCCGTGCTTGAAGTCGAAATCCTTGATCACATTCTTATGGACTCGCTCGAACCACCTGGCTGCTTCCCTCCTGGCTTTGTAGACTGCGTTATGGATTCTTGCGACTTGTTCCCGACGCTTCTGCAGCGCTTCGGCTCAGCTCGCGATTAGGTCGATCGTCGATATCATTCCGACTGGGGCTGGAATCAGGTACGTTGCTTCGACAATATCAAGCGGTAGGACTGGATGGGTGCCAGTAACTGTGAAATAGGGTGAGCAACCCATTCGTCTCCTGACTGTTACTCTTTCTGACCAGAAAACGGAATGTGCGACTTGACTCCATTTGTGCTCCTCTCCATCGGCAGCCTTGAATAGACCCTGCCGAACGTCGAAATGCGGTCGCTCAATGATCCCATTCGCATGTGAGTTGTAACCACTTATCCAGATGTGCTTGACGTGATATTTCTTTTCCAGATAGGCTGCTGCTTTTACGAATGGTGCACCGTTGTCAGTGACGATTTCTGATAGGGCCCCCAGCAACAGATTCCTCGAAAATCCAATCGCCGAGGGTCTTCGCCGTCTCAGCTCGAAGCATTCAGAACTCAGGATAGTGGGTGAGCGAACAGCGACCCTGCACAATGTACTTAAATCTGTTTGAGGGCAGCATATGCATCATGTCGATATATATCTTCGCAATTATCGGTGCTGGAATCGCAACTGTTGGTGGGATGAGGATTTGGCGAATCTGTCACTTTTGGCATATTACGCAAGTCTTGACGAACCAAGCGATGTCGGCCACGACGTCCGGCCACCAAAAGTGTTCGTGAATCAACGATCGAGTCAGAAAAATGCCTCGATGTCCTAGTTCATCATGTGCTCCAGCGAGGACTCTCAGTCAGTTTTCTGGTAGTATGACTAGCTTGTGCGATCCTTGTCCATCTTTTCTCCAGAGGCGTCCGTCGCATTTGAAGAAGCGGACTACATACTTGAGCATCTGATCATATTCTTTGTCCGAGTAGTTCTCCGATCGCTGCAACATTTCTAGCCAGTCAGTGATTAGAGCGATGAGATGGTCATTCCGTCTGGCTCGTGCAGATCGTGGAACGTCCTTGTAGCTGACCGCCTTCAGGTCCTGAGTGTCTCGTATGGTTTCCGATCCCTCGTTACTTTGAGTCGGAAGCACAAAAACTGATTGCGTGGCTGGCTCCTCCCCCGTTCTGAAAAATCGACTATCCTCGGTCGACGGCAGATTACTCAGAAGTTGCGCTCGGAGAAGTACTTGGTGCAAAAAACCGTTCATGCGATTCACCCAGTCATCGAAGTTGGTGTCCTCGATCGGCTCTGGTGGAGGGTCACCTGGCTGTCTCGGTCGGCATGATAATCTGTCTGGACCATGCATGACTCCTGGTACGTGGACTAGTTGGAAATGATACATGAGGATCGCGATGACCCAACGGTTGATGCTTGCACTCGGTGCGATGTCTGGGTTCTGCAACATGCCCTTGATGTACTTGGCATCGACTTTGACTATCAGATTGCGAACGCCGATCAGATAGACCTTGAGTGCTCGCAAAGCGTGATATAGACCGTAGAGCTCGAGCTTCGGTTGCGAAAACCTCTTCTCACGATCATTTAGTGTGATAGACCCTGTCACAAAGCACCAAAGCACTTAACCCAATTAAGGGCAAGTCTGCTTTTGTGACCTGCACAAATGATCCCACATAAAAAGCCTGCCACAAGGGCTAGGCTGAGGATGCGTGCAGTGGTATGCAGTCTGGAAAAGGGGCTCAAAGGGCCCTTAGCCTTATGCTCACAACTAGGGGGTGAATTGGCTTGTTAGGCCGCATGCAATAGATGAATGAATCTAAGGTCTTCCCTTAGATCCTCATGTGCTTATATACATGTAGTGGTGGACCCTGGGTACCCTAACTATGGTGTACTTACTGGGGTCCTGTCCTGTCTACATGTGAACATATTGCCAAAACCAGTAATGGTTCTGGACTTCGCTATGGCAACTATCTACAAAGGTCGTGGATACGCTGAGGTAATCCTATCTAGTCCAATGAGATAAATGCCTGTAAGTGGGCCCACTCAGGTGAGAGGATCTGTCCCAACTCAGAACAATGGGTGGGACGATCAGTCTTCATCTGGGGAAGTGTGTGGGAAGATCCAGCCTATCCTGTACCTGGCTATACTGTATGCCAGTTGGTAGGGGGATCCTGAGTTGTGGTACCTGCCTATTGATTTAGGCGTTAAAGTGGTGCCACTATCTGAGTGGCGAATTGGGTGCTTTGCTAGCTTGATGGTCCAATGAGCATGGGTAAGCCTATTGTGGGCCAAAGAGTTCCATTCCGGGCAAGTGGCCTGGTGTCACGTGACCAACGCCTGATAACTTCTGAATAGGGCAAGTGGCCAGTGTCATGTGACTGGGTGGCTGAATCATGGGCGCTTGATGGTCATGTGGTAGACACAGTCATATCCGCGATGTATATGGTGGTATTGTGCTGTTTGTCTAAGTATCCACTTTGTGAGACCAATATAAAGGTTGGCGTCCAAATAACCACTTGTGGTTGCTGAATGATGACTTTATTGGTGCAAAAAGAAAGGTGCCACGTAATACTGTGACAGATCCGAACTGACTGAAAAACCGCTTTTTCGATCCGTCGGTCACGCCCTGGCACAACTGAAACCCAACTGCGATCGGAGAAGTGTCGACTGCGAGGATAACTGGTGCTGACGAGTCGTAGTCGATCGCTCACAAAGCTGGTGACTCCAGTAAGGCCTGCTTTAGGTCTTCCATTGCTGTGGCTCGCCAAATTTGAATGGAACTCCTTCCCGAGTGAGCTGCACGAGCGAGTGAGCTCACTTCGCGAAGTCTTTGATGAAGATCCTCGCGACTCCGATTGTGCCTAAAAATGCTCGAACTTCCGATAGGTCCTTGCATGGGCCCCAATTTTTGACTGTCTAGACTTGCAATTCATCTGGCAATTGTCCAATCGGGGTGCATCTGTGTCCGACGACTGTGATCTCTTCAGCGCATAGCGTCAACTTCGTTCCCGAGAAGGTACCACCCGCATACTCCATTCGCTGCACAATCTGATTGAGATTCTGGAAGTGCTCCCAAATGAATCGTCGGATACCATCATTAGCTGTGATCATCTCGAAGCTTCCGTCGGACTTGACATATCTGGTCGCTGGACCTTTGACTGGGACGTCATCGATGTATGGCACAGTGAACGCAGGGATTTCTGATTGCAAAATGTATGTGACGTCGTCGTGGAAGATCGGTACCAAGTTGGTCCACCCCATCGGAAGGGTGACAAGTCGCAAAGCTCCGAATGGTGTCTGGAAGGTGGTAAGGTCGTGGGAGGTCTCCGCTATGAGTCGCTCATCATATCTGACATACAAATCGAGCATGGCTCCACACGCGTGACCGCCGAACTGTTCTGCTAGGTGTTCTGGAGTCAGCATAACTTCCGAGTGCTGGATTGTAATGGCGTTGAGTGGCTCGAGACTGTGAACAAGTCGCAAAGACTTTCCGTCTTTCTTTATGACACAGAACCATCACGATCGGTAGGATGAGTTCAAGGGCTCGTATACTCCAGCCTCCAGCTTCTTCTTGATAATCACACAAACTTTCTTGTAGATCCCAGGAGGAATCGGAATATTCCTCTGAACCCAAGGCTGATGCGGTACGACTGGAAAATCGATTGGCGGGAAGTACTCCGACTTGAATCTTCCTCGCTCGGAATCGCTCCAAGCGAACGCCTGATTATGCAAACACATGAATGTGTGCATAAGAGCTCACTCCTCTGGCTATAAGAATCCTGGCTGGTGCGTGATATCCAAAGCCTCCATGCATTCCTTCGTATAGCGACCGGTTGGAAAGAAAGGCCCTGGCCGCTCTGGAAGCTCGGGTAGGTGTCGCAAATGATCTCCAATTATTCGTCGGATGATACGGAATTGCTCAGATACCGATGCGATTACTGGTCGAGTTTTGAGCACGACTGGCTTGTACTTTTTCTTGGTTGCAGCATAGCCGGCTCTCGAGCTTGACTCTTGATTGCAACCTGGGCCTATAATCGTCTGTAGTAGTCGCGAAGTCGAGGTTCGAGGTGTCGGTCGGAAGTCTGAGGTTACTGTGTACAATGATGATACTGCGTCGAGGACTTGTCCTGACGCTCGCAAATAGCTTGACTGAACGAAAATGAGATCGGAAGATATGACTGGGGAATAGGCTGATACACTAGGGGTATTTGTGTTGCTTACATCAATGATTAAGGCCATCCCACTGCTTTCGGTACTCATATCTTCCGCTAGTGAAAACCCGGATCCTTCGATTGGAGAGGCTGTGCTCTGACTCGCAGTGGTCCTCTCGGTATCGTGGGTATCGTTGCGATTCTTCCCGTGTTGGGACATATGATTGTAACTGTCTGGTTCTCGTCGAAGAAGTTGCAAACTATGCTCTTGGTGAGCACATCAAACGGTCATCCTAGAAGAATGTCATAGGCTGCTGCGCGAATGACGTGGATCTGCAAATATAGGACGATCTCTCCGACTTGGAAAGGTACATTGCGAACCAGTCCGAGCAACTGGTCGACTTCTCCATTCGCAAACTGCATATTGAGCTTTATTGTTGAATCATAAATGAGTCCCAACGAGAGACAGACATCTTCTGACATTGTGACAATTTGGCATCCTGGGTCTAGAATCGCCTGTACTTGCTCTTTGTTGTCGATGAGTGCGACTATCGATCGCAATGTGTGCGAGTCGTTTGTGACCGTTAGTTGCTCTGGCTCATCTCCGTTAGGAATGTGCTTCAAGTAGGCATCGTAGAGATCAGGTATTATTGAGCCTGTCGCTGCTAAAGGCTCCCCTCGACAGGTGAACTCCTCTTCCTGTCCGATTGTAGCGCTGCTGTCTTTCACATTTTCGAAGATTGTCACCATTCCGGTCACACTTGGAGGTACTACACGCTTCGGTGTGCACGCTTCACGATACTTGTTGCACACATCTGACGATATCGACAGCAACTCCTCCATGGACAACGTGACAGCCGACGACTTCATCGATCGCTCGAAAACTGTAGTCGCAAGCTCTGGCTGGTAGACTGGTGGGGCATTGCGATAGACTGCATCTCTTGCTCCTGGCTTTGGGGCTTGACCGAAGTTACGCATGTTTGGTGGAACGTATAACGCATCTCTAGCTGATCAGAAAGGATGCTCTGGCACTGCATCCACGATTGCTGGAACTGATGTACTTGGCGCGCTCTCAGTGGCCTTCTCTGGCTTCGCCTGAGATTGTGCTTGCTCGGATGCCTTTTCTGACTGTGCTGGCTTTGCGGCTAATCCTGCTGGTCGTCGTGGTGGCATATGAACTCCATCGAAGACTGGTCACGATCGCTTTAAGTTGAATAGCTCCTGTTCCAAAGCTTCGATCCTATCTTCTGCACCTAGCGAGAACGAACTGGCTTTGTCCTCTGAGACTTCGAATAGATTCGCCGCTGAGACCGATGCTGTGACTGGAATCTGGTTGCGTCTGTGCCACTCGTAAATGTGATCGCGAATCGTAATGCCTGGAATGGTGCGAGGTACAAAGGTGCCATTCGGTAGGACAACTTTTCTGGCTGCGTTGCATAAGCACTTGCCACTCTTTATATCCTCCTCGACGTGCTTGCATGTTCCGATCATGCCTCCGGCTTCTCTGCAATAGTGGCAAAATCCACTCGGACTTCCATTTGCGACTGGTGGTCTGCTCGCTGTCGCAGCTTGACTCCCATTCTGCTTCGCAATTCCACCTGTTGCAGCTGCCGTGAGCGTCTGGACTGACTTGACCAGGTTCTCAATAAGCAACGAAATATCCTCACTCTTGATTGCTGGTGCGCTACTAGTCGACGTAGTTATAGTTGGCTTTATTGTGGTCGGCCCTGCACTAGTACCATGCAACACAAACTTTGCAGCCTCGTAGACGTTGTTTACCGAGTAGGGATCATCTGGGTAGTGATCTGGCTGCTTCAGCTGCAAGCGTTGCGAAATGCGACTCCACGACTCCGGTGGAAATCCTCGAATGAACGCGCGATTGTGTTCCGACTCCGAAATGCAGTTCTTGCCAATGAGAAACGAGGTGATGGCTAGGAATTCCCGATGATAGTTTCCTAGTTTCGCGATCGTCTGAATTCCCAGTTGGGCTCACTCCCCGACTAAGAGATCCATGTCTCGAACTTTCCATTTGCGCTCTGTATCTGCGCCTGGATACAGCTCCTGTATGGCTTGTCGCAAATTGACATAAGTCTTCGTGGGATCAGAATATTCTGGAAGCGACTCCACTAGATCGGCAACGTCTATATTGAGATAGCATTTCATCCACAGCTTCTTTTCTGCTTCATTCGTTACTTGGCAACGCATGAACAGGATTTCTAGATCATCGAAGAAGCGAAAGAGGGTTCTGGGCTGATCAAGATCGAAAGTGGGTGCCGATCAATCACCACGAAACGGCATCTGATTGGTTATGACAGTTCCCATTTTGACTGTGGCTGTGGGGGTCGGTAAATTAAGTGTCTGGGTAGGGTTCTGGACTGGATTTGATGCCTGTTCTGCTGTGAAGGCGATTTCTAGCTCATCTAGAAGAGTCCTAAGTGGGATTTCTTGCGATGAAGCCTCAGAAATGTGTTCCGACTGAGCTTCCACGGTCGAAGACTCCGAAGAATGATGTGATAGCGGGGTAAGTGAACTAAGTGGGCTAGCAGTTCTAGAAGCTGGTGATCTCGATCGCGAAGCTGAGGAACGTGTTTCAAATGACGGAGATGGTCAGAAATTGGCTAAGTGGGGTCAGCCTTCTTCTGCTCGCTCGAATCCGGCCCTCTAAAACTCGTGAAGTCGCCTGAGCCTCTGATTGAATAACGAGAAGACTTCTTCGTCTGATGTTTCACCTATGGTGGTATTTTCAACTCTGTTTCAAGGGGATACCAAACTGCTTCTTCGGTTTCCGATTGTAAGGCTGACGACTCAGTGCTGTGGAACTTTTAAATCCTCTCCACCCCTCACGATGGGCTCCAGGAATGATATGCTCAACCGTGTCCTGGCCGTGAGCAGCGCTTCCTAACCAAGTCCCTCTGATCTTGGCAGGCGAACTGGGGCTCATCTGTCTGCAGTCCCTTTGAGGCTACGGTCGCAGCAAACTTCGGATGATAACGCAGCGACGGGCGACCATGAGTCGTTCGGCTGTGTATGCTTGAAACGGAGTGAAATACCATGAAAAATGTGAGTCAGTGAGTGTCGGGTTCAATTATGGGGATAGGTCCGACTGGGCAACAGTCGAAAGCTGAAGTGTGGGGGTGTGTGGGAGTGGAATGCGATTGGCGACTTCTATGCTCGCAAAACGGCGATAGCTGAGGGTCTGGGCTAAGTCACGAGGACTAGCTACTTCTGTTAGCTACTTCTGGATGAAGCTGGGTAGGCGCTGATGACAAAGCCCTAACTTCCTCAGAACTGAATTAAGCGCTAACGACGAGTCCCTAATAGCTACCGAGCTGGAACGAGCGCCGACGATGAAGCCCTGGGCGTCTAGAACTGGTATGAGCGCCGATGAGGAACTCCTGGGTGCTAGCGAGGCTACGGGGTCCGATGGGGACAGGATCCTGGTTTGGACTCGTGACTAGTGGTGTGAGAGCAGCAGGCGATGGCGTGAGATGACAAAAGCGCGATAACATGGCTTAACTGGCTGAAACCCGAGTTGAGCTGGAGGCCACTACTGAGAGTGCTGCCCCTCTCAGTGTCGAGAATCCCAGAGGTGTGAATGCGATCGCAATAGACGTAGACGTAGTCGGGCACGATGCCCTAGCGTAGACAAGACGAGAACTGAACCCTGCTGTGTGGAGAAACTTTTGTGGAGAACTTTCTTCTTCTTTTTTTTTCTTTTCCTATGTACAGTGTGGATTATATAGTGGATCGGAAATGAGCCAGCTGAGTCGCTGAAATGCGTTTCCGATCATACATTAGGTTTCCGATCCATTGAAACATGTCGCAAAGCTCGCTCCTGCCCCCTCTCCGTTAAGGCTCCAACATTTCTATCTATATACTATGTTAAATAGTTTTAACTGTTTACTATATCTGTTTATTTACAGGTTGGGCTGTATATAGTAAATAGATGTTTATATATAGTATAAATAGTTTTATGATGACATAAGGCTATTGAGTGCACAATTGATAGATTTGACAGTGCAACAGTGAGCCAATTGAAAGTCATTGTGTTTGATAGAAGCCACCACTGACAGTTGATCATCATATAGACTCATGAACATGAGTTTCTTGTTATTTTTTGTATGACATGAGATTTTCTTGTCATTCATGATGCAAGTGTTGAAGTTGAATGCTTGTTTTCTGCTCACTATCATGTGTGTGTTGATGCACCCAGCTCCTTAAGGGTCCCAACAATCACAGAGGCTGCTCACAGTTGAGTAGAACTCCACTAAGAGATGAGACAAAAAAAACTATATAAACTTTATATAAACTGTTTATACTGCATATATACCAACTGTTTACTATATACTATTTATTTACACCTCAGGAGTGTAAATAGTATAAATAGTTGGAGCCTTACGAGTCTCCGTATCCTACAGTCGGGGAACTGGAAGTCTGGCCCTGCCAGGGTTCGTCGGCCCGCTACCCTGCCTTCCATTCGTTTAGCGCACTTGTTCGTCTCCTAGTTGCCTAACCGGTTGTGTTCCATTCTTGCGCTGTGCCTTATAATCGGCTACGCTTCTTCGTGGCTTTCTCGTTATTTCCGCACCTCATGTTCTCCTTCTGACCTCTTCACGTGATTCCGTTTTCCCAGGCAGTCGGCAAGGCCTTCCTTTGCCCACTCTGGACTGTTCCGGCTTCGGTGTTTGTCATTCCAGATTGCGGTGACTCGCTATCCGATTGTGCGATAGTCGGACGCAATTTCTGGCGTTTTTCGATCGCAGAATATCTCGGTGCGTATCAGCGCTCTCATGGTTCAATACCATACTCCTCACATATTTCTGCAACGTCCCCACTTCATCACCCCATTGGTTGAGAGCTTTGTGCGACAGGTTAATTTGCTCGGCAAGCTTGTCCGAGTTTTGTCGTGAAATGCAAGACCATCTTTCACTTCTTGTAAGTCTTTATCGAGTTTTTTGAACAAATCTGACATTGCTTTGCTCGTAACTTGCATTGGTGGTGCCATCACAGCAGCGCGGACTGAGGATGAACCCGGCGCACCAGGAATCAGCTGATTTCTCGAAGTAGATGCGACATGGGCTGACTGAGTGCCGCCTGACCTCCGGAATGGGTCATTGAAGTAGCGTGGACCCTGTGATACAGCAGGGATCGATGTTCTGGGTGGTGAGCTCGCTGGACGTGTACGCGCGATCCTCTCAGTGAGAGACGATGCAGGAGAAGTAGCACGTCGAGGGCGTTTAGCAGCGTTGCTGTTCGGAGGTAAGTGTGGGCGATCAGTCTTTTCCGCCTTTGCGATGGGTGGCTTTCGCTCCGACGGCACCATGAGCATGCAAAAGACAGGTTGCAAGGCGATGGGGAGGGCCCGGAGGAGTGCAGTCAAAATCCATGCTTCTTCTCCATGTCCTTCCTGATGTGAGCTGCACTGATTCAATATATCCTTCTCAGGCAACATGCTTCTATGGACGTACAACATGCAGATCAAGAAGTCTAAGTTGATGTGCCATCAATTTCTCCGTCCTCAGATGCCCACGGTAAGAACTCCTCTTCTCCTTTATTGTGCGGGCACTTGTAATGATTCACCTCGTAGCGCATGTACATGCAGCAAGATATCATACCGGAAATCACACTGATTGGTCGCTGTCGAATATTATAGTGTCTGTAACATATATGAATCCGCTGAGATGTAATCTATTCAACAATGCTCCAATTTATTGTACACATTTTGTGTGGTAAAGGGCCCTGGGGACCAGGGGCGAGGAAGGGGCAGGCAATATCCATGAATGTACATTGCAAGGATATCCGGCTGGATATTGCCAAAACATCGCATGGATTTCCGTTAAATCCTGGCAATATCCTGCTGTGTATATTTGGCATGATGTGCAGTGTTGGAGGAATTGCTCTCGTGCTCTAGGATGAACTCCTGGGCACGGAGCCTACAAAGGGTCCTCGCCCCTCCGCCACTACATCCATGACCTTCCAGAAGCCACATCCCTTGCCGTCATTTTGTGCACCAGCGTAGCATGTCCACCAATATTTGTCAACCATATTTTTCCGCAGTGTATGTCCAGTTCCCTGGTCCAAAGTGACATGGTTCGACCCTTCACCATGTCCAGACGTCTGGCTTGGTTCACGATATCGGTTCTTCATATCCGGTCGGAGGATACATGGAGCACCACAGTTGCACCGCGGCGTCGTCTGAGCTCGGAAATCAGGCCGATAGAAGCGGAACGTCATGTTGATTCGGCAATTGGACGGAGAGGCCGTAGATCGCTGCTCGCGCTCGTCCGGGGCAGAAAGATCAGGCGGGGGAGGAAACGGCGGATGAAAGAGGTCTATAACACTTTGAGGTGGAACTGAGTGCTTGAATGTCTCCTGCGTGGAGGCATGCATTATAATCAGCTGAAACAAAATAATATAGTCAGTCTCGTAATAAATCTGCATAAGAGTACGTACTGAGTTGTGCGGAAGGGGGATGTCATACGTCCTTGCACTGCGCGTCTCTCTCTCATCGGTTGGTACAACCTCTCGTAATCGGAACGTCCTGCTGGTCCCTGTCGCCGGGATGTTAACAAGACTGAAGAAGAAACACTGCAAGGTATTCGTCCTACCTAGACTCAAACTGGCAATGGTTGCATATGGCCCAAGATATGTCAGCTGATCAGAATGGAAGCCGACGCTCTCCTTTGCCCCTTCGTAACAATTTGCTGCTGCGACGTTTGCTCGCCATAGAATCTTCTCGCCCGAACCTGTCTCCTCCTGCGTACCGGGCTCTCCACCCCATTCTAACGGGAATCGCTTCCGCTTGCGCATCTCCCGGTTCACGACGCGCTCGATGTGCATGCAAGCTTCTTCCATCGCAGGAAGGAACGCAGCAGGGGGTTCAGTGCGCCGACCGTTATACCTGCAGGAAACGAGTGTAAGGCATGCTCGAGTGAGAACGAGATTACGCACATACCAATATTGAGCGGCTTGCTGCATGTTCTCATCCTCTGCTTGATTAGAGGAGCGTCTGGTGTAGAAGGACGTCCTATGAGGACTCTCCACCACGCGATCGAACAACCACCACTTGTTTCGCTGCCAATCTCGGCTCTCATGCAGCATCGTGTGAAATAGCCTGTGAGGGTTTTTGTCAGCATCTACAATGACTCAGAGGCCACCGAAAAGTGTGACCGTATTTGACAAAGGACGACAAACTACGCAGCTATGCGAATTGCACCAACACGGGCTGTAGCGTGAGCTCACAAAGATGAGTCGAGATCTCAAAATGCAATATTTACCGTAAGGGCAGATATACCAAGCGATACACACCTGCATGCAAGCTCTGGTGGAAGAATGGAAAGGTCCAGCGTACACGGAGTATGTTGCACAACTAGTGCCGGCGTGCCTAAAATCAAGGGCGACAAGCGCGTTGTGGGCTTCTTGGCTCGTTTGGATGGAGAATGTTGCAAAAGTGTCATGAATTGTTCATTCGTGACAGCACGTCCTTTGGAAAGGGATTCCGAAGACCGGTCGTGTTTTCTGGCAGCAGCCGAAGAGCCGGTACTTTCCGACGTAGAAACATTTGGAGATGAAGCTTCACGATGCGCCCTAGCGGAGAGCGAGCTTTTACGGGAAGATGAAGAGAAGTTAGAGTCATCCATGGTTGGAGAAGCGCGCGCGGATGACCGAGATTTGGACGTGCTCCTCATCGCATTCGATGTATCAGTCTCAGCTCGAGACGTACCAAGCCACTCATCCAGTGCAGCATTCCGCTTCCGCTTTCTATTGGCATCTTCTGAGTTTTTTCCCTTCTTTCGAGCAATCAGAGCGGCTGATTCTTCAACATTGCCATCGCACGCCAGAAGTGCCTCCAGCAAGGCTTCTTGCTCGTATGACTTTGACTGGTCTACCAGACTCGCCAGCATGGCAAGAAGGAGGTCTGTATCCATGTTGCTATATTCAAGGTTGATACCTGAAGCTGGAGGAGACAGTCCATGCAGAGAACTGAGAGTGTGGCCGGGCGAACGAGACGCGTTGTGGGCGGCCGCGACCACGTGATACGCGTTACTACGGCATCCGCGCTCGGGCCGCCCGTCTCTATCTCGCCGACCACCAAGACGTCCGCAACATGGACTCAAAGTCGCAGTTCCTGCCTGGTGCGTTGTCTGGTGGAGCGGCTCGAGCGCGTGACCATGCGCATCGCTCTGGTCGCGTGAGTATGATTGGAGTCAATTCAGATGGCCGCGTCTGATGCATCTACCCAGCTGATAGTGGCCTGCATCATCGTACAAATCATTATCCTCATCTACCATCTCACGGGCCCACCGAAATCGCTGTCCCGTTCACTGGGTCTGAACACGGAGCCAGATTTCTCACATCTTGCCGACCACTGCGCTCATATCTCCCCGATACCTGCTAGTTCTTTCGTGCAGCGGCAGCAAGCGCTTGCGGAGACCCTTCACTCGCTGAATGCTTCAGCCTACATTGCCGAGCCCGGCGCGAGCGCCGGTTATTTTGCTAATCTGTCGGAGGCGCAATGGTTCCTCTCAGAACGACCGCTATTGCTTATCATCTCACCTGAGGTCGATGCTGAAGAGCAGGTGAAGGCTCGTGTCTCAATATTGACGCCGGCATTCGAGGCTACTCGCGCAAAGCTGCTTTCCATTCCAAGTGCTTCTGATATATCATATCCAACATGGTCGGAAGACATGGACCCCTATGATGTGGCGCTGTCCGCAATTCCTCACCTGCGGGAAGGAACAATATTCGTCGACGGGATGCTGAGGAGCTTTGTTGCGGACGGCCTTCAGAAGGCATCACCAGAGTTCAAGGTGACTCTTGCGCCTATTGAGATCCGACGGCTCAGGGAGAGGAAAAGCGAGGAGGAGCTCGAGATCATGAAATGTGTGAATGAGGTAAGTTGCCAGCCGTACATTGGGCTTTCCAATATTCACTCAGAAGTCACGTTAGGTCACCGTTCTAGCTATTCGTGCAGTACGCGAGAACATGTACATAGGTATGCGTGAATCCGAGGCTCGTCAACTGATCGTGAAGGCGCTCTCCGCTGCCGGGCTGCAAAACCCAGGCGCCCTCACTTTGTTTGGAGGTGAGATCTCGGCTGCGTTGTTCTCATTTCAAATTCTCACTTTGCGTAGAAAATGCTGCTCTTCCTCATGGCAGCGGCACGGATCGTGTGCTGGGGGCGCACGACTTTGCTTTGATTGATTGTGATGGATCACTGCACGGTTACCACAGCGACGTCACGAGGGTACGTACCTACATGTTTCTCAAGTCCCAACAGACTAATGGTGCTTTCAAGTAGACATTCGCTCTCCCTGGCTCCACGATCCATGCGACCTACCTGAGATTATGGCACCTAGTGCATTCGGCACAGGCCAATGCACTCGACGCCGCACGAAATGGGACAACCACTGCCGAAGTAGACCGTGCTGCGAGAGACACACTCGCCGCGCAAGGCTATGCAGAATATCTCACGCATAGGCTTGGCCACGGTATGTCATGCTTGTCGAATGAGCGGGAAACGATTGACGACCCTAAATGCATAGGCATCGGCCTTGAAGTCCACGAATCACCATACCTGCGTGGGGGCTCCTCGGATGTCATCCTCACAAGACACACATTCTCTGACGAGCCCGGTATCTACATGGAAGGGCAGGTATGTCGCCACGTACGAAATCTTTGAGACATTGGCTGATAGGATTGCGTAGGTGGGCATCAGGTTGGAGGACTGTTTCTACGTAGCTGAGAACGGGAGTGCTGTTCTGCTGACCGCGGGAGTGGGTGGTGCTGCGACCAGCCCATGGGACCCTTGAGTCCATGACACTGCCGGCAGCTCTCTTCCCCCATAGTATGCTGAATGTGGCTGTGAGGAGGGCTGTGGGGAGTGCGCTCGGCATCGACGATAACATAGACTAGGCTGTAATTGTAGCCGTGGGAATATACTCACTATTGGAATTCGATGGGCCGCAATGATCCTGTTTTCTCGAGTCTAAATTTCCTGGCCAAGTTTTTGTTGTGCTTTCACATTCCGAGTACCCTGTGCCGTTGCAGCTATGCCTTCTCCAGATGAAGCCTCAACATCTTCTCCTCCGGACCCTGCTCCAACGTTCAAGTCGCTTGGGCTGATAGATCCGCTGCTGGAGGCCGTCAAGCAAATGAACTTCAATACACCTACGGATATTCAAATCCAGTCTCTCCCGCATGCTCTTCAAGGCAGAGATATCATCGGCGTAGCGTCTACTGGCTCCGGAAAGACAGCTGCTTTTGCACTTCCTATTCTCCAAAAGTTATGGGAGGACCCGAAGGGTCTGTTCGCGTGTGTCCTTTCGCCCACCAGGGAACTTGCCTACCAGATTTCGCAGCAGTTTGAGGGTCTCGGATCATCCATGGGGGTGCGGTGTGCAACTATTGTGGGAGGAATGGACATGATGGCCCAATCGGTCGCACTAGCAAAACGGCCGCATATCGTGGTTGCTACTCCCGGACGGCTAAATGACCACCTAGAGAATACTAAGGGGTTCAGTTTGAGAGGCCTGAAATTTCTTGTGAGCATCTATGCATATCTCGCTGCCTTTGGCGTAAGGGTTGAGCTATTGCCAGTAGGTTTTGGACGAAGCGGATAGATTGCTGGACATGGATTTCGGGCCTATAATTGACAACATATTAAAGGTCATACCGAGGGAACGTACGACATACCTGTTCTCTGCCACGATGACTACAAAAGTTGCTAAGCTTCAGCGAGCGAGCTTGTCCAATCCCGTCCGTATAGAAGTCTCAGAAAAGTACGTCTCTCACCGTAGCTTCCCATCCTATTTGAGCAATTCTGACGGTGACGTCCAGGTATTCTACAGTGTCGACCTTACTGCAATACTATTTGTTCATCCCGCTAGTCCAGAAAGATGTCCACCTCATATATTTGGCCAATGTCCTGGCACAAAACTCAATCATCATCTTCACCCGGACCGTCCATGATGCTCAAAGGTGCGATTGATTTTCATATTCCGTCTGCGCATTGCTCATTTTGTTGCACTGTGCAGATTGTCGATTGTGTTGCGCACTCTCGGCTTCCCCGCCGTCCCCTTGCACGGCCAGTTGAGCCAAAGCGCCCGTCTAGGTGCGCTAGCGAAGTTCAAGAGTGGTGGGCGGAAAGTGTTGGTCGCAACTGATGTCGCCAGCCGGTCAGGCCTTTGATATACTACAGCTTCTGCTCTCACTCATGCTTCGCATTACAGAGGTCTGGATATCCCGCATGTTGACGCTGTTATCAACTACGATATTCCAACACACTCAAAAGACTACATTCATCGTGTAGGTCGCACTGCACGAGCTGGACGTTCCGGGAAATCCATTACGTTGGTGACACAATATGATGTGGAACTGATACAACGTATCGAGGCTACGATTGGGAAGAAAATGGAATTGTGGCCGACAGACGCAGAGGAGGTCGCACTGCTCAGAGAAAGAGTAGACGAAGCGGGCAGGATCGCAATTAATGAACTGAAGGAACAAAGCGGCAAGCCAGGACATGGCCGGAAGCGGAGGAGAGTGGAGGGCGGAGGAGACGACAGGGACAGAGATGACGATGTCGTGGAGGCTGGTATGCCTTCGATGAAGAAAAGAACTAAGGGAAGAAGGTGAATGTGCGCTCCGGTAATGTTGTATCTACCAGAACTTCGGGCATAGGCATCGTAATGCAGGAAAGAGGTCGGTCAGTCCTTGAACATCAGGTCTGACCGGAGGATGTACTTCGTGCCTTCGATGACGGGAGAGCCCTCGTGCAGCAAGCACTCATGCCCATGGCTGCAAACGCTTGCCGGACTCGAGTCAGTTGTTTCGTATGTAAGGATATATGCATACCGATGCAAAAGAGCGGTGCCACGGCTCAGTGGGGCGATTATTGTTTGACGTCCTTTGCCTTTCTCAGTCGTGTAGAAGACGGTCTGCGCGTCAGACAGTATATGCATCAGCTTCAGAGAGCCGGAGTCGCAACAATTTGTGACACCTCTCCGCCTTTGACCTCATCCTCTACCCCAGAGAGGTACACAAGGAGAGTCCACTCCGACTTGGCTCCGGTCTGCGGATCGTGCACAGAATCGTCATAATGTGGGCCAAAGTATTGCCCAGGCGTGTACTTGTACATTCGAATATTCGAATTCATTGAATGTACCGGTCGTGATGATGGGCCGTTTCTTCGCTTCGCAGATCCAGGATATGGGAAATTTGGTAAGTGAGGGGAGAGCAGATCAAATAGGCGTTGTGCCATCTCTGGCGATGTTACAGACATTCGATCTACATGTGCGCAATAAATCGTATTCAATACTAATCACAAGAAGCATGATAAACACTTATGGTGATATACGTACAGTTCACTCGGTCAGCCTCGCCCTTTTTCTTGGGTGGCGTTAGCTCTAAAGGCTGGCCATCGATGAACGTCGAATAAATCCTGCATTCATTCGCGGTAAGAATGTTCTACTATACAGTCAACAAGCTTGGTAGAATTGAAATGCAATGCACGCACGTCAATGAACAGGATCTGATCCTCTATGAGTGGGTGGACATTGACTCCATGTTTCGGTTGTAACGATGGAAATTGAGGCGGTTGAGATGGATTGCTAATTTTTCTTGCAGGATTCCTGTCATTACGAGTCCTTCTAGAAGCCATAAGATGTGAACTCGTCACAGGCCTGTAAACTGACTAGTTGAACGTGGTAACGATCAATCTCGGACAGTCAGGGAACGGGTAACTGACTATTCATATATTGTCATTAGCATCCAAAAAAGAAAATCTATTTGAGTCACTTTGCCGGAGTGGTTAACGGGATCGCCTGCTATTCTAGCTATCAGCGGTTGGGCTTTGCCCGCGAGTGTTCGAATCGCTCAGGTGACGCTTTTTTGAATATCGTCCATCCATTTGTCATTTCTGTGTTCTGCGACACGATTCAATTTTTCGACGCATGTCCGCAACACCATTGCATCAGCTTTCTGCAATCAGTTCCGTTGTCACATTATAGCCGGGGAACATTGACGCATTCCTTGGAGGACAGGACCATTAGTGAAGAATCAGGATACATCCACAAAAGTACAGTGATGATAAGTGTTCGACAGGCATCTTGGCTCCCAGATACCGATCCGCACTGGTGTAGTCTAGTCATCGGGAGGAGCCCATAGAACGCAACGTCCACTGGCATTGCCACTGGCTGCGCGCTCGAGTACGCTGGGATGTGAACATGTGACTGCCTGCACCGCTGTGATACTACGGGGACCATGTAAGACTCAAGATATAGAGAGCTACCGTTTTTCGTACCGTTGACGGTCGTAAAGATGAGCTAGGAGGTCACCCTGATTTTGTAGTATCAACTTCTGAACAGTTCGGACTCACACGAAGCATACCTTGCAAGAAAATATATCAAGGGAATGTTCCATGTTGCCAACCTGCGAAATAGATTAGAGGTGTGAAGCAGCAACAAGAAAAGTATGTCTTACTGTGAAGTGAGGATAATAATCAGGGTTGGGTGACCACTGCGCTCTCAAGACAGTCAGCCACCTCCCCTGCATATGATCTCTCTGGTGAGTCCGGATAAATGAGTTATCAGTTCCTATCTCACCGTCTGACAGTTATGTTTGATCTGAGAGAACGGCCTTGATGAAGGGAAGGCGGAATCACGCTTTAACACTGAACCTTGGAACTCCCAGACTATATGATGCCCAAATGAGATGTGTACATGCAGAGACGACTGGCTAAACGTACGTCTGAGCGTATCATCATAGCTCGTGCTGACAATGGACCTTCCTCGGGGATCCCAGTACGCAGAGCTGACAGATTTATTGTGGCGCCAATCGGCTCTCATACAGCCCTTGCCTTTGGAAGAAGCTAGATAATCGCTGATGACGTCGTGGTTGAACTCGCTGTCGTCGTTCGATTGCATTGCAACTTTCTGCAGTTTGCGGGTATCCCAAATCCTACGACCAGAACGGATTCAGCTGTAAGCGGATAGGTTGGTCTCTCAAGCGTAACGCTCACTTCATCGTACGACTATTGGACGCGGTTACTAGGAGATGTGGGTTTGTGGGATTCACACTGACGCTGCCGATCTTATGGTCAGATACCTGGTACCATCTCGCGCTACCCTTGCCCTCCCGCAGATCTAAGTGCGTCAAGCCGCCAACAGCGTCCGATATCCACATCTGATTGCCGTTAGGTGGCAAATCGATGCAGGATATCAATGCTTCTTCCGTGGAGAAAATCTCCGTGGATATCCCTGATGTAAAGGATAGACATCGAACTGTACAGTCGTACGAGCTGGTATATATCTGGAGACAGCTCAGGACTCTGATAGATAGAATTTCATCGCACATTTGACGTACACTATGAGAGTTGATTGGATCAAATTTGATGCTTGAGATGGACGACCTTGACGTGGCGGGCCAGTGTAACTGCAGTCGCCAATACTTTCCGCTTTCTTCGGTCGCTGCAGGAGTTACATCTCCATCTTCGTCTGCAACCTCGTCGGAAGGTGCACGCGCATCCCATATGCCAAGCTGCCCATGTTTGTCTGAGTCACCGTATCGTGAGACCACAACAACAAACAGTGTAAGCCATCCAGCTCACCGCCAAAGAATATGAGATCTTTCGTCGGTTCCGCGTGGTATGCTGCGGTATAGATTCTGTCCTCCGTTACCTTCGCTCTAGCAACGACCTTGAGGTGTTCCAGCCGTTCCTTCAGTTCAGCCACAGCAGCTTCTTCCTTCTCATCACTGTCAAAAGTGAAGGCGTCATGCGCAACCAGGCGCCTGGGGTGTGTCTCCTGAAGAATGCTTTGAAGCATTGTTCTCAACGTGCCTATGTCAGTCTCATCTTGGCCCTCCATCACCGTTGCAAGGTCTATATCATTATGTCGCGGCTTCTTAGCCTGTCTTTCACGTTCTTCAGCCTCCAATCGTTCCTCCTCTTCCTTCCTGCGCATTTTTTCCTCTTCCGCCTTTCCGGTCTTTTATTTAACTTCATGGCGTGATTGTGCAATGTATGAGACGCACCTCTCTCTTCCTCTTCTTTGCCGGACTTTCATTGGGATCAACTGTGGCACGCCGCAGGCGTGCGGACTGCCTGACCGGTGCGGCAACTTCTTTCTTGACTTTAGCCTTCTTAGATGGTTGAACTGGTTTGGCTGTAGGTTGGGGTGTTGGCTTTTTTGCAGGCGGTAGATCCACAGTGAGGTCTAGTTTGGCCAATATCTCCCGATTGCGAGCGATATTTGCTTCACGCTCCAGTTCACTGAACCGAAGTTAATGAGCGAGACTGAATAAGAAATACTCCACACACTAGTCTGAGAGGTCCGACATAGTAGCTGTAATCAAGGCTGCAGATCAAATATGGACAGGAAATGGCCGCTGAGAAGCACGCTCGGACCTGACGCGCTCAAGCACGCGTCCTGTCACGCGTGACTGTTGGCGTTCACCCAGCGCTTGCCAGAGGCCCCACGAACGATGTGGCCCTGCAAACTGTCTAGCACATTAGATGAAGTATTGAATGAGCAACTTGCTATGTACAGAGAAGATACATGGCACATCATGCAGTAACAGCAACATGAGATTCCATACTTTCGTGTCCCATATCGATGATGAACGTAGTCCGACCGCCTCGTGGTAACACCAGCACCTTCTCTGCACCATGCACCTGGTACGTCTCGCAGCTCGGCGTCGGCGACATACCCATCCGCCTATCTCCCGACAAGGGCAGAGCAGTGATTCCAACCTGAGGCAGGGACAGCTCTCCGTGGCGTAAAGCAATCAGGGTAACCGGGATCGTGAAATCGGTTCCATCCTGCGGAAAGTGTGTCAATGCCGCATTGTTTCACCGCGATAGCAAGTTCACCTTTGCGAGGAAGTTTCCTCTTTTACGGCCACTAACCAGCCAGTCTCCAGTCATGTCCTCAACATCATACCGAAGTATGTAGGAACACGTCTCCTCATCTTCATTTGGCGCCCAATGGAACGAAGTGCGGACGTTGACAGCTGCAGCGACTGGTTGTCCTGCATACAGGGGCAGGATCCTACCAGATGTTGGCTCGGTGAAAAAGGGATTGGCGAGCACACGTAATTGAGCGGCAGCGAGAATCTGCGCGAACATGAGATATCCGTTAGCATAAGACATGCATCCAGCTCACGTGGATTTGAGGTACGTCCACTGGAATGATGATGTTGCGCCATTCGCCGAATAAAGTGGCAGAGTATTTTCCACCGCCCAAGATCTTCAAAAAGAGTAATGTCAGCGTGCATCACCGTATATAGCCAAGGCTCACCTCCTTCAATCGCGACAAGACCGCTTCCTCTTCGTCCGGGATATTAGGTACCAAGAGTTCACCTGTCAGTCCGTACAACTCGATCCAATTGGCGTCCCCAGAAAGAGCCTCGATGAGTTTATCAACAAGGGCTGCGCGACGAGGTTGCAAAGAAGGTGACTCCTCGATGACCTGCGAGATTGCTGCCTCAATGAAGGACTCGACCTCTAGCGCACAACCCATCTGTCAGCGGAAACTTCACGAAAACGCTCAAGATACAACCTTCGCGTAGCATACGATATGTGATGTACAGTTTTAGCGGTTCTCGAGCTAGTGACAGAATTGAGTGTGGCACATTAAGCATGACTCGGAAAAGATCACCTTTGCCGCGCAGAGAGTCTAATTGAAACAGGAATCTGCCAGATTGTGCAGGAGTTACCGTCTTCAATACAATGATCGTTCAGCATTCATCTCAGATCTGCACTTCAATGTACCATAACAGAAGGCTTTTGCAGCCTGCAGTTGGTGACCTTGATGCTGTCACGATCTTGATCCGACGGTTGCAGGTCTGCCGCTCGTACACGTACGTGCTGATGAGACGTTGTTGACAACATGAACCGAGTAAACAGTCTGCTAGACATCCATGAAGCCATTCTCGCCTATCTATGCGGTCTCTCACCTTGTGCCACGGAAGAAATCTTCTACATTGATTGTCATCGGAAGAGAAGTAGTGACAAAACGCAGAAGGTGAATCTTGCGCGCCATGTCCGGTTCAGACTTGGTGACGTATTCTACGGAAACATTCACTCGCTAATGAAAGTCTCACTTTTTTCCTCGTGCTCGCGAGGTGCCAGACTCACCAGCGTGTGATAAGATGACGCATCAGAATGGGGAATAAATACGACCACTTCCCGTTCTTGCGCTATGTCACAGAATGTGATTGTGTTGTCCGTCATCTCCCACTTGACAGATTCTATATAAAGTGGGTGAACAAGCCGACTTGCCTCAGATAGATCGGTTACCTGAGCTATCCAAAGTGGCCTCGTTCGTCCTGAATGTAACGCCAGTGGATGAGGATAGTCGTAGAGTCACGCTCGATACATCGTTCCTGCCCGTTCGTAGAATAGCCATTATTTTCGATGGTTTACCGACTTCGACTGCGACGGGTCAATGGACAACAAACAGTACAACAACTTGCAACACTCACTAATCCGGGGTGGATGAAGACGCACGTCCAGAGAATGTAGATCCTTCGGGATTCGGACCAGGGTTGGGAGATCCTTGATTTTCGCACCCTTTGCCTGCAGTTGGCCCTTGATCTCCTTCCACTCCAACACAACCCGGGAGAGTCGAATACGACTTAGTTGTAATGTGAAAAGGCCAGGTGTTACAGACTAGGTAAAATGTATGAGCGCAGATGACATGGCAGGATATACCATTTACCGGGCTGAACAATGTCAACGTGCTAGTTCCGGTTGGAATCGTTGTGGTTTGACTCGTGAACTGTATCTGAACGCCTTCATAGCCGGTCGTTATCACGACTACCTCATCGGCAGCGAGTTCCTGCAATATTGTGAACATCGAAGGCAGCATTCATAGTCGTTGCACTCACGCATGGCAAATGATTACGCACGACTACGTCGAGCAATGCTCCGTCTTGCGTCCCCGACAAGCGTATGCTGCTGCTAATGATTCTGAGTGAAAACGCAGGGTGGTCGGGATACAGCAAATCTGGCATGATGCAATACCAACGAGCACGCTGCTGGTCAGCAGAATAAACCCGAAATGGCCGATGCTCATACCTGACTCGAGTGCGTTAGCCGCACTCCGAAGCTCGGCCACCAATTTCGCAATGTATGTCTTGTGGTCATCTACATCCATGAGCAATTCCGTCCCCATATCGTCCACATAGGCCTTGAGGAACTCGAGAACGACGGAGATCCAGTCTCCGTCTCGTTCCTTATGGGAAGACGCATGAATGGTGAGAGCCTGCAATCGCATGAAGGACTCAAGAGCGGTCCATCCATGTGGCGCATAGTGGGCAGGCAGACTCTTATACGTCTCAAGGGCACTTGGCAATCGTCCTCGGATGCTTAGAGCTGGGGGGTTAGGTCACATTAGAGAGATTTACGCAATTGGCTCACAGATCAAGAGCTGCCAGATTGCCATGAAGTCTCAGCGCGAATTTACGACGGCCAGCGTTTGCGTATTGCTCAATGGCGCGATTAGTAATTTGCTGGTATAGATCATAGAATGCCTCCTTGTCCGTCAGCACTTTCAACAGTTCTGAACGCGAGATCTTCTTTGAAAACCGCTTGCGTGGTTCGATGGTCTTCATCTCAGGATTGGGGGGAGGAAGTGCAATCGAGAAGGGAGGACGAGATGGCAGATGGCCTGTTCTGATACCAATGATATCTAACTAGTCCGAAATGAGCTTAGATGTTGAGCAGAGGCACGGCATGCCCACTCACTTGTTGCTGCGCTAGCTCCAACAACTCTCCCTTCACAGCATTCAGCCTGGCCACAGCACCTTTGGACATGGCGGGTGGATTTGCCCACACATCACACTGATCGATTACGCTAAGGGCCGAAGAATATGTCCATGACTCAACAAAGAAGGGCGGTAGCGTATCCTGAAACATCTTGCATTAGAAATGCGTGTGGATTGACCGCGTCGCGTACCTCTAGCTCTCGCAGCCGTCTGCCAAACCCACTAAGGAACGCCACCACCTTCTCGCAGATCTCGGCTATTTTGCCGAGCTTGCTCATGAGAGCGCATTGCCTAGCTAGCAGATACACCCGAAAGTCGAAGACAGAAATGGAATTGGCGAGGATCAGGTCCCGATAGCGTTTCTTATTGACAGAAAGTAAAGCGACAGAGTCGTCTGTTGGCTCAGGAGAAATGAGCGCACCGAACCAGGATAGGTTCTTCTCTTGCAGTACTTTGAAGAACGAAGCTTCCAGCTCGTTGTATTGCTCAAGAGCATTTTCAAATAGGTTCATCCCCTCAAGCGACATAGCTAGGCTTTCCTGCGGCGGATATCAGGAATGTCAGCCAATGAGACACCATGTTAGTCCGAGGATCACCTTCAGAATAAAAAATGTACAGAAGTTCCACCCAGGCATAGCTCGTTGGCCCTCCGAACGCCTTACTTCTTCTTCGCGTTGAATAAAAGCAGAGTCGAAGGCTAGCAGTATCCCCTCCTTCATTTTGGTGATGAGTTCCGCCCATACCGCCGGGTGCTCATATTCTGCAGACCAGACCAGCTGCACGCATCTGAATACCATCATGACAGTGAAGGTCTAACGCTCATACAGCATAACGCGTGCGCACCTGTCTCTTTTGTCAGTGTTGAAATCTGCTTTGATCTTGTCAAGTACAGAAGACTTTATCTGGAAGATCCTCCCTTGCGCTGTCCTCCCTTCTGGTCGCACAATGTGGACGATTAACCATTCTTGGTTTTTCCGAGTGCTCACTAGCGCATGCCACTCTTTGATTTGCTTCCTGACAGAGTTCTTGTATAGTTCACTGTCCTTGGCGGCGTAGAAATTTCAGTACGATTTTCACAAGTGGATTCAGCTGCTTTATTCACCTCACAGACCACGAAATATGTGTTGAGTAAAGGCCGTTCCAGGAGTGTCTGGGGCACTTGGGAAGAAGGCTCATCTCGCAAGCTCTCAAGTGCGACGAAGTCAACATGCAGCTCCGGGATCGTCTGAATAGTGGAACGAGACGGGGACTTCCAATGGAGGGTACGAAGGGGGAACTGGCGAGCGAGGGAAGCACGCAGATGCTGCCATTGGTCTGTCGATAGATATAGTGGGGAAGATGTATAGGTCACCAGGACTCGATGCGAAGACATTGTTGTTGAATGCGGCAGATTTTCTCGTTAAGTATCGGCGAGACCAGCTCAATGTGAGCACACTTCACAGCGAACCCGAGGGGAGTTCGAAGGCAACCGATGGGTGCGAACCAGAGAATAGAGATATTTATACCGCACGTCTTCCCTCGCGTTGGCAATGTATCCTGAATCTGGTGGACAGAGCGTAGAGCATGCGTTGAGGACAGCTTTGAACTCGACTGTGGATGGCTGCACACGTAGGCGCGCATCATTTCATATGGCATGATTCTTACGATTCTTACCACGATGCCTGCAGGGGATGGGCTTCCCCATTCCCAGCAGTGCTCATTGATTACTCTCAACACCTCAGCTGCATATTGAATAGGTAAGTACAGATCTTTGCGTGGCCGGTCGGGTTATGTCGCTCAAGCACTGCTTTCGCGTTCCCCAGATACGGCAAACATGCCCCACTTGCGTACGGCAGCAGCACTGGTGCACGCGATCGGGACTGCCATCATGGCTTACGGCTACCTCAACCTGAAGAACGTGCCGTTCAATGCTGTTATAGAGACGCAAAAAGGAGGACATGGCCAATTCCTGACGATCATTGGGTACGTGCTAGATCCTCCATTTCAAGATGTGCTGATGATTGATCTGTATAGTTTGTTCATGGCGATTGGCACTATGGTGCTCGGATTCACGACAGATCTGTTCCCCTCGTTCAGAGGCGAGTTTGTACCTATGAACAAACTTCGTGTTCTTTTAACAATATAATAGCGATGCGGAAGCTCAAGAGGATTGCGCTCATGATCGCGCTACCGGTATGTTCTGAAATCCATTGTTTCTCTTCGTTCGTTCTCAAGGACGCTGTAGGTGGCCGTCGTCGTGACTAGCATCTATTGGAGCCTCCTCCTTTTGCTTCCCGAGATGATCCTCCGGCCCATGGTAGCAGGCGAAGCTCCTCATCCTGACGCAAGCGTACCCTCGTCATCTGAAAAGGCACTAATCCATATTCCCCTCAACGTTGATCTAGCTTTGCATGCATCCCCAGCGATATTCCTTCTAGTTGATTTCTACCTCGTCGAACGCAAGTACACCCGCACACAAGCCGTCTTTGGAGGCACAGTGCTGTGCGCCATAGCAGGCGCCGCGTATGGCTCTTGGGTCGAATACTGTGCGAAGTCCAACGATTCATGTAAGTGATTAGATCGAGTCTACATTTGGCAACAGTCGTTCACCCCGACTGATGTGCAACAGTTCCGTACCCTTTCTTGACGGAGAATCCGTTCGATGTACGGGTGTACATTTACGCTGGGGCGAGCACTTTTGCATTGCTGACGTTTTGGATGTTGAACGCGGTCCATTCGTGAGCCGTCCAAGCGCTTTGTTCATGGAGATCTTCGGAAAGAAGTCGAACATACTGCTATTAAGGGTCGTCTAGAAACAATATTAGATTCTTGATGCTCGTATACGTGCTGTCAGTGTGACATTGGATATAAAACTACGGTTGTATGTACTGTAGATATGTATGCGGGTACCCGCACAGGCATTCTCGCAGAACGATCGGGAGATCATCAGATCTCGTTGATGGCGAGTCGATTGACTCGAGTCTCGATCTACTTTCTCTTGACTCTAGTTCACTTTCAACGTTCCCCGCATACTCTCAGCAATCGAAATGGCAGGGCTCGCGCACAAGCAAAAATTATGGGGCGGCAGATTCACCGGCGACACAGACCCTTTGTAAGGTTTGCATCTGAGACAGCCGTCTTGAGGCTGATCCTGTATGTCCGCGAAGGATGCATGCGTTCAACCAGTCGTTAAAATATGACCAGAGGATGTATGCAGAAGACATCTCGGGCTCGATTTCGTATGCTCGCGCACTGGCACGCGCGAACATCTTGACAGAGGATGAGATGAGCAAGATTGTGGAGGGCCTAAAGGCGGTCCGTCAAGAGTGGGAACAAGGAACGGTACGTCTATGAAATTGCTACTCATGCCCCATTCGTTCCTCGTTCTTATTCTGCTTGTCTACCAGTTCCAAGCACAACCAGGAGATGAAGACATTCACACCGCCAACGAACGCCGACTGAGCGAGCTGATCGGGCCGCTTGGCGGGAAGCTGCATACCGGCCGCTCTCGAAACGATCAGGTCGCCACTGACCTGCGACTTTGGCTGATCAACCAAGTGGGAGACATTGAAAAGTCTCTCAAGGGTCTTCTCAGCGTGATGGTGGAACGTGCATCCAAGGAGATCAGCTATCTCATGCCGGGCTACACGCATCTACAGGTACGCTAAGTTGTTTGGGACGGTGTAACCAAATTCAGGTCTGCCTATAATCAGCGTGCTCAACCCGTCCGATGGTCCCACTGGCTGCTATCCCACGCGTTTCCTTTATATGCGGACTTGCAGCGTCTCCAGCAGATGGTACCTCGCATTTCCGTGATGCCGCTCGGCTGTGGCGCCATGGCGGGCAATGGCTTCAACCTTGACCGCGAATTCCTCGCTAAGGACCTCGGCTTCCAATCTATCGCAGAAAACAGCATGTACGCTATCTCGGACCGCGACTTCGTGGTCGAGTTCATGATGTGGGCGAGCCTAGCGATGATGCACCTGAGCCGACTCTCGGAAGACCTGATAATTTACTCGACTTCGGAGTTCAGCTTCGTCAAATTGAGTGATGCCTATAGGTAACGGCTGCAGGTCCTCTTTCTGTGAATGTTTTTTCTGAAACACTGCAATGTCGTAGCACGGGATCGAGCATGATGCCTCAGAAGAAGAACCCGGACTCGCTAGAGCTCATCCGAGGAAAGACGGGACGCATCTTTGGAAACGTTCGTAACTTCCTCATTCTATTGTCACAATCATGTTGATTAGTTACACAGATGTCTGGCTTCATGATGTCACTAAAAGGCCTTCCTTCAACATACAACAAAGACCTGCAGGAGGACAAGGAGCCCTTGTTCGATACAGTCGACACTATCTCAGCGACCTTCAAAATAGCAGAGGGTGTAATCGCCACTATGGAGGTGTGGCTGTGTCAAATATATCCCAATGTGTGCTGCAGTTGACACGCTACTTAGGTCCAAGAAGCTAATATGGCTCAAGCTCTGCAAGCAAGCTCCGACATGTTAGCCACCGACCTCGCGGATTACCTCGTCCGAAAAGGGGTCAGTTCTGTCACTGCTTTACGCAGTCCGCTGTCTGATGCCGCTGTCCGGCCACAGATACCGTTCAGAGAAACGCACCACATATCGGGACGCGCAGTCGCTCTGGCAGAGTCGAAGAAATGCGGTCTGCAGGATCTCACCATCGAAGACTTCAAGAGTCTAAGCGGCAAGTTCGGCGATGACGTGAAAAGCGTATTCGACTTTGAGCACAGCGTCCAGGGCAGGAGCTCAATTGGTGGAACACATATCAAAATGGTAGAGAGGCAGATCGAGGTACTGCGTGCAGCGCTTCGGAACTGAAATGTACCCACTCTACGCAGGAAGAGACGGTCTGTGATATCAACGATGTGTCTTTGAGAAACCAAAAATGTTTGACCTGCGGGCAATGAGGGACCCGTGCGACTTAACGTGTTACGGACTGTGGCAATGGGCGCTTGCTTGCCTGCTTTGGACCGCCCAAACACATCACGACCCTAACACCGCCCTCACCGGCTGCTCGAAGAGCACCGCTACTCCGCTCCTTCCAAAGCTTCCTATAAGACTCCAACCTCTCTGGTTTTCGCCCGAAAGAAGCAGCATTGACTGTTGCTTCGCCTTTGCCTTGCGCTAGCTTTCCCAACACTACCGCCTACAGCTTCTTACGATCCAATTCTAATCACCGTTATCAACCATGGCCAGAGACAGACTTGCAGCTCTGAGGGTGAGTGAGCTGTCCTTGCCGTGGGTGGACTTGAGCATATATGTGGCATCTGCAGGCGCAACAAGGAGGAGGGTACAATGTCGAAACGTACGTGGACACCCCCGTTGCTACACCGTCTCGAAGCTCATCATCTGGCGCCGATCAGCGACTCATATCCTATGCAATCTCAGCGGACGACACCATATGGTCAGCAGAGCAACGACAGCCTCGACTCGACCCTCAAAGACAGCACCACCGCCCTCACCCAGCCGGTTGGCATGGATGGCATGTCGGCGTTCTACAGCGAGGCGCGTCTGTTGTCTTCGCTTCGGTTAGCTAGGCGCTCACTTCTAGCATCCGCTAGATCTCCTCCATCCAAGACGACCTCCGCACCTTCAATGACAACGTCTCGCGCATCTCGGATCTCCACTCGCGCTCGCTAGACAACACAGACGATGCTGCTGCGCAGCGCGTCGAACAGCAGCTCGAAGACCTCGTCGCGGACACTAGCGCTCTGAGCAGCGTACTCAAGCGGAGAATCAAGACGCTCGAGAGACAGCCAGCATCGGGGCGTGATGGGCAAATTCGGAAGCAGCAGGTAAGTTGCATTGGGGTGGAAAATTCCGACGGTGGCTAAGTGGCCCCACCCGTGTGCTTGTGCAGACTGGTCTCGTCAAGCAGAAGTTCGTGGAGGCTATTCAGAACTATCAAAGCGTGGAGCAACAGTATCGGACGAAGTACAAGCAGCGCTTGGAACGTCAATTCAAGATTGGTATGCGCACATTGTGTTGCGACGATTGGGTGGTTCTCACGATTTTGCCTAGTGAAACCTGATGCAACACCGGAGGAGGTTAAGGCAGTTGTCAGCGATGATCAGGGCGGCCAAATCTTCAGCCAGGCGGTGAGTCGGGAGTTTTGTGTTTCGACTTCTGGACGAATATGCTCACTGCCGGGTAGCTCATGAACTCTAATCGGTACGGTGAGGCGCGGTCAGCATATCGTGAAGTTCAGGAACGACACGAGGACATTAAGCGGATCGAGAAGACCCTGACGGAGCTGGCTCAACTCTTCAATGATGTGCGTTGTAGATCTCTTTCTCAGGAAAAAGGCATGCTGATACTTGGCGCGTGTAGATGAGCGTGTTGGTTGAGCAGCAAGATGAGACAATAAACGTCATCGAGACAACGGCAGCTACTGTGGAGAAGGATACCGAAGTGGGGTGCGTCTGCCGTGCGGTGGCTTCACCGGGCATTGTATTGACGGATCATCCTCCTCTAGATTGGGATACACCGAGAAAGCGGTCGATTCGGCTCGCGCTGCGCGCAGGAAGCGATGGATTTGCTTTGCTCTTTTCCTGGTCATCATCGCCATAATCGCCATCGTTGTCGCCGTCGAAGTCACCAAAGCCGTTGGCAACAACAAGAAAAATTGATGGCGAGCGATGGGAGGATCATGTATCATATTTCTCGTATCTTCGGACAGGACTATCTCTTTTAGTATATCGTCAACCATCTGTTCATCTCGGATCCACAGTGCACGGTGATTATTTCAGGACACAAGCTATACCTGGCATCTGTTCGCAAACGCCTTTGTTTGTCTCTGTAACTACCACCTTCACGCTGCTTAATCGCCCGTCATTGGCTGGATTCTCGTTTCCGTGGTTGCGGCTCGTTGCGGCGTCCTTGTACATAAAGGTCTTGATAGGCATTGGCTTTCGTGAGTTAGCAGCTCTGGCGTCAGTCTTCGGGTCTTCCGACAACGTGCATTCCGCGACGGTTGCATGCTTCGCTTGCGATATCCGCGATCATGCAGTGCGACTTGTGTGAGGCGGCGGCAAGATGCACGAAGCTTGAGCTTGATACGCACGAGCCCATATCTAGTAGGAGACAGGATTGATACATGCGCAAGGCCAGACAGTTCCGTGGCGATAATTGATCATGTGCTGAGTAGTCAAGGCGGCGAGTGGACCTGAACATGCCTGAGAATGAGAATGGGCTCACACGATAGTCTATCGGCCGCACTCTAAATGAACTGCAAGCTGCCCGAGTGGAGCACAGAGCAGGTCAGCCGACGCAGTTCGGCTTGCTCACACGAGATGCTTGCTCTGGGGAGAACGACTGCTGGAGCATTGGGAACGACAACACAGCGCGGTTGTAATACAATGACTACCCACCAATCACCGCAGTCGCTTTGTATCAGGAGACGTGCTCTCCCACCTGTATAACTCGCTTTATCTCGTTCACTGGCCTCGACCATTTGCGGTTGCTGGAGGGGTGTTGCTTCGCCTGGACGACGGCAGGATGCGGGCGGAACGAGACCTGGAACGGTTAACTAAGCGACACAGGCTGGTCTGTAATTACTCGGCTGATTTGCCAATGCGCAGTGGGATTTTTTTAGCAGATTGAAGGGTAAAATTGCAGGAATGATTGGAGCTGAGGCGGAGGGCTGCAAGCGGTTGGGCGCAGAGGAAGATATCTGGGTCCAGCCCAGGCCAGCGTCGGCTCGGAACGTCGACGGAGGACTGCCACCCAGGCGATCGGAGTAGAGATCTGGTCATTCTCGGGGCACCGCTGCCACGTGCGATCTCAGATCTGAGTCCATGCAGTAGCTGACGCGTCCCTTTCCCTGCGGGATATAAGACCACCGAGCCCTTGTCCCTCCTTCCTCCCCCAAACCACATCCACACCTTGCGCTCTCATCCCGTTCCCGCTTCCCACACATCGTAAGTGTACCCTAGGCCCGCCCTATGTGCCGCAGCTGATACTGACCTTCCGCTCCGACAGTGATCCGTAATAACCACTTCCGTTCCGAAGCTTACGCACACCGCCACTATGCCCGCTAAGAAACGCTGCCAACTTCAAGCTGAGCCCCGCTGCAACTCTGCAGTGCTGCGTCTGGTCGGCCAATGCCCACATTGTCGTCAGGAGTTCTGTGGAATGGTGCGTGTGCCCGCCACAGTCTGCATCGCTGGTACTAATTCGACCCTGGTCTTTGATAGCACCGTATGCCTGAACACCATGACTGCCAAGGCCTGGAAAGCTGCCGGCAGCAGGCTTTCGAGAAGAATAAGGCGAAGCTGGAGAGCGAACGGACCGTAGCGTCGAAGATGGCGATGGCATGACCTGTCCCCACCTCGCTTGTTCCTCTCCTGCCAACCTCCCCTTCCTCCCCCCCCCCTTTTCACCTTATCTCTTGCCTGGTCTATGCTCACGTATCTGCATCTACGTTCCCCGGGGTGGAGCCAGGCCATACCCATCGCCACTGTCCCCGTTATACGTTGCTTCCCTTTTACGACCCTCACGGACATCCTGTATAATCTACACGCGCTTACTGCTATCCTCGGCCCCTTGGTGACACCCCATTCCTCTTCCGTCCGCGCTGTCATCGTATTTAATCCCTAACCCTCTTAACCCTCTTAACCACGTTGGGTGTTTCATACTGGTATCATCGTACATCATGTAGAATCTATTTCATGGATACACAGGACATTGAACATCGTGGCATAAGTCGTCGCTGCTTTCGTCAGCACAGTGTAAGTATGACGACCCGTAGTATACAAGCGACTCAAAGTTGGGAGGTCCGTAGCAGCGATGCGTGTCATCGGCTAGAGAAGACAGCGACTTCCCCAATAGAAGAACCCGCATTGGTTCATTGTCTGATTCGTTTGTCCGACCTTAATGGCTATTGTTGTATAGCTCTGCATTAAGTCGGAGCATCCTCGTCGATAAGTCGCCCTCCACGTCGTGCCGGAAGCAGCGGAGGTTGCGGCGGGGGAATTGTGCGGAACGACGGGTGAGGCGCTGTCGTGCGCCGTCTAGCCCCGTTCTCCTGGCAGTCCCATGATGGGAGCCAGCCGGCGCTCAAGCAATTCAGCTGTCATTCCAACTGCTTTATCGCGCAATCTGATATTCCGTTGCTGATGCGGGCTGATGCGTGCATATGCCTACGGCGCGCAAGTCTCCTTTATAAGCCCCTTTACGACTGTCATTCGCCTGCACGACACCACCATCGTCTCTTTCAGGCTTGCTCGCACTATCACGGACCCATTGCCGGCTGTTGATACAGCTTGAAACGTTTGCCTTTGCACAATCACGTGTGTCCCTTCTCATCTCTCGTCATTGAGAGTATAATACCCCGCCGCTTTCGCACAAGCGACCACATACGTGAGTCTGCTCGCTTCGTGCTCGACGCTGGGAAGAATCTGCAACACGCTAACCTTACCACTCGCGCATTCGCCGCATTATCCGCCATGACAAGCAGACTGAGACAAATCGCAGACCACTTCCGAGGCAAAGACACCACAATGTCCGTCAAAGCTGGTGAGTCCTTGCTGATTGCCCGCCTCCCAGCCGATGCTCATGCGAGCGTCATTCGTCTCAGAAACCTGGGACGACGTTCCTCTCGCTCCCGCCGATGCGTGCGTCTTTTAATCCATCCGTAGCGTCCCGAGGTACTGACGCGCGTCCCCTTGACAGCATCTACAAGCTCACTGGCGCGTTTAAAGAGGACCCGGCTGCACAGAAGGTGAACCTCGGTGTCGGCGCGTACAGAGATGACAACGGGAAGCCGTGGATTCTGCCTGTCGTAAAGAAGGTGGGTCACGCTCTTCCCAGCCCACCCACTGAGCTCTCCGTTCCTTTCCCCTTCACACCCCACATCATTGCCGTCACCCCTTCTCAACCTCATGACCTGCTGTGCCCTACTGCTGTCTTTGGCTCGGCGACTAACGTAGTGCTCCGGTGCCTGTAGGCGACGGAGATGCTCTTGAATGATCCGAACTTGGACCACGAGTACCTGCCGATCACCGGTCTCCCAGAATTCACGAATGCCGCTGCGCGACTAGTGCTGGGCCCCAACTCGCCCGCCGTCGTAGAGAACCGCATCTCGAGCGTGCAGACGATCTCGGGGACGGGCGCCAACCACCTTGGAGCGCTGTTCTTGAGCCGGTTCTACCACTGGGCGGAGGGCACGCCGAAGGCCGCATACTTGAGCGATCCCACATGGGGTGGGTGTGCATCCTTTCAATTACGTATTCAAAGCTCACCTATGCGTATCTTTTTACGTCTGCGCGCGTGCTTATCGGCATCATTTAGTGAACCATCTCCAAATTTTCAAGGGTGTCGGCATTGCGCCGCTCGCACATTCGTACTACGACCCCTCGACGATCGGCCTTGCGTTCGGCGCCTTCCTCGCGACGGTCCAGACTGCACCGCCAAAGTCGGTGTTTGTACTCCACGCGTGTGCTCACAATCCTACCGGTGTAGATCCCACGCGAGAGCAGTGGGGTTTGATCGCGGACGCTGTGCTGGAGCGAGGCCACTATGCGTTCTTCGACAGTGCATACCAAGGCTTTGCCAGCGGTGACCTGGACCGGGATGCGTGGGCAATTCGGGAGTTTGTTAGGAGGGGTGTGCCGATGTTGGTCTGCCAGGTATGTTGCGCATGTATGCGGAGAAGTCTGGCGAGCTTATGACGGCGTCTTGCTTTTGGCAGAGTTTCGCGAAGAATGCTGGACTGTATGGGGAGCGTGTAGGCGCGCTGCACATTATTTCGCCGACGCCAGAAGCAGCCCTTCGAATCAAGAGTCAGCTGTCAGTTCTGACGCGAAGCGAGATTAGCAGCCCACCCGCGTACGGTGCCCGCCTGGTGCGACGTTTTCGCTGTCTTTGTGGGCGTTTGAGCTTGCTGACATTGTCATGTGGGTATGCCGTTGTGGCCGGCCGTGCGATGTCGTAACTTGTCACTCCACTGCTCGTGCGACATGAGCAGATGGCGCTCATCATGAATAATGCGGAGCTGTTCGAAGAGTGGAAACGCGATATCAAGACGATGGCGGAGCGTATCATCGCGATGCGAAAGGAGCTGCACCGGCTGTTGACTGAAGAGCTCAAGACGCCGGGCAAGTGGGATCACATCGTGAACCAGATTGGGATGTTTAGGTGAGTTTTCGGTGTTCGTCCGGGGAGTTGGTGCATGGTTGGCATGCAAGCGTGTTGGAAGACGTGTGCGTGCCGCGTTGGGAGGAGCATTGCCCGAATACGCTGGGCCACGGTGCGCATGGTGATGGGCGCGTGGGTTGGAGCATCGGCGGTCACTTTATTTGTGGGCCGAGGCTGCCATTCAGCGACTGCCCGAGTGCGTTATTCGTGGAGTACGTCTTGTGGAAGCACCGAGCGCACCGAGCAGCTAGACCGCGTTGGAGGGAGATGTGCCTGGAGAATCGCGGAGGGGAGCTGGCTATCGTGTGTCATTAGCCGCGGGGCGATCGCCCGGCAGCTTCCGGCCGAGCCGGCGGCAGTGGATATCAGGCCGGAACGCGTTTCGGACACGGAATGTCCATCCGCGGCGGTGTGGCTGACAGATGTGCGTCGCCAGCTACACGGGGATCACGACGGAGCAGAGCCAGGCGCTGATTGACAAGGCGCACATCTATATGACGACGAACGGAAGAATCTCGATGGCTGGGCTGAACAGCCGCAACATCCGGTATTTTGCGGAGAGTCTGGACAAGGTGGTGCGGGGGCAGTTGTGAACTAGCTATAGAATAGATACGGCAGGTGTTGTGTAGCGTGGGAAATGACGTCGCGTGGGGTCGGGATCCGTGCAAAAAAGTTGGATGTGTCTGTGTATTAGCGAATACGTGTGTAGCGTGGGAAATGACGTCGCGTGGGGCCGGGATCCGTGCAAAAATGAGCAATGACATCATGTCGTCTGCGCTGTGGCATCAAAGAGAGAGCTTCACTGCGCGCTCACATCCTCGCCCATTTCTGTCCGTGCCCCGCCGCTCCCCCCGCCGCCCGCCGCCGGCTGCCGAGTCCGACGTCCGTCGCCTCCTTGCACTGTGCCACCGCACGCTCCCCGCTCAAGTTGCCCGCTGCTCTTGATGCTGCTGCTCCTCCTCCATCCCCTCTCCTCCCGTCCACCATCATCCCCTCTCGTCTCCCTCCATCGTCCAGTGCGTCCTCTTTCTTTGCCCCAGCTGCCCCTCGTTGATCAGTCCGCATTTTTCAATCCAGCAGAGCCTTACATGGGAATCATCCTGTCCTTTTTATTCCCCCGATTGTATATGACCACAGATAATTCTTCCCTGAGCGCCAGTAGCTCGTCTTCTTCCTCAAGACAACGAGTCCCGCTCTCACCGACCTCTGACGATCCGTCGTCTCCCTTCGCAGAACTCCCGCCCTCTCCCGTCCTGCCCGGCTCATTCCTCCAATCTCCGCCGCAGGAGACGCCGTCGTACAGTCCGCATGCCATTGGACTTGGTATTGTCTCTCCCCTGCCCGTCTTTGGCACCCCCGGCGCCCTGCCGCATGTCCCTGCACCTCAACGGCCACACATCGCCTCACCCACGTCACTGCGGTCCAGTTCCTATGGTCCTTCCGGTAGTGGTAATTCCGCAGACACGTCTATTCTTGATGCACTGCCATCCGACGATATCCAGCCTCCACAGATGGTCCCGGCCCTGTCATATATCCACCCTCCTACAAATGCGCTCACCGCCCATTCCATCGTCGGCGTCGGACAGGCTTCCGGTACGCATGGCAGCCTGCACATCGATTTTCTCCCGCCCGACCTCACCTCCTTCACATCGACTGCCTCGCCGCCATTACTGCCACTACCATCAAGCGAAATGTTCCCTTCCACGTCTGCGTCACTCCATCAGCCTCAGTCTCCTAGTGCGCAAGCTGTTTATTTCAATCCGGACGACACAACGTTTCCTCTAGGAGTGGATATGTTGAGCCACCCAGATGTGCATCTCGACTTTACCGAGTTCGACGCAGAGGGGCTTAGCGCACTCGAGAAGATATACCTATTCTCGAGGAGCCTGGCAGGCTTTCATCGTGTCTTCATTGTGCACGCTTTGCCAAAGTACCTCGGTGCAGACGATGCAGAGAATGTCACGCTTGCAAGTCACGAGGAAGCAGACCGTGTCAGCCCTGCGGAAGCAGTGGAGTATGTCCTCCCGCTACTAAACGGCCTCGCGGCTGATGAAGGTACGTGTTCGTATGCAAGGTGCGACGTCAAGGAGAATACTGACCTTGAGCTTTATGGATTACCTGAACCTTCCAATATCCTCGCATGGCATCACTGATTGGTGTCGTCCGTTAACTACCTGCAAACGTATCCACAATGGCTCCACCTCTCCGTCTCTGGTATGTGCTGCTGTTGGCGTTTCGTGTATCCTGCGCGTGATATCTTAACCGACCTGCGTGTCGCCACGCGTTCTCATTGACCGACATCGTACGTTCTTGCACGCCCATTGCTGGGGCTAACTCCATCCAGACGAACTCGTGAAGGAGGCTCTCGCAGCTGAGCTCGTGCCCATCATATGGTGGTTCATTACCCATTGCCGGCTTGTTGAGGATACCGCAGAGCTCACCGTTACCTCTGCTTACCAACACGCGGATGCAGCGTTACCGCCGCCGGTTGACGTCACCCTCATCTCCGTGCAGTCATTCACTCCGATCCTGGGTACGCTGTTGCTTAGTCAAAACGCGCTTGTTGGCAGCCCTGCGCGACAAGCAGTCGTCGAGCTGCTGAAGAGGATGTGGCGCGCCAACGAGCGCGCGGAAGGCCGTACGCCACCCCCGCCGCCCGAGTTCGAGCCCGCACGAAATGACTACGAGGTAGGGTTATTGGGCGCGCACGAGCGCCGTCTCTTCGAGCATGAGATCATACACAACGTTGTGATTGGAATGGGCCGCCTAGACATGCCAGAGACGGACGAGGTCCCTTTCTCGACAATCTCGACGCCGCGTAGTGTAGGGGGGCACGAGCATCACGAACACGGTGAACACCACCACCATCGCTCTGGCAGCCATGGTCTCGCATATCCGATGCACACCTCGCCCGTGTCCGTGCCGGACACGTCTACTGCAGGCTCGACACCGCTCGCTCCCCCTATAGGCACCGCCCCCGACTCGTACTTTCCGGTAATGCCATCGCCGCTTCACGACGTACCGTCTGCGCCACCAACTTTGCCGTCAGGGATCGACATCGCGGAGAGGGTGCAAATGCAGGGATTGGTCCCACCGCCTGCGTTTTCGCTTGGCCAGCTGCCTCCATCACCTCCTGCGAAGTCCGAGGTATCCACATCGACACGTAGCATACAAGAGTCTCGGGCAGCCGCCGAACTTGCGCCGGGTACTTCTACATCTCTGCAACCTACTTCTAGCCTCGCACAGTTTGAACCTTCGTCAACGCAGCTGACTTCATCATTGCTCTCGAACTCGAAAACTCCCACTCAGACACCTCTTCCACTCTCCGATGTTGTCAGAGCGCCCGCACCGACGCCATCCACCTCGTCGGAATCCAATGAGTTGACACCACCCCTCACGTCATCAAGTTCCACCTCGTCGTCAACATCGCCGACGGGCTCGCCGGAGTTTTTATACGCCTCCAGCAGTTCGGTGACTCCAACTGGCCCGAATACGATCTCCGTGCAAGCAACCTTGGGAAAGGGGGCTGTCGATGTGGAGATGGAGGATCAAGCTCAAGGCGATGTCGTAATGTCGGAGAACTGGGCTTCCGGAAGCCCCAAGACGACAGTCTCGGGTCTGCGCATCGATTTGCATGACACACTCTCGCAGTCCGCTCTTGGACATACAGAAGTAAACAGCAGGCCGGAGGAGCGTGCGCAAACACCTGTGTCTGCATGGTTGAGCGCTGGACTCCCTGATGGCGATGTCAGCATGCAGGATGTGTCGGGTACGGTGCATGAAGGAGAGGGCGTGAATGAGGAAGAGGATGATATCAGCGAGGAAGCCGCTGTTGGTAGGCTTTCGAGTATGAGCTTGATGGCTGCAGTGACGGCTAGCGGTAAGTGCAACTCTGATTTCATCTAACGCAACACCAGTATTGAGTGATCGCATCGTAGGTGTTCTCAGGGAGGAGACAAAGCTCGCTTTCGTTAGTGAGGTGGAACGAGTTGGAAGAGATCCCATCTATTGGGTGCGGAGAGAGGCCGCGTTTGCGGTAGGGGCGTTGGCGAAAGTTGTCCCCGACGAGCTGGTCATCTCCTCGTTGGTGAGTTATTTCTCGTATGGTCGCCGTTTGAGTACCGTTTGCTGATGATTTCAACCAGCTCCCATTATTTGAAACACTATACCAGGACCAGACGTGGCACGTCCGACATTCCGTGCTGTTCGCCCTCCCGGCTATCCTCTCGAGGCTCCCACCAAATAACCGCCGCTCGCTGGCGCTGGACGTCATGCTCCCGCTTGCTCTCGATGAATCACCCACTGTCCGCTCCGCCGTGCTTGAAGCGCTCGGAGAAGTGATGTATACCTTCATCCATGATGAAAGCGGGCCTCCCAGGGAGCTCCTCAACATTTTCCTCGGAATACGTAACGATAGCGGCACGGGGAGAATGTCTCCAAAGATTGACTGGCCTCAAAGGTCATCGTCAGCGTTTCCGATATCAGCATCTGCTTCAGAGTCGGGTGACTCGAACGCCTCGAATGCTGGGACTGACATTTATGACGATCCCGGCCGTCCTCTCGTCTGTGCATTCAACTATCCGGCAGTGGCGTTAACCCTTGGACGAGCGCGCTGGCCCGAGCTGCGCGACTTGTACCGTTCTCTATCCCAAAATCCGTCGTCGAGCGTACGGCGTACGCTCGCTGCTTCCCTCGGGGAAATGGCAAAGATCGTCGGGCCGCAGTATGCGAAGGAGGATTTGATGGCTGTGTGGTGGGCTAGCATAGGCGCGGATGAGCCTGACGTGCGTTTGAAGGCCGTGGAGAGCGCGGTGACATTCGTGCGTGCATTGGCAGAGTCCGAACGAGCCGAGGTTGTCGAGAGCCTTGAAGTGGAGTATAGCGCTCGGCTGAAGGGTTGGAGAGAGCGAGAGGAGGTGATAAAGAACCTTCCGGACTTCTTGGGTATCAGCGGCATCGAGCCGCGGATCTTCAGGAATCTGCTGATGGCGGCGCTGGAAGACCGGGTGTCCGCGATCAGGGAAGCGGCTATATCTGTGGTGTGTATGCATGTCTTTGTCGCGCTTCAGTGTCTGACAGATGTAATACCCAGTTGCCTGCGTTTGTGTCGGCATGGAAGTCGACCCAATTTATAGGGGAACTCCGCGAGGATTTGAGGACGCTGGCACACTCCGAGTCGTATCGTCAACGTACGACCTTTGTGACGTGCGAGCAGGCGCTGCTGTTGTCCGATCATAGAGACGTCGTTCTGCTAGGTGAGGGTTTCTGGGAGACAATGTCTACGCTTTCCAGGGATTCTGTCGTAGATGTGCGGATCCGCGTTGCCCGCCTGCTCGAAATCATATCGGGTATGTTTTCCCGAAGATTATTGTGGGGGTGTCGCTGATGTACTTTGCAGAGAACTACGTTAGTGATGAGGGCTCGATCATGGCGAAAGTGTTGGCAGTTGCAGAACCCTTGGAACAGGATGGGTCGCAGGACGTGCGAGCGTTTGCGCATGCGATTCGAGCTCGCAGTGAGGACATCACGCCAACTGGCCGCCCACCGATGGTGAAAAGTGCCACCACGTTCTCGCGCCCGCCACCTCCTCCGCCGAGTTGACAATGCTAGCAGAGCCAGGTTATCCGCGTTGATTGTCCGTTCCGGACCTCGACGTGTCTGCTCCATTCACCGCGTCAATGTAAGCGGATTGTCCTGTTCGTCGTGGATTGTGGCCGCATCAACGGTCGTTCGCAAAAAGCACCGCATATTCGGTTGGAATTCTCACCATGCTAGCATCTCATCGGGACTCCACAAGAGCGTGCTCGCATTGCTAGAGCCTATGGCCGACATTATTGGATCCGCTTCGTACGCGCCCCGCGGCATTAATTCGGACCTTGTCTTGTTTCATGTATTGTTTGTGGCCTAATTCGTGCCTTTATTCGTTGTAGCAGTCATATCATATACTTTAGATCATACCTCACATCATTATTCATATATTTTTGTGTAATTGGCAAACATACTCCTTTGCGACTCTGTCGATACACTTTGCTGCTGTGAGCATTTGTGCTGTGTTCGTAGTGCTTGGCGTCATGCGTCTGACAGCGCATTCTATCAGGAAGATGCACGCCTGTCATTGAAACTCGCGGCATCAATTCTGCCAGTCTGATTGGAGGGAAATATAGTTCAGCCTTTGCGGTATTTGAGCTCGCGGATGCTAACTGCTGCATCAGCGGCATTAATATTTGGCTTTATCGGACAGCAGCGATTGTGGGCTCGCATGGTCCACCCGTGCGGATGAAATTGCCAGTTTCTGCCGGATCGGAGACGAGGTGAGCGGTTGTGCTTGAGCATGGCAACACACCTCTGAACCTGGCGACGACCTGGCGACGAAACGCTGCCGTATACGGCCTGCGGACCACGTGCCACCATAAAGGATTGACCGAATATAAACAAATTGAGTCGCCGGTGTTCTGGCCTATTGTTCCATTTGCGCAATCATGTAGTTTTGTTCATGTGGAGGATGAAATGCGCCCTTGTTGCGATGTCTCTTGACGCTGGATCTGGTTCTTCCTGCTCTTACCTGCTTCTGGAGGGGGCTGCCAGTGGCCTCGTTTTTCTTGTTGCTTTCGCCCTGGAGTGCGACGACTGCTGGCAGTAACGATTAAGCGTTTCTTCTGTATGCGTGGCTGAGCCAAAGTCATGGAGCCGCACCCTGCCTTTCTCAAGATTAGGATTGCGGCGTTCTGTTAGTGGCGGATGTATCTTGTGCCGATGACCATTGCGAACTCATCATGCGTCTTCAGCTGTTATTATGCTCATCAGTCTGGTCTGGTCAACGTTGATATGTGTTGAACTATTCCTCAGACGGAATGATTCTGATCAGTCGCTACGTAAGCACTGCTATGCTGAGGTTTTCTTGAAGTCCGGCGAGCATTAATGTTTTCCAGGGGATTTCCTGCTTGTTTTCCTTATCGTCAATTCAGTGACTGCTATCGTGCTGCCCGCTTTGTAAGTGCAAGAACTTCTATAGGGAGATACGTCGGTGCTAATGACTGGAATGGTATAATTAGGCTTCTTGTTCAATTCAGAGCCTCTATAGATGGGTCACGCTTGTTCATCCTTCTTGTGTTTCAAATTGGTACGAATCTGCATCGTATACAGGCGATCATTACACTTGGCTAACGCATGCTGAGTAGGAAGTGCCGCTCTTTACACTGCTTTCTACATCAAGACCTCCTGTCCTGACAACGGTACGTTTTCTTAGACCTATAGCGTGGCCGCTGAACAACTTCGATCATGCCACAGACTCTGTGAATATCTGTCGGCAAATAAATACATGTGTACTGGCTTGCAGTTGGGTTAATCCTGTGCTATGTGAGTCTGCTGTGGTTTTCTGCGATCACTAGATGCTGAACGCATAACTTGCTAGTGCTATCCTATGCGGGATGCCTCTTTGTGACAGTACAGTTTGGCGTGCGGAAGCCTGCTAGCCTGATCGTACCGGAAAAGCGACAATCAGAATTGCCGATGATGTCTCCTCCACCTCCATCGACGCGATTCTCAAGCAGTCTGATACCAGGCCCCCCGCCAGCAATCCTGTCATATGGACGCTCGGTTCCTCCGGTGCCGCCATTACCTTCTTCTCGAAGAACCTCTGCTGGCGGCTCACGGAGAGAGTCTATCGGTGATGCGTCTCGTCGGTCGTCCAAACGACTGTCCAAGCGGCTTCAAAAGGTCTTCGTCTAAGAGAAGATGTTGCATAGTCGGGTGCAAAGATGCACCTCGGTGGCTTGTACAATTATGATAGATGCACACTGTCGTGTCTCCAACGGTCGTTTTGTCTGCTGTATCTAGGTTACACATCATCCTGTAACAACACTGCATATATGTATGTTACTATACGAAGACGCTCGTCTCGCTGCCTGATTGGCCTATTGGACATGTTGCCACGTGCGTTGAGGAGACATGCGCGCTTTGCAAGCGTCGGTACGCTTCGGTACGGCTACTGTTCGGTCTCCACGCTGGGTCCTCTTCGTTTCACTATATCGAGATTCCTGTCGCCTCCAGAGGTCTGGACTGCGTGGAAGCTTTTTAACTTATGCACTTCGGCCTCATATTTGACCTAGCGTCGCCATTCATCTTGAACGGACTATACCCTGACTCTTGGCATTCATTCTTCCCGTCACAATGGCGGATTGGGATCCAAGCAGAGTGAAGGTTAGCCTGCAATTGCAACAATGAGCAAACGTTATCTGTGGCGGATCAGCTCATCCATTTCCAGGCTCAGTTACGTCTGACGGCTCAGAAACTGGGCCAATTGCAAGATAAACTGGAATCCCAAGACCGAATCACCCAAAGAGACATCGCTACCCTATTGCAACAACGACGAATTGCATTGGCACGTGCCAAAGCCCAGAAGCTCACGAGTAATGACAACATGAGCGACCTGTTGCAAACGCTAGAGATGCATGTCGGCGTAATTTTGGGCCATATGCATGAGTTTGAACATGGGTGCGTCATTCTCTGCGTTGTGACACGCTAAGGTATCGACATTCTTTTCTATAGGATGCCTTTGAGCCCGATGTCACTTGAGGCAGTCTCCAGTATCATCGTTGCCGCACCTCACGTCGATGCCAAAGGTGCCTGTGATAATGATTATACGTCCCAAAGTATCGTCGACATCTGATTGTTGGAATGCATAGAATTACGTGTGGTGAAGGATATTTTAGCTCACCGCCTTCAGTCGGAAGTCTTGAAGTCCCTCGGTGATTACGTTCCTGAAAAGGTCAATTTTAATGAGCATCCTTATGAACTGTTTCTCAGACGAAATAGGTTCGCAGCGCTCTGACAGCATATCCGCCTTCGGCTGCTAGACTTGATTACCTGCTCTTCTCGATCGCAAAAACATACCAGGTTGATTGGAAGCCGGACCTTCCGCCAGATGAGAAGTACGTCGTGTCTTTCTTACCACTACAAAAGGTGCTGAACATGGTGTGGCCCAGAGTCAATGCGATTTCCGAGATGCTTGATCCATCAACAATGCATGACGTAGATCTTCCCCGGTTACGCATGTTGTGTTCGCATGGTATGCATGACAACTGAAGCCGTGTATGTGCCTCCGATTGATTGTGAAGACAGGTCTCCCTGAGGATCCGCCATGGCTTAGACCTAAAGTATGGAGGTGAGCGAGCCGCTATGGAGACGTCTGCATGAATTGACGGATATTCAAGACTTTTGTTAGGAACACTTCCCCTTGTGAAGGCAGCTTGGACCGAACAAAACAGGAAGAATCGAGAAAATTACTACGTAGGATTTTTCATGTTCTCTTGCATTGGACATATATTTGACTGTCCACAGGACCTCATCCGCAGACTACTTGAGCCATTTTCTGCTCTCTCGGCTCCTACCACTCCGCTGGCACCATTGGATGCATCACTGTTGGAGGCTTCGCAAGAGCTCACACAGGTGCCCCTGAAGCTGATCATTCGCTTACGGGAAACTCCAGAGGCTTTCTCTCTATGTCCTCTTGATGAGACTGCAGCGGACGAAATTAGGATTTCATGTGCTCAAAATCTGGATGTACGTCTCAACGTGATCCGAGAGCTTGAGTCCAAGGAGGCTCTCTCCCACTCCACGCCGGAAATCAGACTGGAAAGCACTCCGGAAATCCGTTTAGAAAACGCGGACGACGAGTCGACTACGCTTGAACGGTTTGACCGACCTGACGCATCGAGTGCTTCCTCACCAATTCCACCTTCCCCGTCATCAGCGCAGTCGGGCGCGTCTACCACGTTGCTCCCATCGCGTACGATTGGCGCTCATCCGAAGCACGCGTCTGCACTATTAAGGCTGCTCTTTGTGCATGCTCGCCTCAACCCTGGGAATGACTCGCCACATATCGCATCGCTGCTTGTTCCTGTGTACACGGCTCTTCTAGAGGAGGTCAATCCAGAAGATGCGGCGCACGTTGAGGCGGATACGTTCTGGGCGTTCGAGGCTTTCGTTGCCGAGATATCGGACCTGAATGATCCAGAAGGTAGCGACCTGTGGACACGGAGGTTCAGTGAGCGTTTGAACTGGGCTGACCCGGAACTAGCTGATGATTTGGTTTGTAACATGGTTCTGTTCTTACATACTAGAGAAGCTGACTGAGCTATATTGCAGCAAAGTAAAGGGCTGGATCCGGCGCTACCTCACTACTCATTGTGAGTTCACAAACCCATCTCGCGGCATTATCTGATCAAAAACGATAAGTCGGTGGCTTGTCCCCCTTTTGACACACACGCTACCTCTCTCTTGCGTGCTCATGGCGTGGGATGCCTTGTTCTCCCAACCTATGCGGCAACGGGACACCAATCCTAAGTTGGACTATTTGCTGGATGTATGCACTGGTATGCTTCTGCGTACCAAGGGCATACTACTACGGTGCGCAGCTTTCCTTTGCTCAAAGGCCGCTGTGCAAACCCTCCTGCAGCTTAGGTAAGCCAGTGCATAGAGCTCAAGATCTATGGTCGGCTGAGGTTACTGCGATGCCCTCCACGTCTCTGGGAGTGCGGGAACTGCAAGATGCGTTCGTGGAAGGCATGGCTTTCCTCCAGCAGTATCCGGTTGAGGCGGCCGGTGGGATTGAAGCAATCCTGCAATGTGCACACGATCTTTCTCTCCAACGGGAAGTAGAGAAAAACAGCAATCAGGGGATCGGCTCTGGTTTGGGTGCGCGTCTACGGAAAACTGTCTGGAAAGGTATAACTCACCAGCCTCCAATATCTGAATCACATCTGGAGGATGAGGAAGACGAAGGTCGATCACACCGACATGTGGTAAGCACCAGCAACAATGGCTCTCCCGCTCGTCATGCCCGGAAGGCATCAGGCTTCACAGCACGTTTAGCCGATACTGTTTGGCGTGGAATATCAAATGAGAGCGCCATGGAAGCCCCGCCCTCCCCTCCAACCCCAGAGTCTCCCTTGCAACCCTCACCTGCGGCGTCGCCGAGAGCATTGCCCGAAGTGTCACTTAATGATGCTTCCACGACGGAAAGTCCGTCTCTCAACCGATCCAAGTTGTGGGACTACGCCGAGAAGTTCAAAGAATCAGACACAGCTGCAAAGCTATCGAAAGTCAGCACAAACTGGAAAGTCAAGGCAATGGATGCGTGGAACAAGGGGGGCAGCAGCGCTTCTTCGAAATTCCTGAGTCCCTCCTCTTCCCCACACAGCTCGGTGGATATGGGAGGCCGACGGACGTCGCTTCCTCAAGACCCATCTCCTAGCATGTCGCCTGAGAAACGCCGAGGATCCTCCTTGTCTGGCTTTGAGCGATCTGATGCCTATTCACCGCCTCCGCGGCCGACCTTCTTTCGCCCACCCATAGACAGTGTTTTGTTCTCCGAGGGACGTTCGCCCATCTCCCTCTCCAATGGTGAAGCATCTCCATCTTCGGAGCCAAGTTCAGCAGGAAGCGCAGGTCTGAGAGCCTCACTGGCTTCCTTGACCAAGTCCGATCGAGGCAAACCCGCAAGGAGCAAAGCTGGGCCACGGCCGTTACTTCTTAGCTCCTCTTCGTTGATCACATCTGGACGTTCACCGACGTTGCCGAGCTCGGTTGATCGGGCGTGGGTGGACAACGTGCGGGCAAGACGGCCATCCCCTACGCATAGAGACTCTTTATCGTCCGTATCGTCAGTCGCGGATCCTTATATGCGCTCCAGAAATAGCAGTGCTATGGATTCCGACACAACGAGCAGTAGAATTGTGCCTCTCAGAGCATCTCGTTCACCCATGGCAGGCTCACGGCGTGTCACCCCGACGTCATCGACAACGTCAAGTCCTCCTAGGTTGCATCGACGCAGGGACACCGAGACGTCCACGCAGTTTGGAAGCGATGATGGTTCCCGAGGTTGGAATCGCGTCGATATGCCCGAATCACCTCCGACGGGACCGTCTCCACCCCCTCCACGAACTCCCGATGCAGCATCTGTGATGCAGACAGATGTGAGAGTCCAAGTGCCCGAGCCGCACAGAGGATCACTGGCATTCAGCGAGACCAGTTCCGACGCGTCCGCCTCCGACCCGAAGGCGTCGATTAGAGCACAAGTATTCCCGCACCTCTCCGTAGAAGGGGACACGTCAGATTCATCTGCGACTCAGGCTGCGCCACCCAGCCCTCGTACAACAATCAAGCGCCTGCCTCCTCGATTGAACAATCCGCGAACCCGGGACAATCAGGGTTCGCTAACCGCTGACCGGTTGGAGGAACTGGACAATGCGACGACACCGCGTGCGATGACGTTCCCTACCAATTCGACCTCCCCGCGGCCCCAGAGACGAGTGCGAAAGACCTCGGCAACGAGCAATGGTGAAGCACGGCCACGGAAACTATCAGGAGAAGGACGGATACGCAAGATGTCTTCTGATGGACATTCTATTAGGTCACGGAAGCTGTCTGGAGAGCGAGAAGCGGCGAAACACAAGCGTGACAGCTCAGCCGTTGAGGGTGATGATGAGGGTTATAACGATCTTCTCAGTGCCTATGAAAGCGAAGACAATGTCCTATGATCTTCACCACGGCTTCGTGATGCATACGAACTCATATCTTTTAGTATCTTCCTATTTGGTTTGTCACGATTTATTACTGTTCATACCATCGGTGCCCCGACTATTAGTAAATACCATTTCGTGAACTCCATGGTACACTTCTAGCAGAACTGGGAAACGAGGCAAGAGATTCTGCATCAACTGTCTCAGCATGCGGTGAAATCGGGACAATCGATGTACCAACCTCGAATGCAATCTCGAGGGTGATTGCTCCATGCTGAGAACGTTGAATGGCAGCGAGGTAATAGCGAACGTCCCAACCATGCAGACCTTCGTTGATGATGAAGTCCTGGAGCGTAAAGAAAGGCATGAATCGGCGCGAAATGAACAAGGGCATCTGTGGTAGCCCTCGATGTGTTTCAAATTGCAGTCCTAAAGATGGCAGCACAATTACGGATTCTACATGGAAGAAAATTCACTTTCAGAGCAATGGACAGGACAAGCAAGTACAAACCCCAGAGAACTTGGTTGCATCTCATGTACGTGTAGCAGAGCAATGCCGCAAACATCACAGCAAGAGAGACAGGCCGACTTGTTACCTATTTCGTTGATTGATTAACGAGCATGAGACGTCAACAACTAATTGCACGACGAACCTCGGGCCAGGCATAGGCCACTGCGGGAACTACCAGTGCGTCAACCCAGTACCATCTCAACAGCGTTCTCAATCTGCTCGTGCCATGTTGAGAGACCGGAACGCTCTCCACCCTATATTCACGCCATGACGGGCAGTCTATGAGGCTAAACTCAGGGTGGTCCTGCAGTGGACGCGAACGCCGCATGCCATTAGAGGACGCAGCTGTGAGGAAGCTGTGAGGAAGCGGGAACGAGGTGGGCCACAAGGATGTATAAGCGGAGTCTAAATGTGCCACTTTGGGGCCCGCATCAAGTTGTTTCACTGCGACGTAAAACATGGCTGTTAGGCTCGCGCCTGTTACGCATTTTGATCTTAGTTTTGAGGTTTGCCATACATTCGCGGCTGACGACTGAGTATTGACATCCCGGCAGTCTGAATCCCAACGTGGTTTGATGCAGTATTCAGCTCGATTGTCAGCCTCATGCCATTCGCCAAAGAGACTGTGCATCCCCTCTATCTATCCGTGCAGGGTATTCTGTGGCCGGTTCTATTTCCACTTCGTGTACCTCTTCGCTGGCCGTAGGATGGTTTTAACGGCCCAGTATTTCTCTGCTCTCTTGCAAGCCCTCAGCTTGACGCAAGGTTATTACAAACCTTCGCCCACTTATTCTTCCCTTTCGGCTAGCCCTAGTCAAGGTTTCACGAGTGATGCTGGCAACACTCAGAGTGCTTATCCCTCTACTAGCCTTCAGGTCTCTGAGACCGGATCTGCTGCAGGCGTGCAGGCTACTTCGAGACCCTCTGCCAAGTCGACCTATGCGCATGCGGATGCTGATGGCTGTGAAGGATTCACGTATGAGGCACCACCCCTTGGCGACCAGACTTTCCCGCCCTTTGACCAAGCAAAAGCGAATGTCTATCGTTATCGACAGCAGCAGTCTGTCAATCTAGGATCCTGGTGAGTATGATGCAATGCCAGTCGCTCGAGATGTCTAGAATTAATGATTTTTGTTCTGCAAACCAGGTTCGTCCACGAACAATGGATAACCCCATCAGTCTTCACCTGTGCTGCGGGACAACAGCTGTCTGAGATCGATATTGCTACTGGCTGGGGTTCTACTGCTGGCGCACGGGCTGTTCTAGAGCATCACTGGGATACGTTCATCAATCAAACGGACTTCGAATACCTTGCCAGTATCGGTATCAATACTGTCCGTCTGCCCATCGGTTACTGGAGCTTGGGTCCCGAATTCTGTCAAGGCACTCCTTACGAAAATGTCTCTGATGTCTATCAGAATTCGTGGGTGAGAGTCGCTCGGGCTATCAACTGGGCTGGCGAAGCTGGTATAGGTGTCTTGGTTGATCTACACGGCGCTCCTGGGAGTCAAAACGGCCAGCCGCACTCCGGAATATCAGACGGCGTCACTGGGCTATTTGACAGTCCTACATATATGAACATGACTATCACCCTCCTCAGTACTCTGATGGAACGACTTGTTAATGTGACCAATGTCATCGGTATTGAGGTCCTCAACGAGCCCCAAAATGGTCCAGACCTTCCGGACTTCTGTGAGTGATCACGATCCAGTTGTCTATTAGTGCTAACTCGTCCAAGATGACCGTGCCATACCCGCTATGAGACAAACATCCCCAGCGGCAGCGAGCTTCCCTTTGTACATTCACGATGGCTTCAACCTCGACCAATTCAGTGAATATGTAGCGAATCGAACGGACTTCGTCGTCGTGGATCATCACTCCTACTTCGTGTTCACTCCTTCCGATGACGCAGAATCGGCGACGCAGCACACCGCTGATATCAAGAGCTCCATTGCAGATTCCATGGAAGTCGCGTCGAACCAGACACGCCGCAACATAGTCGTGGACGAATGGTCATGCGCTTTGACACCGCAGAGTCTGGCAAATGAACAAGACCCGGATCAGTCTCAACAAGAATTCTGCACTGGTCAAATGGACGTATATACCAACACTACCGCGGGTTGGGGCTTCTGGGGTATGTCCGTAATATTTGTGGTTAGAGCAGGACTGACATCACATCGTCAGCATATATGAAGGAAGACTGCTCTGATGATCCTGGCTGGTGCTTTAAAGAGGCCGTCGGAAACGCTCTTCCCTCCACCTTCTTCTCGTACGGCCAAGGCCCATTAACAAGTCCAGAACAGCTCCCTTCCTTAGCGGAATTGATGGGCGACATGAACACGCCCAACACCAGCGCTATACTCTCAAGCGCTCAAGAAACTTCCACCGACACTGCCTATGCTCCTTCGCAGACTTCTTACGATCCGGAAACAAATGCATCCTCGACACCTATGAAGCGTCGAGGTCGTTCTCAGAAGCAGAGGCGCACTCGTTCGTCCGTGCGGAGACGACCTCTAGCGTCTCTCTCAGGCATGAAGGCTCATAGGCGCGATGGTCAAACTACTGTGATGACCCCATCCCAGCAGTCAATCGCCAAGGGGTACTCGGATGGTTTTCTCACTGCGAAGATATTCGCGCTGTACGGAATGTCAAAGCTCGGGTTCACGAACCAGTACATGAGCGACAGCATGGCGAAGCTAGGTCCATCCGTCGTTGCTTCTGGAACCGAGGGAGACTATCAGGAGTGGTTCATGAAGGGGCTGCAGGACGGGGAGAATATCGTGATCTCACATGTTGGTCAACAAAGTGACTGGACTCGGAATTCTACTCAGGGGTATTAATGGCCTTGGTTGCTGTAATTTATTTTATTTAAACAATCGCAACACTCTTTTCCATGCCAGCACGCTCAAGCCTTGATCTTGATCGTGATTCGTGTAGACGCCCAACACGGTTCACGCTCGACGATGCCACAGACTCAGTTGGAACGTTCATGGCGAAAGCTTCACAAGCTTGCGCTCTCGTTGATAACAGATCCCGCGTACTTCTACTTGCTCGCCGCGCTGGTCGTCATTGGTGACGCAGTTCTCACGCAACTGATCATACGTTTCGTTCCATGTAGGTGCCCTGATCGTGGCCTTTATACGGCCCAAGTGTGACCTCCGTCTACAGACACTGAGATTGACTGGGAGACATACATCTACCAGTTAGAATTGTACCTTCAAGGCGAACGAGACTATGCCTTGATCTCCGGTCCAACGGGACCTATTGTGTACGTCGATCCCATTGACTACGCTCTCTGTCGCTCTACATGTCTTACGCGCAGATATCCAGCGGGACACATCCACGTTCATCACGCCCTCTACAAGCTTACGGGGTCTGGCAGAGACCTACGCACTGCGCAACAGATCTATGCGGCTGTCTACTGTCTGTTCGAAGTCCTGACCTGCGCGATCTACGGCAAAGCAGGTGGAGTACCAAACTGGTTGCTGTTGCTTCTCCCCCTCAGCAAGAGACTGCACTCCATCTTCGTCTTGCGCCTCTTCAACGACTGTTGGAACGTGGTGGCTGCGCATGCTGCTGTGTTGGCGTACCAGTATGGCTGGGACGTCCTCGGGTCGTTGCTCCTCAGGTGCGTTTGTCGAGTGTATGTCTGGCAGCGCGAGGCTGATGTCCTTCTCATCTAGTTGTGCTCTGTCAATCAAGATGTCCGCTCTGCTCTACGTGCCGGGATTGCTTGTAGTGCTGTTTATAAGACACGGGCTACTCGGCACCGCAAGCCATGTTGTCGCCATTGTGCTCACACAAATTGGCATCGGCTCGCCGTTCCTCTTGCACCACCCGCGAAATTATACGAAATACGCGTACGAATTCACGCGTACCTTCCTATACAAGTGGACGGTCAATTGGCGCTTCGTCTCAGAGGAGACGTTCTCAAGCAATGCGTGGGCGCGAGGTCTCCTGCTGGGCCATGTCGTTATGCTGATCATGTTCGGCCTCTTCAAATGGTGCGAAAGAGATGGTGGAGTGTGGGCGGTACTGAGCGAAGGCCTTCGTCGTCCACATGTTGCTCCTCGGGTGGCTCCTGTTACTGCAGATTGTGAGTCAATGCTCTCAATAAACTATTCGTGCTCATGAATGCTCTTGCAGTTATTGCGACGGTCCTTTTTACAAGCAATCTCATCGGCATCTTGTTTGCTCGATCATTGCATTATCAGTTCTACTCGTGGTACGCCGCGCAATTGCCATTCCTGGCCTGGAGGACCAAGTATCCGGTCGCTGTAAAGTAAGTGAGGTCTATTACCCCTCTTTGATGAAGACTGAAGACGCCTCGTGTTTGCTTATGACTGTGCTTCGCAGGCTGGCCCTATTGTTAGCCGTCGAGTATGCATGGAATGTGTATCCTTCTACCCCGTCGTCCTCGGGTATCCTTTGCCTGGCGAATGCGGCGTTGCTCGTGGGTGTCTGGTTCGGATACCCGGAGGGAACAGCAGGGGGTGTAGAAGTGAAGGTATCATCCAAATCTGAATAGGTACCATATCTATCAACAAACATACTTGTACTGAACATTCCACAATCAGTGTAATACATCCGGATCGGTGTACATGTTATGGCTCGGTTTAATGCGAAGGACTTCACGTTATACTCTAGCCTTCCATTTTCTCCATAGCAGAAACGAGAAGCACGTCGATAGCAGCGCCGCCACCGCACTCAGCCAGAAGGTAAGTCGCCAGCACTGCGCACCATGACATACGCCATCGTCAGATGCAGTATGGCTGTCTGCTACAAACGCATATAAGTAGGCGAAGGCAGTTGTGCCAAAGAAGCATGTATAGGAGACGAAACCAAAGTTGCGCCCTTGGTTTGGCGAGCCCCAGATCGATGAGAGGATGCTTGGGCTGAAATACGTAATCAGTGTCACGGTGCTACGTGCAGAGATCAACATCGGAACATACGTACAGCATGGTAAAGACAGTCCCGTTTGCTATTCCGGTACTGACGCTGAGGGGAATATGAGAACAGAACACCAATGGCAAGGTAAGACTGGAAGGTACCTAAGTGGCCACAGAGCCTCTTGCGTCCGTACGTCGAGTATGGACCAAATGAACGTGAGAGAAAAGAGGAGAGATGCACAGGCGAGGAAGAGGACCCGCGTGACGTACGGCTTTCGCGGGAACGCCCAGACGCCGTCAGCAGTGTAGGTAGCAACAGGAGACACCAGGTCCGCGAGAGGACCCACAAGGAGGCGAGTGAGGGTGTCGGAGATGGCGATCAGTTCCACCTGAAAAGAAATGTTCTCATGCGAGGACAATGACGGCAGTGAAAGGACGAGAAGTCCGATATTTGACTTTATCATTTCTGCCTGTATGCGCCAAAGTAGATGCTCGGAACGCCAATCACTGCTAGGTAGGAAATGAGATCACTCACGGTTCCAACCACCAGCGAGACAACTATGGCAAGAACCCAGAAATAGGGATCCTTGAGAAGTCCCACAGCATCCACATGGTCTGGCTCCTGCGCCAGGATTGCACGCCCACTACTGTCTGTTGCTATCGACGACATTGCCAGGAGAGACGCCTCTTCGTTTACTTCCGTAACCTGAGCATCCTCGTTGTAGTCCGTCTGATCATCTGGCGAGGGACGCGCTTTTGGTACAGCTTCAGTGGCTGGCCCAGGCAGAATCAGACCGCCAATTAAGTTGATGATGCCTGTCAAGACCGCCATGAAAGTGAAGAAGCGTGTCACGTCCACATTCGCGCTGGCATCGATGAAGAACCTGGTGGCGACCATGGACAGGAACAGCGGCGACATGCCGAAGATGGCGAGACTTGTGCCGGACGCAAGTCCGACGTACTGAGGGAAGGTCCTTGTTGCTGCAAACAGCATAGAGAAATAGCTGCATTGGTATCAGCATGTCTGATCGTCAATGGAACTCGCTTCCGAAGCTTACGAGAACACGGTCCCCAGACCGAGCAAAGCAAAGTATACCACCAGATGCGGGAAGGCCGACGATGGTTCTGGTGTCTCGGGAGAACGGGTATAGTCCAAGGCGAAGAGGCCGTATCCTGATGCGAACATAAGAGAAGCCAGCAGGGAACAGCTCCATGGCCCAAAACGGTCGAGCACCTTCCCGACGGGGGCGGCACTGGCATACTGACCGATCATTGCGCTGACATGGAACATGAAACATCCTGAAGATGGAGCGAAGCTAGAGACTCACGCCAGCATGATGGTTCCCAGCTGCGGTTGTGTGAGCTTCATGTGGGCCACAAGCGCGGGGGAAATGAGTGGGAAGCTGTAGATTCCTCCCGCGGTGATCCTATAGTAAAATGCGTCGAACAAGCAAAGGCTTCTAGCATAATGGTGTCCTTACGCATTAGCAGCAATAGAACAGCATATGAGCGCGGAGCGCAGGCGACTGAGGGACTTCGTCCTCGGTCGACGAGCGGAGGCGCTGTCAATGATGCATCATGACATCGGGTTGAACGCACTCAGCTTTACAAATGCAAGAGAACTACTCTTTCCGCACCTTGCAACCGTCATGACCTGCTACTTTACTCTCAAACCACGTCGATCACCGTTATGTGCGTAGGAAATTGAAGTGGCCTGGCCAAGGCTGTTTGGGGTTGAAAATAACTTCAGCTCTGACCCGAACCCAAGTGCGATCAGAGCAGTCAGGTCGTCGATGGACTGTATACAGCGCAGTCAGGCTTGCAGTAATGTCTCGAGGAAGATTCAGTCTCGAACGTGGTCGACACCGACAAGTCACGCAATCATCAATGATCTCGGCGTAGGCCTGGAGAACACGCCGCGCATTCGCGAAGTCGCTTCGAGACTCCCGGTCAAGGCTGCTAGTTTATAGATCGACGTCTGAGCAGCAGAGTAATCGAGCAGCGTATGTCGTTCTCCCTCTGATGCCTGTTCTATTGCTACTAACAGAGAACGATGACTCGGACGCGCTAGGCGCGAAAAGACAATGTCCGGTCGAGCTTTCAATTTGCCTTGATCTATCTCGACAGACTCCTCCACCCGCCGGAAACGGCGAGGCTAATCAATGTTCCTCCTCCATTGTGCACTGATGCGGCGGTGCCTTGCACTCTATGATTTACCCGAGCATAGCTAGGGCGCGATAGCCATCAATCTAATCAATTGTCGGCAAATAGCCCTGATGCCGAACCACATAGCGACCATGTGGTGAGTCGTCGCCTCAAGAGGCCAGTGCACTGTCCTGAAGCATTCTCATTCGATGTCTTTTACCTCTCTCCCTCCTCTTCCCGGTCGCAGCGTTGATTGTGATATCTTGATCTGACTGAATATGCGTCCCTCCATTCGTTTCTGCTTGTGCGCGGCGCTGTTCTTCTCGTGTCGGAAATGCGTCCTTGGCACGCCTGCGAACCGAACGATTGATGACGAGAACGGGGACTCAGTTACAGGTCTCAAGCCAACTTATTTATCCTCTGACGATTGGAACTACGGTCCCGATTGTTCTGGCTGTTATGTGCAACCAAACATCAATGACACGTTTGAGCACTCCTGGCACGATACCACTGCATCGCCGTCAGACCCGTCCCCCAGGAATGTGACGCTCACATTCAATGGTACGTGCCATGCTTTTTGTATAGCAGAGCGACAAGAAAACCCTGTTGCCTTCGCAGGGACTGCTATCTGGGTATACTGCATCGTACCGAATTACGTCCAGTACGCGACAACTTTCGTGAACATCAGCTTCGAGCTCGATGGCGACACCGTGGGGTCATATTCGCATCTACCGAGTGCCTCCACAGATATGGCCTACAATGTGACAGTATATAGCAACACTTCTATGGAAGACAAGGAGCATACATTGATAATGACGCCGAGGCGCGATGTTAATTCGTCACTTATACTGTTCGACTGGGCGGAATACACGTGAGTTACTTCTTCGAACACGTTGATTGTGGTTCAATCTGAACTGTTCGTCTGCAGATATGATCCCGATCCACCGGTGACATCGAGCACTGCTACAAGTGCTAGTATTGGAACGACAAGCAGCGAGAAATCTACGAAGACAAGTGCAGGAGCATCTGTTGCTAGCACCTCATCATCTTCCAGCACCTCATCATCTTCCAGCACCTCATCATCTTCCAGCACCCCATCATCTTCATCACATAGCCCCATTGGTGCTATCGTCGGCGGTGTCGTCGGCGGAGTGGGCGCGCTCGTCATCGCTCTCCTGGTCTTCCTATATATACGGCACCGTAGCAGACGCGGGGCAGACAGGATCTGGCGAGTGGACGGCGAAAATCTGCGGCAACACGAGATCGACGAAAGCGAGCCAATGGCCAAAATAGAGCCATACGTCGACCACCCAGTCACAACCCAGTTGGAATTTCCGCACGTGGACGGACCATTTGAGGGCTCAGAAACGACTATTGGAGTTCCTCAAGGCGCCCATACCGACCCAGCGACCAATGTCGCCACCTCCGGCTCTTCAGCGCCATCCACGATAGCTGCTGCGTCAAGCGTTGCCAATGTATCGTCGAGTACAAACCAAGGCAGACGGACAAAGGCAGCAGTGCTTCGTGAAGAGCTGTCACGGCAAATGCGCGACGTGGAGCAACAGGTTGCTGCCTTACAGCGCCGCCAATCGCGTAGCGGTGGCGCGTTCCCGGACCAGCCTAGTCGCCCAACAGCAAATCCGTTCGAGGAGGTGCATGACGACTCGGAGTTAAGGAGACAGATTGAAGTCTTGCAACAAGAGGTAGAGAGGTTGAGGGCGGAGCAGGCGGCAGCAATGGACGAGGCTCCCCCAGCGTACGAGCCTGAAGAGGACTCGGAGCATTTGGCGGACCGTCAATGATATGTTATAAGTGCTCTTGTAAAGTTCATGTATTTATCTCGGAAGCTATTGCGTCTATTCTATTCTGTTTGGCTGGCTGGACTAGGACCCCCCGAAAATCCCTATGGGAGGCCGGACGGCTGTCCGGACATGAACAGATACTTCAGGCCTTTGATCAGGCCTTCAGCTTCAGGCCTGTGGATCCCCAACCCGGACAAAATGACCGTGATCCCCGAAAGGCCTGTCAAAAAGCCTCAATGTCTAGACATTTTCTCCGTATATGCGATCACTCAAATCGAACTCCCTACTCTTGTTTCCCTCCAACTCATGCGCCGACACTACTAGCGAGGAAGATTCGGTCTCGAACATGGTCGACCCCGGAGATCCGACAAATCGAGTCCTTGGCGTAGGCCTGGGTATCCTACTGTACCTTCGAAGGACAAAGGAAAAATCACACAAGATTACAAAGTCCGAAAACCCGGTTCGTTGTTACGTTCATTCTCCGATCGAAAAAAACCGACTTGTCAAAAAGTAGACTAATCAGGATATTCGTCACCCTGGAGAGAGAGCGCGCCGCGCATTCGCTTCGAGAACAGTCACTGCTAATCCATAGATGATAACCACGTATGAGTAGGTCTGTAATCGAGCAGCGTACGTCGTCCTCCATCTAATGCCTAGTCTACTGCTAACAGAGAGCGATTACACGCTAGGCAAAAAAAAGGACAATGTCGGGTCGAACTTTCAATTTGCTTCGATCTATCTCAACAGACTCCTCCAACCCCCTGCAAATGGCGAGAAAAATCAACGTTCCTGCTCCGTCATGCACTGCAATGCATAGAACGAGTACATAATGCCGCAGTGCCTTGCACTCACACGAGCATAGCCGCTATGGCGTGATAGCCATCAACCCAACTGTCAATGATTGTCGGCAAGGAGTCCTGACGCTGAACCATGTAGCGACCATGTGGGCGGTCATCGCCTCGAGAGGCCGGTGCACTGTCCTGAGGCCCTCCAATCTGACACCATCAATTTCTCTCCCTCCTCTCCTCAGTTGCAGCGTTGGAGTTGTGATATCTCGATCGGACTGGATATGCGTCCCTCCATGCGTTTCTCCTTGTGCGCAGCGCTTATCTTCTCGTTTCGGAAATGCGTGCTGGGCACGCTTACGAACCGAACGATTGACGACGAGAACGGGGACTCAGTCACAGGCCTCCAACCAATTTATTTACCCTCTGACGATTGGCACAATGGCACAAGTTGTCCTACCTGTCTTGTGCAACCAAACATCGCCGAGACGTTTGAGCACTCCTGGCACGCTACCACTGCATCCCCGTCAGACCCGTCCCCTAGGAATGTAACGCTCATATTCAATGGTATGTGCTATGCGTTTTGTGCAGCCGAGCAGCAAGGTAACCTCTATCCCCCTCGCAGGGACTGCTATCTGGGTATACTGCGTCATACCGAATTACGTCGAGTGGGCGACAACTTTCACGAACATCAGTTTCGAGCTTGATGGCGACACCGTCGGGTCATATTCGCATCTACCGAGTGCATCTACAGATATGGCCTACAATGTGACAGTATATAGCAACGCTTCTATGGAAAACAAGGAGCACACGTTGACAATGACGTCGAGGCGCGATGTTAATTCGTCATTTCTAGTGTTCGACTGGGCGAAATATACGTGAGTCACTCCTTCCAACACGTTAATTGTGGTTCAACCTGAACTGTTTGTCTGCAGATATGACTCCGATCCACCGGTGACATCGAGCACTGCTACAAGCGCTAGTATTGGAACGACAAGCAGCGAGAAATCTACGAAATCTACAAAGACAAGTGCAGGAGCATCTGTTTCCAGCACCTCATCATCTTCCAGCACCCCATCATCTTCATCACGTAGCCCCATTGGTGCTATCGTCGGCGGAGTCGTCGGCGGAGTGGGCGCGCTCGTTATCGCTGTCCTGGTCTTCCTATATATACGGCGCCGTGGCGGACGCGGGGCAGACAGGATCTGGCGAGTGGACGGCGGAAATGCGCGGCGACACGAGATCGACGAGAGGGAGCTAATGGCCAAAATAGAGCCATACGTCAACCACCCAGTCACAACCCAGGTGGAATTTCCGAACGTGAACGGACCATTTGAGGACTCAGAAACGGTTATTGAAGTTCCTCAAAGCACCCATACCGGCCCAGCGACGAATATCGCCACCGTCGCCTCTTCAGCAGCACCCACGATAGCTGCTGCGTCGAGCGCCATCAATGTACCGTCGAGGATAAACAAAGGCAGGCGGACAAAAGCAGCGATCCGTCGTGAAGAGCTGTCACGGCAAATGCGCGACATGGAGCAACAGGTTGCTGACTTGCAGCGCCGCCAATCGCGTGGCGGTGGCGCGTTCCTGGATCAGTCTAGTCGCCCAACAGCAAACCCGTTCGAGGAGGAGGTACAGGTGCATGATGACTCGGAATTAAGGAGACAGATTGAAGTCTTGCAGCTAGAGGTTGAGAGGTTGAGGGCGGAGCAGGCGGCAGCAATGGACGAGCCTCCCCCAGCGTACTACGAGCCTGAAGAGGACTCGGAGCACTTGGCGGACCGACGGTGACACAAGTGCTGTTAGAAATTTCATGTATTTATCTCGTACGCTGTCGGTTTGTTGAGGTCTCTTCATTCTGTTCTGGCTGGCTGGACTGCACGCACTGTTCGCTGAGTTTAGAACCAATTTTCGTTAATGATGGTGTCGGAAGGACATGAGGCGAAACGCGACAAGTACTACGTGTCGCTAGGCTACCATCCCGGAGACTGGATATGCGTCTCTCCTTGCGTTTTTCCTTGTGCGCAGCGCTGTTCTTCTCGTTTTGAACGCGCGCTGGGCACGCTTATCAAGCGAACGATGTACGACCAGAACGGGGACTCAGTGACGCTCATCAAGCCAACTTATTTACTCTCTGGTCTATGGAACTAAGGTCCCGATTGTCCTGGCTGTTATGTGCATCCAAACATCAATAACACTTTTGAGCGCTCCTGTCATGATATCCGCGCATTCTACTGCCGACAGCATAGAGAAATAGCTGCGTGGGTATCAGCATGTGCGATCGTCAATGATGGAACTCTCTTCCGAAGCTTACGAGAACAAGGTCCCCAGACGGAGCAAAGCAGAACTAGATGAGGGAAAGCAGACGATGGCTCTGGCGTCCAGGGGAACGTACTGGCCGATCAATGCGCTGACATGGGAAACATGGAACATCCTGAAAATGGAGCGAAGCTAGAAGCTCAGACCAGCATCATGGTGCCCAGCTGGGCTGTGTGAGCTTCATGCGAGCCACAAAGGCGGGAAACATGAGTGGGAAGCTGTATAATCCTCCCGCGGTGATCCTATAGTAAGATGCATTGAACGAGCAGAGGCTTCTATGCGGCAGACTGGTGTCCTTACGTATTGACAGCAATAGAACAGCAGTAATGTCTTGATGCTACTAGCGAAGAAGATTCAGTCTCGAACGTGGTCGACACCGACAAGTCAGGCAATGATGATCTCGGCGTAGGGCCCGGAGAGCGCCCCGCGCATTCACGCAGTCAGACTCCCAGTCACTGGTCCGAGTAATCGCCGAGCAGCGTAGTACGTCGTCCGCCCTCTAATGTCTATTTTACTGCTAACAGAGAGCGATGACTCGCTTGGCCCTAAGAGACAATGTCCGGTCGAGCTTTCAAAATGCCTTGATCAATCTCAACAGACTCCTCCAACTCTCTGGATCCGAAAATCGCGAGGATCCATCATGCACTGCAATGAATAGAAGAGTTCCAGGATGCCGCAGTGCCTTGAATTGACCCGAGCATAGCTGAGGCGTGATAGCAATCAATCCAACTGATTGTTGGCAAGCTCAGAGCCCTGATGCCAAATCATCATGTGGACAGGACGTCGTCGCCTTGAGAGGCCGGTACACTATCCTGAAGCACTCCAATTCGATGTCATTAACCTCTCTCCCTCCTCTTCCCGGTCTCACCGTTCAAGCTGTGATATCTCGATCTGACTGGATATGCGTCCCTCCTTGCGCTTCTCCTTGTGCGCAGCGCTGTTCGTTTCGATTCGGAAATGCGTGCTGGGCACGCTTACGAACCGAACGATTGACGACGAGAACGGGGACTCAGTCACAGGCCTCCAGCCAACTTATTTACCCGCTGGTAATTGGAGCTACGGCCCCGATTGTGCTGGCTGTTATGTGGAACCAAACATCAATGACACGTTTGAGCACTCCTGGCATGATACCACCGCGTTCCTCTCAGACACGGCCCCTAGGAACGTAACGCTCGTATTCGATGGTACGTGCGATGCTTTCTTTCGTAGCAGAGTGATAAGAAAACTCTATCCCCTTTGCAGGCATTGCTATCTGGGTATACTGTATTATACCGAATTACGTCAAGGATGCGATAACTTTCGTGAACATCAGCTTCGAGCTCGATGGCAACACCGTCGGGTCATATTCGCATCTACCGAGTGACTCCGAAGATATGGTTTACAATGTGACAGTATATAGCAACATTTCTATGGAAAACAAGGAGCACATGTTGATCATGACGCCAAGGCGCGATGTTAGTCAGTCAATTATACTGTTCGACTGGGCGGAATATACGTGAGCTACTCCTTCGAACCCGTGAATTGTGGTTCAACCTGAACTCTTCGTCTGCAGGTACGATTCCGATCCATCGGTGACATCGACTACTACTACTAGCGCTAGTACTGGAACTACAAACGATAGTACTGGAACGCCAAGTGCAGCGGCTTCTGCTTCCAGCACCCCATCATCTTCATCACATAGCCCCATTGGTGCTATCGTCGGCGGTGTCGTCGGCGGAGTGGGCGCGCTCGTTATCGCTGTCCTGGTCTTCCTATGTATACGGCGCCGTGGCGGACGCGGGGCAGACAGGATCTGGCGAGTGGACGGCGGAAATACGCGGCGACACGAGATCGACGAAAGCGAGCTAATGGCCAAAATAGAGCCATACATGGATCACCCAGTCACAACCGAGGTGCAATTTCCGAACGTAAACGGACCATTCGAGGGCTCAGAAACGACTATTGGAGTTCCTCAAAGCGCCCATACCGACCCAGCGACCAATGTCGCCACCTCCGGCTCTTCAGCGCCATCCACGATAGCTGCTGCTTCAAGCGTCGCCAATGTATCGCCGAAGACAAACGAAGGCAGGCGGACAAAGGCAGCAATACGTCGTGAAGAGCTGTCACGGCAAGTGCACGACGTGGAGCAGCAGGTTGCTGACTTGCAGCACCGCCAATCGCGTAGCGGTGGCGCGTTCCTGGATCAGCCTAGTCGCCCAACGGCGCACCAGCTCGAGGAGGAAGTACAGGTGCATGACGACTCGGAATTACGGAGACAGAATGAAGTCTTGCAGCTAGAGGTAGAGAGGTTGAGGGCGGAGCAGGCGGCAGCAATGGACGAGCCTCCCCCAGCGTACGAGGACTGAACGACTGTGACACAAGTGCTGTTAGAAATTTCATGTACTTATCTCGGACGCTGTTTAGGTTTTTTCCATTCTGTCCTGGCTGGCTGGACTGCACGCACTGTTCGCTGAGTTTAGAACCAATTTTCGTTAATGATGGTGATAGACGCCGGAAGGACATGAGGCGAAACGCGATAAGTACGTGTCGCTAGGCTACCATCCCGCCGAGACTGCTCCTTGCGAGCTCTGCAGCAACTGTCCGCCGGTCAGCGCGCACCGCCTCCCTCTTTACACGCTCGTCGCCAGCGCATCGTTGGATTTGTCTCTGACCTTGGAGCTGGGTTCTCCGTCGTGCACTGTCCATCCCCCGTTGAGCGGCCGTCATTCCTTTCCTGCGCAGTCTGATACGGTTTTCACGCCCATCATGAACAAGTTGTTTGCTTCCTATCGTTATTTCGTCTTCGGTAAGCATATTTGAAGCCAAGTGCTGCCAGCGAGTTGCACGGAACTGATGTGATTTGGTGTCGGGCAGTTCTCTTTGTCATCTGCAATGCTGTTATCTGTGCTGTTGCAGCATGGAACCTGTCGCTCGCCCTGGACATCCAGTTTCACAGTTAGTCTTCGAAACTACTGTGATGGATATTGTGCGGAAGCTGATGCTGATTTCAGGTTGGATTGAAGTCGACGCACTGTTGGTATCTGCAGCTGCTACGGCATTGCTATTCATCTTCACTTTGTGAGTGTTTATTCTCTTGGACGCTCTTGCAGTGGGAGAACGGAGGCTCGAGAAGGTGATAACGCTGTCGTGGTGATCGATCGGCAATATTCCGGGACTTAGCCGACGGACCTTGGGTTGTATTGCAGGGATGCTGTAATGCGTGAGTTCGAATGTGACGCTGATCGAATCTTTTGCAGCATGTTCGTGGACGTCTTGTGCAAACAGTCTGCGATGCGACACGTTTGGGTTGAGTGCCTCTGGGTTGGCCTCTTTGGCGTATTGGAGCTGGGTGGGTCTTATCCATATGCAGTGCGATAATCGCTGAGATGCTGTCAAGCGTGTGCTGCTGCGGTCACTACCACGACGTCCGACTCAAAATGTGTAACAGCAGACGAGGGTAAGTGAGCTTTATGCTCCAGCTGTTAGCGTACTTGACGGTCTGTCTGTAGACGGCCAGATCACGGAAGGTCCATGTACCACATCCTCGCTCATGGTAGGCTTCACCTGGGCTGCAGCCACAGACAGTAGGTGTCTCTGGAACCATTCGATTACATTAGATTAACACGTCCTCAGTGCTGATGTACTTCGCTGTACTCGCTGTCATCGCCCTCCTACACCAGCGCAATGACCCCCTTATCTGGCAATCGAGCACACTGGACTACTCCTGGTTCGCCTTACGCTCGTCGCTGCCTAGTGCACCGTCATCGCCTACACGGGCCCTTCCCGGGAATCCTTCCAAGTCCTCCCGCGGCAGCCCCCCGCCGTACCCGACTGAGTTCGGAAGACGCATGTTCGCGAATCCTCCACCCGATCTTGAGAAGCAAGACCTTGAGAGGAATGAAGCCGCGGCGCCTATGCCAGCCTCTGTCGCGCTCTACCGTATGCAGAGTCAGACAGCCCGGCCATTCCCTGCGAAACGAGCCTCCTGGCAGCCTCGGCAGCTGCAGTTGTCGGCTAATGTGCCTCTACCGACTACGACGGCTCCGACACCGAAGCCTTTGCGGACTGCTCCAGTTGAGACTGTCGCCCCTTCTCCTTCTCCATCCCCGCCCCCAGAATCGGATTCTGGGTCAGAACCGTCAACCCCCGCAACACCTCTCGGTCGTCCACACAAGAAGCGAGTCCTGCGCCTGCACAGGCCCCCGCCGCTCGACTTGTCCCGCATCAGCTCCTTCCGGTAACACCTATAGACAAAGGAAACACCGACAACCTATCCAGCGCTGATCGCTTCCGGCTAAGCGATCCGTGGCTGCGTACCACGCCCCTGCAACACGCGTTGGCGTGCAGGGCGGCTAAATGGGGCCTTTGAGTGGGCAACAGCATTGTACAACTATTTGTAGCATGCTGATTGCCGCTTTTCAACTGTAGGTCGCCGGTCGGCTTGCGTTGTAGCCCACACGTTGTATAGCTTGTGCATCAGAGCAGGTTCTCTACGATCGTTATGACTCTGTAGCTGTAGTTATCGCACGTCGCTTCTGGGAAGGCGACCTGTTATACATGATCTCAGTTGAGTTCATCTTTGACCATCAGCTTTTTCAAGATTTTTGTCACAACAGCCTAGGAAAGTATCTCGGAGCATCTTCTGAGCTAGCCTGCTGTAAGATATGTTGTGAAATTCCAAATAACAGGCGGTTTCACCATCAAGGACGGCGTTCGTTGCCCGCAGAATGACGATCTGGTGATGTCCCCACCTGTGTTCCCGGACACTTTGCCGCTCTTCGTCGACGGTAACACAGTCAAAGCAAATCCTGAATGCAACAGGTCCTATGTCCATATGAGACTGTCTCTGGAGAAAATGGCATCTCCGGCATCAGGAAAACTCAAATCGACTTGTGACCCGAGAACCTCCTTTTTGACTTGTTCTTGCTGGTATTGGCTTGTATACATAATAAGAAGCTTCTGACCCAGAAAAAAAGTTCAAAACAAGAGGTCCTGAGACTTTCTCGCACTTAATATCTTTTTTGGTGACGGCAAGCGGATAAAAGTGTCCTAAGCCGGATTTGAGTTTTCCTGATGCTTCTTGTACAATAAATAATCAGTCGTTCTCCCTTGTCCAGTGCACATGATGCATCCAGGGCTTATGTAGAGGAAGGTGAAGGTAATCCTTATGCTATTACAAGACGCGAAGATGCTCATAGAGCCTTCTGTTGGAATTTGGCGGCGGAGCGCCGGCTCGAGGGGCCCCGGAGCGACCAGCGCCACCGCCGCGGGAGCGTACTTTTCAAAGCTTGGGGGTGAGACTTCAATCATTCTCCAAAAATTCCGCTAATGCTGAATCATTCATGAACGTTTGCTCAGTACAAGATCAGGCATGCACAAGTTGCATTCTCGCCTCCGTCGTTGCGCTCGATGGCGCGGAAGATGAGCGCGAGAGTCACATGCCTCGAAGTAGTACTCGGAGCATCCTTCTATTAGACGCCAAATAAATCTGATTCACAGCGCGTTTTTTGCAATCTGCCCGCGCAATATGTCTTCCATGGACTCAGAAACCGCGACCCGCACGATCTGCCCACACATTGCATATTACGGGAGATGTGGTGACACTACAGGAACGCACGCCCACAGCAAGCCATGCGCATCACGGTATAGCCACACAATCATGGATGTCGCGCGGTTGAATGCTCTTGTGGATGTCGCGAATCCATCGCGAGTCAGCCGTGAGCTTGTGCTAGAATACATCGCTGGAAGGGACGTCTTTGGTGTCCCTGCGTGCAATTCCAGCGGTTGGCGACTTGTGCTCACAGAGCGCAACAACGCCGGTCATGGGGCCGCCGCTACTCGTACGATCACGGTCGAGGACTTCCTCATCAATGTCGCCACCAAGAATCTTGAGGACAAGGTGGCTGCTGCTGGTATGATTAACTCTCCGCGGATGGCCAGAAGGGTATATCTTTAATCTCCAGTTTTGGATATTATATCGGTACTGATGATTCTGAATTGACAGGGAGACACGTATCGGACTCTGTGTAGGAACAACAGGGACGGGCTGTGCCCCAACGGCAGCCGCTGTCCGAATGATCACTCTCTTATCGAGACGATGCGTATGCAACGCATCGCTAGTAACACACACCACAGGGCTGCCATCGTCTATGTTTCAATCAAATATGTCAATCGCGACTCCTGGCAGGTCGTTGCCAAGGTTAGAGCTCGTCAAGGCGAGACAGACCCTTTCAGTGTTCCCACGATGCTACCCGTCCCTTTATTTGCTGCGGACCAGAGCCTGGACAGGGCGTTGCGGAAAATTGAGTCGAAGATGGCGAGGCGTGATGCCCTTGCTTTGGGAAGAACCATTGTATGTGTTTAGTACATGGAGGGCTTCGTCCTATGCTCAGTTTCCTACCCAGCCTGCTCAGGTTCCCAGCGAAAATCCGCCGCCATATTCTGCTGTTCAAGCGCAAGCTCCCACTGACGAATATTATGGCACATCGAGTGAGTGATGTCGGTGTCTGATGTGATTGTTTGCTCATATATCTCACTCAGCTGTATCCTCGAGCATCTCTGTTGCGACGCAGCATGCTAGAGTTTCAGTAGTCATACAGCCAACAGATACCCCGACTATGCCGTCACCCGGTGAGTGACATTTAGTTGAATATGTCTGATGCAGGAATCATGCTGATCTCGCATCCTCAAGCCTACACAATGCCAAGCGCGAGTTCGCCTGTGACCAATTATCGTGAATCTCCATTCCAACGAGAGCGAGAGCCGCTCGTGCACTCGAGCAACTTGTCTACTCGCTTCACGAACTATGGTAGCCATGTGTTCTCTCTGCATGTGCAACTGTGCTAACAGAATAGCAGGCACTACATCGCAGCAGCAAGCCGTGGGCGAACATGTGTCAGAATTCTTCGGTTACCTTGTATGCTTTGCATCTCTTGCAGCGATTATGGGCTTCTTCATATGGGCCATCTACAACTACGGTGTATGGATCGTGTTAGGATGTGTCCTTGCTGTTCAAATGCTTGCATCAGCTATCGTCGAATACGGCTTCAAGGAGACCGTGGCGTTCTTGCTTGTATTCGGCTCCTTCGCATGGGCCCTTTACAACATGGAGTTTACAGGATCGCTGTCTGTTTAGTCGTACTTCAGATCTTTAGTACCTGCTTCTTGACGTTCACACTGGGGATAGCAAAGATCGTGTATGCGTATTGTACAATATCATGGTGATCGGTTGAATGAGCTGTGTAACACGATTTATAGATATATCCAATTCCGAGTTTGCAGGGGTTCGCTGTGGTGTTTAGATTTACCTTGGGACTGCAAAGGTTTTAGTACCCACCCGCACGCGCTAATCGGATGATAATTGATTGTGACGAGGAGCATCCCTTCATACGAGACTAGATTGGCACCATCGTAGATGGTTGAGATGGAGCTGCCCACTTCCGCTGGTGGCCATGTTGAACGGAAATGGACCACTATCCCCCTGAACTATGCTAGAGATCGAAAGCGGTTAGAATTGACCATGCACAGCCTATCGTATTGATATGCTTACTGTAGAGCATGACGGGAAGCTTGGGCACGCAATTGCCACACGACTGGTGTCAAGTTGACGTTGACCACGGGAGAGAAGACGTTAAGATACACGCAATGTTCGTCCGCGTATCGAAAGTGACCGTTGTCTGCGTCAGGATGGCTATGAGCAACATCAGCGGACTAGTAGTACGAAGTGCCGCACGGAAGAAGTCCCTACCTGAGCGCACGCTGTCCCATAAGCGAGAGCCAATCGCTCAGAACCTGCCTCAATCCAAACAGCGGTAGGAGACTGGAATGTGGCACAACCTGCGGTTGACTTTGCACACTTAATTCCCGAAAACGGCCACGACACCTGTGGCACGCTGATTGCGGCTCGGTCACATGTCGCCGTCTGTCCTTCAAAATTGGGCCCAATTTGAATGTATCGTATGTACAATAGCATGGATTCTACATCGTCCTTGTCATTGTAGAGTGCTGAACTGTATGGCTATTGGTTATATATTTTTTTTGTGGGAAGTGGCATGACATACGTAGTTTAGCCCATCATATCCACCAGTGAACCCAGTGATACCTGCAAGATCTGGTCAATGAAATCCACGCAATTGATCTCTGGAAGGCTTTACCTGGCCAATGTCATATAACCCTCACGGGCTCCCGAAGAAAAAGCCCAACTGGCTTTGAACGAAGTCGCACTGCGCCACCCTGTATGCCTCTGACGTCTCCATCGCCGTCGCATTGATGACGATCTCATTGTCGCCTACGTATGATGTCCACTCCACTTCAGCACCTTCGTAATTCGGATTGCCCGTCCATGCAAGCGATGTCCACCGATTGATCACCTCTCGCGTCGTCACCACCTGACTCTCGGTGAGCGGCTGGTATAGGTTGTCCGTCTCTGCGGTGGCAAACACCCAGTAGAGTTCGTCTGCATGGCATACTTGGCCAGGGCACGTCGCAGGGTTGGGAGTGAGCGGAGAGCCGAGGCCGGTTGCGAACTCCACCTTGTAGGAGTTGCCGGGATTGGTCGTGTTCGTCTCCAGAGAGGAGAGATAGACCATTGGGCAGTGGACGAAGTAATCGGTAAAGAGCCGTGCGAAGGTCAGGACTGCACCGGAGATGCCGTCCTCCGCAGAGGCAGTCTGGTATGGATACAGATCTGTCGCATTCAGGATACGCTCTGCCTGGGTGCTGTTGAAAACGAGCGACAGGCTATCCGGGAACACAGAGGACGAGGAGTTCGGAGGGATGCTCGCTGGCATAAAGTAGCAAAACTCGCATTCGTTGCTCGTCCAGATCGTCGGAACACGAGCGTAGACTCCATCCTCGATGCTTGATGCTATATCTGTCAAAACGTAGTCGCCATCGACAGTGATATCCCAATAGATGCCGAGATAGTATGCGGCCATCGCGATATCGCCTGCCGGGAGGTTCTGAACGCATAGAGCCATCTCATCTGTGAAGAAGGTCGATGAGTTGACCGCACATCCTAGATACTTTGCGAGCGTTAGGGAGTTATTCAGCGCGAGTGTCGGAGCCAGGAAAGGATATAACAGAGGGAAATCCGATTCGAGTATTGCAGCACCTGCACAACGTTATGACACTTCATAATTGCTAGAGCAATTGCCGTAACTCACTGAAAAGACCCTCTGTGTACTTAGGATTTGTGCCCAGGAGATATCTGGTCATTACACCGCCCGCAGATTCGCCGAAGATCAGCACTTTCGTTGGCTTTGCACAAGACGTTACGTGTCATCTCCAAGTAGTTCATTAGTAAACAGGATCTGACTTACGTCACCGCCGAATGATTCAATGTTGTCTTGCACCCAATGCAGGGCTAACAAGGTATCTTTCAGGGCAGCGTTGGAGGCGTTGAACCACCCGAACGCAGTAAGGCGGTAGTTGATTGTGACTAAAACGACCCCTCCGTATGAGACTAGATTGGTACCATCGTAGATACTTGAGATTGAGTTGCCCACAAAGCCGCTGGTGGTCATGTTGTAGGGAAACGGGCCACTATCTCCAGTGTTGAGGCCGCCCCCGTGAACTGTGATCCAGATGCATATCAGAAGAGATGTATACGGCTTTCAATGATCGCACATACTGAAGAACATGACCGGAAGCTTGGGCGCGCTCTCGTCATGTATCGTCCCAGAGTTGACGACGGGAGAGAACACGTTGAGATACATGCAATCCTCGTCCGTGTACAGAAGGTGACCATTATCAGCATCGGGCGGCTATACATTGCATGAGTCGAATGTGAGCTCTACGTCAGGAAAGCCCTTTACCTGGGCACACTTTGCACCATAAACGAGAGCCGATCGCTCAGTGCCTGACTCGATTTGGACTGCGGTGGGAGGCTGGAATCTGTCTTGGCCTGCAGTTGACTCTGCGTACTTAATGCCTAGGAACCGAAAGCTGAATTTGTCCCTGAAGCCGGTAAGAATGCCAGCTGAAGGAGTGGACAACTGGATTTGGCGCGAAGTGTCATAAGATGTGACGTTCGACCGGGTGAATGGCGCAGAATTCGTGCATAGAACTGGTAGAAACTCGTTTGGATCGACAGCACCTCCAGGCTGGTACCCCATCTCGGAATACTGGTAGCTTGGTGTGAACGCGTTGCACGTGTCCGTGGCTGCTCTGGCAAAGTGAGCAAAGCCATTTACAAGATACAGGATGACGGCCACTCACCGTCTCCAGCAACCCAGACCTGCTGAGTTCTGCTCAAAGCAGCACCATGCCTCTCGGACACGAGCGCCGCGGACAGGTTTACTGCAGTCAAGCCTGTGCTGCCAGGTGCAGGAAGCAGAGTCTCCTGTAGCTGAGAACACGCCTCGTACGCCTGCGAGCAGTTGAAGCCGCTCTTGAGATACAGCGCACTTGCACGATTTGGGTTCGAGGGGTTCAGGTCATTGTTGGATATGACCACTACGTCCGTGTCAGGGTATATCGATCCAGCATTAGCAAGCCTCGTTGAGATGAGGAGCACAACGATAGATCCGCAGAGATAGCTGAAGACGGGCTTCATGACACGCTCAGGTTTGAAAATGCAACGTTATGCCACCTAGCCTCTTTATGCCGGCCTGCTTTATATGCTCTCGAGCACCGATTCGGGCGGCGATGATGAAAGCCTTGATCTAACCATTCACGAAGAGAGCGAGTGTGCGGGGCGCCCGTCTGCATATGCTTCTGTCAAAGACAGGTGACATGTGTCCTCCCCCTACTCAAAAGAGGAGATTTATAGGTCTGCCTAGGGGAGACAAGGTGACATGCATGGTTACAATGTAGTACGTGGAAGTGGTCCATGCGAATGGAGGTGTTCTTGCTTCGCTAATCGTTATATCATTGACTCTCACCTATGGGCCGCGGTGTGAGTTTTGCCTCCACTGATACGGCGACGTGCGAAGTTTAACCAATGTGTTGCGATCACAGAGCAGGGCCATACAAAAGCAAACGTACGGATAGCCGCCATCATGTCTGCTGAGTGAGAGGTTGATGGCGGACTGAGTATAAGGTCCCGGTGGCGGACCTATATATTTTGAGCGGATCAATGATCGCTGATCGCGGGCGCCTGTCGAACTTGAACCGAGACGTCGACGACCTCGTTCGTGCTCCTCCTCGACCCGCCTCGACGTCGCAGCAATTTTAACTAGCTCGCTTCTCGACATCAAAAATTGCGCAGTGTCCTCGACTCATGGAATAAATTTTACCGAGCGCTTCCGAAAACAACGTGTGGGGAACGTTGCCAGGTGCCGAGGTGCATGCACGACGGCTTCTATCGATAGCGCGCGTCTGACATGCTCGTCCATTGTCCCATTCCGCGGCATTGTTGTACCGGCCGCACCTATAAAACGATGTGCGCAGCCGCCTCACGGCCTTTTTTGTGCTGCTGGTGCACCTCTAGCCGCCTTGGAAATCTGAACCTGGCTCGTCTCGATTCTTCACCCCTCCTTTGGACACTTTCCTTATCGCCTGCGTAGCGATTGTCTCTGTACATTCCGCCGCTAATACCCTGGCCACGACCCTGTCAGCATCGCGCCCTCATCCCTATTGTATTCTGCCTGTACTGCTTACACATTGATCCGACTTCCACCAATTATGCGTAATCCCGCCGTTCTGCTGCGTTTCATCATCTTCTGTGAGGTGATTGCGCTTATAGACATTGTATCATGCTGACAGAATCTTGATTAGTCTTCTTGCTGTATGTCAACGTCCTGGCGATGGGATTTGCGGCTTGGAATCTTTCGGCAGTAAAGAGTGCTCAACTTGACGGTGTGTGCATATGCATGTCCTCTCTTCTGGAGAGATCTGCTCACCTGCTGTCTTGTTTAGTCGAGGGCCCTGCAATCTTCGTGATATTCAATTCATGCTGCATCTTGCTGTATACTGCACTGTGAGGATTGCAGGCTGCCCGTCCGTAGGATTGCTCTGTTGACCGATCATTTCAGATGCTTCATAGAACTTTTCTATCCATCCTTCGGGTCTCCAAAGATCATGTTGGAATGTGTCGCGATTGCTGCATTTGGCATGCTTCAGTTTGGTACGTCGCCATCCACCTGCGTCAAGCCAAGTACTGAGGGTGTCACGATGTGGCAGCTGCTGCGGTTGATGCAACGGTCAGCGGTCCGCCCGTAGTATGCAGCGGCAGCGGTATGACAGTATTTCATCACGCTATCACCGGCCGTAGACTGAATGCATCTGACCAGGCAACGTTAACCCCTGCGCGTCTTCGTCCGTTTTGGTGGCTGTCACATGGATTTCAGCCTCCACAGGTGCGTCCTGAGACCAGCGTTTCACTACTGTATCTGATCAATCTTGCAGTTCTCATGTACCTATTTGCATTCATCGGCATCGTCGCGATGCATGCAAGAGTTCAGGGTGCTATCTGGGGATGTACAGTAACGTCGGTCGCGTGGTTCGGTCTCCAGCGGTCACCTTATGGGAACAGCGACTTCAAGGACGCCGAACGGAACTTTTACGAACTCAAGGATGATGAAGTGCGGCGGGCCGTATCTTCCGTGTTCGGCCACGACCCATTCACGGACCAGGCGGAGAAAGGGGCTACCGTCGTGCGAGGACTGACGATCTCAGCACCGCAGAGCAAGAGCGTGGAGAGCTTCCGCCCACAATGGGCGAAAGATGTCGAACCACGTCGTGGTGTCGACCCGCCCTTCTGCTCGCCTCCGCCCAAGTCTCCTGGTGTGGTCCAGAAGGTCAAGTCGTACTGGAGCGCTACCACCGCCTCGATATATGGCGCACCGCCGCTCCCGCCCAAGGCTCGCACCATCGCTTCACGAGGATACCCAAGACGGAGCGTGGGCAGCGAATTGAGCCTACCGATGATCGCGTCTACCCCAAGTCGTCCGATATCGTACGGAATCTTCCCGGAAGACGTCGCGGATCCCGATGTCCCGATACAAACACATAGACGAACAGAATGGATCAGGGCGCAGGACGCCCATGCATCGAGCATACATACGGGATATGCTCGATGAGAAGCTGCCCTTTGACAGGCCAGTTTACGTTTACGACTATGCATGATATTGATGACTGTCAGCGACACATCTGTATAAAGTTCGCCCACGCATTCCCTGTATCAACCAGCTAGCCATTGATTGCGCATATACGTATTTATCCGCTCATTGTAATAGAATCATAGACTGGGTCACGAAACAAATGTGAAAACGAATTCATACCATTCGAACCAGATACGTTATCATGACCCGCTGTCCTCCAGTTCTCTGATTCGGATGAGGAGCTTGCGATTCTCCTCGCGGGAGTCTGCGAGGGCAACAATTACTCCTTCCAGCTCCTGACGCGTCTCTTCAAGTCTCCGCTCGTTATCCTCCTCGATCTCACCGGCACTTACGGCGATCCCTGACAGATATGTCAGCGGTGTGGAAACTTTGGTACGATATATCAACAGAGCCTGCGACCGACCTTGCACCAATTTCACAAGCCGCCACAGACGCAAGACTATGAGCAGGGAGGCCAGTTCCCTCTCTCGCCCTCTCAGGACCACCTCGAGCACGAACGTCGTGAGGATCACGACTGCATCGAAGAAGTGCAGCGAGGAGTGTGTCACGCGTGAGCCTGGCCTGTAGTAGGTCCATCCAAAGGCCCAAATCGCGACGGGTATTTCAATAAGGAAGAATGTCGTGATCGCAAGTGAGATGTGAGCGAGGATCGTTAACCAAAACGGCTGATTGTCTTCATCAGGCATGCAAGTCTCGTTCAGGAAAGTATAGCTCAGATCGGCGAGGACGCAACCGGAGTCGATCAAAACCTGCAGTGGATAACAGGTGGGAATGTCGGCAGGTGTATCAGTGATTCAAGAGGATGATACGAGCCAGTGCGATGACCGCCTTGTGAAAAGGAGGCGACTCGAGGAACTCGGCCGTTCGCTCTTTCCGCTGCTCATGCTTCGACTTTCCGTAGTGTGTGCCGTCACCGTCACTGGGCTCATAAACCTGTTGAGACGGCAAGAGAGGTTCCTGCTCGGACATGGCGATGGAATGGAGAAGAGGGATGCTACCCCGCAAGCGCGTACCAACCGCCTGTGCAAGGCACGACGACGGCACTTGTGACACAGCGCCACCAGCGCGAGGCATCAATTCGGCATGTGACAGCATGCGCCTTCGCGTCGCGTAACAACCGTGACAACGCGTCCGCGCGCGCAAGCCACTTCGCGCATCGCCCCCTCCTCCCACCCAGCAACGAGGGACTCGTACCCTGTCAGGCCTTGGGAGAGCCAAGATATGTTACAGAGTCAGAGGCTCTGGATTTCCTCCTGTCAGCGCTCCCCCGTCCATTCAGCGATGGGGCAGTGCGCGACGTCAGGTCGTTGATGCCATCCATAGAGTGTCGGCTGCCAGTGATCCGCGTATTAGAATTCCGTCAAATATGCCAACGTCTCAGCTCAGTCTCCTCGGACCTTCCCCTCCTCTTCCTTCGTTGGGCACAGACTGCGTCGGCCCCTGGTTGTTTCGTTTCTGTTCTAACCCCTGGTGGCCTTTTCGTTCTTTACCTCTACAATACAGCTGGTCTATCCTTTGTTTTTCCTTTTAAGCAGCATCCGTTTAATCTTTATTGCCTAAGCTATGTTGTCGTGGTCTGCATTCCGATTGTACAGGAGGGTTCTTTTTGGTGAGTTCATCAACATCAGTTACTTATGAAAATCATACTGATGACTCGGCACTAGGCGTGGCATCAGTGATAAGCCTGCTATGGGCAATTACCTTGTCTGTATATATTTCTCGAGAGTGGAAGCGTGCTATTCACGCTCAGCGTAAGTCTCCAAAGACATGGCCCGAAGTTGTGTCGGCTGATGCACAAGATAGGTATTGTGGCATTGCTCATGATTGCTGCCAACGCATTCTCATCTGTTCTACTGTATTTGATGTGAGACAGCATTCTTGTTTCATCGTGTGATCATCCTGATATGAACTCCGGCGATAGGATCGTTGTCATTTTCCGACTTCGGTTAGAATTCGCACGGACTGTATTCTTGTTCTTGCTTTACCTCGGTTAGTCTGCAATTTCTCGTCTTCGACATCAGTCCACTTAGTCGACTTGCAGGAATCGCTGTACCGTTAACACTCGTTGGACCGAAGTTCAATTGTGCTATCTTCGGTACGTGTCACGTTGATCAAGACGGATTAGAAAATTGTACAGGCACTGATGGACCCTCCAGCTTCGAAGCAAGCTTGCAGCGCATCTTACGACTTTTCATTGTTTTTGACATGGACATTTGTTGCTATATGTAAGTACGCTATATGTCTTTAGCATCAACAACCTCATGACGATCATCCAGTTATTATACACGCAATATTCCTGTGCGTGATGTCTACGATCCCAGAACCAGAGCCGCCCAAGGACGACGAGTCCTTCGTTTCCGATACAAAGGATCTCGAAGGCAACCTTGAAGCTACCAACGAACCCAACAGCGCAGACTTGGTCGTGTCTAAGGCCGAACGCGTGCAAGTCGTTCCCGCTAAGCTAATATCAGTAGAAGACATTGCACGTGTCCCGTCCCCTCCGAAGTCGCCTTGGCAATTCTCGCGCTCTGGCACAGCGCTCTCCACAACGAGCGGGTTGAGCATGATGCCAATGCTGCCATATGGGGCATCTTCCTACGATGGATTTCTTAAGCGCACAGACAGTCCTGCGCCGTCATACCGCTCGCAGGAATCGCCTCGCCCGAACTTTGCGCGGGTCCCCGTCCGCCGCGAACGCCCGTTACTGCTAAGTCGATACGCATTGGATCCTCTCTTGCGGTCGGCTTCGCAGAGCTCCACAGACTCGACGACTACAGTGGAGTCTATCATCAGCTCATACAGCTCTGAGGTGGATGCAGAGACACTGCCTCGTCCTCCAGAGGCCACTCTTGCCGCGCATATCAGGTCAAGCTCTCCGCGATCGCTGCCAATCGACAATGTCCCTCCCCAGCTCCGTCCCGGCACTCCCTCATCTGCCAGCAGGGGCCCATCCGTGTACTCAATAACGCCTACCGTCGGGCGATGCGACGTGTCACACGTCTCGTCGCGCCCGCTTACTCCGGATTCTATACATTCGGTGGCGCCGAGTCTGTTCTTCATGGGCGGGCCAGGAGAGGCGGTCGTCGCGACTACCCCTGTGAAGGCTGAGATGGCGAAGCCCTCCGTTGTCATTGGGCCGGCGCCCAAGCCGCTCTCGGGACTGTCGCGCCAACCAACGTACGCGCTGCGGTTGCCCAATCCGTATGACGCGGCGCTGGGAGATGCAAATTCGACCAGGGGCGAACCGGTGCCGATGCCTCCGCTGAGACGCAATCTTGGTGGACAGCGTGTACTTCCATAGTTGTCTTGCTCGTTCACCTCCCTTCTGCGTTGCACGTCGCGCGAATCGACATGTTCACGGAGGTTCACCCAGACGCTCCCCCCCCCCCCCACTTATGGGCCATGGCAGCGATGCGGCTTCGCGTTTACGATGCCCATTTGTATGTTCAACACTCAGTACCCTCTCACGGATAACGTTCGGGCGGCCTACTCCTAGCACTTCGCGCTGACTCAGCCATACTGGTCGTGCATATCAGATATGGGCGCTCGAAACCCGCTGCCTGTTATGTTTGTCAGTTGAGGGGGTCTGGCGCTGTAGAACGACGTTTTAAATCAATATCTAGCACCCTGACTCCACTTGTGTACCACCAAATCCATGGACGTCGTCATGATACATATCTGTCCCATCCGAGGGCTAACTGCACTAGTATGTCTCTGCCATGGGACCCAAACCTATTCTAGGAATTTGTTATAGGATAGCTTAGCAGTACCCTTTACAAGTTGCAAGTTATCATCATGCATTGAACGGTTTCGACCACGTCTACCCCGGTCACAATTGAGTAAACGAGAGCTGGCTGAGCTATTGCGCTCAGTTGTGTCTAATCGTGTTCCACCATGTCACGACACTGCCGTTTCGCCCAGGACGAAGTCTATGGCCATTATCACGCCCATACACGTCCCGCTGTGGGACTCCAGATACTCCTATCAACCGATCCTCAACCCCAAGGCAAAGCCAGCAATGAACGACGCTCTCTGCTGGAAGTCCGCCGTCAAGAAGTCCACGATCCCCTTGAAAAACGACCCGGCACTCGGGGCCCTCTTCGCTCCCGTAGCATCCTTGGTGTAGAATAAATTCTCGAAGCCAGTCGCAGAGCGAGACCAGTCAACATGTAGAAGGTCAAGGGAGCCGAGGTACTGCAAAAGCGTCAGTCGACGTTCGCAGATCCGCGGGAAGAAGCTACGGAACCGACCTGGAGCAAGACGAACATGCCGCCGAGGACAAATGCAAGTGCCTTGGCACCCTTCTTCACGAAGACTCCGGCGCATATGCCAGTCACCGTGCCGAATGTGAGCTCCAGATAGCTTACGCTGGAGGACGGCGGCGGTGGCGGCGGTGGCGGAGAGTCGGGGATCTGGAAAGGGGATGGGGGGCTCTGCTGAGGCGCGGGAGCAGGTGAAGCACTGGGCGGAGCTAGTAAACGATATGTCAGCTCTTTGCCAAGCTATCCTGTGAGGTGATACAAAAGAAGAACGTACGTTCGCAGAAGATCTTGGGTGCCGCGTATAAGGAGAGACCTAGCCCTACACCAGCTGTTCCGACAGCTCTGATCCAGTGCGATGTGCTGCTAGCCCTCAACAGGAGTATGTTTGCATTCTTGCCTCTCGCTGATGGAAAGTACTTCTCGTAAAGAGTCGCGTTGGGCGAGCGGAGACGCGTGTTGAAGATGTGTCGCGACAGGCTCGCGTTCTGGAAGAGCTTGGGACGAAGTGTTGTGCTAAAGTTGCGAGAGAAGCCAAGTGTACACGGGGTGAACATGGTGGGCGCAGCGATGGGAAGTGTATATTCTGGCGTGGCGCAGGAAGTGAGCGCGACAAGTGGCAAAGCCATGACATCATGTCATCTGACCGCGACCGTCACGAGATGTCACCGGCGTCTGTCACACGACCGCGAAATTTCCTACTATCCTTTCCGGGAAATCAATCTCCATTACATTCATTCAATATGGGACGTCGTGCGAAGAACAAACAAGGGCCACCCGAGCCTCTAGAGGATACATTGGCACAGGCAGGACGGCATTCGGCGAACAAGCTCGGTAAGCGCAAGGCTGAGGATGCGAAGGAAGGTCTGAGCAAGAGGCCAGCCAAGAAGGCTCGCGAGAACAAAGAGAATCCAAAATCCAAGACTCTTCTCGGGAAGGGCAAGGTATCCGAAAAGCCAGGAAGGGCTCCTAGCAAAGCAAAGACGAAACGGAAGGAGGACGTTGAGGAAGAGGAAGGTGGGAACAGCGAGGGATGGGAGGACGTCGAGGGCGACCAGGATCTAAAAGCACATGCAAGGTGGGTTTTCTTCACTCAAATCGCTGGGTGTATCTCAATGCAACACGTATAGGTCACTATTCCACGATAGCGATGATGATGCAGAGGGAGGTTTCATCGGTGACTTGGACGATCTCGAAATGGCCGGTGCCGACGCGGACGAGTGAGTTCACTGTCCATCTTTTTTGCATTGGCCCCTTATGCCACATATAGCGATGATCTCCTGCAAGGTCCTATACGAGAGCTCGATTTGGATTCTGATGATGATGAGCTCGAGATCGCCCCCGCCAGGACCAAGGGCAAAAAGTCGAAGCAGCACGAACGCCCCGCGAAAATCATCCCCACAGCTTCTGACCAGTCATCGTCTGATGAGGAGGATGAAGAAGACAGTCCTGTTACCTTTGCGAACATGGAGGCTCGGTCAAAGGCTATGGACGCAAAAGCAACGCGGGAAGCGGAGCTTGACGCAAAGGAGATGCGTGAAGCCGAGTTTGCTGGTGCGGAGGACGGCGACTTCGCAGATGCGGATGTGGATGAGGACATGGATGGTGAAGACGGCAAGGGCGAGGAAGCATTCCGTCTGCCTTCAGCGGAGGAAAGGGAGGAAGAAAAGAAGAACGGTGGACCGGATGTGCATACAGTACAGCGACGTATGCGAGAGTGCGTCCGTGTGTTGGGCAACTTCAAAAAGCTGGCAGCCAAAGGTCGGTAAGTGCTCTCATGTCCCATGCTTTGTGTTGTGTTCTGTGTTGTTGATAAGTCTTGAAGATCACGCTCAGAGTATGTGCAGCAGCTCATTTCGGACATCGCGAGCTATTATGGATACAACGATTTCCTCGCAGAAAAACTGTTCCAGCTGTTCCCGGTTGCGGAGGTACGTAATGTTACCATTCGCGTGAGGCTCATCTAACAGCCGTCCAGGCGATCGAGTTCTTCGAAGCAAACGAGGTCCCCAGGCCGGTGACTATCCGAACAAATACCCTCCGCACACGTCGGCGCGATCTTGCGCAAGCGCTCATCAACCGGGGCGTCAACCTCGAGCCTATTGGAAAGTGGACAAATGTGGGTCTACAGGTGTTCGAGAGTAGCGTGCCAATCGGGGCGACTCCCGAGTATCTTGCGGGACACTACATGCTCCAGGCCGCCTCGTCTTTCCTTCCGGTAATCGCATTGTCTCCGCAACCCAACGAGCGGGTACTGGACATGGCCTCAGCGCCCGGTGGGAAGACGACACATATGGCGGCGCTGATGCAAAACACAGGTGTTGTGTTCGCGAATGACGCAAACAAAGTGCGGACGAAGAGTCTCACTGCAAACATACACCGTCTGGGATGCAAGAATGTCGTCGTGTGCTCGTATGACGGCAGAGAGTTCCCGAAGGTGATAGGTGGCTTTGATCGAGTACTGCTCGATGCGCCGTGCAGTGGCACGGGCGTCATCAGCAAAGACGCTAGCGTGAAGACGAACAAGGTATGCTCTTGTCGACTTATTACATTGTCAAGCGCTAATCGACGCGTCATATACAGTCCGAGCGCGATTTTACCCTCCTCTCGCACCTCCAAAAGCAGCTCATTCTCTGCGCCATCGATAGCGTCGCGCCTGACTCGAAGACCGGCGGGTACCTCGTCTACTCCACATGCTCCGTGATGGTCGAGGAGAACGAGGCGGTCGTGGACTACGCGCTGCGCAAGCGGCCGAATGTGACGCTCGTCGACACGGGCCTCGAGTTCGGGCGCACGGGATACACCAGGTACCGCGGGAAGGTGTTCAACGAGAAACTAAGCCTCACTCGGCGGTTCTACCCGCACGTGCACAACATGGACGGGTTCTTCGTCGCGAAGTTTAAAGTCGAGCGACGCACGAAAACGAGGCCGGGCAGGGAGGATACCGGCAAGGGCAGCGCGGAGGTGGAGGCGGGGGAGCAGAAGGCGTTTGATAGCGATGAGGACAGGGCGTACATGGACATGGCAGGTAAGTTGACGCATTTTCCACATGGAATGCGCGGGGCTGACGTTCGTATTCGTCATTACACAGAAATCAAACGGAAGAGGATGAAGGCCAAGGGACTGCGTGTCCCTGCGCAGCTCAAGTCCAAGCTGGAACATGCACCCACTGTCGAGGCTGTTGCATAGGCCCCGGGCTTGTATCCTTTAAATTTCGCATTAAGAGGGTTTCTATGATATGTAGCGCGTTCGATCTGGCTCTGCATACACGCTGCTGGCTGTAATAGCCAAGACCTCTCGGGGATCGCCAGCGGCATAAGGGACCTGTTCGCCGTCACATGGCGCCGCGTGCGGTGGTTTTCTACCGTATATGTAGTCGCTGCTAGTAACCCTCAGACCGCACGGGCTAACGCAGCCGCACGCCGAGTCAGCCCACGCTTATCGATTGAAGGTGCACAGTACAGTGTAAGTGACAGATACATTTAGACACGTCGGAGCCGGTATATGACAGGCGTGGAAGGTATCAATTATATCAATGCGAAGGCAAGAAGCGGCAAAAGCATATCGTACATCGCTTCCATCTCCAACGGTCTATGCAGCTCTATGATTCATGTGGGAGCCAGGGCTATCATAGCTGCGCTGCGGAGGCGGTCGTCCCGGACCCGCACCCCCGCAATCTAAAAAGGGTATACCAGACCCCTAGTACATTGTGGCTTTGCTGAGAACACGAGGAATCAGCATCAGCCGAGCGTTACGTGATAGGTGGCAGAAAGGTTGCCAGGGAGGGCAGCTTACCGATATCTTTTGCCATAGGCACAAACAGCGGCTGATGCACCGGCCGTCGCCAGCCAGAGTGCGACAGTTGCTCCCAAAGTCATCCAGACCTGCGCACAAGTCGTCATGATTTGGCAACCCATCATGATGCAACGCCAGAGCACGAAACGTGCGTGTTAGCAGATCGAGTCAATCAATCGCGAGAAGCGTGCAGGCGCTACACGCACCGCATTGCCCCAGTTGAGGGTTAGGGCACCGTCGGAGCCGGCGTCGACCTTGCGGCGCATGACGGCGACGAGGATGACGTCGATAAGGAAGACGATGGTGATGAGCACGGCAGCGAACAGACTGCCTACGAGCGTGTAGATACCCCCACAGCGTGACACGCGATCGCCGGGAACGGGCCGGCGGCGAAGCAGGAACAGGGAACTGACCAGAGGGATGAAGGCGAACCCGCACGCTGCACCACAGAACCAATCAAGATCGAATCAGAAGAGGGCCACATCAGGTAGCCCTGCTGACGCACCGATGGGGTGCAGGACCAGGATAGCGCTAGTAGCACGCGAGATAGCACCGCTGCTGAGGTTGACACCAGTGAGCTTGAGGGCGGCGAGGACGGCGGGGCTGAGGTCGTGGCCGAGCGTAACCTTGGAGCAGGATGCACCGGTGCTGTCGTTGTAGCCGAGGACGCTGGTCACAAGGCGAAGGGCATGATCGTCAGAAGCGTATTTGGAACAATTCAGTGGGCGACACACTCACGAGACGTCTAATGCCGATACGCAGTAGCCCCACACGCCGAACCAGGCGCTGCCGTCTGCATTGAGAAAGCCAGAGGTGTCATGACCCACGAGATGGAACAGGTATATTATATTTATTATCGGCACAGAGAGAGACACGAGCAGGAGGAGCAGGAACGCGTCGAGCAGAAAGAAGGGTGTCAGAGCAGCTAGCATTTCTAAAAAAAATCACGTCCTTTTTTGCACGGCGCAGGAATCGTCAAGGACGCTACGTAGCAGTGCAGCACAGACAGAAGAGAATGTTGAGGAGAATACCATTGCGCTACCGAGGAGGACTATATAGCGCAAGAACGCAAGTGCCGCACAAGATCCTGAAGGCAGAGCAAGTTCCCCAAAGCTGGCGGCAGGCGAGCAGACACCGACACGTTCTCCGTGGGCAATAGGCGTTATCATGGCGCAGCAGAGGATGGATGCAGCGAGTGGCTGGTGAGGAGGAGGACAAAGGCAGAGCCAGGACGGATAATATAATGTTGGAATGGGTTGTGGCGGGGAGAACATATAGACGCGTGGGAAGCGGGGTGGTCGGAGCTGGAATGGTGAAACAGTCGAGACGCATTCACCGCGTCGACGCTTGCCCGGAAGAGAAAAGAAGCGTTTCCAAGCGAGCAATAGATCACGACCTGGACGCCAAGGCCAGAGCTGCCCGTAACCCTGCTATGCAGTCCCTTTCCTCTGGCAGCAGGGCGAGCAGAGAAACGCGACGGGCAGAGGGAGAGGAGGGCCCAGCGAGAAACAGAGCACAAAGGAGGAAGGTGGCGGGGTGAGGACGGCGGATCTGCCGTCTGATGAGAGGCGGCTGATTCCTGACAGTCGCAGCAGCAGCTCTTCCTTCGTCTCCACGCGGACAGCGCCGTTCCCACACCCTCACATTCCATCAACTACAGCCACAGCTCCTCTGCCGCTCGCTGCTCGCTCATTGCCCTTTCCGCCCGCCTCCACCACCGCATCTGAGCACAGATGGGGCCAGATGGGATGGCGTGGGGGTGCCCGGCGTGAGTCAGATGAGCGATGCAGCAGCAGCGGAGGCGTCGCCTGATTGGGACGCGTTAACGTGGGCTGCTCAGAGTAGTTTAGCTTTGTTTGTACCCGTCTGGTTAAGGGATAAGAAGGCGCGCCGTCCAGAGCTAATTCTCTCCCTATCTCTTTCTCTCTCGTTCTCTCTTCTTCCTGCATTGTCAGGCCAAGATCAGCCTCTCTCTTCTCATATACCACTAATGTACGTGCTCACCTCTCGATCACTGCCAGTCATCTTTCCTACTTCTCTCCTCAATCATACCTTTTTCTTGTCCCATTTTCGCTCGCGCGACGCGTCTGACTCGCTGTGTTTTCCAGCTCTCATCCACGAGTACTACTCCGTAATGTCTGACGCCATTGCTTCCGCGCCTGCCCCCGTCGAGGACTTCAAGACCACAGAGGTTCCCGCTACAGAGCCCACCGCCGCTCCTGAGCCCACCCCTGAGGTAGATCCGGCTGCTGTAAGTATCTGCGCGATCTGTATCGGTCGTGTGTTGAGCATTGCAAATTTCCAATTAGGAGCCAGCCGCGGAGGATCCCAAAGCTGAGGTGAGGTGATCTCCTTCCGATAATTTGTTCACCGTGTCTGATACGACCGCTGTCGTCTAGGAGGCTGCGCCTGGTGAGGCATCTACGGAGGCTCCTGCTTTTGAGCCCGCCAGCGAAGCCCCCGCGGCTGAGGAGGCAAAGCCTGTTCGTGATACGTTTCATCTAAGCTGATCGTCGTATGTTGATCGAGTTGCCTTTTTAGGCTGAGGCCGCCACCACGGAGACCAAGAAGGAAGACCGACCAAAGAGCCCTAGCCTGCTGGCCAAGCTCCTCGCTCCTTTCAAGAACGAGAAGAAGGGTGAGAAGAAGCACAAAGAGAAGACTACCAAGAAGACCGAGAAGAAAGAGGAGGTCAGTCATATCGTTATATTTCATTCTCGATTGTCGGCTCACTCTGCGCAGGGTCCTGCTCCCTCCACTGCTGAGGAGGCACCCAAGGAGACCCAGGCTGAGGTACCGGCTGTTGAGGCGCCCAAGGAGGATGCCCCCGCTGAAACCACTGCTGAGCCGGTGAAGGAGACGTGAGTATTGATCGATGATGCAACTGATGACCGAGCCTAACATTCTCTCAGTGAGACCGCCGCGCCGGCCACCGAGACTGTTGCGGAGGCTGCCCCTGCAGAGGCTGAGTCGCCCAAGGAGGAGAAGGTAAGTTGTACCTCCATTGCTGTCAATGTTTGCTCACGGTATGCATGTAGAAGGAGGAGAAGAAAGAGGAGAGGCTCAAGTCTCCCAAGGTTACCCGCCGCTTGTCTGCGCGTGTCGGCGAGTTCTTCAAGCCAAAAGCGAAGGCGGAGCCGACCACCCCCAAGGTAGAGGAGAACCCGCCCGTGATTGAGGAGTCTGAGCCCATTGCTCCCCTCGAGAACCCCCTGGTTGAGGAAGCTGCGACCGAGCCATCATCGGCGCCCGTGGAGGAGCCCAAGGTTGAGGCACCACCCGCTGCCGCCATTGTCGCTGCTGCAGCATAAGCGTGGACTGCTCGACTGTTCTCCTATAATTATGACTTGTCACGATTACCTCTACTTGTTGATGTCTCTTACCACCATCATCCTCACTACGCCGTTCCCTCCCCGCTCATCCTGGATTGATCTAACTTTCTTTCCTTGGTATCCCTAGTGTACGACGCGGATCTAGTTTTGCTTGCTTCACATTCACGACCGACGTTCTGTCTTAGTTTCATTCATACCTGTGCAGCTAGGCCGCTGTCACTCAGCTAATGTTGATCCCGGGTAGCGCATTATTCTCCATACCCATTCCTTCTGCTCCGGATCGTGCATCCTTGTCGTTAGTTTTATCCACAGCGAGTGTCCATAGGAGATACGGCACGTCTTCCCTATGCCTGTATCTTGGGTGAACGTTAACGTCCTGCTCGCGTGAGATGAGCCGAGCAAAGATTGAGTTATTAGCGTGCGATGATCGTACTCGGCTGCACTGTTCGGAACGATGCTCGATTCTCCTGCGATTCCCAGCGTAGTGGCGTGTCGTTGTGGGATGTGCGTGTCCCCATGGGTAGATGGCTTGCTGAACGCATGCAGATCCGTGAAAATCACGAATAGAACACGAAGAGCGGCGGATGCATGTGACCGATCGAGTCAGTCGAGACGCGACGCGTCTGTATGCGCTCGTCGTATACTCCTGAACATCGAAAATGGCACCAAAACCATCTGCAGCCAAGGATAAGGACTTGGTTGAGGAGGATGAGGTCCTTCAGGCAGTCATCCTCGCAGACAGCTTCAACAAGCGATTTAGGCCGATGACGGTCGGGAAGCCGAGGGTGGGTGCACTGGGTTTTCCGCAGGTACTGGTGGACGAACTGATGGATCGGTGTAGTGCTTGCTGCCGATATGCAATGCTACACTCCTCGATTGGACGTTTGAGAGCTTAGCCATGGCCGGCGTGCAGGAAATCTTTGTGATTTGTCGGTCGTATGCCGACCTTGTGAAGGCTGCAATACGGTGCGTCTTCAGTATCACTCACCTATATATCCGTCGGCTTATCGTGTGGTCGTACAATCATCTTCCCATTTACACTGACACTCCACACTCCAGCGACTCGAAATGGTCGAAACCGAGCTCGGGTCTGAAGATCGTGCCCATCGTGACTGCGAAGGAGACGTACTCACCCGGTGACGCGATGCGCGATATCTACACGCACGGAATCATCACGTCCGACTTCATTCTCGTCATGGGCGACCTCGTGAGCAACATTCGTATCGACGAGGTCGTGCGCGCGCACAAGGAGCGTCGCAGGACGAACAAGGACGCGATCATGACCATAGTAGTGAAGGAGAGCGGGGCGCAGCATCGGACCAGGTACGTGTCGGCCACGTTAGGGTAGTAGGTGTGGGTGCTGAATGTCGAGTGTTGGTGAGGCAGGTCGAGAGGCGAGTCGGCCGTGTTTGTGCTGGACCCGCAAACTTCGGAGTGCCTGCACTACGAGCCGGTGATCGGGTACCCGCACAAGACGCACGCGCAGATCCCTCGTGAGATCCTCGCAGAGCACCCAGAGGTAGAGATTCGTAACGATCTCATTGACTGCTCGATCGACATCTGCTCGACAGAGGTATGATACAGTTGATCATGTCCCTGCGATGCCTGCTATATCTCACAGCCGTCTGCTAAGGTCCCTTCGCTCTTCCAAGACAACTTTGACTACGCCGACATCCGGCGCGACTTTGTCTACGGCGTGCTCACGTCCGACCTGCTCATGAAGAACATCCACTGCTACGTCGCGAGGGACGGGTACGCGGCGCGCGTCGCGGACACGCGGAGCTACGATGCGATCAGGTATGGCATGCACCGTGCGGTACTGGCTGCGATAGCGTTGACCCTTACGCGTGTAGCAAAGACATACTCTCTAGATGGACATTTCCGCTGGTTCCGGATAACAACCATCCCGGTGGCGACTCGTATGAGCACCTTCGGGGAAACAAGTATATTCCGAAAGACAACTCTGTTGTTCTATCGCGGTATATATCATTCTGCTCCGTATATGCTCATCCAATTATCTGCTGATATAGCCTCTGATAGCACTTGCAAAGTTGGCCCGAACACACTGATCGGCGCGCATTCGATCATATCGGACAACGCATCCGTATCTGCCAGCGTCATCGGCGAGCGCTGCACAATAGGTCCAGGGGCGGTGTTGCGGGGGGCGTACGTGTTTAACGACACTCATATCGGAGCTGGAACACATGTCGAAGAGAGCATCATCGGCGCGAACGTGCGGATCGGCGAGGATAGCACGATCCACACGGGCTGCCTAATTGCTGATGACGTTGTTCTCGGGAAGAATGCGAGGCTGGACAAGTTTGAGAGGGTATCGAAGAGGAGGGAGGTAAGCGGAGACGATGCGGATGACGAGGAGGATGATGAGGAGTGGGAGAGGGTCGAAGCTCGTCAGTGGATTCTTACCCTCCGCGACGATCATACCTTTACCTTCCATCTTTTAGACCAGAGCTCGGTGACCTCGTTCGTCGGCAAGGGCTCAAATGCCATCGTCTGGCCTCAGGCGGCTCTTGAGGCCGAAGATGAGGAGGCTGAACCTGTGGAGTCGTTCAACAATCAACGGCTCATGCGGATTGGTGCGATACAGAACTTTCCACAACACTCCCGCTACTAATTTACGATGCAGGAGATACAGCAGAGGACCTCGAACTATCCGACGCAGGCTCTGTCACCGAGTCCGAATCAGGGTCAGATACGGATACCGAAGCTTCCTCATCCCGCGCCCTCTCCCGCACCTCCTCCATGACTTCCGCATCGGTCGCGCCCGACGTGACGGGCCTGCACAATCTGCATGCAAACGCCGCCGAGTCCGAGTTCCGCTCGGAGGTCAAACAGTCACTCGACCGCGCATTCGCCGAGGGCCACAGCGTCGACAACGCCGCCGTCGAGCTCAAGACATTGCGCATGGCGAGCAACGTGCCGCTCCGGAGAGTGCGTGAGGCTGTTGTCGAGGCGATCGTGGAGCGCATTGGGATTGTCGAAGGAAACCCGACGGGACAGCGAAAGGAGATTGCGAAGACGGTTGAGCGATGGGGACCGTTGATTGACAAGATTGGCGGTGTGGATGCCGTGGAAACAGTTGAGGTGCTGCAGGTGTGTGCATATATGCGCTTCGATCATATTGCTTGGTATCTAACATAATATGTTTCCCTCCTCTAGCATCATTGTGCGCACTCTTCCCGCCTGCCTCTCTTTGGACAGATCCTTGCAGCGCTCTATCAGGCGGACATTGTCGAGGAAGAGGATATCCGCACCTGGCATGCACGGCCTTCGTCGAGAGGCGAAGGCCACAAACCCGGTCCCGTGCGCGACGGCCTGGAAAAATGCTGGGCTGTCGGATCGCACATGATCGAGCAATTTGATGAGCAGGAGAGCGAAGAGGAGAGTGACGAGGAAAGTGAAGAGGAGGAGAAGAAGGAGAGTGTGAGTGGGGAAGGTGGTGAGAAGCGGAACGAGGAACAGGCGATACCGATCGCGGTGGCGCCAGCTCAGGCGACGGTCACCACCAGCGCGGAAGCCCCCACGGTGATGGAGAAGACTATGACAAAAGTCCCGGCAGCTTCTGCATCTGCCGCAAAGCCAAAGACTGTCATTACGGCAGAAACTACTACAACGGTAGTGCAGAAGATCGAGACCGTCGCAGTAGCGGAATCGAGTGCATCTGAAAAGAAGCCCGTCAGCAAGCCCGCCGCTCCCGTTGCGGTCCAGCAGGAAACTAAGGAAATGAAGACCGCCGCCGTCCCGGCAGATCAGGAGACACCAGCGCAAATCGGTGCGGATGAAATGACCGTTCCTGCCATATTGCGCGCTGGCGTAAAGGCTGCACCCGTTGTGACAGTGCCGACAACTCAAAATGTTTTGGAAGAGGTAGACAGCGATCAAGACGGGAACTTCGAGACAAGCGAAAGTGAGGAGGAGAGCGAGGATGTAGCTGCTGTTGTTGGGACGAGTGAGGAGGAGAGCAGCGAGGGGGGCTGGGAAGAGCCATCACCGATAGGTGAGGAGAGTAGTACGAGTGCGTTGCAGGCGAGAGGTACGGAGAGTACGAGTTCATGAAGTGCGTGTATCGTTAGAAGCCCCTTGCCATCAGTCGAGATTGCTGTGATTTCATTGCTATCGATGTCTACCTTACTGAATAGACCAGCTTGCAAAAATCGCTCAAATCAAAACAGAAAGAAAATGCTGAATATGGACCGAAGAGTTGAAAAGTTCGGCCACTGGTAAGACGGTGTTCAACATAATCTTGACAATAACTGGAGATGTACATGCATGTTAGTAGTAGGCCATCTTGTGGGACATGGCCTGCACCTGCGGCTGACCATATATATGTACACGTAGTCGGTCGTTTAGTTAACAAAAAGCTTGTGGTACATGCCTTCAATAGCGACTTGATCCGTGCAAGCTGTAGTCGTACCGCGGCCATCAATGAATCCATGCTCAAAACTGCTGGTGAATCCTTGGCCATCGCCAGAACAGAATGCGGTTTCCAATAGTACGGGTGTGGAAGTAAGGGATGTCAGATTACAGCAGCGATCCTGACCTAACTTATACTAGCTGGCCAGATCCGCCCACGCATGAGATTCGAAGCGTCGTCCGTGCGGTGCACCCATGTTCATAGTTCAGTCCAGACAATTTGCTGTTTCATTGGGTCAAAAATAGCCCTACGTCCAGCTGATATTCGTAGGCTTCCTCTCCTGAGTGAGCGATCGGTGTGAGCTGAGGGAGTTGCCGGTATCAGTATTTGGAATAAGAAAGGCAAACGGTACCTCCGGTGAAATTCTGACTACGTTTGTCGGGCTCAAGGGAAGCCGTTCGAGATGAAAGCGGAGGATATGCTCTTCTGCGGATGCCATCACGCATTCCGGGCTCGAACACTGATGGCTGATCGCATTAAAGACACGTTGGAGATCCGTGGCAGCCAACAAGTACAATATGAGATTGATGCCTCATGACTGTGCGCGGTGGCCAGCATTTGAATTGAGCCGAAAGCGATGAACTTCAGGTCCAAAACCAAACGAGGGTAGTGACAGCGCCAGGCTCGAGGGCGGGTCTTCCCACGGGGTGTTCATACGATCAGCGCTCCAGTCCAGTAGCACCATCCTCTTCTCCTTCCCGCTTCGACCGCTTCCCGCGATATACCCTTCCACGTTCTTCCCCTTCAATGGCTCGTGACAGGCTCGCAGCCCTCAGGGTGCGTCTTCTTGGCTTCACACCCGGCAACCTGTTAGGAACGACAGCGAACGGCGGCTGACCCAGACAATGGCATTGGTCACTATAGGCTCAAAGGCAGCAGCAAGCTGCCGAAGATGGCTCACAACAGTCGCATGAGATGACCGGCCTCCAGACGCCCAGTGCCGTTAGCCCTGCCACCAACGGGAACAGGAATGAAGAGACCGATCCTATGAGCCGGTTCTATGCGGAGGTGCGTTTGCGCAACCTTACATGGACAACCGACGTGCTGAGCTGGTGCATATTCGTGCAGGTCTCCTCCATCCAAGATGGCTTATCAGAGTTTGGCTCGAATGTTTCACGCATTGGCGAGCTACACTCGCGCTCGCTGAACAGCACCGACGATATTGCGAACCGTCGGACCTCCGCCGAGCTAGAGGAGCTCGTCGGCAAGACGCGCTCTCTCAGCAACGACCTCAAGGATCGAATACAGAGCCTGACACAGTACCCTGTCCCTCGACCACAGGATGCGCGCATCAGGAACAACCAGGTATGTGACACCTCGTCGCCCTGCGCTCGACCGTGCTCACATTCGCCCGCTTATAGATAGGACTGCTGCGCTCGAAATTTGTAGAGATACTACAAAATTACCAACAGGTCGAACGAGACTACAGGGCGAGGTATAAACAGCGAGTCGAACGACAATTTAAGATTGGTGTGTTCATTGTGCGATTGCATCTAGGTGTCTCTGACCGCGTCACTCAGTCAAACCCGACGCAACGCCCGCGGAGGTTGATGCTGTTGTTAACAACACGGAGGGTGGCGGTGACCAGATCTTCGCTCAGGCTGTGTGTGCCCCTTTGTTATTCTTAACCATCGATCTGATGTCTTCCACAGTTGTCGAATTCGACACGATATGGCGAGTCGAGAGCAGCGTACCGGGAAGTGCAGGATCGGCATCAAGACATCTTGAAGATTGAGCGTACACTCGAGGAGCTTGCGCAGATGTTCAACGACGTGAGTTTTGAGCACGTGTGTTTTTTGTCTTGGCGTTGTTCACAAGGTTTCGTAGATGAGCGTACTTGTGCAACAACAAGACGAGTCCATCAACGCCATAGACACGACCGCTGCAGAGGTTGAGGAAAACACTAAGAAAGGGTATGTTCTAGCCTTCTTCCGTCCAACGTCGTACTGCTGAGCTTACTTCTTGTCGCATAGACTGGAACAGACGGAGAAGGCAGTGGTGCACGCACGGCGAGCACGGCGGATGCGCTGGATCTGCGCTATCATCGTGTTCATCTGTCTTGCGGTCGTGGGCATTGTCGTCGGTGTCGTCGTCAGCAACAACGTGAAGAATAGTCATAACTCATGATCCTGCCGCATCTCCTCTTCCTGTTAAGTGGGCTGTTTCACCCACCCCATCATCCTTATTGTCTACCTCTCTATCATGTGTTTCTCTGAGCGGACGTTGGCTGCTGGCGGAGAGAAGGGGTGTGCTGACATGTTTACGACTGCACCCCGAGGATCTTTCACGACGTTTCATCAGTGATCTACTTGTATGCAACAGCTGTTCTTGCTTAATCTGCAAACCTCTTACGTTCATTTGTGCGTACAATAGTTGTTGTCCTTATGCATCCCACTTCACGCTCTTCTGTGATATCACACTATCTTTAATCCTGCATCTATCTGTTTGGCGCTCGTCACGATTGTTCTGTAAATTGATTGCGATGAATAACAAACGTCTGCCATCTGCTCTTCCCTGCTTCCTAAGCATTATATATAAGTGTTCGGGAAGGCTACCTCGTTCTTCCTCCCACCTCTGCCACCATGGCCCCGTCGACGGACGCGCTTGCGAGCACGTTCAAGCTTGCATCGCACGCCGACCCTCTCGCCGCTTTCCGTGCCGAGTTCGTGATCCCGACTAACCGTCAGATGAAGGCGAGGGCGGTCGCGCCGGAGCTCGGTACATCATCTGCCCCTTTTAGTTCACACGCGAACACTTATGCAGCGTGTCCCATCCAGTGGACGTGCCGTGCACGTACCTCTGCGGGAACTCGCTCGGTGTGCTTCCGCGTCGTGCGCGGCAGCTGGTAGAAGAGGAGCTCGACGTATGGGCGACGCGGTGCGTCCGCTGACCCAGCGTGCGCGACACACACGGCGCTGACGGAGATGCTCTGATGGTGCGTGCAGAGGAGTGGAGGGCCACTTTGACCACCCGTATGATCGCGACTGGGTGCACATTGCGGATGGCGCGATCCCAGCGTTCGCTGAGCTCGTCGGTGAGTGCAACTTCATTCGCGTCTCCTGCGTGTGGGATAGTGAGCAATGAAAGTTGATCTATGAACTTCTAGGTGCGAAAGAATTGGAAGTTGCTTGCATGGGCACGCTCACGGCGAACCTAAATCTGTTGATGAACACATTCTACAGGCCGACAGAGGAGCGGTACAAGATTCTATGTGAAGCCAGGGCATTCCCCTCCGATCAGGTTCGTTCTTCGTAGTTCAACCTCCCCGCCCTCACGAAGCTAAACAATCCTCGCAACAGTACGCAATGGCGTCGCAAGTCATCGCGCACGGCCTTGATCCTGCCTCTGCGATCATTGAGATCGCTCCTCGGCCAGGCGAACATACTATCCGCACTGTGGACATCCTTGACACTATCAAGCGGGAAGGCGCAAGCATTGCGCTCGTACTCTTCAGTGGTATCCAATATTACACGGGCCAACTATTCGCGATGCAGAAGATCACCCGAGCGGCAAAAGAGCAGGTGGGTCTCGATTGCCTTCGCAAAAAACGGTGCTAATGGTTGGCACGACAGGGCTGCGTATGCGGATGGGACCTCGCTCATACTATCGGAAATGTTCCTCTATCTTTACACGACTGGGACGTCGATTTCGCGGCATGGTGCACATACAAATACCTGAATGCTGGTCCAGGCGCAATCGCTGGGCTCTTCGTACATGAGCGATGGGCGGACGTGCCTATACGGTATGTTGTCTCATATTCTTCTATATGTTGATGCTCACTTCTGGTACCTCGCTTACAGCGCTGCTGGATGGTGGGGGCACGACGTTTCAACACGTTTCGCAATGCCGCCCACGTTCGCGCGCATCCGGGGCGCGCAGGGCTTTCAGCAGTCAAACCCATCAGTGCTCGCAACTGCAGCGCTGCTTGGCTCGCTGCAAGTATTCCGGGCGGCAGGTGGCATGGGTGCGATCCGGTCGCGGAGCCTCAGGTTGACAGGATACCTGGAAGCACTCCTTCAGAGATCGCGGTTTTGGGTGCCCGTAGAGGAGGCTGCCTCATTTGGTGCTGAGAGTGGTGAGAGCAAGGTGGGCGTGACGATCATCACGCCGACAGACCCGGAACAGCGGGGCGCGCAACTTTCGCTTGTATTTTTGCCTACTGGGCAAGGTGTGATGCCGCGCGTGTTGGCGGGTTTGTCAGATAGAGGCGTGGTGGGAGACTCAAGAAAGCCGGATGTCATCAGACTGGCGCCGTGCGCGCTGTACAACAGCTGGGAGGATGTGGAGAGAGCGGTGAATGTGCTGGAAGAGGTGCTAGGCCTGGTCGAACGAGAGGAGTTGTAATTGTTTTCCCGAGGACGACGGTGTTGCATGCACATTCGTCATGGGCCTCAGACCTGCTTCAGGTTTCGGGCGGTGAAATTAAGATGCGTTCGAGATGGACAGTATCTCAGATCGAATTCAGAGGCTTGACTCGAACGGAGCTGACAAACTCTTTATTTCGAGAGCTCGTCAACGATGGGTCAGACAACAGATGTCAAAATTGACAATGAAAAGCATAGATTACAGTACTTCAGCACCAGAGAATACGGGGTCCGTGTAGGCCTACTTTAAGGTATGAAGGCGATAAGACGATATGAAAGCAAGAGTTCTTTGTCATGACCGCTCGTGACGAAAGCGGAGCACCTGCGTCTTAATACTTGGAGATGATGTATAGCGCGTGGATGATACCCGGGCTAAGGAGAAATAAGTCAATTCTTTGCCAACTGCGATAACTGGAGGAACGCGTACATCCAACCCAGACATGTCTAAGACAGGATGTGAGCCAAACCGGCAAAAGAAGGAGAAGGAGACGGCACGTACTAGGATAACGTTGATGAGGAGGTCGGCGCCAACACCTCTCTCCAAGAAGACAGCAACTGGTGGCAGCAGGAAGCAAAAGCTGTTGATAGATCGTTAGGTGAGCACGCTGCATTGCGTAGGCGCGAAAACGAGAGCGACTGACATGATCTGTCATAGATGGCGCCGTCAGTGACCAGTCCTGCAGTGAACATGTACTCGTGCGCACCTTGCAAATGTCTGAACCGTTGAACGGCATTGTTGCGGATGAGGATGAGGGGAAAAGGATGAAAGTGTGTTTTGAATTTCGGACTTGTTCGCGCTGTGGGTTATAACGGAAAGCCCCGCCAAGCTATGGTATGCATGACGTCAGCATTCAGATTAGCCATCCACGTGGTTCAGCCCGCGCCTCGCCTCGCCTACCCCGGCTCGCTGTTCAGATGTTTCGGCATCTCCTACGACTAGGTTTGCCATACGCATACATCTTGCTTCGCCGCCGTGCACACGTTTGTAGTTAGTATTCCTCTCCACTGCGACCTCATGCTCACCCGGGCATCTGCGATGTCAGGCCCGTTACACAGCGCACGCTTTCCCCACATGCACAGCCATAGCAGTGCAACAACATCGGAGCTGGAGGAATACATAGGAATACCATACACCACCGCACAAGCTCGCAGCGTACTGCACGAGTTCGATCTTTACGTGCCGAGGCGGGCACTGAACGTGGAGGCAAAGCAGACGCGCGGGCCGCCCTTGATCTGTTTCGTCCACGGCGGCGCGTGGCGATCGTAAGTATTGTGCGTTATGTATCGCCCGTACACACCAATGCTTTCTGCAGCGAAGATAAAGCCGAGCACGCACCGCTTGCTCGCCGTCTCGCTCTGCGCACGCGTTTCCCGGTCGCTGTACCCAACTATCGATTAACGACTTCTGCTACACCCATTCGTCACCCCGCTCATGCCCAAGACATTCTCGAGTTTCTGGAGTTCCTCTTGTCATGGAGTGGTCCGGATCTCGCTTCTGACCGCGCCCAATTTGATCCCTCAAGACTCTACCTCATAGGACACAGCTGCTCTGCACACATGCTGACGTCCATATTCCTCCAGCCCCGAGCCAGTGCATCCGTCACGCCTCTCCAGCCCAATCCATCGTCGCCATCCGACCTACCGCCTTCTCCGCTTCCTACATCCTCGACTCTTTCACCTTCGCCTGCACTCCTTGCGTCTACTTGTGCGGTGATCATGTCCTCGGGTCTATATAACCTTGATCTCCTCCTGCGGTCGTACCCCGCATACAAGTCGTGGTTTGTCGCACCCACTTTCGGTCGTCTGCAGACCTATGCGCCCTGGAATACCGCATCATACGAACTGCGATCGAGCGACGAGGTGCAAAGGTCAGGAACAAGATGGTTTGTCGTGCATTCGAAGAGCGACACACTCGTTGACAGGCTACAGAGTGAGGCGATATGGGAGAGGCTCAGAGTGCTCTACGGTGAGGAGCAATCTGATGACGGTGGCGGTGATCTTGCAACCGAAGGCAAAAGAATGATTGAGCGAGATTGGGAAGGGCTGACGGAGGAGCATAACGAGGCGCTTGCAGGCGAGACGTACCCGCGTATCGTCGGGGACTGGATTCTGGATGATGTCAGGTGGAGAGCAGGTCTCACTACTGAGTAGGCAATGTAAGTTTCTTTCCTCAATAGTTGGGTTCGCTTTTGGCGCGCTGAGGCTGGGCTCGTGCTCTATGATATTGTGTTGCCCACACCAGGCCTAAGGCCCATATCATTGGTTGGTTTCGTTAATCTAATGGGTGCGGGGAAGCCGCTAGTTCCACTGGCCTGCACATCCATCGCATCAGGGCGTGAGCTGAGTGACTTATTACAGGATGGTGACTTTGTCTGTCTGCATTCTTGTCCTCAAATGATGTTTCTATCAAGGAGTATACTATTGCGGGAGGGCGAGCTCCAGAACGCTCCTCGTTTGCGTCTCAATTTGTTTACCCCAGTTTATCGGTTTGTTATGGTAAATTTCATATGGTCAGCTAAGTTCGAAGCAGTTATACCTACTATGCCAATATTAAGCACATTTATTTTGACAACGGTTCCAGCTGGATTAGAACGTTACAAAAGGAAATCTTATCGAATATTCTAAGTCATACCGAAATCGGATCATGTTCAGTTGTTATTGCATGTTCAATATTCATGTCTTGACCGTATCCCTACTCGGGTAAGAACATTCTTTTTTGCTCGTTTTCGAACTTAAGCACACAATTGGCTCAAACCCGCTCGACTCTTCGCACAGTCGCAATACGCAACAGGCCTGAATGAATAGCGATATCGACGAAGAAAGAACTGTCTGTCCGCGTTGCACCGCGCTGTCCCGTGACATCAATGTACGATCACGTGCACTCCTTGTCGCGTCGGCTCGCTTGTGCGGCACACATTTCTTGCCAGTCCGCCTTCACTCTGGTACATTGCTCTCACTTCTAAAAAATTGAGCCTGGTTGAGGAACAGGGTTTCATTGCTTCTGCGAACTTCAGCCAGGACGTATAGCTGCTTGCTCTGCCGCTGCTCTCCCCAAAACCTGCTATGTGTCCGATACCATCAGTCCTTTCGATTTCTGGTGGTATTCATTGCTGCATTACCGCGATGTAACTGATCAGATGGCTGATATATCTCAGTATCGAAGCCAGGATTGTATGAAAGAATCCCATGGTTGTATCTACAGCACGAAGGACTTGCATGGTGAGCATTCAGGATCATTTTCGTAGCTTGTCATCTTATTGATGGATAATGCCCTTGCGCGTCAGCATTCCCCATATGTGCTGCATTGTCAGGTGGCAATGATTGTTGCGGCGTCGTCTTGAATAATGTGTTGCAGGTGCTACGCAATGTTTGAGTACATACTCGAGGACAAAGGAGACGGGGCGACAGACAATACACGTCATTGTTGAATGCAAAGCGAGACCCAGTGCTGCATGAGTGTGACATCAAGAATGGACACATAAGGCACAGATTGTCATGTGTGTGCAAGCAGAGTCAACCCGCAGGACTACAGAGTCCCTTCAAGGGGCAGAAGACCTTCAAGCGAGGTAAACGTTGGTGTATCATACCCCTGGTGCTAGATATCACCGATTGGTCCGAAAAAAGACGAAAACGATGCGATATGCTCACACTTCGTGTCCACAAGTGCATCGCGTCGTCGTGTAGCCTCTCAAGATACTCGACGCGCCAATCGAAGACACGACATGATCAAGATGGACAGCCAGACGAGAGCCGTGAAATAATCCTCGCTTGTAATATGGCGCTGTTCGACTATAGTATGTGACGCAGGACAAGACAGAAGAACCGAATCATCAAGAGGCCGTCGCGTGCACAGAAGGCTATGCATACAAGAACATTCGCGCTAATGCCATGCAATACATGAAACAACGCCAGGGATTTGAGTCGTCGAGAAGACATATTCATTGAAGACTGCACGCCCTGAAAAGTATATTAGACTGAGCATGACTTACGAAGCGTGCTGAAGGCGAGATGCAAACCTTCCAGGTACAAGAAGAGCGACATGATTGTGCAAGGACTCGGAATTCGACGCGATAAAGCATCGCCAGCGTGGAGTTAGACTACGGACGAACGCGATCAAACTGAAGATTTATAGCATGCACTGAATTACAATGGAATCAATACTTCATGTCTCGTCATCATAGAAGGCGGGAGGTTTACGGCAAGATTTTGCGGTCATCTTCTGATGATGGCGGCTTTCGGACCAGTGTCGCTAGACGGTCTCGGCATCGGAGCGATACAGTTCTATCTGAATCAAACCGCAACATCCTATATTGAAGAGCGCAACGGCAGAGCGTCGCAGCCATCTCATAACGATGTCGGATATGTCCTTTCGACCGCAGCAATGGTAGCTGCGGGGGGACACATGTCGGCCACCATCCAGAACAGCAATGGATCGGGCAGAAATTCACGGTTTTGGCCTACGGTGCAATAATGCGGCAGCGTTTAAGGAACAGATTTTAGCGTGTCCTGTTGTTGCTGGTCGTCAAGCCCAACGGAGCCAGGAGTATCAAGATCCAGGCAGACAACATCTTTATATCAATGGTCTCCGGCACAATGGGCAGTGGCTTTACAATTCCAGGAAGCCGTTGAGCATCCACTTTGGCAAGAACGACAAAAAAAACACGCACAACGACAGCTGCTGGAGCCACCTTTCTTCTGTTTTCCCTCTCGTATGCAATGACCTCAACCTACTAGCCTCTTAGTTCAGTTGCACGGCCAGGCAGCCCAATGATCCCTCTACATGCGAGGACGTCCCGTTGTCCTGCAAAATTGACTCTGTGTTCGTGGCTTGTAAAACGGTTTGCCAATCTTATGAAGAAGCGAACCAAGGCGAGCGACATTCATCAACCCAATCAAGGGGAAAGAAGCAGTTTCAAGCCGGGGGCGACTGATTCAGAACCTGCACGATGAGGAGCGATGCTCGAATAAAATAAAGCATAGCAAGGGGACCGTGGCTGTCTTGGTGTGCGGGAGCGAATATGATTCGTCGGTTCTCGAAGAAGCGGCGTGTGTTGCCTGCTTTTGGTTGAGGAATTGTCCATATAACAGCACACAGCAGGCACGGCGTGGGGGCGACGCGACACTCCCCGCAAACGCTCCCGCAAACAGTCCATAGCGGCTGTAAGTCGACTTGCTGTTATCCTTCTGGCTGCAAGACATGGCAGGCTGGTTAGACAGGTCAAGCGCGGACAACAGGGTCAAGGTACAAGCAGGAGGCCAACGCGCCGGGCGACATTGTCGGCGCCAACCCGATGTTGATGTGAGCTGGCTGCGACGCCTCTTCACCGTCCCATTCCTGAGGACCATAGTACCATGTTCTTTCGCGATAGCTAGCAGCTGGAGAGTGTCGATCGTTGCTGCCCGCTTGCTGTGGACTAACCTTCGGCTGCGATCGCTGACAGGGTGCCTCCTCAATATTAACTCCTGCATGTAGAGAGCGCGAAAAAATCTATGGATGAACGGTAAGCATTTCATTTTTCTCTCTCAAAGCTGACAATTCTGCTGGATAGACTCTCCGACGACGAGTCCGTCCTGGGCCAAGACTACGACGATATCAAAAGCGCCGTGACAGTGATCAGGTCACACGTGACACAGAATTGTGTCACTGGGCCACAGCTCGAGGCGCCCGTGAAGCAAGTGGCCGCAAATTCTAATTGACGGATGATGAGATTGATTGATGTTCCTGTTTGAACACAAAAAATGCTACATCTCATCAATGGGGTGATACGGGTGAACGGCGGTACCCATGCGTGATCAACAGGAAAGCCCTGATGACATAGGGCCAGCGACTTCAAAGCGCCTTTTTGCAAGACCATAGGCAAGCACGACCGACGAACATACCATATGGGCTATAGTATGCGGAATAGCACGAGACCTGCTTCACGCCCGCGTGAGAGCCATGAAAGCAAAGGCGCACCGGAGCTACGCGCCTTCGCGTTGGTCACAACATACGGCATCAAGTTGATCCGCCCCAACGGTGAGGGGGAGGTCGTCTGGATCATTCTTCGATAGCAAACGGACGCTGCACGACGGGGAGAACGTACCTCCGTCACGTCATGAATGTCGCTCTCGCCAGCGGTGCCAGCCCCCACAGAGCTAGAGCGAATGCCCGATTGCAGAGGAGGACGGGAGGATATAGCGGTGGACAGCAGCGATACTAGGCGGCGAGCGTACATGGTCTTCACGACTGCAGCCGTAGCTTCTTATCGTTCAAATCACTGCCTCCGTTCGAGCAAGACAACAGTCTACAATGCAGCCCTCCACCATGTGTTTGTGTATCATCACGCTCGAAACGCCCAAACCAGAGTCTTCGAGCTCTTTCATAGGTTTCGAACGATTTCGAACCGCTAAATGTGGCGGCAGAAAAATACGAGATTGACGCTGGCGTTTGCGACGAAGAAAATAATGTCAAGACGTAGACGATGCCCAGCCAGCCACATGCGTACTGCGCAGCTCTGAAGATCTCTAGAGGACTTTGAGGGAGAGGTGGACAGCCAAGCATTCGGTGGCCTAGTCGTCGCGGAAGTAGCCGCCGCGTGGCTGCCGTGGCAAGCGAGCTCGAGGTCGCACGGGTCCAATGCAGGCATCGCGCCGCAGAGTTGATACACCGCGGAGGTCTACATGCACTCAACCTCTATGCCATTGACATTATTACGAACGCCCTCATCATCCCTCTTCATAACAACATTTTACAAGAGTAAAAATTCGAGTCCCCGCTGCCCGAATCCTATCCGGCACCAATGGCTGGTACAATCCCGATCACGTTGCAAGGCGCCTTGCGATGTGCGCTCTGTCCACTGCCCACCATTCCTTCGACGAATCTATCGGTGAAGCGTCTCGAACATAAGGCCCGACTGGCGCTTTCCACCATCTTGAACTCTTCGCACCCACTGGAGAAGTCTTCTCAACGCCCTCGGCGCTCCTTTCCCGATCGGACGCGCCTCCAATGCCTAAATTCTAGCCAGTGGTTGATGTCAGAAAAGTTATCGGCCATCGCAGCCTTAACTATCTTCAATTCAGTGTGAGCGGAGCGCTACGTTTCATTATCGACTGGTCTCGTCCCGTCATCGCGCGTTGAATTGGGAACAAGCCAACATGCAGTGACATCCTCCTCCTCCCCCTCGTCATCCTTCATTAATCCTTCATCACGTTTCCCGACACTCGTCTCGCTCGTTGTCCAGCGACTGAATATGCTCACCGAGCCGTAATGTCAACAGCTGTGACCATCTATCGTTGATTGTGTCGGACGATCAGCTCCTCATCGCTGCGAGCGACGCGAGGACGATCAGCTTCAGTGAGGAAGCGAGGCCGAGCCACGGTAAGCCTATATTCCGCTGCAAGGATTTCGTTGTAACGTCGAGAAATTAGACTATATGCTGGGTAGCATTACGATCTCGGACGTATCTCAATCTGTCTAACAATGCCAGTCTACCCCATTGAACGAAGATCGTCCATCATCGCATCACTCGATGGCCCGCCACTCCTGACGACAGCGCGATATTCAAGCAACTGCATTTTTACGTTTGTCGCCGCGCTTCATGCTTTAGGCCCGTCTGTTATACTGGCCAAGATCAGCTTGGGTGTCGCGCCACAGTTCTGTTTCTACTTCAAGGTTCGTTGTATAACTCTTTGATGCTAGTTTAATTGTTTTACCTCGAATGCCACTATCCTCTGCCTCACATACATGTCGACGGAAAAGACTCGGCCACACGACCTCAAAGACTCAAGATCGTTACCAGGCAAGTGTATTCAAGATGGATAAATGGATCACGGTTAGTCTGCTTCCGGTTGAATGCTGGAGAACGACTGATCTGGAAGAGCGCATCTTCCTGCTCGATACTGAGGCCTATACAGAAAATTCGGCCTCACGACCTGAAGACGTACTCAATATCATACCGGAGCAAGATCAGCAGGCTAGATGAATGGACCGTACGTTTATGAATGATCACGTAAGGATTCTGACGACATGCTCACGCACCATTGTAGGACGACGGCGTAGGATTGGACTTGGGGGGGCGAGAATGTATTGGATAGCAGGTGGAATGAAAACAGACATGAAAGGGATAAGTCACGTTGCAAGCGACGATATCAGCCTCAGCATCTTGAGAAAGCGTAGGCCGCATGTCACCAACTCTGCGCGGTGCGGCTCATACGCGGCATAGTCGACTCTCACGAGGTTGACTGCATGAGTGACATTGTTGGTGGCGCATCAACATGTGGTCCTTTCCTCAATGGCCCGCTCAGCCTTTCAGGCTGAGAGTGTTAGTGTCAACTCTTGTCTGGGCATGATATTCATCGCGAGCGGACCTTCATCTCTTTTGTTTCCAGGTGCAGTTGTGGGACCTCCGTAGATGTTGATGTACACAGTCGCAGGATTGGCGGCCGCCCGTCGCCGAATAGTGGCTGCCGACTGGCCAGAGGGCTCGTATCTTGCCGCTCAGAGTTTGACGCGAGGCTGTTGTTTAGCATTACGTTCTCGGGCCGTCAACGTACCAGTGTCAGACCCGCCGACATGACGCGTCGAACGGCATCTGATTCTAATTAGGCTAGGTAATGGACGACGACGGTGTTTATATAAGGCTCGGACTGTGGAACAGATAACATTAATGCCATTCGGAAGTGCACGATTCTAGGGAGAAACAGCAATAACAAGATACCAACATGATCCACAATACCGCTCATCTCGGAGGGACTGCCAGCGACATTGTCGTCGGCAAGGTAGCGGTATGTCTCATAGCCGGGAATGACTTGCTTCAGGGTCGCTTATCATACGCCCACCGTTGTAGCATGGCTTGATGATGATGACGTCGGCAGTGTTTCCTCTGTACAGCTTGCGGCTACTCATACTGTATTTCACAGCGCGAGAGATCCGAAATATCCTCTCCCAGATGAAGAAGCCTTCGAAGCTATCAAAGCCGGCGTCAATGCCCTACCTCCCGGTTCCAAGATGCTAATCAATAGCGGTATGCTTCCGCTGCTAACTACATACGCAGTGCCGAATCATCATTGTTGTTGCTGACAGGTGAATTCTACGGGCCGAATTTCTCGACGGCCAACTTGGAGCTTCTCGCCCGGTTCTTCGAGAAGTATCCTGAATATGCCGACAAGACCTTCCTGTCGGTGAAGGTACACCTCGAGTGTTCATGTGGGCATCTTCAGAGCTGATTGGACCGCATCTGGTATCCAGGGCGGTTTAATAGTCGGCGGGCTGAAGGTCGATTCATCGTGTGTACTCCTCAAGATTCCTCTATGCTCTGTACGACCTGAGACGTTCGTATAGGCCAGAGAACCTCAGACGCAGCGTTGAGAAGGTCAATTCTGTCCTTCGTGGCACGAAGAAGTTAGATTTGTTCGAGTCTGCTCGTGTCGACCCGAAGATTCCCATCGAGGAGACCATCAAGACGCTGGCGGAACTCATTAAGGAGGGCAAATTCAACCACGTTGGCTTGTCTGAATGCAAAGCGGAGACTCTGAGGCGCGCGCACGCCGTGAGTCTCACCACCATCGGTTGACTGACAAAGGTTGAAAGGAGCCCTGCTAGGTTCATCCTATCTCGATCGTCGAGATTGAAGTCAGCCTTTGGTCTTACGAGGAAGAGACTGTAAAGGGTGGGTAGTCCAGTCGTTGTGGAAGACGTAGCTAATGGTAGATGTCTAGTCATTGCTGCAGCCAAGGAGCTGGGCATCGCGGTCGCTGCATACTCGTAAGTCTTTCCTGTATCCCTTGAGATTGAATCATTGCTGACGAATCCTATGCAGCCCGTTGGGAAGAGGCTTCTTGACTGGTTCTATCAAGAAAGTTGACGATCTGACTGGTGAGTTTGCCTCGTATATGTATACAAACAAGCCATGCCATTGACGAATGCGTTTGCAATTGAAGACGGCGATTTTCGCAGACAGATGACCCGTTTTCGCGAAGAGGTGACCATCTTACGGTCTCTTTTCGACACGCGGGCTGATCAGAATGTTCTACGTGGTGCAGTACATCGAACAGAACCTGGCGTTCGTGGAAGCTCTAAAGGCCATCGCAGCAAAGAAGAACATTACACCAGCCCAGCTCGCGATCGCTTGGGTTGCATCTCTCGGAGAGCATGTGATCCCTCTTCCCGGCTCGTCGTGCGTACTTCCACCATTGATGCCTATCAACCTAACTGACCACGAATCGGGATAGTATCAAGAAGCGCACTCTCGAGAACCTCGCCGCAGCGGATATTGTCCTCACGGAGGCTGACAAGGTTGAGATTGCCAAGGTCATGGCCGAGCATCACGTCAAAGGCGACCGTTACTTCGGTAATGATGCTGCTGCGATGCTTTGGGGTTGAAGGGGATAGATGGACCCTGAGCGATCTTTTGTTACGTTCATTCTCGCTGGTCATGATTATGCGTCACTAAAAAAAGAGGGACGTTCAGAACTTGTATAAGAGTCGTCTTCTGGATAAAATGATATGTACATCTCACCGGCTTACAAGAATGAGAGCAGTCATAGACAGAAAATGTCGCAGGCTCTGCAGGACGACAGAAGCACCCAGATTCAAACCCAGTGCCACGAAAAAGCTGTCTTGATGAATAAATGAACAGTCAATCGGTCATCACCCAAGATATTGCCAAATCTTCATAATCCATTCAAGCACAGGAAGGAATTCGACCGCTGCTGCCATCTGATCCCCCCAGCCTCTCCGCTCTGATCTCGATTTTCCTTTTAGCCAGTTCTTTCATTTGGCAGTCAAGCCAGCCTCGAACAGTGCATCAATGATTTCTGCCCGTCCAGAGGGTCCGACCATTCCGTAGATTGTCTAATAGTTTTATGAGAGCGCGGATTTAGCGAGAAGGCTCCTCGAGCTTCAGTGAGACCTGACACCTCGAGGCCCCCTAGGAAGAGATCGCCATGCCGACTACAGCACACTCATATGCATAGTCGCGTGACAATGCAGTGTGCAGGGTGACCACAGGAGTACGGTTAACGCGTTGTCAGTGGGGAGCACGACGAGTATGATGGTCGACATCCGTGGCCAGTAGCGCGGTATCCAAATTCGCTTCATGTGGCGGGTTCTGCGTCATGATTTGAAACCTGGCGTACGATCATTGAGGCCTGAGGTGCAAACCTTGAAGAAACACATGGAAATCAGGTCGGGACCTCTATCTTAGCAAATGCGATAGTAAGGCAGCTGGCGTAAGAATGATTAGAGGTACAGTACTGGCGACTAGGGTATGGCACTTCGGCAACGGTGTCGCAGGAATGATTGGAGGTACGATACGGACGACTAGGGGATGGCACCTCGGCAGCGTGTCACCAGTCAAGACAATTCTTGTCGGAGTGTCCAGTAACTTTACCAGACGTTCTGAAGTGGTGACGATAGACGCGGAAATATCGCAGCGCGCTGTCCCGAGTGCGTATCGTGCGAGAAGGACGGCCGGCGAGACTCATGCCCGAGGTTTGCAATCTCTGTTATCAGTGGCGTCGACCATGGATATGATATGTAGCCAAGAGACACGACGTCAAAAAGCAGCGCTCGCGGACATGTCCGGTCGAACCTTCAATAGAGCATGTGAGATAGTGAATGAGAAGATAGGAGAAGATACCACAGAAGCCTGGAGGAGGCGTGGTTGGACAAAAGACATGCGGAAGTTTGCAGGGACGTGGAGTCAAAAGCTCAAGAAAGCTCAAGCACGCGCGGCGGTTTAGGAGGAGACTAGAATCGATTTGAGCATGTATGTGTCAAGTCCGTCACATCAGCGAGCATACCGCAAAGAATTCTCAAAGGTGGAATTTCAGGCGGCCTTGAGCGGTCGGCTCTCAGAATGCATTTGCTTCTCCAATTTCAGAGGGGTGAAAAAGTGCTAGCTGAATAACCACAGTCACTGGATGGTGTGTGGACAACAAGCAGGCTCGATAGGGAAAGCGGGGCGGTGGCTACGCGGTAGGGCACGGGGAAATAGGAATTGTGACCTGCTTAACCGGCTATTTAGCAATGCATCCCTGCAAGGGCCTATTTTACCTATGTAATTTACGGTTAATTAACAAAGGGGGGTCCGCCCCCAAAACTCTGGGCTAATTAACGCTAATTAGCCGGTAAATTTACCTAAAATGACGGTAAATTACAACTTCCTCACGCTACGCCACTACCCAGCCAGACTGCTCGTCCTCAAGAATCTCGATGAGCTTTTCTGCACTGGTTGAATACAATTCAGTTAGATCTCCTGAGAGAATTTTCTTGAGCTGACGGACATCCTGAACATCCCCTCTCCCTCCCTCGGGCGCTTCCTATCTAACCGTAAATTACCTTCGATTTTTGGCCCTTTTGAAATTAACCGTAAATTACCTGTAATTTACATAGGTAAAATAGCCCTAATTAGCATTCTCTATTTCCCCGCGCCCTACTACGCGGAGGTGGAGGGCCAGGGATTGGTGGCAAGAAGCACTCTCTTGGCACGTAGATATGCGCTTTAGGTTGACGTCGAACGTATCGACGACTTGAAAAGTAAGTACCTTGCCAGGCAGCTACCGGGGTAGGCGCGTCTGCTGAGCTACCAGCAGACGGCGCCAGTCAAGAGCCTTCCTCGGAATGCCTGATTCCCGTGTGGCATCTGCGAATAGTGTGGCCGCAACAGATTCGGAAACGCACATGCTGGGAAAGAGATAGGGAAGATAATGAGGGAACCCATACAGCCTGGAGTACCGAGATCGACGGTACTCCTGGTAGAACATTGATACGCGATCACGAAGATCGCTGAGATCGCGGTTGTCGACGGCGGACATGCGCTAGCGCTGTAACGCGCTCTCCTCCAACTTTCATGTGCAGATATTGCCCCGCCAGCTCTCATGTGCCAATTTCCGCGGTCGTCCTTCAGTACTTCAGTATCAACCCGCACACGCGCAAGCGAAATGTGATCCGTCTGGCTGCATCGCAACGCTAGCACCGTTTCGTGCTGGTTTCGAATGCACAGAAACATACCAAATGTCATTCGCTTCCGCGATTTGTCGTCGTGCGTCCTCTGACGCCCGCGTTTCAGGCACGCAAGGTTGGCCCAATGTGCTGTTCTTCCGTCAAATCATATCATGCGAGATCTCTTCGATCCATATTGATTGCACACCGCCAAAGGGGTCCTTCCTTATCGTTTCCCGCAGACGAGCTATATAAACTCCCCTCCACGATGCTCCGAGCCTTTTCCGCCGAGTTGTTTTTCTCTACTTCAGCCGACTTCTCTGCGACATGTCGGAGCACTACACGAAAGAGACGTTCGCAGAGACAGATGTTAAGGCCACCGACTATTCTGACTCAGAGGCCAACCACCCGAGTCCTCGGATTCGGCATCATGGCCTCCAACGACAGATGAAGAATAGGCATATTGCCATGATCAGGTACGTTCTACCATGTCTGTTTCAAAATCCCTGTCACTTATCAGTCGTGTAGCATCGGCGGTATGTTTATTAATGCTCATGTACAGAGGACCTTTTCCTTGACAAACTCGCGTCACAGGTGTTATCGGTACTGGCCTCTTCCTTGGCACGGCCACTTCCCTCAAGAATGGTGGACCAGTGGGTCTGCTCTTGGGCTACCTCACCATCGGCTCTCTCTGCTTCTGCACTATGGTCCGTCCGCGTTTCCCATTTGTGCTCCCGTGCTCAATCTTACCTCACACGACTAGCTCTCCCTCGGTGAGATGGCTGCTTTTTTACCCGTTCCCGGCGGCCACATCACCTTTGCCGAACGTTTCGTCGACCCGGCGTGGTCGTTCGCGCTCGGATGGCAATATTGTACGTCATCGGCTTTCTGAGCACAGGAATGATCTCTTTTCAGTGGTGACACGCTACCACTTCACCAGGGTACAATTGGACCATCGTTCTTCCTGCTGAACTGAGCGCCGCGGCGGTGCTTATCAATTACTGGTACGCATTATTTCTCCCACAGTGCATCACAAGAACTACCACGTCTGATTGCGAACTGTCATACGACGTCCTTGGGTTAGGAATCAGAGCGTTAATAACGCGGTATGGATTACGATGTGCCTCATCGTCGTCATCCTTATCAACATGTTCGGCGCCGGTGCGTTTCAGATCGCTTTTTTCCACTTGTAACAGCGGCTCACTGCCCCCGCCCAGGCGTCTACGGCGAAGCCGAGTTCGTCTTTGCCTCCATCAAAGTCATCACCATCACGGGCCTTATCATACTCGGGATAGTGCTCGACCTCGGCGGCGGCCCGAACCACGACCGCATCGGCTTCCGCTACTGGAAGCACCCCGGTCCATTCGCGCAGTACGATGACATTCCCGGCTCCAAAGGCCGCTTCCTGGCATGGTGGGCGGTTATGACGCAGGCCGCGTTCTCCTTCATCGGCACGGAGGTTGTCGCGGTGAGTGTGCTTTCTCCCTTCACATCGTAACCGAGATTCCTGGAAGGGCGCATGCTGATGGGTGGGGGCTAGATTGCAGGTGCAGAGGCGAAGAACCCGCGGCGCAATATTCCCATGGCGATCCGCAACGTCTACATTCGCATCCTGCTCTTCTACATTGGCGGCGTGACGATCATCGGCCTGCTCGTGCCGTACACGAATCCCGACCTGAACCTCGCGAATGGCACCGCCGCGGCGTCGCCGTTCGTGATTGCGATCAGAACGGCTGGGATCAAGGGCCTGCCTTCGGTGCGCACCCGAAGCCGTCGGATTCTTTGCTGACGGAGGACTGATTGGCACGCGGTATAGGTCATCAATGCATGCTTGCTGACTTCAGCATGGTCCGCGGGGAATAGCGATCTTTACTCGAGCTCGCGTGCGCTTTGTAAGTGGAGAGTAACGCGTGTCTCTCGTACACGGCTGCTGACGCGGGCGAGGCTATATAGACAGCTTGGCAATCAATGGAAACGCGCCACGGGTCTTCGCCAAGACGAATCGGTGGGGCATTCCGTGGGTCGCGCTCATTGTGAATTCCATCCTTGGCTGCCTCGCATACATGGACGTCGGCGCGACGAGCGGAAAAGTCTTTGGCTGGTGCGTCTACCAAGTGTTTCCTTTACCTACGATTGCAAACAATAATTCTCGATGGCGCACAGGCTCTCGAACATGTATGCTTCTTTCGCTGCTTTCTGGCTGAGGTCACGCAGCGCTCACGGCTAAGGTGGATAGGACGGCCATTGCAGGCCTGAGCAACTGGTTCGCGATCTCGGTTACCTATGTGCGCTTCCGGAAAGGCCTAGCAGCACAAGGAATCGACCGCAAGACGCTCCCCTTCGCGAGTGCACTCCAGCCATACGCGGCATGGTGGGCAATCTTCCTCTCCGTCACCGTCTGCTTCGTGCGTGCCGTGCTACTCTTTTCTCGTGTCCTTTGCTCAGCGGCTGACTTTGGTCGGTTTACGGGGCGTGCAGTTCAGCGGATGGTCAGTGTTCCTGAAGGGCGAGTGGAATACCGCGACGTTCGTGACGAACTATCTGCCGATGATGCTGTTCCCGGTGATGTATCTCGGGAAGCGCCTCTGGTCTGGCGTTAGGTTCGTACGGCCGGAGGACATGGACTTCAAGACGGGCCTTGCAGAGGTTCTCGAGGCGTCGTGAGCATCTTCATCGCATGATATATCGATTCACGATCGCTGATGTGATTAACTGACTGATAGGTACGACGAAGAGCCGCCCAGGAATTGGGTCGAGCATGTGTGGGCATTCTTGGTGAGTAGGCTGTCGGGGGTTCTTGTGACGTCCCTCGTTGATCATTGCGCGATCCGTCGCTACCAGTTCTGATATACGTAGACACAACACATGCGTCGCTTGATGACGATAGCAGATACATATCGCGTGAAGGTTGCCACCATATGTACTTTTAGATTGTGGAATGGAGCTGGGCCATCTAGCAGTACTATCAATACGTACTCCATATGCACTACCAGTAATGTACGATACTCGGATCTTTTGTTATTTACCTTCGCTCAAACGGCGAGCTGTACATAGCCATTAGGCTCGGAGCGCTATATCCAACTGATAGACGTTCAGTTCTGACTTGCTGATAATAAGCTTGAGGCCAATCCACCGTATCAGATCACGCCTGCGTGGTGGGATTCTTCGCGTTCCTTGTTCTTAGATTACCATCGTGTCATGAGGTTCGAGTGAATTCAAACAAGATGCACGATGATCAAATGCGATCAGAAGCGCGAGTGAGCGCTGGAGTTCATTCGAGGGAACGTATTAGCACAGAGCACAGTTTTTTAACGCTCTGGGTATCAGTGGTTTCAGCCTCTCCATTCAAACGCTCACTGGCAGTAGTGATCATTTACCGAACATTGTTTAATTACCCTCGAGTCACTGCTCGCTTGTCCGATCGAGACACTGGAGACTCAGCTCGAACAAGTTCTCCGCCGCTGCGATGTGTGGCCCCTTCAAGCTCGGCGCGCTCAATCGTTCCAATACCTTACAATATACCAACGAGCGCCCAGACGTCAGGTTCTTTAGCCTTCAAGGCTTCACGTTGTAGGCATGAGACGGGATAATGATTGACATACCGAAAGCTTATCATGTTGGGGGGTCCCGGAACATTGGTTCAAGGCGTCTTGAATTTTTGGCGCTCGGAGATGTTGTTTCTGCGGTGCTATCGGACATCATAAACTCTCCATAATAACCCAGACCTTCAGGCTATCAAACTCATGATGTGCAGCACAACACTGCAAGCAGGACGTGACAGAAAGAGAAGAATCAGGCTCAATTGTGCAGGCTGGGTGAAACAAAACAGTAGAAGGAGCCTTCTTGAGGCTGAACGACCGAGGAGCAAAGCAGTAGAAGTCGGCAAGCTGGCAGTACAGGGCGTGTGACGCCTTCATCCGGGCCATTTGAACGAGCTCACATGTAAGTGGATCTTGGCCCGCTTTGTCATGCATGTATCGAGTGAGAGCTCATGCTATATGGTCTATAGAAAGTGGCTATGCTGAGTATCTGGGCTGATTGACCGACTTCCACCAGTTTTTGATCACTTCTTCAGATCACTGACTTTGCGGGTCGACTTCTACTTCGAGGTTTAAATATGCATATGCTGAGGAATTAGGCGGCACTCCTCAATAGTCCTCAATGCATCATCTACCAGCCGACCATCTCAATCGAGTCCCCATCGAAGCAGCCTGTCGGACTCATTCCGCATTGACTAAATAAGTGTTACAAGCATGACCTGAACGTCATACAAAAGCGGAAGTGATTACGCTGACGGCCGGCTTGGTCTCAATATTGTGTTCGGAACAACGGGTGGGTCCTCTGATCCACATAAAACCTCCACCGCCGTCCCCGTAGTGCAGGCCGCCCCTAGTTCGCGAGAACACCTTCAACCAGGATTTATTGCCACAATATGGTTCACAACACAGCAGTGCTTGGAGGAACTGCCTCCAACGTCAAGGTCGCCAAGGTCGCTGTACGTAGTACATCGATAGCACCTTTTGACCTCCCTGCCCTGCTAACATGATTTTTGTCCCTTCGCAGCATGGCTTGATGAGGATGACGTTCGTCCATCAACTGGTAACATTTACCTTATACATGCGTCTGATGATGTTTCAATACTCCCAGGTGGAGCAGCGAAAGGGTTGTTCCTGATGAGCAATGCTTCGAGGCCATTAAGGCCAGCGTTGACGCCGCACCTCCCGGTGCCAAGATGTTCATGAGCAGTGGTGAGTGCAACGATATTAAGAATCATGTAATGGGCTTAAAGACCGGTTCTCAGCCGAATTCTTTGGCCCCGGAGAGTCTACCGCAAACTTGGAAATGCTCTCGAGGTTCTTCGAGAAATACCCGGATTACACGGATAGGACTTTCCTTGTAGTCAGCGTGAGTGTTTTTCTACATGTATCGTCAAGTCCATTGAAGCTCGACTATATATTATCATGTAGGGCGGTTGCAAGGAGCGCAGCCTGGTACCCGACGCTTCGTAAGCGAAAACATGAGCATTTTGATGATCTCAGTATCCTCATATGCACCACAGCCCAGAGAACCTCCGCCGCAGCGTTGACAACATCAACGCCGCGCTTCGCGGAAAAAAGCGCATGGATCTCTTCCAGTGTGGGCGTGTTGACAAGAAGGTGCCCATCGAGGACACGATTAGGACGCTCGTGGGACTCATCAAGGAGGGCAAGTTTGATCACATCGGCATGTCGGAGTGCAGTGCGCAGACGCTGCGAAAGGCGCATGCGGTGAGTGCAAGGGCCGGTGCGCAAAGAACGTGAAGCGCTGACAAGGTGCTCTGCTTTAGGTTTACCCGATCTCTGTCGTGGAGATTGAGATTAGTCCTTGGTCGTACGAGGAAGAGACCAGAAAGGGTGAGTGTTCTAATCTAATTTTGATGACTATGCACGCAGATCTAACGGCGTTGTCTAGTCATTGCCATTGCAAAGGAACTTGGCGTCGCGGTTTCAGCATATTCGTACGTCTGTTCCGTCGTTCTCTTCCAGGCATCACGGTTTGATAAGGCATTTGTCACGACAGTCCGCTAGGCATGGGCTTCCTAACCGGTTCAATCAAGACGGTTGACGACATTCTCGGTAAGCGCGCTCCCACCTATCTATTTTTGTGTGTTGATCATTGCTCCGTAGCGAGTGATATGCGCCGTAGCATGGTTAGATTTCAGGAGGAAGCGATCGAGCACAACATGGCACTCGTGCGCGACCTCACAGCCATCGCCGAACGGAGGAAGATCACACCTGCTCAGCTCTGCATCGCCTGGGTCAGCTCGCTCGGCCCGCACGTTGTGCCCATGCCAGGCTCCTCGTACGTTGCACCCCGACTGGAGTCTGTGCTCATCATCGCGTATCTGACGCTTCGATTTCAATGTTGCAGGGCGAAGAAACGCACGCTGGAGAACCTCGCGAGTGATGATGTGGAGTTTTCGAAGGACGAGCTGGCGGAGATCAATGAGGTGATTAACAAGCATGAGGTCAAGGGCCAAAGGTACTATGGCGAACCGGAGAGGGAGAACTTGTGGGGATGAGCTGGAGAAGGAGGGTGCCAGTCATAATTTGATGTTGATGTACTACCATTGAACTTAGAGAACACCGATTGTCCTGATATTCCTCTACAGTAATAAGAAACTGCAGCCTACTTAGAAATTTGGAGCCTCAGAGCTGCTCACCTTTACTGCCACTAACAAGGCCTGAATATTGAATATGAATGCTTTGCCGAGGTGCCACCGATGGTGATCGATCGTGTCTCGTCCTTGGTCCGACCGCCGATCATCCCGATCAAAATTCCACCGATGCGGCCGGTCGGACATCATAACTTGGGTCTACTTAGCTTTGCGTCAGTGATGGATCTTGAAAACCTCTCCGGCGGATCACTGCCATGCCGCATTGATTAGGTAAGTACAGTAAGGTACAAAAGCCGGAAGTGATTACGCTGACGTCCGGCTCACATTCGTTGCGTTCGGATCGTCCTCTGACCTACATAAAACTTCACACGAACCATACCTCACACTGCAGGCCGCCCGAGCTTGGCACGAAAATATCTTCAGCCAGGATTTCGTACCACACCATGGTCCACAAGACAGCAATGCTTGGAGGGACTGCCTCGAACGTCAAGGTCGCCAAGGTCGCTGTACGTGCATTCATCATGCCTTTGGTCTTTAAGCCTTAAAGGTTCGGTTGTCGGTTCACACAGCATGGCTTGATGAGAATGACGTCCGTGCGCCAATCGATAATAATCGCATTGTGCAGATATAGCTGACACCGTGCCGAATATGTCCAGATGGAGCGGAACAGGTCTCCTTCCTGATGAACAATGCTTTGAGGCGATCAAGGCCGGCGTTGACGCCCTGCCTCCAGATGTCAAGATGTTCCTGAATAGCGGTGTGTGCAATGTTATTGAGGTATATGCAGTAGACTGAGGAGCCTATTTCGCAGGCGAATTTTATGGTCCTGGAGAATCTACCGCGAACTTGGAGCTGGTCTCGAGGTTCTTTGAGAAATATCCAGAGTACGCGGAGAGGACCTTCCTCTCAGTCAAGGTTGGTTACTACACGTATACATCGCCTAATCATGCGGGACCTGACTATATGCTATCGCCAGGGCGGTGCAAAGGAGCGCACTGGCCTCATATCCGACTCTTCATAAGCGAAAGCACGAGCATTCTGGCGACCTGAGTATCCTCACACACACCAAAGCCCAGAGGATCTCCGACGCAGCGTTGACAACATCAACGCCGCGCTTCGCGGAAAAAAGCGCATGGATCTCTTCCAATGTGCCCGTGTCGACAAGAATGTGCCGATCGAGAACACGATCAAGACCCTCGTCGGACTCATCGAGGAGGGCAAGTTTGATCATATTAGCATGTCGGAGTGCAGCGCGCAGTCACTGCGCTGGGCGCATGCGGTGAGTACAAACAGCCGGGCGTATAACCTGTGAGTTACCGACAAAGGGTATCTGTTTCAGGTGCACCCGATCTCTGTTGTTGAGATCGAGATTAGTCCTTGGTCGTATGAGGAGGAAACTAAGAAGGGTCAGTTTTGATTATATGTGCATTGTGCAGACTGGTTGAGTGACATGTCCTAGTCATTGCCACGACGAAGCAACTTGGAATTGCCGTTGCAGGGTACTCGTACGTTTGTCTCTCTATTTCACACTGTGGTCCACAGTCTAACACATCAATTTGCACGTCGCGTCCTAATTATCCCGTCCGCCCATCCTTTACAGATCTGACGTCGATGCACCAGGGAGAAGAAGCGCACGCTGGAGAACCTCGCGGGGGGCGATGTGGAGTTCTCGGAGCAGGAGCTGGCGGACATCAACGCGGTGATTAGCAAGCATGAGATCACGGGGGATAGATACTTTGGCGGACCGGAGATGGCGCAACTGTGGGGGTGAGCTGGAGAAAGATACTGTGAGGGTATCCCTAAGTAATCAATAACGTGAACGTCTGCAGGGGAACGCGTGGCTGAGTGCCATAAAGCTGCGTGACCGTGTATGCACCACGTGATGAAACACGATCGACGCTCTACGCCAAGTAAGCGCCCAGGACGCGTTTACCGAGTCACCGGAAGTGAAAAAGAAAAGAAACGGAATAATTCGCATTCTCCGACTCGCTCGCGGACTGTCCTTGCCCTCGCCTCTCGCTCTCGCTCTCACCATTTTCCTCCTCGTTTGAAGACGTCCTCGCACAATGTGTGGCATTGTCATCGCACACGGTCTTGAGAACCCCGCTGCGGCTCGGGTCCGCGTGATCGCCTGTGCGAAGAAGATCCGTCATCGAGGACCGGACTGGTCAGGCTGCTACTGTGGGAAGGAGACTGTCCTTGCGCACGAGCGGTTGGCCATCGTCGGCGTTGGTAGATATCCCTTGCGTCTTGTTTTTCAGTGCATATCGTTGACCATGCCGCGTAGACACCGGCGCACAGCCGCTCGTGAGCACCGATGGAAAGATTGTTCTTGCAGTCAATGGCGAGATCTACAACCATATCAAGCTGCGCGCCAGCTTGAAGCAGTCGTACAAGTTCAAGACGCACTCGGATTGCGAGGTCATCATTCCCCTGGTGCGTGCTGTAGTTGGTCACCTTTGCACTCTATCTCACATTTCGGTTGCATGACAGTACAAGGAGCATGACAAGGAGCTCTGCAACCTCCTTGATGGGATGTTCTCCTTCGTGCTCCTCGACGAGTCCGTCTCCCCCCCGCGCATCATCGCCGCACGCGACCCCATCGGCATCACCACTCTCTACCAAGGCTGGAGCTCGAAACACCCCGGTGCAACCTGGTTCGCGTCCGAGCTCAAGGCGCTCGTCGACGAGTGCGACCGCATCATCTCCTTCCCTCCGGGCCACGTTTACGACAGCGCTGACCGCTCCACCACGCGCTACTTCCACCCATCGTGGTGGAACGGTGACCTCGACGGTCCCAGCGCGGTGATCCCCACAAAACCGGCCGACCTCACACTGCTCAGGGAGACCCTTGAAGAGGCGGTGCGCAAGCGGCTGATGTCGGAGGTGCCATACGGTGTGCTGCTGAGCGGCGGACTGGACAGCAGTTTGATTGCCGCTATTGCAGCGCGCGAGACGGAGAAGGTCGCGCTCGCCCAGGTGGAGGCGCGCAAACGCAAGCTGGCCGAGGCGCAGAGCGGTCCGCCCTCGCCTATCGGGACTGGCGTCACCGAATACGGTATGCTTGGAAACTCCCCTGCAGTCATTTGGTGCTGCTGACGGCGCTTTGCCAGCTACCATCGCGTCATGGCCGCAATTGCACTCTTTCTCAATTGGTCTCGAGAGCTCCCCGGATCTTCTTGCGGCGCGCAAAGCGGCGCATTTCCTTGGGACCGTACATCATGAATACGTCTTCACCGTGCAGGAGGGCCTCGATGCGATACCCGATGTTATTTACCATCTCGAGACCTTCGACGTGACTACGGTCCGGGCGAGCACGCCGATGTATTTGCTCAGCCGCAAGATCAAGGCGATGGGTGTCAAAATGGTTCTCAGTGGGGAAGGCAGCGACGAGATTTTTGGAGGTCTGTATCCTCATCCTTCCGTGATGCTGCGTTGGACTTATCCATCGTACTGATGTGCAGGCTATCTCTACTTCCACGCTGCGCCCGACGCGAAGTCGTTCCATCAGGAATGCGTAAAACGTGTCAAGAACTTGCACACGTCGGACTGCCTTAGAGCTAACAAGTCAGTCTTGTCCGCTTATGGATACCTCGCGATCTAGCCATTCATATCGTTCCGGACAACACAGATCGACGATGGCATGGGGTCTGGAAGCCCGTGTTCCGTTCCTTGACAAAAAGTTCCTCGAGGTATCCATGAACATCGACCCAAAGGAAAAGATGTTCAACAAGGGCGCCGCGCAGCAGGTTGACGAGGACGGTTGCCCTAGAATGGAGAAGGTATCAACGGTGAACGCATCACGTTGCATGCTGAACCTGACTACCTGCGCTTCTAGTACATCCTGCGAAAAGCCTTCGACCGCTCGCCAGACGGCAAGGTACGTTAGTCTGCCTCATGTCCAAAACGCCGCTGACATCCAAGCTTAGCCGTATCTACCACGCTCGATTCTGTGGAGGCAGAAAGAGCAATTCTCCGACGGTGTGGGATACTCGTGGATTGACGGGTGAGTCCGCATGGTGCTCAATCGTCCTCTCCACGTTGACATCTTTGACTACAGCATCAAAGGTCACGCAGCAGCTGTTGTTTCGGATGAATCTTTCGCGAAACGCGCGGAACGATGGCCCGAGAGCGCGCCGGATACGAAAGAAGCCTACTGGATTCGCGAAGTCTTCGATGGTCGGTCGTCATGCAAAGTCTGATTGTCTCAGCCTGATCGCCTTTGCCTTTCCCTGTTGTAGAACTCTTCCCGCAAGAGACCGCCGCGAAAACTGCAGTGAGGTAAGTACCCGCTGCCAAGCTTACGCGAGGTCATCCTGAATTGCCTTGTGCAGGTGGGTTCCCAGAGGAGACTGGGGGTGTTCCTCGGATCCCAGTGGGAGGAGCGTAAGCATACATAACGCAGCATATGGGACGTCAAGTTAATGGAAGTACGGAGGATACGTTGTGGTAGTACAATTTAGTTACTGGACGAGAATCTAGATGACAATAGGAAAGGAGGGAATCGTCTGCGTGATCGGCCACAGAATGGTCCTTAGAAACGAAATACTAGGCGCGCAATGAATGGTAGTTCTGGAATGAGGCACTGGAGCTACTTTGAGATAGAGAGCACAACGAGAGTGATTCGAGAGTGATTCGAGAGTGATTGGTATTATGTGGATGAATAACGAATGCTAAGGTATCATCAATTGCGGGTACTCGATGACAATTGGAATAAGAGATGGGTAAGACAGCAGAACGAACATCGAGGAAAGGGATGCGTGCCGGCGCAGGGATCGTGATAGAGTTGGCCATATAGAATATCCTTAAGAATTATACAGCATGGAAGCAATGCAGCGATAGGGTAGAGGGTCCACGAGCATCTATGCATTCAATGCATTGAGAGAAGGGTTCTGGGCTATGATCTGGCGGTATAGACCGACACCGGAATCCTCTGATGGCGCAGGCGAAGGCAGCTGCTTCGCACCGACCGTCGTCCGTGTCGCGGCGCTGCTCTGCGACACGTTTCGAGTCCGTTTCGGAACAGGGGTAGTTGTTGCGGCACGCGTGCTGCCATCCCAGGCTGGACGATCTCGAGTGACTGTGGCCTTGACAGAATGACCCTCCTCTGACTGCGCGTGCCGCCGCGCGCCTGGCGTGGTCTGTGCCCGGCGACTTGAAGGGCGACCCGTAACTGGCGACTCTCCAGAAACTAGCCGTGTGCCGAACTTGGCGTTGGCGGATGACTCGCGGCCATACGCCGTTGTCAGGTTGCCATTCGCTCCTCGCCGCGCTGCATTGGCGACGAGCTGCCTGGGCTTGAGTGGCTTCTGCAGCGTGACCTTGTCAGCGCCCCAGTATGAGAAGCTCATCTTGCTCTTCCTGTCAGAGTCATCTGAGTCAACCCCAGCATCATCCTCGTTGTCACGAAGAGGCATGATGCGAGGCTGTACGCCCGAATGAGCTTGCTGCCGGGAGCGCACGACGCTGTGAAAAAGGTAAGCCAGAATGTGGTGACGTCGGCACAACGGGCGCACGTACTCTTCCATGGAGACGACGCCTTCACGAGGCTGCACAACCTCTCCTATCGCCCATGTTTCGATCTGTTCGAGAAAGACGGAGCATAACGGTCAGATTCCATCACACCATTCACTATTCACAAGGCACATGCACGGACCTTGATAAATTTGTATAAATTGCGAGGCCTGGTATGCGAGCCACGCCGTCCCGTGGTCGCATACTTCGTCTTGCCTTGCAGCTCAGGCAGAGAGTTCGTCCTCGAATTCGTGGCCGCCACCAGTGGTAAGCAAGTTGTGCCTGTTCTCTGACATCGCAGTACTACGTCATTGAATACAACGAACCATTGGTCCTTTTTCCCTCTCATTCCGCTACTGCCCGGCTGTAGGGCATCGCTCAGTCGTTTGAACGATGTCTTCCCCTTCACATTCTTATGCGCTCCCGACGTCACTGGAGGGGCTGACTGCGTCTTCACAGGCTCGGCTAAAGGATTTATTCCCACAACCGGGCGCTCTTCCATGAGTACCCTGGACGGCTTCGGCACCATGAGCTGCTTCACTTTGTCCAGACCCTCTATTCGTGCGAACACATCTCGCGTCTTGTCTCGCTCTTCCTTCTGGATCTTCTCATCCTCAATACTCCTCACGATCGTCTCCACCTCGGCCACCATGGCAAGGGTGCTTTCATATTCGAACGTGCTGGGATCGGTGTGATAGAGCAGGTTTTGAAAGAGCAAGGGATATTTCAGCAGGCGTTGGAATGGCTTCGATAGCGAGATTGCTAGTCCCGTCTCGCCCTTCTCAGACGCGATAACCTCGAGCCTTTGCAGGCTCTGGCATATCTTCATCCATTGGTCCGCGTCTTGCTTCTTGGGTTTCTTGGTAGCACTTGTTGTAGAGAGTGCATTGTCAACCTGTTCGAGCGCCCTTTCTAGATGGAGAACATATGTCGCGTATCCTTGAAGTATGTGTGACTATCGCGGAGTCTGGATTCAGTAAGTAAGTCATACATTAGATATCACGAGACTCACGTTGTTCACAAATACGTCTGCTAGAGATCGTACGAGAGGGTACTGCTCTTCATATCTCTTGCGGAGATTCTCACTCAGACGAACGTGCCCCTCCAATATCCCACCTTCAATGACTTCGAGACATTTCCGCAGATCCTCCGGGAGCTCTCTCGGGGGCACTGATGAAGTCACGATGGCATCCGGTGTCGTGTTACTCTTCTTCCATTTACGCAACATACTGCCTCCTGATGCTGCCGTTGCGGCTCTGACAGAAGGAGTATTTGATCCGCCCGAGTAATCGTGCTCCCTTTCTCGCTCTGCAATGATCGACTGCCTACCGAGCGAGTGGGTGGACGACGTCATCGTGTCCATGCGAGGTGGAGGAGGGAGTGATTGATGGGACCGCGATGGGAAGGGAACGCTCGTGCCATACTTGCTGCCTCCAGAACGCGTCCCATATGGAGACCGAGGGTGATTATGCTTGGCTGCTTGGCTCATGCCTGTGACAGCCTTGTGGCGGGAAGAGTAGTATGAAGCGCCCATCCGGTCTTCTGCTTCCTCGTCCTCAGCATATGTCGATTCGCCATCGATGTTCGGATGCCCATCGTCTTTGCGAGTCGGTGACGAGGGCATCTGAGCAGTAGGCGAGTCTGAGCGAAGGCCAGTGGGCGAAAGGAAGCGGGCAGCGATAGGTAGGTGTTCGAGCGACTCGCGCGGAGTATCTGCACGGGGAAACTCATCATGATCAAGGTTCGGAGATGACACCGGCGAAGGAGCAGAGTAAGGGTGTAGGAGCGGCTCGATGAATGTTTCTTTCATCTTCATTAGCTCGGCCACATATCTGCTTCAACATTTAGAACGTGTCAGTAACCGAGTTACGTACACGCACCTTTCCTCGCTTGCAACAATCTCCCACAACACTTCCTGTCGTGTGCGTTCACGTTGGCCAATGTTCGACACGAGGTCATCCTCTGCAACCTCGCTCCAGGACTGCGCGGCGAGAATCCGGCTGCTCGAATTCGACATCTGGGAGTACGGCGTCCCTGATCTCAGCGACTGGTGAATGGACGCGCCGTCGCCATAACTCCTTCCCTGAAATGGGGACGTGCCTGCGCGCGATGGGACTTGTCTGATGGAGCGGCTGGTGGAGGCGAGGTCGGTTCGTGAGGACGTACTGGTGGATGTAGAACCACGCGTGTCCTTAACATGTGTAGCCTGGAAGCGTGAGACGGTCGTCTTGGTTGGCGCGTTTGGGGGTGTAGGTGTCACTGCGTCAGGCAGGACGCTGTCATTACAGGGTCCTGGGGTAGGAGGAGGTGAAAGGAATGCAACTTTCTTGTGCACGTCACCGGTTGTGCCATTGAGCATGCTGCCGTTGGTAGTCTTTCGCGAGCTACGGCCCGTAGAGTCGGGCTCCTGCCGTGATCGCGTGGAATCGACGGTGGCATACTTGCTGTGTGAGCTTGGATTGCTCTCGAGAGCGTTATTAGCAAGAAGTGGGTCGGTAGTATTTATCGGGGTCGGTGTGGATGAAGACTCGGTAGAACCAGATGACGACGGCTCTTCAATGGGCGGTAAAGGACGAGCTATCTCTGGCAAGGGCTTGGAGGAATCAAGGATACTGCCGGTGGACGGAGCACGATGCGGAGGCCATTCACGAAGAGGCGGAAGCTGGGGTATCTTCTCGCGTACGGCGACGTCCTTCTCCTTCTCCTTCTCCTTCTCCTTGTAGAGGCCTCTGTTGATGCGGTTGAGGAAAGCCTTCATGGCCATCACGGGCAGCGTGAGGACTCCAGGATGTCGACGAAGGTGGAGAGCAGGAGAGTGTGGATATGAGGCCGGAGGGGATGAGGAGGAGTGATTTGTATCACACGCTCCTGCGCCTCGTGGCGAATTTGCCTCCGTTGCTCTCAACCCTGCGCCTCGTGCGGATGAATTCCCAAGTTCATTTCGTGCCTTTGCCTGCACACTACACCAAACACGTCGCCCTTCTCGCCTACCCCGTCCGCGACGCTTGACGACGGCTCAACAAACGGCACCGCCCTCTGGCTCGGCGCACAATGTCTATCCATGTATTTGCTCGATATCCTGAGAGCCAAACCCCGCGCAGACGGACAACGTCGCAGGGCTATTGAACTCGGCAGCGGCATCGGCTTGTCTGCGTGCGTTTCCAAAGAGATTATTCTTCCCTAGTCTAAATGCACTCCGTCTTCTCGCATTTACTCAGGCTTCATCGGCTGGGACGTTCTGGCTACCGACCTCCCCGACGTCATCGCTGCTGTGCTGTACAGCAACGTCGCGAACAATGCCTCACAGTTGCCCGTCGACAGTGGAGTCATCCAGGTCCGTGCTCTAGACTGGACAATCCCACCACAAGAATGGGTGTGGGACAGCGAAGAGTTCATCGCTGCACCGTCATCCTCTCGGAACAAACCCTACTCGGACGGACACCAGACTATCGGACCACCATTTGATTTGATCATATCCTCCGACACGCTCTATTCGCCAGATATCGTCATACCTCTTCTTCGCACCCTTCACACTCTCTGCACACTATCCATGCGCGCTGCCGCATCAATACGTTCTCCACCGGTCTATCTCTGCATTGAGAGACGCGATCCCGATCTTATCGACCAGGCTCTCGAAGAAGCAAGGGTGATATGGGGGTTCGTTGTCGAGCGGGTGCCGCACAGGAAGGTGGTGAAAGCCATGGATAAGGGCGGTGTTAATTGGGAGAAAGGTGATTGGGAGGGTGTGGAGATATGGAAGCTAATGCTGCCCGTGAGCAAGCAGCCAAAGGAGGCGAGCTCCCAGTGAGGCAAGGTTTGACAACTGCACACCTTTGCAGAAAAGCGTCCTACGGTTTGATCAACCACGTGTATGTCGCTTGGATGGACAGGCGGCATAGGAAACCACCGAACGAAGGTTACAGTGTGTCGCGACAGGGTGGCAAGCTTTGGTATATAGGACCATAGTGATAGCAAAGCCAGAGATATGCAAGAAGTTTGACAAATTCAGCTTGCATCTCTGCCGTTCTAACAAAATCTTCGCGCCTCCGCGAGCATGTAGGGCAGGGGAAACATCTGCCAAGTCTATCGCCCTTCAGCAGGTTCGTGCTGTAATTTTGACTGTCCGATGGACTAATAGTTGTCAGAAGACTGCAGGGCGTAGCGACAATATCCGATTGTCAACGAACCACATCATCAGCAGAAGTGTCTTCACTGCGAGTCGCTACCAGTTTCAGCGTTCGGTCGAACCCATGGCTTGACTAACAGTTGGACGAACAATCAGGCATGGGCTCATCGTTCAAACGAGGGATAGTGTGCACACCAGATCCCTCCATGTCTCCTCTTCATCATTCTCCGTCTGTAACTGATATACTTGGATAAATCCTTTGAATCTGTGTGTTGCATCTCAATTTGTGCAGCTGATTTGGACGTGTCAGAAAGCCGAGGGAGAGTTGCTCACGTCAGGTCACCATTGTCCGTCACATCCATGAACTCCAATATCTCTCCTTTCGTAGCATCGTCAAATGGAGCACCATTGGTATCTCGTGCCCACATGTCCAGTCCCTCTGCTGTGAGATACGCGTCATTTGGAGGCGAGAGGAGCGTAAAGCCTTTTGGCGGAGGAGCGGGTCGGGGCGTGCAGTATTTTGCGAAAATATGCTTCAAGCAGGCTTCCAACTACGCGTCACAACAAGATTACCCCTTGAGCTTCTTCATGTAGGTATAACTTAATATACGCACCTGCTCTGAAATGGCGCCGTCCTCATCAAGCAACTGGACACCGTCCGTGCCGTTCCTGCGCCCCTGCCGTGATTCGGGTTCCGGGGACTCCGGACGTGACGAGTCGAAACCAGACATTCTTTCTGAGAAGACCCGTACAGAAATGAAGCAACCAGGAAGGGCTCGAGCGCGGGAGGTGCAGGAACTCACGGAAATAATTCTGCACAGCGCCATAAATTTCCCAGAATGGAAAAGGGCGCGAGCGCGCGTGATTGATCGAGCGCCCCGCCTGCATCTTGCGCAGTGCGCACGTCTTCTCCGCTCACGACTTTACGCTTCACATCCAGCTTTGCATCATCCACCATGGCGAGCACTAGGGCAGAGCCGCTGTCCATCGAGAGCTTACTTCAGAAACAGAAGGAGGAGAAAGAGGCTTCGTCCAAGGTGCGTTTAGCGAATTCTGAAAGTGCTGACTGGATGGAGTCTGAACGAGCTTACTCTAGCCCAGGTTCCTGACTAAGGAACAACGCGCGCAGCTTGCTATAAGCAAACGTGCACAAGAGATCAAGGAACAGCGCGAGAAAGATGAGCAGGCAAAGCAGGACCGTGAACGCTTGGAGCGAGAGGCGGAGGAGATCCATCAGCGCGAGCGAGAGCGGGAACGTGCGAGCAGATACGGAGGCAGTGGTCGATGTGAGTATTGCCTTATGATGAGTAATGACTTGCCTGCCTTTTTTCTAACACTACTATACAGACGACGACCGCTACGACCGGGAAAGAGACCGGGACAGAGGAGACAGCCGATACGGTCGGCGGGATGCTCGAGACAGAGACAGACGACAGACAGACGACAGACGTTCCGGGTCATATCAAGGTGTACCCACGGGCCCTCGCGCCGACCGAGGCAAAGCACCCCCATCAGGCCCAGCAAGCAGCACCTCCACACCGCCACCATCCTCCATGCCCCCTCCCCCTCCACCCGGATCGTCGACCAACGGCATTCCTTCCATCACCGCTGCATCAGAGCCCTACGTTCCACCCATGACCGATAGCGACCTGAGCGCCATTCGCTCGCGATACCTCGGCGTCGACAAGAAGAAGCGAAAGATCCGCAAGATGAACGATCGCAAGTTCGTGTTCGACTGGGACGAGCAGGACGACACGTATAGTGCGGAGACACCTGCAGCTATCGGGAGCCAAAGGCAGGGTGCGCAGGTTATGTTTGGCCGAGGGCACATTGCCGGGATGGACGATGGTGGAGGAACCGTGTCGGTGCGAAGGAACGGTGGGGAGGGCATGCAGTTGGCGGATTCTCTTGAGAGGAGGAAGGCTGCAAAGTCTGGCTTAGATGAGAGGCACTGGACTGAGAAGTCACTGGAGGAGATGAAGGAGCGCGATTGGCGTATCTTCCGAGAAGACTTCAGCATTGCCTCCAGAGGTTCGTGCACCCCGAGGTTCTCATGGGTTCAACAGTTGCTCATTTCAACTTATAGGCGGTCTGATTCCGCATCCTCTACGGTCATGGGCCGAGTCGTCAATACCGCAACAAATCCTCGATGTCATTGCGAAGATTGGCTACAAGGATCCGTCGCCTATCCAACGTCAAGCAATCCCAATTGGTCTACAGAATCGAGATATCATTGGCATCGCCGAGACCGGTAGGTACCCCTACTTCCATGCGTTGGCAGTCCGCTCATGCGGAAAGCACAGGTTCCGGTAAGACCGCCGCCTTTGTCATTCCTATGTTGGCGTTCATCTCCAGCTTGCCGCCATTCACGGACGACATTAGACACCTGGGTCCCTATGCACTTATCCTCGCACCTACTCGTGAGTTGGCTCAACAAATCGAGTCGGAGACGAAGAAGTTCGCGGGCCCGCTTGGATTCACCTCCGTGTCTATCGTTGGAGGAGTGCGTTCATACTTTGCAACTTGTCTTATGCAGCAAGCAGCTGACCTTTTCTTTAGCGTTCTGTAGAAGAACAACAGTTCAACTTGCGTTCCGGTGCAGAGATCATCATCGCCACGCCTGGTCGTCTCAAGGATGTTATCGAGCGTCACGTCATCGTGCTCTCCCAATGTCGCTACATCGTCATGGATGAAGCCGACCGGATGGTGAACCTGGGTTTTGAGGCGGACCTTACCTTCATTCTTGATAAGCTCCCCAGCGATACGATGGAGGGCGAGGACCAAGGCGAGCAGATGGACGTGGATGGCGAGACGATGATCAAGAAGGGCCGTACGAGAGTGACAACGCTGTTCTCTGCGACTATGCCTCCGCCTGTCGAGCGTCTCACCAAGAAGTACCTCAAGAAGCCCGCTATCATCACAATTGGTGAGGCAGGCAGAGCTGTGGATACTGTCGAGCAGAAGGTTGAATTCGTCAGCGGAGACGAGAAGAAAAAGTGCGTGATTGATATCAAGCTCTAGTCATTTTTGCGTGATTCTGATGCACCGATTGTTGCAGGCAGAAAATCTTGGAGATTCTCAACAGTGGCGCATACGCCGCGCCGATCATCGTGTTTGTCAATCAGAAGAAGACTGCAGATATGGTGGCCAAGGATCTCCAGCGTGCAGGGGTGCGTACCTTGCTTCCTAATCATTGTGCTTGTCTGACTCACCTATCGCACTCTCAGTGGAACGCCGCGACGTTGCACTCCGGCAAGAACCAGGAGCAGCGAGAGGCGGCGCTGCAGTCCCTGCGCACCGGCGACTGCGACATCCTCGTTGCCACTGATCTTGCTGGTCGGGGTATCGACGTGCAGGACGTCAGCTTGGTTATCAACTACCAGATGGCGAACACCATCGAGTCATACGTGCACCGTATTGGTGAGTGTCCTTCCTCTCCTCTTATAGGTGTCTGGTTTCACGAGATCGTTGCTGACGCGCTGCCGGTTTTAGGTCGAACCGGTCGTGCTGGGAAACAAGGAACTTCGATTACTTTCCTGACGAATGACGACGATGAAGTAATGTGCGTCTTCTTCCCCTGCTGCTGCTATCCGTCTTATTGGATAGCCCTTGTGTATCACATGCTGATTGGCTCTCTTTGCTCGCGGATGCAGGTACGATCTCAAGCAAGGTAAGACTTTCGCGCTATCTATATCGGATATCGCGGCAAGTGTGCTGACCGATGTGCTGCAGAGATATCGAAGAGCCCGGTGTCGAAAGTGCCTATCGAGCTGGCGAAGCACGAGGCGGCGCAGCACAAGGTGTCCAAGGAGATGAAGAGGAAACGGGATGCGGACGACCAGGGCTGAGGCGCGAGTCGGGTGTTCACGGTACCGTGCGTGGGGGAGAGCCTAGCAGATGTATAAGTTGGGCGATACTAGATGAGCGTGAGCGGCCTGTATCCTGTATTATCTAATTCGTGTCCTCTCACCTATGTGCATCTGCAATGCACCTCAAACCAAAACGAGATCAGTCACTAGTCACTTAGTGAAACATATCGTGGCAAACCGGTGTGTGCTTGCAAACGCATGTCTTGGGCTGAGTCCTACCGAGCCACGACCAGACTCGTTCAGGCTTGTCTTTTGTCGGGATTCCTCGCTCGCTGCCCGAAGGATGTCCGAGCACGCTGCGTCCATCATGCGATCCTTCCCGCGATGCTCCCCTGCATCTCGTCTCCTTCCGAAGCACTCCATATATGCACACTTGGCATCAACCACCCCTGCGTCCTCCGGCCCCGGGCGGAGGGCCCGGCGAACTTTGCGGGTGTGAAGGGTGATCGGCCGATCGGTGGGCAACCGATCAAAGGTAGCGGGCAGATGGAGAGCAGCCCGAGGTCAGTTGGGTGTGGCCGCGGGCGAAGCATGCTACATAACGCCGGTCTGCCCGAGCGATGCGGGCGGCGGTGACGTGACACAGCAAGTCCGACTGTGTCGGTGTGACCCACCGGCGTAACGTTACCTTTGGTTTCCGATGCGCCAACACCATCAGACTATTCATGGAGACTAGCATGTCAAGCACGGAGCTACAGCACCCTCATTGACCGAGCCTCAGAAAGCTAGGCTGGTGCGCCGGCACCTCACTCAAATGAATGTTGTGGACCGCTTGTGGCTTTGTTTGATGATCATACTGAGACCCGGTGACCGAGTGCCGTGTTTGCGCTGATGGATCCCAAATGATGCATTCAATTGTGCGGCTGCGCTAACACCACCGCATCTTGACAGACCATCATCGACGATTACGACATGTGCACCCCTTGCACTGCCGGAGGCACAGCGACACCCTATTTTGTTGTGATTCTAGCGCAGATGAGGTGATGTAAGTGGATGCAAAGCTCTGCAAGAGCCGATCCAAGTACACCAGTGTGACCGGTTGACTGTGCAAGTTGGTCAGACACTAACCTAGGACAAGCGCCTCCACTCAGGCGAATAGCGGGCTCGGCTATTAGCCCAACAGCGTTGCGGATATACGCCTGTTGGAATGGGGTTGCTGCACTGGCAGGTCAGGTAAGCGGTTACTACGATATGACGTCGTGCGCAAGCGCGCGTGAATTTGCCCAAACTAGCTACCTGCGCTACCATCTCCCATCCACATACAACGTCAATATTGCTAATTCAATACGGTCGGCAAGCTGCGGATATATTGCGCTGCAGGTCGATGTTCGCAGAGCGCTCCGCTGACGACCCTGTAACCATGCATCGATGTCACCGTTCGAGCCTCTCGGTGGCTGTTATTCCAAATGACAAGAAGTGGCTTGTGCTAGTCTATGAGGTCACGGGTGGAATGAGTCGAGAAACGATCGCACGCAGTGGCCGCCGGGAACGAGCAGACGGTGTGTTCCTAAATTAGAAGTGAGGTACGTGTATGTTTTTTGATCAGCGAACACGCGACCTTTCGAATTTGACTGGATGTATTCCGAAGTCTGACGTAAATAAGTGTCGAGACAGTTCCACCAGCAGGCACATCTAGGACTGATGGGCAAAATCTAAGCGTCAGAGTTGGTAAAAACACCGCTGGACCGAGTCGAGATGTCCCGCGCGGATTGCACGCCTTTGCGACTGCCCCTTTAAGAGCTGCTCTCCTCCTCCAGACTGTGAGTCTCGAATACCGATAGGCTGGGTAGACCGTCAAGTGGTCCAGTCGAGACTGGTAAGCGCATGACTTCGCCGGATGACTTCAGCCAGTGGGAACGATCATGTCCAGACCAGCCCGTTGCTGCGCACTGAGACTGCGAGTCGCTCGACTTGGATGGTCAGAAGCTGTCGGTAATACAGGTACAGGTACAGATACAGTTGGCCAAGCGAGCCTCCGAATGCAGCGTTAGAATCTTCGCTACGCTTCGCAACTGAAACTTCAGATAAAGTTGTTATTGTTCGCCTCAAAACGAACCCGTAGACCTCAATCGAGATTTTGTGCCTTGGCGAGCCCCACAATTCATGACTTGAGGTTTGTGCAACAGCCTTGGTGTAGTATCTTGATTATTGTCTGGGGATAAACGTCGAGCAGCGACGATCGCAGGCATCGCTTTCCCCGCACTGATACCTATTCGCGAGCATGGGATGCGATGTCAACACTCCATTGGCCACACCGCATCTCGTATCTGCATGTACCACCCGCACTGGCTTCGATTGCGAACCGTCGCTTACAGAGCAGTCAAGATCGCCGGGGTACCGTTGGCGAGCGAAACCAGGTCGTCTTGAGTTCTTCCTTCAGCGCCTGAGTAGGTTACCCCTGGGGTCTTTTGTCCGGCATGACGCGGCATGACGATTATGGATAATCGGCCCGAGCCCAATTCATCTTGGCAGACATCACAATTCTTGGCGGATGTCACAACTACCCATAATTCTCTGCTGAGCATGCTGTGCGGAAGTTTAATTAAATATCCAAATCTGGCAGGCTTTCCGGTGTGGCTGAGTGTCTGGTAGGAATGGCTTGAACTTATAGCATCATGACCATGGAGAATGTGATTATCGTTGGTGCACATCACGGTCCACCAGATGACATATTGACAGTCAGAATTTTAATAATGTAATGGGCAGATTGTGTAAGGGATGAGATATGAGAGTAAAGAAGTATGAGATTTCAGATTTGAGTGAGTAGCTAGGCAGCAAGGGAGTGCAGGCCAATATAATCAGTTTGATAAAAAGGAGCAAGACAGGGAGGTAGAAACTATTTATTGAGGACTATGGAATTAGCTGAGTGTGTACATGTCACGGTAACACCGGACAAGAGATCAAAAAAGACTAAAAAGAGACAGCCACGTGGAACGTGCCGCTCTGATCCCCCTGATCTCAAAAGTATCCCCCTGAACCCTATGTGGTGCAAGAGCCTGTTGACTTACTGGTCGACGTGGCAGATGCAGGAAGGGGTGAGAGATATATGAAGGAGCTGGTGAGCTCAGTGGATGCTATAGGTAGTAGACGAGGAGAAACAATCTGAGGTTTCGTCCCTACATGGCTGGTCTTATATACACGTACAGCGGGCTATCTTACCTAAGCTACCTATCTACGGGTATAAGCAAATGGCCGTACATGAAACAATAGGATGTCCAGAAGTAGAACAATAAGTGAGAAGATCGATGGTTGCTGCAGTAATGCGTGTGCACATCGTGCCTATCTTGGTTCTCCTTTTGAGCTCCGGTGTGAACATCGTACCTATCTAGGCTTCTGGCTAAACTAATAGGAAGCGGAAGGCCGACGCATAACAATAGTCCTTGTTCCCTTTGTTCCCAAATGGGTGCCTCTATTGTATCCTGGAATAGACAGGTCCGACCGTATCATCCACGGGTCTGGACCATAACATGTGATGTGGACTATCACCTGATCTCTACGCATCACGTCTGTGGCTGAGTGGCGTGAGATATTGGTGAAGCACGTGATCTTGTGGTGTGAGAAAAGTCACGTGCAGACTTTGTGGCGAAAATCTGTGACAGTACATAGTATCTAAAACGTTGATGGCTAGCTAAATGAACCAATGGATGTGGTGCATTATAATGCACTGTCACACATGAGACAAAGGGCAGCAGCACAAGCAAGGCAGATGATGAAGATGCATGAAAAATCACAGTACAGAGAATTGGAGAGACAGATCTATGGCCATTGTGCAGTACTGCGGCATGCACCCCCAAGATGTTTTTGACCCTGTAATATGCCGTCAAAATCCGATTTAGTACGTTACAAATTCCCTTTTATGGCAATGAATTCACAATATCAAACTGAATTTACCTCGAAAAAGCGCTGTCGCAAATGGAAATGGGTCTCTGTCTGAGGTGATATAGAATGAGGACACTAAGGATGCAACGCTTGTGAGTGTTGCCAGTAGGTGGCTACATAGTACATATGCCGTTCGTTTTGTACATTTATTTCAATGTCTTAACGCACTCTTAATTTTCATACCCATTCACTTAAATAAAAGTACAAAAGGAATGGCACAGCCACCAGCCATCAAAATATTACATAATAAAAGAAAACCGACAAATGGACATAATCACGAAGTCACATATCAAATGAGCAGAGGGACCCCGTCATGCGCAAGCGCTGAAGGAAAAAAAGTCGAGATGACCTGGTTTCGCTCGCCAACGGTACCGGGGGAGCGGTACAGGGCCCGGCTCGGTGACAACAGCGTGCTTCGTCCGTCCGGAGCGCACGGAGTGCTTGAGTCACGGGCCACCGCGAGTGAAATGGACATGAACAACCTCCGACCCGAGGCGCGTCCGGACGAATGGCTGCGTGGCCGCTGCATTTTGCTGTGCATTTTTATGATTGGTACCAATTGGTCGGGGCGGTGTGGCCTGCTATAGCTGTGCATTTGCATTTTCATTCATATAATAAAACTTCTTTGTCTAGTTGCAATAGGGTATGCAAGCCAATGACGGGAGCCGAACGTATTAGATAGTGACCATGAACGTAGACGTACCATTTGAGCAGCGCACTTTTAATGAATTGCACAGGGATTGCAATTAGGCTGCAGGGGCGAATGAGCAAGCGCACCTGCGCACGATGTTCCCAGCGCGCGACGGCATCGGGCGCCCCTGAGAGGTGTGGATGTAGTGCGCGTCGGACGTACGTTTTTGATACTTAGCATCGTGTTTCGATAGGAGCGTTGGAGCCTGGTGGCGGCACTTGGCTACGCGGACAGTGGGTGCCTGTGAAGGGCACAGCGGGTTTTGAGCGGAGGCCGCACGCGCACGCCGTTTCGTTACACACCTCCGCCGAAAGTAACGCCACGAAGGAGCCATCCAGCGAGTGGTGAGGCCTTGGGGCGCAGGGATCGGCGACGCGGGCCTGGACTGCGAAAACACGGGCCGTTGCTGAGGAGGATGAGAATGGCGAGGAATTCCTCGGGCGTGGGGGGGTGAATGTGATCAGTCCTGATACGTTGCGGTCGGATGCATTTCGCGTAGAGGAACGGAGATCATTAATAGGATGAACGCACACGCAATAGTGGTTACATGAAACGATGAGCAGGTGATGCAAGTGGCACCCTCACAGACTGGAAGATCGCAAACGAGAAAAGGAGTCACTCGGCACACCCATCGGCAGAGCACTGAAGTATGCAATACGTCGATGACTGCGATGCTGATGTCGGCGACGCCCGGTCGGGTAGCACGCGTCGGGCGGCGGGCGGCGGAACGGGGCGCTGCCAGGAATGGAAGGCGGCCGGGCGAGCGGAGGACGGGCGGCTCGTGCACTGTGACGTAGTTGTGCTCCGATTGGCTGAGATGCCGCGGCATGCCGTTGCCGATGACGGCAGATTACGATGTCAGATTGCCTAAAATGCACATTTCGGGATAAAGTGGAGCGCAGACTATTTGACTTCGGACGAAAGATTTATCGCGCCTTGGTTCGGACGGCGGTCGGCCTCTGCATGCCCAGCGAGGCTTATGGAAAGGCTGGGAATGAACGCGCTCAGCGTGAGCAGCGAACAGCCGCGGGCGTAGTGGTGAGAGGATGGTGTCAGAGAAGCGGGGGTCGGATGGCAGCACCAGATAGTCGTCTTCGGCAGCTCTTGCCGATTGGTGTTCAGCCTGTGAGCGCTACAGACTGGGCTCCGCGCATGGTGCTCGCAGCCAGCAGCGACGACGACGCTAAACGAGGGTGATGCACGCGCGGCCGGCGCGGGGCATGGGGGCAGCGCGCAGGGATGTGTGAGCGTGACGATGGGTGGAGCAGGAGCAAAGGGCGAGCGGGCGCTAGAGACGGACCGGCAACATCTCAGATCCCTGCCGAGTGATGCGCGCCATAAACAACGCACCCAGCTCCCTCGGTCACTTCTTTCCCTGTCCATATCACTCCCGCGTCCTCCTCCGTCCACTCCTGTCATCATCATCGACGACGACGACGCTTTCCCCGTCGACGACTTTTTCGTCGCCCTCATTGTGCTTGCTTGCCAATGCCCCCCGTCGCTGTCTCGATACCCCCGTCCCAGGCAGTGGGCGCTCCATCGGCCATGTCGCCCACCTCTCGGCCTCCACTGCATGCGAAAACTAGCAGTTCTCCCTCCTCTCCTTCTTTTTCGCCCGCCGATGGTTCCCCGCGTGCTGATCCAGCCCCGTCAATAGCGGTTGCATCTCCTACCTCGCCATCCGACCCACACGATAAGCTCGCTACACCACGTATCACAGCCAGGGCCAAGGAGCAGGTTGGTATTGCCCATTCTCAAACACTACCCGTCTGCCATGTTTCACCCGTCCGCACTCATGCTGACACATATCTATAACTCCAATTGTTATCCTTTCCTAGGCTCCGGCTCCCGTGAGACGTTCGTCTCAGCCCCTTCTCTGCACATTACCCGCCGACACCTCCCGCTCACCAGAGGGTTCTGTTGACCCTTCCACCGACAACCTTCCACCTTCCAGCGCTTCTTCCGTCTCGCGCTTCACCTTTTCCCGCCGTCCTAGCCAGCAACTGCTCTCTGCCCCGGCTTCCACCAATTCGTCCCCTCCGCATAGCTCACCTGGCATAGAGTTACCGCCGCCCACAATGGCCGTCCCTGCCCCCTCCACCCCAACCACTCCCGGTGGCAGTGTTGCACCTTCTTCTGTCAGCGTACACTCCACGAAGAGCTCAAAGCACCTTCCTGGTGCCCTCCATGATCTGAAGCGGTTCCTAAACCACCATATACCCCACGCACATCCACATCATGGTAGCGCGACGAATACTGCGCCCACTTCTGCCATGGCCAGCCCACCTCACGAGCAAGCACTGCCCGCGTCCGAACAACGCCGAGGAGTGCATTTCGAGCAGTCGAGCTACCTCGAGGCCGCTCCGGGTGCGCACACTCCCGGCACACCTGGTTCTGTTGCTGGCTCTACCGGATCGGGCTATGTGTCCGCCGTCCCGCCTACCCCTGTGAACGCGTCGACCGAGTATGTTGGTAGTGACGACAATAAGAAAGAGTCGCGCTTCTCCACTATGCTGTGGAAGGACAGGGACAAGAGCAAGAAGGAGCGGGCCAAGGAACGTAAGGAGAAGGATGAGTTGGATGTGAAGAAGGGTAATGTCGCGAAGACGCCGTCACCTGGTACGTCCACCGACGATAGCAGTAAGCGCAGTTCGCGCTCGCCGCAGCATACCATCGACACCGACACCAGCCCACCGGCGTCGGGCAGAAATTCGCCCAAGTCGACAGCTCCTTCAACAGCTCCTTCGACAGCTCCTTCTACGGCTCCTTCTACAGCCGCGTCGGCGGAGACATCAAGACACTTCGCACCGCCTCCGTCTTACTCGCATTCGCCAGGACACGTCATTCCATCGCTATCACAGGCCACACACGCTCATCTGTCGAAGAAGTATGGCAAATGGGGACGTGTTCTTGGCAGCGGCGCAGGTGGAACGGTCCGTCTGATTAAGGGGTCAAGCAAGAACGGCGGCCGCACGCTCGCTGTGAAGGAGTTCAGGGCGAGACGGCAAGGTGAGAGCGATCGCGAGTACCAGAAGAAGGTTACCGCGGAGTTCTGCGTGGGTAGTACCTTGAAGCATCCGAACATTATCGAGACCGTGGATATTGTTACGGATCATGGACACTACTACGAGGTGTGTATATGCGCATTGGTTCTCGTACGCTTGAAACAGACGCTCATGCCAACACGTTCTTAGGTCATGGAGTACGCACCGTACGATTTGTTCAGCGTGGTCATGTCTGGCAACATGTCACGTCCGGAGATCTACTGCGTTTTCAGGCAGATCTGTGACGGGGTTGAGTATCTGCATTCGCTCGGGCTCGCACACCGCGATCTCAAGCTGGACAACTGCGTGATGACAAAGGACAACGTGGTGAAGCTCATTGACTTCGGAACCGCGACGGTGTTCCATTATCCCGGGAAGAAGACAACATTCGCTACAGGCGTTGTCGGCTCGGATCCGTACCTCGCACCCGAGGTGCTCTCGCAGGAGCGTTACGACCCACGCAAGACGGACGTATGGAGTGTCGCAATCATCTTCATGTGCATGGTGCTCAGGCGGTTCCCATGGAAGATCCCTGACCCGAAGACGGACGCGAGCTTCAGGGCGTTCGTACAGGCGCATCCGGACCTTTTAGAGAAGCCGAAGGAGTCTCAGCGCAAGCAGGTGTTGCCTCCGCCTGAGAAAGAGCAGAAGGAGGAGGAGACGCCCGCATCGGAGACAGCAGAGAAGAGCAAGGCAACGTCTACTGCCCCATCGGTGGTGTCGACTTCCGATTTTCGAACTGCAGCCGACGGCGGCAAGCTTTCGGCACGCTCATCGCGGTCGTCTGGCTCCGGCACGTCTCTATCGGAATCGGAAGCTGTCGATGCAGCACTTGAGAAACGACGCCAAGCAGTGCGGACGACACTTCCACAGGGCGTGCTAAGCCTCTCAACGGCTACGCTTCCCACAACACTACTGTCACGTCATGCAAGCGGCACCGTTGTCGATCCTGATCCGTCAGTACGAACATTCGCTCGCCCTGCAGACTCGACAGAGTCGCTTCCGGCACCTCCATCACCGCATGTCTTCAGGAAGCCTCCCGCGGTTCAGTCTGACAGTGCGGTGACGCTAATCGCTAATAAGCCTCCGATTAAGTTTGAGGAATTTAGGCCTGTTAAACCGGCCCCGAAGCCGCCTAGCCTTCCGGAGGACGTGAAACATAAGGACTTTGCTGAGTATCCGGCCAATAAGAAGGAGACGGAGCGCACGGCAGTTGCGACTGTATCGCGCAAGCCCTCGGAGATGCACAAGCAGGTGTCAGAAGCGCCCTCTTCTGCCACGGTCTCGAGTACATCAACTGCGGCGACTGCAAAGCCCGCTCAAAGGCAATCCGGAGGTGCTCAGCAATGGACGGCGCCCCCGGGTCGTCGCCGGCGCGCGGATAGCAAGTCATCCGTGGCGACGTTTCACCAGGGCGGCGCGGAGTCGATATTCCGGCTGCTCCCGCGCGAGTCGCGTCCTGCGCTACAGCGGATGATGCACATTGAGCCTTCGGCGCGCTGCACGCTGACGGATTTGCTGCACGGGAAGGGCAAGTCGAATGATCTGCTTTGCGGATGCCATTCGCACGCGAAGGACGGCTCGTGGTGTGAAGACCACGATCACCTACCGGAGGACGAGGACGATGGCGACGCATGGCTGAAGAGCATCGTGCCATGCTCGAAACCGGGCGTTAAGCCGAATCACACACACATCAAGGTTGCCGTTGACGAAAAGAGCAACGGACGGAAGAAGCCATTCTTCTAGTGTCGTTCGGTTCATGCAAGCGAGCTTCATCCCTTCGCCCTTCGTCCCTTCGATCTTGCTGCATTTTCCACCCACTGTCCATTATCTATTGTAGTCCTCGTCATCGTGCAAGGACGCTCGTAGTTCATCTCTGTGCATAGAGCCCGATTGCTTCATCTTGCGTGGCGCCGTATATGCGGGTGATATTACAGTGCCCCTTGCCTTTCGTCGTCGTTTCTGCTTTCCCTGGCGCCGAGCCCCCCATACATACATTCCGCTCATACGCTATTCCTTTCATCATGCCTTCCGCTTCGGCATGCTCGGTGATCATTGTGGTAGATTGTCGCGGCGTCCATGATCCAAAATGCAGTATATATATTGTCTATGATAGCGCAGATAGAAAAGAGTACTCATGTAATTGTATGTTTACACACAATCAAATACAATGGACTTCCTCCATTAATCACACATGTCGCCAGATTTCGCTTTAGCCGATGCCACAGCTGTGACAATGCTATGGAAACATACACGAAGACAAGAAGAACGCTAGTAGTGATCGGGCAGGAAGCGTTCGCGTCAGAGTTCATCTCGGCGCTGGTCCTTCGCTCCGTCCGAATCCTCCCTTTCCTTTGTCTTCTTCTTTGACTTCTCTGCGCCACTCTTAATGTCGTATCCGGCAGCGCGGAGAAGATCAGCTAGGGACTCCCCTGCGAGGGTAATGGTCTCCTCGTCCTCTCCGTCTAGCATAACATCAGCTTCGACAAACTCGATCACGAGGTCGCCATCGCCATCTTCAAATTCCTCGATCACTATCTCGGGAGCCACGCCACCTTTGAGATGGTTGCGCGTGAGGAACTGTTCGAGTGCTCGTCGCAAGGGGTCGCCCAGAGTCTTGCCTGATGGCTTTCCGTCCACATCTGAGTTCTCTAAGGGCGGCGGTGCGATCACTGGTTTAACACGTTTCGGTTTTTTCAGAGGCTGGCCGGCAGGGGGGAGTGCACGGTCGGCCTGCTCGTACTCCTCTGCGTCAAGGATCTCGCGGCAGCGGATGTACGTTTCCTCGCGGGAGTCATGCCGCGACTTAAACCCGGGCACGCCGCATAGACGCGGCGTTGCGATGTGCAACACATAGTGGCATGTCTGTGTTTCCTTCACGAAAAGAATCGTGTCCGTCATCGTCATGGAACAATGGAACTAGGTTATGAAATGGGTTAATTAATTTGAGATGTTCCTGGTAACAAATTGCGAGCCTGGCCTACCTGGACTTCGACTTCTCTCTTCTGGCCAGTCTTCTCGCAGTAGGTGCCGTCGCCCCATCGCTGGACGAGATAGTGCGACCCGGCACCTTTCGCTAGTTCGAGGTTGGCAGCGACGGCGGCTTCCTCCGCGACGGTGAGATCTGCACCTGGCTCCAGCTGAGGTGGAGCTCTGCCGAGAGTGTATGCTTCCCACTTGGTTACGGCTCGTTATGAAATTCCATAATGAAGAACTGTACGATACATACCTCTGTGTCTTCTTGGGGCTTGTATTCGCCTGTCGTAAGATCGGCTTCAGTCAACCAGGTAATTGAGTTATCTGAGATCCTCACCTAGGCGGTGTGGATGCTGATGCGGCAGTTCGTGGAACTGCCTCACATGCGAATTGTGACAGTATGAGTACGTGAACCAGCCCTGCTTATGCTATGGATGACGCGTCATCGCTGTGTGCATTCCGGTCAGTTGCGGATATGAACTCACATAGAGACATGTGCCTGTGAGGGGTTGCAAGAGCGACCAGCTATGTGCTGGAGTGGTATCCGTCGTGGAGTCATCCGATATATTGGGGTTGTTCTCTTCCGACGGAGGAGGGATTAGACATAGGTATGACATTTTTGGACCGAGTTTTATTTGCTCCAACGTGTAATTGGATGCATACGAGGAAGCTAGCTGCTCGAAGGCGTCAATTACAGAAGACAGTTGTACTAATACAGAGGGCTTTACAGACAGCAGGAGCGGAGACAGTTTCCTGTTCACTTCCGCCTTCGATGCTCTTCAGCGGAGGTTGTTTCATCTGTGCATCCTTCCATGGCTGCCCCAGGAACTCCAGTTCTCCCCCCTGCAGTCCTTCGAGCAACCACCGCTGGGCGGTCTCGTTCAACACCGGCTGGCCATTCAGATAGGTTACGCGGTATTTGGGAGATGCGTATGGGTCCTCGGGGACTAGGGAGTGATGAAGACGAGCCTCAACAAATAGGCAGATGGACAGAGGAACGAGACACAGAGCGGTAGGGTGAGGACGCATTGGATGATACAAGGACGACCAGTTTGAGAGTCCGATTTACGCGCCACAACACGTTGCGAGAGGAAGCCATTGTAGCGGAGATTCAAAGGTTTCACCTCCGCGCTGAGCTTGTGTGTGTCCCAATATGGCAAGAGCATGTGGCTCTCCCGAGTTGCCTGATGGATACCCGCCGCCCCGAAATCGTGTTCTGGCAGTTCATTCCTCTCGTTTGAAGCGATAAATTGTACGGATTTTCGGGCCAGGTTTTCCCTTTCGTGCCCTAGCTTGACGTTCGGAACTGGTGGGAAGGGCCTTCGGCAGGCTATCGCCAGAGTGCGACATTCATGTGAGCCCGGTAAATTGTTATCTGATTATATATTCTCACTCCCCACATCAAGCCAGCCTGCACAACAGAGTCCGCCAGCGGAGTGCGTGCGGCCCCTGACCAGGAAGGTGTGCATTTCAGCGATACCTGCCCGCGCTGGTCCACCGCGCAGAGTGCGCATGGACCGGACATTATGGCGCGCACTGGCCAGACAGGGCGGCTATGTGGCCTGCAGTGACAGAATTACGTACAATTTGCCCTGTGAATCGCGGAATTCATGGAAGGCTTGATTCGCAGATAATAAGCGTCTCTTTTGGGGAATTATTGCACGCGATCCTTGAGAACTCTAATAGGGGAATTGCTCGTTAAAATGAGGGCACTGTAGGCTTGTCGCACTTTCACCCTTCCCCTCATCTGTCCGTCCTCCGCCCTTCACCCGTCCCCCCGCGATGTCTGCTTCACCGCCACACGAGGAGCCTGCTGAAGATCCGAAGGTCGATGAACTCGATGACGCTGGCGAACCTGAGCCAGAGCCAGGTGAGTAAGTTTCGGACTCCGGTCTGTCCCAGGAGGGCTAACGATCATGCAGCTGCTGAAGCGCCAGCTGAACCTGTCAAGCGCAAGCGAGGACGCCCTCCTGGTAGCAAAAACAAGAAGAACGCCGCTAGTGCACCAGCGGGTGCGGGGACCTCCGCGGGCGCTGGAACGTCCACAGATGCCCCAGCAAAGAGGCCCAGAGGCAGACCTCCCAAGGCATGTGTAACGCCGCAGCGCTCGTTCAATATGACTGATAGTATAGCTTGCGGCTTGTCCACAGAGGAAATCGGAGGGTGATACTGAGGAGCAGAAAGTGAAGAGACCGAGGGGTCGTCCTCCTAAGAAGAAGCCTGAGCCGAAGGGGGACGGGGAAGTTGTTGAGGCTGCTGAGTCCAGTGCTCAGCCCAAGAAGAAACGAGGTAGACCTCGCAAGGAACCATGAGGAGCATCGGCCCTCTAGTTCAGCAGTCAGCCGACTGTTTAAACACTCCGTTTATGCTCCTTCCAGGCCACGCAATGTTTCCTCTTGCAGTCTCATGACAATCCTAGCCTAGTCTGCCTGATGGCCTGTTCATTACTTCACCAACATGCTCGTCTATATTCGCTGGCCCTCCTTCAAATGCCTGTATTACGACCGTTCGATAATTTGGGAGCCTATCTCTTGTTGCAATCGTCGCTGTTGCTCCCTGGTTTTCTCTTCGCGCGTAGTATATCGCAAATTCGTTGTATCCATCATGATACCATGTACCAGTCCGGTCCAAATCCAATTAGTGACGATCGCTCTGTACACCATTTCATACGCATGCAACATGTGCTACGTCTGCGAATGCTGTAGTTTCGGTGTTGTTACGGCCGCTTTGGTGCCCAGAAGGTGGATAAATGAGTCCTTCCTGACATAAGAGAACCGTTCAAATTACTAGCTGCCTTCCCGCGGCGGTCTGCAAGACTCTGATTGGACGACTCACAACGTGTGTGATAGGAGTGGTGTATATTTCTCATACCTTTACGACATCTAGCTACGCCCGATTGCACAGCCGGCGCCAAACTGAAAATGCTGCGACGCCGGCCGCACCTACTCCCACAGCAACACTTGCCCATCCTGCGCGCTCCAGTATCTGTCTCTGCCTGACGGCTTTGCGTCTGACGGTAGAGTAGCTGATGTCCGGACGGAATGACACCATTGTATATTGTGGTAGCCAGCCGGAGGGTGAGCGGGTGGGGAACGGCTCGCGGGTCAGCGCCGGAAGCAGAGAGCTGAAAAGGATGGCCTTCGAGGTGAGTGAATACAATATATTATCGAAAGCCTTGCAGAGCAGGTAACCAAGCGTCACGACATCATGGCGCATTTCCACGCTGACAATATTGCCAGGACCACAATCAGTTAGCGTTTACAGGGTCTAGCCTTCCTGAAATAAATACGCACTAATTATCCATGGCGAGTTCACAAATGGAGACAAGGTCTTCGTGCCTGCTTTCGGAATATCGGGCTAAAGCTTTTGCGAGACAATCGTCTTCTCCATCAGGCACGCGGGTGGCGGCGTCCACGCCTTCAGCACGCAAAAGAATATCTAACACACGGACGTCTTCTAGCCCGCAATTTAGACCTTGTCCATAGAACGGAACCATCGCATGCGCCGCGTCGCCCAGAATAATGGCACGGTCCTTGTAATGATATGGCTCTGCCTGGTGGTATCCGCAGCCCGATATCAGCATCCCTCTGCCATATTAAGGGAGCGTGCGATAGTCCCACCTTCACTGTCATAAGCGACGAGCGCGGATTATGTGCGAAATCATACAGCAGCGCCTGTTCGCCGATCAACGGCAGAGCGTCTGGGAAATATGTTTTGAACATATTGACGATGCGTTCCGGCGCGTCGAGGCGATCAAAGTCCGTGGTTGGTGCGAACAGAGTACACGTGAAGGTTTTATCCTATAAATCGGCCGAGACGCTCAGAGCTGGCTCTGGACTGGAAAGAAAGAAGCGATAAGCCACAGGGCTCATTCACGAACCTTATTTGGCAGGGCGATGAGCATGAATGTATGGCGCGGCCAGATGTGAAGATGATTCGGGTCGAGCAGGTATGTGGGTTCACCGCCAGGCTGTGCGGGGGGACCGGCGGGCATTTTCAGCTCGAGGTAATCGTGCGGTAGGTATTCTTGCTGATAATCCATGCTGATTGTGGAAGGGAACGCCGTGCGCAGACGGAAGCAGGGCGTTATCAGGTCGGATCAAACCTCAAGAAAATGTACACGAACGTACCGCACGACCCGCATCAGCTGACTGCGCACAATCGAGTAGCAGCCATCTGCGCCTACGCAGAAGTCGAACGGCACACTCTTGTCTTGTCCTGCATCCTCGTCGCGAACGCTCATCACTCGGGCATCGAAGTCTATGTTGAGAACCTTGTGCCTGAAGAAAGCGCGGGTATTCGGCATAGTCAGGGCGTCCGTCAGGAGATCTTCGTTCATGAAGGCGCGGCCAATAGAATTTATGCACTTATCCGGATGGAAGTGTTGGAACGTGCGGGATGTCGAATGTACATGTGAATCGAAGGCCGAGTAACGCGCCCTAGTTCGGAGTGAACGCTCACCTGGCCATCTTTATCGTACGGCTGACTTTCCTGCCTACCGCCAACGTGATGAATCATCCTGCCACGCATGGGAATGACAGCCTTGAGGAAGCGATCAGCCGCCTTGGGTTCGATGGCTTCGATTGCTGCAATTCCCCGCGTTGAGATTGCCAGGTTAATAGATCGTTGCTGAGCTGCTGCCTTTGAGGATGGCAGACGCATGTCTGGAAATTTAGGGCGTTTGATGGGCAATCGCACGAATCTACCAGGATGATTGCTATACCTGGCCGACCCTCATAAACTTCGACCATCCAGCCCATCTTCGCAAGAGAGATAGCGGCGAGACACCCAACGGGACCTGCTCCAACCACGACGGCTTTTCGTGGAGACACGCCGTTAGCGGACATGGTGTGATTGTGAGGCGTGACGCTGGTGAATGTTTTTTTTGTTAATTTGGGCGATTCGTGGGAAAGATGCAGACACTACAATCCTCACCGAGTCTCCAAGCACGGCTTATGCAGTTAGAAGAGGCAGTGGCACTTCACAAGAGCTCCCTTAATATGGCGAGTGAGTGGGGATGTGAACCGCGATTTCATGGATAATGGGGATTACCAATTCAGCCGCAACAGCTAAGGTTCTAGCCAAACGGACGACTGTTCCCTCGGTCTGGGTCGCAAGGATGAACAAAGTAAGAAATTTTACTTATTCTGTTCGGCTGAAGCTCGCAAAAAAGCAACTCAGAGGACACGGCCAGACAGGGACCGCCAGACCAAGCGGCAAATCTGCTGCATCTCGGCCGCTTCCGTCAAAATCTAGATCCGATTCCGATTCTCCACTGCCGTTTTTGGAAACTCTCTTGAACGTCCGTTTCGTTTCTTCCATGCTGGCTATATGTACCACAAGCGGGCACAATGCTGAGGCCTGACGCGGACTTCGAGGCGCTCTCGTGCCAGCCGTTCCTACAGTGTGAACGACAATCATGACAACGCAGACCCTTAGGCCTTATTAGTCCCGCTTCAACTTCTGTATTATCCAAGAGGTGTACTTCGCACCGCGCGACGCGTCGTGAAAGAAGTCCTGGCAGCGAGTTGACGACCGTCGTCGACTTTGGTGACAACCAGCCGCTTCGGACTGTCATGCCACTCTCGAGCCTAGACAGCCTGGGCTTTTTCTTCAATCCTGCCGACACGACTGTGCCTACGTACTAGACCTCAATCGATGGACCGCTCGACTTGAGAACGCTGGTCTTGTCCAAGAGAAAGGATATCAAAAAACAACGCTCTTTACCCAACAGCGCAAAGGCGCCTGTGTTGCGTTCTGCGACGAATTCTTTCTGGCGTCCAATATTCGATATTTTCTATTGGTACGCTTCTACCAACATTGTTGCTGACAGCGCTGACCGTGTTCCGTATGGTAGCGTAGAGGTAGATCAAGTGTACTGGAGCCAAAGCTGTTCGTGCTTTTCGAAATGAAGGATATTACGATAGGCTAGCCGTCCTTTTCGGTGCGGGGAGTCTCTTCTTACAAGGCACTCGAAGAGATGACTTTCATAAGGCTACGGCAATCGTGGCCCGTGGGACCTAGGTACATAACACCCGCACTTTCAACCCCTTTTGTTTTGTCCTCTTCCATGGTAACTCATTCAACTCACGTTCTCGTACATTCATCCGATATTGCGGGTCGGCTGCACCACACTATCACCATGACTTATCGTTTGCCATCAGTGTTGTTCCATGTCCAGCAGGTATCCTTCAATGCCGCCCATCAATAACGTTCGCAGGAGCATGGGGATCTCGTGCTGCTCTCAAAGGATGCTTCTTCAAGTCTTGATGGCTCCATTGATGCCTATTCAAACAGTGCTGCTGCATGGAAACACAAGTCCTCCCGGATCGATTCCCAGCTGTATACCCAGCTCGGAGCAGCACACACACCACCCCATTGGTCAATGCACGCTGTTGGCGGCCAACTGGCTGGCAATTAAGCAGCATGCCAAGCACCGGGACCGAAAGGCGCTGGGAGTGTTCTCTTCATTTGTCATTGGCGTGGAGTTTGAGCGCTGAGCTTTTAGCTAATGTATGTTGTTGTTGCTCGTTCTTACTGCTGAGTATTTGGCGTAATTTTCCCGTCATAACTGCACGTCCGGTTGGATTTGAAGCCGCTGTGTGCGCTTGAGGTTATGTGAACAAGTACTGTCAGCGTTCATCAGTCTCCACGAGTGGACGCGGGGAAGAGTGATTACAACTACGCCTTGACGAATTCACGCGTGACACACGGGCGTTGTGTCCAGCGCGGTGGCTGCCGAGCCGGCATCAGATGCTGAAAGCCCTAGGCTGACACACTTGACCTGGATTCCCGCTGCGTACCTTGCTGCTGCATCCATCTCAAAGCAGCCCACCACCTAACTTATTGCTGTTCGCGTCGTCTCCCATCTGCGATTTGCTGCCATGACGGAGAAACCGACCGTGTCGCGAAGAAGAGGCTCCATCGACGTCGTCGACGCAAAGGTCGCGGTGGATCTCGCAACAGCGCAGACATACTCTGAGAATGTTTTCCTCTTCGTACCCAATTTGATTGGCAAGTCGTTTGAACGGGATGAGGCGTAGGAGCTTGAGTCTGATGCGCTCGATGACGCTAGGGTACTCGCGGATCATCCTGGCAGGATTCGCTCTTTACTTCATGAGTTATCATCCGAAGTACTGCACCATCGCCTACGGCATTTCGTGTCTGCTGGATGCTGCAGACGGGCACGCAGCAAGGGCACTCGGGCAGACGTCAAAGTTTGGAGCGGTGCTGGACATGGTCACGGATCGGTCGGTATTTCCGACAATCATGGCTCGCCTTGCTCCCACTGATAAGCATCGTGCAGCTGCACAACATCATTGTTGTTATGCTACCTGTCATCTGCGTACCCCGACCACATTTGGGTGTTCCAGTGCCTCATCACCCTTGATTTCAGTAGCCACTATATGCACATGTACAGGTATGTCCTGCGCGATGCAGTGCCGTGAATGCGGCTGAATCCTCCGCGTTAGCTCCCTTGTGACCGGCTCTCGCAGCCACAAGGCGGTCACCAGCGACGTCAGTCGGATATTGAAGCTCTACTATGACCCTGTGAGCTGCCTCTTGGCTGGTATCGCTCCTATCCTGACCATCAGTGCAGAGAACGTTATTTGTGATGTGCGCGGGAAACGAGATGTTCTTTGTTGCCCTCTACTTGATGAAGTGGGTCCATACGCCACTATCGACGTCACTCGGCATGGATGTCGGCCTTCTGTCTGGGTATACATGGCCAGAGGCGATGGCAATCGTGTGCTTCCCAATCTGCGCGATCAAGAACATCGTCAACATCGTGCAGCTATGGAAGGCATCCAAGATCCTGGTCGGGGTAGACCTAGCGGAGCGGGCAAAGGCGCGAGAAGAGGAGACCCTGAGGGCGAAGAAGACTTGATAAGCGAAGGGTGCGATCGATGCTGGCGGATGCTGCCGTAAGACTTGCCATAGACACTCGTTCTTACTTTCTATCGTACAGATATGCTTTCCGTGTACTCTACAGGCCGTGTCTAATGCTGAGATTCCCCTGCCGAATATTCGTCGGGTTATTTTACCTTCCATCAGTGAATTGGTCACACTAGACTGTATTTGTCACCAAAGCCGGAAACTGCGAGACGCGTGTTCTGCACTTCGATCACCCCCACCCGAGCTCGTCTCTCCTGCTTCTCCTGCTCATATCTGCGTCCCCGTGGGCGGCAGCGCATACACACTCCTTGGATGCGGCCTCAGCTGATCTCACGTCGGACACGGTCTCTGGTAAACACCCAGCCTATTCGCCACCGTGCTCCGCTCTCGTCTACTCACGCACTACGCTATCCTCGCAAAGATTCAGCTGCTGAATCGCAGACAAGTCCTTCTCTCTCGAGAGGATCGTCATCTCCAGCCGCATCGCCCTCCGGAGACCCAAATGGCCCTATCTTTTCTTTTGCGGCTGATCCCAGTGGGCCGCCGCCAGATGAGCCCGAGGAAAGGCCCAAACGCAGCAGCAGCAAAAGCAAAGCATCAGCTTCAAGCAAGGATGCAGATGCCTCGGTCGCTCTTCCCTCTGGATTAGAGATACTATGGACACCTGAAGATGAACCTTCCCCAGCTGGACTCGTACAGCAAGAACTCCCGCGACCGGAGCTGTTTGACGAGATCTTGCACAACCTGCATATCACGCTACATCCTCAAACTCAGCATCGCGCCGCGTATCCCGCATCAGGTAGCCCCGTCGAGCCAACATTGGCCCTGTATTCCCCGATAGAAGGAGGAGACAATTATATCGACAACACCGTACGTGAGATCGCTCGTCAGGCTGGCGCGGACGTGGTCGTGCTGGATTCTGTCCAGCTTGCAGCGGGTGTTTGTGGGCATTTTGGGCAAGGTATGTAACGGTAACTTCTGAGCATGTGTTCTTGTTCCTTACCGTCCTGACGCGTAGCTGCTGCCGCACTGCAGCTTCCTAACAACCCCCTGCACTTTCCATCGACAACTCCATCCATATCGAGGAATAATGCGCGAGCTATGTCATCGTTCGACGAGGACGAGGACGACGTTCACCCTTTTTTCATGCCGTCGCGGATGACTCTGCAGCTGCTAACGCCTGTACCTTCTCGAGGAGCCCGAGCTGCCATGGCACCCACTGCCAGAGGTGGCTCAACGGCCAAGCTCAAAGCATTCTTTGACAAACTGATAAATGTGAGCGCTTCTCCTCGGAGCTCAAAAACCTCCAAGTCAGCGTCGCGGAGACCACGAATAATATACGTCCGTGATTTCTCGACGCTTGCACCATCGTCCTCGATCTGGTGGTCCGCACTATTAAAGGCTGTGCAACAGCGAAGAGCAGGTCCAATAACAAATGTGACGTCGCCAGTTGCCTTTCCGACGACTATCGTCTTCGGCATCACACCGTCGATTGTTGCACCACCGTCGACGCCCTCCTCAGGTTCTGGTCATCAAGGGCTCTTCAACGTTTTGACATCTCGTCAGGCTACGTCTTCTTCTGCGACTGCACCGGGCAAGCAGCCGAAGTCGGAATACGGCGAAGACGCTGTCAGCGACAAAGCTAGGGAAAAGCGCACAATGAACAGACTGAAGAGATGGGCCCGCGGAGACCCTTCCCCACAAGACATCCCGCAGCTGTCTGCCAGCGAGGACATGGATGAATCTAGCAATGGCAACGGTAAACCCGACGTGATGTTCCTAGGTGGGCCGGAAAATGGCGGCTTGCCATCGGTGATGAGCGCAATACATGCCGCTGTGGCTGGGCGCAATCGTAACTCACCGTCCGCGGACAACGATGTTCAAACTCGCTTTTTCCGGACATCGCTTCTATTGCCGAAGGTCCGCGACATCTCGCTCGAACGGGCCACCCGCGTTTCCCGGCGTAGGGAGATCAACGAGCTGACGATGCGCATGGCCATCGCAGCTATCGGGTTCCACCTTGACAAGATGGAGCCCGCCAGCAAAACCACGGATGACCCGAGCGTCCGAGAGAAAGAGCAGCACATGTGGGAGGAGTGGGGCAAGGCCGTCGTGCCCTGGTCCACCGTGCGGCGCATTGCAGATCGTGCGATCGGTAGTCTGATTGCCAAGATGAGGGAGGAGGGAAAGACCGTCACCACGCTTCAGCCCACCGAGGTGCAGTGGCTCACGGTATACGAGGCGTGGGAGGGGGAGCAGGCGGCGGAGCAGATGAGGAAGTCTATTATCACTGAGTCGCATAGCAAGATCTTGCATGAGATTGACGAAGATGAGGAGAAGGCCGAGGAGGAAGAAGAGGACGAGGACGAGGATGAGGTTGTGGAGCGCATCAAGCGGGATCCTGAACTAGATCCTCACGAAGCGCGACTATTGGGCAGTATCGTTGACACTTGTGAGTGTATTCAATTGCGAGCATGAGGCGAGATACTGAGGATTGCGTCCAGCATCGCTCACTACCACGTTCGGTCAAGTGCATCTTCCGGATCACACCATTGATTCTGTACGGACCATAGTCTCCTTACCGCTCCTGCATCCTGCTGCATTCCAGCATGGTCTTCTGAAGGAGCATGGTATGACTGGCTGCCTCCTCTTTGGGCCGCCGGGCACGGGTAAGACACTAGTCGTCCGAGCGCTTGCAAAGGAAGCGGGATGTAGAATGTTGGCGATCACCCCCTCCGATGTGATGGACATGGTAAGTGGAAGCTAACCGCGCTTATTCATTTGGTAGCTGACCAACGTATGTGTAGTACGTTGGAGAAGGAGAAAAGCTCGTAAGGGCAGTATTCTCGCTTGCACGCAAGCTTTCACCTTGTGTGGTGTTCATTGACGAGCTAGACGCTCTGTTTGGTGCCCGAAGTTCGCGAGACACAGGCGGTGCCATTGCTCATAGAGGAGTCATCACCGAGTTTATGCAAGAGATGGATGGCCTGAAGTCGTCAAGAGACAATGTCATTGTCATTGGCGCGACCAATCGACCTTTCGACCTCGATGATGCGGTGTTGCGTCGGCTTCCTCGAAGACTTCTAGTTGATTTGCCTGGGGAGAAAGAGAGAGAAGGTAGGTCATTATATCTGTTCGTGATTTGGGAGATTGCTAAATGTGTCCTTCAGAGATTCTCAAGATCTTGCTCCGAGACGAGGCGTTGGCCGATGATGTCGACTTGAAGACTCTAGCGAAAAAGACAGAGAGCTTTTCCGGCTCGGACCTCAAACGTGAGTAGCATTGCTCTGGAGGTAGATTACGAGCTCATGACACGATGCAGATCTTTGTGTCTCTGCGGTCCTGGATGCGGTGAAGGAGAAGGTCGACGTTCCCTGGCGTCCATCAAGCAATGCAGCTCCACCGGCAGCACCACTTGCCACCACGGACGCTTCCCAGGAAGCGAAGACCGAAGCGAAGATCGAAGCTCAGGTCGAAGCTCAGGTCGAAGCTCAGGCCGAAGTTCAAGTCGAAGCCACGGCCGCCGATGCTCCCGAAAAGCCCTCGACCGTGACTGCTGAGCCATCTGCCGTAGAAACCACAGAAGCTAAGGCCGAAGGGCAAGATCTCAGTGCTCCTGCTATCACAGTGGCCCCTGCCCCGTCCTACGCACGGACCATTGCCTGGCGCAACTTCGAAAAGGCATTGAAGGAGATCACGCCATCCGCCTCTGAGTCGCTAGGCAGCCTCGCGGATCTGCGTAAATGGAACGAGGAGTTCGGCGAGGGACGCAAGCAGCGCAAGCGGGTGGTCTGGGGCAAGGGCAGATTCGGGTTCACCATCGAGCCCCCGGACAATCAAGAGCCGGGGAAGGTGGCCGTGCCGACAACTACAAGTGCTGACAATACTGAACAGTAGACTAACATACAGCATTCTAAATTCTAACAGTCTCGTACATCATGTACCTCTCAGTGTATATATAGCATATGTATAGCATATGTTGCAGGACAAACACTGCTCAGTGGTGCCGGCCCTTGCGCTTCTGCCTCCTTGGAGGCGGGCTATCGCTCTCCTCCAGGACGTCCCTTTTCTCCTCGTTGACCGCTTTCTTCCTGCTCCTCTCTGCTTGCGTCGGAGTGGGCTGGGTCGGTTGCGACGGCGTCGACTGGGACTGAGACTGGTCGGCCTCCGCATACATCTCTTCGTCTTCGTCTTCACCATCGCTCTCGACAACGCTCTTTCTTCGCGTGTGTCGTTTGATCTGATCTTGCCCTTCCTTGAACGCGCCTTCACCGACGTGCAGCAGCTTCTTCCTGTTCGCATCCGACGACCAGTTTTCATTGCACGCCGGGCAGTTCTGCGATCGCCGTTGGTATTTCTCGAAGCAGTGGTTGTGCAGGCGTGTTTTGCATTGCGCGGTGTAGCATGCAACCCCTCGGGTCACCATCTGGCGTCCTTGCGGGTTAGTACCTGCTCTCATACAAGGCTTAGGTACTTGCCTCCATGCAGATTGTACATTCGATGATCTCGTTCGGGTATGTGGAACGTAAGTACGGCTGCAGCTCCAAGAGTGTCCGAGTAGACAGCGAATAACGGCCCCGTCTATACACGAGGCTTTCAATGACACGATGAGATGTCAGAAGGTTATCAAATACCTGCTCTTAACCAGCCAGCCCTTTGCAACAAAACTGCTCAGAACCACCTCAGCTTGGGACTTGGTCATGTTGGCCTTCAGAGCAGTGACCTCCCGCAGGGCTGACATGGAAGAGACGCAGAAGGACTCGTTTGGAGCTAGCATGATTTGCTCTACCTGAGGATGTGTGAATGGATAGCAGCGGTTGAACGGGTATTTGGTCCTCACAACCGCCTTGAAGTACGCGATCTCTACGGCCGAGTACTCCGTGGCCACTTGAGCAATCCAATCTCCTTTGCGATTCACCTGTAATGCGTGTGACAATAAGTTCACATGGACGTGGATGACCACAAAACAACTCACGAGTACACACATCTCCTTGCCGCTTATCTCGTCGAACATCTGCGCCAACTCCAAGTTCAGCGGATTCAACAAGTCATTAATCTTCGACACAAAGTCATCCCATGCGTTCCGGTTGTCGGAGAAGGGAATCTCCAATGCATCGTTCGCGGCTGCGATGGACACCCTCAGAGCAAGGTGCGAGAGGACAGAGACTGTGCGCACCCTTGACCGCGTCGACGCTTTTCCCCCAGATCTTCACTGCCAACGTGCGCGACAGTACTCTACGCGAAAGTATGGCTTGTATGAACAAGCGGTGCACGTCGTTAGAGGTGACCATGGCTGGTGGCAAACGCGACGCGACGCGTCCAGCTAAAGAGCGCGCAAACTAATTGATCCTCCCTTCGTTTCATTTCCGCTTATTTCTCTCACATTCCTATGCTCCCGCCGCCACGGGTCCCATTGTCATGAGCAGCGTCCACGCTGCGCAGCCCGACAACGAGTGCCCACACAGTAATCGTTCATGCCGTCAAACTTACCATTTGTACGGTTGGCGAGCAGGACGTGCAGGTGGCGGCAACTTCGTGTACACATCCTTCTTTCTTTTCTCATTACAGATTGTCTCTATACAATATACCACATATGCATTCCTTGATGATAGTATTGTAATGTCTGAATCCAACTGCCACCTTCATCGTGACACCTCCTGCGTAAATATCAGGCCGTACGAGCAGTAGCGCACGTCATATCTTTGGTATGCGCAACGTCTTGCTGACCATCGCCGCCGCCAACAATCCGAACACCACGCTGGCAATATGCATCTCCCCATCCCCACCCTTGGGTCCCCACAGCGTAACCATTCCGAATGGGACCCCTTCCCTTCCCTCAATCCAGCCCATCTTGGTCCAGTACGTGAGGACTGCAACCAGTGCCAGAGAGGACGGGATAGGCAGGCCCTCGAAGTAATTCGCCTTGCCTTTGGCGTCCTTGGGGATAAGCGCCACCGTCGCGTTAAAGCGGGCCAGGCGCGCGAGGCCACAGCAGATGAATCCTGTCAGCACGACGGTGTCCAGATACGTCCGCAACCCTACTACGAACGCGAGCAATGCGGGGGCAACACCGAACGAAATCTGGACAAATGTGTTCAGGACCACACCACGAAAAGATGCAACAACATGAATTGAGAACGCACTAAATCTGCCAAGCTGTCCAACTCCTGCCCAAGCATACTACTCTCGTTCCTCCACCTTGCGACCTTTCCGTCCAAGAAGTCGAACATAAGTCCCGCATACGGAAACATCAACGCAGACCATAGATAATCCTCGTCGTCTGTGACGAGGTATTTGGCAGACATGAATATGGATAAGGAGGCGCATACGCCGTTAGATATGGTGATGAGATCGGCAAGACGAAAGTTCCTAGGTGTCCATCGGATGTTCAGAGATTGTCTTGATGAGCAGTCATTGTAGGACTGACCTAACAAGCGAGAAATGCCCCTCTGTGTCCTGATATTCCTGCAGCGCGGCAGCTTTGCTTTCTTCCATACTGCGGCCATTGAGATGATTGGCAGCATTCTTGCGTTGGCTCATAATGTCTTTAAGCAAATGAGGTCGTGAGGTCGTGATGGAATGAAGGTAGCCTGAGTGTGTCGCGGACGTAAAAGTGAAACTGCGCGCGCGCACCAACCACCCGCAAGCACATGCTTACAGGCGTCACGGTGGCCACCACAAGGCTGAACACGATGTACCCATCTCCGTGTAGAAATAATAAGAACCTACAGAAACTCTAAAAACGCTCCTAGCAGTACACTTATGATGAACAGACAATGAATGATAAGACGAAAAGCAAGGTGGCGTGCGGTGGGACTCGGTCGTTTGCGAATTCAGTCCGTCATCTGCACGTCTCCATCGTCTTCCAATTTGACTCCAGCCTTCTCCTTCTCCAGCTCCCTGCTCTTTGCAGCATACTGATTAGGATGAGTCACACTCTCCCCACCACCAATCCCCTCCCCCTTCTTCACTCCGACACTAGCATGGGTGATCTCGAATACTCGCGTGCACGCGACATGATAATGTCCAGCCTTGACCGTGCTCATGATCTCCGGCAGGTCTGCTGCTGTGAGCCCCTGTGCTGAATACATGGACAGCAGCGCAGTCTGCAAGTTGTCCGGCGAGAAATGGCGGTATGGACAACCATGGGAGTCGGCAGCACCGGGCTGATCTGCGGTGAGTATTTGTTGGCAGCTGGATAGAATCTGTCAGCATCTCCGTTCCACGACGGTGAATGCGTGGCCAAAAACGAGACTGACCTCTTTGCAGGGTAGTTCGCCCGTTTGCCCTCTAGACCGTAAGAGTGTCGGATGTTGTATCTGTACTCCTTGTTGAACTTGTCATCTTGCATGTTGCTAAACGACCTGCGCCAGAACGTGATAGCTTCGTCTATTGACAGCCCGAGCACCTGCAGCTCAAGTGGTTAGCATGTCCAAAATTATCATCTTTAACCGCAATACCTTCAAGAACAAGCCATATTGCAATCTCCCGAAATGCTTGAGATGGTGCTCCCTGCGCAATGTCTCATGAAGGTTGCGCATGCATAGTGGGAAGTGCTTGCGTGCAAGGTCGTCGATCATGTCTGCCGTGATCTCGCCTGCGCTGGAGGACGTCGCCGTGCTCCATTCAGACGAGACACCCGCGAGGAAGCCTTGCGACAGGTTGTCCAGGATGGGCACGATACGTGTGTCCTCATCCAGTCTCGGCAGCGCTTTAGCTGTCATCTACAAAAATTACGTTGAGGAGAGTGTGGCTTAGGGCGACGTCAGATAACTTACTTCCAGAGCCTTCGTGAGACGTGTTTGAAATTCTTGGAATACAATACTGGATTGTTCCCGGGACGGAACATATGCCATCCCCCCTTTGAGGAGTACTCTCCGTTTCTCCACCAGATCCGGTACACGCGTCCATTTGACCTACGAATGTAGTCAGTCCATGCGGAATACTATGAGGATAATGGCGCAGCTCGCCTTGTAGTATCTCTCACTCAATGCTGCGTCTTTGAGAGCTGGTGAAGCAGCAGCGAGCTCATGTTGATACTGCTTCTTTTCTTCATCCGAAACCTGCGTCATTTTCGTTCAGCTGCGTGCCTCGAATAGCACAATGTGGGCGTCATTACTGGTATCCAGTCAAAATCCCTCGAGCTTAGAAACTCTTCACGCTCCTCGTTATCATCGCTGTCGTACCTCATCCGGAAAAGAGCAGTTTCAGCTTTCACAAACCGCCTTCGTAACTCCTCTCTAGCAGAATACTTAGCTGGGGCAGAGTGATAAAGAGAACGAACTCACGAGCGACAGAACGCCAGTCTCAAGACGAAATGCCCCACATGGTCCTTTCTCCGCTCTGCATCTCTGTCTATGGTCTTTGCGGATGTGCTGTTCAGCGGAAGGTACTTCTTGCACTGCGCGAGAGTGACCTCCTTGAGCTCCTCATAGGGCCTATTCCGCACGAAGGACGATTCTATCTCAGCCAGTATGCGCAGGCGATCCAGCGCGCAAGTCTCAAACTCTTCTATAGTAATATCCCCGAGAGGCGGTTTGTCATAACTAGCACCACTGATCTGAGTGTACTTGCCGGGACCGACGGTGGGAAACGCACAAGTTCAGCCTGTGGGAATATTTGAGTGTTGGCCGGCGCTCTACATGAACATCCCTGTGCTTCGTGGTAGATGCACTGTCCCTGTCTCGAGCGCTGTACATGGCGGGTCGGTGGGAACGGTGAATGGACTGAACGAGGTCGACGCGCGGATGCGCGTGTCGCCTAATCGACGCGTAACGTCACAGCTGGACGCGTAACGTCACACATCCCGTGACGCCAGAAGGGGCCCCACCTGTAGACGCGGTATTGCAAGCAATCATTGCTATTCCCACTATAACAATCGAGGGTTCTTGTCGGCATTCAGTTCAGCTATTGAAACATACAGTAAACATCGACATACGAAGATAACTAATCTCTACATAGCGGTACAATCACAAACTTGTCAGATCACGTCAGCATACTAAGCAGCCATATCCGCCCCCATAGCGACAATAAGTCAAGCAAATCAATGCTCTTGAGAGTCCTGACGATTTTGGCGGACGATCTTCCGCGCAGGGCGAGAAGTCTCTGGAATATCGGCGTCGAGCTCGAACGTCACGCCAGGCCGGCGCCTGCGGCCATTACCGCGATCAAGCAGGTCAGCTTCCTCCTTGTTTCTCCACTCTTGGGCAGCGGCCATCGCGTCTCGCAGAGGCGGACTCACCCGTCCGGTAGTAGAACTTCTCGTCGAGTCTGCGCCGGTGAGCATAGTATTCGACTGTAGCATGGACGGTCAGACCAGAATGCGAAAACATTGACGAGCTTACCACAGTTCCGTCCACTGCTTCCAGCGAAGCGACAGAAAGCGTGCGATTTCGCTTGGATATCAACCGGAACGGTGAGAACATCTTTGAACCAGGGCTTTTCCTCCCTGTCGGAGCCGCAGAAGCATTCCTACCAGCTGCAGTTGCGTTGTTTTTGCTGGCCGCTTGGTCTCCACTGCGCGGCGTCGGATTCGTGGCGTATCGAACCAAGTTGGTCATGGCAGGCGCGGTGGAACTGGAAGGAGCAGATTCCTTACGCCGACGCTGCTGCATGGCACCTATTGTAGGTCGTGCGTCTTCCTTTGGTGAGTTTGACTTCGATCGGAAGAGGCTGAAGAAGCCACCCTTCTTCCGACTTTCTTTCTCCCTTGGAGACTTATCCTTTGAGTTCGAGCTCGGAGCAAAGCCGGCTGTCGTCGACTGCTGCTGGGGAAGCGTGAGTGCTAGTGATGAGGGAGTCAACAAGACGTCCTGCTCCGCGTGGCCAGATCCGGATTGCGGCTCAGGTCGTGTCCTGACATGCAAGAAAGGAGGCTTCTTAGGGACGCGGCCCGTACCTGAGACTTGATGAGGGTCGGATCCTGTTCGTGGGTGAGAGGATGTTGGAAATGGCGCGAGATCTGGTCGTCGGCCAGTGGGTGGCGCGTTTGAGACAGTCCGATGAGAAGATGACGGGACGGGAACACTGTGGGACTTGTGCATAACGGAGAGACCATCTTGATATTGCCGCTGGGAACCTACGGGCGCCGGAGATGTTGCAGATCGAGGAAGACGGTGCGGCACGTTACCGGCTGGCACATCCTGCGCAGATTGTCCAGCCGACGTTGTCGGGTCGCGCCCAGGGCTATTCGTAGGGTTATGAGCGGGGGCTGGCATATTTGGATAGAAAGGCGGCCGTGCAGCACCGTTCGGTGTCTGCGTACTGTACGACTGCGAATGCTGATTTGATGGGACGGTAGAACTAGATGCACTAGGTATAGATGTTACAACAGGAACAGACGGGTATTGAGGTGGAGCCGGCGAGCGGTATCGCGCTGGTTCAGGGTATCCTGGCAAAAGGTTGGGTAATCGTGCAGTCGGGGTCGTTTCTGGTCGTGAGGGAGCATCATGTCGTAAGCTTGCTCCGCTGGAGCGATGCATAAGCTGTTGTTGAGTCAAGTCAACGTTTACAGCTCTGGGCGTGGTTTGTCCAGTGATTGTGTCATTCGACCCTTTCCGCTGGCCCTGAAGTCGTGCAGAGGCGGAATGCTTGGGCGTCGTATTAGGAGGAGAAAGACTGTTAACGACGGGGGATCGGGTGAGAGTCTGGCGAGAGGGAGAATATCCAGGGGATATCGGGGGACTCCTAGCCGCCGCTGCGAGATTGGGCACTGAACTAGATTTCGCATGAGTAGGACGCTGCGCCTGAATTTGACCAGAGCGATCTTGGAGTGTCCCAGCTGGATAACCAGGTGAATCCTTGGGCACCGTCCTTGATGGTTGTACGGGTGATGGCGAGAATGTCGCCTGAGCCACGGCAACAGCCTGCGCGCCCGCTGGGATCGGTTTCGCTTTTGGAGAATGCGGACCATGTATTTGTCCCACTGCGTTCGCTTGATATGTAGCATACTGTACAGATAGCCCAGCGGGATCTACATGAGCTCTCTCGGCTGGAGGGGCACTGCCCGCACGATGTTGAGGGTGCTGGACTCCAACAGGTACACCGGATTGCGCAGGAACAGTTGGTACCTCAGAACGCTGTGCCTCCAGGTTGGAATTTTGCGGATATCCATGGTATGCTGCAGATTGAGCGAGTCCAGCAGCAGGCACAGCTTGTGCGGCGTTGCGTTGATTGGTGCTAGATAACACATCTTGTGCGGATCTATGACGACGTGTGCGTTCATCACCCTTAGCCAACTGCTGCATGACAACTGGCATCGGACTTGGGTCGTAGAAATGCCCAGTCCCCATACCGTTCGATGCTGGTACCGCAGTTCGAGACGTTGAGGGACGCTCAATGCCTTCAAGTGATCGAATAGCCTGTTGCACAGGGTGTGGTTGCCCAATAGCCGCCGCCAACTGTGATTGCTCGTATGTCAATGCCTTCTGCGTGTAGTCAGTATTGGGTGCAGATTGGTTATGAGCTCCAGCAGCTTCGTAGCCCCGGTTCGCTCCTTCTCCCGCGTGGGTTGCTCGTACGGAAGCGTATTGCGGATACACATTAGTGGTAGCAGGAGCAGATTGTGGCATTGATTGCTGCGTGGGCTGTGAGCCGGTGCGCGGGCGTGCATGTGCATCGTAAGTCCCACGATCGCCCAGAGTCGGATCCTGTGGTCGATTCACCGTGGTAGTGCTCGATGACTTCGGGATCAGAAGCGGCGTCTGAGGATCAGCGGGGCCCTCCCCGGCGCGGATGCGGACTATTCGTGGAGCATGATATTGCGATGTCAGACCTCTCGGAATGGTAGGCTGCCCCGTAGGCAGCACGGAAGCATGCATCTGCATACCTGACGAAGGTAACTGTGCGAGTCCTGCAGGCCTCCGAGCGGGCGATTCGCGCGTTTTGCTCTGCATATCATTCAGTGGTGACTGCTGAGAGACATAATCGACACGTACGTGATGCCACCCGCCACTGCTATCTTGGACCATTCCAGGTTGTTGGGAGATCTGACCTGCTGCCAGCCGAGTGGCGGAGTCAGTGGTAGGCCCCGTTTTCACCTGACCACCGGAATCGCCATGCACATGCCTGGGCCGCTGTGATGTATTTTGTTAAGGACAAAAACAATTCGCATAGCCGAAATGCAGGATGTAAAAAGCAACTCACGCGCTCCCGCAAGCTGGCACGCTCGGCTTCGCTACCCGAATGTCCATACCCGTCTGCGTAGAGCTCTCGGAATTCGCGCCGTCGGTCGGGGGTTCGATACTAATGCGGAGTTATGCCCAACGACGGATTGGCATTTGTTTTACTACTCACGCGTTCACGAGCCGGATATTCCTGCTCGCTGCTTGACATCCCGGACTCTTGTCCGCTTTGATATCCCGAGACTTTGACTCGATGTGTCCGATGAGGGCGTGAAGAAGGCCTGTCACGTTCCGCGGTCAAACTCAGTGGCACAGCGCGAGGTGTTCGACGCGGGTCCGGTGGCCGGCCACTGTTAATTGTCTGATTGCTGGGATTAAGCTGAGGTGCCATGTATGGTGGCGCCGGAGCACCCGTCGGATCAGCAGTGAACGAGTTGCGCGTCTGCAGAATTTGGCCAGCATGCCGACCCTGATGAAAGCATGAGCACAGCGAAGTATTCGGGCAGCTACAACACGGACCACACTAGCCGTATATCTTTCTGCCGAGATGTAAGCCCCTTGTGTAGTCGGCGGACCTTGAGTTGGCTGTGACACCGACACGGTGCCTCGCTCAACAACGCGACGGTCATCGCGCTTGCGACCCAGACGATCCTTCTCCTTGTCCTTCTCCTTGAGAACGTCCTTTTCCATGCCTGATCTATCCTTCTCTCGATGCCTCTCCCTTCTCTGCTCGTTGTCTCTGTCCCTCTCTTTCACCTTCTCAAGACCTTTGACCTTCTCGCTCTTCGAATCTTTCGTGCGCTTTTTCTCTTTCTCCTTCTCACCATGTCTCCGATCCCGATCCTTCTCCCTCTCGCGCTCACGCTCGCGAGGTCTGGAAGGATCGCGAGTCCCCTGGCCCGTTACAGCTTGATATGGTTGCCCAGAAGTAGACGCCTGCACCGTACCAGCAATGGCGGCATGCTTGCTGCGAGCATGTGCTGTCGGGCGCGAGCTCCCCCCATCTTCCGGTGAAACAATCCTCTCGTTGGATGAATGCGGGCTTCTCCTATCAGATATGCTCTTCATGAAAGCATGCAGATGATGGTCGTCATTAGGTATTGTGTCGTGAGGTCGTGAATGTGGGCTGGCCGCCGGAGTGGCGCCAGACGTTATAAGGTTGGATGACTGCGTAGACGGACGACAAGGCGGAGCATCGGGAGCATCGGCGGAGTGATGCTTGCTCGAGGATCTGTGCTGGGTGGGAACAGATGTCGAAGCTAGCGCGTTAGATGCATCTGTTCCCCGTGAAGATTTGTGGTACTTTCGGCTGTCCAATCCGCTGACCTCTCTATCATGGCGCTGAGTACTCGCCATTTAAATACGTTCCGAGGCCGCGTTACTGAGCATCTACGAGGCAGAGTCTTCTCTCCTGAGTGGATACGTTGCAGGGGGGGGGGGGGCATTCGCTGAGCGCACCTGGTGAGCTCCAGTTTTCTGGAGTGATGATCAGCCACGTAAAGTGAATGCCGTCTCGTACTAGGAAGCAGTTAATGAGGTGCAACAGAGCCACCAGTAAGGCAGAAGTCAAGGAAGAGCTGCGTCGACATGAGGCAGAACCCTCGACTTGAAAATGTTTCACTCTCATCGAAGGCGCTGTTCGGGTCTGAGACGGTGGCTGTACCGGCTGTACCACAAGAATGCAAACATGGATTTCTGGCTACCGACGCCGGAGTGTAGTACAATTACTTACTGGCGTTCGCGCTTCACAGATAAGACGTCTATTGCTGAGAAACCTCCCCCCAACGCCTCTCTCTCTGCCATCGTTCCTCGCGCCTTCTCACTCAAACCGAGTTGGTTACGGCGAACGTTTAATGCCCTGATCAGCCCTGATCATCAAGTGGTGAAGCGACGGAAATATGGGCTATGGATGTCTGTCTCATCTCCGCTGGGCGAGGACATGCATAATGCGAGGACACAGGTCGTCATCGTCAGCATCCAGTAGGCTGTCGACAACAGATGCGCCGTTTTTACCGAGCTGACGTCGTCTGCAGGAAGGTACATTGGGAAACTCCTATATTGGACCAGCCCGTGAGCCACATACATCACTGTTGCCACGATAGCATATCTAAAATCGTGTCTTCTTGTTTTGATGCTGGCGTAGCAACTCCGACGACAAAGCACCGTCTAGTTCCGACGAGACGGTCCGCCTTGCATCCTTGATTTTTCGGCACTTCCTGCGGGCTGCCATGCAATTGGAGCTGCCCATATCATGACTTACAGGATGTTTCCCACAGCGGGGCATGACGGTCGCGCAAGCCCGTTTGCTATACCTTACCACCATCCTTCCCGTTCTCACCTTTGGTAGCCCCGTGTGGTATAACCCGCGGGGCCCACGCTCACTTTTTCAACCTTTGCAACAGGTACAAAACGACGCGCTGCGGTGGTTTACGGGAGCGTGGCGGTCTACCCCCCACCACGTCCTCAACCTCATATCCAGCGTCCTGCCAATGCGACACCAGCTCGACAAGCTCAACGGCCTTGCCGCAGCTCGCCTCCTCACCCTCTCGGAGTCCCACCCGGTGACCCACTGCCTGGCGGCCAACCGCACTACCCACCCGCCCAACTTCTCCCTCCTCAACCCCGCCATCCCTATCCACCACGGCACCAGCGCAGTGGATGTGCTCGAACAAACCCTGCCCAAGCGAGCGGCGCGCCTTCTCCCCTGGTTGCAGCCGCCCTGGGATCCTGCGCATCCGTGGGGTGAGAGGGTTCACGTCTGCGTCCCTCCGCCTACCAAAGACGGCTCCAAGGAGTACTTACGTTCCTTTTTCTTCCCTCTTTTGCACTCTTCCATCCCTCTCCCTGATGCCCTATGGGTCTTCACAGACGGCTCCCAAATCGCCCAGCCCGACCCCGCCCCGCGGAACCGAAGAGCAGGTGCAGGTGCGTGTATCATTCACCAGGGTGCGATAAAGTACGAGCGGGCTTGGGGCATGGGCCACCAGGCTGAGGTGTATGACGCAGAACTCTTCGCAATGGCAGCGGTCGCCAGCCGCTTTGCCGGTTTTCTGGCGACCTACCCCATGATTACTCACATTTACCTCTGCGCGGACAACCGCGCTGCCCTGTCCAATGTCCTGTCGCTGCGCCCACACAGTGGCCAGCCCTTTTCCCTTCGCTTTCGGGCATTTCTCGCTCCTCTCATGGAGCAATACCCACTTTTGAACATTTCGCTGCTGTGGGTTCCCGGGCATACGGGTGTACTGGGTAACGAGGTGGCGGACCGGCTAGCCAAGGAAGGAACATCCCTACCTGATAGTGTCCTACCCACCTTAACGTGGATCCGGCGCTGGGCGCGTGAGCGAGCGACCACCTCCTGGCAAACCGAGTTCCGTTGCACCGATTGACCCACTGCAATACGGTCCTCGTGGCCGTCCCTGCCTTCCCAGACGCTCCACCCCGTTTTCACTTCTAAATATTATGAACGCGACGTCGAAGCCAGGTTAACCCAAGCCTTAACGGGCTACGGCTACCTGGCCCCTTACTTCTCTTCTCAATTTGGGACGGCGGGCCCCGCTCGTCACTTCCATGGCGCACCCTGTGTATGTGATCTAACCACCCCCAGCACCCGCACCCACGTCATGCTGTGCTGCCCGAGACATGCGCACGCGAGGCACCTGCTTTTCCGGAACCCCAAGCCCACCCTCCTGGATTTACGTCGGCTTTGGCACCACCCCACTGGCCTTCATCGCCTCATCGCTTTCATTTCTACCACACCCGTTTTCTCCGCCGCGGCCCTCGCGCCCCCGGACCCTGGCTGATACGCCTTACCCTCGCGGCACTTATGTGACCAACCCCTTTATTTACTCATAGTCTACACGTCGACACTTCCTCGTGCGGTTTCACTCCTGTATTTACACCCTTCCAACCGCGCATAGCGCGGTATAGAAATAAATGTACAAAAAAAAAAAAAAAAAGGATGTTTCCATGGGTACTGCAGGAATACGGCTCTGCATCCACTTTATATGCGCTCATGGATAGGCAAGGCGCACATCTTCTGGCCCATATCGTCGTTCAAACTTATATCCGTAGCTGTTGTGTTGTCAATGTCATAGCAGCTTCTGCCGGAAGCGTATTGGGCTAGCAAACTGCTGTAGCTCTTATGAAATACCGGAATGACGGTATGCGAAGAGCGCTGTTGGCAATTGTTGGCTGTTATGCAATAATCACGGCACAATTCAGTGTGAAGTTTTCGACACTGCATCATCTGTGCTGTCATTCTGCATGCTCATGAGGCTTTGATTTTGTCGTGCGCATTCAACCTGGCATTCAATGACCGTCGATGCGGGTTTACAATACTCCTCCATGGCACGACCGCCTCCCTGTGCCCCACAAATATCGAAAGCAATAGTATTTTGACGGTGAGTGGCCTGCTAAATTTGATTCTTGTCCATGATATCGCTGTCGCATTGCATAGCGCTCCGGATAAGTGTTCGATGGGTGTTGGAAGGCACAGGCAGGACGGTCGTTCACATTGATGGCATCTGCTCTTGTCTCGATCTTTACTTTGACGCACAAAGAATCTCTGTGTTTTAATTACGACTCAACCCAACAGTTCGTCAACGACTCGACAAACTTGCTGTACTGACCTCTTCAGTCGCGGCCAGCATGTTAGGCTCTATCAGTTGGATTATCACAGGGCAATGCATCCACAGTCATTGACCATCATATTCTATTGTCATGACATTTCACAGCTCAGTCATATGTTTCAACATCACGCTCTGTTCGCGGTCAAATTGCTTAAAGTTGTGCCTGTGCTGTGAGTTGCTGCCCGCCGTCTGCTGCATTTGCCAGCTGAGCTGCGGGTGCAATCCGACAGCGCAAATGGCCTTCGACGAGCAGTGCCGAATTTTACTTCCAACACATCACACTATCCAGAAGTGGCAGCCACGAAGATCATCTGGATTCGGAACACAATATCAGGCACATCATCTTCGCACTTCACATTGACGAGGGAGCAACTTTACATCGATGTCCTCATTGCAGTCGTATGCTTGGTGCGCCCCGAGCGCATAACCACTGTCACGGCGCATTTCAATGCTTGTTGCAAGCTAGAAGCCTCATTCACTTGGAACGTGTGATTGTTGCTGCCACTGGCCACCACGAGGCTGCCGGACACCATGCCCATCAATGTTCACCGGTTGTGAGGTACGTGTCAAGTGCTGTATATTGCCCATATCAGGTTGCGAGAGGTGACATTACCGCACGTTCCTGAGACGACTGGATTAAGCCCAGCCATGGCCTTTGGCTGAATTGGCCGGACATACTTACTCTAGCCTACAGGATAGTGCCTGTTCGGCCGGCGCTCATCGCGATAGGGATCTGCAAACTCAAATGAATGGCCAGCCATTCTGGTCGTTCCCACGAAAGTGCACAACCATTTCATGCTATGGAACTCGAGACGCGACATTGTTTCGTTGAGGAAATGATTGGTGGCGCATTGAACCGTGAAGTATAAATCTCGCCGATAAGCAACACCCTCCACAGTGCCATAGCTGTGAACATGTCCCAGCTGCAAGATCTCACTCGCTGCCTACTCGCGGCCGGCGGTGGTCCTCACCCAGAGGGGAAGGGATTCGTCCTGCTCTACACCGACCAATCCTCACTCATCTCCAAAGTCTGGACAGGCAGCAGCTTTGGTGACCAAGAGCTCATCGATACCGATGTCCGAGCTAATGCCCCAGCGCCATACCTCCTCATGCCGACCACGTGTATCATATTATCCATCTCCGATTCATCCAAACTTGTCTCGTTCCGTTACGACGTGGAAGAGGAGGAATGGGTGCCGGATGACATTCCAGACCATGTGGTGCATGCTGACGGCAAGCTCGCGGCTGCAACCGACGTAGACGGCCACGTATCTGTCTTCTATCAAAGCGTAGAGGAGCGCCTCGTCCACCTCGATGAGGCCTGGAAGCCCACGCTCCTTCCGGTACAGCCTGTCATCGGTACTCCCCTCACAACACTGCTTTCTGACGACCGCGTGCACGTTTTTTACATCTCCGCGGGGGATCGCTGCCTGCACTACATCGTTCGAGACAGCAGCGGCGTTTGGACGGACGAGTTGATGTCGTCTACCAAGTTTGACGAGAACCCGAAGCGGCTCGTGGTAGCGAAGGACGATAGCAAGGGGTGTCCTGTCGCGTACGTCTTGACAGAACGGAATGAAGTCTTGCAGGTCGGTGCTGGAGAGGAGGCATTGCAGTTGGGCGTCGTTGACAAGTCAGGAACGTTCGTTCCTGGAACGAGTGCCGAGTGCTGCATCAATCTTTGGTTCTTCAAATTTGAATTCAATGTCACGTTCAATGTTAGCGTTGCTGTACGGCGGGCTGGTCGCTGCTTCTAACATGCGTCAGGAGTTGATGTAATTAAAATCAGGACTGTGTTAGACTCATACCTGTCACTCTCAGTGCTAATCTCCCTCGCTGCCGTCGTAAAATGTGCAGAATAGTTACCTTCCGCTACTCGCTTGTTCAGTTTATGCTCATCACTCTGTGATAGAACGTGCTAGTAGACTATGCTAGGGTCGATCCCGTCCATCGCCGCTCTTTTTCGTGTCTCTGAACGAGACATAAAAGGTCTGAACAACCTGAGCGACTGGCCTTAGTAAGACACGCACTGCATCCTAACGCTTCGCATATCATGGTTAGACGGAAACTCCACATTCCTGCCGACCTACAGCATCCAGGGTGGTCTTCAAATCCCCTTCCTGCTCACACTTCTTCCGACCACGACATCCCCGATGTCCAACCCGATTCTAACGACATCGTCAGACTCTTTTCCGGTGTTCCAGGATCACGATCAGCGACATGCAGCGCCGGGTTTTTCCTCAAAACGCCGGACGGTGCATTCGACGTAATCCTGACCGCTGCGTACAATCTCGTGAATGCAGCGGGGAAAATACTGCCAAAGCTCACCGCCATCATCCGCGGCGAGAAACATACCGTCTCTAAACAAAATGTTCGAGTATCCAACGCATATATAAACGGAGAAAGGACCCCTGATACAAACTATGGTGTGATCTTGCGCCCAAGATCATCGAACATGGCGGCTCGCGGTGGTTTCGGGTTTAGCATGACCCTCGGGAGTAACGAATCCGCCCCAGCAGAGCTCAGAATCAGTGGGTGTGGAGCCGCAGATGCTGCAGACACGGTGACCACTTCCACGAGCCGCTGCACAAGCTGCCACGCTCGACATCTCGAGTATCCTGCACTGGCAGAGAACGAGCGATCGATGAGTGGCTCTCCCGTATGGGTTTCTCGCCAAGGCTATCCGACCGTCCTCGCTATCCAGTATGCGATCTCCTTGAATGGCTTGCGAAGATATATTGATCATCTTTATTGACAGCAACGATGCCACGGACGATAATGGCGTGCACCGAGGTACACGCATTACGCCAGATCTCTTGAAGGATGTCTTCTTGTGGGCTAGTTTAGGCGATTACGGCAGGAGGATCCGGGCATATACGCCCAAAGAGAAGCGGGCAGGACCGGCGACTCTCCTTGAGCGTGGTCTCTACCTGAGCTTCAGGAAGAACATGGATTTCGCTCGTGTGCGCCTAGGTACCGGAACTCAGTTCAATGTGTTGCCGGCAGAAGTCGCTCCCGGCAAGGACTTGTACGTGCTCGAGATTGCGGGAGCACAGCCGGGGAGAAGATGGGTCGAATTCATACCTGCCAAAAGCGAGGCGGTGTTAACCGATCAAGTCAAGGATGCGTGCCTATTCCGCATTGTTCGGCAAGAGGATAGGGCGAGAATCGTAGTGCAGCAGGATGGTTCGGCAATGCAACTGAGAATGCAGTATACGCGTATCAAGGAGGCAGACGGAGAAGACGCGGAGAGCTCAGAAGTGTCCTTCGTACCTTTGGAAGGACACGATTCGGACGCGGTGAGTTTTATCGTAGTCATATGTCGAACTGGCGCTCACCGTTCGCAGGTCACCGAATTCCGATTCGAAAGCGTTGACAAACATTCGCATTCACTTCTAAAACATTCGTTCCGGAGGATCCATTTCACCAGTTGCGCAAGAGCGACAAACATCGTAGGATCTTAGAGCAGTGAGATTTCAGCAATAGTAGAATAGAGGAGATGGGTCTAGAAGCGCTTTTTACAAGTAATAGAACGTACAGCAGCCACTTATTCTCAACGAGCGGGTCGTATGACGTGTAGGGTTCTTTCCCGACAGTTTGTAGTAGGCTAGTAATATTTATTTGAGTACCCGCGCGTCCCATCTGATGTACATTTCTTTGCTTGTGGGTAAAGTCAGCGTCGTGGGCTAAACGGTCAAATATGAACAGACCTTACGATCCATCGGAATAGACCAAATGCTTCTCTCGAGTCTCGCGTACGACTCTCACCGGCTACCACTGCTAGGGCCGTGTCTTGGTCGATGGCCCCGTAACGCGTTCTCCCGAGGCTGCATGAACCCTCACCGGGCCTCACCTTCAATTCCTTGTTGCTACCTAAGTCGACATGTAGGAATAAAGGCTCGGGATGTGAGTCCACGATCGAGGTGGTGTTGACTCCGTGACAGCGACTCGCGCCCGTATTTGCGCTCCGTGGCACGAGGCTGGTGGCGCTGGTCGCTCCTCGTGCGCTCCGCCGCCAAACTTCTCCAACAGCCTTGAGCTCGCTCAAATTTTGACTACCCGTTTTGCGATTAGTACACATGACACTTGGAAGGCATATACAGACGTCTCGGCTACGCAGAACTGACGCTGCAGAACCGCTTCACTTGAGCAGTTTGGGATCACCTACTTGTGTATCGTTTGATCAACACAATGTGCTGATACGTGTCCCGCAGCCTTGGGTGACGCAGCTTTAATCTCTGTCCACAAGTCACTATGCCATTGGTTGACCCCTCCTTCAAGTTTTTGATCTCTATACTTTTTGCCAGGTTCATGCTGAACAATGAGAAGAATGGCACACGCCCATTTGGCGAAGGGCCAAGTATCGCTGGCGGTATGTGGCCTCACGATAAAAGATTGAGTTCTAAAAAAGCCTCACACGGTGATCATCAGATCCCTATCGCGCGATCAAAGCTACTGAACGTTCTTGCTGCAGATCGCCCAATTAGTATAGGAAACGCGCTGGTTGGGCATGCGATAGCCGCATGCTATATCTTCGCGAAGTCGTCGTAGGCGGTGCAGGTGAGTGTCCCGGCGACCCCTGCTACCCTTCCATTCATTATGTGTGCGCATATCCAGAGCGTCTGTGCAGATCTCGGACTGCATCCTCATAAAACTTTTCCGTCTCGTTGTCTTAGTAGAAGTTGCTAAAAGGGGATGTGAATGGCTAGCAAAACTGAAAATGCAGCATCTAACATCGCCTTGCAGAGATCATAATGCTAGGCTAGACGTGTTTGAGGCTTTTCCCAGTTGCTCCGTTCAATCCATTGATCAGCTCCGGATCTAACAGAATCGCGCAACACGTCTCGGCCGCAACACGACGATGTCAGCGTTGCTGTCCGCCGCTCTTGCAAGATTTTAAAAACGTTCTGAAGCAGTCGCATCAGCATATTGTCTTCTTTCCCCTCACTGCTCACAGCAGACGCCTCGATCTCGTTTCTGCCCTGCGTTGCAATGGTTAGGAGGAAATTACTCCTTCCTGATGAAGTGAAGCACGATGGATGGGCTGGCAGGCCTCAGGCTCCCTTGGCCAACCTTGACGGGCGACGGGCATTCCACGACGCCAGCTTTGAGGCACGCAATGTCATCAAGCTCGTATTTTATTCCGGCCCGGGTCGTAATCTGACCTATGGCAGTGGCTTCATTCTCCGACCACCCGATGTTACGGGTGTCGTTATTCTGACCGCTGCCCACAACCTCCTCCCTATCCTTGATACTGCAGACGAACCCACCGGCCAGCCATCGAACTCAACACAACCTTCCGTAAACATCCTTGGAGTTGAGCATCCTATCACCAAGGACAATTGTCGCGTATCCGACACTTATCGTACGGGAGATAAATCACCTGAAGCGGATTACGGTGCAATCATCCTTTCCTCACTTCCAGTCGGCGATCTAGAAGGCTTCGGTTTCAGCATCTGCTTAGGCTACGAGCAGTCCTTGCCCGGTGAACTATGTGTCACCGGCTATCGTGCTACAGATGTAGCTGGACAGCCCAAAACGTCCACGGGCCACTGCATGGGCTGCTACACACGTCGTTTAGAATATGATGCTCAGACGGAGCAAGGCATTAGCGGCTCTCCTGTATGGATGTATCATCGGGGATGTCCTACCATTGTCGCTATCCAGTGAGTTTTATGTACATATATATTTCAAAGACGTCTGACTCACCCTGGTTTTAGCAATAATGGACCTGCACGGCCAGGAGCTGGCAGCAGAGGAGCTCGAATCACGCTTGACCTTCTTATGGAGGTGTTCTCTTGGCTCGGAATAGGCAAGTTCGGAAAGAGGATTCGAGCATGCGCATCCAAAAAGCATGCAGCGCTTGGCACACTTCCACCGCGTGGCCTCTATCTCAACTTTTCCAAATATTTCAGCTTTGCGCGCGTTCGAATGGGAAGCGGAACCAAATTCAACGCTCTCCCAGCGGAAGTGACGAAGGACAAGGTCCTGTATGCGCTGCAGGTCGCAGATGCAGAATTTTTGAACAAATGGCTCGTGTTCGATGTCGTCAAGAACGAAATACAACTTGACGATAAATTGAGCACCGAAGGACTGTTCAGCTACGGCAACAAGAAGAAGAATACGTTCAAGATCGTTATGGAGCGCACCTCTCCTTCGGTGGTGCAGCTGGGCTGCCAGTGCAAGAGGATCGAGGAGATCGATGGAGAGGATGCCGAGAGTTCCGAGGTTTCTCTGGTGCCCTATCCTATGGGAGAAAAGTATGCGGTGCGTTTCTCATCCCCCCTTCCCCCGATAATCTGACTGCTCATTCTACGTCTATCTATCAAGTTCACCGACTTCTGTTTCGAGGATTCTATAAATTGACGAAATTGGCGGCAGTAAAGCCACTATATGTGAGAAACCCATGCTGTGACGTCCAGGAACAAGGGTCACATTAAACGCGCTTATGGAAGATACCCGTTTCCTCCCCTCGTTAAATACACCTCCTGCACCGGTGAAATATTCGCAAACCGCGCATAGCGCGGTATACAAATAAATGTACAAAAAAAAATAAATAAAATATTCGCAGTGTCCTACGTAGGTACATGTCATCTCGTGCACCTCTCCGTGGAATATGCACCGAGCGAAGCGCCCCGATACTGTGCAATCCAGAGTGTAGGCATCCGGGAGTCTCGCGGCTAGCAGTACACAATTACATCATATAGCAGGAACGGTTTCACAACTGCCAGTGTATGATGTACAACGACGAGATGACCGCAAGCGAACAAGTCAGAAACGTGCGAATTACTACGGTTACATCTCGCCAATGAAGTCGCAATGTACTGTAACAAGTGCTAGAACAAAATATGAAATGACACGGTGATCAGAAAGGCCATAGATGGAGAACAGAAGACCCTCACTCCGCCCCTGCGTCCATAATCGGCTTCGTCAACAGCTTCAAGAGCCATTCCTCCAACCTCTTCTCATTCGACGCAAGCTCTTGGAACTTGCTGTCAAGTCGGTCAGTGGTGCAGTAGAGCACATCTCTGATCTCGTGCTCATGCCTCAGGTCGTTGAGGAAGTTGGTCGCCTTCTTGTCATCTCCCAATTGGCTGATGCTGAACATCACCGAATGCGGCTCATATCCAGCATCCACCAATCTGCGCTTGCATTCGACAATTACGTCTTTCAGCATGGTCTGAGGCTCGCCGGAGGGACAACCATCAGTGATGGTGCATATGAGAAGCGGACGGCTGAGCTTTCGATTAGGGTCGGAGATCACTTCGTAAACGAGCGGCTCCAAGATCGTACGGCGGAGGACTGTGCCTATGGCCGTCCCACCCGAAGGCCTCACCGCAGTAACAGCGGCATCTACGTCCGCGGCAGTGAGATTACTGGAGGCCTTCGAGTTGATGAAGCGAAGCTCAACACCAAGGTTATCCGGGACAATCTTGGTGGAAATGCGAGCTACGCGGTTGACGAGTTCCCTCTGGTCGGACCAGCGGTTGCCCTTGTGCATAGAGCCACTATCGTCACAATAGATGACCGGTTGGTAAAGCGAGAGGGCGATGAGACGTTTGATGTTCTTTGGGGACCCAAGGAGCGTCGTGGGGTCGTTACGGAGTGCAGCAGCACTTTTAGCGAGCTCCTCGAGGAAAGGGTCTCCAGGTGCGAAGAACTTCTCGAGGTTAGTCTCGTGGGCGTATTGATTCACGGCGGAGGAGAATTCCTCGACAGTGACAGGTTCCGGCTTGGATACATCCGGAATAATAGATGCAACAGAAGCTGGAGAATCCGGGCTGATAGGTGTGATAAGAGAGTTTTTCTCGTCGATATCCTTGCCATCTACAAGCTTTTGATCACCGCGAGACCCGCCGTTCACCTGAGAATTCCTTAAATGAGTGATATATCGTAGAGGAGAGTGGGAAGTACTTGCCTCCAGATCCTTCATCTTCTTCCGCTCCTCTCTGATGTCGTTGATATCCTTTAGCGTTTCGTCAAACGCAGGCTTGATTTCCTGATCCTGACCCTTGGTGCCTTTCGTGCCAGTGATACCATACAGTTGCTGCACGGTGCCCTTGATGACGTCTTCTACGAGCCCGCTATTGACATATGCCAAAATGAATACGACCAGGGCTACGAGAAGGTTGATGATCTCCGCTCGACTCGAGCTCCTCTCCTCCCTCGTGCGCAGCTCGTCCTCCAACCCAGCCTCTCTGGCGAGGGTCCTCGCGGTCTGATTGTGCTTGTTTTGCTGCGACAGCGATGCGCCACGATCCACGAGCTCGCGCACGACATCCTTATCCCGCACCTCTGCGACCGCGTACATGAGTGGAGTAAAATCATCCTCGTCGCGGGCATCGACATCAGCACCTGCGTCGATGAGTGCGCGCACGATCTCCATGCGGCGAATACGGGCGTGTGTGGTGACGATGTGGAGGGGAGTGCGTCCGTAACGGGAAGGGACATCCGGGTCAGCGAGGTGGATTGGATTGTCGAGAAGAAGGTTGACGACATCCAGGTGACCATTCCAACATGCAGCAGCGAGAGGAGTCAAGGAATTCTTGCCTCCGACCGAGTTTATCGCAGAGGGACTGGAGGCAAGATACGTTTTCAGGCGATCAAGGGTCAGCTTGCCGCGGAAGGCGTCGTCGTGAAGATTCGCCATAACGATAGAGGGATGGGAGGGGGGAGAGACTGCAAACCTATCAATCATCCTACTCCATTTTATACGGAGGACCTCACCGGCTGAACACAGTGTCGGTTTGCCCGCGCAATGACAAATAATTCTTTTGACGTGAAGAACGGTGGGACCTCAGAAACGAGGCAGACCAACGAATCGGCGTGCACAAGCCTCATCAGCCGGGGTCAGAAGGTTCCAAGCATGGTGACCACCATCAATGGCATGTAGGAGGGCAGGCCAGGAGCCACCGATAGTTTGTCCTCGTACAGCCTTTACGGTATAGAGACATATGGAGGTTCGTCCAGCGTGTCTGTCGGGATCTGATCAGCATGTCCTGGACTCCACGGCTACGGGGGACCGCGAGTATGCTTTCGCAAAATCTGACATGCCTCCGCTAAACCCTGAACAACCAGGTAGGAGATGAGTGCAGGCATCAACTCGCAGCACGTCAAGATGACCGCGGATACGTCGGTCTCACCTTCCTGTGACGGGTGGCTCAAAACATGCGCATTTCGGCAATCGGAGACGACCTTCGGATCAGGCTACTGCAACCAATTTGCTAAATCAAATACCGTGACAAAGGAGAACAATTAGGCTCGTACTCAGCGATATCTGCATTGCGTGCCTGAAGCTGCCGGTATGCGAACATTGGGTACCTGGGTAGGCGTTTCCTGAATCGTTCAGGTTGCTGTCTCAAACCAAGACTAATTTCTGCCCCTAGCATGCCTGTGACCAAGTCTAATGATGTTGGTCATGGCCAGAAGTTTCCAAGTATACCACTTGAACATCGTCGCAAGTTTCAAGGAATTTGCGAGGATGGAGATGTGCAAGAACCCGCGAGACGCGTTTGCGGCATAGACGCGGACACGTGCCGTCAGACCGTGGCGATCAATAAATACAACTAACACGGTCTTGTCTTCCTCCAAGTCGATTATGTGAGAGTTTTACTGAAAATTGCACAATCCTGTGTAACAGATACTCGTCCAGATTTAATGATACCGAGTGAATCCGGGGAAGCGACGATCTTTGCTGAATTCTCCGCAAGCCGGCCGACCTCGAGGGGCCCTGTCCGTGAGCACGGTGATGGCAGCTACCATCTTCTAGAACCACTAATGTACGAAGCGAACTTCTTTCGTTTGCAGTTTGGATAGAGGTTTCTCCCGGAATAGAAGATCATCCGGATATCCGTGAGATGATGTAAACCCGTGCAGGTGCGTGTAAAACGTGTGTTGTCTCGATATATTACAAGGTCAGCTAGAAGATGGCTCAAGCAGGCGTGTCGTCGCGGAGCTCTTGTGGACTATATCGATTGTTTTGGAGGCACGATCGCTAGAAGCACGGCTATGACGGCATATTATTTGAGATTTCGTAGCCTCCGGCACGCTTGCTGTGCCCTTCACATCGGGACGATGCCACATCTCTCTTACTTGCTCCCACACCTTCTTCCCTGGTTTTTCCACGGTATGTCAGCATTCTGCAGCGTTTCGACCCTCCTCTCGTCTAGGGACCCTAGACGATCTAAACCCAGTGCTCTCTGATTCATTCGCCGTCAATGTTCAGCAACGAGTTACAAACCACCAGTTCGTGCTCTTCGCGGATCACCTTCCGTGAATGGCGAGGAACATTTTGGCGTCAATTGACTGCTTGATATCCGACCATCATCGGGGATGTCTTCTCTACGCGCTGTCTTCATTCGCTTTCATTCAGTCTTATCGAGATGCAATCTGCGATGCTGACCATAACGTCCATAATTTAGGGACAGTTGATAACTTGATGGGACACTATTGTAGGTGCTTCCGTAATGAGCATCGATGCGGTGCCACACGAGTTAGCTCGCCTTCTCTGCGGTCAAGATGACGTTGATGCCTATTGCGAATTAGACCACTATTGCTGTGAGGAGACCACCTATAGCAGGTTAACTATTAACCCCCGCCGGCAGTGCCATACCACGCAATGAATAACTATCATTGATGAAGCGGCTCAAAAGACTCCAAGCTCGGAGTCACACCATCGCCGGAACGTCTCGATGCGGATACATTTACATTGCATGGAAGGGGATCCTTCGGCAGTGAAGTATCAATCCCTCGTCGCCACCCACCAATGTATCACATCTGGTCTCCAGCTGCGACTGACTGGTCTTCTCTGCTTGTCTGCTGTCCGGCCTCTCAGGGACCCTGATAGCAGCGGACTGTAAGCGCGAATATCATGACACTTATGTCTCCGGCTACTCCACGTGGTTCCTTCGAGAATCGAGACCCTTCGTGAACAGGTATGTTGCTGGTTACATCATGAGGAGTGCAATGTGCACTGATCGCTGCATATCAATTCCCCGGATCACCTACGCGCCCACGCTCATGTGGTCAGTTGTATGCGTACGCGTCAGCAGACACGCCAGTCTCGCTTCGTACTTTGCGCGGCATGAGGTGAGTCACACGATGATGAGCATAGGTACCAGCACGGTAATCGAGTGGGCTGAGGGCATGGCTTCGAGGGTTCTCAATACTATTGAGAGCGCTCTCCAGAAGGGCAGTGGATGAGCGGGGCGTGTTTCTCTTTTGATGGTGGTTACGAGGCCCTCTATCACTTGGAAAAGGTTCTCAGCTCGCAGTTGCAGAACACGACCTATGATCAATTGCGGAAGCGGCGCGACTAGAAGTATACAATGCTGTCTCCGCGCCGATAACGCTGGCATCTACACATGCACAATAATTTATTGTATCTAGCGCCAGTACGGGTAACTCACCTTCTCACCAGCCTGTCCGGTTCGGATGGTACCAATCCGACCGCGGCATGTAGTAAGGTTCGGGTCCAGGCCTTGGATATGGTCGCGGCAGGTCGTGCTCATCTACAAGGGTATTTCGCTCCACTGGCAATGTGGCTCGTGCGAGGCCACAGTCCAGCAAAGATAGAGAGGACGAAGCCTTTCTGGCCGCATTGAAGCCAGCAAACGCTGCCCAGTCTTCCTCCTTCGAACGCGTCTCAGGTCCTGGCTTACGTTGCGTGGGATCAGATGCGCGTTTCCAGATTGTATCACCCCCCTCAATAATCTCGTCCCACTCGGACTCGAGCGATAGCCCTCGAGGGAGAATTATCAGGTTCCGCGTATGCGGCTCCAAGATCTTGAGAACACGCCAGACGGGGTTCGATTGTGCAATCACTGTGCCGAAGCCATTGTCAATGCAGATGATGACTTGTTCAATACTCTTCATGCGAGAAAGTTCCTTGGCCAGCCTTATTGCAGTGCAGGTGTCTATCGATGCCGGGAAACGCACACATAGGGACATGAGGGATGCAAAGAACAACTCGGAATCTTGATCGTCCGCAAGGAAGGGCGCAACCTTGTTCCAGTATTCCCCGATGATCAAGTGTGTTGTCTCGCGGAAGAATCTCTTTAACTCCGGATTGAGATGCAGTGGCCGCGGTGCTCTTGAAGTGGCCGTTGACCTATCAAGGAGTAGGACTTGTCTTGGTCGGGCCATGGAGCCCGTGAGCCACCCATTGCTGAGGAGGTCACAGTCAATCGCTAAGCTCTCGACGTGCTCACCCATCAACATCGTACCGATGTCTTTGTGGTGATGATCAAGTAGCAGCTCGTGAAATGGAACACACGCATCCCCTGTGCGTATCCAGACGTTCCGCACTAGTAAGTGCTTCGTGGCACGATGTCCCTTTGCGCCCTTCTGTAGTCCGTGATATATCTTGGCTGCCTGCGTCGCGTTCGTCATATACACAGTACGCCAGATTTGGGGACGCATCCAATCTGCAGTTTCTTTGCAAACCAGTGCGAGGGTACACGCCATTCGTGAGGGTGACAAGTAATCCCGAGAGGACTGGGTAGAAATCGAGAGGTGGAAAATGTGCCGCACTATGTCCTTTGGGAGATTGGCCGCAAAGGGGCGCGTGAGGCCAGCGCCGAAGCGCTTCAAGCCTTGCTTTGTCTTTCCGCGTCTAGCTCCTTTCGCTCGCTCGTACCGAGTTGTCTCTTTCCTACGGGAGGTATTAGCAACTGAAAGACCTTGGACGGGCATGGTGAGCATATACGCTGTTCGGAGATAGAGTGCGTGTAGTGCAGGAAGAAGTCGCTCACGGCAGCCGGATGGATGCGGTAGCAGTGTGAGAGGAGAATGCAGTATAGTGCTGTTTATATTCTACCACAGCCATGGTAAATATTTCCCGTCTGCATTGTGGCCCGGGGTGGCATCCTTATCAGTGGCCCCACTGCGTTGTGCCACCCTAGTGGCCCATATTGCATGCGGAGGAGATTGAACTTCACCTTCGCTGCGCATAGAAAGGCCATCAAGCAGTGTCATCTTGTAGTCAATGTCAGATTTTGAGTGAAGGATCTTTGCGCAGTCATTGAGCAGTGATCAAGAGTTGCGAACTCTACTAAATTCAACGCCACGTGTTGTGGCCTCTGTGACAGAACGCGTCTAGCGTGACGCTTGCTCCTTTCGTCTGTCACGTCGCAAAATCACTCCTCACCCCTGCCTCGCGCGAATATGGCCGACCCCGGGCGCAGGATACCCCTACGCGTCTCGAACGGAAAGGCGTATGCCTGGGACATTGACGGTATGCATTCTCGTGAACGAATCCGTTCCAGCTGACTAGCGGTGAAGAACAGACATAGCCGTGCTCCGCGGGCAGCATCATATATGCGGTGTGCTGACCGGGACTTTGCCTCATCTCTCGCAACAGAATGTCTTCCTGGGCATCCCTCTAGTTCTCATGCCGGAGGAGGTGGTCGTCCTTGTGGAGAAACGTGCGTGCATTGTCACATCCGGCGGTGGTCCGTCTGACTCATTTGCACACAGAATTAGCCGTCCTCGTTGATGACCTGACAGCCCACCGCACTCCCTCCATAGAAACACTCAAGGGATGGAATGAAGAGCGTGCAGAATCCGCAAGACTCCAAATTGCTGCAGCCGAGGAGGATGCGCAAGATAGGCCGGCCAAGTACGTCCTGTCGGAAGACGCCTTGCGGAAGCGCAAAGAGCGGGAAGAGCGGCGGGCTGCTGCTGCCAAGGCGAAGGCGCTCGCTGAAGGGGAAGATATTGTCGACCCGTCGATATTAGCGTCGACATCGGCTCCGCAAAATCAGGCTGTCATGACAGAGCGACCACCGAATTCGGCTGCGAACAATGTGACTCCGCCATATACCATCACCCTTCCTGCTAGCTCTAGCTCCCTTCAGTGGTATGACACCGAGGGGTGCACGTATACGTCAATTGAGGACGCAAGGGCGGCGGGAGTGTGGACTTATCCTGCCGACTTGCATGAGCGAGCAAAGTGCGGTGTGTTCAGAGACCTGTGGGAGAAGGGCTATTTCATGGGTGGCGGGATCAAGTTTGGTGGGGACTTTCTCGTCTATCCTGGTGCGTCTGTCTTCATTGCTCATATCATCTGGCGCGGTGCTCATGAAAATGCGTAGGCGACCCGTTGCGTTACCACTCGCACTTTGTCGCTACCGTGATTGACGCGCCACTGGCGACAATCAAGCCGATGGAGATTGTCGCGCACGGACGGCTGGGCACTGCGACGAAGAAGGCGCACCTCTTGTGCGGATGGGAGGACGAGAAGCAGGAAGTGTCATATTTTTCCATCGAGTGGGCCGGCTTTGGTTGAATGTGCCTTTGTACAAGTGCATATATGTATATTGATATCTTATAATACATGTACAGAGCCACATGACAAGACATAATCGACTCCCTATGTCGTCAGGCTTATGATGGGAAGCGCCACCCTAGTCGAACTTCCGCCTGCTCGCGCCTTTGCCCGCCCTCATTCTTGTCCTCCCCGTATCCACTCCCATTCCAATCCCTACGCCCGACACAGGCCCCAGCTCGACGGCCACCCGTCCGCCCTCCTCGATACTCTCCGCGCTCTCCGTACGAAACTGCTCTGACTCCCAACGTCCGAAGTTATACCCGTATCCATACCCACTCGTACCGGAAGAGAACCCAGGTGGCGGACTGCTCCCCGTCCAGCTCGACGCACGCACGAACAAGTCGTTGAGCCGCAGCACGGGCGCGAAGATGGGCAGGCGGACGGGGACGCGCGGATGCGGGTAACGGGTCTCAGCGTCGTCTGCAGAGAGGGAGAGGGAGGATAGCGTGGGGTTGTATGGGTCGAGTGGGACAGGGTGAGCGTGCATTGCCATAATGATGTACTGAATGATAATACATTATGAACATTTCTTGATAATGGAATGGAGAAGAAGGATGCGGGAAACATACGACGGGAAAGACGAGGGCGAAGAGCGCGGCATTGGCGAGGCTGCTGCCCCACATGCAAAGTGCGGCAGATGGCAGGCCTAATTGGCGTCAGCCTGAGCGTCTTGAGATATACGAGGTTCGCAGGCGCACCGAAAGCAAAGTAATACGCCCATCGCTCCTCCAGGTGCCTCACTCGTTGCGAGAGCGATAAGCCCCTCACGATCCACACATGCCTACATACCGACTCAGTCACCCTCTTCAAACTCCGAAAGCGCACCGCACACGAAACTCACTCAAAGCAATAATATCTGCCGCACAACCAGATCAGCGCCGCCCATAGAATACATTCACCGAGACAGTACCCACTCACGCATCGACCCAGCACAGGAACACAAAGGCGGCAATGGGACCTGCACGCGGGACACGGCCGAGCGCGAAGGAGACGAGAAGAGAGGAGAGGACCATGGTCCCGCTGTATGCGGACTTTGTGAGCGCGTTGAGTAGCCCGGCGTAGCTCGCGGGTGGGGAGGCGCCCGCGCGGGGACCGTGTTGGAGGGTGAAGGCTCGATTGGCAATGAGGGTGCACCAGGTACTCTGTATGGGATGTGTCAGTGGGAACGAGATGAGAAAGGAAGACGATCAGAGAAGGGAGAGGGTTGAAAGAGTGAGAGATGATCCGCCGCCGTTAGGTCTCATGTCCAGCCCATGCTGATGTCCACTCAATGAGAATGTTACTGCAGAGCGGCATTGTGCATGTCCGCACAATTTCCCTCTTCTCTACGTGTCATTCGAGCAACGCGTTACATTCCGATAACATCCCAGCTGACCCATAGTATGTTAAGAAGACAACGGGATGCTCACATTCAGATATAGCGACACTCCCACAACGGGAAGCAGCCAAAGCACCTGGTACGCCCAACCAACGTTACGATGGAGCCAGCGCTCGCCTTGGGATGTAAGCGGGAAGAGGAGTAGGTCAAGCGCATAGATAAATGCAAGCGAGAACGTATTAAGGAGAAGAGACTTGAGCACGTTCGTGCGGATCTCCGGGTCGCTGGTGCTCGTTTGTTCAGCGCACAAGCGGATTGATGCAGATGAAGGTATGCGTACCTGGCAACAAGCCGGAAGACAATGTCCCATCGGAAAGCATCAAATAGGCCGCGGCCCGCGCAGGCGAGGTGGATTCTTGCTGTATCTTGCAGCGAGAGGAAGCCGGAGTACGATGCATGCGAAGCCACAAAACTTGGCGGTGTCGGGGCTGGAACCGGATAGTAGCTATACCCCATGCCCGTCTGATGAGACAGGTATGACGGCCTCGACATCAGGATGCACGAGGCAGTCGTCGACGATAGTGACAGCGATGGCGGTGGCGATGAGCGCGGGGGTCAGACCAACGCGGCGTAATGAGACGCGTGACAGCGCGTGACGCGACGCGTTCTGATGTCACGCGCCCGCTCGCTCTTCCGAGTCTCCCCTTGTGCTCGGTGGACAGTCGGTTTCTCAAGTTGCTACATATCCATGCCATTTGCTTCTTCGGTCCCTCAGCTTTGATGCGGAATTCTGCAGTCTGGGATCATCTACTGTCTTCTCCCGTTACTGCCACAGTTCCTTCCCGATCGTTCCCTGCTCAGCCCCGCCGATCCTGGCGACACGTACCCAGCTGACCTTGGAAGCGCGGTGAATCCGCTGTGGGCTAACAGCTTTCGACACTCGTATCAGCCCAACGTGTCAGGCACGATTATTTGCGAAGAGAAGCACAGGAATGGTCATCTCGGAGGAGGCTCGCTCTGCATTGTACGTCTAGTCCCGCAGACCACGTATCGCTGTGTAAGATGCACCCACGCTCTGACGGCCCTGTGCTTCGAGGGCATCGGCCACCTGCTGTCCAGGGCGTTCTGATGATGGGGAGCTTAATATATGCGCCTGGATGTGCGATAGTCGAGCGCAGATGAGTGGGACGGTGGCCTGCTGTGGCGCGGCATGGCGGCGCAGACGCATTCGGAAGTGGCCGCGCATGCTCCGACGTCGGCAGCGCAGCCGGCGCGTGGCGGCCGGGGCTCGGTGAGTCGCCGGCAGCTCGGGAGGCCTGGAAGGGCGTGGAGCCGGCCGGGCCTGTGACGTCGCGTGACATAAGCTTCCCCATTCAGCCACTCACGCTCGCCGTCCCAGACGCGCGCCTTCGCACTATCCCGCGCGGGCGGTCTTTTCCTCCGCACAATATATATAATCTGCTCCTCACCACTCTTGATTCCGCCATTCTTCTCGTTTGCACATCATGGCTCCTCCTCATTCGTTCACCTCCAAGCCTTCGGTCGCTACTCGTCGCAGGCTCTCCAGCGTTGTGACGCCCAACAGACCCAATGTCCCTGGATTCACCAGTCTCACCGTGAGTAGCCCGTATAATTGTTGACCTACGCTGGGTCCGCCCGTATGCTAATTCACCGTCTGCCAGCCCATGTGGGCCGGTATAGCCGGCACGATCATCAACGACAACACCGCATTCGAGGTTGCAATATCGATCCACGATTCGGTCTACTGCACCGACTTTGCGTCCTCGGTCGTACCCTATGATGCTACCGACCCCGAAAAACAGTCGGTCGCCATCGAGAAACACGTCCTCGATACGCTTCGGAAGTTCTCCAACGAGCACCTCTGCAAGTTCCTTGGTGCTGGTGTCACCCTCAGCTTGCTCCGCGAGGTGCGTGATCGCGCCAAGTTCCTACGCCCCGTCGCTCAAGAAAGATCCGCGGTCGCGTGTCTCCTCCATCTAGGCGCCCAACCTTTGTACGCGTCTCTGGCTTGAGATGGACATCGTTCCTATCGTGTTCAACATCAAGCCTTACCATACTGATTCCATCACCCGCCCCAACGTCAAGCATCGCATTTCATCCACCACTGGTTCCTATGTGCCGTCGGGCGCTGAGACGCCCACCGTCTACGTCGACGCGTCTCAGTTACAGGACCAGAGTAAGCTTACGACTGGTGCGCAGCAACGCCTCCCGATCCCGCGCACTGTCGATGAACAGGCCGACAGTGCCGCGCGCAAGTGCATCATGTACTTCGGACCCGGTAACAACCCGCGTTTGAGCATCGCGCCCCGCAACCAGGTTGCAGTCGATTCAGGTGGAAAGATACATCTCATTGACGATCTCGACGAATATCGCAAAACGGTGCATAAGGGCACGTGGAATGCGGTGATCAAGCTCGCAGACGAGCTCCGGGAGAAGAAGATTAGGTTTGCGTTCTTTTCGTCTACCCCACAAGGCGGTGAGTGTTTTGTCCACATGGTGTGGGGGGCGAGAGTGGTCCATGCCTTCCGAGACGCTTCTTCGTGCGGAAACTGACTCCTGTCCTTGTTCCCTTTTGGCCTTGGTTCCTGCTGTGCGACTCGTATCGCGAAAACTGCAATTCATCTCGGATGCTTGGACGAACGTGCTGACGCGGTGCCCACGATTTTGGTTGAAACTTCTCAGGAGGGGTTGCACTCGTGAGTGTTCCATTGGGAGGCCATTCTCTCGGCTGTCATGATATGTCAAGAATGGAGTGCTGAGAACGCTTCCCCGCCTTGTAGATGCGTCACGCGCTCATCCGTTTCTTCCAAGCGCTGGATGTAGACGCAGCATGGTAAGTTCCGTCCATGGATCGTCGCATTGAGCCCTGATCGGCTGTGCTTCGTCGCCCCTCGTGGCTGGGTAACTCCGTAATTGACATCCCTGCTGATTTAACTGCCTGTTTTCGACAGGTATGTGCCGAATCCGTCGCCGTCGGTCTTCCGTACGACGAAGAACAACCACAATATCCTGCAAGGTGTTGCGGACCCGTCTCTTCGCCTTACACAAGATCAAAAGGAGAACTTTGATGCATGGATTCTCAAGAACGGTCTGCGCTGGACGGCTGAGGGTGGTCCTTTGGCCAAGGGTGGTGTAGATATTGCGTTCATTGGTGCGCGAAATTATCATAATTTGGCAGAGTCAGATACTAAGTTCTGCAGTAGATGACCCGCAAATGCCTGGTCTCATTCCGCTGATCAAGCGCGTTCGTCCGGACATGCCTATCGTCTATCGGTCGCATATTGAGATTCGGAGTGACCTCGTCAGCGTCGCGGGTTCCCCGCAAGAGGAGGTGTGGAAGTACCTCTGGAACAACATCCAGTATGCAGATATGTTCATCAGCCACCCTGTGAACAAGTTCGTGCCCACGGATGTGCCGCTGGAGAAGCTGGCACTGCTTGGTGCTGCAACGGATTGGTGTGTGCTCTCTCACGTTGGCAGGAAGGAATGACAGGCACTGAATGGACGGTGAACGCGCAGGCTCGATGGACTGAACAAGCACCTGCACCCGTGGGACACGCAGTATTATATGGGCGAGTTCCGCCAGCTGTGCGCGCGTGAGAAGATGCACGAGTTATTGTGGCCTGTGCGCGACTACGTGGTGCAGATCGCACGATTCGACCCGAGTAAGGGCATCCCGAACGTCATCGACTCGTATGCGCGTTTCCGCAGGATGATGAAGAGCAACGCACCTAACGAGGATCCGCCACAGCTGCTGGTTTGCGGGCATGGTGCAGTGGACGACCCGGATGCGAGCATCATCTACGATCAAATTATCGCGCTCGTTACTGGTCCGTACAAGGAATACGAGCAGGATATGATCGTGATGCGGTGCCCGCCGAGTGATCAGTGTAAGCTAGAATTCTGTTCTCACGATCGTCATGAGTGCTAATTCCTTGGCAGTGCTCAATGTATTGATGGCAAACTCTCGAGTGGCATTGCAACTGTCCACGCGTGAGGGCTTCGAGGTCAAGGTATCTGAGGCACTGCATGCGGGCAAGCCGGTAATCGCGAGCCGCACGGGCGGTATCCCTCTGCAGATCGAGCACGGCAAGAGTGGATTCCTATGCGACGCAGGCGACAACGAGGCCGTGGCGAAGCATATGTTCGACCTGATTACGAACGAGGACCTGTACGAGGAGATGTCCGAGTATGCTCGGACCCACGTCAGCGATGAGGTCGGCACGGTCGGCAATGCGGCGGCGTGGATGTACCTTGCGGTGATGTATTGCAGCAGGGGCGTGAAGCTCCAGCCGAAGGGCGCATGGGTGAATGATATGATGCGCGAAGAGACGGGCGAGCCGTACGAGCCTGGGGAGCCGAGACTTCCAAGGGGACACATCCACGTGCAGGGATGAGAAAGATTGCACGACCAAGGTCAGAATGGAAGTTGGTATCGACAAGCCGCGCTGGCGGGAGCGGCTATGGACTTCAAGGAAATTGGTAAGACGCTGTTGTATACCAGGTGTTTGTATATCCTCCTCTATGAACCTCGTCTGCGTGTCGCTGAGCTGTTACTGACTCTCGGATAATGTTGTGCTGGTATCGTGTTTGCAGTAAATGTAGAAAAGTGTAGAAGTAGAACTGTTGTCGTCGACGAACTGCTTTCGAATGCATGTTGACCTCGAGTAATTTCCTGCCAGCTAATTCTATCCATTATTGTGCAAGAGCATATATGCTGGGGACGATGTTCGGAATAGTCCTTGCGCTGAAAATGGGCCACAATGAATTCTATTGCCACTCGGGCGCTTGCGACTTGATATGCCCGCTCGCTCGACATGCACTCCCCCTACTCCTCCAACTGTCCCACTGACCGACCGCAGTGGAAAACCTCGCCGTCGACCGCACCAGACTAAGGATATATCCTAGCGTGTCTAGGAATGATGGAGATCGACATGTCCGTATCGGCGGGTGCGCTGCGAGCGTCGCGCTCGATGGGGGCCGCGTCTGCCGCCCTAGTCACATCGACCTCCACCAAAAGAGCACGTTCTCCCGTGTCTCCGAGTGCATATGACCGACCTGCAGTGAGTAAATTCTCTTTCTGTGTCATTTCTTCCCTGCGAGACTCTCTGTGACTGTGGGCGCTTATTGGGGCCACTTTGTCGCATGTCAGAAACGGCCGTTGGTGGGCGACGACGTGTCCATTGCGATACCCATTGCACGATACCCGCATGTGAGCGAGGATTGGGTGGCGCAGACGCGCGGTCTGCGGATTGCGAGCCCGATGTTGCCGCCGGGTCATGGTCCACTGCGTAGTTCTGTTGAAGAAGACTCGAGGACTGTTGCAAGAGTTGATGGTGGCGGACTACAAGACTTTCCACTGGTGCGTTCCATTTTTACTTGTACCTCCTTGCAACTTGACTTACGCGGCTATGCAAGGCGGACGAAGACGTGGCGATGGCTTGCTCACCGCCACGCCTACGGCATGGTATAGACGCTCTCTCAGAACCTCCCCGACCAACGAGCGTATCATCATGCCAACCCGAACTTCCGCCTCATTCCATCACGCCTACACCTGTGATAGCACCGAGCTTTCACCCGCATGCTTCATCCATCTCGGCAGCGTTAGCCGCGCCATCACATCTCGCTCCCAGCCACCACTGCCAGGACCCGCGAGAGGCAGCACACATGGCGCGCAAACAGAAGTTCACGATGGGCCCAAGGGCGGATTGCGAGAAGTGCCGACTGGGCGTGAAGGGACATTGGATGCATTTTGACTAGGGAGGTTGTCTGGGTTCATGCTGTGCGTTCATCCATGCATTGTGCTGCGTTCAACAGTCCACGGTTCCATGATTCCGCGCTTTGATGTATTGGTTTTGGATCATCGTGCTTTCTGACTATTCATATGAATCGATTCGACATACCAAGACTGCAATTTGCGGAGGCGAGATACTATACGTTTGTTTCTGCGGCTCTTTCGATAACACTGATGTTCAATTTACACTGGATGCCCTGCTTGTCCTGTCTGCCGATGGATTGCGTTCAGGATATGCACCAGCGGGCGTTGACGCACATAACCACACAAGCACACAATGCGTCAACAAGTACAACCAGCTATCATATCCACTCTAATCTCGCTCGAGCTGTCTTCCACACAATCGCGATACACTTGTTTCAGCAGCCCATCCTCCTTGCCCAAAATACCATCGGAAACCCACTGCAGAAGTCAGGATCGTCAATGTTCAGACCGAGCTTTGGAAAATGGGACTGACTGAGATCCTTTGTAGCAGGAGAAAATGTTGGGAGCCATGCAACAGGGTGTGTCAATTGACCCCGTAGAATCCAGATATAATTCTCACTTCATTAGTCGAATATTACTTCTCAGACCAGAATTTGCAGCATGACAGGTAAGTGATGTGCGACGTATCATTTTTTTCTCGACAGTTCATGATATTGCTAGGTATATGTGGGCTCAATATAACGCTAGCCCGGAGCATTGGGTCCCGATTGCGACCATAGCATCGTTTCCGCGCATGCTTCAGTACGAGCAACATGGCCTGAGCTGGATCGCGGACGCTCTTCGCCAAAGCAAGCAATTGGAGGTGGATGCAAACGGCACACACGTCCGCCGAATTAAAGAGGCTCGGCGAGATGATAAGCTCGATCGTAGCATCTATGCTGTGAGTAGCACCCTGCCAATCGTTACGGAAATACTAAAGCTCGCGTAGAAAGGGTTTGGCACAGAGGTGAAAGGCATGCTTGAAGAATTACGGGCATTCTTCAATGCGTACGGCAAGGTCAACAAGGTTCAGATGAGGAGAAGAGCAGGAAGCTTCAAGGTGAAGACGACACCCGATGTTTTGAAAGGCTCCAGCTGATCAATCGATAGGGCTCCGTGTTTGTTGAATTCGCTGACATTCGTTCGGTGGAGACCTTTCTCAACGCCGACCCTAAGCCATCATGGAACGGGCATGAACTGCTTATCATGACCAAGTGCGCTGTCAGCATTCCTACCATATCATGCACTCTAACTACGATCGTGCAGGGATGCGTACTGCAACATGAAAGTTCAACAGCTTGGCATCAAAGGCAGTGCAGGCACCATCGTCAGGTAATCTATCGCTGGCCCCAAATCTGCTCTTTCCGTCTCTGTCAATGTTTTTCGTGTGACCCACTGTCTGCAGGACCGCAAATTCGGGCACTTCGATGACGCAAGACATAAATCAGAGCGATGCTGCTGCCGCGGCGGACGCAAAGGTCAACATGGAACAGGGGGAATCCTGATGGATCTGACTGCATCTGCGACTCTAGGTCTGAAAATCATGGCGTGAGCGGCGAGAAGCGGAAGAGTGCAGCGGACCCGGTGTCTGAGTTCGGTGACGATGAATCTGACGAGGACGACATAGCACTGCATACCACGAAGAAGGCGAAGACTACGAACAGCGAAAAGTAGAAGCATGCATCAGAGCCCGAAGACATCCTCCGCGATGACAAACCTGACGAAGATGCTATGACGTTATATAGCGCCGACGTAGGGGTTGTGTGTTTGTTGGTGGACATACTATACATCCTAGTGAATGCTGAAGGAACGACCGATAGTTGGTAATGTTGTCAGTACCGATACTAATATATAGTCCGACATGACGGTGGTTTTATGCGGTTGTCTTTTTGGTACTGTCAACAACACTAGTGCTCGACAATCGACTTTTTCGGTGTATGGATACGATCTGGCCGACGTGGCTCCTTGACAAGCCTCTGGTGGCTCCAGTGCAGAAGTCCGAATTTGATTTAGCTTGTGGCTGCGTTTCAACGGCAGCCTCGTCTACGTGTCGATCAGAAGTCTTGCTTGGTTATCCCCATGTGCAGATCAGACTCATTGCACGCCTGTCCTTTGACATTGTCGACGTAGCTCGGACGATACCCACGCGTACAAATTTACGCGTCAGCAATGCAAGCCCGCTTCAACCGCAACCGCTCGCACTCTTTGCAAGGCATCCGCTTGTTTTAGTCCAATCCTTTGCCAAGCTCATCAGGCTATCGAAGATTATTGTTAGCAGCATGAGCTCGTCCTAACTTATTAGAGGCAGGGGAATGATCGTCGACGATGCCTCCGCTGCGTCAGCCGTTTAAAATGAGGTCACGGATGTAGCAAATAACAAGGCAGCGAGGTCAAGATAAATGCTATTTAGAACAGCGCTTTTCGCATGATCATCTCCTGAGCAAGCGAATCAAACGGAGATGTTTGGTGTGGTAGACCGGATGATCTCGACTAACTCACTTCCTGTCATTCCAGGTCCGCTAGTCGAGCTGCACTTTCACGATTACAATATGATGCGCAACGGGTGAGCTGAGCCGCATTCCTCTGCGGTTAAGATCGATGCGGACATCAGGTTCATGCAAAATAAACATGATACAATCGCCGAACACTGGGTACAAATGCGGACAATCGCGAACTTGATCAGCATGCTGCGGTACAAACCATAACAATTGGAGGTCAGCGCGGACGGCACACGCGTGCGTAAGCCCGTAGCGATCAACGTGACCAATGCTTCTGCGCGCAGCATTTATGCGGCTTCGCTTTTATGGAGATTCTGTGAAGGTTATTGCAACGTCACTCAGCTTCGCATGAGAGGGGATGGGAAACAGAAGGCCCATTCAGAGTCAGGATGCCAGCAGAAAGTTGCAATGATTGCAATCGAATTGATTGCCATAAGGCCCCGAGTTTGCGGACATGCGTTCGGTAGATAGCCTCCTCAACGCAGATATTAAGCAATCATGGAATGATCAGGAACGCCCAATCCACCTGTCGATGGGATGTGTGACATGAGTAGTCAACGCGATCACGTGATGTGTGACAGACGCGTTCCGCCGATTGCTGGGCCGGCGGCCTACTAGTAGTAGGGCCACTCTTCATTCGGGCTTCAGCAGGCGAGGCCATGTCGACGTTACCTTTGTGAGGCCAGTGTAAGTGCGACTATTGCATGCTGAGGTGCTATCGTGTGTCTGCCATGGTATCGACTGAGACTTTCTCGGCCCTCGCCTGTTTGAGTAAGAACAGTCAGGAGAGCGTACTTGAAGGCTGGGAAGCGTGAGCGAAAGTCCAGACCGGAAATCCCGGCATTAAATAAAAAGAAAATGTTCTAAAGATCTCAAAGTTTGCCTTCGGGATTGGAAGAGGTGAAGGGGAGGTGCCAGTCGTCGAATGCTTGGGGCAAGATACGAGTGCGCCGGAGACAACCACGAGCTCGGGGATGTTGAGGTTGTATAGTGCATATGACTGGGATTTCTGGCCCTCTATTTGATGAAGTGCGGAAGTGTAATTCCACCACTTCCATTTTCGCATTAGCCTGAGGGTCCAACGGAAATGAGAAGATCAGATGCTTGCCCTGTTGAAAGGAAGGACATTAGTCGTAAATGGTCAATACAGCTCTACAAGGACACTGGCCATGTCAAGAGAAACAACGCCTGGCGGACTTCGACGACGATCGCCCGCTCCTCGATATCATTGCGTGCGTTCTCAAGGAGCTACACAGTGCGCGCCCAGTCGCGTCTCCGGGAGATCATGACTTCGTAGTGCAATCATGCTGTCAGCTGGCTCATCGTCGCCCCGTTTGATGTTCGGCATTGTGCTCAGATCTATTGGAAGTGGCCGACCGACGGCAAGTACTTCTGGTTGAGCGCGTCAGGAGCGACGAGCGCCAAACGACGGCTGAAACGCGTCGCAGGGCAACGGAGCGGGCGAATACGGAAGGGCGGAAAATCGTATAAATACTATGTACGCACCTGTAGTACTTAACTCCCCTGTCGTTCGTCGCCTTAACCGGCCTCGCGCCCACGAGACAGGAAGGTAAGGTAGCGGCTGGCCAATGCCGCTGGGGCCGCATCATAATTTCCTAGAAGATCTGCATACCATACTGATTGCCTCCATGTCAGGTAGGCCGCATAGCTTCATCTGCGATAATTCTTGACATTATGACCTCCTACGACTCGACAGGCCAAGACTGCAATTGATGGGGGCCGGGGATGGCGAAATACCGTTATATGTTTGTTTCTGCGACACTGTCGATAAGCCTGATGTTCAATTACTATGGATGCCCGACTTGTCCTGTCCGTGGATGGCTTGCGTTTCGGATGTGCAACAGCAGGTAAGGACCTACGCATGCAAACAACGTGTCAACAGATACAACCACCTACATACGCTCTCATTCCGCTCGAGCCGTCTTCTACATAATCGCAATCCACTTGTTTCAACAGCCTAGCTTCAGTTTCCCCAAAATGCGTGGCTATCACCGAAAAACCCACTGTGAAGGTCAGATCGTCAGTTTGAGACTGAGCTTTGGGAAATAGGACTGATTGGAATCACGTCTAGCAGTTGAGAGCCATGCCATGCAACAGGGTGTGTCAGTTGACCCCGCACGACCTAGATATAATTCTCACTTCACCAGTCGAATACTACTTCTCAAGCCAGAATCTGCCGCATGACAGGTAAAGTAATGTGTGAATTATAATTACTCTTGACAGCTCAGGGTATTGTCAGGTACATGTGGGCTCAACATGGCGCCAGCGCGGAGCATTGGGTCCCGATCGCGATTATAGCGTCGTTCCCGCCCATGCTTCAGTATGAGCAACATGGCCTGAGCTGGATCGCGGACGCTCTTCGCCAAAGCAAGCAATTGGAGGTGGATGCAAACGGCACACATGTTCGCCGAATTAAAGAGGCTCGGTGGGATGATGATAAGCTCGATCGTAGTATCTATGCTGTGAGTAATACCGTGCTGTTCATTAGGGAGATATCGAAACTCTCGCATAGAAAGGGTTTGGCGTAGAGGTGAAAGGCATGCTTGAAGAATTACGGGCGTTCTTCGATGCGTACGGCAAGGTCAACCAGGTTCGCATGAGGAGAAGGGCAGGAAGCTTCAAGGTGAAGACGACACCCGACGCTTTGAAAGGCTCCAGCTGATCAATCGATAGGGCTCCGTGTTTGTTGAATTCGCTGACATTCGTTCGGTGGAGATCTTTCTCAACGCCGACCCTAAGCCATCATGGAACGGGCATGAACTGCTTATCATGACCAAGTGCGCTGTCAGCATTCCTACCATATGACGCACTCTAACTACGGTCGTACAGGGAGGCATACTGCAACATGAAGATTGTACAGCTTGGCATCAGAGATAGTACAGGCACCCTCCTCAGGTAAAGTATCCCGTTCAAAACCTGTTCTCTCCGTCTCCATCAATGTTTTGTGTTTGACTCATCGCCTGCAGGCCCGCATATACGAACACTTCGATGATGCAGTGCAGAAATCAGAATGATGTCGCTGCCGCAGTACATGCAAGGGTTAGCGCGGAAACTGGGGGGACCCTAGTGGATCCGACTGCATCTGCGACTCCTGAGATTCATGGTGGAAGTGATGGAAAGCGGAAGCGTGCAGTGGACCGGAGGTCCGACTTCGATCACGACGACTCTGATGAGGACGGCATGCAACTGCATACCACAAAGAAGGCGAAGACTACGAACAGCGAAAAGCGAAAGCGTGCATCAGAGCCCGAAGACAACCTTGAGGATGACAAATCTGACGAAGCTGCCATGATGTCGCATAGCGCAAAGAAGGCGAGGACAACGTAGGGTGTGTATGTGCTCGGCATTCTAGTGAACGCTGGAGGAACGGCCTATGTCAGTGATGCTCATAGTACCGATAACATGTAATATACAACATGACGGGGTTTTATGCGCTTGTTTTTATGATACTGTCGACAACCCTAGCGCTCGACGATCGGCTTGTTCTGTGCCTCGACGCGTTGTTTCAAGAAGCGGTTGGTCGACGTGGCGTAGCAAGCTCTGTTGGCCCCAGTACAGAAGTTCAAATTTGATTTTACTCGTGGCTGCGTCTCACCGGCCCCAACCCCTTCTACATGTGGATGAGAAGTCTTGCTTGGATATCCTCGTGTGCAGACCAAACTCTTTGCATGCCTGTCCTTCGAGATTGATGACTCCGATGCTGAACATCCTGGCGATTTGGCTCACAGTCTGTGCACCGGATGGTGTAGGATGGTCAATACACGTCTACGAGGAGACCGACCATGTCAAGCAAAACAAAGTCTGGCGGACTTCGTTCGACGACGATGATCGCCCGCTCCGATATTGAGTACGTTCTCAAGGAGCTATACCAAACGTACGCGCCTCACGTCTCCGCGCTGTCAGCTCGCTCATCGTCGCTCCGTTAGGTTCATCATTGTCCTCAGGTCTGCATGCCATACTGATTGCCATGTCAGGTATGTAATAGTAGCATTCGATGTTGGTATGGCAAAGGACCGGCTTGCTGTGTTCTTCTTCGAATATGATTTATGAACATCTTCATATAATTCGCGTTGGCCGGTCATGTCATCGATATGACGCTGTCTACTCGTCGAACGCACTTCCCTTTGCAAGCGAAGCAGGTAAATTCTGCAGATCAATGCGGTCCCAGCTGGATGATCAGAAGATGAGTCGGCGGCAATGATAGCGCAAGGACACTAGGGAGATCACGTACTAAGGGAATACGGGCTTCAATTTATCATAGTGCAGTTCTGGATAGTTCGCGCTGATGGCCTTGATGATCTCGTCATACGCAATCTTCCGTGCAATCAGCGTCGGACGTAATCACGCTAGAGAGATCGAGTACTCACAGCATATCCCTGCTCGTTCAAATGCAGCCCATCGTACAAATACTGACTCAGCTGTTCCTCCTTCCGTCCACACGCGTCCCACAGCGTCGTCCACAAATCTACCACGGGTACACCCACTTCTTTCCCAACATCTAGTACCTTCGCCGCATACGCCTGCGTCACCTCAAATTTGCGGTCCAGGGCTTTCGGCGGGTCCTTCGCAGCCTGACGCACGGCCCACTGGTGGGTGTTGATGGGGGGCGGCGTGAGGAGGAGGATGCGCGTATCGGGAGAGTAGCGCGGGGAGGAAGGCGAGGTGACTATGCGCACGAGCTCGGTGAGGTTGGCGGCATAGTCGGACAGGGAGACATGCTGCGGGCTGCCGGGTAGTGCGGCGTCGTTCGCGCCGAGCCAGATAGTGAGCAGCCGGACCTTGGGGACGTGGTGCTGCTCGTGCTGCGTCGCGAAACACTGTGATTGAAAAGTGAGTCAGTCGGTACCACGGCTCGTGAGTAGAGGTAGTCGGTTCGGCGTACCTGTTCGAAGATGGGCCTGATCCACTCACTGTTATACCCCGACATCCCGCGGTTAAGCACGTCCAGCTTCCGCTGGTATGCATCTAGAGGTCGTCCATGAGCAAAGGGGCATTTAGTCATCAACGTTCGAGTGTTACGGGTGCACTCACAGGACAACTTCTGGGCGAACCCCTGCGGGTCCCAACCGCCCTGGGTGAGCGAGTCACCGAGCAGCATAATCACGTCTTCAACGTTCGCTGCCATGGTCAACGTCGATCTCGGGGTGCCTCGAGATAGAGGTGAAAGGACAACAACAGAGATCGGGCGCGAGCGTGTGGTGTGACGGTGCCTGCAGCGGCACCCCGTTCGACCGGAAGAACTCCCGACTATCTGCCGAGAAGAGGGTGGTCAAGAAACTCATATCAAATTGGTAGGGAGAGCAGAATATCGATAGCGACGTCGGTGAGCATGAGGGATGGGATGTACACTGGGGATTCAGGCTATGGCAGCTTTTGCAAAGTATGAGCGAATATATATAGGCCCATGAGATCGCACACGAGTTGGAACGCAGCGCGTCAGAGCGCGTCTCTTAGTCACACTGAGTAGCGCTGGAAATAGGGAGACCATGTATTGCTACGCGACGTTGTACATGATAGAAGAGCAATCGCAGACAGGACGAGGTTTTCCCCATGATTCACCGTATGAGGTCTCACCGACAGTAATAAATGACCCGTCCTCAATTCCGCGTCGTCAAATGTTCATTTATTCGGCTTCGTGCGCACCAAGACAACAGCATATATTGACAGCTAAAGAAAATCCTGAAGCACCTTCCAAACATTCTCGCATTTCAAGCGACTTGCCAGCAGACGATTTGGAGAATGAGGAACTGCGTTGGTGGATTCTCAGCGCGGATAATTGAGGTGAAACATTGGGCTGTCAGGATCTTGGCCATGAAAATTCCGGAACAGAAGATGCTCGACGCACCTCAAACTACTAGCTCGTTACCGATCGATGAACTCGGTATGTGAATGGCCACTGATGAAAGACACCTCTTTCCACAAAGAGCGGAGGAAGTACCCTTACCCATCAGTCGAACAATAGAGAGATTTTTGAGAGCGTGAGATGGGACAAGCGACGTAAATGTTCGGATGGAAGGCTGAATTTAGAGACCAGCCTCTTCAAGAACATAAATATGGGCCCATACGACTCCTTTATGCATCTTCTGCACATCGACCGTCACCATTTGTTGAAGGAAGAGTTCATCACCACCTGCCTTGATATCCAAAGCGCCATGTATACGCCTCCAAGCTGCATTCTAACGGCTCAGAAGGCCTCCGCCGGAAAGGCAAACCAAACCACCAGACCCATCTGCACGACGGAACCTGCTGGTCTGGCCCGCCATCCCCGTCTAGAAGCCATCCGCACCTGAGGCCAGACATTGACCCGTCATCCATGCAAGACCTGAGCTTACCCGCGTCTTCGCCTGTTCGTCCGGCCTGTCCACCTCCACGTGCTCCGCGTTCCGCTCAACCCTCGCGGTGGGTCATTGAAATTCGATGGGATCAAAAAGGATTGCGAAGGCTACCCGGAGAGCAGACCATGGTGAACCATGGACCCGCCGCCAACCCGCCATCGCGCTCAGTTACTCGAGACAATAAATGGGATACCTGTCCGCGATCACAGTACACGACGACGGAAGATCTCCCATCCAATGAGACGGAAAGATTGAGCACAGGTATGCTAGATGTGCGCGCAGAAAGAAGGGCACCAGGAGAGGCAAGGCGAAGGGAAAGAAAGGAGGACAAGAACGCCAGTTTTGCTAGTTCGGATGCGCATGCAGTCTGCCCAGTATGATCGACTGGGGAGCACCAGCTAATAGCAGGAAGGATGGTCTGGCGGGCGAGCACGACCTGGAGTGCAGGAACATGAAGGGGTGTTGAGCAGGACGAAGGGGATCAGCATGGAGCACCAACTAATAGCATTTAGATTGACCTATGAGCGTGATCGATGACGAGCACCTATTCAATATCAATACCATTATACTTTGAGAGTGTCTTCAATGCATCGAGAGCAAGTTTCACGCAGCAACATTCCTTGGAAGACGAAGATAGCTTGGCAGTGCAGAATACTGTGGATTATTACTAATCAAATTCTCATCCGATGAAATCAACAGCGCATCATGCACATACAGGAGAGGCTGTGATCCCGCCAATCCGCTGCTCTACCAAGGCTTATGATATATTGGACAGCATCAAGAGACAGGAAATTGCATGATTGTGGACATGTTTTCCCCCAAGATGCATGAGATAATTAGCCGAAGGCGGCCGTCCGAACGACATGTGAGACCACGCACCTTGCCTCTCACATCGAACGTTCCACCACGCGTTGCGAGCCACAGGGTCTACGGGAGGCCGGTCATGAATATACTCTTCGGTGCTGCGGGTTCGCTGCATATGCATGCAGCATCGTGCATCGAGGAAGCGTTCCTACGAAGGGAAATCAGCGCACCAAGAGCACCAGTGGCAACGCTCGACATACTAAGCAAACGCCTCACGACAACCCCATGGAACTCCTCGGCATCCCATGACCAATGGCACATTTCCGTTTTGTGAGACACTGTTGGCATGCCTCGCGCTTGCCTTCCCAAAACCAATGGCCTCTCCCGCATTGTCCTGTTCCAATCGCATCCAGTGGATTTGTTGACCAATCGTATGTAGATGCTGATGCCTTCCGCGAGCTATATGAAGGCCTCCGCTCGGTGCGACGTTCTCCAGTTCTCGACTACACACCTCCTTGCGATAAACATGTCTGTGAGTAAACGGTCTTTGGTCGCTGGCTTGGAGTGGCGAATGTTTGTTGGGCTTTCTAATGAGACATTCCTAATTTGCCTGCAGGACAAAGCTACTTGCGCTAACGTCCAAGCCAACGGCGGCACCTGCACATACCCCGCGTGCGGCTGTGCGGAGCCCCCGAAGAACAAGTAAATGTGATCCGATGATCTCGTTCTCCCGTCGTTACAGGTAAGCCTCCGTCGCGTAGTAGCTCGATGAGGGTTGAGGACTGACATTGACACCTCTCGCCAGGTCTACATGCTGGGTTGCATCGGTGACTGTTTCTAGGATTCGAAGAGACGGGCTGCGGTAGTCTGGCAAAAGCATTTGTTGGCCTGTATACTGGATGATTTGGGGGCTCGTAAAAATGCATTGGGAAACTTGAACGGAGTATGATGGGTTGCTACCATTCTGAGCGTGGAATTGTTGGAAGTGACGGTGGCCTTGCAACACGTTCTTGAGCGCAACCTGGAACGTGAAAAAAGCATAGGATTCGTCGATAACCTTGCATTTTGCTGCAACTTGTTCAGAGCGTGACGAAGCTGAGACTAGATAGCTTGCATGTCGTAAGCATGCAGCGAAAACATGGTTCACGATTGTTGAGAAAGTACGGCAAGATACAGACGAGACCTGAATAGCAGTGTTGCACCACTCAGATAAGCTCATTGAAGCACAAATGTGAATTGCAACACACTTGTCGGTGAGACACTGCAGTGACCACAGCGGTTCCAGCATTCCACTTGTAGTGTCAAGGATCGTGAGACTGCTGAACCGGGATGACAAGAGCTTGATAGATGTGACTCAAAAGCTAGATCAGACCAAAATCCTGCCGCCAGAGCGCATCGGATTCAGTCCTCTGTACAAGTTGTATGCGATGAGCATGATGATCATGAACGCGCGCGATGGCAAAGGGCGGGCGTCTACTAGCGGGCGGGACACGGACCCATCACGGCCGCATCGTTCCTCTCCTCCTCTTTCCCGCTCCGTTGACTCGCAATGTCCTCTCATGATCCCCAGTCATATCGACGTTATTCGCTTGCTTGCGATATGATTCCTTCCCTTCTGGCTGATCGGCTTTCTGCACTGTTGCTAGAAGGCTTGTGCTTGAACTTGGGTATGCACGCGGATCTGTACCATAAACGAAGGGATTTTCCGAGTACTGCCAGCTCGAAATAACGTCTGATACACGCGTGTACATTACATTTCAATCCAAGTGCTGTATCGTTTCGCAGTCTGACAACCTTTGTGAGTCCGTTACTCGCTCTGTGAAGTCCGTGTATCTTCGAGTCCGTAACTGTCTCTTGAATGCTCAAAGTCCCGCTTTGAACCTTCAACCACGCTCCCCAAAGCTTCACCCCTTCCAATCTCAAAGGCCAGCATCAAACTCCCCGACAACTCCTTCCCTTCCTTAGCTTCCCGTGATGCTCGAAGTTCATCTCCAAGTCTTTGACCACTCTCCCCAACCTTCACCCCTTCCTCACCCTCCTACGCGAGCCGATGGAAGTCGAGGAGACCCTCGACGTGGTGACTGCGAGAATGGAGGACTGCATGATGAGCGACGAACGTGAGTGTCCTCGTAGAATATGGGTTTGATTGCAGAAACGTACGCAGCGTATTCTCCCAGATCACCATCAACAAATAAGGATCACAGAACCGTGAGATGAAGAGAACAGAACAGCATGCGCGGACCAGCCGCTGCAGCGAGGAACCGCAAGACCCAGGAGACGACGATTGACCCAGATGAAGAAGGGTTGGACGAGCCGCCGCGTTGATAGCGAGAGACATACGACCCAGAATACAGCAGCTGACCCAAGGAAGATATGAGACGATGTATATCCGACGTCGTGAGGATGTCGGAGCTTTTGCAGTTTTCTACGAGAATGTCAGCCGGAGATCATAGTGAACGAACAGCAATACTCACCAACAGAACTGAGAAGAAGATCTAAACCAAAGGGGTATATTGCGAGGCGTGACGGCTAGCAGGCCTGGCGGGTGCTCGGTGCCCAGAGCGAGGGGATCAAGTGCCTTCGGCCAGCGAGAGGCCTCCATTTAATGGAGAAGCAAAGAGAAGATAAACAAGTTGGTGGAGAGGTCGTGAAGGAAGGAGAAGAAGCCACTCCGAGGAGAGCAAGACGGGATGAGGGGGTTATAAGTGCAGTGCGGGTGGCTGACAGTGAGGCTGACGTGGCTGACGCTGTCAGAGGCTTGCAGATCGCCGACTCCTTCATTGACACGGTCTCGCCCCTCCGTAGACAACCATATTGGCATGCCGGACATGTCCTGTCAAGAAATCGTGTCGACTGCAACCACATGTTGATCCACTGCGCTGTTGGCTTGCCGTTGTATTCTGTCAGCGGTGGTTCACGTCCAGACTCTAATGTTCACCGTTCACTCAGCGACAGTCCATTCTACTCTTGAGCCTGACTTCATTGGCATCTGCTAAGTGAGCTAGCACGTTAGTATTGTGAACGTCGATGTCGGTCCGACTGCCTATCTGTAGTAGTGCAATGCCTTCGCCGCTGACATGCGATCGCGTGTTGACTTTCGCTTTGCGCTGCGACAAGGCTTACCTGTGTGGCGGACATCAGTGCCAGAAGTACTGCTTTGAACGTGTGAAATGTATTGCTCCTTCCAATCACAGGGTGGTGGTTGTTGTTGCTGTGGTGCTACTCTGGATGCATTCACCGTACTTTTATTCGCCGCTCCAGAGTTCCGTTCGCTATGTATATTATCAGATGTTTTCAACGACCATTTATGTTGTCGGTATCCGGAAATACTCTAACGCTGCTTCGTAGAGCTATGTTGATTCGTCTCGAAGGCGCATCCTGAAGCGTCATCATTGTCTTCAAAGTCATGCAGTGACCGAAACACGAGCGTGGCTCGGAAACAATTACATGACAGTGACACCTTAGCATCGCCAAAGCTAGAGTTGACTCTTGTGCAATGTTGTTGAACCGTGAGTTGAGCATGGGCGAACGCGCATTACACGCAGGATGTTGCACCGGATCTCTTGTGGCTGGTTGAGCATGCGATATCCATGTGCCGGGCCACAACACATCGAGATCGCCGGAATGTCAAAAGGTTCCGACCGGCCGGCGGCGACTGCGAGTAGCTAACTCCGCGAACTGCGTCCGGCATGCACGTGACGGACGCGAGCGTGTCTCAGAGAGCTATAAAAGCCGCCACGGTGCTACCGTCGCCCGTTTCCTCTCATCCCGCCGCCATGGTCTGGACTTACTCCTCATCTTCTTAGCTATGCTGTTATCTGTCCTCTATAACTCAAGTATGGTGTCTGTGCCTTTGCCTACGACGTTCTCCAGACTATAGACAATGATCGCGGCGACGGGTGGAAAAATTCGACGCGTCCATTCTCGACCTACGTTAATATTGGCAAGTCCCTCGGACGCAGGAAGCAAACGACGACTGCAAAGGCAAATACCGTAGCCTTGCTAAACCGCGAATGCTCTGTATCTCCGGTCTACGTCGGCGTTCGAACTTGGCCACATTGGGCGGACGACTTTAAAAGACTGAAGGACCATTCAAACGGAAGATTAGGGGAGGTACGGCATGACCGCACTCAAGATGCAGATCTCAAGTCTTATGATTGGAATACTCAAGATCACAACACTCGAGCAAGACTGAAGAGTCAAGGTGCAAGGCTCAACATAAAGAGGCTCAAGTTCGCACTTGGTGCTCAAGATGGTCGAAGGCATGACTGCAGACTCCGCGGAAGGAGCGAAGAATCAAACTCAGGTTGTGCATGATGCAAGATGGATAGTATGTGGACGAAATGCGACGCGCTAGACGGCCAAGAAAGAAGGCAAACCCGAATGCAAGCCTCAAGACACAAGGACAGAACGGGCCAGACTCGAAGTGAGAGTCGAGCTAACCCTCAAGACGCAGTGGGAAACACGCGATGTGATAGAAGTTCATTCCAAGACGGCGAGGCTCAAGCGCGCAAGGCTCAAGAGAGCAGGATTCAATGCGCAGAACTGAACACAGCAAGAGTCAAGACTCAAGGCCGCGAAACACAAAATGAGGAGAGAGCGGGAGACCTAGGGCTCGAAATAGCCAAGAGAAGACAGAAGACAGGCGAACTTGAAGGGGTGAAGCCGGATCCTTAAGAATCAAGTCGCAAGGCGGCATAGAAGAGCATGCAGAACACTAATACACATTTTAGGAGGACGACAGAGAGTGCAAGGTGCAAGGCTAAAGATTACAAGAGCCATGATAGAACGAAAGGCGGCAAGACCCTTGGCGAGAAGGCCACACAAGAACGAAGTGCAACACCTTAGGAAGGGAAACTTCGCGCTCAAGATGCAACGAGAACGAAAGGAAAAGAGACGAATAGAAGTAAGGCTCAGACTAGAAGTGCACAGTGGACGACACAAGATATCGTGAAGCTGCTGATTTAAAAAAAAGGCGAGGTAAGCCAAATTCGTGTGGACGATGCGGAAATTGGAGAATGCTAAGTACATTAAACGGATAGATTGCAAGAAACCGACGGGAGAAAAATAGACAATGCAAGTGGCGCGGAGGAAGTCGAGGAGAAGGAAGTCGAGGAGAAAAATTGAAGCTGAGCAAGACATGAGACAGAAGGCCGATGAGATACACGATGGACGAAAAGACTCATGGTGGCAGGAAGAAAACACAAGATATAAGATGTAAGACGGAAGACGGGCACGATGCAAGACTTGAAGTTTGAAGAAGACACAGTCGTGATTCAGAACCGGAGCATCAAAGATAGAGCTAAACACGGAAGAATCACCCCCCCCCCCCCCCCCCAAGCGTTTTGCGAAGGGTCCACTGTTGTGCTTATCTTTCAGGTATCGCGATGTGCTGCATCGTGAGCTACACTCATGATTGCTAGCTCCCATATCAACAGATGAGCACAATATGGCTCGGTGAAGACAGAATGTGAGAATGATTCGCTATTGCCAGGCAGGGACGCGACCGCAAATTGGACGCGTTGCATCACGTGGCCGCGTATGGTGCCCGGCATCCTCTTCATTTATCTCCTCCACGAATGCGCCATAGCACAGCACCGCTTGATGAAGACCTCAGACAACGGATACTCGAGTCTGCTATCGAATGCGGCACTGCAACCCCTATGGCATCGGCGACTAAGACAGAGCCTGCTCGTGGGCGCGGGCGCCTACTGCAACTCTTGCGATCCTTTCGGTTACGCCGAGTCGCAAGTGGACGCTGGTGCTCATCTTGCTCAGTAGGATGTGGAAATGTGACCTCCAGTTCCTGAGAAAGTCCCTTCAAGAAGGAAGCTCACGCTATCGTCCAGAACGGCAGCACTGTCTATGTCATGCGAACTTGAGCGGCCGAGGCTCTTACGACGTTCCCTAGGTGGGGCTCCGCTGGCTCCCCGTCTTCCCTTCTGCACAGACAGCGTCATACAGCCTATCACCTGAAAGCTCGACTCGGACCGAGTGCTTCATCATCCTTTCCTGTCGAACGAAGGTACATAAAGGCGTGGGACGACGCCCCTCTGCACAACTTTCACAATATTCGCAACAGCGGAAGAGATACCAACAACACACATGTCAGGCGTCGGGTCGTCTCTCAAGGGTCGTCTGATTCTCATCACCGGCTGCACGTATGTGGCGAGACAACGCTTGACCATCTCAATTGACATCGTACTCATAATCCCGCAGGGGTGGCATTGGCCAAGCGACAGCGAAAGCCTTTGCCCGTGTTGGCTGCTCGATTGCCATACACTACAACGCTGCATCTTCCAAGGCAAAAGCAGAGACATTGATCAACCACTTGAAAATCCTCGCGCCACCTGACGTCAAGCCCAGATTCGCCGCCTTCCAGGCTGACCTCTCCCGCTACGACGAGGCGCGCCGTCTACACGCTGAGGTCGTGAGCGTCCTGGGGAATCCGGATATCCTCTTCAGCAACCACGGAATCGCAGGCCCGAAGATCGGCCCTGACGGTGACATCAGGGACATCTCTCCAGATATCTTTGAAGAGGTGTGGCGCACGAATACAGGCACGAGCTTTCTGGTAAGCCTGGCAAGCGTTATTGTGTAGTAGACGGCAGCCGACTCGTTCTGCAGCTCGCCCAGCTGTGCGTGCCATACATGGAATCGCAGCACTGGGGCCGCATCATCTTCACGTCAAGGTGCGCTTCGACGCCCCAGCGCTTCATGGTCGGCGTCATCGCTGACTCCTGTTATCTTACAGCGTCGCCGCCGGTAATGGTGGCGTGATTGGACCACACTATGCATCCTCCAAATCCGCTTTGCACGGTCTAGTCCACTGGCTATCTCTTCGCTATGCCAAGGAGGGGATCGTAAGTCTGAGAACTGCATAGTGCGCCGAAGTTTGCTCAAGGGAGGGAACGCACAGACTACCAACGCCATCGCACCGGCCCTGATCGAAGGTAGACGTCACCCTCCGCCAGAGCCCACCCCAGTGCTCACGTCGTCGTCCGTCACCGCAGATACCGCGATGATGGCAAACCCATCACCAGAGGCCAAGAGCAAGATCCCCGTAGGTCGATTGGGAAAGCCGGACGAGATGGCCGACATCGTCTTGCTCCTTGCTTCGAATGGTTATATGACCAACAAGGCGCGTTGGTTGTTGGAGACCGCTTGCCACGCCTGTGCTAACGATTATCACCACTCGTTAGGTCATCGTTGCCGATGGAGGGTGGACGATCGGCGGCTTCTGAGAAGGCACGAGCTTCAGAGAGCGAGCGGAAGAGAATAGTTGATACAGTATGCATGCATGGTCGCAATATATAGTGTACAATAAGTGAGCCCCGAAGCCAGATAGTCCACAAAGAAAGCAGATGGAAAGTCGAGGAAGAGATTATCACGATCATGCGATATCAGGCAAGTGACGGTATCAGGGAAATAAATAGCAATCAGCCAGCCGACCTATCGACCAGGAGATGAGGTAGGCTTGTTGTTTATTAGCCCGTGCGCCTCCGTGATTTCGTTGAGTTTCTGATTCCGTCTGTTCTCCAAATCGAGCTGGCGCTGGAGACTCCTGTATGCACGAATCGTTAGCGCAGAGAATGCAAAGCGGAGAAAGGACTACCACCGACTTCATCTGCAACTCCAGCTCATACACGCGCTCCTTCGCACCTTGGCGCTCGCGCTTGACGGCCTCCTCCGCTTTCTTCAGCCGCGCCTCGTACTCGCGCACGCGCACCTCCCACTTGTTGTCCGCGACGGATGTCTTCTCGTTCATCGTGGTCAGCTTCTCCTCGGCGGACAGGAGCTGATTCTGCAAGTTGGTGATGCGCCGCTCGGCGTTCATAGCACGGGCTGTAAGCGCACGCACTTCCGACGAGTCACCTTGTCCCGGTTTCTTCATGCTCACAAGCTGGGATTGCAGGTCTGAGTTTGTGGACTGCAGGGAACCGTACTGGCGTCAGGGATGTCCTGAACAGTGTGTTAAATGACCGACCTTTAGCGCCTCGACTTCACCCTCCTTCGTGCTCAGCTTCTTGCGCCAGGTCGCCTTCTGCTCTGCGACTGTCTTCACACTCGCTTCGAACCTGTCAATCTGCTTCCATCGGTAGTCAAGCTGCTTCCTCATGTCGCCTATCTTCTCCGTGTATCTACCCTCAGCTTCTTTGACGCGCTTCTCGAAGATCAGCTGGATGTCGCTGAGAGATTTCAGGCGGGAGATGAGGTTGTCGTGGAAGACGCTAAAGTTCGTGAAGGGCTTGGTCTCTGCTTGACCATGTTTCTTCTGTGTGTGAATGATGTAGCGTCCGTGGGATACGAGCCAAGAGTTGTTAAACGTACCGGAGTCTTGTCAACGCCGAGAATCTTATCCATATACTGGTAGATCGTCAGCAACAAGGTATTCCGTTCAGTCAACTGGTCGCGGTACTGCGATTCAGCAGTCAACAACGACCGCTGATCCTTCGCCAGCCGCTGCTCCAGCTCTGCCACCCTTGAGCGGAACGTCGAAAGCTCAGCCTCGGCGGTCTTCAAATTCGCTAACGTCTCATCCAGCTTTTCCGAGACATTCAACCTCGCCTGGGTCTGAGAAGCGAGCTGCGACGCGAGGTCGCGGTTCTCCACATGTAGCTTGTCGATCACAGCGTCACGCTCGTGGCCCCTTCCCTCGCGATCCTCCAGCTCCTTGCGAGCACGAGATAGCTCGTCTTCAAGACGCTCCAGGTCGCGTTTCAGGCGGTCAACCTCGAGCTGCAGTGAGAACCGGGCGGTCGTGTGCGACTCGCCCAGTTTCTTCGATTCGGCCTCGAAGGTCTCAAGCGCGGTCTGCACCGCAGAAAGGTCGGTTTCGCGCTGCGCGAGGAGGGACTGCGTGCGCGCAAGGTCGTTGAGGGCTGACTGCAGCGCTGACTCCTTGGCCTCGACAGCCCGATGCTCCTTTCGAAGAGCGGTGTCGTGTTCTTGTTCAGCATTCCTGAGGTCCGTGTTTAGACGCTCACGCCCACTGCGTTCCAGCTGGATCTCCTCGACGAGGTTTTCGACATGCTGAGCGAGTTCCTCCGAGCGGGAGCGGTACTCTTCGACCTCCTGGCTACGGGCATCGTAGTTCTCGGTCATTTCTTCGAGCTGCGCCCTTAGCGTGTTGATTTTCTAGGACAAGGGGCGGTCCTGAGTATGACGAATGCAAACGCTACTTTGGCGTACCTCTTTGAGAGCAGCCGCGAGAGCTTCGAGACGTTCCCTCTCTGCAGCCTCGTCCTCTCTCGTCCTCTCGCTCTGCTCCTTGAGATGCTCATTCTCCTCCTCGAGGGCATAGACTTGCCCACCGAGCTTCTCGATCTCACGGTTGGCCGCTTCAATCTCAACGTCCTTCTCGTCGGACTCCCGCTGGATGTGCTCCAAAGCGGCCTCGAACTTCCCATGCAGTTCGTTGAGTTCCGTCTCGAGATCTGTGATATGTATCCGCAGGTCTTTCGTCTCTTGTTCGCGCTCCTGCAGAGCCTACAGACGATCGCTTGAGTAACGGGAAGTGCGGGGCATGCCAACACACTCACATCTTTCAGCTCCTCTACCTGCCCCCTTGACTCTTCCATCTCACCTCGCCACTCATCATCAATGGTCTCCACTATCCGCGTGTGCTCCGACACCAACTCCTCAATCTCCCGGTTCTTCATGTCAATATCATCTTCCTTCTGCTGCAGTTCGATATGAGCCGCGGCCAGTTTGTCTCTGACCGCATTCAGGTCGTCCTCAACTGCCGCACGCTCTTCTTGCTCCTCTATGATCTGTGCACGGCTCTCGCTCCGCTCTATCGACTCGGCCTCGCGCCTACGGCGCAACTCTTCATTCTCCAGCTTCAGCGCTTCAACCATATCGGCCAAATCCTCCTTCTCGTCGTTCCTGCGTGTCACCTGCTCCTCGAGGTCGTCTATCTTCAACCGGAGATTTTCATTGTCTTCCTCCAGTTCCGCCGCGCGCTGCTCCCACTGGCCCTCGTTCGTCACCCCGCGTCTCCGCCTCTCTTCCGCTTCCTTCAGCTGATCTAGCTCCTCGGTGCACACATCCAAAAGCCCACGGGCAGCATCAAGCTCACCTTGAAGGTGCGCGTTGTGCTCCTCGAGGTCACGCAGTGTGCCATCGTCTGGGCCGACAGCTCGCCTCCGCCGGAGCTCCCTGATCTCCCGCTCTCGCTCCTCCAGCTTCTCCTCCAGTTCCCGCGCCCGAGCCTGCGCACTGCCCGAGCCGCGCTGTAGCCGTTCCAGCTCCCGCTCTAGCTCCAACACTAGTTTCTTGAGCTTCTTCATCTCCATTCCACGTTGCTGCACCTCGATTTTGAGGTTGATGTTCTGTTTCAGCGCGGCATCAATCTGGTCGGGCGCGAGCTGGGCGAGCCGCTCTTCGAGGAAGTGGACTTTCAACTTGATGTTGAAGTTTTCCTTCTTCAAGCTGTCGATGTGCTATGTGAGGCACAATGAAACAGCTGGCCAAATTAGAATGCATTAGAAGGGGACTTCAACGCCACCCACCTTCTCTTGATCTCGCAACGTAAGGTTGGTTCCTTTACCACCTGCACTACGTGTCCGCTTCGTTTGACCAGGAGCAGGAGTATCGATGACCTCGTCCCAACGTTTTTCCTGAGCAGGAGTCTCGAGGTAAGCGGGATTTCCTTCCTCGCCCTCTTCCTCGAGATTCTGGAGCCCAAATCGTCTCGCAGCCGGTATTACCTCGTCTGTCCTCCGCCTTGACCCCATTGGTATTGGCATCGGTGGAGAAGGCGTGGCAATCGGTGCAGAAGATGTTGTCTGAGACGATCCGGAGAACTTCCTAAGACCCCATCCTGGCGTAGAGAACCCCGAGGCTAGCGAGTTGAGAGAGAGGTCCGCTATGCCAGGTGACGAATCAGCCTTGCTGTTGAGCGCTGCAGACATTCTGCGCGCGTATAACTATCTTAGAGACAATGTACAAGATAGCGTGCTATGCGACGAGACCAAGGAGCGAGTATGAATGGCAGTAAGTGAGCAACAGGTTGAAACGTTGGGAAGAACGCGCCCTAAGCGTTGATCACGTGCTTCGCGTTCCAAGCTTCAGCCACATTGGCATACTCAAGCCTCTTGCCTTCGCCAGTACTTGCTCTGCTGCCTCATTGTGGTTCTGGGTGTATGGACTGTGCGTCAATAGTGGCTGAATGCTCTGTTCTAGCCAGCGTTCCGGCAAACCCTCGGGTTTCACCTCGATCTTTTTGTCGCAATCATTGATGCAGGCGCCCATTAGTGGTCTTATCCCGCGACTCTGCGACGCAGGCAATCTTCCGTGACACACCACGCTGAGACCTGTCCGTGTTGAGGCCAGCATGTCCTACCTGCCCAACTTTCCGCTAGTTCCGTTCATTCTCGCTGCGTCTTTGGGCATCCATGGTCTCCGGAAGCGGTCACTCTCGCCTTCAGGCTCGCTAAGTGCGTTCGTCGTCGGCTTCACCATGATGTCCGTGCCGCTGCGCGCGTTCGGCGTGTCTCTCATCGTATTCTACCTCATCGGATCGCGTGCGACCAAGGTGGGCAAACAGCGCAAGGCCCAACTCGAGGAGGGTCACCAGGAGGCGGGGTATCGTACTGCGGCGCAGGTGCTCTGCAACTCCGCGCCTGCCTTCGTCGCAAGCCTGCTTTGGAGCGCCTTGTTCGCGCCCAACTCATTCATATCGAAGTTTGTTGGAAATACGGTGACATATGAGACTCCATATGACCCTGTTGCTTGGTGTCCCCTGATTCCACCGCCGTCCGCCCAGTGGAGCCGCCCTCTATTGTTCGTGACGCTCGGGTACGTCCCTTTCAGTCAACCTCTCCGAGATGCAACAATGCATTAACGCGCTTGTGAAGGCACTTTGCGTGCTGCCTGGGTGATACCCTCGCGTCGGAACTCGGCATTCTCTCCCGCTCTCCTCCCATCCTCATCACCACCCTGAAACCTGTACCCCCAGGAACAAATGGCGGTATGTCTGCTGTTGGCACGCTTGCTTCTCTCGGCGGCGGGCTTTTGATGGCATTGACGCTGGTGGCGTCTCTGCTCATTGAGAGCAGTGCCTGTAGGGCACGTTGGACAGATGTTGCGCTGCCTGTAGTGTGTTGGGGTATCGCTGCTGGCGGTTTAGGCTCTTTGGTGCGTTTTTCGCCGTTTTATTAGCGAAATATCATGACCAGTGTGCGTGACCTAGCTTGACTCTCTGATGGGCGCGACAATTCAACGCACGCGCTATTCCAACACGTCGAAGCGCATTCTCACGGACGAAGGTTCTGAGTCTGGTGCCGATTCAGACATCAAGGTCGTCAGCGGGCTCGATATTCTTACCAACAATCAGGTAATTCCACCATTGCTTGTGTCGTTGGGTATCAACGCTGACCTGCATGGTCTTCAGGTGAACTTGCTTTCGTCAATTGTGGTTGCACTTGTCCTCGGTGCGATCGCTTGAGCACTCCATCTTGTGCATATTAAGGGCAATGTCATGGACACCGCAATGCAATACAGATAAAGGCTGGAGCTTGGAACGACTCGTCAAGGGTTTCGGTTGCTCCGATGCCTCAAGTCCTGAGTCCCGACTGCGTGTCTATCTGTAAGCACGCTCTATCGGCCACTAGCTAATGGCGAGCTGTTTTGTTATGAGCTAATTCTTAGACGTCTCGGGGGCCTCCTTCTCGGATCTTCCTGTGAACCTGAGAGTTTTTGTGCGACAACAGCAAATCGTTGGTCTTTTCTCCGTGGGTCATGGGCGTTCAGTGCAACCCTAACCTGTTCGCAATACAATGCGGACCGTCTTGTCCCCCTTGTTCCTTGTTTAGTCTAAAGTTTGCTGCCTCATGCTACGAATGACTGATTGAGCATCTGATGCAATGCGCCATGATGATCTCATGCTGGCGCTGAGAGCTTGCCGGGAGCCAGATAACATGGCAGCCGTGTATACCCATTTGTCAATGAGTTCTGCTGCATCGTTGCCGTGTGTGTTGGACACAAGCCAGTTGTGGGCCCCTTGTGGGACCTCTTGCGGTGGGCTTCGTCCCTGGTGAGATGACTGCGTACCCCGCACCGATCGATTACGCGAAATGCGGATCACGGCCGAGCAAGCTTTCCCTCCCGCGCACTCTTGGTTCGCCTCCGTGTGCATTACGTCCAACATCGTTTCGCTTAGCGGCGAGCGTTCGGCTGTGGTGCTCTCGTATCGCGAAGGCTTCTTTCCTGTTTAGCGCGATTGCACGTTTGCACTACGTAAGTTTGATGCAGGGGAGTCCATGATTGCGAAGGCGGCTTATGTGGGCAGTCCCCTTCTATCCGTGGGTATCGATGATCATCAAGATAGGTAGCAGCGTCCAGATTATTCTGACGGATTGCTTACTCTGGTTTGGTGAGCGATTCTGCCTCGAGCTGGCCGCATGTCCGAGCACTGCCTTGACTGATTAGGATCCGGCGTGGCGTGCGCCCCTGCGTGGTGCGGAGATGCGTTGATTTTGTGATGCGAGCGTCTTGCATGAAACTGATACAGTGTCGCGTGCCGAGGAGGCTGTGAACCATGGCCTCACCGTCAGAGTTATCGAGTGCAACAATTGTCCACTGTTCTCCGGGTGTAGTAGCACCACCGGCCAATTTCACGACGTGTAGACGTAAGTGCGGGTTTTCCAGGTTCATCTGGCCAAACAAGCGGGCAGATAGTACTCGAGATATACATGTACGTATGGCTGCAACGAATGGATCGATGAAAAGAAGGAACACACGGAAGCAAATTGAGACGAGTGGTGGCGGTGGCGGGGGTCCCCGTGGTAGGCACGGGCAGTATTGAGTAACATGCGGAGACTGCCATGTCGGGCTCCAGCTGGTCGAGCTGTCCGTCCTCCTCCCCTCCAGTCTCCCAGCTGGCCCTGCATCGTCGGGTTCCCTGAGTTTGAGGTCGTCTCTGACACTTTCTAGCTCTGGACGATGTCTGTGTAAATTTCCCGGCCTCAACTTTCCCGCAGTCGGTCGATCACCTTGTCAGTTCTCTCCGCTGCTGTGTCGAGCAGTGCTTTTTCTATGCGTTGGCAGACCTGCTCACGATGCTTTTTCTATGCAGTGTTGGCATCACGCATCGGCAGTATAATGAACACGTATATGGCTTTGCAATCTTCCGCTAACGACAGCTATTCTCTTGGGACGTGCCACGACCACTTCTCTCCAGCAGTACCACACCTACCGGACACCTGTTCCTCCCAAGACGCGTCAGATTCTACTCCAGATACGTGTTCCCTTATTGCCGACCCGTGCTGCCCCTCTGTTCACGACAACGAACTCGCGCCACACCTGACCGAGCCACTGCGAGAAACCACGCCGCTCTGCCGCGTTGTACTTTCTTCCAAAGCATACCCTTCGCCCCCTCTTACCGGTTCCGCGTTGCGCGCGAGTGTTCCCCTGCCAGAAACTTACGACGCGAGTTGCACAGACTATTCCATGCACGACGACCCGCAAGAGTGTGCGGCACGCGAGCCGTTTGGCTCTGCTGAGCCACTCTCGCCTCCTCCGACATATTTGCTTGGTACGCTGGACCTCCCCCAGATTGACTCGGCAGACGACACACCGTTCTCAGATAGCTTTCCTGGTCCGAGGCCATATCATTTGACTTCTGACGAGGAACAGCGAACTGGTGCTCCATCTAATTGGCGGGGTATACGACGAACAATGACTAGTCCGACCCTTCTCGGGCAGCCATCCAGTTCATCTATGTCGCGAGCTCTCCGAAGAGGATGGTCTTTTGAAGAGAGTCCATCCGACATGGCTACTGCCCGGATAGCTGGCACCCTCACGGATCACAATCATACGTCTCCGCATGCTGGTCCTGTACTTTCCGGATTGTTGCCACAGCAAAAATTTGCCTTGGATAGGCCACTGATTCACCATGACGACTGCAACGCCTATGCAAGGATTGAACCCGCGTCTTTGTGGGTCCCTAGCTCTCCTCTCAATATAAATGGCCGCTTGGGGTTCGATCACTACACGTCTCTCAATCCCGCAATGGCGATGCAGGATTGTCACCCCGGCTCGCCGTTCTCTGAGGCGCCTATGCAGTTTCTGCCACCCGATAGCACGCCAAGCGTGAGCAGCATGGGTTGGTCTACGAGCAGCGAACGAGACGGCGACTTCTCCCCTCCCAGCTCCCCGCTGCCTCGTTCGCTAACTCTGGACTTGGCTGATCTGGACCAGCTGCATTCGGATGACCTGCGCCAAACTGGCCCTGCTCGTGCTCACCTTACTCGGTCTGCAACTTTCCCCTTCGGTGAGGCAGACCGCCGAACAAGTAGCTTGTGGCTCGATCACAGCGATGAACAACTTCATGGAGACATGCATTACCGCGATATCCGTCCATCGGATATGATGATTGACGACGAATCGCCACCCCTTTCACCTCAGTTGCCCGGGATCAACCTACTTCCGACCAACTCAGATTCAGATGACTCCTACGATTCTTTTCCCGACTCAGTGATACCGCGTGCAGAGGATACCTGGACACCCCCAATCGCATCTCCGTCTCCCTCAAGACGACATTTTCTCGACCTGCACAGCACACAAGATGATCACCTCTGCGTTACCCCCATTCCCTGTTCTCCACATAACTTCCTTTCGTCACTGCCCGATGCTCACATGGACGATGATTTGCTTGACGCGCCACCCTCCCCTGGTTCGCCTCACATTGGCCTGCCCCTCCTAGCCGACGACCTTCCGCGACACCCGCAAGATGAGTTTATGGAAGGAACAGTTGCGCCATCACTGATCACCCCTCCTCCGTCTGCTAGCGACCAGGACGGTCTAGGTCTGTTCTTGCAACCTATCTCGGTCGATCCGCCACTGGCACGATCGCCGTCGCCCGATGACGACGATTTGCAGTTCCTCGACGTTCAGCTCGATCCTGCGTCAACCAACCTCGAGGTCGGCGAGTTCCTTCAGCTTCGCGCGATCCGCAAGCGAGCGCTCTCCGCCGAACGCGACGCACGATGTGCCGAGGCGGAGTACAGCGAGCACGTCAGCGCCGCGTCGAATGCGCTTCTGCCGCCACAGCAGACTGAAGGTTCCGAAGTACCCATACCAGAGGAGCTAGACGCGGATGAGAAACGCACACGGAAGCGCGACCTGCACATTGCCATGGACATGCGCGCGGAGGCGCGACGGATCCGCAAGCGGGAGAAGCAGCGGAGCAAGGAGGTGGGCGCGCTGCTCGACCTGAAGATGGAGCGCGGCGTATGCCCTGGGAGCGGCTTGACGCGGAGCATTGCCCAGCTTGTCGCCAACATGGTGCTGCGGCGGAGAGACACGTTTCGCCCGCTCGCGAATCGAAAACCGGGCATGGCGGCGCGGCCGTACATGCGGTCGGCGTTGTTCCAGTCCGTGTCCTTGGAAGAACTTGTGCAAGAGGATGACATGGACATCACAGAGGACTATTAGGTCGTACGGGGTCGGACCTTGGCCAGCAACGAGTTGGAAGTAAAATGGTGAGCGTCGTCCCGCGTGTGTCTAACGCGTTGGTGGAACGCCCGTTATTTATAGTTACTTATCCGCAGGTTGGAACGACAATGAACTGTACAGTATCACCCGTCCCGTCCATGCACGCACTTGTAGCTTTTAGTGTCATCATAATCCTCACCCATCTCGCACATACCCTGCTTGATCTATCTGACTTTATGCCATCATCATTGGTTGGTTGCTTGTTGTTCGTTGGAGGCATGGTATCTATGTAAGTAAGTACTAGGCAGGTTATGAGTATGAGCGCATCTGGCTGGTACAGATATATGGTAAGCGGCCCAATAGATATAAGAAACTCCAACGTAGATCATTGTGGTTAACGTTCGCCCTGCATCTCTTCCGGTTCGTAGTCTGCTTCATCCTTGACGTGCCCGCGATGAAGAAAGGATGAGGCGCGCTCGAGCAAAGTCTCTTTTTCGGGATGGTCATCCGGGGAGAGGTCCTCGGGGCTGATTCCACGTTTGGACATCGCATACGCCCGGCAGGCATCCGTGCTCCGCTGGAGTGCAGGATCCATATAGTCATAGGTGACGACTGCGAATCCAGGGAGGTTGTACTCGAGCAGCGCCTTTACGGCGGGGAGCATGGCACAGTCGGGAGCGTACGTACCCGACTTGTTGTCGACGACAAGCTCCCATTCGACGTCCTCGTCGCGCATCTCATCTTGAAAGTTCTCCCACCCGCCCTTGGGCCGCGGATGGAACTCGCCCGAAAAGCGTACAGCCTCGGCACAGTTCGAGTGCAGAGCATGCTTGGACGCCATGTTGACGAGGAACTTTGCGCCCGTCTCGGAGAAGCGCCACGAATCGTCGTCGACGGCAATGACATACGTGTATGTGGCGGGTTTGATGCGGTGTACGAACGGGTTGCGCGCGCTGGGTCCGCTCTCGTCGCGTGCGGCGTGCCCGTGGAAGAGGTGGTGAACGTCTTCGGGGCCGTCGATGAAGCCGAACCCATTCGACACGGTGCGCGCGTACAGCATGCGGTGGCCGGTGTGGATGACGGTGCGGATGGCAAGCGCGGTAGGCCCTTGGAAGATGGAGCGCGCCTTGGCGTAGTCGCGGTTCCAGTGTTGGACACTGTCGCCGAAGAAGCGGTGCACGCCCTTGATGTACACCTTCCAGGTCGTGTATAGTCGGCTGTCGGCCTGCGTCAGGCGGCCGACAGTGGGCGAGTAGTGGGTCGAGTAACGGACGGGGCCGTCGAAGTCGTACGGAAAGTCGCTCGCTGCGGGGTCCCTTGATGGCATGATCTCTATCTGGCGCAGCGTCGTGAGCAAGCTGCAGAGGTAGGACGGGACACAACCTCACATTGAGGCGGAACGTGCCTCTGTTCCGCTTGAGGGCCCTGTCCTCTATTCTAAACTCAGTCTCGCCGGGTGTGACCGCGGTGAGGAAATGCCCGATGTAGTCATCGGTGAGGCTGTTGCTATCCTTGTCCATGACCTCCACCGTGAGGGTCGAATTGTGTGGCACATTTCTGACCCTCCACACCTCATTCCATACTGGCGAGCGTGTGCTGGTGATCACCGCCGAGCTAAGATGGTAATCAACTCCGAGGGTACTCCTGGAGATAGCAACAATAGCGCACATGTACGATATCTTGTTATCGAGCCGCGCGACGAAGTACGGATCGGCGCTGCCGACGACATCCATCTTCGGCAGGCCGGACGCGGAGACGAAGTGGACAGTGAGGTCAACAAAGTCCATTTCGAATGGCTTGCCCTGCGCGAGGGACTCGGCGGTGGCCGCGGCGAGCGGGTCGGGCGGCTCGAGCTTGGACCTGCTGGTGACGGCGGCCTGCACGCGGTCTATTATACTGGATATCTGCAGCGGATTCTTGTGACCTGGCATGCAACGGCGTGAGGAAGGCGTTCGTAAAGGGGCATGGAGAGTAGAGTACTTTTACGGGATGAGAGCGTCAATGGAGTGTATCGCTTTCTAGAGCGCTTCCCGACGAGGGCCAAGTACTCTTCGGCCACACAGCCACAATCTCGTGAATAAAAGTCCTACGTTCTAAAACAATAAAACTCTAACATAATTAATGCGACGACGCCCTGAGCCTGAAATACTAGTATCCTCCGGATGCTCGATCAGTCATACGCAGTTGCGCAGCCCCCTAAACACCAGACTGCGGATGCAAATATTAATATTCTGGATCCTGATGCCCGTTCTGGCCAATGCGAGGAGTAAGTTGCATGCAACGCTGGCAGAACGTCCGTCACTCCGAGAGACAAACGAGCAATTGAGTACATCTGAGACGGTCGGAACGATACCTGGATGCCGCTTCACTAGTAGGCCGCACAGACAAAGCGAGAGTCAAGACGCGGTCACATGATCAGTGGCAAACACGTCCCGGAGCAAGTCGACGAACGCGAGCGCGACGAGATCGCTAGTATCGGGTTGCGGCCTCATCTGGGACATGCAGTCAAAGCCCATTTCGAAAGGAGAGTACAGGCTGTAAAACGAATATCTGACAATGGCTTGTACCTGACGGAGGAGAACAGAATCTAGTACTAGAGATCTATGAGTGATCACAAGGGCGAGCAAGCAGCGTGATGAACTGACATTGGCATCTGACAGGAAGTAAGGACAGATCGACAAGACATGTCCGGCCAGACAACATGGTTGTCCTCGAGAAGGACGAGACCGTGTCAAGGGAGGAGCCGATCTGCAAGCCTCTGACAGCGTCAGCCATGTCAGCCTCACTGTCAGCCACCCGCGCTGCACTCATAATCCATCCTCATCCTGTCTCGCTCTCCTCGGAGTGGCTTCTTCTTCTTCCTTCACGACCTCTCCGCCAACTTGTTTATTTTCTCTTTGCTTCTCCACTAAACGGAGGCCTCTCGCTCGCCGAAGGCACTTGACCCCCTCGCTCTGGGCACCGAGCACCCGCCAGGCCTGCTAGCCGTCACGCCTGGCAATATACCCCTTTCGTTTCGATTTTCTTCTCGGTTCCGTTGGTCAGTATTGCTGTTCGTTCACTACGATTTCCGACTGACACTCTCGTGGAAAACTGCAAAAGCCCCGGCATCCTCGCGACGTCGGATATACATCGTCATATCTTCCTTGGGTCAGCTGCTGTATTCTGGGTCTTATGTCTCTCGCTATCAACGCGGCGGCTCGTCCATCGTTTCTTCATCTGGGTCAATCGTCGTCTCCTGGGTCTTACGGTTCCTCGCTACAGCGGCCGGTCCGCTCTGCTTTCGCAAGCTATTCGGTTCCTCTGTCTCACGGCTCTCTTATCCTTATTTATTGGTGGTGATCTGGGAGGATACGCTGGGTATGTTTCCGCAATCAAACTCATATTTTATGAGGACACTCACATTCATCGCCCATTACGCAGTCGTCCATTCTCGCAGTCATCACGTCGAGGACCTCCTCGGCTTCCATCGGCTCGCCTAGGAGGGCGAAGAAGGGATGAGGTTGGGGAGAGTGGTCAAAGACTTGGAGAAGAACTCCAAGCATCACGGGAAGCTAAGGAAGGGAAGGATGTGTCATGGAGTTTGGCGTTGGCCTTTGACGTCGGAAAGAGTGAAGGTTTGGAGAGCGTGGTTGAGGGTTCAAGGTAAGGCTTTGGGCACTCAAGAGACAGGTACGGACTCGGAGATATACGGACTCTACAGAGCGAGTAACGGACTCAGAGATGTTGTCAGACTAGCGGACTGATACAGGACTTGGATTCAAATGCAATGTAGACATACGTAGCAAACGTTATTTCAAGCTGGTACTTGACACGTGGCTTAATTCATGGCGCAGGACGACGTTGCGTACTCGAAGTTCAAGCTCAAGCACCAGCCTCCCAGCAAGAGCACAAAATGCTGACTAGCCAGACGAGAAAGAATCATGTCGCAAGCAGGCGAATAAGATAAATGTAATCGGGGACCATGAGAGGACATTGCGGGTCAACATAGGGCGAAAGAGGAGGATGAGATGAAGGATGCAAGATGTCCTGAACAAAGTGTCCTGAGAACGCGTTCTGCTAAGATAGTACAGTAGACGCCCGCCCTCTTTCCGTGCGCTGGATGCCCAACTTTTGTCTGCGATGTCTGCGCCGACTCTCAGCTGCGGTGCTGTAGCTCAGACAGCTTGTGTTTTCCTTGATCTACTCTGTGATCCAATGTGGAGACATCTCTGTATGTCAGTGAACATTAAAGTCATCGCTTTTGCTGGCACTTACTGCAAGAGACTCCAGCAGGAAGGCTACCGCTGACGACGTAGTCGCATGAAAGGCAACCTTACCTGGGACTGCTTAGGACGCCGACCTTTCTTTGCCTTCCTCCGTGCTCTTAACGTCTCATGATTCATAGTCGGCTGTCATCGTCGGCCAGTTCGACTTTCATCATATCGTCTTCGCTCATTCGCTGCTCAAAGGGCCTGGGATCGCATGAAACCCTGCCGCGCTGCGCGGATGTCTCACAATGAAACATGCTGTCTGCGAGCTCTGTGGAAGGCGGATAAATAGGGATTGAAACCTCCTCTCCTGGCTGCAGCCAACCACATCAGTGATCGCGTCTGATCGCTCATTTCGTTTGTCGCATTTCTCCACTCCCCACTCCGTGGTCCTCCGAGCCAGCGCCAGCCTCCAGGATGGATGAGCAAAAGACAGCCTCTGCCACGGATACTTCGCCATAAATGCATCGCAAACACAGGTGAAGACTGTCTTTATCCGAGGAATGCTGTGGCAACGTCTCATATATCTAACTTCAAACATAGACACATCTCTCATGAGATTAGATGCTATGGGTCTCCCTGATTCACTGGCTCAATATGTCCGAGAGGTGATGATGGTCATATTGTAAGGAACGATTGACTCGTAAGTCTTGTATATGCTATTAGCTGGTGCTCTGCAGTGAACCTCCCCAGTACCCTTAGCTCCCTCAGCCCTGCATGCTATCGGAGACGCGCCCCTTTCACCTCCCTCACCCAGCTGCTATTAGCTGGTGCTCCGTACCCTCTCCAGCTTCCGCCCTTGTCCCTCACAAGTGCTCTTCGCGCCACCATACCGGGCTGCAGCGATGGGCGATGGGGTGCTTGAGCACGACTTGCGGTGAGTGCCAAAGTGCACTGTATTCGCAAGAAGCTCGCCATGTTCACTAGCTTCACCGGATCCCAGCGCTTCGTCTCCCTTTGCAGGTCCTGAATGCGGCTCTCACGCTCAACACCCGGTGCCCTTGCCCTTGCCCTTGCCCGGTGTGTGTTGATCACGAACTCTGTGAGTGCGCCACCTCACTATACGCCGGAGGTTGTCGCGGCGCGGATGAAGTCACACCGCGTCGTGTCGCGCATCAGAGCCCATGTTGTCTAGGACGCGGGATGGGCTGAGAGAAGGCGGGTGGCGGTATCTTCTCCCGTTAGCCTGTATGGTACCAGTAGGTGCTGGAGCCCTGCTGCACGGAGGCTACGCGCGGGGGTACTCTGTCGTCCGAGCGACGACTAGGTTGTTAATCTCTATCGGACCGATAGGTTTAATGACTTGGTTCGCGTCCATGGCAGAGGCTTGCTGTGCTAGCCCGCGGCGACCGCGAGACATCCTTGATAGTTTCAGCAAGAAGGCGCGATGGAAAGATGAGTTGCTCGTCGAGTCTCGTCGAAAACGCGTCGAGGATGGGTGTTGTGATGATGGTGGCAAACGCGATCCGGGCGCCCTTTTATATCCTGAGGAGGAAGCCACCATGGCCTTGGCCACACGAACCGTGGCCTCTGGTTTGCGGCATCTGCGGCCAGCTCCCACATTTGATTGGCTGGCTTAATTTTCTTCCTCTGTGGCCGGGCCACAGACACGGCCACTGTCGACGGCGTATGGCCAGTGGCCGTATTGATGTGCATGTCTTGCGTGCCCAGTTTTCCCATGCATCGGTAGCGGGGAAAGAGTACCCGTTCACGCGTCGAACCGGGCATCCTTCGCTTTCCCTTGTGGCGTACACAGAAACCAACCTCCTCGACTGCTGGGCCTCACGATGAGGTCGGTTCGACCTCACCCCGGTTCATTCTCCAGGTCGCTATTCTTCGAGGTCAATTCTCAACGCTTCAAATGCCATACCTGTTGGGCGAGGTGTATATCCACTTATCGGCATGAGATAGCATCGCTCTGGTACTACTTTCTCGCCTCTTATGTTGTGGGCCGCCGACGTCGAAAGATATTTACAAATGCTTATGTTCTTCCACGTAGGTCCTCACCCGTTTGCAAGGACTACGAACGAAATAACGCATAGTAAATGCTCCACAGCATCCTCTTCTGTATATATTCGTACGCAGGCCGAAACTATGCTCATTTGATGTTGGGCCGATCTTCGCTTGATGACAGTTCAGCGAACCTCGTGGTTAGGCTTCAATGGTAATAGTTCAAGCTGAGTCCTTCTCGTTGCCCTAAAGCTGATGAGGTTCTTCTATATACCAGCGATGGGCTGGCGGGCCTTGTGTCGGACACCTGAGACTTGTTCTTGGATAGAACTTAAAGAGAACTCAGTGCCTTGTACTGGTTCTGTGCGAAGTCGTTTGTCACTATGCCGTTGCGTTTTCCCAATGCTGTAGTCCGAGTCTGAATCTATAAGTCTAGTACGTATTGCAGGGCATGCTCGCAAAGAGCGGTATGCCTATAAGACGGTAATGCGGTCTCATGTAAACGAGTCGCTCAGCTGTCACAGAGCGCCTCGCCGGATGTCGAAATGTCACCGACTGCATTGCAAATATCGGCCTCGTGCTTTTCACTATCATGTCTGCATTCTGCATTCCGAATATCGGAAGCGACCACCTGTGGTTGATTTGTACATGAGATTGCCGTATTCCGTGGTAGTTTTTAGCGTCATGGATCGTAACGATCAGCAGCCACCATGGGCGCTTATTCACTTTTATTATATACAAGCGGCTGTCAAGTACCGCGCTAAATTTCTCACTCGCAGTGTTACGTCGAAGGTCTTTTCGAGCTTGTATTGGCACTTTTGTGATCAGCGAACGTTGCACGATCCGCGGAAAACAGCTATAGCCAGTGACTGGACCAATTTCAGCCACAACGGATCCCTAGACTCCAAAAGAGCAACATCCTGCTTCACTTGCTCCGAATAGCGCATGAACGGTATGCGCCCGGTGTCACATGGGGAGGGAGGTACTCGTCGAGATCAACTGACCACCGTGAGGATGATGTCTGCTTGTGAATTGCGGGCAAGCCGTGCCGTGCCTGCTTCATATGCATAAATACTTGCTACGATGTACGGCATTGCTCAGGAGTCTCTTCTCTTCTCTCCCCACCATGGGACGCGTGTCGCATGCGTTGATAGTGTTCGCCGCGCTCAGCTGTGCATATGGCCAGCTTGTCAGCGAAAGCGTCCTTGATGCATGTCCGGGATACAAGGCAACGAACGTACTGACTAACAGCAGTACGCTAACAGCAAATCTCCTCCTGGCTGGTGTGTGCAACGCTTTTGGGCCGGACATCGAGCAGTTGCTGCTTGAGGTGACATATGAGACCAGTGAGTGAATGCGCACATCATGTAATCGATGCTATGTGTGAACACAAACATCTCACAGACACGCGCATACACGTCAAGATTACTGACCAGACATCACCGCGATACGAGGTGCCTGAGTCCGTGCTGCCTCGTCCAACTGCCAATGCATCCACGACCTCGGAAAGCGCGCTCATCGGCTTCAATTACACAGTTTCACCTTTCCAGTTCTCTATCTATCGCAAGTCCACGTCCGAAGTGCTCTTCTCCACCGCGTCTTACCCCCTCATTTACGAGCCTCAGTATCTCCGAGTAAAGACAAGTCTACCTGACAATGCGAACATATACGGTCTCGGAGAGAGCACGGAGAACTTCCGTCTTCCCACAGACAACCTTACGCGTACCCTGTGGTCGCGCGATGCGTATGGCGTCCCGAACGGCACAAACCTCTACGGAAATCACCCCATCTACTTCGAGCATCGCCTTACGGGGACACATGGAGTGTTCCTACTGAATTCGAACGGCATGGATATCAAGATCAACACCACAGAGGAGGATGGGACGACGCTGGAATACAATGTGATCGGAGGCGTCCTGGATTTCTATTTCCTTGCTGGCAGTGAGACCGATCCGACCGAGGTAGTCAGGCAGTATGCCGAAGTGGTCGGCACGCCTGCTGAGGTGCCGTACTGGTCCTTCGGTCTGCATCAATGCCGCTATGGATACACTGGTACGCATCTTTGTAGTTGCCCGTCATCTCACAGGCTTAAGGCTTGTCGCGCAGACTTTGTGGAGGTCGCAGGCGTGATCACCAACTATTCGCTTGCTGAAATACCTCTTGAGACAATGTGGACCGACATTGGTGAGTGCTCCTTCTATAATGCTCTAAACAAGCTGTTCTCACCGGTCTTGCAGACTACATGTATAATCGCCGCATTTTTACTGTCGATCCTGACTACTTCCCTTTGCCGAGAATGCGCGAAATCATTGATTACCTGCATACACACGATCAACACTACAGTAAGTTTACTCAATGTCGCTGAACCGCTCGATCGATACATGTCCGACAGTTCTCATGAACGACCCTGCTATCGCGTACGCGCCCGACGAGGGCTACAGGACATTCGATCGCGGTTCGACAGATGATGTTTGGTTGAAGGCAGAGAATGGCAGCTATTTCTTGGGAGTCGTGTGGCCTGGTACATTTGAGTCCCCTCACCGCCATGAGAGACTTATTAACGTGCAAATGGCTTGGGATAGGTGTGACTGTCTTCCCCGGTAGGCCTTCCACGATTATCAGAGAGGCGTAAACCATTAATCTCAATCCACTGCAGATTGGTTCAGTCCATTGGCGCAATAGTGAGTTAAGGTTTATGATGTCCCTATATGCGAGATTCTGATGGCATCATAGCTTCTGGACGAACGAGTTTCAGCTATTCTACAATCCCGAGAACGGCCTGGACATTGACGGTGCATGGATCGACATGAACGAGCCATCGAGCGTACGCCCACTGCAGCACTTTCATACGAATGTAATGATTGATTTTGAGCATAGTTCTGCGTCTTCCCATGCAATGATCCCTTCGCACAGGCAAGAGAGGGTGATGATCCTCCAGCGCGCACCACGCTGCCCCCAGACCCTAACACTCCGATATTCGTTAATTCAAGTTCGGACACATTGCTGACGAAGAGGCAGTATGATAGTAGGGAAAACGTGCTCAACCCTCCGTATATGATCCAGAATGCTGCGGGCGTATTATCTGACAAGACGGCGTATGTGAGTACCTGTGTCCTTTAGGACTGTCATCTAAGCCTCAACGCATTGTGATCTAGACCAATGCGAAGCATGCTAACGGTTTGATCGAGTACGACACTCGTACGTACCTTCTCATTAGATCCAAATGCACTGGCACCCATCATGCATACTGTTTCTTAGACAACCTCTTCGGAACGATGATGTCAGCGGTCACGCACAATGCCATGCTGGCGCGCCGACCCGGCCTGCGCACGCTTGTTGTAACGCGTTCGACGTTTGCTGGAGCCGGGACAAAAGTGCAGAAATGGCTCGGCGATAACCTGAGCGATTGGGAGCATTACCAAAACTCGATCGCGGGTATTCTCAGCATGGCGAGTATATTCCATGTACCGATGGTCGGTGCCGATATTTGTGGATATGGTGGGTTGCCCCGTCGTCGCATAACTGGAACGTTGCTGAAGTCAGGAATCAGCCGATAACACCACGGAGCCGTTGTGCGCGCGATGGGCCATGCTTGGCGCATTCTACCCGTTCATGCGCAACGTGAGCCATGAATACAACTCGTTCAGAAAGTGAGACTGACCCTTCCGCGATTGGCAGCACAACACCGTGGGGACCATCAATCAAGAGTTCTATCGCTGGCCAACCGTGGCACAGGCTGCAAAGAATGCTCTTGATATGAGGTATGCGACAGTAGTTGTCTTTCCAGGGTCATGGGCTAATTATCTGGCTCAGATACCGCTTGATGGACTACATTTACACGGCCTTCCATCAGGATCATCTCGATGGCACGCCGATTCTTCACCCCCTGTGGTACAAGTACCCTCAGGACGAGAATACATTCGGCATTGATCTGCAGTTCCTTTACGGCGACTTCATCCTGGTTTCACCTGTTACTGAGGAAAACGCGACGTCTGTCAGCATCTATCTCCCCGACGACGTCTTTTACGACTTCCTGACGTACGAGCCGGTCCAAGGCAACGCAAGCTACGTCGAGGTCCACAACGTCAACTTGACCTCGATATCGATTCATATACGTGGCGGTGCCGTCTTACCCCTTCGTGCGCAGGGTGCCATGACCACTACTGCCCTCCGAAAGGAGAACTTTGACCTGGTGGTAGCACCGGGGTTTAACGGCGAAGCGTGGGGGACCCTGTACATGGATGACGGTGTCTCGATCACGCCAAATGCCACAACAGAAGTAAGTATGGCGTACAAGAACGGCACACTCACTGTCGCAGGCACCTTTGGGTATGAAACTTGCGTGAATGTGTCGAGTGTGCTGTTCCTGGGTATCGACAAAGCTCCAGGATCTGTACAGGTTAATGGGCAGGATGCTGTTTCAGGGACTCACGATTCAGTCCGTAAAGTCTTCACTGTTCCGATCAATCTTCCGTTCGACCAAGACTTCTCTGTAAAACTCTACTAGCCTTACGCTTGGTACTATCGCGGAGCTTTGTAGTTGTCTCGTACTGGGTTAACAATGTTGTCACTCGGACTGTTTAACTGTGACGAAGATAAGAGTTGCGATTGCCGAAGATGAAGTACAACAATACATTGAGCTAAAAGTACAGAACAGAGAGACTCATGAATCATCGAGCATTCTGCGAAACATCGCCCCAAATAGGATCTGCATGCCCTTGGATCCCACCTTCTCATTCAACTCATCGAGTTTACCGAGTTTCCCTTGCTTCAACGCCTCGGTCAATGCTTGCACGTTGGCTGACGACTGTTGTGACGGAGTCTCCAGATGGTGATCATGCCGACGTTCCTCAAAAATTGGGCTTCCGCTGCGACTGAAATGCCCACGGTATGCCTTGTGCGTTGGACTCGTAGTTAAACGGGACCGCTCTTGCCAATTGGAAGGTCCATCGCCGTTCCCCGCAGGTCTCTGGAGAGGAGTGGTCCCCAAAATCCCGCTAGCTTCCCTGAAAAAAGCTTCTTCCTCTCTTCCTTCTCGAACTAGCCTCGCAAACTGCCCGGCTCTGGACTGCTTCGGGGGTGAGCATACCGTTTCCAGCTCCTCATCATTGCCATCAAGATCCATCCGCTCATGTTGCAGAATAGAAGAATTCCGCATGTGAGAAGATCGTAGTGGCGCTTCGTGTTCCTTTCCCTGGAACGAAGGCCTGCGTTGTCGTGATCGCCTTGAAGTGCTGGCATCCTCTTCTGAATCAGCATCGTCGATCATGATGTCAGCGACACGGTCCGCAGCTTCACGCATCCGACGCAGCACATTGTCCGTCTTCCTAAGAGATCCAGTCCTGTCGAAGACAGCGCGCACGACGTTCGGGTTGAAGCCGTGATTATCCGACATTGTCTGTATCGCGGACTCCATCCCCAACCTACGAAGCTCTTTCTCTGCTAGACTAAGCATCAGTGATTCATCGGCGTCGCTGAGCTGGTCAGGAGGCTCGTTGGACGGCACATTGGTGGCCAAGTGATTGGTGGAGCTTCTTGTCCGTATTTGTCGCGACCTGTTCGTCACTTCGAAATCATCCACGTTGCGCTCAAGCATGCGCTCTGGAAGCAATGATGGCATCGAACGTCGGTCCCGTTTCATGCTGATGCGCCTCACATCCAAGTGCGGAACCTCAATCGCCTCTTCTGCCGTGATCTCGAATACATCAACGGGAGGCCCCATGGTATGTCGCCTGTTGACCAGTCCAGGATGATGCCCGTCAATAAGAGGCTGTTTTCCGTTGCTCTTGGCGACAATCTGTCTCTGCTCAGGCCTGATGTTGCGGAGCTCGTCTGCCTGCGAATTCTTCGGTGCCTCACCAGCGGAAAAACGCCGTTCAGTGCGAGCTTTCTCCAACTCCGGCAGCCTGAAAGGGACGAGGACCGGGCGGACAACGGGTTCCTCCGTTCGCACAGTTCCAATGGTCGATGGTGTTGGCTCCAGTCGATCGTGACTCATTCCTTGTCCCACGTTCACCGTGTCAGACTGCAAAAGGTGAGTACTCTTTCGCACGATTGCTTGAATCCTCGGGTCCTTGGCTATCTGGATCCTCGACAGCGTAGAGACGCTGATTGCTTCACCCTCATCAATGAAAGAGGTAGGCGGTATATGCGAAGGGCCTGCAACTGGCTGAGTGGCTTGGCTAAATGGATGATGTTGACGAGGCCGGAACTGTTGCATGACATGACTCGCTTCTTCCGGCTGAGAGAACTGACTGAATGGATGATGCATGGTTGCAGGGGCGTTGCTCGTTGATGCAGACGGCTGAACATCTCGCGCGTCTGTCTCCGGCTTAACAGCTTCTGACAAGGCACCGAAAGTTCCCGCCTCCCTCTGCTTTCCCTTTCCTTTGTCTTTTCGGCGTCTGGGCGGCCATTCAATGTCATCCACTAATCCCTCATCGTTCTCCTCCATCTCCTCCTCCATATCGGCCTCCACTCCACTCACGCGAGGACGTCTCCCTAGCCCATCCAGACGGCGCCTGCCTTTGTTATTGGTGAACGCAGAATTGAATGCGCCCTGTTCAAGCTGCACGGGTGCTTTCCTGCGCTTCATCCGCATAGGACTGTTCTCTTTGTTTGGCTTGGACGAGGGGCTCGGCGTATCTGACTGGAAGAATTCCGACTCGTGCTCTATCAGAGACGGGCGTGGCATGTGGATACGGGATGCCGGAGCGATTGCTGTTGACGGGCCTGCCTCAGAGTTCGGCTGGACTGCCATGCTAGCAGACGGGAGAATCGTCTCTGCCGGCATATCAGTCGACTTTTCATGATTGCCGTCAGGTATTGCAGACTGTGCATGTTTGTCGGCGCCGTTAGTATGAACAGGAACGCGTTTTGTCGCAGCGGTCGGGGTTGCCAAGGGAGTTTCCGTGTGGCTGGTAGGCGGCGTAGGCCCCTGGGCTGTCTTAGCGGGCGCTTTCTGCGACCAAAGCAGAGAAGGGAGTACTTGAGACACGACAGAAAAGTTCAGCCAGTGTCCTTGTCTCACAGGCGTCGACATTGCGGGTCTGGGATATCCGTCAGGCAGAGAGGAATCACCACCGACAGGGCCGGGTGGAGAGGGAACCTTGGGATAAAGCCTCCCATTGGGTGTGAGATCCTGATCAACATCAGCCCCAAAGGGTAATGGTGTCGCCAAATGATGGGCCTGTCTATGACAGAGTGTGTGATTTGAGCACGGACAACCCGGATACAATGAGTGGTTCTCACATACCGAGCTTCGGATCCATCGTCCTTGACGTTTGATCGTGGCAACTCCATATCCACATCCACATCCATCTTCTGTTCGCCACCATCAGGCTTTGGCGATGGAGACGCGGAATCGAGCTGATCCACCTCCTCTTCCTCATCTTCCACATCCTCCACATCCTCCACATCCTCCTCGTTCCGCTTTGCGAATATGTCTCCTTGATAATCGTCCGAAGGTGGAGGGTTCGTGAGCTGAGTTTCACGCTCTGCTCGGTTACCTCCGCCCACCCAACTGGTTGCCTGCGCGCTGGCAGCCGCCTGTTGGTTTGCAGGGAGCACCTTGGCTCTCTGCAACGGCCCAGGGGCATGCTCATGTTCCTTCTGGGGCCGAAACACAGGATCATTCGGCGTAGGAGTTGGTTCCGTCACTTCCTCGTGAGCATCGTCCGCGGGCCCTTCTACACGCCTACGTTTGCGTTCTGGCTCCATCGCAATCGCGGTTGCACTACCGTTACTGCGCTTACGCTTTTCCTTGCCTTTGCCCTTCTTGTCTGAAGGACCGCTTTCCTGCTCGCTCTCCTCCCTCTCTTCCCGCTCATCATCCTCTTGGATGACCATGTTCACGGCCTGTCCTTGCTCATCGACTTTCTCCGTGGTTCGTGGATGCTCAGCAGGGGCCTGCTCTTCCTGACCATCTGCTTCGTCTTCCTCTTCCTCCTCTTGCACTCGTCTACGCACCCGTTTCCTCGGTACACGGGCTGGAGTTTGCAAATTCTCGACAGGAGGATTATCCTTCTGCCTGTCTGCAATGAGCTCGTCGAAGTGTTCACGATTGTTTTTATATCGCTCACGCCAGGCCGAAGCTGGATGGCGCTTCGCCCAAGGCCACTTCTGTTTCTCCTGAGAACAGTGAGGCACACTCTAAGCATGAAGGGGGTTGACTTACATTTGCCACCAGCGTCGTATATAACTTGTTTCCGAGGCGACCCTGGCTACTTATACTATACTTCGCCAGGTATTGTTCCAGGAAGTTATCGTCCTGAGCACTGAACTGGATGCGCGTTCGAACATCCGATGTTGTAGGGGGCAGGATGCCCGGCTCGACATCATATCGCTTAAGCCACTTTCTAACGAGAACGTCGAATCGGTCCCGATTCTTGCAATAACGGTTGCGCCATGACTGCCACGAATGTCGTTCACACCACGGCCACTTCCTCGGCTTTTCAGAAATGAGTAAAAATGAACATGAGCACGGTGTATCGCAGCATATACCCACATTGTTGCGTAACGACAGCCAGATTGCATTACCGCTTCTATCCCTCCCGTCCGGCGTGTACTTGGCAAGGAATTGGACGATGCGCAGATCATCTTCTTCGCTAAACTCGACGCGGCTGAGATATCTGATTAGTGTGAGTACTTAGACTCAGGCTCATCGAGGAGTACGCACGGTCTAGCCATGTTGTCAAAAGGATTCAAACGGCGGCTGAGCTTCGATTTAAAAAACGCTACAGATGGGAGCCGTGTAACTTCCGTAAGAAGTGCCTTGTGAATATTCTAGAGCGAGAAATAGCGGAAGGGATCAACCAGCCAGACGCAAAGCGTTGCTCGACAATCTGAGGACGATGGTGATGTTGATAGGCGACGGGCGTTTGTCACGAGCTCAGCGCGTCGCGATCACATGATCATCCAATAGAAGCGCCGCTGAAAAAACGTCCCACGCCACGTCGGACGGTGACTTCAGCTGCCAGCTTGGGACAGAGTCACTCCGCTCAATGGAACCGTTAAAGACGTTTATTCTCTCTTTATAGCTTAAATTGGACCTTCCAGAGCATTCGCTCGCATAAACTTCATAGCGTACGAGATTCAGAGCAGAATTTCCTGACCGGATCTGTAGCTCGAGCAACAACATTTTCAGGTCCGTCATTTCTGCATGCAAACTCGAAAGGTAAATGTAGGCTCATTTGAGAACAGTGCCCTATTTCATTGTTTCAGAAGCAGCTTCACATTGACTGGAATCCAAACTCTCCATCCATTCGACGAGAAACGCTGATGTGATTCCACGAACTCTTGGAGTAACCTTGCTTTTCCCGGAGAGGTGACTTTGAACGGCGGCGCTAGCGGACTTACATGATCTCATCAGAAATACCAGGGCAATTGCGGCGCATCAGGCTCCCCTTTCACTTCACCTCGTCCTCTCCGCCTCCCCCACACCTGCAGTGTTCATTCATTGTGCGCTCCGCACAGTCCGAGGAGGCTTGTCTATGGGCTGGGGAGTCTGCATCCTCTTTCGCTCTGCGAGGGTTCAGCTGAATAGCTGCGCCACTCCATTTGTCTTTGCTCAAAACCGCTCGTCAGACGACATGTGAGCGGACGGCACAGCTGTTCTCGCGCCCCCCTCGTGTTGTCGTAAAGAACACGAGGCACTGTTTGTTCTGGCTTGGGATGGTGGGCTACTCACTCTTGCCTGTTTCGGAGTGGGCGATATGGCCCCCAGTGGCCACACTCAGAATCAGATATATACTGCGCAACCCTTGGCAACCGCACTTTGCACTTCTTCCCTAACCACAACAATGCTCTTCCGCAAGTCATCGCCCGCCTCCAAGGCATCCCCCAAATCTCCCGTGGCGGTCGAGCACGGAAGCAACACGTTCAACTCCTCCGCCATATACACCAAAATCAAACGTTCCGCCAGGGCCCTGTTCAAGAAACTCAGTCACCCTCGCTCATCTCAGACCTTCAATTCCATTACTCGATGCGCCGAAAACATTCAAGACATCATCGGAGAAGAATCTTCCTCCCAAAACGCGAAGTGGCAGATTGTGGCAAACTCAACCAATGTGGCTTCCGGCCCCCGAATCTCTTTCTCGGTTGGTCTTCACCTGTGGCAGAAGTCCAATAGCCTCTACACCCTCATCGACACGTTATCATCGCGTTCGACGCGTCTCGACCCATCAATCATGCCCATCAGAGACATTCCATCCACCCAAGATGGTATGCCACATTTCCGAACATCCACGTGTTCAACGCGCCCAGAGCTCTCTATCATCGCAAGTGTGGCCACCTCATTTATGAGTGATGTCTTACCGCCATGCCCACAACCATCGCCGGCTCTTTCGACGCGTTCAACATGCTCGGATACGTCGGGCGATTCTATCGTGATTGTCTCACACGAAGATGTTGGCATTTGCCGTCCCTCCTCACCGTCCGTTATGGTACCTGGTGCCCTGGCCTTGCCCTCATCGGAGCGCCTGGTCTCTGCTCAGGTCAATTCGCATGCAGCGGGTGGACGACCCAATGCTTGTCTACAACAGTCCGATGTCCCTTCACTTGAATTGCCCCTCATCCCGTCGCTAAGCAGTAACGATGGCACCTCTTCTGATGGCGAAAGTTCAACGACGCTTGCATCAGACGAGGGCGGTCCGTCACCTAAGGTATCCGTTGAGTATGTGTTCCCATGTCCAGTCGCCCAGCCCGATGAGTATGTCGCACCCTTCGAAGAACGGAATGATTATATCGACCGCGACGTTGGCCACGACGACGACGATCTGGTGTCCGACGACACTGACTCTCTTGATGGTAACGAGGATGCGTGTCTCGACGATGAAGGGCAGGCCGCCTGTGATCTGTTCCTCCGAAACGGGGATACCACCTACAAACTACTGACAACACTTGGAAATGGCGCATGTGGCCGTGTGGTGCTTGCGGAGACCGACGACGGACAACAGGTTGCCATCAAGGTCACTCCGAAGCTCAAGCAATACCGCTATGCATGTGGTCGCGATCTAATTTTGCATGAGAAGCGAGTTATGGAGACGGCAAATAATGTTGGAAGTCGCTACTTGATGCAATTAATAGCGTCGTGGGAAGATAAGAAGTTCATTTACTTCGTCATGGTAAGTTTCCGTCTTACTTCCCGCAAAGCCGCTGAAGGTGCAAGCGTTCGCGTTATATCAACAGAAGGCGTATCCTGGCTCGCTGAGATATCGGCTTGCGTCCGTGGCGTTGGATCCTATGGAAGCTAAGTTGCTCTGCGCGGAGATGGTAAGCCCATTAACATGTCGACATGAATCATTGAGCCGTGAAGTAACGAGATTGGCAGGCATATGCAGTCAAGGAGCTCCACGATAGCCGTACGATCCATCGTGATATCAAGCCGGACAACTTCTTGGTCGACGATGAGGGCCATCTAGTTCTAGGAGACTTTGGGTACTCGTACACGCCCAAGCCTCACTACAAGTTCGAAAAAGCCAAAACCTTCACATCCATTGGTACGCCCGGGTATGCGGCACCGGATGCTATTGTGTCTGGGTCTAAAGGCTACACCTACACCATCGACATTTTCAGTCTGGGGCTGGTCTTCCTAGAGGTGCTGGGGGGGTTGCAGATGCCATATTATCGTGCGCCTACCTTGCAGGCACAACTCGATGTGATGGACGCGAAGCATCTGGAATTGGACCTTGAGACTGTCATCGAAGATGCGCAGGCTAGGGATCTCGTGCTCAACGTACGTTCAATGTGCATTGGCCGCGAATGGCATGCTGATTCCTCCAAATTAGATGCTAAATACCGATTCTACTAAAAGATGCTCATCGAGTGCCGTTCTATGCCATCCCTTCTTCGACGACATAGATAAGGAAAAACTCGCCAATCGCGAGCTCTCTTGTGAGTCCTTGATCTATTGCTTGTTGCGCGGGAGCTGAGAGACTTTCTGCAGATCCGCGCAAGCCAGTCTTCTACAGTCTCCCCAAGCAGTCTGTCAAGTTGTCGTTCTCGACTTTCTATGGCGGTTTAGACTCCACCTACGACGATTATCACAAGGATGAAGACGGCCGGCTACTATATAACGATAACACCGCCCGACAACTCATCATTGGCGGTGATGACGATTTCAAGTTCCCCCGCTGAGCTCGATACATTACCAGTAGATTTTCGCTTACATTCCCATCTAGAGATTAGCTTACTGGATTTCTGCTTCATCTGTCATCAATGCATCGTACTCCGGCCTCTCGCAATGTTGTCCCACCATTATTTCAACCATGCACTTCTTTCATCGCGCTGTGTACAATCATATAGGTTTTGCGCTGCTTGTATTCACCAAGATCCCTCTGTACTCTATCAATACACACAACTGGAACGGAATGGAAGTCATTTCTTAGCGGAATATTCAAAGGCTGGACAACAGTTCAGGATGCAAACTAAGTACGTGATACGGAACGAGACAAACATCCATGTGGTAAGAACTCGATTGAGTTCTCCAACAATGCTACAAAATTGTTTGAAATAACGAACACAATCACAGTTCCAACTACCCATCTGCCAGTAGCGCTTTTGGCAACAGCTCCAGTAGAATCTCTCTGTTAATGCCGTCCGCATTTATGGAACGTGCCAACTCCACATGCTCCTCACGGCCCTGCATGCTCTTCGCGGCCTGGGGTTTGCGGGCGATACATGCTCTGTCCGTAGCTGTAGAAGGGTCAGGGATGCGCACCAACATTTCTGCTGTCCGCCCTTGGGGGACCCGGAATAAAGAGTCGCAGAAGACCAGAGAGTTGCCTGATAAGAGACTGGCAGGGACGAGAAAAGCAGCACTTTCAGCTACAAGAACCGCATTCGCATCTATGAACCAAAGCTCATCATGCCTCTTGGGTGAGCTCAGTCACGCCGCGGCTAGCCACAGCTTTCGTTCAACTTTCGGGATCAGCTTCGTACGCTCGTTTGCGCACTCGCTTAGCTTCTTCGTTCGTCACGTCTCGACAAGAGCGATAAAGTATATTATCGTTTGTTATGTGCTTGTTGGAGTTGTCACACTTACTTGTCGCTTGGTGATGCAGAGTGAGGTGAGATGACCGCCACATGCAGCCTGATAGGGATCATTGGTGTTAAGCAGTCGTGGGAAATTGATGCCTTTATAGATCTGCACGTCCCTCTAGCTGTGGCGGCGACATCACAGCTGGCACTCTAACTGCAGCACACTGTACAACGTTCTCTGGAAATTTGACTGTGCAGTCCCTGTCTGCTTGCTCGACACTCGCCTTTTACCCTCTTACTGGCCCAAGCGACTTTTGTTGAAGCCCGACACATAGTGCGCGTCTGTCAGTGCCATCCGCCATGCTGTACAATCTGCTACCGCATGCTCTCCAATACCTCGTCGCCTCATTGCTTCTGACGAAGCAGCCTGCCACCCCGCATTCCCTCGTGCTTGAGCTGCGTCATGAACATGGATTGTCGGACTCGGGTCGAGTGGTCTTCGCGGACATTGACCCCTCAAGGTCCTCTCTCCTTCCCGGCGAACGGACTGTCAACTCTCGGAACGTAAAGGCTCATCGTCCAGCATCTCATGAGTCATTCTCAAGCGCGCGCTTCAATAACTCAGCTTCTGTACTGTGGGACGAGGTTGATATCGAGGGCCCTGATACGCAGGACCGCGAGACGTTGCGCGCTCTCGCGAAGATGACTAACAATGCCTACTACGAGCCTATTGAGAAGTCGTGGTACGACCTAGGACCAGACTGGGACAATGTACGTGCGTTCTTCCGAGAGGAACTTTAACCCAAGTGACCATCGTTTCAGCAAAGCTACCCGTTTGGCTGGGAGCCAGACGCAGACGGTTTCCGAGGATACGTCTTTGCGACCCCTGACAACTCCACTGTCGTGATCTCCGTCAAGGGCACTTCTGCTGGATGGCTTGTCGGAGGCGGAGGTCCGACTACGCGGAAGGACAAGTTCAATGATAATCTTCTGTTCTCCTGCTGCTGTGCCCGGGTAGGGCCAACGTGGTCTCCTGTCTGCGACTGCTACGAGGGTGGGCACAAGTGCGACCAGGGATGTCTCGAGAAGAACATTGCGGAGGATAGCTTATTCTACTCTGTCGGCACGGTGAGCAAGATAATTCTCGTATACTCAGGGTGCCTACTAACGTGTCATGTAGAACTTGTACTATAATGTCACCTACATGTATCCGAACGCAAACATCTGGCTCGTTGGTAGGTTTCACACGCCTTCCCCATCTGGTGCCGTCGTTGACGTCTATCAATAGGCCATTCTCTAGGGGGCTCGCTTGCCTCTCTCGTCGGCCTGACGTTTGGCGTACCAGTGGTGGCCTTCGAGGCACCAGGTGAGAAACTGGCGGCACGGCGCCTCCATCTGCCCTTTCCGGTACGACCGATAACGTCCATCAATCTCGCCTGGCCTGATTGGTAGCATGCAGCCTTCCACGCAACATATCACACATGTTTATCACACCGCTGACCCCATCGCAATGGGTATCTGCAACGGGGTCTCTTCAAGCTGTGCTATTGCAGGATATGCCATGGAGACTCGGTAAATGGCCACGTTCATACTTTTTGTCTTCTTCACTCAGACTCGTGTTTCCCTTCAGATGCCATCTAGGGAACACGATCCTATACGATACCATCACGAAGCTGAAATGGTCCGCTGACATTCGCACTCACTCCATCCGCGTCATCGTCGACAAGCTTCTCGCCGAAGACTGGGACACCGGCGACGGAAATGGGGGAGAGATCAAAGCTGTGCCGGAACCGAAGGCGGAAGACGACTGCGTGGTACGGCTTCTGTTGATGTAACGGTGTGTGCGTTTGCTGAAGTTACTTCTGTAGGATTGCTTTGACTGGGAATTTGGGGATTATCGCAATGCCTCTGTCTCAACGTGTGGTCATTCTTTCGTATAGAATCTGCGGGCATTATTGGGTTGTACTGCACTGTACCATAGGACGTATCAGTCGCGCATGTTGTTCATATCGCAGGGTGGCCGGGTATTCGTTACTATCTATCATAGATACTATATATGCATGCGGCTTGTCTTGAACAGCATTAGAGTAATCTTTATGGTGCCATGCGTTGCCCAGTTCATTTCACAAGTGTCGTCTCCAGAGAATCAGTGGATCCTTATAGTACGGCAAAGTCAGTGATGCGAACTATCACATTCACGTGAACCGTGACTCAACGTGCATTTCGTTTGCTAAACAGAGGTCAATGAGGTTGGCGTGAACCCGTTCACGGGCACAGGGACTGCTTCTCGAGGCACGAATACAGATGCTCTTGTGCAGTGAATGGATTGAGATGTTCATCATTCAAGGCTAGCTGAAAATCAAGATATGGAAACCAACTACAAGGCAAGCCGGCCCTGAAAGTACAATCGCGTATGTTTTATCAAGACCATTGGCACGATCCATTCTGGCTAGTGCTCTCAATCTATATAACATACGCTCCATGTCCCAGATGATTCCTATACGTGGTGATACAAAGTCCCAATGCTATATCGTACAAGCAGAACAGAAGGAAAACAAGAAATGACAACCTGCCTACATGAAGATGCCACAGCAGTTCTGCACCCAGATACACCACTGTTCCCACAACCCGCGCCGACTGATCTCCAGCTCTTCCGCAGTCTTAATCACGCCACCATCGCGTTTGATCGTGATCGTGTATTCGCGCTCCGGCTCGCCCGGCCCCGGTATAGGGTACCACCACTTCAATGTCTGTCCGTCAACTTCCCATTTCCCTGCAGAAACATCGACAAGTAGTGAGAGTGATGCCGAACCATGCGGGAACAGCTTTGCGTAGGCTGACGAGGCGAGAGACGACGTCAATAGGTCGGCCGACGATGCGTTCCGCGACGAGTATGGACTTGGCTCCTTTGAGCAGACTCCATCCACGATGACTGTGGCAGGCGTCTCACAGCGCTCAGGATCATCTTGCGCGAAGCGAGCGACGAGCTTATCGCTTGCATAGTGGACGAGGGGCACGTATATCTCCGTCGCGAGTCCCGCTCCTTCTGCACGCGGCGCATCCTCCGGCCGGACGCGCACGGTGTACTTGAAGTCGGCCTTGGCGATGTCGAACTGAATATCCTTGGGCACGCCGACGGTTGCGACAGGGAACGGACGGCAGAATGCCTTGACTGCCCTCGCGCCGTCGGTCAAGAAGTCGTACGCATTGCTCCATCGAGAGTAGGACGTGACCTCTGCGCTCCCCTCAGCCATTTTGTCGGCAGTAGGATCTGTACCGACTGCGACCGTGGCGAGCGACAAAGTAGAGGTGGTCGCCGACTGCGCGACAGCCGCTGCACCCTTTTTCAACAACGCCGCTGATGACGCGTCCGACAGCTCCATCTTCGGTCCGCCGTTGGGGCGCAGATCGTCCGGGCTCCAGATGCTGAGGTCCTCCATATCCCATTGGTCGCCCCACATATGCGAGTTGTCCGGACAGTAATTCCAGACAGTATAACTCAGTGCATTGGGACCATCTGCCGCATTCAGACTCGCGTCCAGCGCCTTCTGCTGGCTTGAAAAGTCGCCTTTGTACTTCCCGCCATCCGTATATCCGTACGCCTTTTTGCCGTCCATATCGAACGGAACGCCGATCTCGCCGATGATCGTAGGGTAAGCACCCAGGATGGGCGCGTCGTCCTTGAGCATCCCCAGCTGCTCCTGTATGGACTTCCGTATCGCCGGCTCACCAATCTTCACTGCGGCAAGCGTGGACGAGTACTTGCCGCGCATCAGACCGAGGGCATCGGCGTTGATCCAGCTCCAGTGCCGCGTCACAAGGGTCAATCCATCATAGTAATGCGCGGCGTAGCAGCAGCGTCCGCGCAGGTACTCTTCCGCGATGGGCGGGGGCTGTGCGAACACGGGAGGTGAGACGAACATGATCGCCTCGGGATGCGACTGCCTGATCCGCGACGCGAACGCCTGCCAGTGCGGGAGCCAGTACTTCTCAATGAAGAATGCTGTGTGGTCCGGGTTCTCGCAGCTGAAATAGTCCGGCACGAGTATCTCCCCGGAGTCGACATCCCACACTCCGTGCAACGCCCACACACACGTCCCCAACTGCCAGCCAGGATCGCGCTTCCAGCCCCAGCGAGGATTCACGCCATCAGGCTCCGTCTCTGGGTCTATCCACGCCTTGACGCCTTTGGGATCCACGGTGACGGTACCGTCGCGCTGCGGCCCCATGTTGCCAAATTTGTAGTTGTCGAGTGTCTGTGCGCGGCCCATCCCGAGGCGCATTGACTGCGCAGGCGTTGGACACGTACCCTTCTTCAGCGTAGTCCCCTGCTTGGTCGGCACGGTGTTAAGGTCTCCATACCCGCAAAAGCCTTCGAAAGGCTCGTTTAGGCTGTCCCACCCAATCACGCATTCGTCTAGCAGATCGCCAGCGTCACGAAGGCGGTCTGCGAGGGCGCCAAGTGCTGCAATGTAATGCGACTGGAGATAATCCTGTATGTTCTGTCCGTCAATGATGCATTTGGGCGCGTAATCGCGGCCAGCGAAGAACAGCGTGAACAGCGTCTGGGAAGCGAGTCGCCCATAGTTTGTGCTCCAGATCATTGCAGGTAGCTTGATAGGAGCGGGATCTGAGGCAGTAGGATATTCACTATGAATGATTGCTGCCTGAGTTGCTGTGAAGTGGCGAGGATCGAATCCACAAGCGACCACAGTCCAATATGGTGCACCGGATCCTCCGGAGAATCGGGACCACTGTGTCAGAGACGTATGTCAGTAGCCATACACATATAAATAATGAAATATCGCACAATGTCCTGGTGAGGGTCAATGTAAACCTTGAATCCGTATTCTTTACACTTCCGCAAAACACGGACGGTGTAATCCATGAATTCATAATCGAGCTTTCCCCTGCTCATCATGAGTCACCATAGCAACACAGCGAATGTGCACTTACGGTCCGGCATGTTCCAGTGCTTCCCAGGTTACCACGTATCTCAACATGTTGTAGCCCCACCCCCTCAGACGCGCCAGGTGAATGTCGGCCGAACCGTCATCGACATTGAGAGGTCTCCCAGTGAAGTTTCCGCCGCCCTCTTCACCGGTCTCCCAAAAACCGTCAAGCTCTTGGGATGGCTGGCCAACCGGTGCCTTGGCTGCTCCCGACAAATTGACACCGCGTAGCAGCAGAGAACGTCCAGCGTTGTCAACAAAAAGGGCGTCGGTGGTATGAATAAAGTATCCCGGCGTGGGCTTTCCCGTCGCCGGCGACACAGTGGGTACTGGAGGCATGTTGGAAAAAACAGACAGTCAAGAGGAGGTAGAGAAACAGAGATGGAGGGAGGTGCACACCCTCTGGTAGAAGGCGACGCCACAAATGCCATTGGCAATGTATTTGCGCGCCACCGCGCCACTCATTACTTGTCCAATAGCGACTCTCCTAGATACGCGTGACTTTAGCTGCCCTCCGCGTGATCGCGTCCGAAATTGGACGCGTCTCCCCCAGGCACGTTGATTGGGTTTCGAGAGCAGACGGAGCAAGCAAATCAATCGCGCCCATCAGCTAGACAGCAAGATATGCTGCAGTGCAGATTATATCACTGATCCACACCAGGAAAGAGAAGGTTCAAAGGAAACATGCACAGTGATGCCGTAAATGAACGCAGGCGAGGCGAACACGTTGTTCGACGTGAGAAAGGGGGTTTCAGAAGGCGGCGCTATTCAGTGTGCTGCGCATAGATTCATTGAGTGTGCTGCGCAAAGTCACCCGGAACTAACTTCTGCGCTCTTTTGCCCCAGCGCATCGCAAACACAGCCTCCATGTCGATGCTCTCGTGTCCCGCGGAAATCTTGTTCGCCTGTACAGCGAGTTGATTTTCTCGGGTATGCGAAGATGTGGCTCACTTCGGATACTACTACGTTCAAATTGAGGAGATCGCAACAGTCGTCCGCTGCCGCATCTCAGCATGCGGGCATTGTGACGAGCAACGGTGATGCCAACTGTCCCTTATTGTTCTTGTAGTTGTTCCGAAAGAGGGACGCTTATATTCATTCTAAAGCGTCGGCATCTAATCGGCAGAAGGAAAACTGATCGGTCAATACAGCACCGTCTCAGCGCTGAGCGTCAAAGTTCCCTCCATTGTTGCTTCCAACCGCATTGTTCCCTTTCTCTTTTTCTCTTCAAATACCTCTCATCGACCCTCATCCCATCTCAAATAGGCATCCTCATCCATCCCCTGGCAATACACAGAACACACATAATTTCTCTACATTCATATCGTTATTCATATTTCCGCACAACATGCAAGCCATCCCATCCCATCGCATCCACTCCATCCACGGCTCCTTTAGCCCCGGCTATACGCATGTACGACCAGTATCGGCAGCGCAAGCATTGTCCTTCACATATCTGCCAAACGTCTCCGTCGCCTCGGCGCGCGGACGAGGATTCGCTCTTCCGATGAGCCCCGAACGTTCGGCATCGATACATGCGCCATCGTCGGGCTCTCGCTCTCGGGTCGTAGCGTATCATTATCCGCTGAGCACTCGCCGTGCTCCACCACCACCACCAGCACGCATCCCACGCACCACGATGACGAGCATTGAAGACCCATTCAACGACGAGTGCGTAGAACTCGTGAGCCCCCTACCTCGTGCGGCACAACCATCGTCCCCATCCCTGATCGCTTCCCGAACACGCTTGTCCCCCGCCACGATCCCTGAACCGTCGGTATCCGAGACAACCTCCAACATCGTCGCGTTATTGGACCCACCCACCTCACATGCCCCGATGTCTGTGCCTCCCGGCATCGAGCAGACTCCAGCGATTCAGCTCTTTGCAAGAGGCAGGCTGGTCGCCTGCGTACTACTGAGCCGCAACTGCGGACGACCACTGCGGAGACGGCCTGATACTGCTGGCACGGGTAGGGCGTACGTGAGGAGCTGTCTCTCGAAGATGGTCGAAGTCGAGGTGTAGTCATCGGCGTGTCGTGCAAAATCTCGGTTCATTTTCCATCATGATACAAATCTGCCTTGCATTTTGTCAATATCACCATATCCCATCACATCCAGCATTCTCCTCTCGGGTTTCGGCGCTTTTCTTCGCTTGCACGACGCTAGGTCTCGTTGTACGAGTACATGTAAAAATACGCGTAATCTTCATCGCATCCTTCATTTTGATGATGTATCATACAATGCTGCTCTCGTAACATAGCCCTATTCTCCGTTTATAATACATAGCAACTGGCGTTGTTGAACAGCTGCCTAGACGGTCGCGTCCCGTTGCGTTGCTCGGAAGGTCTACGCGTTTCGGCGCTAAAGTCCCGCGTGGCTTGCTCTGGTGACTGGTCTGCTGCCAGCAAAGTCAATTCCTCTCGCATGCAATTTCTCTGTGGCACATGCAATTTCTCTCATATGCACGGAGTGCGGATGCACGTATATAACTTGGGTGGCAAGCTTATGGCCAGAGTGGGGCTAAAATGCATCAATCTCCATTCAGTGAAGTCATCCGAAACTGAGGTCGTATGAGGACGTTGTGCAAATGCGAACACTCGAGTAAATCCGACTCGCCGTTGTCAACATGCATATCTTCCACAAGTTCCAGGTCAGCAGACCGTATTTTGACTGTCAACATTATATCGGATGGGACAACATATAATAGGCGATGTGGTACTTTATAGCGATCTGTGTCTGCTCATGTTACTCTCAGGTTGCAGATGGCCCATGATTCACAGTACTAGGTTCAATCGCTTGCAAGGAATCATTCCCTTAGCCGCATTACCAGCCCTATTGGTTCTCTGCCTCAGGGTGTACCGTCGGAGACACGGTCTTCGACCGCATAGTCATCGGGAAAATGCTTTCGATGCCCGTCAGAAAGCCTCCAATCGTTTTCCTTAAGGTACGCCAACTCCCATTCAGTTCACATATCAAAGTGTAGCTATAGCATTACCGCGCACACACTCAGTACAGCCTGGCATGAGCTGAATGATGGCGTCAAATGAACATGTAAAAGAGCGCGAGACACCATTTGCTGCCTCGATGGTTTTGCTGACTTATTCCTTTCATGAAGCGGGCGCCGTGCTCGTCGGGCATGAGCACATGGATCCTCATCATATGAGCATCGCTCGGGAACCCAGCGGCGGTAAGTCGGCTCACTCGTGTCAGCAGAAGGCATATACGGTATGTTACCCAACCTTTCACCATCGCGACACCTTTCTCACCGGTATGACCGGTATGATATAATTATATGCTCGTCTTGCTCCTGGACGGAACGGCCCTATTTAGGTACGAAAGGTGGCCTAGGGATGATTGAAATATATGCATCGTTCCATGACGGTCTCGGAGGCAGTACGGGGTATGTGCCATAAGGTACGTAGCAACTGGTAAACAGAAACATGAGTACGGTCATCGCAACAACACTCCGTCACCCTTCTGATCTGATGCGCCTCTTCTCCGTTGTCTTCGTCTGGCTAAATCTTCGCATCGCGTAGCAATCCACAGAACAAATATTTCGATCCCCGACAGTCTGTCCCCGTTCTATCACTCGATGCGGCGATCAGTGTTCAGCACGCTCACGGAGACTGACATGGACAGCAATTTATCCTGAACCAGCATGACCTCCAGACCAGGCCTCTAGTATTGCTCATGATTCCTCCAGACCGGATTTCGTCATGACGCAGCCTTCTTCTTCGTGTACCATAAGGTCAAACGTGTGACCATCTACAGCCGTGGGCGAGCTTTATATAGTCGAGCGGGCTGCTCAAACACTGATGCGATTCGACCACCTCAAGCACTCGGCCTGCAGAAGGCCTCATGGCGATGCTCTTCACAGCTACGCTCGCGCTTTCTGCACTCTTTCCCAGCGGACTCTACGCAGGCAATCTGCTGGCAAGCGACACGGTCTCCGTCTGCGAGGAGATTGCGTCCGCCATTTCGTCTGCATCTGCGGTCTACTATCCCCGTATGCTTTGTTGCTTTCCGTTCGTATTGCTTCATCACTCACCTATTTGGCCCAGTCCAACTCGAATACATCGCGGATAATTTCCACTGGGCCTCTTCGAGCTCTCAGAATTCTACGTGCAGCGTAGAACCCGGCACGGCTGAAGATGTTGGCACAATAGTGAGATCTCACCATGGGTGTCTGACATTTGAGCAAGGCTAATATCTGCTCATCCAGCTGCAGATCTTGGGCGAGGCGCAGACTGCGTTCGGGGTATGCATGCAGCTCAATGCATGACAATAAACGGTTATATAAATGTCATCTTAGGTGAAGGGCGCGGGTCATGCTTCCAATCCCGGATTTTCGTCCACAGCTGGTGTCGAGATTGCGCTAACGCGCTTTAACGAGACCGTGTACGATTCTGCAACCGGAACGGCGACCATCGGAGCGGGCATGATCTGGGACGACGTGTACAGTGCCCTTGAGGCATACGGGGTCAACGTGGTGGGTGGACGAGTGAGCGGAGTTGGAGTCGCGGGATTCATCCTCGGAGGAGGCAAGTGATGCTATGTCTTTGATCTACGATCGCTGATCACGACGACATCAGGCTACTCTTACTTGTCGAACCAGTATGGTCTGACGATCGATACCGTCACGGCGTTCGAGCTAGTGCTGCCAAATGGCACCGTCACTAACGTCACCTCTGCTTCTTACCCTGACCTATTCTTTGCGCTGAAGGTGAGAACTGACCGTATGATATGGCGCCTCCACGTACTCACGAATGTTGAAGGGTGGCTTCAATAACTATGTTGGTATCCTCATCTTCTTTTCGGCCATTCACTAATCGAACCTAAAAGGGGATCGTAACGCGATTCACGCTGGAGGCTTTCACTCAAGGCGAAGTGTGGGTGTGTATAATTAGCTTCTCAGTATAACGAACATTTCTGAATATTTGTTTTAGGGAGGGTTTATGCTCGCAGTCGGCGAGGCCGAAGCCATCGCAGAAGCCACTGCCAATTTCTATGCCAACGTCACCGATCCGAAGGCTGCCATCATAACGTCATTTAACTACGACCTCGGTATTGTGCGTGAGCGATTTTTCGCTCCGAGCTGCTCACAGTCGTTCATGGTTGGCAGCAGTACGTCCAAGAAGTCAGCATGTTTTACGATGCACCAACTCCGCCGGACGGTATATTCGATGACTTCCTGGCCATTCCGTTCACGGTACAGGACATCGAAACCCGCTCGTTCTTGTCAGTAGTGCTCGCGACCCCGGATGACACCACGGAGACATATCGGTGAGTGACTACTTCGTCTGTCGACTCATCTTCTCATGAGGTGAACATTTAGAGGATTTTTCAACACAGTGTCTCTGTGGAATGTTACACTGCCGATCCTCAGCTACATCATGAATGAGACGACGGTATGTTAGCGCCGACTTGCTCGCAGGATATCCTGACGTTTTATCGCATAGTTCTGGTATGGGGAGTTGTCAAGCGAAGTCCCAGGCCTCTTCATCAGCTACGACGTAGAGCCCTTCTTGCCTAGTGTGTTCTCTCATGGCACCGTATCAGCCTGGCCACCCAGTCGGGCCGAAGGCCTGCTTCCCTTGAACATCTACTACGCGTGGTGGGACTCCTCGTCCGACTCCTTGATCAACGACGCAATGCAGGAAAGCGCCAACTACCTCACGCAGATGGCCGTCGCTGAAGGTCAAGAGGTCGCGGATGTCTCGTTATATCCGAATTACGCCATTTACGACACGTCTGTCTCTCGGATATACGGCGACAACCTCGCTCGTCTGCAGTCCATTAAAGCCGAATACGACTCAGAAGACGTTATGGGGTTGGCAGGTGGATGGAAGATCACAGCGTGATCAGGAGCATCGGGAGAGGCGCTGAGCGAGATCCTCCAAGACAGATTTTGAATCACTGGTAGCGATATTGATATTCAGCAGTGGCGACCGGCAAATCTGCTTGTCGAGCTGTATGCGAGAAGCGACCTTGCAAACGGACATCATACTGCTCGCGCAAGGTGCATCAGAACCTGAAACATATGAGAGAGCGATGGCAGTCCCTCATTGGGCCTCTGTGAAGAATACAACGGTAGCGGTGATGTCGCCTCTAGATGGTGCTCCATGAGTACGCTGACGGCCGAGAAACTCGGAGACGGCGTACAAGCGTGTATGCGAGCTGGAAGCTTTCATACTGAAACGGGCGGTAGCCGGATCACAATTAGCTCCACTGGCAAGTGCATTCCTGAGCAAATGTGTGGCAGCATTATGGTCAACATTGACAAATTGCTTTTGAGCACCCGCTTGACGGTAGCGTACTGAAGCGTCCTCGGTATCACCGTCAAAATTCACGGGAGGTTCCTGCGAGGCAATTGGTTGGGACTTCACACTCGGGGACGATGCGCTCTCCGTAACCCCTCCGCTTTGCTTCTTCAACCAAATACCAACCAGCCCCACCACCTCTTCATTCGTTAAGCATTCCCACAACCCTTCAGTTCCGAGAATCAGGAAGTCACCCGGCTTCACTTCGAAAGAAGTAACCTCCGGCTCTGCTGTCAAATAGGGCGGCGTCTTCACGTTCTCGAGAGGCGTGGGCTCCAAATATGACCGTTTCAGCCGCCGTTGGGTGTCCAAATCCCACTTGTACCTCCCATCGCCAAAGGCGCGCGACGGACTCATGCCGAGGACGCGGCCATTCATCACGACGGCCTCTCCCGGATGGCGGGCATTGAGTCGGTACTCCTCCGCTAGATTGTGCCCATTCTGCTCTACGGAGAGGGCGTGCGCCTCGTAGATGATATCGCCATTCTTTGTCTTAGCGCGGCGACCCAGAACGGCGCGCGAGTCCCCCGTCAGCGCGGTGTGCAGTACGTAGCTGTGCGAGTCGTAGAATGCGAGGCAAGATCCTGCGTGGGCAGGTCCGAGCAGGTTAGAAACCACAGAAGGGCTGTTTGACAGGAGCGCTCGCTGGGCAGCCCAGTGGACGATGTCGTGGTCCAGTCGCTTGAACGTGTCTTTGATCGTTCGCTCGATTTCTGCGGAAGATGGCTGCGGTACCTGCGATTTTAACGCTGTCGGGTCTTCGGCGGCATTTGAGTATAGATCGGCCAGTGCGCCGGTCGTGGCGAGAATGAGGTTGTCATGGAGGAATGCAATGGTGTCTGGTCCGTTGTGCCCGTCGAATACCGCGAAGAAAGACCAGTGTCCGGAGGGAACTGGGAGGATCGCTTCGGCATGCTCGTTTTCGGACGGCTTGTTGCTGCAGGTCGCCAAATTAGATTCTACATGGTACAGGCTTGAACACCATCGACACGTACCTTACAAACTGCACAGTGTCGTATCGGTAGATCCCTGTACCTTCATCCGGATAGAATGTCTGTAACGACTCGTCATCGCTCTCCGAGGAGGAATAGTTCACGGAACTTTCGAGATGCGCATATGAAATTGTCCGGGACCGAGCGGATGGGGACGGCTTTTTGCTGGGAACTCCTTCCGAGCTGTCCAGATGAATCGCTTTGGACCCGACAAACGTCACGGAAAGTACTGCGCCCCAAACACTCATCAGAGTCAATCCGCTAGCTTGCCGTGCGCTGAGCCTGGGCGGAGCCCTGACATAGCGCCTCGTACGAGAGAAATGGAATCGTCGTGTTAGCAGCCTCGCAAACATATTTGTGTCCTACGATTGGAGCAATCGTGCATGTCCAATGTCAATCACCTTGAGCTCGAATGGACTGCTCAAGGTTGAAGGGAGTTTGCTCAAGAGCGCTAGCGCGCGGTGGCGTTGAGTTTCATGACTTCGCTTAGTAGTATTGCATCACCCTCAAGCAATTTTCACGGCGGACGGTGGTATGATCGGAGCAGTTGGTGCTCGGATCCAGGCGAGCTCTAGTCTCGACAGCGCCAGCCTGGATCACTCGATCTGGGGAATGGGGTGCACCGCTGATGCCCCAACATATCATACCTGAAATATATTTGTTGCGTCGCTGCCTTCTCTTCGAGCTCTCCCACCTCAGAGACGTCGCCGGTCCGAGTCTGCCTGCCATGGGAGAAGCCAAGTTTAGCCAGGAACCTATCGACTTGAACATCCCCGACAACTATGTCGCGTGGACGCTCAAGCACCAGAAACCTCTCCCGCCGATCACTTGGTCGAATTGGTGGAAGGAACTGAACACCTTGTCTGTGGCCATCCTCATTCTAGTTCCCGTCATCTCGATCTATGGGGTCCTCAACGTGCCGCTTTGCTGGCAGACAGCTGTCTGGAGCTTTCTCTATTATTTCATCACTGGCATCGGTGAGTGCCCAAGCCTCATGCCACTATCCTTCCAAGCTCACCGATAACGCGACAGGTATAACCGCAGGATACCATCGACTCTGGGCGCATCGCTCGTACAACGCCGCGAGACCGTTGGAGTATTTCCTCGCGATGGCTGGCACTGGTGCGGTCCAGGGGTCGATCCGCTGGTGGTCCCGTGGACATCGCGCGCACCACCGCTACACCGATACCGATCTTGACCCGTACGATGCGCGCAGAGGGTTCTGGTACTCCCACATCGGTTGGATGATCTTTAAGCCACGCATCAAGCCCGGTGTCGCGGACGTCAGCGACCTGAGCAAGAGCCACGTCGTGCGGTGGCAGCATCGCTGGTACCTCCAGTTGATCATCGGGATGGGTTTCATCTTACCTACGGTGGTCGCCGGGTTGGGATGGGGTGACTGGAGGGGTGGCTTCTTCTATGCAGGAGCTGCACGGCTGTGCGTCGTCCACCATGTTAGTGCTTCCCGACTTCGATATTACTCACTTTGCTAACGCTGCCACAACGTAGTCGACCTTCTGCGTGAACTCACTCGCGCACTGGATCGGTGAGACGCCCTTCGACGACAAGCACACCCCCAAGGATTCCTTCATTACGGCTCTTGTTACCGTCGGCGAAGGGTACCACAACTTCCATCACCAGTTCCCCGTGGACTACCGGAATGCGATCAAGTGGTACCAATACGACCCGACAAAGTGGTTCATCTGGGCATGCTCGAAACTAGGCCTTGCACGCCAACTCAAGACTTTCCCCGATAACGAAGTGCGCAAGGGCCAGCTAACCATGCAGCTCAAGCGCCTGAGGGAGACGCAAGAAAGTTTGAAGTTCGCTCCTGATCCGAACGAACTGCCTGTGATCAGTTGGGAGAGCTGTAAGTCATAATCCATAGTACGTTCCGAAGCGGAGCTGACGATTGCATACAGTCCAGGAGCAGTCCGCCAAGCGAGCCCTTGTCCTGATTGCTGGCTTTATTCACGACGTATCTTCATTCATTGATGAGCATCCTGGAGGCCGACACCTTATTGCCAAGCACATTGGGAAGGATGCGACCACTGCATTCTTCGGCGGTGTGTACGATCACTCGAATGCTGCGCACAACGTACGTTTTGTGCTACCAGAGTCGAAGATTGATCACGAGCTAAAGATATCCTTGTGCAGTGGCTCTCGATGATGCGCGTCGGTGTATTGAGTGGCGGCATGCAGCACGGCCTCGACGACAAAAGCGTACCACCGTCACAGCGCCTGCGGATTGCGCGGTACAGCGAGCTATGCTTGAACTCGGCATCTACGAGTTGGTCGGAAGACGAAGGTATCCTTGGTTGACTAGCTAGTCTCGAAAGCAGTTGTAAAAATAGTGATGTATGGAATGGATTTAAATTTGCTGCCGAAGGAGCAGCTTAACTGTCGAAGAGACCGCTTCAGCCACCGCATGCCACAGCAGGCAAGAGCGGAGCTATCGGACTCTGAAATATCCATTTGACGCCGCTCAACCCCCGAGCGTCTTCACGACCAACCCTCATCCTCATTGCCGTTGCGTCAGCGAGTGCATTCGGTACCTTCCCATTCAACCCTGCCTCTCATTTCCTATCGTGCGGTGCCCCGTAAAACCAAATCTGGTGCTGAAAGATGACTAACATGCCATCAGGATCCAAGCGTGCATGGGAAGGGAGCGGCGATTCCGAGCCTCAGAAGCGAGCGCGCGAGCGCGAGGAGACTCGGGATTGGCGCGAGGTGCACTTGAGATCGCCCCGGCATAGGACGCACTCCGGCAGGAGGGAGAGCGCAGATAGGCGTGACAGTGCGGACAGGCGGTCTCGACATGACTACCGTGGACGGGGCGGGGAGCATGATCGTAGACGATCCGGCGACTATGGCAGAGACAGGGATAGACGAGAGGAGCGAGACAGGGTACGCGAACGTGACTACCACCCGCGCAGGGAAGACGCGCGGAGGGAAGACCTTCGACGGCGTACGCCGCCCCCTGCTCGCGACGGTTACCCGAAGGGGGGAGTAAACGGCCATTTCCCTACAAATGGCAATGGCCATGCCCATGTCCACCGAGATGATTCGGAAAAGGAAGAAGGCGAGTGAGTGTCGTGAGCCGCCTGCAACGTGCGCCCTACCACTGTCAGGCTGATGCTATTGTATGCAGAATTTCACCGAGACATAGTCCCGAGCCAGCGCCTTCGCAGGCCCCTGACAGCCAATCATCTGCACCTGCCTCGAGCCAGCTGGCTCAGTCCAAACAACAGCTTGAAGTCAATCCCGAGATGGAGCTAGAACTCCCGACATCGCCTCCGCCTCCAGAACAGACCCTTGCTGCACGCCGAGCGAAACGTCAAGCGATCCTAGCGAAGTATGCGGGAATCTCCAGCACCGCTCTCAGCAGCCAAGGAGTGTCACCAAGTCCTGGACCTAGCAGTGCGGTCGAGCCGCCTACGAGTGCTTCCACTTCTAACTCAATATCTCAGTCTCACAGCGCCATCGGGACTCCCGGATTTTCTGACATCGAACCCAAGGCGAATCTCAACGGCAACCTTCGTTAGTGATCCAATCATCACTTTGAGACGTCTATTGACATGATTGTTCACAGCCAAGCGTGAGTCTACGTCGATGTCCCCGACGCCTACTGCCTTCTCCCTGGCGAAGGAGCAAGAAGAAACAAAGTCGCGTGTACAAGATGGTGCAGACGGGCAGGTTTTGGCCGCCGATTACGATCCCAGTCTGGATCGTCGCGAGGACGAGCAAAGGCGAGTGCTCGGCGTGAAAGACGAGTCTTCAGATAATATGCAAGTGATAGAGGAAGAAGAGGAAGAAGAGGAAGTCGATGACATGTTTGCTATCATCACGACAGAAACGAGGAAGAAGACTAAGAAGGTCAAGAAAGTTATTGTATGTCGCCCTACATCGCATGCCCCGTTCGCGACTCATGATCTTTCATAGAAGATTGCAGCTCCGGCACTGATCACTACAACGCTGGATTCCGCCGCTGACTCCGAAGGATACTACCAAATCATACTGGGCGAGCAGCTCGACGGCGGTCTTTATCAAGTGTTCTCTTCGTTAGGAAAAGGAATGTTTGCCAATGTCGTGAGAGCTCGTATTTTACAAGGCGATCCCAGTGAAGTCGGCAAGGAGGTTGCTATCAAGATTGTCAGGTGTCAGGAATCTATGTACGTTGTGCGATCCAAGCTATATGCGTGTTCTATGTGCTAAATTCGCGCATCATAGGTACAAAGCTGGTCTGAAGGAAGTGCAGATTCTGAACAAGCTCAAGCAAGCGGACCCGGATGACAAGAAACATATTGTGCGTCTGGAGCGGACGTTCGAACATCGGGGCCATCTATGTTTAGTGTTTGAGTCCATGAGGTCCGTATGTCGTGCCTCCTACGCGTGTCTGCCTAACGCACTTTGCTGCATAGTATGAATCTCCGAGATGTCGTTAAACGCTTTGGCAAAGACGTCGGGCTAAATATCAAAGCCGTACGCGCATATGCACATCAACTTTTCCTTGCCTTAAGTCTATTGAGGAAATGCAATATCATGCACGCTGACATCAAGCCTGATAACATCCTTGTGAGCTTTCTTCCAGACCTCATCACGGGTGCCACCTGACTTTGCTTATATCCAGGTGAATGACCAGAAGACGTTGTTGAAATTATGTGATCTCGGCTCAGCTTCCGATGCTTCTGAGAATGAGATTACTCCGTACCTTGTCAGCAGGTTCTATCGAGCACCAGAAATCAGTGCGTGGTTTCTTCTTCTGTTCTGCACTGTATACTGACAGCAGTATACAGTCCTTGGCGTTCCGTACGACCCTGCACTTGACATCTGGTCTGTCGGCTGCACGCTTTACGAGTTGTACACCGGGAAGATCCTCTTTCCGGGCCGCTCCAACAACCATATGCTGCTTCTCATGATGGAGCTCAAAGGCCGATTCAACTCGAAGATGATTAAGCGAGCAAGATTCGGGAACCTGTATTTCAACGATTTGGGAGCATTCCAAAGCGTAGAGAAGGATCGCGTGACGGGAACCGTGAGTGTGCTTTCTCACCGTCTGTCTCGCTCTCACTCTGATAGTTGTATAGGACGTGATTCGCCAAGTGCATATCACGGCCCCCGTGAAGGATCTACGTCAGCGGCTTATGCCACCTGCTTCGGTCAAGCTGAAGGACGACGAGGCGAAGATGCTCACGTCATTCATAGACCTTCTCGATAAGTGTCTGGCATTGGACCCTGCGAAGAGAATTACTCCCAAGGAGGCGCTCATCCACCCGTTCATTCGAGGTTAAGGATGCGTTACCGGGCATTGTAGGTTCAGGACATTGTAGACGCTCACGGTATAGCTAGTAGTGATCTTGTTATCGTCGCTGCTTAATGAACCTTGTATTTATAGAGAAAATCGATGATGGAGACTTACAAAGGATGGCGTCTGAAGTGCGAGAGCGCGCAGGTGCCATGTTCCCTCGATGGTCAGCTGGTCGCGCGACTGGAAGCCCACCAGGATGACCGTGTTCCGTCGTCTCGCGCCCGGCGCGAGAGTATAAGTCAGCTTCGGCCTTCTGAGCTTGGCGGGAAGGAGGCCCCTCCTGGCTACCAACGACTGACCATGGCTACTGACTTGAAGCAGTTGCCCACCTTTGACGAGCTGCCGAATTTCCACGACTTTACTGGCTGCGCGTGGGATGTGTGGGGTAAGGATGACGAGCTGGGGACGATCAATCTCCTTACGGAGGACGTGGTGAGGGAGGCTGCGAAGGAGATCAAGTGCGCGGATCGTTGCTCTTCTTCAGGCACGTTGTTCATGCAGGTCGGTCTATGATGCAGGCTGGGCAAGAGCATTTGCTTGAACTGGTAAACGGATGGCCACATCTGAGCGTATGGAAGCGTTGACGCATATATGATTTTTGAAGGCCTGTCAACTTCCCTAACAAGGTGCCGTAGATCATCCTTCCTCCTGTGCCTAGGCTGCCATGCTGACGCAAGACATGTAGCCTCTGTTTCACCGTCAGCAGCCGCATTGGGAGATATGGTCCAAGGGCCCCGGCGTGAACGACGACGCCATCCACATCGTATGTCCTCAAGCTCGTTGCTCTGTCGTCGCGACGCTGATCGTTCCGGCGCGTCCGTCGAACAGAACACGCAATCTGGCACTCAGTGGGATGGCCTGCGGCACTTTGGCGTCCACAAGTATGACGTGTTCTACCAGAAGTTTGTTCCACTAGCATATATTATTGGCATCGCTGTGGTGCTAAAGGGGGGATGCGATGTAGCACGCCGAGCGAGTTCTTCCAGCGAGGCCATATCGTCATCTCAGACCCGGACAACGTCGACCGCCAGCTCATCAAATACGGTATTCACAGTGAGCTCCCCCTCCCACCTTTCTCTCCCCAAAATTATCTCTAACAGAAATCTGGAAAACAGACTGGGCGCAGCACGGTATCAGCGGGCGCGGCGTGCTACTCGACATCGTGCGGTACTACACCGACACCGAGGCAGGCGGCGCGCTGCCGTACGACCCGTGGACGACCTACGGCATATCGGTCGACGTGCTCCAGGACTGTGCGCGGAGGCAGGGCGTGACGTTCAGATGGGGCGATATCTTGTTGCTGCGCGTCGGGTTTATGCGGCGGTTCTACGCGGCGACTCAGGAGGAGCGGGACGACTTGGGGAGCGGGAAGCAGGAGACGCTGTATGCGCCCAATTTTTCTGCCCTTTGGCTGTGCGAGGTGGGTGGCTGATGGTGGTGAGTTTGTTGTTGTAGGGCTGGGATCGAGCAGTCGGAGGATATGAAGCGGTTTTTGTGGTAGGTGTTTTGATTTTTGAGCGTGAGGCTGCTGTGGAATGCTCAGAGGCATTGGATGTGAAGGAACAACCACTTTGCGGCTGTTGCTTCTGACCAGCCGGCTATCGAGGTTCGTCGTGTAACGGGATGCTGTTGAGGAGAGAACTGAAAAGCTTGCGCAGAGCTGGCCGCCTAAGGGCCCCCACATGCACCAGGTACGCGAGGGCCGAAAGTGAGAGGGCGCGAGCTCATCTTTAGCTCCATTGCAGACACTTCTTGCGTGAGATTCTTAACTCTGAGATGGTTGCTCCATCTCATTTGCTTCGTTAAGTCTATGGGGAATGCCAATAGGTGTGTGCATGTGCTAGCTGGACGTTGTGCGCTCGCTGACTCGAAGGTGGGTGACTAGGAGAGTTCTTCGACTTGGAAGCGCTGTCAAAGGCGTGCGCGGAGGCAGGGAGATACACGTTCTTCTTCTCGTCTTGGCCGCTGAACGTGTAAGCTACGCTCCTACACTCTCTCACTGCTTGCTCGCGTTGTTGACCAATTGAGCTGCACAGACTTGGCGGTGTCGCGAGCCCCCCGAATGCTGCGGTATGGTTGTGCATCTGCTACCCGGGACTATTCGCTGACGCTAGCTATCAGGCCTATTTGTGAGGGCGGAGAGCAGCGACTGTATATCGTCTTCCGATTCTCAGTGTATTTTGATGTCTATTATGAGCGTTGGAAAGGCACAGCTGTGAATGAATCAGCAAGATCGATCGATCGAGAGAAGAAGGACAGTTCGGACTACTTGGCCGCCTGACTTACATCCTCAAATTTAGTGCACCAGGTTCATCGCACCCCCTATTGGCGAGGTCACATTGGACGTCTACTTCAATTCTTGTCGTCGCATCCTGGGATTATCCAAGCCCAGCGAGAGCTTGTACATTCTAGCAGCCGTATGGGCCGCGACGGTGCTTAGTACGCAATGGTCAGCTGTCGATTGCCCAGCGACCTGGCACGTCATCGGACGAGGTCTTGACGCGAACAGTATCGCTAAGCCCGCTACAAATTAGCATATAAAACTCCCCCGCACTTCCTGATTACAGAAGCAACTCCCGATGCCTCTTCCGGAGAAGCTGCCCACGTTTGACGAGCTTCCCAGCTTCCACAACCTTACCGGCTGTGCCTGGGATGTCTGGGGCAAGGATGACGAGCTGGGCACGGTGAACCTCCTTACTGAAGATGTCGTCAAGGAGGCTGCGAAGGAGATCAAGTGCGTCACTTTCGCGTGCGCATGTGTAGGCAAACCTTGACATCGCGCCATCGTTGCAGGTCGGGCAAGACGATCTGTCTAAATTGGTAGGTTCACCGTATCTCCGTCGAAATTTGTAATGGTTCACTGAACATGTGTGTCCGCAGGCCAGTGAACTTCCCCAACAAGGTACTGCAATATCACGGACCATTGATTCGGTCCCCGCGCTGATTATGTCCGCCAAAGCCAATGTTTCAACGCCAGCCGCCGCATCTCGAGATGTGGAGCAAATGGCCGGCAGTTCACGACGACGCCCTGCACATCGTACGCTTACAACGATCTTTTTGATCGAAACCAGACCGCCAATGGTTCGCTGAATATTATATAGAACACGCAATCCGGCACCCAGTGGGACGGCCTTCGCCACTTTGGCATCATCGAGCAGGACGTGTTCTACCAAAAGTGAGACCTTCCCGGCCCTTCCGACACGTATACATCCTCACCCCTCTCACTAGCACGCCCAGCTCCTTCTTCCAAAAAGGCCACATCGTCCTACCCGACCCGACCAAAGTCGACCACAACCTCATCAAATACGGCATCCACAGTACGTCCACGACTCCCTCGCCCACCCACCGCAGCCCGGGTTACTAACACGCCAGCACAGACTGGGCGCAGCACGGGATCTGCGGGCGCGGCGTCCTCCTCGATATCGTGCGCTACTACACGGCCTCGGGAGACGCGCTGCCGTACGACCCCTGGAGCACGTACGGCCTCTCCGTCGACGTGCTGCAGGACTGTGCCAAGAGGCAGGGCGTGACGTTCCGCCCGGGCGATATCCTGATACTCCGCGTGGGGTTCATACGGAAGTTCCTGGCGGTTACGCAGGAGGAACGGGATGCGCTTGGGGGCAAGTCGGAGACGCTGTAGGTGTCGCTATTTCGTGAGGGAGGTGTCAGCGGGCTTATGGGATTCGCAATAGGGCGGGAATCGAGCAGTCGGAGGGAATGAAGCGCTTCTTGTGGTAAGGCTCGGCAAGTCTGATGTGAGCGCATGGTAGTGATTCCACGAGAACAGGGACAACCACTTCGCAGCTATCGCTTCTGATCAGCCCGCCATCGAGGTGCGCCGTTCCAGAACGTTGAAAAGCACAGACACGGTCGTGCTGATTGTTTCTCGTAGCGCTGGCCAGCGGAGGGGACGACCTTCCTGCATCAGGTACGTCGGCGTCCCATACTGTGTGCTTTTAAACCACGATCTCGAACATTTGCTCCGCCAGACACTTCTCGGGTGAGGTTTTATCATCGTGCGAGTGACCGTTGACCTGACGGAGCGTTCAAGCCTCTGGGGCATGCCGATAGGTATGTGATTGATCCCATGCGCTGAGATTCGGTCGAGCTGATGCCGTCTTTCTACGCAGGGGAGTTTTTCGACCTTGAGGAGCTGTCGAAGGTATGCGCCGAAACCGGAAGATATACCTTCTTCTTCACGTCCTGGCCGCTCAACGTGTAAAGTCTCCGTTACCGTTCTAACCCCGCGTGTGGCTGATCAATGACATGCAGCCTCGGTGGCGTCGCGAGTCCTCCAAACGCTGCGGTGAGTGCCTGAGAGCGATCTTCTGGAGCAGCATACTGAATTCGAATTAGGCATACCTGTGAAAGCAAGACAGCGTAATACATAATACAAGGCAGTGTGGAAGACTCGCCTTGACCTTCATGATTGTCCAACAGTGTACGATGAGGGTAAGCCATGCTACATAAGTAGATTGCGGCTAGAACTACAAGATGTTTATGTATTCTATGCATTCTCGCTGTGCGCGTCCCGAGGAACGTTACTCGAGATTTACAAGATGGTCATTCTGGGTCCTGCTGAAATGGACGAAAAAAGCAGCGTTTTCTACCGGCGCCGTGCGGAGCCACTGATCACATCGCTCTCCAGGTCCATCCCGCCGTCGAAAGACTCGTACATCGACAGGCGCCTGGATACCGGTCCCTGTGTGCTCACCGGCGGATAAGTATCGTCGTCGTCGTTCTCGTCATCGTCTTTGTATGCGTCTACTATTTCTTCGATATCCTCGGCACCTTCTTCAGTCGAAGAGCCGTTCGCATCTATATCGTCCTGGGGCCGCCGGGTAGAGCGCTCCAGCGCTTTGTCGGGTATCTGCACGGGCATCTTTTAGCATCTGCAACGGTGCATGATAAGACAAAGAAGAGTAGCACACCGGCAGACGGGCGATGTATGCCAGGAACGTCGAGCACGCCGCCATGAGGAACACGGCGCGCAAGCCCATGGCGTACGAATCTCTCGCGATGCGTTGGAGGTCAGGAGGAAGCCTCGCCACCAGTGTCGTAGAGTGTCGGATCTTGTTGATCATCTGCGTGTCATCGTGTGAGCGTCACAGGCAGGCTGCGGGCGGAATCACTTGGATCACCTCTTCAGCGTCGGGACCTTGGATGCGTTTGTGCAGTTCGGCGTTCAGGACGGAATGGAAGAGCGCGGCAGAGACGGCTACGCCAGAGACCTGGCCTGTTGGTGTGAGATTAGCATGCCAATATTTGGAGAATATACAAAGAGGCACACCGATGCCACGGAATAGCTGCCCGAATCCGGTGCCTACAGCCATCGACGACTCTGCCACATATTTTGTAAAACACAAGACGTTTGTGAAGCAATTGCAATCTCACCGGGCAAGTGCGCGAGGAGGGCGACTATTGCACAGGTTTGCAGGATAACCAGCTGAATCTACCTGATAAATGATGAACATCGCATGACTTACTGAGCATGGTCTGCAGCACGACAGCATTGCCAAAACCCAGAGGGATCTAAGCAGTATAACATGCGATGCTTTCATCCCAGTGTTGAAAACTCCAGACATGGTAAGCGACGTACGATGCTGAGCCAGAGCTGCGCCGGCGGCGAATCCTCGCGCATGAGACTCAGGAGGATCGCTGCAGTGAAAGGAAACAGGCCGAAGATCAAGTTTAGTAGCTTGTACTTGCCCGTGCGATGCATCACCCATCTGATAATTCAGGTCTAGCGGTATGCCAGCAAATGATACAAGAGACATTACGTACCCCGCAAACAGCGAGCCCATCGAGATCGATACGCCATTCGGTATCAAGTGTGCACCTATCGGCAGAATCATAAGTACAACGCGCAGCGTAGCTGTCGGACAAAGTCAAAGCCATAAACAACACTTGCCCGCCTCGCTCGCGCTCGTAAGCAACACCGTCTGAAACCATGTGGGAAAATTGTACATGACAGTGAAGTTGCATGTTGCCACGAGGAAGTTGCTCGTCCCGACGAGCACCGGTATCTTCTGCCTCAGCAGGTATGGCGCGAGGACAGGCTCGGGCGCGATGCATATCTCAAAGACCACAAAGGCTATCGAGAAAACGACAGCAGAGATTACTGGGACGTAGACGGAAGGAAAAGACCACTGTATGCAGTAGTTATAAACCGACAGCATCCATAGAATCCGTATGACATACCGGGTGTTCTTCGCTGAAGCGAGTGCTTAAAAACACGAGCACAGATAGGACCTGAGTGACATTGTTAGCATATTTCCCGTTGACAAGGAACATGAGACGTACCGCGCCCATCAGGGTGAAGCTTCCACCATAATCAATGCGTTTTAGGACTTCGCGAGTGCTCTTGCCTTTACCCTACGCCGCACGTTTGGAAACCTGAGACAATGACAGTTCGCTAGTAAATGGCTTACTGGAGTGACATAGTTGAGGTTGACGGATGTCAAAATGAACGAGATCAAGAAGAGCGGAAGTTGCATGAGAAACGCCCATCTCCAGCCAAACCTACGTCGAATAGTTACCGCAACCGTTAGCAAAGACGGAAGATAGTGGATCACCTATCGCTTATGAAGCCACCTAGAGGGCCACCAAGTCCCATCCCAAGCTAGTTTACGATCCGTTAGATCATGCAATATTGCGATATCGCACTGGACGCTCACACTGTTGAAGACAGCGGAAACGCCCTGCGTAAGACCTCTAGACTGAACGAACGTACATTGTTAGCGACATGCGGATGCATATATGCGCATACATGTGTCGCTGAACTCACCCTCAAACTGTACATATCGCTCGTAATGATCCTGTAGGGTTATCAGCTATCGCTCCTTCGCTTGCGATCGAAGCCACACATACGTCGCAGTGGTGTTTATTCCTCCACCTCCCAGGCCCCCGAGCTAACTCATCATTGTATGAGGAACACAGACGACGGCAATCAGACGGTCGCATCTACGCACGAATCTCGCTGCTATCAGCACCTCCATACTCCCAGACAAGCCGCACGCAGCCGTACCGAGAGCTGCAAAGAACACTGCAACCTGGTTCGCGCCTCTCCGACCCATGACATTACACAACCGCCCATACAAAGGAGTGAATGTGGAGGTGGCTAGCAGATAGCTTTGTGGACGGGTGGACGAGTCAATCATAAGAACAGAACTCCCATGTTATATTAGAAGTGACGTACGCAGTACCAAGCCAATGGGCTTGATGAGATTTGTTGAATTCAGAGGAGATCGAGGGAAGAACTGGCCGTTCACGTTCGTGAGCTACAAACCAAGGAGATATTACAACAGTACTGACGGGTAGCCACGAGCGTCGCTGATCAGACATGTCAATGAGTTCTTACTATAATATGCTTTCTACACCATCCTAGACTTACTATTGAGTGACTGCACAGTTATGTGCCGATTAAATGCAACATGTCGTACTGAGCACGGGACTAGAATCATTCAAATGGAGGACGTACCGAAAGAAACGTTCCTGCCCATATGCCAGCCAAGATGCCATAGCGAGTGGAACGCGATATGTCCAACGGCCCGACTCTTGAAAAATCCTTGGTATCGAGAGGTGATAGCACCGCTCCCGCAAGAGCACTGGGCTGGGCAGAAGCAGCTTCCAGCAGCGGTTCACGTTCAACGGCAGATGCGCTCCGCGTCAAGACCGATACTTTGGATTTGGCCTTCATAGTGCCGCGGACAATCAGTCAACGACCGTGAAAAGCTTTGACAGTTGAGTCGACACTTCGGGTAAACATCGCCTTTGCCTCGTCGGCAGTGCACTTATATATAGAGAGACGCAGTGGATGGCGTTCTCAAGCGCCATCGAGCAGCGGCATCATCGGCAACGGCTTTTCCGGGATCGTATAACATGCACTTGGTGAGCTCCATGCTTTGGTTAGCATTGGCATTCTGCAAAATCTCCTCGTAATTGTTGGCCAAATCACTTCAGACCTCCCAGCAACGGTGCGCAGATATCTCAACCGACTATATAACCAAAAAGATCACCAAAATGTCAGGATTGCAGCCTATCGGAAAACTTCCGATTGAGAGGGTGCCAAACAGAAGAGTAATGCGAAGATTCACATCTTGCCGTAAAACTCCGACAACGGCTTGCGTCGGCACACGCGGCAAGTTTGGCAGGTGCCACTGATGGTGTGAATCGGACTTCGAAAGCGGCAGCGGTTGGCTGACGGCTGTCAGCCTGGTCAAGCATACTGGCTCACAAACTTCATGCCCAGACTTTTTACAATGTGAATGGAGTCTATGTGAAGGTTCATCATGAGGTTACGGTCAATAGGATCACTGAATCTAAGGACTTTCATCGGAAATCAGCCACTGTTGAGAACGCGGGCGCAATGATTGTCCTTACAAAGTTGCACAACGCCGCGGCGACCACCTGTGAGGGTCTCCTCCATGCCAAAAACGTTAACAGCATCATTGTCCTTTTATTTAATCTGAGTGGACTAGAGCTCCAGAGATTTTTCAAACCATAGTAAACCTTGAACAGGCCATGTACAGAATTCGATTGCATAGGCTGTATGCAATGCAGAGGGTCTCCAACGCCAAGAAAAGAAAATCACGTTTTGTAAGTCTAATGGTGGATTACAACTTGGAGAAGTGGTGCCCGACGTCTCGGAACGCCCACGGAAAAGAGGTAGGACATGGACTGGGCAGCTCGCCGCATCCTCATATCGACAATCCGCGGGTTCAAGCATTAGCGATGGAGGAAAGGAAAGTCACATCGATCGGAGGTGTCCATCGTCGCCTCTTGTTCTAGCCGACGCGGGGTATGCGCCGACTGCGCAGGCTGAGGTTGCTAGCAGCTCGAGTACCAGTGGCAGGAGTATACGTTGTTCTTGCCTGCTCATCCTGCTTGCGGGACCTCTCCTCCCTTGCACGCGTGCCCTGCAGAGGAACACTATCGCTATCAGAAGTAATTGTACCGCGTTCAGCTGCCTGGCCAAAGCTGTTGACGGGTGTCGAAGGAGGTCGCTGCGACGCGGACACAGCAACATTTGCAGGATACGATGCTGCTTTGAGAGAGAGGGATCGCATTGCCCCGCCGGATATGTCGGTCAATACTGCGAAGGACGATCGGGACCGTTGAGCATGAGGACCGCTGGGAGTGGCCATAGGGTTATTGACTGCTCGTAGAGAGAATGTAGACCTCGCACTGCGCTGTATTGAGGCTTGCGGACTTGCATGCGCTTCCCTCGCTGCAGAGAGCAGGCTCAGGTGGGTGCGTTCATCATCGCTATCGATGTCCTCGAACGGATGACGCTTCTGTGAAGCATCACCTAGCGTATTCTCGACCTCCTCAGCATCTCCACTCGTGTTGCTTCTGGAAGGGGCATCTACATCTACCCTCTGAGAAACCTGTGGGGCGTTCTCGCCAGTAGTTGATCGTTCTCTTGTTCGTGATTCATGGATGGGCGCCGAATGGATTAAATGTGACTGCGAAGACTTGATAGCGGCATCAGCAGCTGGAGCATCGTCCGGCTGTTGGACTTGGGTCGGCCCAGCGTAGCGATCATCTTTATCTTGCTCAGCACCTGTTGATTCACGCTGTTGCTGCGCCGTTCCGACGAGAGTGGCCTGGGAACTCGTTGTAGCCTGAGAGGGGCGATGGGGCTCTGAGGGATGCGTGCCTCGATATGCGTGACGGGGTCGCGGACGTGCTTGACTGATGGATCTCGGAGTCCCTTGCGTATCGAGGCGCCGAGCTGGGGATGTCCATTGGGTGCCAGATGGTCCCGCATCCTCGGGACCTATTTGCCTGTTGTCTGGTGATCGCTGAGACCTGTTTCGATGGTTATCCGATGTTCCGCCAAAAAAAAACATGACAACAGAGAGTATAAAACTGATTACTTACAATTCGAAACTCTTATCGACATCTAGCTCGAACTGCACTTCCAACAACTCATCTTGAGGGAGCAAATCATCACTTGACCTATCAAAAATGCCTCCAATTTCAAAGAGCGACGCCCTTACTGCCCGACCAGATGCAGGAGTTCGTGCCCTTCGTCCCTGCTCCACCGGAGAGCTACGCAGATTGTCGTCCGTGTGTCTAGCCCTTTTGCTCCGCTCTTCTTCATCGTCCTGCTCATCATCATCGCCTGCGGAGTGTCCGCGCTTCCGACCATCGCCAAGCAAAGCCTGCTCGACGTCCGCCGCGGAGTCGTCTTCCTCCTCTTCACCTGAGACCTCGAAGTCTTCGATCCTGTAGAGCTGTTTCTTCGGATTTAGGAATCGAGTACGTTCGTACAGGCCCTTTCCATCGGGACGAGGAGGATTTTCCTCCGCCAAAATGTTGATAATTGGATCGAGGATCGCATGTCTGTTTCTGTATCGCTCCAGCCAGGACCACGCTGTGTGCCGCGCGGCCCACCTTCTATGCCTAAACTGCTCAAGGTCAGGGCATGCGTGTCGCTCAATGGTCTTCGCGATATACCTCTTCACTGGAAGCGACCAGCCTTCGGTAGATTTCTGGCCCAAACCTCCCACCAGCTTCAGCATCCGGGATGACAGATGCTAGAAACTCGCAGAGATGTCGATCATCCTCAGGAGTAAACGCAACGCGCCTGAAGGAGCCTCGGCCCACGGTTCACTGGCAGAAAGGTTGCATGCGACTTACCTATACCCTCCAGGCCGCCCACCCATTCCCTTGCGCATCGGCTTGGATAGATTCTTCTCATACTGCTTCGTGTTAATACAGATCCTCACGAATTTCAGCTCTTCTACCCAGACCGTTCGCGAATCCCAGTACTTTCTTCTCAGAGTATCGACACCCTCAAGGTGGACAAGGATCGTGTCGGCTGACTCTTCCCTGTCGGTAATCTCTCCACCGTGCTCCTGTAGAATGACAAGATGAGGATAACACTTTTGACAGTATGTAAAGAGCACTCCTCTTACTGTGATTCGGATAGATAACGCCTCGACCTCTCCTGGGGTAAGTCTGCCAAGGCCCAAGGTCTTTAAGTGAAATCGCGCTGGTCTTCCATTCATTGTAAAGAGTTCTGTCATATCAATGTCCTATAATACAGCTATATGAGCAGCTTCCGTATAGGGTACGGCATCGCTGATCTGACCTCGCGCAGACGATGTGGCGGATTAGGTCTATCGACGATCTCCGCATTGTGTTCTTCTCTTTCTTCCTGATCCACGCTGAGCTGTCTTGCTGTTCGCGCCATCAGATTTCTGTCGGATACTGTCTAGCGTCAGGACCGATGACAGGCTTTTGAGACGCACGCCCTGTTTGGCAGGAGGCATCAAATTCAAACTTTGAACAGCGCGACGCGCAGCCCATGTGACCGGGAAATGCAGAGATGAACTGGCTCAGTTCTCCCTGAACCAAACCGAACTAACGCGAGCAGTGCTCTGGGCGCATGACCCACACGCGTTGATGGCTTGATGCACTTGCGGCCTGTTCATCGCAGGCATTGCTCCCATCGCGCCTCCGTACCGCCATCTGGATCCCACCCCCTCACTCACTGCCAGCCGCGATGAGCAGGCGACATCCGCGTGTATCAATTGACACCAGACAAAACGACACCCTCCTCGAGTTCGAGAACTGTTGCGTGCCTTTCCTACCCCCATTTCGAACTTACCACTAACCGTGGAATTGTACCGCATCGCAGTCAAGAAGAAATTCCTACTTGCGAACAAGCATATTACCAAGTACGTGGGCACCGTGTTCATGGCGCCGCCAGCGTGTTAATGAGTTCATGTTCGAATAGGCTCAATTCAACACTCAGTGTTCGTATCGAGGAACTCAATGCCCAGATATCCACGCTATACGTCGAGAACTTGCGGCTCCGCGCCTCTGAGATCGCACTATCCTCACAGTTGAAAAAGGAGCGAGAGAGGTCGAGGAAGATCATAGCGGATGCGGAGGCAGCGGTCAGTATTGCTGTGATTAGCCTTTGCTCGCTCACCCATGTTGTCCCGGTAGACACACAGTCTCATCAAGCAACTGGGACATATCCGCAAGACTTTCAACGTGCAACGCTCCCCGAGTCCTGAGGTATCGCCTCCGCCACCACGCGCGAAACGACCCGTTCCAGGTCCCAACTTATCGCCACTGCCGCCTCGCCTTGCCAGAGCGCCAACATTCCCAGGTATTTCCGAGGAGGATGAAATGAACATCTCGCCCCCGGAGGCTGACGTAGAAGAAGGCGGCAAGAATCTTACGCCGGTCCGACGTCGGAAGTCCAAGCCACGTTCGTCGGATCCTCGCTTCTACATTCCACCACGAACGGACTCTTTATCATCCAGTCTCGATGCTCCTCGTCTCGATTTTGACAACCAGCTCAACAAGGTTGGAAAGCGAAAACCGACAAGGAGGCAGAGTGGACTACTCACCAGCATGTCGATCACGACCGTTACACCAACCGGATTCACCACGGAAGTCGTCCCCCCACGACCGCCAAGCCCCGCGTTCGGTTCACCATTCAGGCTTTCAGCTGGTATAGAAGAAGAAGCAGAGGAAGCGGCGATAGGGAACGAGGATGGGGAAGAAGTTGAAGTGATTCTGAAAAGCATCAGCAGAACTGAGAAAGAGCGAAGGAGGGAGCGTGAAATCGAAGGAGATTTAGACAGAGAAATTGGCGCTGTTGATGACCGGCCAAGAGAACGGGAGCGGAAGCGACCAAGAAGTTCGGATGAATCTGTCCCAGCGGGCGGCAAATCCAAAGTGAAGGATGGCGCAAACGCTCGAGGAATTTATAACGCACAGCCACCTTCGGAGTCTCGCAATAGTAAGTTGCCGTTGAGTTTTACGCTCCCCAGACTCATTCTTATATTATCGTTGCGCAGATCTTCAGCGGCGACTTACTTCCGAGTATGACGTACCGACGATCGGCAATGCCGGTTTTACAAGTTCATCTTCGACTTCTGCGCGATCATCGATGCACATAGCCACCGCTAGATCAACTATAACCAGCGTCACGCAAGGTGTCCCGTTGCCGACCCCGCGATCGTCAAGCCCTGCTCCTGCGCCCGCTCCGACTGACGAAGAGCCGCCAGCTGGACGCGAAAGGAGGGTCCGAAAGAGCATCAACTACGCTGAACCAAAGCTCAACACGTGCGTTTCGTGCCGCTGTAATTGTGGATCCACCTCACTGATCACATGCGTTCTGTAGCAAAATGCGTAAACCGGACCCTGCACCTACTGCGCTCAAGCGCGTGGCCTCTTCGTCCTCAAGTGACAGTAACAGCGCCGGTTCCCGCGCCTCGCCCGAATACGTCTCCTCGCAACAGGTGTCATCCATGATAGATGTAGGCACCTCTGCGCAGCCGGTGGTGGGCGTCAAGCGCAAGAAGTCCCGCGCGTACGTCCTGCAGGAGGATGGGGAGGAAAGTGAGGGTGCGCAAGCCGATGCAGAATTTGGCGGTCTGAGAGGAGGAAGCGGCTGGGTCAACCTGGATGGGAGAAGACGCAGCGTTCACGGCAGCTCGAGCTTACGGCGCATCGAGGGCGACGATACCAGGCGACACAGCATGGCTGTCTAGCAACACCGACTTTACGACTTCGAAATTGCAAATGCCACGACTCCGATGAGATGGACTGTTGTATATCTGCTAGCCTGGGGTAACAGATGTCTGTGTTTTGTGTGTTAATATTTTATGATTGATTACTGTCGTATCGACGAAGCCGGCAAGTAGAATATTGTATGACACGGATAAATGTCGTTGTACCCTCGATATTGCGTTCCGGTGTAGAATTAGTGTTATTTTGAAGGTCGTGTCGGTACATGGGGAGGTGTGGAATACCCGTTATCAGTCTGCGAATGCTACTCGTTTTCGTATAGGTTTACGGTCAACATCCCCGGCCGTTTTTAGAGTACGATTGTCTGCAGGTTTCAACTTGGCGGCCTTCAAGGCTTGCTTCTTTTGTTTAGCTTTCTCTCTTTTTGCTCGTGCTGCTTCTGCGGCAAGAGTGGCCTTCACCTCCTTCTATAAAACCAGCTCAGGCTGAAATCGCCTGGAAATAGGACTCTGAGAGTCTCACCAGCCGGCTCTGAGAACCTGTTTTCTTTGGCATTTTGGAATGAGACTTGGTAGCGATAGCCTGGTAGAGTCCTGTCAGTCCACACTAGCGAGAATCCGACAGTTGAAGAGCCGAGACGGCTGCCCACCTGCACCGTCTGGCGATGGCGCTGTAGTCTCTTGAGTGATTGTTCCTCCTGGGTGTCTGCCACCGTCTCGGCTAATCGGAGGGCTGCATCCTGGAGGATTGAAATGCACATGAATATAAAATGCTAGTCAGCTTGATGAAATCTCAGTCACCTTGGACTGAACGAAATTTTTCGGTCTCTTTCCCTTGCCTTCCTCCTTCTGTCGACCTCGTTCCAAACTACGTACCATAGGAGAATGCTGCTGACATGCGGATAGCAGACGGAACTGTAGCCAGCCGTATTTGAAGGCCTTCGCCACAGTTTAGCGCCACTGATATGTGCACGTGGCGGTGGGCTGCCTTGTATGGGCATGTATGTTGGGCGTTGAACTGGCCGCGTCCACGCATTGTCCATCAGCAGTCGACTCGCAGGTCCTCTCTAACGGGACCTTCGTTCGTTTCTTGTTTCTTGGTGGAATATCTCGTCATGAACAGCCTGTCGCAGCCATCCACTTCTCTACCATCGTCTGCCTCTCAGAACATCAAGGATGGCCTCCGTCTTGCCCAACGGCTCTCACAGAGACATCTGGACATTGTCTCTCTGCCTCAGGAGCTCTATCCTGCATCTGCCACATACCCACGAGATGAGGCTCGCGTGGACCGGATCAACCACGCAGTCGCATACGCAATGACCTTGACCGAGGGCGACCCGACTCATCCGAAGTGGGGTTATGTCTCCCGGCTTATGCACCTGGCGTGTACGAGCAGGGGCTACGTAGGGGCTGCGCCCGGTGTAAGGGTTGGTGACAAGCGCAAGTTCGAGGTTGAAGACGTTGAGTGGATACTTCCCGAGACGGTGGACGAGTGGCGGGACTATGAAAGAAAATGGGGCCATAAATTCCGCAGATCCACCCTGGACGCCGGTAGCGTGTCAAAGTACTGGAGAGTCGTTCCAGGACGCGATGAGAGACAAGACTCGACAAAGGTTGTGCCTCCAGTGAGCAAGGCTGAGATAATCAGAGAGAAGGTGACCATTTGGCAAGCAGCCGTCCTCCCTGCGGGGGACGACATTTCGACTTCCAAGGGATCCACAGAAACACCTATCACAAAGGTAGACAAGGGGAAAGGGAAGGCAAGGGACCTCGATCCGCCAATGCAAGGCGACAGAGCTCAGAGACCATTAACATTCACCGTTGTCAAGCGCTCTGCCGATATGACCAGCAAGGGTAAGAATGTGGCCACAGATCCGCCCAAAATGTCGTGGAAAGCTCGATCCCCCATGGTCAGAGCCTTGCCTGCGCCGGCTTCTGCGATTGTTCACAAGGACAACCCCGCGTGTGACGGCGCATCTACATCATATCTCGGTAAAACACCGGCGGCCATAAAGTTGCGAACCACTGTCGCACCTACAGAGGTCCAGTCGGCGAATGTCGGGAAATCCCCCTCGCCGGCACCTGAACCATGCGCAGTTGTTGAAGAACCAGTATCATCTACCTCACATCCAGAGTCATCGGGTCACATCAAGATCGCAGAACTGTCGGAGATGGTGAGCAATGTTTTAAAGTATTCTCCTAGGATCTGCACTGAGCATTTGGTCCGTTCAGTCATTCATGCCACCGTCATTCCCACCCCAGCTACAAACGTCCACTCCTCAGCGGGTCGATGTCCCAACGGCAGTCAAGCCGCGACACAAGCCCTCGCCCATTGTGCTACGTTCATATCCTTCCTCTCCTCTATCCTCGCCACCTCCGACACAGAATGTGCCTCTGGATGTACGCTCCTTTAGCGTGCCTCCCTTTAGTCCGACGAGGAAGGCCACGAAACGGCGCATTTCAGATGCTGCATCGCCGAAAGATGCAGTACAGGGTGAAGCTGACATCTCGTCACAGGAGATTTTCTATGAGGCGCCTTCCAAAAAGAGGCCTCGCGTTACTCCCGAGACCAAGTCGGGCACTCCGCCGCCATTATCAACCCCTCCACGAGAGACTACCGCGATAGTTGACGAGCCACTGAGACCGTCGACCCCTGCCAACAATAATGAGCCGAGTCGCCACATTGCGTCCGCTGCCTTGCTCGATGGTGAACCGGCGGCGCGGCCGACCACTCCAATCGGCACGAAGGTACCGGTGGACGTGTCTACCTCCTTGCCAGCGGGTGGGCCAGTTGCTGGGCCATCGACTCCCGTTAACGCCAGAGGACTTGGTAATGCGAAGGGATTACCTGTCCCTACCACTCCTACTCGGAAAGCATTACCTACGTTGACAGAGTTGTTAGCATCATCAAGGCGTTCGAAACCTCGTCCACGTCCTCCTTCACGTAAGACGGTGAACCAGCCTCAAGGGAATGCTAGCGTGCAAGGAGAGAATGCTCCCGAATCAGCGAATGTCCATGTAAGCGACGAGTCTAGAGAGCCATCACCCGCACCCACAAGGACATATTTTTCATCCCCCGCGTCCGCCTCTCCTGAATCACCAGCGAACATTCGCTACCGTCCCCGTTCGCCGGTCTCCCCATTATTCACGCAGAATCTTTCGGCGTTCGCGCCTCCTTTCATCTCCTCACAGCCCTTCAGCGCTCGACATGGCGACCTCATCAGTACAGGAAGCTTCGTGGGCGGGCAGGGCCAGCAAAGTGGGCAAGGAAGCAGCAACGTTTTTGCGATGCAGTATAACTCGCAGTTCGATGTGGAAGGGCAGGTGGACCGGGTGAGCGAGCTGCTCGATCGTGACGTCGACTTTGGTGGGTGGCTTCGCGATATCCCGGAGGAAGAGGGAGAGAACCAGCCGCTGACGAAAAGCCAGGACGAGGTCGTTGGATTCTAATTGTGTCGCAATCCAGGAATCGCGGAACCATGCTATCTGTGTGCTTGGCTTACTTCTGTCGGTGTCGCGTTGACTATGATTATATATATTTAGCGAGAGACAACACGAGTGGGGGCCAACATTGCTATCTGTACCGGTGTAGGGTTCCCAATGCGACTCGTTCTCCCGTTCTATGGCAAGTCGTTGTAATCGTACCTATTGTGGCAGTCCAGCTACCTGGGATATATGTACTTAGGTAGGTAACGATTCCATTTGACTGTTGAGAGCCTCGTGGAGCGTCTTCTTGGCGCTACGAGCAATCGCCGTCTTCGATGGACAATGCTAGAAGACGACCTCCACTTCCATGTGATGAGGCTTCTCACAGCCAATGTTCTGCTTATCATGATACAAGGGGCATCTTATATGGGGACTTAGCCATACATTACGACATTGGAACGCACTATGGACGCTTATATACGGTCCTAGTCATGCCCGCAGCGTATAAAGCAATCTTGTTGCTGTACGGTACGCGTGTCCTCCCTTACAGCACTAGTCGTGCGCGAATTCCTCCAAGACATGGCCCCCCATACAAACCCCGACCGGGTCTGGTTCAGTGAGTGCTCTCACACACTCGAGAACAATACCTCGTTGCTAAGCCTTGGCTTGGACAGTCACCGGCACCTCGAAGGGCTTGGGCAGAGCGCTGCTTGAGGAAGTCCTAGCCTCCGGAGAGAAGGCCGTCGCTACCTTGCGTCGACCGGAGGATCTTGCTTCTCTCTCGGGGAAATATCCCCCGTCGCAGTTTCTCGTGCTTCGATTGGACGTCACGAATCAGCACGAGATCAAAGAAGCATTCAGCCAGAGCAAGAAGCAATTTGGCCGCCTTGACGTTGTCGTGAACAATGCAGGGTATGCCCTGGAAGGCGAGATTGAGACCGTTCCTGAGGAAGAAGCGAGGAAGCAGATGGAAGTCGCCTTTTGGGGCCCGGTTCACGTAACGAAAGAGGTCTGCTTCAGTCAGTATACGTAGGAACAGCAGCTGACTCGTGGCCAGGCCATCCCGTTTCTAAGGGACATCAATCCTCCGGGACATGGAGGCAGAATCTTGAACGTATCGTCTATCTGTGGATACTCAAGTAATCCAACTTTGTCTTACTACTGTGCGGCGAAGTTCGGTGAGCGATGCTTAAAAGTGCGATGGTCAGAATCTTGCTGTTTACCGTACGATGTTACAAGCTTTGGAAGCATTCACGGAGTCATTCATCAAGGAGATGCTACCGGAGTGGAATATCAAAGGCGTCATCATAGAGCCTGGAGGATTCCGCACCGAGTGGAATAGCAGCTCTATGATGCGTCTTCCGGTGCATCCAAAGTATGACACCCCCGAGTCCCCCACAGTCCAGTTCAGGAAGATGACAGCGCAGACATTAATTGGAGACCCCGCGAAGGCAGCTAAAGCAATCATGCAAATCGCTGACCTTTCGGATCCCCCGTTGAGGATCCAGCTAGGCACAGAATGCTTGCTAGTCGTGATGAAGAAAGCACTGAAGACTATCAAGGACGGCGAGAAATATGCAGAGCTGGCACATTCCACGAATGCCGATGGCGTTGACAAGGAGTCCGTGTTGGAGATGTTCAAAGAAGTTAACAGTTGAATACATTTTGGGGATCGTGTGGCCAAATGTTCGAAAGGTGTCGTACTAGTGAGCAACAGAATGTGATCGCGTTCTTTCAGATACTGTGAAGCTAAATAATGCCGAGGCTGTCTATTGCATCGCTAGAGGTTGCTGCCACCACTCGGCCATCAATCGCTGTAATGTCCAGAGTTCCGAGAACGGTGAGATGATTATTGACAACTCCTTTGCTCCGGACTTCGCCCCATGGCCTCTCAATCAAAATGATCACAGGCTCCAGACTTTTCTGGTTCAAGGAACGAGAATCTCTTCGCCCTTACACTACGCTACAGCAAAGTTCGATAAGCTACTAGATATTGAATTGGCGCGCTCGACATGCGAGGCTCATGAAAACCCGCACCGACTCTCTCACTGTATCACGCAGGATTTGCCTTGAGGTCTTCCCTGCTTCGCCCACTTGAAGTGACATCTTCGTCACGGACATCAACTGGTGAACATATCACCATTTCTACAAAGCCCAGACTTCCATATTTACATCCGTTATATGTGGCAACTCAACCCAGGACTGGTGCTCTCGTTCATCATCCTTCTTGTCTATAAATTCCTTGCAGTCGTTGCATAAATAAGGAGGGGCGTCGCGTCCGAGGAAGGATCTGAACGAGTTGCAGTAGAACAACGGGCCATCCTCGGGGTCCAGTAAAATTTCTCGAAATTTGCTTAATCCACGCGCGCAGCCGCTTTCGTTGCTGCAGTTGGGACTGCATGCCTTGTACAGCGAAATGGATTTGAGATCGTGCGCATGTATGCGCTGTCGGGTTTTGAATACTCTGATGACGTCTTCCTTGGACAATTCATCGCGCGAGCCATCTTCTCGAGCGACTCCATTCACGATGAGTTCTTCCTCCAGCAAACAACATCCGAAGGTAGCAAGCGGGAGGATTGTGTCACTTTGCGTGAGCCGCGCGAGGTTCAAAGCAGCGATTGCATCCTCATTCGTCATCGTCATCGTGGGGCTTGCGTTCGCCGTCCAGTGATGGAGATCGCTCCGTCTGTTAGAAAAACATGATTTAAGACGAGCCAGAGCACCTTCCAGAACATCGGCCATTTGATACTTGTGGCCTAGTCGTATCAGAGACGCGACAGTCGAGAAGGGTAAGGGTGCATGGGATGGATGAAGATATCTTCATGAAGATGAAGTCAGCACATTCAATGATTTGACCATGAAATGCACATACTTCCTGCCATCGTAGAGGGTGGATAGTAAAGCGCTGACATCTGCGGAGGAATCGTGAAGCCGCACGACCGGGCACCCGTCCGATTCCTCAGATACAGAGCCTTGAGGGATATCAAACAAATCCCGAAAGACGACAGAGTTGCGGCAAAGGATGCTGATATGGACTCGGAATGAGACATTGCCAGCTTCCAGGATGACGTTGCCATCGTCAAACCAAAAATCCGAACTCCTGGTGCTCATGGGCGCGTTTGACATTTGTTACAGTTTACAGCTTCCGATGTCTTGATACTTCGGAGTTCTGAACTATGAACGATATTTCAAACGTTGGGATCGCAGTCCAGACTCCAGCGATCAGCCTATAGAGGATATTTGAAGAGCGGCTTTAATTGATTTCCCCTGGGGTGAGTCCTTGTTCACAGTACGCAATGCAAAATTCTCTGTACCTGCAAGGAAATTGGATCGATGTCTCGCGATATGTCGGAGGACGAGGACAGCACATAAAAAGCGAACTCTAGTCTCCCGTGGGCAGACAAAGACAATCCCTTCAACCTCCTGTCGGGCGAGTCCACGCAAGTGCGTTCTGTCACATACACGTGATCTGTGACATCACACGTCCCACAGCGTCGAGTAACCTCGCGGACCCACATCCTTTAGCGTACTGGAGCGTGTTTACACCGACATTGTCTGAGACAGTATATACAAAGCCATGACACGAAATTGAGTGCCTCGGGCGATACAGGAGCAGCATTGGGCGCAAGATTATTGTGAACCAGGGCTAGAGAGGATGACGCAGCCACTGGTAGCTTGACTGAATATATCGACCAAGGCAATATGCGAACGAGGAAAACGTTGAGGGAAGACAGCGGCCATAAAGGCAACATCGAATTCACTAGGCAGCTCTGACGCAGCAGAGCCCTCTGCATCAAAATTGAAAACCCAATCAAAATATTCTCATGAAAAATGCACAAATCATACCTCATAGCTCGACCAAATTCACAGTGACTCTCATCAACGACGATAATTCAAGCCAAATAACTGATCTTCTTGCGAAATGCCTGGAGAAGATCAGTGGCGAGCACATTCTGTTTAGTCGCTGATTCATCCCTCAGGAGAGTGAGAGAATGACAAGATGTGAATGAATCTCTGTCGTATACACCGCTGTGAATCAGATGTGCACATGATTGTGGCGACATGCAAATGGGGCGGAGCATAGAGAGCTTCTGCTTGCCTCGCAGAACGCTGATGATATCCTCTGGTCTAGCTTGTCCATCGTATTGTCAGCGCAAGGGAAAACCACGCAAAAGCTGCTCTTCATGAGGAGGCAGCTTTAAAGCAGTGCAGTTGGCGGAATTGAGTCAATTTGCGTTAGGTGTGCTAGAATGGTGGCCACAATGGCGTGTTGATTACGCATAGCATGGTAGGGGTATAGTTGTTTTTCTAGAACTCGATGTCTCTCCATTGAGATGACAAGACGCCTCGAGATATCAGTCAATTGATATTTGCGCGCGAAGCGGGCAAGGGACGCGACATGGTAGGGAGATGTTGGTTGGTCGGGATTGAAATGTCTGCTGTCTGCTGGTGAATAAAGTCGCCAGGCCTTTCAACATGGCAGAAAAGAAACCTACATGCTTGCTTGCGTCCATCATAGAGAAGTCATATGATGATGTTAACGACACCAAAAGAGTCCCAAAAGCGAAATACTGGACATCCGTCCAGCAGTTCAGGGATCGACTCCAGTGCGGGACCTGGAGCAAATCGCGCAGAGCTAGAGATTAGCCTCGAGACAAGTGAATGAACACGGAAAACAAGATTCCCGACTATGACAATTATGTATCTTTGTTAAGTCCTCAGTGTTTCCGGTGTCGGGATCTTGGAAAGTACACTGTCGTTCCTGGGCCCTTCGTTTTCAGGATGCTCGGTCGACATGACGAATCCGCAGCGTTGGCAGTGAGCTACGTGTGGCCGTGTGTATGCATTGTTCAGTCAGCTTGACAAAAAGAAAGTCAGTTACTTGCTGGCGTCTACAATCGTTAGCTTGTATACTGATGTTACTTACGTAACACAAATGGCGCTTTTTGCGAACAAGATGCAGAGCCTACGCACATCTTTCATCCGACGTCCACGTCGTCCGCACCGTTGTCTGAAGCATTCATTTGCTTCCAGCCCTCCTCCTGCTCCAACATGGCCGCCTCTCCATCCCAGCAGTACGCCTGTGAGTTAACCCTTCCCTGAACGTTTAGTTCGCTTCTGATGGCTCCTCAGACCGCGCCCAGAAATCCCTCGGTCTTGTTGGCGGCACTCCAAACTATGAGCCCATCGACAGCTTCCAGGGACCAGATGACCCCGCACGCACATACAAATACAGCCCCGATGGCCGTCTTTTTGCATATGCTGTGCCCTCTGGCGTCCGCATCCACCAGGCAGAGAGTGCACAGCTGCTGCAGGAGCTCTCACTCCCCAACATCGTCGACATCAGCTTTTCCCCGCGTGGTACCTACCTTTCGACCTGGGAGCGACCAGTCAAACTCGAAGATGGCGCACAGCACAAGAATCTAAGGGTCTTCTCCGTCTCGACTGGCGAAGAGCTCGTGGCGTTCACGCAGAAGTCGCAGGAGGGCTGGGATTTGCAGTACACTATCTCCGAGTCCCACGCAATCAGGCTCTTGGGGCAGGAGATCCAGGTCTTCCATCCTGCAGAGTGGTCTAGCGGCGTTGTGGACAAGCTGAAGGTGGAGGGTGCGTCAAGTGTAGCATTGAGCCCGGGCCTGAACCCATCGGTGGCAGTGTTCATTGCCGAGAGAAATGTGTGCAGTTCAGCCTTGCATGTAGTCAGCTGGTCAGCTCACGTATCTACAGGGCGCTCCTGCCAGCGTCAAGATCTACAGCCTCATGGGCCTTAACGCCCCGCCGACGTGCCAGAAGACTTTTTTCAAGGCCGACAAGTCGCAGATCATATGGAACACGCTCGGGACGCAGGTGCTCGTCCTGACACAGACTGAGGTCGACCAGGCGAACAAGAGTTACTACGGCGAGACCGGTGGGTTGTACTTAATGAGTGCGGTAGGCAACTTCGACTGTCGTGTGACGCTCGACAAGGAGGGACCGGTTCATGACATCGCATGGAGCCCGAATTCGAAAGAGTTTGGTGTGATCTACGGATGTGAGTGGGAACGTTCTGAATGCTCTGTCGTTGCTTGACGTATGCCACGCAGACATGCCGGCCAAGGCAATGTTGTTCGACCAGCGAGCACGCTCGCTGCATGACTTCAACACCGCATTCTGCAACTTCATCTCATTCAACCCGCAGGGTCGGTTGTTGGCCATGGCCGGCTTTGGTAACCTCGCTGGGAGGGTTGACATATACGACCGTCGAACACTCATTAAGGTGACTAGCATCGATGCGTCCAATACTTCGCACTGCGAATGGTCACCCGACGGGCGATTCCTGCTCACTGCGACGCTTTCGCCGCGTCTACGCGTCGACAATGGGATCAGGATCTGGCACTGCACGGGCCCACTCGTACACGTCCATACAATCGACGAGCTCTACCAGGCCTCGTGGCGGCCAACGCCGGTGGACGCCGTCCCGACCTTTCCACAAGTCATCCCACCGGCGCCCGCGCCCGCAGCAAGCGTGCAAGCACACGCTGCGATCGCCAAGCCAACTCCGACGAAGTCGGCGGGGACGTACCGCCCACCGGGCGCGCGAGGCCTGGAGGCGTCCTCTGCGTACAAACGAGATGAGAGCTCTCCGAGCGCTTCGTCCACGCCCAATGGCCGATATAGCCGCAGCCCTGCGCCAGGTCGCGTGAGCGCAAACGGCCGCAGGTATGTCCCGGGCGCACCGACGTCGCCGTCGCCCGTGCCGTCCAACAACGTGGATACGGAGAAACGGGGGCGCAAGCGGAAGGGCGGGAAGAAGGAGGTCATGGAGAAGCTGGCCGTGGAGGGCGGGAGGAAGGAGGTCATGGAGAAGCAAGCCGTGGACGGCGGCAAGGAGTTGATCCTACCCTCTGTGAACATACAGGTAAACGGTGTGCCCGAGACGCCATTGAGTCCTACGAACGGCTCCGTACCACCTACGCCTGGTGCTGATGGTGGCGGGTTGGATTCAATTGCGAAGAAGCTTCGCAACCTCAACAAAAAGGTATGGTTTCCATGACGTTGATACGTGTCTGGCGATTGCTGACGTTGCATCCATCTGCAGCTCAAGGCAATCGAGGAGCTCAAGGAGAAGGTAAAGAAGGGCGAGCGATTGGAGGTCACACAGCTTAAGAAGATCGAGACCGAGGCGGATATACGGAAAGAGCTGGCAGGTCTTGGTGTCACGTCGTAACCCTCGCCGCTTTTCCGTCCTCCCCTGCTAGGTTTTCTTTGTCTGTCTCCATAGTAGTCTCAGCTGCACATCCATTGCTATCTCGGACATCGTCTTGCTGGAGGTTCTGAATTACATCCCCTCCTCATCTGACGAAGCAGTTCATCGTCTGCGGCGTGAGCAAACCCAGTTGACTTTGCTCTACGCTCGTATACTATCTACACCATCCCACCCACTCCGTCATCACTTCTCATGAGTATTACAATCGCGGTGATTTATCTGCTTGAGAGGCAATTGAAAGCCGTCAGACCAATTTCATTTTCATTACGTGCTGCTGAATGGCTTTGGCGGCTCTTTGGTACTGTCATGTCCTTCAGCCAATTCGCTGCTGAAGGCGGTACGAGCTTCTTGTTCAGGTGGTCAGAGCAGTGACAATGAAAGGATTGACATGGCCACAGGGCAATTGGCTGTCTGGAATGGAAACAATCGTCGTTCACAGTGGAACAGACATTCGTGACGCACAAATGAACGTCAGCCGGCGGCCGTACAACATTGCTCATCGCCATAACACTAGAACTCGCTTCGCAACTAACCCAGCACTGGGCCATCATGAAGTTAGGAATGTCAAGCATTCAAATCTCCGGTCGTGTGCACATAGTCTGCTTTGGCCACACTTGCAGCATGACTGCCAGAGTTCAAAGTTCTCTCAGAATGTGGTCATGCGATGAAATGACATACAGCAGCATCTCTAGATATCCTGACCGGCCATCATGTGCTTGATAACGGTATGACCCTGGCGCATATCAGGCAACTTTCACCGCGAGCAACGAAAAGCGCACCTGTGAAGTACCGCATTCAAGCTTCGGGCGAGTTATTTACTGGCGAGTCCATAAATTCCGGCAGTCTCGCCCACAGCGATCGCCGCATTGCGGTGAACTTGGTACGAACCACGTCCGCGCAAGCGCGGCAAAGCGAGTCGACGAGCATGGCGAGTGGGATTTTGGGGAAGCCCAGGAAATAATAATCAATGAGGTACCTATTCCGGTACAGCCATTCTGGAAACTCATCCAATTTGTCCCTGCATGATTCTCGGAAGCAGAGAGGATGCGGCATGATCTGGGAAATGGAGGTAAAGGGTAGCGACTGCAAGATGTTATTTCGGGCTGAGACGCATCGAGCAAGGTCATTGGGATGGAGATTCGCTGAGTTGACACCGAGAACGAGGTCGCGAGAGGAGAGAGTGGCGCAAATATAGAGCGCGACGGGGAGCAATTCCGTGCATTCGCAGGTGCGAGCTAGGTTGACGACGCGTATTGCGTCCGTCACCTGAACTTCCATCACAGAGCTCCTGATGTAGGTATCGCCTACCTCGAGCTGTTCCCAGTCGTCGAAGCTGGTTGGGAAGCAGGATTTCAGGCGATCGAGGCTGCCTTCGAAGACATCATCCATCTGGTATTTATTCCCCAGGTGAACACAAGCAGCAATCGTGTCGAAGGTGACAATGACTGTGGGTACCCATATGCTAGAACGAAGTGACCGTCAATGTGCAGCCTGCAGATAAATGAAGCAGCGGCCGCACGCTGATGCGCTATATAGCACCGAGAGAAGGTCTGCTAGCTCCTCGGGGTCATCGGTGACTTCTATCACAGCACAGCCATCGATTGATTCCTCAGGCGTCGCTTGGGCGTATTCAAAGAGATCCTTGAAGACGGGGGAGCCTGATCCATGGACGATCACCCCGCTATGCACGCGGAAGCCTACGTCGCCAGCGGCTAGGATGATGTTGCCCTCAGCGAACCAGTACTCATCATGATGCTTCAGACTCAATTGCCTGCCGCTTGTTGAATCGGGAATGGTGTCCATGGCCTCGTCTTCGCTCTTGATGTGAGGGTGCTTGCTGGTCTGCTCTAGCATTGGGTGAATTGGTCACGAAAGAGTGCGACTACTCTAAACGGGCTTGTCTCCGATGTATGAAGTTGTGCTCTTTATGATACGGCCGTGTTTAACTAGGTGGTGGTGGATCGAGTCGAAGGCGTTGAGCTGAGCCTGGTGGTAGGCGCGTGCTGTTACGAGCACGTGTGTCTATGTCGCGTTTCGGTCCTCGGTCTTCGTATACGTCGATTAGAGCGAGATTACAGACGCATGAAGTCGCAACATGGAGAATAGCTATACACTAGGGTATCAAGGATCAGAGCCCTGTAAAAATGGAGGTCGCAATATCTACATAAATGAAGGATATAGTGTAAGCACACGGAATCAAGTAAGTTCTTCATGCTTTCTCCGAGGTTATTCGTCGTGCAGCTGTAACTCCACCTCAGCAATCCACACATTTCGATGCCCAGGAGCCAGGCGGACCAGCCATATATTGTTGAAATCAACGCCGCGCTTGCCAACGGCCCACTTTCGTTTTGTGCACGGCTGCTTCTGCAACTACGGGTCAATACCGTCGCCATTATTGTGTGGGATATTACTCACAGCAGCGCTCGTCATCCAAGTGGAGAATTGAGAACTGATCAGCTTCGCTAATTTCTTCTTCGTGATGAAGCCATTTTTGTCTTGCACCTGGACATAGTGGCCGTTTTGTATATATCCCGGCCACTATACGTTATGCAACGATGAGCAAATGACACAACGAGCGAAGTGAGCGACTTACAGCTATGACTAAGTTGAAACGACGCAGACCAGTATTTTCGAAGACGCGTGTCTCGCTGTCGTCCAAGCGAGCGCGGTCATCAAGGACATCTCGCATACGGACGCCAGGGGAACCCCGTACGTTAAAGTCAACTGAGTAGTTGGATCCGCTGTTTTCCAAGAACTGCATTGTTTGCGGCACGCGGATACGGTTGTGTTCGTTTATTACTAAAGGGGTTGAAGGAGTAGAGTCACTTCGGCCCATATCCGGCGAGGGGAACGATAGACCGCTCGAAGTAGGTGTAAGGTGCATGCTGGAATCGTTCAGGACCGAAAAACGATACGTAAGCTGCACTGTAATCGAAGATTAGATGGAACCAGCTTACTTCTGCATATAGATCTGCAAAGAGTTATCAAAGGGTTGCCCATCACTTGATTGGGAAGCTATGATGGGCTCCGGTATTTGCTGTTGCTGAAACCTGATATGAGTCAAGTCGCACGCTTGGATGAGCAATAGCGTACCGTGTTGCTAAATAGAAGTGAATCCACGGACGGGAAATCAGGACTCTGAACAAATCTGTCAGTATCATCTAGAAGCAATCGCTCGAAGCGTACCTCAAGGAGAAAGGGCAAGTCAAGGTCTAGTGGCCTAACTGGAAGGCCAGATATGTCGAGATCCATGCTTGTTTGCGAGTAATCGTTCGGTAGAGATGGGTTCATAGTGCGCTCTCTCAGTAGGAGGTCGAGTCAATCCACCGAATGAGCTTTTAAGTCTCTGCCAGCCACGCCGCCGAGGCCCCATTTATAAGGCGATACGCTGACTCAATTGGCGAAGGCAGCCTGAATGCAGCAAAGCCTTCTTCGCAGAGGCCTATGCCGACAAGCACGATGTTCTGCAGCGGCTTCCCGAGCCACGGCGGACATGATGAAAACATGAGGAGTGAGGAGGTGTAGTGAGACTTCCAGAAAGTGTACAGCCAGAGATTCGTTCAACGGCATTTCCGCATTGCGAAAACCCCCGGTCTAGTCTGGACCAGAAGGAGGAACGGAGAGCAGAACCTGCAGTGCCTTCACACAAGAATGGCCGCGGGGAATCGTATCGGGAGAGGATACAAGCAAGGCGCTACCGAGACATCACTAGCGATATCTTGTGATCTTGCGTCGCCATTCGCTTAGATCAGTCGGCTGATGGCTTGCGATGATGTGCCTCGTGCTGGCCGATCTGTTGACCGGGAAATATACATAGCAAGAGCGAGACCATCCTGTGGTCATACAGCTAGATGCGTTCATAGAACCGAGAAAGCAGTGCTTCATGCCCCTCGCGGGTGCAGGCGTCATGGCACTAATGTCAAAATCGGCTGATGACCGCGTCGTGCGTCAACCTGCATCAGAGGCTGTGGACCCACAAAGTACAGCCTGCGTGTGAGCAAACGCTCGACCAGCAAGCGCTCCCAAAAGTTTAACGACGGAGTGTCTCTGCAACTTGAGGATTTAAAAATGGATCTGATCAGTTCATAGACCGCTTATATCAAAAGCAAGTTTGCACTCACCAAAATTGAGTAACTCGTTCCTTGTTCCTTGCGCAGAGGGCAGCAACGAAGATGAGCACAAGAGACTGCGGAATCTGGGAATCCCGTGACGCGTCCGTATGCACATGGAATGCACTGGCTCAATCAATCCTGTCTGCTGCCGCGTTGAGGCTGTGCACCACTCACACAATAAAACGTCTGCAATGACGATTGATCCAGAGATACCGCACGACGGCACTCAGATAATCCGAGCTCTGTGTTTACGGAAAGAGTATATGACCCGCGGGCTGATGAGATAACTTAAGGAAGTTTCCAGGCCACCCAAGACAATTTCAGAAGACTTGGGCCTGAAGGCGATGTTGCAATGCTATACTGGCCGTACGGCGTACGGGCCACGACTTTCAAGCGCGCGACGAGTCGCGGTCACATGTACCACGCTGCGTATTGATGCGGAACAGACGCTCGGTGATTACGGTGGCACTAAGTAAACGCTTGTTGCACCGGAAAGCAAGTTGTGCATCATGGAAATTCTGGCGAGCGGCGCGCAGGGTCAATTTGAGGCTGTAAAGGCCGGCAAGTCGGTGAGCGGGCAGTGTGGGGTAGCCGACGAAATAGTTTCCAATAGTGTACACTAATAAATAAGCGCGGTAAGTAGCGACGTTCTTGAAGCACGGCACAGCCTCGTCATGACGGTGACGGTCTGCTGTCAGAAGAGTCGAATGGAGAAGCGTTCCCTGGTTTCGACGTTTGCGACGCGGAAGCGTCGCTTTCAGAATCAGAGGACGAAAGCCGCGACGTGCGAAACGGCGTGAGCTGAATACGGGGTAATGATAGCGGTGTACCCTCGAACTCAGCCCAACCGCCACGGAGGCCAATCTCGACAACGCGTTCCAATATGCGAGCTAATTCGTCGTTGCTGCGTTCAGTTGCACCAATCGGGGAGGATCAGCATCAGCGCTCCGTGACGATGTCGGCAACAACCAAGTGAAGCGTACCGCTGTTTCTCCTCCTCCCATCGCTCATCCAGTGCCTGTTGGAGAGTCTGTGTCTTGTCCGTCAATTGCGCGACCTTAGTCTGGAGCTCCTCCAGTGCATCATCCACACTGTCCCTCCGTTTCGATTGATTTCGTGATGACCGCCATGTTTCACCTAGTATGAGTATCGCGGCTACGCTGAACAAGAATCCTTCTGCAAGGGCGTTCGCGCCATTCTCTATTGCTCTTGAAACCAGAACATCTTGGTGGAAAGACAAACCGAAGGCGAACGTGGGACATACCTCGTCTCCGACAGCGGACGGATGTGCTTCGTCGGTTCTCCTAGTAGGTTCGTCCGCATATTAAGTTCCGTCCTGTACATTCCCTGTGCGAGGTTCACGCAGAATTCGCGGAACTTCTCATGCCTGCCGTGCTCGATGAGGGGCGCGCTATTGGCCAACAACCAGAGTCACGTACTGTTTGGCTTGTGTCTTGATCTGGTTGCTGATGGGTTTCGCTATGGTCTCAAAGAAGACTCAGAAACGCAGACAACATGTGCATATTGAGGGAAAGAAAGCTCACTCGGATGAGGAGTATGGCAATCTTGGTGGAAGCCATGTCTGCACAGTGTCTATGTTACAGGTAGCCGGAGGGACGACCAGGAGTAAACAGTGTCGATAAGCAGTGATCCCAGCGTTCCAGAAGGACTGTACTTGTAGTGTAGAGCAGAGCAGTCGCGGCACAATGACGGAAGAAGGTAGGAAGAGGGGACAGCAACGGGACCAGGTATGCCGGGTTGACTCGTCACCCGTTGTCCGTAACAAATCCGAGAGACATCACTAGCTCCGAAGGACTTCTACTTCGTCTGATTTCCGCGCTTTAAGCCAGCAGAGGACGGGATGAAACCTAGATTTCACGGCTTGTAAATCGTTCGCGGTCGTACAATGTTGTGAGGTGGGGAGCTCAAGCCATGATGGCCGTCCAGAACGTCAGAGGCTCAGTGAAGAGAGCGGTCCCCATCTGGCTGGTATTATCTTTGCAGTTCACGATGTCTTTCCACGACGTTCCCACCAGCACCGTCGCAAAAGCTCGCACGGAATGCCTCATACAAGTGAGTGGTGGGCGAAGAGTTGAGAGTGCCCGCTAGCATTACTTCACTGCAGGCATGTAATCATTGAGTTAAACGATAATCAGTGAAGTCTACATAGTAATATTATAGCACACAATGAAGGCAAATGAAGGCATATGCACGTCGACCTGGGATAGGAGAGGGAACGCGGGAATCGGTCGGAATTGGTCTGAAGGTCATGCAGCTTATATACGATACAAGCGATGTTGAATGCGGATATCAAATCTATTCATTTCAACGGCCATCGTGATATCTACAAAGGTGCAGAGTCTGCAAGAAGCTATAGCATGCTGGTAATGAACCTGGAAATGGAGACTGCTGCATACTCACGAAGTAGTACATTGATGGTGCCCTCTGGTAGTACTCGCTCACAGCTCCTCACCACGTTTAACTCGGGTCCGAGGAGTGTCTTGGACGTCCACCCTCCTCACTCCGTCCAGCCCATTGAGTGAAGCGAGGATCTCTCCTTGCAGACGTGGCCAGTTCTCCCGAGGCACGCTGAGCAGCTGCACGTCGCGCAGTTGACCGACCGGTCCAAGATGTGTGAGCGCAGGGTTGACCGACAGAGCTTCAGGATGCTCTATGAAGCGAGAGGAGGGCGAGACGGTGACGGTGATGTAGACATTCTCGTCGTGGTTGAGAACGTGCTGGGAAGACATGGCAGTGGTCGGGATCAAGTCGGCTGAGCCAGGCTAACTCAATCCAGGCAAGGACACGCCAGAACGCTCGCCCACCCCTTTGAGTGCTGCTCGCTTCACCGACTGTCCTGCGCGAGCGATGCCCATTGCATTGCAATATTACTGCGAGTGTAATAAAAAAGACATGTCACAGCACGAACTGCGCCATTCGAAAACTCCGGAGACAGGCGCGAGCGGCCACAGCCATGGCTCTGCAACGACCGCCGTCAACTTTCAGTCCCGGCGACAGTGCGTACACTCATCGCTGTCCTAGCATCCCCGACATCGCATGTCTTCCTCATCGCCATGTTATCTTCCACTCTTTCCATGTCACTGTTACCGTCCCAAGTCGGCGGTCATCCAGGCATCCTAACTACTGAAGATGGTTCTCTCATAATAAAGTCTGCTCTTCCCAACGAGATCTCGTTCTATCAGACTGTCGCTGTCGACCCAGGCTTTCAGCCCCTCCGTGACTTTGTACCTCAGTTCTATGGCACACTCAGGTTGGAGGGTCAGATAGACCCAGATGCAGATGGGAATGACCTCGGGTCGGTGAAGCCCGTAGAGGGTGTTGCTGACCACGAGAAAGATGAGTGTATTTCTACAGATTGTCACTTTCATATGCAATGTGTTTATATCCGTTTCGCTTGCGTTCTGCACATTCGATCGTGTTAGAGAACTTGACATTCACATTCTTGAAACCTAACGTGCTTGACGTCAAACTTGGGACCGTGTTGTACGACGACGATGCAACAGCGGAGAAGAAGGAACGCATGGACAAAGTTGCGAGAGAGACGACATCCGCGGAGACAGGCATACGATTAACAGGATTCCAGGTACTGACAAGTCGAGCCAAGTCTGCTCTTTTGAATGGCGCTAATGCGCTCATATAGGTCTATGATCTCGCAAGAAACCAGCCAATCTTCACTCCGAAGATATATGGAAAGTCTATCAAACCGGCAGATCTTCCCGACGGGATTGCACGTTTCTTTCCCTTACCGTCGAACTCGCAAGCACCATCACCACCACCAGAGCCTTCCCCGTCGAGCAGGTCGAATGAAATCGAAACGTTCAAACACGAACATGGCACGGGGCTCCCTGCTGATATCCTTATACCAATGTTGACGGAAATATGCTCCGAAGTGGAGGAGATCCGCGACGCGCTGTCAAAGGTGGATGTACGAATGGTGGGCGCAAGTCTCTTGATCATCTATGAAGCCGACTGGGAGCGTGCTCGCGAGGGCATGCGTCTTCTACATGAATACCAGAGCATGGAGGCAGATAGTGAGAAGGGGGTTGAGGAGGATGAGGAAGATGATGGCGACGACAGCGATTCGGAGTCGCCGGGACCACCTTTCATCGTCAGATTAATTGATTTCGCTCATACGAAGATTTTGCCGGGGCAGGGTCGCGATGAGGGCGTCCTGCTGGGTCTAGACACAGTCATCAAACTCTTGGGCGGACGGATAGAACAAATCAAGGCGTCGACACCTAGTAGCGCGAATGCTCCTCATGCGCAGAATCCCCAGCATACCCTCAAGTCGAACACTTATACCCCTGTCGCATCGCATGATATATCTGACCTCACCGAGCTCGTATCAATGTCAACTTCCCTGGACACGCCCAAAGACATAGCACGGACATAGCATACAGTGTACATAACATGACAAGAAAAGCAGAGCAAGACAAAGCATAACAGTCGCCATGTCGCTTAGAATGCATCAGCCTTGCATTAGCCATGGCTTATGCATCATCGTCCACGAGTCCAATGTTTTCCAAAAATGAGCCACCACGGACTTGTCGACGTGACGTCTGTGCTGATCGATCTGAGACGACAATGAGCCAAAAATCTTCGGCTGCATTTGAAGAACAGAAACGGACCTTCAGTTCGGTGACATTCCAGTCCTTGATCTTGGGGTTGGGCGGATCGTTTGTCCATGACACATAGATGCCCTTTACTGAAGATTCCATGCGTGCAAGTTAGCACACCGGCTTGCGTGAGCACACCGCCTCGCCACGCACCATGATGGAAGAGGGTCTTGGGTTCGCTCCACTTGTATGGCCTGAACTGCCACGCTTGGCCAGTAGTCATCACACAGACTACACGGTCCCACGCGTCCGCGCCGAACTTCGCGAGCGCCTCCGTGCTGTCCACGACGAAGTACCTATCGCCGAGCGTCAATCTCACAAGCACTGCATAGACAATAGATTTACGGCCACGCACCGTGCTTGCGTCTCTGTCTCACGTCCTGAGGGATCGATCGTGGTGCGTTTGCGGTAGATGATGATGAGGTCTTCTGGACGCGTATTGCCCTCTGCAGCGGCGCGTGCTCGTGCCTCTTGTGACGGCTCGAAGACAGCTTCCTGCAGGAACCGCTTTACGTTGTGCATGGTGATGAGTGCAGTGGGAGAGGATGATATCATGATAATGGGAAACTGGTTCTCTATGGGTTGCATATGTTAGCGAGTGGACGCGAAAAGGAATACTGTGGTGCGTGCTTTGTTTGCGCGCTTGCATCTTGGGATCTGTTATTGGACGGGTAAAGTGAGTAACGATGTGAATTTTGATCTTGAAGCCAACCGCTGACCTGGTGTAACTGCCGCTGCCGCTGCGGCGACGCCTCCCTTGCTAGCTTCCTTCAGTTTCTTCAATTTCTCCGTGAACGCGCTGCGGACAGCTGAGAAGTTCTGTAAAGGGAGAACACATTAGGGAAAAATGTCAGAAGAACAGCTTCCTGTACGGACGTTAGGCTTGATTCCTCGCAGAACGGTATTCCGGTCTTGCAGTTCAATCTCATTCTGCTTAATTTTCTTAACCACCTCGATGTCTTCGGCATCTGCAACATATCGCCGCTTCAAAGACCCTGAGAGATCAACACCCTTGGATGTGAACGAAGTGGAGGGAAGGGATGTCGACGACCGGAGCTGCGGCGGTGTACCTGGCGGTGTCGTTGACTCTGCTGCATTAGGCCAGAACTGTCAGTCGCGGCACGAAGGGAAACAAAACTATACTTACAAGCCAGTGGGATGATGTTGCTAAGCTTGTCTGTCCTTTCCTCTAACCAATCCACCACGTTCTTCCGCTCTGTCACACTTACAAAACCGACAGCGAGTCCATTCTCTCGCGCTTGCTTCATATACTCAGCACCGGATGCCTCTCTCAGCAGCCATGCTAAGTATACCGCTTCCAAGGAGAAGAAGTCTTGCGGTTTGGAGGCGGGATCAGTAGACGTTGAGCCTGGTTTTCGCAGTCTTGTCGGTGTGTTCTTGGGTAGTGAAAGCGTCGGCGAAAGAACAATGTGAGTTGCTGCCGCCAATGAGCTTGTCGGTTCGGAGTCCTTGGTGTATGTAATGTCGGTCCGCGACTCGATTGCCTGACGGAACGCCAGTAGAGGATCTGTGGTAGTAGCCATGGCTAGCGGAGGAATCTGCCATGATCGCTCGATCAACGACGAGTCTGGTTTACAAGCACAATATAGCTACACCCGGGAGAGCTTACGATTCGTTTGCTGCGCTTGTATACGTCGCAGTTGGCGCGCACCTTGAGACTATAAATGCGGCGAGTATCGTCGCAGTAGCTGATAATCCACTGGTCTGAACCGAGTGTATTCGGATGAAGTGACCTTGGCGCAAGTTTCGTCTACCTTTCGAGTCGTTTAAAACGCTTTCTGAGGAGCTGTGGCAGTACGCGGAAGAGTGGGTGGCTGAATATACGCGCTTGAAGATCGTGGTCACGTGGTGATTCTTCACCTTCTTAAATTTCTCGCTGAGCGCGTTCCGGTCGTTAACGCGTTCCTTCCCCCCTCTCGTCCTGCTGCTCACCGTTAACCAAGGAGTATCGGTTGTCGTATATGTTCTCTTTCTCTGCGGTTCTTGTGCTTTTACAATGATAGAAAGGGTGAGTGGAGAGCTCTTGTGCACCGAAATGATGAGATCGCTGCCGCCCCAGTCGTTAGCTTTGAGGAGCTGTGACGAGAAGGCAGAGCAACTAGCCAAACAATTTTGCACCTCTGATTATCTTCTGTCTTCATTGTCTGGCCGTGATGCTAACGACATTTCCACTATAGTATCTTGACCGTGGACTGCCATTGATCAATGCTACATATCGGTGTCGTTCATGTCCGATTTGTCTTAGGTGCACAGTGCGCGACGCATCCAGGTTAGGTAAGGTGAGTATCTATGCTTCATCACGCCATCCCTTGTCACCGTACGAGATGATCCCAAACCGAATGCAATTAGGAAGTGCCGTCTGATAGCTCTTTCCGCAAGGAAAGACGCGCTTGTCGAGACGCGGTTCTCTGATTTGATGTCTCATGCAGGCTTAGAGTGTAAACTGATTCATGATTTGCTTTCACAGTCAATGCATGGGTTTTACTCGTGCATGAATATCTCTGTTGACCATGCTTTGTATGATGCTTTCACGAAGTGTAGCTATGATTCAATGCACTGCTGTCATACATAGTTCCTGCACAAATATATGCAATTATATCCTGCTCATGCTCCTTTGCGTCTTCGCTTTTTTGGGTGCTGCACCGATGTCCGCAACATTGCCATTACGTTACATAAGAATATACTTCATCGGAGCGAAGAGAGGTGAACATGGTTTTCCGCTATGAGTTCAAACTCGGGGACAGACAGAAATCCCGTAGCAGTCAATGCATGCTGCCTTTTGCCTCTTTCTCCGTACACATGCGCAGTTACTACAGCCTGTGACTTGAATAACGGTTCAACATTTCCCGTCAGCTTTTGGAAAAAGGCTCGGAGAAGGCCCATTTTGCACCTTTCCTGTGCAATAAGCTGCACCAAACTCCCTTGATTGACTCAACAAATGATAGTAGGTCGCCGCGGTCAGAAGTCCCTTCCTCGTCGTACATACGTACTGTCGGCGGCGCTCTGAGCCCGTAAAAAGGTTCACTTATCCCAATATTTAGTAATTTAAGTAGCGCCCAATTACGGTCGACTCCGCCCCCATCGTCTACCACTACCTTCAATCGCCAACACTCTCTACCACATCATCGCCTTCCATGGCGCAATGGGGCCAGGGGTTCCAGTACCCCATGCAGACGGGGTACAATCCTCAGCAATACCAACAAGGTTTCCAGGCTAGCCCAGGGCTCGCACCGCAGCCCGCCGGCTTTCCTGGCCAGCGACCGTCGGGTTTCCAGCAACCTCAGCAGACAGGATTTCCAGGCGTGTCGGGCTTTCAACAACCTCAGCAGACTGGATTTCCACCTCAGCAAACGGGGTTTATATCTCAGCAGACAGGGTTCCCTGGTGCTGCGGGTACATTCCAGCAGCGCCCGCCTCCGCCTCCCGTTCCATCGCAGTTCCAACAACAGAATGCACAAGGCTTTATGGGCGTTCCGCAACAGCAGGCCGCAAGCCGCTTTATGTCGGCTTCGCCGCTAACCACGCAGCCCACAGGCTTCGCTGGCGGCGGAATGCGCCCGCTTGTTCCTCAAGTCACAGGCTTCGTTGACCCGCGGTTGCAGATGATGTCGACCACTTTTCTTCCTGCTAATCCGTCAATGCCATACAATCCGGCGGGTATGCCTCAGCTGCCGCAGCAAGGTGACATGTCGCTCCAGCAGTCATTCCAGCAACACAACCAGGCACAGCGTGGCAACGCGACACCGAAGATTCCGTGGGCGTTGTCTAAAGCTGAGAAGAAGAACTATGACCAGATCTTCAGGGCATGGGATGTGCAGGGCACGGGTTTCATCAGTGGTCAGACTGCACTCGAGGTGTTCGGGCAGAGTGGTCTTGACAAGAACGACTTGGCTAAGGTCTGGTGAGTGTGACCTTGCTACATGCATCATTTATTTTTCTGAATTCCTGTTAGGGCTCTTGCTGATGCTGATAACCGTGGCAAACTGAACCTCGCCGAGTTTCATGTCGCGATGGGCCTCATCTATCGAAGTACGTCGTGATCCAGGCGCTACGTATGAATCGCTGTTCATATGTGTATATCATCAGGACTGAACGGTAACGATATTCCTGATGAGCTTCCTCCTGAGCTCGTTCCACCATCGCACAGGGACCTTGACACATCAGTCAACTTACTGAAGGACATTCTTAAGAACGATACACGGGGACGCTCCCCGTCGAACATCGACTCACCTGTCTCGAAACTCAAGGAGCGTTCATTCCTCAGCACATCCGCTCCAGGCGCAGGCGGCAGGCAGGACGCGACTGTCTACAAGTACAACGATGAGAGTCCTCCTGGTGGGTTTTACCAGCCTCGTTCACGCCATGTAGATCGCAATGCCATACGGACGCACAGCGAGAGCGAGAATCCGGCAGCAGACCTGGACGACATGAAGCGGCAACTGGAGAACACGGCTAGGATGCTCGATCGCTCGGCTGAAGAGAATGCGTCCCGAACAGCGGAGGACGAGGCTCTTGAACGTGAGATGTCAGACCTCCGGTATAAGGTTAATCGTGTCAAGGAAGACTTGGAGTATGTGTCCAGGGGCCCGAGGAGCGTCGCCAAGGATGAGGAGCGTCGCAAGCTGGAGAGGGAGCTTATGAAGCTCATGCACGAGCGTATCCCGGAACTGGAAGGGAAGATCAAGGATAGAGAGGAGAAGAGAGCTCGAGAAAAGCGGGAGTGGGCTCGTGAAAGGGACAGGCGTAACGAGCGGTTCGGACGTTATGACGATAGGGAAGACCGATATTCGTCTTCACGATATGACGGTGACAGCGACAGGGAATATCGCCGAAGCTCGTTTGACCGCGACGAACGCGACCGAGACCTGGATTACGACAGGCGACCGTATTCTCGCAACAGGGATAGGGATTATGAACGCGACAGGGATAAGGGCTACGAGCGCGATCGGGATAGGGACTATGGACGTGACAGGGATCGGGACCATGGACGCGACTATGACCGTCCTCGTAGCCCTCCTGCCGTTCGATCGCCGCCTCCAGCCCCGCCCTCTGCTCCTCCTTCAAGTGCAATCAGCAAACCACCACCTGCTCCTATTCCATCGAAGTCGCCAGCCCCGGCTACGAAGAATATGACTCCCGAGGAACGTCAAGCATATATTCGTGCTGAGGCGCAACGACGTATGCAGGAACGGATGGCGGCTCTTGGAGTCGTTGGCGCAGGGACGCCTTCGCCGAAGCTGGACACGACCGTTGAAGACCGGCTGGTTCGCGACAAGATGGAGGCAGAAGAGAAAGCACGTGCTGCTGAGAAGGAGGCTGAGGAACGCGAACGTACCCGTAGGGAGCGTCTCGAAAGAGAGGGCGCAGGCAAGGCTTCTCCTGCGCCGGCGGTCCCTGCACCTCCTCCGCCTGTCTCGCAGGTGCCCACGCCTAAGCCAACACCTCCGCCTCCCAAGCCGAGAGCTCCGGCACCCCCTCCTCCCAGGAAGGCTTTTGCATCTCGTGCTCCCGCCGCTCGTGCTACTCCTCCAGCTCCAGCCCCTCCGCCTGCTGCGCCTTCCATGCCTGTACCTGGCCCGCCTCAGCTGGATGCCGAGGAACAACAAATCCGTGCACGTGAAGAAGCATTGCGCAAGCAACGCGAGGAACGCCTGGAGCGGTTGCGCCAGCTCGAGAAGGAGGAGGAAGAGGCAAAACGGGCTGAAGAGGAGTATCAGGCGAGACGACGCATGTTCGAGGCCAAGTTGACATCTCCTCCGCCGACAGTAGTATCGCCTCCTGCCGTCGCACCTCCTGCACCAGCACTTCCACCGCCCGCGCCCGTCCAGCAGACCTTTGCTGTTGCTTCCCCGCCTCCCCCGCCTCCTCCTCCGCCGGCGCCTGCCGTAAGCTCACACACATCGACGCCCTCAATTGACAAGTCCGCGACCAATCCTTTTAGTCGTTTGATGAAAGAAAGCCCGGGAGCGGCAGGCTCGCCGGCGACTCCTGCAGCCAATGGAAGCCATAATCCGTTCTTCAAGCCTCAGGCTGCTGCCTCCCCAGCAGTATCTCCTGCTGTCCCTCCTATGCCTCCTGCCGTCCCTCCTGCGCCTCCCGCTGTCGCTCCGCCGCGTGCTGCTTCTGTGCCACCACCGTCAAGGAGCCCTGCTCCACGGGCTGTCAAGGCCAGTTATCACACTGCGCCTGGTGAGAGCGACGAAGACTGGGAGGATGTCGAAGAGAAGGACAACGACGATAGCAGTGACGATGAGATTGATTCCTCACGTGCAACGCGTGACAAACTAGCGCAACAATTGTTCGGTAGTATGTTGCCACCGTCTCGCCCGCAGTCGGCTGCTGCAATGAGCAACCCATCGGCACAGACGCAGCAACAACTGTCATCTCCTGCTCCTCCCCCGCCCCCGCCTCCACCGCCGTCCGCTTCACTTGCCGCCGATAATGCGATTGTCCTGCCTCCCCCAATGGCTCCGCCGGTACCAGTAGCCCCACCGCCTCCTGCAGCCCCCGCCGCGGTCGCGGTCCCTGCACCCACCGGTGACCGTAACGCGTTGCTGAGTGCGATCCAACACGGGGCTAAGTTGAGGAAGGCGCAGACCAATGACCGCAGTGCTGCGCCTGTCTCCGGAAAGGTTCTGGGTGGTACTCCATCCCCCGAGCATATCAGCGCTGCTCCGAGGTTTCCTTCCCCTCCTCAGGCTTATGCAGGAATGCCGATGATGCCGGCGTTGTCTGACATGACTTCGCAGTCCAAATCAAGCAACAGACAATCCGTTGATTGGTACGCTGGATTGGCTGCAGATGGAGGTGCAGTACATCACGAGCACTTGCCTGCGATGCAAGAGGAGGAGGAGGATGAGGAGTCGCACGCTGCTGCTGTACCATCAATCCAAGTTGAAGCGGCTGAAGACCCTCTGGCTGATGTGGATCGATCCATCGGTGAGCTGTCTAATGCAAACATAAGCTCACCTTACTGATCCTTCGCAGAATATCGCGTCCGTTCGTTATACCCTTATGAAGGCCAGCGCGCCGAGGATCTCTGTACATATTCGTTTTCCCTTTTCAATTAATAGCTTTGATTCTAACATCTTTCTACAGCATTTGCGGAAAATCTCATACTAACAGCACATCCAAGTAAATCTGGGGGCGATTGGTGGTACGGAACGCTTGTCCGAGATGGCAAGGCAGGTTTCTTCCCCAAGACCTATGTCGAGAGAGTACAGCAAGGTGCGCTTTGTCTACACGTTTGCTGAACAATTAGTCCTGATACGCAACTTGACAGCCAAAGGGAAGGCTCTGTACTCTTACGAAGGCAACAGCTCTGACGAACTGCCCTTCTCCGAGGGTGATGAGTTGACCATCGTAGATCACAGCGAGACTGACTGGTGGAAGGCTGAGCAGGGCGGTGTCGTGTTCATCGTCCCTGCGGGATACCTTGAACTCCTTGAGGGTTAGTTCACCAGTCCGTCCTCTTCTGCGCTTCCGCGTATACAATGCTGGCAGACTAAAGTAATCTCGCGTTTTCTTTCTACATGTATCTCACCTTTTGCGTAATTGGATTGACAATTTACCGTCGCCGCTCCTTCAGCATCCGAACCAATCGGAAGGCTGCCCGCGGTCAGTCAAGGTTTTGCGCCTGGCGCTGCTCGCGTTTCGCCACCGTCTGAACTTGAGCAGTCCATGCCAAAGTCTCCATCAAGTGGTGCTGAAGATAACGACGAGAGCGGTAGTACCGTGTCTAGCTCTGATTATGATTCTTCATCAGAATCTGATCCTGATGAAGAAACTGAAGACCTAAGTGGCGAAGTACGCGCTGCGGAACGTGAAGCACGAGAGCTTGAACGTCAACGTGTGCTAGAGGCTGCTGGATTCATCTTCAAGTCAGACGTGAAGCCGCCTCGGCGTCCTGTGCGACCGAGAAGCCGCAAGCGTCGTCCACCGCCTGCTGTTCCCGATCGGTCGCCAGGCAGCGCACATTCCTCAAACAGGGACCTGCCGCATGCCCGTGAAGGCGAAGAGATTGACAATTCGTTGCGTTTAGATGATGCGTTCGAACGATACGAAGCATTCAAGCAGGCAAATTCGACTACGAATCGTCTCTCCATGCTGTCCATGGCATCTATGGAGAGCGGTCTGTCTGTGCCAAGTCCCACCGCATCAGCGTTGTCTGTGACCAGGAGTCCATCCACTGAGCCCGACGGTTGGTCTACGGCTCAGCATTTCTTTAGCCTATTTGGTCGTAGCAAGACACCGGCCGAAGATGGGGGGACTCGCACTATGCCGGTTATATCAGGACCTATAGTCGCTAAGGAGCCTAGCTCGCCTGGTCCGAATGAGTCTGAAGCGGCGTTTGGCTCAGTAAGTAGGCGTTCTTTATCGTGGATTTCGCACCTGACGCAAGTCAAGTCCTGGGCTAGTCTCGTCGACAAATCTGCATTGGAAGAGATACCGGTGAAGGAACGTCGTCGTCAGGAGGTGCGTCATCATTAAGCGCTAGCGAAACGTGAACCTAATATATACATTTTGATCGCCAGGCCATATTTGAACTAATCACTACAGAAGCTGCCTACGTTCGGGATCTTCAACTCATTGTTGAAGTAAGCCTACAAGCGACTGGCTTTGCATAGACATGCTGACAATAGTTGAAATAGCATTTCTACGCCAAACTGATGGATATTCTTGATGAGAAAGCGATTAGGGTGATCTTCGCCAACGTTGAGGACATCCTCCTCACGAATACAGTACGGTCTATTTGGTTGAAGCGTTCAGCAGCTGACATTTGATTCCGTCGCAGACGTTCTTGAGTTCGCTTGAGGAGAGACAGAAGGAATGTCGGCTGTATGTGGACAAGATCGGCGATATTCTCAAGAAGAACATGTCCGAAATGGGCGTATATGTGGTACGATCAGTTGGTTCGTATGTCTTACAAGTGCGAGCGACTCAATTGATTTTCTAGGAGTATTGCGTGAATCAGTCAACTGCGCTAAAGGTGTTGCAATCATTGAGAGAATCCGACGAGGACTTGGCAATACGTCTCCGGGTTCGTGTTTCTAAGATAAGGGCGGACCGGAGCAACAATTGACATGTGCCAAATTGTAGCGCCTTCGAGATGACCCCACTGCCCGGAACCTGGACTTGTCCAGCTATCTGCTCGTGCCCAGTATGTCAAGACTGAATCTTCACTGAAAGTATGTTCCGCTGAATGCTTGCGTAGTGCAACGAATCACCCGCTATCCACTGCTGATACGTCAGGTAAGCGAGTTCAGCTCTCTACCTTGAACATCGACTCTGACTGCAGCAGATCCTGCACTACACCGAGGCGACCGATGACCGCGACCGGATAGGGCGTGCGTTGGAAATCGCAGAGAAAATCCTGGAACACATTAATGAAACCATCCGAGAGCAAGAAGGACGCGAGAGGTTGAAGATGTTATCCAAGGATCTATGGATAGGTCAAGGGTGAGGGAGGGTCCAATATTATCTCGTCCAATGCTGACGTATTGTTATCACGACGAAGCCGTCTCGATCTGACGGAACCGACTCGTTACATGGGAGCCAGGAAGCTGTTAAAGGAAGGCACGCTAATGAAAGCTAAGAGTGGACGTAAACTCCGCGTGTTCCTCTGCAGCGATATCTTGGTTCTCACCGAAGAGGGGGCGAAGCATCTATATCGCACGGTATGAGAAGTTCCTTACTTGAAACGTCCTTCCTCCTTTGTTAACATAGCATCTTCAGCCAATCCCTCTCGCTGCTGTGCACGTGCAGGAAGTCCCAGGACACAGAGGTAATGAGCAAATAATGTTTTCAAGCCGACTGAAACTCTTATATGATTTTGTAGACGACCTCACGTTCAAGGTGTCTATAGCTTATCCTCGAGGCGGTGATGCTATAGCATTGCGATCAACGTCGGCACGGGATTGTCAGCTCTGGATGCAAGCTATCGACAATGCCAGTCGGCTGTGTCGCGAGGCCGAGAAGAAAGCTCGAAATCGACACAATCATTGAGTGGCATTCAGACTAAAGATATTAATGGCACATGAATTGGACAATCTTTGTTGCGGACTTTCTGACGGTGCTGAAAGCGTTCTCCACTTGGCAATGGCTTGCTTTGTACTATAGACATTCGCTCATAGACACAGTTCTCTAAATTTTTCCTCATTATCGCTGGGTACACCATCATCATTTATCAGAATACTGTAGCTCGTATACTTAAGTACGTGTTTCTTGTATTATATCGACATCGGAACGTCTGAATCAACCTGATATTCGCGGGGTCCGCGAATTTGACGAATTTGTCCTGTGACGATCGACTTCACGCGGAGCGCTCCCATGCATCAACCTCGACCATACCAGCTTAAAGCTGTTGCAACACCCTGGCGTCGAACGCATTGCGCATAGCTTCGAATAATGGGTCTAGCATCTGGAGAAGAGCAAGAGCCGCCTACGCAGAATAGATCGGCTACGCGTCCTCTATCGTCCAACCAGGAGCAGAAGTTGGTGGACTACCTCGAGGAACAACTCCTAGACATCACCAGGAACTTCAAGAAGCGGTGAGCTGACATCGTTGCCTCTATCTAGCCATAAATGACAGCCAGATTCTGCGTATTGTTCTTCTAGGTCACAGCCGTCGACGACGCTCCCGACATTGTCGTCATACCTCCTCACAATGCATCCGCTTTTGTCTCTCGTATTGCAGATACCGCCGCTCAACCCTTCCGCATCTCTGCGAACGTCCCTACTTCTGCGCTTGACCGGCGAAGTGATGAACTCGATCCCTGGATACCAGCCCGATACTCAAACTCTGCCACAGCTCCTTGCCTGGCTGGATGACCTGGACAAGGGTTGGCTCGCGGCCCTCCGTGCACAGGCATGGGACCCTGAACAGAAAGCCGGCGTGGATGTCCCGACACCTGTAGATGAGCACTCGCTGTCTGCTATGCCTGTAAGCCAGACAGACCGCACAAGGCTGCGTAGTATCATCGTGGGTGGGACGAGCAGGATGGAGGAGTGGCTGCAAGAACTCGACACCGAGGAGGGAGACTTCGAAACGACCCTGGAGAGTCTTGGATTGCAGCGGGCATTCGATGATATGTTCATCAGGACTTTGACTGAGATGGGTTCTTTGAACGGATCCATGAACGATCCCCGTGGTATGGAAGGGACTTGTTAGGTTGTATACGAAAAAGCGTAGTGTATAACAGTGATTTCGTCAGACATTGGGCCGAAGTCATTGTGGGGTTGACTCGCCGCTGTACAGTAACCATCGTTCGGTACAATACTGAATTGTATATGTTAGGAATACCACTTATGTCTATAGCTACAACGGACATTTAATGAAGGATTGGGATGTCATTAGAGTGTGTCGTGCAGGTTCTAATGCACATGTCGATACATGAAGCCTTCCCTCTAGGCCTTATGAGCATCTGCGTGACCAGAGGCACCCTTCGAGTGGCTGGAGCTCGCCTGACTCTGAATATGCTTGGCGGCACCTGTAGGGCGAGGGATTAGGGTGATGGAGGTATTGTACTTTCGGTTTGGCGTGGGGGTTTGATCCACGGAACTAGCAGTTTGCGATGCTTCCAGCTTCGCTCCTTCGGGCCCCTCGCCTACATGAGAGACGTAATCCACGTCCGCTTCTCCTCGCCACGCATGTTGGGCCATGGCTCGTTCTGCAAGGTACCTTGGGAAGGGGTTTGATCGTCTGATAGAGACATCATGGCGCGCATGCGATTGTCCTGATGTCTCGGCGCTCGCCACCGCAAACGTTGAGTGACTCTGGAGAAGATAGCGTCGCCCAAGCAAGGAACTGGGTTCGGCGTTGGCCAGTGAAGAGGGATCCATAGCTTGCCGATAGATAGGTAACGCTAGTACAGTTGAGAATAAGAAGAGGAAGATGGCGAGATAGAGCCAGCGCGCGGACATCGTGGCGATAATAAATTAGAGTGAGAAGTCTTCGTACGAGAGACGTTGAAATGGCCCGCCTGCGAGCAAGTTGAATATGTGAAACAGAATAGGCAGAAACAGAACTGAGACATACGAACGAGAACCAAATCGGTGCAAACAGCCTCACGTGGCCGATCGCGCATCAAGTTCAGACTGGGATGTGGCCTCGCCGGACTCCTCCTCCGCATTAGCACTCGCTGAATCCGCACCGTCAGTTCGACCAACGATAAATGCGGGTAAAAGTACATACTGCGGAGAGAGTGAGCGTGAGCCTTCGTTGTTCTTCGATGCATGAGGTCCCGCGAAGATATGTATTCGATCTTCGGTTCGCGTGCATCGGCAGCTGCTTCCCCCGCCCGGCGGCTCATTTTGTTCTTGCCACGTACAGCCGACAATCGATGCAGACAACTCTCCATGGCCTTCTCCGTTCGATCACGCAACTTGAATGCCTCTTCTTGCTCGATAAAGGCGATCGGATGTCGGTAGCTGAGCCAGAGATACGTCACGAGCACCTTGTGTATCGACTCGAGGAACTGAAGCATCTCCCCGAGCATGCCCTTCGGTATCGGTTCCAAACTCTCCAATGTCTCGATGCTTTCTTCAAATTGCTCCCAGAAGCCGGCGTCCTCCAGAGCTTCTTGAAAGCCAACTTGTAATTTATCTTCATAGAGCCTCAAAATAGATCTGACTATGTCGGAACCCCTCTCATCTTTGATCGGGAACGGCGCAGACTGAAGCATAACTCGGTCACGGATAGTCACGCCGTCCTTGATATCGTTGACGAATTCCACCTTGTCCTTCATTCTCGCGACGTCTTCAATCGCAAACTGCGGATGAACTTTCGACACATACTGAAACACATCCAGAGCGTCATTCGAGTCGGACCCCTGCGGGAGGGCATGGACGACAGCGCCAAATAGATCAGCGTTCAAAGTAATGCGAGCGTATTTGATTGGCTGCATCGGAACTTCCAGTGCGCGACGCACAACCTGCAAGTCTCCCTCGTGCAGCGTTGTAACCACGCCTCCAGAGTCGTCTTCTCCGTGCAATCCGAAGCGTCCGGCACGGCCAGCAATTTGTTTGATCTGCGAAGTTGATGCCAGCACCTCTCTTGTTCCATTCCATTTGCGGACAGAGTCGAGAATAATGCGCTTGATTTTCCTGGTGAAAGCCAACTTGATCAGCAAAACATTTACTTTAAACGTGCGATACTATTCACGCACAAATTGAGGCCCATGCCAATAGCATCGCTGCCGACTAGGATATTGTAGTCATTGTTCGGCTTGTTGAACAGCGCTGCCTGCTCGCTACGGATCTCCGGTGGCAATCTGCCATATGCAACAGCGCATCGCATCCCCGTCTGTTTCTCGATCACTTTCTTTAGTTCGAAGATCTTAGTGCGAGAAAATGCGACGACACAATCGCCTTTCTCTACACGACTCAGGTCTCCGTGAAGGCTCTCCTTGGCCACATGTAAGGGCGTCAAACGTTCGTATCGGTTAACGACGAGCTCGTCTCCAGTGTCACGGAGAAGAGCCTCGATGAGAGGGACGGCCCTCTCCTCGCCACATAGATGAAGCACCGCCGCGTTGACGCCAAGCACTGCGTTGGTCCACGCACCTCCGCGATCCGGGTCTGCAATAAGTTGGATCTCGTCAATGATAGCAACATCGACTTCGCTCATGAGCGGCACCATCTCCACTGTGCAACTGAGTAGCGCGCCGTGTTCCTGAACGATCTTTTGCTCCTCCCCTGTGAGCATGTTGCAGGCTCTAGCGTACTGCTCTCTTCCGGTTTTTCTAATGATCGGGACGGCATCGGCAGCATCGAGGTTGCTGTCCAAGGCTGGTTCCGCGTCCTTGTCAGGGTCCACCCCAAGAGGAACGATCTGACCCTTGTTCAGACGCTCCCAAATCTCGTGCGCAAGCAATCGCAGAGGACCCGCGTATATCCCACTCTTCGCGGCAGCAAGAGCTCGTAACGCGTTGTGCGTCTTGCCGCTATTCGTGGGGCCGACGTGCATAATGACTCGACGGGGGCGGGCTCTGCGTGTCTCCGGGTAGAGCGCAGCGGGATGCGAGAGGTCAGACAGTTCGAAGAGTTCCGACATCTTCGAGAGTGTCGCAGAGGAGACCTCGGTCTCGAGATCTGCGCGGCCTCGAGAATGATGTGCCCATTCAAAAAGCAGCTTCGTGAGGTATATGTCCAGCATTCCGTTATTGTCTGCATGCGTCAGATCTTCCACCATACGGGTTAGTTGCTCGTCGTCGTATTCGAGTGCCTGCAACACTCCATGCGCCCTTATAGCACCAGTATAAGACGTGAGCAAAGACTCAATGTCCTTCTCAGCGATGCCGAAGGCACAAAGCCTTCGCGCTACGTGCGGCTTTTTCGCCCATGTCCTGACCGCTTGAGCAAGGTGGTCGGGGAGTTGCTCGGGCGTGAGGGTGAAACGACGCTTCTCCTCCCCTTCCTGAGGAAGTCGAGGTTTAGGATGGTTGGGTGGCCTGGCGTAACGAGGTGTGTCTGGGTATACCCCAGAGACTGACGATCTGCTGAGGTTCGAGTTCGCACTTCGCACTGCCGTCTTGACTCCCTGTGAGGATCGCGCCCGGATGAAAATTTTGGTTCCCGTTCGCTGTGCCTGTACGAGATCATGGCGGCACCGTGAACAGACACGAAGCGAAAGCTGTTCCGTCGCCCGCAGGAGCATGGGAGAAGTATGGAGTCCGGGTCCAGCTCCTGGACCGTAAACTATTAGCGGCGATATAGCCGTGACAGATTGTGACGGGCTTCCTCAGGAAGTGCACCCAGCGATTAATACGTAAGTCTTAGAGTATAAAATATGAATGATGAATCACAAAAGCTCTTGAGGGTCTGATAATTTCATCCTGATTGCGCATGCAGCGTGCAGTTGTAAGTACTGGATCTGAACAGGCTTGATAGTGAAGGGAGCTAGGTCAGCGTGACGCGCGTAACGGCTCTGGCTGTCACGGTGAGGTGTATCTATTTGTGTTTGTTAGGATCTAAAGCTATTGGCCTCTTCATAGTACCCCGCCACCTTCACAACATCTCCAATGGCAACTGCCGCACCAGTCAATCCCTCGCGGTTGGCCACATTAACGCGCCTAAGATGCGCGATATTTCAGACGTCGTATAACCCGACGTCCATCCGTACTGGAGCCAAATACCTCCGCGCGCGTCTCCGCGGTCCCTCTATGGTCCAATACTACCCGAAGCCGTTCACAGTCGCCATGTTTAACCGCATGCATGGAGGAGAGTTTAAGATTGTGGATGAAAAAGAGGAGAGGCGAGTGGCAGATGTTGAGGCGAAGAAGAAGAGAGGAAAGGGCGTGCCGAAAAAGGCGAAGAGCAAAGGTGCGTTTCAGGAAATTCATGGCCGACTCCTTGCCTTACGGTTGTTCTGTAATAGCCGACAGCCGCAGGACACAAAGAAAACGGTAGGACTGCTAGAGGCTCCTGTCCCGTACTCTCAATACATCACAGCTCGGGGATCTCTATGCACCATCTATTCCGCATCCACTACAGTCGTGTTTCCTACTGGACTGGTCTGCTCAGCCACAACTCGATGTCATCTGTTGCAGGTGGCTTCGCGACTTTGCTGTATGTGGTCTGCGCGATCAGCACGGTCTCCGAACCAGTTCAAATAGGTCGGGAACATCAGTATATCCTGACAGGTGGCCGAACATCAGACCTCCATCCGTGTTCGTGTAGCAACTTGAACACATGCACAACGTGATCGATCTGTTTCATTCGACAAACGAGGAATTGACAGGCGCACACCCTGTGAACAATGAATTACGCATTAATGGAGTCTCGAGACCCGTTTGGAAAACTACCCAGCCGAGGCTATGTTGTGCGCATGGATATTGCTTTCGATGTCTCAACTGGGCCACTACACGCATTTCACTTCCCAATGCGGAGGTTGATGCATGTTGACATGTTTGAACCTGTTTGTGCCCTGCTTCTCTTTCGACCTCCCCGCAACCGCAGCGGCCGTGCTCTTCCCATCATCACGATGTCAGAGGGAGCAAAGCCACAAACTGATATTCCAGTGGACGCCGATGGAGCCGACAGGACCGTGGTGACTGCAAAGGATCTGGTCCTCTCGACCGGTGTCTGCGCCGAAGCCAAATGCGCGGAGAGCCATGTTGATATCGTAAGTTCTCCTTTACTGCACCTACCCATCATCGTTATATGCGCGCGGGATCAGCTTCTGGGACCTCTTAGAACGGACATTCGAGTCGAGGAGCTATCCATGGACATCAAGCTGGAACGGATGCGTGTGAACGAAGCTCTGAACGCGCGAGACGCGGTTGTCCGACGGTTCGCAGAAGCATGTGTCTCAGTCCGCGAGAAGAACACGATAATCCAGAATTTGAAGCGCGAAAGGAACGATCTGGAGAGACAGCTCGCGATGGTAAACGGTCGGAATGCAATGCTGGCGGCAGAGAACCCGAACACGTCCACGAGGGCCCTGGAGGAGAGGAAGAACGCGAAGATCGCCCTGGAGGTCGCACGTCTGTCAGATATATGCAAGAATTTCCAGCATGAGATCAGGATGCTGCGTATCCACATCGAGACGAGCGGGAAGGAAGGCGATCCGATGCCGGAGAGCATAGAGAACATACATCAGGTACGTCCATTGGTGACGAGAGCATCTGGGGTACCTGCAGGCTCAAGAAGCTATGTAGCATTCGAGACGTGAATGGCAGACGTGTCTGCACAGAATACTTCTGCATGCACAGGATCTCGCCGCGGCCGCTGCTACCCGCCGGGATGCCCCCTCTGTATCCCCGAGACCTGCATCACCCCTTCCTCTTAGCCCGATCGTCTTTACAAGCCCAAAGAGTCCTGAAGTGCTCGCTCCCGATCTTCAGATGCAGGCGCTCACCCTCGAGGATCATGAACAAAGAGTATGCTCCTCCCGCCACTGTTTCATTTCATTCAATAAGTGTTATTGTTTAGGTAGCCACAGCTATGGCCGCTCCGGATCCCATAGAACGAATACAAGCGAGGAACGCGGAACTGGCTGCCTTGCCTCTGCCCGCCGACATTCCTCCTGATGTCTTGCGACCGATCACCATCCCTTCGCCGTTCACTCTGCATGAATTCCTTGGGGCCACGCCCGTCGTAGGTCTCATTTACCTGCATATACTGCGCTTACCTGTCTAGCGATGATCGCTTCTAGCTGCTTCGTACTCAGTGCGTGATTGACCAATAGATTCGCATTGTCGTGCTAACGTTGTCCGTTGCAGGCTTGGCAATTACCGCGTCTTCCAACAGACCACGACGTATTGGTGCCCTGAACGCGAAGAGCATGGTTACTTCCTGACACCCATTTATAAATGCAACACCAATCCTCGTGTTAGCACAGCGCACCGCTGGGCAGTCGTGGACATGGCACCGAAGCTGAATAGGCACACCGGTACGGTGTCATCCCAAACTTAGATGGCGTGGCTTGACGTGTCGCAGAGTGCTTCTACAATAAGGACGGCAAATGGTACTACGCTGGGATCTACCAGGCCTTCTGGCTTGACGAGCTGACTCCAGCCGAGTGGGAGAATCTCTCAAACGAGGTACAGCCTCCTAGCCCACATATACTCCTTTCTTTGACTCTCCCCGCTTTTTCGAAGACTACGCAAGCCTTGGTCAAGGAGACCCTCGCCGGGCGGAAGAACACCTCACCGCAAAACGTCTACGAGACCGGACAGCTGTATATCGCCGGCGCGCTCAAGGTCGCGTGCATCGGGCTGCAATGTATCGGTTTCAACAACAACCTATACCGCATGCTTCTAGAACACGCGGCCAAGTGCGCGCAAACCGGCAAGTGGAGGGCGACGCCCGTGATCGCAGGACCGACGTGGGGTGCGGGCGCCGCTGCAAATGTGAATGTGAATGCGCTGCAAGTCTCTCCGGTTCTGGCTGGCTCCGCTGTGTCTTATGCAATTGAAGGCTCGGAAGGTTCTGCTGGCGACTTCGAACCAAAGGCCTAGGTGGTATGTTTCAATCTCGGCTTCATTCTGGACTGTTGGACACTCTGGCAAGACCTGATTCTGTTATGAACTATTCAATGAATGTCATCCATGGATTCCCATCAGGCAATTTCATCTGTCTACCCTCATGTTGTCCATCCCTCCTGTTTGTCCCTTCTGTATTTCTTTACTATGTTGTTCATACGCATGTCATTCGCTTTTCCTGTACTACGGAAAGAAATGGATCTTGCTATTGCTTCAAATCGATACACCGCAGATTGTGAATTGAACTGCAATTATGAAAGTAAAAAAAAGCAAAAGGTTTGCGAGAGGCACGACCCACTGCGCGAACTGATGACAGTCCTTATCTCCTAAGACTAACTCGGCCCGATCTCTGGGTTGCAGAATTGCTTCCCTGGCCCAAGGAGACCGGTTTACTTTGCTGGCAATCCGGTCTTCCGACTAGAAACCACGCAAATACCAAGTTTTCTGGAGGGGACAGTCTTGAACCAGCGCGCAAATGAGTTTTTACCGCCAACAAGAACCACCTCGCATTCCCGGTTTAGGGCCATTACAGCCACTACGCCATTGTACAATACTTGCAAATCGCGCTTTTGATACATATATGGAAATATAATTATTCCATACTTCATCGTACATAGAGCACCACCGAACCTGCTTCTTACTATCATCATCATCTCGCTGGGGGGAACGTCACATATACGAGGATGGACAGCGGATGTCATAACTCATCGCGGTGATCCAACCGACATCATCGGCTCGATTTTTGACGTGTATTGCTTTCTACTTGATTTCCTTTCCGTCTCTCAGGCAGGTTCGGATTGCACGCGTACTACAGCAGTGTCCGGCCTTGCTCTAGCGAGTATCATTGCTCGCTGTCCGTTTGTAGCAGGAACCACACGCGGGCCCGCAATCTTTTGCAGTAAGTCGTCATTTTGACTTTTATCTAACTCTTTGATGTTCTCTGAGACTTGGGAATTGGATGACGACTTGCGAATCTCTTATTCAGCGCCGTCCGCACATGTGAGAGTCATAAATAGGAGAGGATCTCTCGATTGTGCGAACAGCGTTGCTCGAAAGGCATACCTTGGAAATCTCACCAAAGCAACTCGTTAACCAACGCTTCCACCGTCTACATGAACCATGCGGCTGCATGCTGCTTTTCGTCATATGCTATCTGTATCGGAAAATGTTCGCAGCTGCCTGCAGCTCGGCGACGCTGAGTGACTCAGGCAGGCGCCCCAATACTCATGCTCCCGTTCATTGCGAGAGTACCCCATTGAAGGGTTCCCTTGAACGTGGATATGGGTATCAGGTCGTCTGTTCTGACGTGTGATGCTAAGAGTGGGCCATCATCCGTCCGAGAATGGTGCGGTCGCGAATCATGCTGTCGAGTCAGACCAAGGACGCTGCGCCGCGGTTCCTAGGCTCCACAGATTGAGACGATGTGTGGTAGCTCTAGTCGGTTTGGGAGGGACGGTATTCATAGGTCCTTGTTGTGGATGAAACAGTTCCTGGGTGCCGTCAGGCTGACTCCAGCATCAGAGTATCTCAGTTGGGGCCGATGCTTCCTTGCTGCGCCCAATCTTAGATGAGGATGGCTAATGAATGCTTCACCATTATCAGGTCTTCAATGCCGGAGTAAGACATAGCCACGCCGACTTGAGGCAACAACCGCAATTCGCTACTCTGATCTGCCAATGACTAGCTCTGAACCTGCTAGTGACTGGCGATGTCGCTGCGAACAGCCAATGCACCTCATGAAGACCCACTTCTTCGGATTTGCGCGATAGCATAGCTCGCCGCATGTCGATTGCATTCAGTGGCTGACACGCACGTTGCTTCCACGGACCTCTGTTCCCGTCACGCAATCTATTATGAATGTTGATCTCGACGGGATTCATGCATAGAGGCTAGCGATCCGGGTGCCATGCGCAAGGCGCATACTATCGCCAAATCACCACGGACGTCCATTAGAGCTGCAGTTCTAACCGCAGAACGATCAGTCTACCTCAGATTAGGGCCCGAACAATGGTTAAGAGACATGCAACGCGACTCTAAGCTCTCCGGCTGTCAACCATCTTAAGTGAGGTCTCAGTTCCGGCATGCTCTTTGTCTGCCATCAATTCTCACAAAGCTCTTCCACGTTACATGATCTGCCACGTCTGCTGCGCTTATTCGTATTAGACATGCGAGGGCCATCCATGGGCATACCAGGGCTTCGTCCTTGGGCTCTTACACGAATATTTGATGAACGCCCGTTCGGAGATGATTCATCGTTCCGTTGTCTGGACATGGCCATCCGTTCCCATGTACATGGAGCGGGATCTGCATAAAAGCCAGCATACAATTCGGACGAAGGACCATCCATGCTCACTGCCAACATGCATCTGTATGCAAGCTATGCAAGCTCTTTTCTCTTCGCGTTATTATGTGTTCTGATATCTACCTGTATTCGACATCTACGACGCACCATGCAAGCAAGACGTCTCACGACGTATGAGGACATCCGCGCGCTCCTCGATCCTCCGCTCTCGCTCACCGAGCAGCTGTGCTCTCGCGCCATCCCTAACGCCCGTTTGAAACGGGCCTTCCAAATCTACTCAACGTTCGTCCGAGGTGACATTGCTGCGCACTCGTCCTTCACGAGAGATGCTGCTCGGTTCATCTCCGCCCGCAATATACCCTGGGCCCGCTTTGCGGACGTCGCCAACGACGCCGTCGCATTATATCTCCCCAGGTCGGCTGATACCATCATGTTCGATACCTTTATCTCCAGGGTCACTATTCATGTGGTCCTCGTCGGCATTCTGGGTGCTGACTCCGAACACGTGGGTATTGATCCTCTCGACGTCGACGTTGTCACGTCCGGCATTAACGACCTTTGGGTGAAATCCAAGGCCTCCGCACCGCTCCCTCCTAATCTCCTCGAGGATGTCAATTCCCGTCTTCGCCGCTGGCTTCCAGCACTCGCCAATCCGTTGGAGTTTGTCATCCCCGCATACGAAACGATATGGCGAGTCGTCGCTACCGCCGTCGCTTTAAATCATGATAATGAAGAAACTCGAAACTCATTTCTGTTGTTTCTGCAAGAACCGGACGCAGATCAGTTTCGCCGTTTTACCGGTGAAAGCGCTAGCGTGGAGGCAACTATACAGGAGGTTCTCCGCCTCTACCCTCCAACGCGGCGTATCTCGCGCGCCGTCACGATATACCCATTCCCTTTCCTACCCTATCTCATCTCCAAGTACTTGAGCCGCGAGATTATCGTGGCCGCTGACATTGAAGCGCTGCAAAGGAGTGCCGTTTGGGGTCATCTTGCTATGCAATATGACCCTCTCCGCCACCACCCGCAGCGCTGCAATGACGCACAGCGCCAGACACTGCTTGCATTCGGCGCAGGCAAGTTGACCTGCGTGGCGAAGAACTGGGCTCCACAGGCAGCCGCGCTTATCGTCGCTGCTGTATTCGACCGAGTGGGAGTGGACAAGGCATTTAAGATTGAAGCGGGGAGGGAGATTTTAGGTGGGAGGGAGGGATGGGAGGGATGGATTGTTAAGAGGATTGACTGACTGGCTTACCGACTTGAGCTACCTTTTATCTTTTTGTGACTCTTGATCCAGTGATGCTGTGTTTATCCAGCCGCTCACGGCATGTGGTATGTCTTGACAACGTACATAAGTAGTCCGATAGTGTCCAGCCTCGGGAAGGTTTGTGCCTTTTGTGAATAAGACAGAATTTTTTCTTGTGTACATGCCGCACGGCCTATCAAAGACCCTTTATATCATGTATGTCGCTATATCAAGCCCAACCGCTCCCTGACCTCCCGCATCGTGGTCTCCGACAACTCACGCGCTTTAGCCGCCCCGCTACTTGAAACGTGCGATAAGTAATCTGTTTCACCTTTCAGCCTCTCGAATTCTGCACGAGGCTTCTTCAACAGCTCCTGGACGGCCTCTGTGACGTCTTTCTTCAAGTGACCATGCCCTTTGCCGTGATATCGCTTCGCGACTTCGGTCACGTCCTCATCCATGCAGGCAGCCAGAATTGTCAGTAAATTGGCCGCGCCTGGTCGGTTGACCGGATCGTAAGTCACACCGACGGTTGTGTCAGTGACAGCTCCGCGGATCTTTGCTTTGATCTGGGCCGCGTCGTCCGTGAGAAGGATACGGGAGTTGACATCAGGTGCGGATTTTGACATCTTGGACGATGGGTCCTTCAATGACAGAATGCGCCTCGAGGGCGCTGAGGGTGTATGAGTTCGCATGTTGATGAGTCAATGACCAGAACGCACTGATGACATGCTGCGGTAATGGGAACAACGGTCTCTTCGACTTGTAGGAACGATTAAATGAATCTGCCAAGTCACGACAGAGTTCCAGATGTTGTTGCTGATCCTCGCCCACCGGTACATGCGTCGCTCTATCCCAGGAAAGCAAATGGTGAGCGAAGCCGTGATGAAGGCACGAAAGTATGCATACTTGTAAGCGAGGATGTCGGCTGCTTGGAGCACAGGATATGTAAAAAGGCCGGCATTCAGTAGTGATTCGTCTACTTCGGATTCATCCCTCGCGTTGCGCGATGTTGCCAGTCTTGACTGAATAGAATCCTTAGTAGGTTCAGCCTCACAAACTAGAACCCGACAGACCTTCCACGTTGTCATCCTGCGTAGTTTGCCCATAGGAGTGATGCAGCTCAACACCCAAGCGAGATCTGTATGATGAGGATTCTGAACGATACTGAATGGAACACATTTAGATGGGAGTAAGATTGCGCCTACCTCGTCCTGATGGAAGATCACAGACCGCTCAGGGTCGAGCCCTATGGCGAGGAGCACCGCCATCATCTCTCTCCGTGCAGCACTTAGTGCTTTTGGGTCTTGGGGCAACGTAAGGGCATGCCATCCGGCGATAGAGAATATAAGCTGGTCGTCTGGTTTAGCATCCTGCTGCAGCTTCACCCAGTTCAGGAGCGCTCCCAAAAAATTTCCCAGCTATGAGTATCATGAGCACGTTTAGGGCAACAATGCGGGGCGGGTGCGTACGTGAGGTATTCCTGTTGGCTGTACGCCTGAGAAGACAACTCTCGGAGCGGGCGCGTTCGCAGCGGGCTCTCCGACAACTCCTCCGCTGTACAATCTTCCTCTGGCCGCATGTCGCGCTTCAGCGAGCACCAATCGTAAACAACGGCGCGTTGGACGCGTCGCAGCGCGTGGTGGGATGAAAGCAAGCAGGGACATTCGCTACTGCAATTGGAGCGAGAGAATTTGATCGGAGGTGACGCGGACTCTCTCCGAATGCTCATTTTGGCTTGAATGAACGTTCACTCGTAGATTACTTGGATATTTTCTGGGGCCAACTCGCATCTGGCTGTCTGACTGTGTCGACATTATGGAAGCGGACAATATTCTGGGAACAGCTGGCAAGCTGGATGGACAAGATCGACCGTCGTCGAAAGTGCTAGAGCCCGACGATGGGTTGCCCTCCGAAGACCACTCGCAGGCCACAGCCAGCTTCAGAGATGTCACAGAGGCCTTTGTAGAGGCTGCTAAGGGTAAGTCTTGCGCTATCAATGAAAGATGACTCGCGAGCCAACGAGTGGCACAAGACATGGATCCTGAGGAGCTTGTGTTCACGGAGGGTTTCACCTTGCTCGATGCAATGAGTGCGTTTGAGGTAGGCACGGTTATCATCTCATCGGTGAATCGCTAGCTTTTTTGACACTAATTGTGTACAAGATTGGAGAGCCTCGCATGGACAGTGGAATGATTCTCGAGCACCAACGTAAACCTCCATTCGATCCTTTGAAACCTCTTCTACCGGGAGAAGTTTGCTGGATACTGGAGAGATCCTTTGCATGTGAGGTGAATCGTCATGATCACCTTCCACCGTGCTTAGATTTATGTATGTACTGCATCAGATGGAATGGCATGCGGGGAATAGCCTTCCGCAGACGGTCTATACCCTGCTATATGTTCACTATCTCGGCGATATGAGCCCCGACTTCATGCCACTGCGCTCCGATATCATGCAAGATCCATTGCGTCCAGTGGAACTGATCACTGTCGTACTGCGGGCGGGCATGTTCGGGCTTCTCAAGTGCTGTGATTTGAGCTGGCGGGAATTATCCAAAGGCAGAGTGCATGATGTTAGCATGTGTCGTGGATTATCCACTCGGCCTTACTGATTAGTAGCTCTGTGCAGATTGAGGATTGGCAAGGCGAAAAATGCGACGTATCACTTCTGGAAGGGGTCAGCACAGACTTTGTGCTCAAAACGTTGGATGATGCATGCGACTGGCTTCGAGGCTCCTCGCTCTCTCCTTTCGTTGTGAATCAATTATGCGACATTCTCCGATTCCGGAAGGTAAGATGTCTCGTGATATCATGCGGTATTCTTCGAATGATCGTATGCAATAGGTCCTTCTTCAAATGTACAGATGCAGTCCACCTCTTAGCGCGGGTGACCTGCGTGCGTTCACTATCAGTGCATGGATGGTACTTCGAAGATTGCAGGTTTATCCTCCATATCGTCCGGCTCCTGATTCTCCGGCTTCCCTCGCGTTTGACCCGTACATTGCCCGCCGTCTCCCCAATTTCATGCCTAATCGTGTGGCAGAGCTGCCTCCGCAAGGACAAACATGGACCGCATTGGGGCGTCTTATTGATGGATGGAAGGAGTTGGCCAACTTGCTTGAGTCGCCTTGCATTACTACTTGGGAGGTGAAGTCGCAACCATGTCTCATCTGATCGGCTTACATTGAGCTCCTCCAGATTGCAGGCTGCCTACGAATATGGTCGCCTACAAAACAGACTCATGTGGCTTACCTACGCTCCTTGATTCAAGCGAGTATTCCTTCACATGGGTCGTTTGGAAACCTAACCTGTCGCTCAGTCTACTGTCTTCGATAGAAACACTGTCCTAGGACAATTCTCTCCAACTTGGCTGGTCTTCCGCTTTTTCACCGAGACATTAGGTATATCGTACGAAAGCGTAGCTGAGAGGCTCAAACTGAGCGAGGCTCACCATGTGGCCGCTATCATGAAGGAATCGGAACGGGAGATTGTCAAGGTGTGTTTGCCATGCTGGTTTCACATTGAGAACGACCTGACAACTCCTACAGCTGATGGTTGCTGAGATCAGGTCGCAGGCCCATAATCCACCCCGCCGGCGCCGTTACCTGATGAAGTCGACACTACAATGGCATGAGCTGCATGACAAGTTCCTCCATATGGCCGCCTACTGCGACCCATCAGTGAGTTCGGATGACATCCGGCAGTGGTTCGCTGACCGGATTCTTGCGCTTTATTAGGATAGCGATGTGAACATGCTACTGGAATCTTTGCTGAGGGCTGCGTCATATTGGCGGCTGAATGCAGCCCGAGAGGTGATCCTGTCCGGCTTTCAGCAAGACCTATATGCATTAGAAGAGATGCCGATCGCCTACTGGTACCTAGCAAGGATTCTAGATGCGCATCTTGAATGCATAGATGACATCCTGAGCTATAACCCAAAGTGTAGTATTTTCTTCTAATTGAAGCAACGCATGCCTGACCAAGGCGCGCAGATAGCGAAGCCCATGACGAACTGTTGTACCAGTCAAGATTCTTGACAGCGCTTCAATTAATGTCTATTGTCATAAGCGCGGTTCGTAATAAGATTCCTGTAGCGCTGTCGTGCTCTTACTCATCGTTGAACATAGCTCATGTACAACCAGTCCACTGTGCTGCCGATGAAGCGACTATCATTGAACTTCATGCGACGGTACAAGTGGGCGCTCAAGCCCGAGTACGACTACCTAACTCCCGCCCATCCTCTGCCGGATTTTCTCAGTTACCCTTCTCAGGTGACAGAATTACTTCAGGTGAGCAATGCTCGCTGTGCTGTGAGTATCTTTGAATCTCATTCCATAGAGCAGGATGAGTATTTCTGCCCTTCTGAGCTTCTAAAGTTGGCAAAGGATATTCTTTGCGGTCTAGAAACCTCTCGATCCCAAGGCTATGGTGGTATATGGTCGGCTGAGCGAAACAGTGTATGTACATTCTATTCCCCATGGTACCGCGACGGTGTTTTATGTTTTTCTCTCCAAGTTCTTAGGTGAATTGGCAAACGTTTGCGATGAACTGCGAGAAGTATCGCCCACAAAAATGGATGAGCTATATGAGTTCAAAACTGCGGTCTTCAAATGGAATCAGCGGAGTCATCCTTGGTTCCCAGATATTGTGCATTAATGATAGCTTCTGTTCGCGTTTCTGGTATATAGTGTGTCTACATGTATGTAGTTGATGGCTTGGTTCTGTGCGTCAATCTCAGCTTCTGGCATTACAAGACCTTCCTCGTTCGGAAAATAAGGTTCCGTTTGAGGCGCGCCTAGTTGAAATAGCCTGCACTGTGACCGTTCTAGCTAGCATTCACACGAAGTCTCCCACTCAGGTCTGTCAGAGTCATCCTCTGCTTCAAGCACGGCCAACTGAAGTCACATATCGGAAGTGTGATGTCTGCGAAACGAAAGGCCTCGGAGTCCCCGCAGGGCTTGATTGGACGTCCCAGTCCATACCATCCCTCCGTGACTCTATTCCAGCCCAACAGCGAGCCCAGTTCCTCCCCCACTGTACCGTTGACTACAAGGCGCTCTCCTCGTAGACAAAAAATTGTGAAACGCGAGGATAGTATGGATAGTACGGAGAAGTCCACCGTAACTGGTGATACCAGTGCGCTAACTAACAGCACTGTCTTGAAATCTCCCAAGGCGGCCACCGCTTCCACTAGTTCGGATGTCAAGCCTGACAGTACAACCCATGCTAAAGCCTCCCAAGGTGGATCTCCTCGGAAACGCAAATCTGCGTCACAGGCATCAGGTGCATTCCATCCTGCTCCTCCGAGATGGCGCGAAGCATATGACAAGATAAAAGAGATGCGATCGCGTGTCGTCGCACCAGTTGACACCATGGGCTGTGGGCGTGCGCAACTCTTTGAGACGATTCCCAAAGTCTGCCATTTCACATAGCTCCTTTGCGGATCTGACTTACATGGGACACTACTACGCACGTAGAATCAGCGCTTCGCCACCTTGGTGTCATTGATGCTGTCCTCGCAGACGAAGGATGAAGTCACGTCAGCTGCTGTAGACAGGCTCCGAGAGGCAGTCGGCGGAAGCCTGAGCGTTGATGCTATCCTGCGTGCCGATGACAGCACGATATCTGATGCAATTTGCAAAGTCGGCTTCTGGAGACGGAAAACAGAGTCAGCACCGCTGAGACTACGGTGTCTAGAAATGACCGTCTGAAGCTCATGACAGATATATCAAGCGAACAGCTCAACGCCTTCATGATGATTTTGACTCCGATGTCCCGAAGACGGTAGAGGAGCTGTGCACTTTACCAGGCGTTGGGCCCAAAATGGCGATCCTTGCGCTTCACGTTGGATGGAAAGTGTGCGTCCTTCCTTTCTCATTCATCTAGATAGCTGAAAGAGACAATGTCGTAGGAATGCTGGCGTCGGCGTAGACGTCCATGTACATCGCATTACCAATAGGTTAGGATGGCACAACCCTCCCACAAAGACACCCGAAGAAACAAGGTACGCGCTTCACTCACTCATACATCGCGGTAGCTGTCTCTCTTTCTGTAAAATCGATTGTCTAAATGTGAAATACGCTGGCAGGTCAAACCTTGAGTCCTGGCTACCTAAGGAGCTCCGACCGACGTTCACCGGTCTACTAGTAGGCTTCGGTCAGGTCGGTCCAGCTGCATTCCAGTTTAAACTCCCTCCTGCTAATTCATTGCCTAGACCATTTGTCTTCCAATTGGGCCTCACTGCGATTCGTGTCTATTGTCGGATGGCCTGTGTCCCAGTGCTCGCGCCGCATCGCCGCGGCGGTCACCGACTAAGAAAAGAGTGGTAGTTGCATCGACGAGTCGTGCGGCTCCGAAGTTGGAGATTGCTATGGAGGATGCAAAGGATGAGATCCTCTGAGTTTGAGCTCCGAGGGGCTATTGTAGTGTCATTTGAGATTTCCGAATGCTGTACTCCAAATAAGAGAAATGGGCCGCTGGCGAATACTGCACTTGCCTAATGTAGTATGCGCGACCTGCTTTCGGTTAGTTCAAGTTGTTGTTCGGTACCTTCAAGGTTAACCATAATCTTTCCCAATACTACTCGTACTTAGCTTCGCTCCGAATCTAGGACGTTCTGCTACTCACCGCCTCTCTCCGCCTCTGCGCTCATTTTAACATGGCGACATTGAAGAGGAGTGCATCACCGGTCGTCAGCTTGTCGACGCTGCCGCAGCTTGCAGGGTTCCACTCGGTTGTCCTAGAGTCGTCTCAGTCCGTTGAATCTTCTCAAGGATTGCGGCGTTCCAAACGTCTCAAGGTCGCAGTAGCACACGTTAAAAAGGAATCGGATGACATGAAACAGAGTGTCGAAACAGCCTCCCAGGTAGACATTAAGATTGAAGCGGAAGTCACAACGATAGATGTGAAACCTTCCTCGTCGCGCAAAACAGCAAGTTCACCGAAGAAGAAAGTGCCTGCCTCACCTCGCAAAGCCAAGCCTATTGCGCAGGCACTTGATGTTCCTCATCCAGCTCCAGCACATTGGCGCCAAACATATGAGACCATCGAGGAGATGCGTTCCAAAGTGGTAGCTCCGGTAGATACTATGGGTTGCCACATGCCGCAGTTAGCAGAGACAGTCCCTGAGGTAGGCATTCTGCAACGTGTAATATCTACATCACTATAACATTTTCTCATGTACAGAATCAGCGCTTTGCGACACTGGTGTCTCTGATGCTGTCTTCACAGACGAGGGACGAGACCACGTTCGCTGCCGTCACAAAGCTTCGAGAAGCTGTAGGCGGGAGTATTAGCGTTGATGCCATTCTGAAGGCTGATGGTAACGCCATTTCCGAAGCGATATGTAAGGTGGGATTTTGGAGACGCAAGACCCAGTATGTCAATCGTGATTGCCTCATTCTTCGCCGCTGCGCCTAACCTTGGTACTCGCTTGAACGCAGGTACATAAGACAAGCTGCTCAATGTCTGCGTGACGATTTCAACTCGGATGTGCCGAAGACGGTAGATGAGTTGTGCTCACTACCCGGAGTTGGCCCAAAGATGGCATTCTTGGCTCTGCAAGATGCATGGAAGCTGTGCGACACATATCTTAAAAGCTAGAGTCGGATGCAGAGCTGACAGCTGTGGATAGGAATGCCGGTATCGGCGTTGACGTTCACGTTCATCGCATCACGAATAGACTGGGATGGCACAAGCCACCGACGAAGACGCCTGAAGAGACACGGCACGCTGACCATCTTTGATTGACGATTTCGTAATTTGTTGAGCTCTTCTCCTCACAGACTGAATCTACAATCGTGGCTCCCACTGGAGCTTCATCCGAAGATCAACGCTTTGCTTGTCGGCTTTGGCCAAGTATGTGAAAATCGTTTGGTGGGCTGGCCCCATTACCTTATGCTTATCTTGGTTTTCAGACAATATGCTCGCCTGTTGGGCCTCACTGTGACACTTGTCAGCTGAGCAGCTGGCTCTGTCCCAGCGCTCGCAAGGTCAAGTCGAAGAGCAAGAAAACTGTTGCTGCAATTTCCAGCAGATCCAGACCGAAGATCGAGATCGCTGTCGAAGAAGAGTCAATTGCGGAGATTGTTGCTCCCTCCGAGGAGACGAAACCTGTAGCTCTGAAAATAGAGGACGACGCATAAACGTCCGGACTGTGGTGCGTTATGGATTGCACACTGTACATTTTTTTCTTGGGCTGCTGCGGTATTTATCATCTGCTACATCTATGTCAAGTTCTCCTGTATCTTGTCCAATTCGTACTCTGGAATGCTTGAATCAACATAGGCTCATTGCCATGTCCCAGAACCCCTTCTCCAGGCGTGTGCACTGCTCCCACACGGAGCGCCACTCTTCGAACCGTTTCGGAGACGGCGGATCTGCCACTGCGAGTTCCTCAATCGTTTCTACAAGTCCGGACAATCAGCTCAACACGAGAGCGCGGTGCGAATGGGTATCTTACGGAGGCCGATCTTGACAGCGCTCTGATATGCATCGCCGGAGTAATCGTCGATCCATTTGCTGTATGGATTGCCCTCGAGCTTGACCCAGGTGTTCGGCTTCGAGGCTTCTTTCTTGAGCCACAGCCCCACTTCGCCATATCCGAGCAGGCAGGCAGCGAGCGCCATGATTAATCTTGGCGTGTCTCCTGCATCGTGGACGTGAGAGGCAAATATACCGAAAGCGGCGGGTACTGACCTTGTATACCAGCGTCGAGAATGTAGGCACCATATGCGGTGCACGCCGCCGACTCGGCTGTCGCCTCCAGCTCTTCCTCGCTGATACCAAATTGTGCGCAATAGGTTTTCTGCATCGACACCTCGTTGAGGATGCTGATGATCGTCTGAGTCGTGGCATGGATGGCAGTAAATGTGGACGACTTCATCGCCAGCATCCTATCCAGCGTCGACGACACCATTGTCACGTCTGCCGGATAACGCTAGCCATTGAGAGTACGCACCCGTACGCCCTGGCGTAATACTTCAAGTAATGATAGTCTTGCCTTGTGCGCGTACGCAGGTTCATGTCAGTCACGTCTAGTGCACACCCTTAGGAATAGCACGGTGCGCACTTGATGAAGCGCAGGAAGCATTCCATGGGCAGGGTCCCCTTTGCGAGCTCCTTGACAAAGTCGTGCTCGACGTATGCCTTCCAGATGTCGCGCGTGGACTGGATGAGCAAGCGCGTGAGCGGATGAGGGATGTTTTCGTTGGGCCTGCAACGAAGTGAACATGCGCCTTACAGGGAGAGGGAAAATTCACGTACAGAGGGACGCTGCGCACGAGGATAGCATGCATATGATTCAATGGGCCATAGCCGCTTCCCAGTGGGAATGCACTCTCGATACCCAGATGCGTGTAGACCGTGGCAGCTTGTGTAGCCTCAATGACTACCTCCGTGATGAGATGCAGCGAAACGTAGGACGATGATAACACTGACTGGTTTTTCCACGAGCCAACGCAGACGCCAGAGCTGATGAGAGTGTGCAGCCCGTGCCATGGGTGCTCTTTGACTCCACTCGTGGCCGGATGAACATGGTGATCGAGTCGCATTCCTGTAACACGTCCACGACAAGGACGAACAAAGCCGGGTCCTGCTCGGCGATCTGCAAGATCTCCATGTTCTCGTCGATGAGCCCATCGCGGATGACGCGTACATGGGGGTGCGAGACGGATATTCTCCCCACGTCCGCGAGGCATGTCGTTACGTGGCCGCCCTTGAGTAGTACCGCCTTCGGGCCAAGAGAGAGCAGGTTCCGCGAGGCGATGAGCATGTCCTCAAGGCTTTCTACTCTTGATGGGAGGCCGCGGTGCGAGAGGAGAAGCTCTGCCTCAGACTTGTTTGGTGTTATCACAGTGGCCAAGGGAAACAGCTCTGAAATCACTATTTCCACGGCACCTCGCTGTAGCAGCGTATGTCCAGACGTGGACACGCACACGGGATCGCAGACCAGCGGAGGTGCAGAAGCCCCATAATGCGCCTTGAGCGTTTCAGCAATTGTATGTGTGATGCCTGCATCACAAAGCATGCCTGTCTTGATCGCCTTGATTTCCACATCGCTTAGAACCGATTGAAGCTGTCCATAACCTGAAATCAAATGGGCAGACTTCGAAGTCTGATAAACGAGACGCACCTGTTGCTTTACAAATTCAGGCGGAATGGCGTGCACTCCCTGCACACCCGTGGTGTTTTGCGCGGTCAGAGCCGTGATAACACTGGTTCCGTAACAGCCAAGCGCGGTGAAAGTCTTCAAGTCAGCCTGTGCTTGAGATCAGTAAGGTGCAATTGGAGCACATGAGTTCGCTCATACTTGGATGCCAGCTCCTCCACTAGAGTCCGAGCCTGCAATGGTCAAGACAGCTGGGTGAATTGGCCTTGCCTTACTTTGTGCAGACATGACGAACAGAGATCCACGGGACGGACGCCATAAAGTCAGTGGCCGTGCCACTGCGAATTAATGGTTATATAGATTAATATATCGGCTTCGATTCGAAGCGTGTGTGGTGTAATGGTAACATAGGGTCTTCCCATGGCCCTGCCTCGGGTTCGATTCCCGGCACACGCATTCTCGTACTCCGTCTTTTTCCCCCACGTAACCGTGGAACTGGTGACTTCGTTCAATACTATTCTGACCGACTTGGCGTGACTACTATACTGTAACTCGACGGCTTCTCCTGCAGACTATATGTACACGATGGGATGGATACGTTCGCGCGTAAGGTACGGCCTACTCTGTTGGACTAAGTGCCGGTTTCTTCCCTCGCGCCAGGAAGAAGTCCACAGTGTTACCATGCATCTTGCCCGATGTGGCTAAGCTATAGTCAAATGCAATCAAGCCAGCTGTTTCGAAGGCTTCACGCATATCGTTGGTATCGAATCCGTGCTGATGCGCGATAATACGTTCATGATGAGCAGAGATCTCGGCCTTGAGCGTGCCCTTCACGATATCCACTACCAACAACGAACCTCCTGGCTTCAGGAAAAAGGCGAGCATGCGCGTAACGTCCCGATAGCTCGAGAAGTGGTGAAAAGCCATGGAACACTGCGAGGTTCAGTCACTCATTATATTTCAATCGAAGCATGTGATGGACTAACCACAATCACGTCGAACTTCTGACCGTCCAGCTCGTGTTCTTCGCCCTTGAGTTCAACGCAAACGGCCTTCATCTCTTCCGGAGTCAGCCCTTGCTGAGACACTCGAAGGTTGAACTGGTCGACCATGCCGTCACTGATGTCTACCCCGACGATCGACTTGACGTAGGGGCAAAGCTCCCGGGAGACCAATCCTTTCCCACGAAAGTTTCGCGTGAGCCAGACATTGCATGGAGCCAATCTGGAGCACAAAATCGTACCGGTGCCGCAAGCATAATCCATTAAGGTAGTGGTCTCTTCATTGAAGATATCAGGATACCTTCTCCTCATGGCGGCAGCCACCCTGCGGGCGAGCTCCTGCGTGTCGCGACGAGCATCCACCTTCCGGGCCTCCTCGACATCGTAGAATGCTTTGTTCTCGGCAGCATAGTGATCATGAGGGCCATCAGCATGAATTTCTTCATGACTGCCCTGAGTGTGCGAAGACATCGTTGCCTATCGTTCAATAGTAGAATGTCGCGATCCTGTGCTGGTGGAAACTATATAGCGTAGCGATAGTAGTACCAGATCAACATATAGCGTCGGCCATCATATATGTACTGAACCTAGTAACTGGTCAGGTGAGTAAGCTCAGCGTGGCATTGCAGAAAGCAGCCACCATCAAGTACCGCGCGAGAAAGAGAACCCTCACAGTAAGGGATGCATGTGGTGCCGGCATATGATTCAAACATTAATGTACTATTTAGTGAAGACAGTACTGCACTGGTCATCTTAGTGACAAACAGCCGCCGAACTTCTTCCTGGCAACTACATCCATTTTCTGCTTCACCTCTCGAAACGCCTTCCACCATGCGCGCCCGACTACCTCTGATGTGACCTCGCCTCCAGCATCTGGCACGCCATCGTTCGAAGCGTGCTCCCAGACGCCGAAGTACCGCCTCAACAGCACCAACCACCACCTCAGTACCATCGTCGCTTTCTCAATGCCTGTGTCAGTAGACTTCATACCATCCGCACAGTGCACGAGGAACTTCGCGAAGTAGTCCACGTCTCGCTGGTTTGGTGGATGCTCTCGGAATCCGTCCACCCATGCCTCGATCACCCGCTCGATGTCTTCAGTCTCAGTGAAGTAGAGCTTGTCACCCTTCGCCTTGCCCTGCTGCTTCAGTATGGGCGGCTGCACGTATATTGCTTGAGGTGGCGGAGCACGGTAGTATGGAACTGACGGAGACTTCGACATCACCTTCGGCTTCAGCACCTTACGTTCTGCGAACAACGACACGCCAGGTGCCTTGACGCCACGCGCCATCGCCAGCTGTTCCCGCTGCAAATCAGGCGGCAGCATGATGAACACCTCCGGATCGATATTCAACTTGAGAAGTTCTCTCTCTGAGACGTAGACAGAAGACGGCCCGACCGGCTTCGTGAACAGTCTGCTCTTCGCGGGCGAGACACTCGGCCTGTTCTGCGGTGCCAGCTGTTGTGTGATGCGCTTGACATCCGTTCCCTTGACTATGATCTTCTGGTTGCGTTCAACGGGCATGGAAGGCGAGCGACTACGCGCCGGGTGCTCCGCGAGCACAGGCGTAGCGGACCTGCGACTGTACTCTATCTCGAGCTCTTTACGCACATCCTCGGGTAGAGCGTCAAAGACTGCCATGTCAACTTGTGACAAGGATGGTAGATCAGCAACTTCCGCCTTGATCGACGGGACTTCTGTTTCGGTAAGGTCGATGATCTGGATCTCGTCATCGTCCTGTGAAGGCGGCTGGACGACAATGGCAGGGTTTCCAGCAGCCTTGTCTTCAGCGGGCTCCAGTGCAGTAGGTGCTTCCTTTTCGTCAGAGGCCTTCGGCTTGAACGGCAGGACCGCTTGTCCGACATCCGACGCAGTTTCCCCATCAGCTTTCTCTAGCTTCTGGATCTGTATGCCTATCCCGCGCAGCTCCCTGGGATCAAAGTTGAAGCTCTTCAGCAATCTCCATGCGTGCTCGCATATAATTCGTTCGTCGCTTGTCGCTCGTCCGCCAGGCGGGATCAAAGGCGCCTGCTTATTGAACGACTCACATATACCGTGGCCCATGAACTGCATTCTCGCGTCATGGTGTGGCATGTGAATATGTTTAGTGATGACACACCTTAGGTGCCTCCACCGGAGCGCTCGAATCGCGTGTCAGGATTTTCAAAGTCAAGGAGCGGCCTTTCATATTGATGTTGTTGAGCCGTCGGGATACTTCCTCCGAGACTTGATAGATGAACGCCTCGGCTTGCTCATTGTTTTCGAACCGTATGCCATACTGCGAAGCATTAATGAACATCTATCTTCTCATGATACGAGCAATGCGAACAAGACTCACATTGATATCACACGACACGGACTTGCGTGGCTTGTCCGACTCCAGCTTGCGGTCATCAATCCCTCGAATGGCTTTGTACAACGTCTCTCCCGTCCCTTTTCCGAGCGCCTCGCATAGAACAGCCTTGCTCTTCTTCGCTAACTCGCCGAGAGTCGTAGCGCCAAGTTTCTCGAGAGCTTTCTGACGTGCGGAATATCCAAAGCCGTGCAGATCATCAATGTCGAGGGTTGCGAGGATCTCTTGCGCATCCTTCGGCAATATATGGAGCGACCCAGCTGGCTTTGCCTTGCGCGAGGCGACACGCGCAAGCATGACGTTGTGAGCTATACCAATACTCACTTCACAACCAGTTGCCTTCTTCACTTGCGCACGGATGACCTCAGCGAAGTCCCGCGCAGGGTCGGCGGGAGATGCAGCGGGATCCTGACTATTGGCTATCTCCCTATTGATGCGACGGACACTGCATGTCACGTCTATGAGCGCTTCATCGACCGAGACTGCTTGTAGGTCATCCGCATGCGCCAAAAGGATGGTGTAGAACTGCAGTGAGAGCTGCTTATACCTACCATTCAGCCGCCAATCAATGTTCATATAAACAAGAGAGGAACTAATAGAGAAACCGACCTCTTGAACTCATAAGGAATCGTCAACAAAGTCGGACAGAGCTTCCGGGCCTGTTGTAGACTGCATGTATCACATTCAAAATGGCGGCGCAACAATGAGAAATTGAGGCAACGCACCTCATGCCGCCCTTAACGCCGAAACTCCTAGCCTCATAACTTGCACTGGCAATCTCGCTAGTGCTTGATCCTCCTCCCGTATTGCCCTGCGAATGGCATACGACGACAGGCTTGCCACGCAGATCGGGTCGATCAATGAGCCCAGCAGACACAAAGAAACTATCGAAGTCACAATGCATAATCACACGGTCTTCATCACTGTCAACCGCGCGCTCTTTCCCTTTTCCCTTGCTTAGAGAACGCATGACCAGCTGTGCCCCCCGCATACTCACATCGTCCATGCCTTCTCTCTCTCGCCGTCCGATGTTCTGCTCCACGATCTTCTCCACGGCAGTCCGGTCCTGAGAGCTCGGCAAGCGACCCCATGCTGACGCATCGCCCTTCTCAGCGCGCTCCTGAGCTTCTGCAACGAGATCCTTCAGCTCCGCCTTCCAAGTTGACAAGTGGTGCAGACGCGAGTTCTTGTAGTACCCCTGCACGAAGTCGGGCGCGACTGACGTGTGCGCGGCGCGCCATGCGGGATCTGCCATTGCACGTTCGGCATTACGATTTGATGAAGGTGAGGCGTAGTCTGGGACGCGAACCGCTTGTTCGGGTGTAGAAGGATCTGTGGTGTAGAGGGGAGGGGAGACGCTACCCGCTTTTTTCTTCGGAGTCTGCGGTGGCGTTATGGGATCTGGTTGCATATCGGATGTCAAGCGTGACGGTCCTGCCGCAGGCTGGCCATCGTCGAGGGATTTTTCTTTTTCCACAGGGTGCGGTTGGTCTCCCCAAGAGCTTGTTGATCCTCCCGTAGGTCTTGTCGCATTCTGAGATACGAAACCTTCAAACAGAGACTTCTGTGCGATCCTTTTGCCTTGAGACGGTTCAAGACGATCTCCGGGCTTGAAGATGAAGTCGTGCCATGGAAGCAGCTGACCAGCCTTCGCACTTTCCATAAGCCATTTTGGTCTGACGACCTTCATGTGCTTGAATTCGCGGATCTTAGCGGGAGTGAGGGAACAAGTGATGATATGAGTACTAGTATGGAGTTATCAGGTTAATGTTCGTGATAGATGGGTGAGCACTCACACTAGTGACTTCTTGTCAAGGTAAGGATGATAGATCCCTCCATGCTGTATGATCATTTGACGTAGGTCTTGGACAGATGGTTCCGTCCAGCCATTTATCTGTGTATAGACATGAACCATTTTTGATTGATCTTTGACAAACAAGTAACGTACGTAGATCTGCAAGCCTCGAAAGATCCTAGGCGTACCACTCTCTCTTTCCGTGTCCATCTCTGCATTCTGAATCTGCAGCTTGGCACGCTTTCTTGCCATGTACTCGCCAAATTCCCCAAAACGTGAGGCACCATAGGTGTGAGAAGATAAGTAAGAGCCCTCATCTGCGTCCGCGTCCACCGACTTCAGCACTTGATGGTAGTTTGAATCTGGTTCATCCTCTGCATCATCAACAGGTCGCCGTCGTTTCAGGGACGGTTGCGATGCAGGAGGTAGCTCAAACTCGGTCGCATCTTGTGATATCTCTGGCTTCGTCTGACTTGGTCCTTGCGAAGGCAGTTGACCGTCCAGTGAAACTTCATTCAATGCTTGCAGAAACTCAGGATCGTCATCCCCATAGTAGTCCGAGGATGCACTTCCAGGCGTCGGCATTGCGATAATTTTCGGTGTTGCCTTTGGGACAGCACTTGTAAAATGTGAAGCACACGGATATTATTGGATGCCAATGATTGATCCTTGTCACGATCCAGTCCGACGAGTTCACAATCCGCGTTTGCACTGCCCAGTTTGATACGCTCCGTGCGAGTCCGCCTTCAGCCGTCTAGCGCTTGCGATAACACACGCCATCAAATGCGTTGAATATCGTTATGAATAGCAACGGAGCAGTGGTGGGGATAAGGCCAAGGGGCGGGCATAAATCGGATTTTAGCCCCTTGGATAAGGCTTCGCAAGTCCCATTCCGTAGGCGGACGTTGCCGAGGCCACGTGCTGCTGTGGCGCTGGATAGACGCGTCACGCAAACGCGGCCACGTGCTGCACGCCCGACGCCGCAGCTCGCGTGATGGCATCACTTCCCTGGCAACCATCTCTGATCTCGACTGCGTTCCGACAGTTCTCGGAGACGGCACGCAGCGCGATCAGCTCGACGCTGTTCGGCATCGTCGTCAATAACGCTGACCGCAAGGCGGTGCACGCTAATCCTAGTCAGGCGGCAGGGATATTTGGCTTTGCATCGCACACGGCTTGATTCTTACACACTTGCCAATATCCCATTGCTATCTTCCTGTTCATTTCAAGCACTGCTGCATACCACGAGACACCATGCCTGACGGCTACGACTACCTCTTCAAGCTGCTGCTCATCGGTGATTCTGGCGTCGGGAAAGTGAGCGCTCGATTCTCTGTGAAGGTTATAGGACGTATGCTAAGTTGCTCGGAAGTCCTGTTTGCTACTACGATTTGCCGAGGATGCGTTCACAGACAGCTACTTGAGTACGATTGGCGTCGACTTCAAGATTCGTACGATTGACTTCGAAGGGAAAACGATAAAGCTGCAGATCGTGAGTCGCGAATCTGCTCTCTTAATTCTCAGCGATGGGAATGCTCGAGACCGAGACGAACGCGGTCAAGGGTGTTCTTGAGGATTACGGCTGCACGTGAGCAATGGATAAAAACCAGAATGCTGACCTTGGAACGTGGGCATCCGCAGTGGGACACAGCAGGTGCGCCCGCTCCCCGAATTAGTCTCAATTTGACTGATAGGCTGTCAATGCGGCCAGGCCAAGAACGCTTTCGTACAATTGCCGCCGCATACTACCGAGGGGCACACGGTATCATCGTCGTGTACGATGTGACAGACGGCGGTGTGTGTCCTCGTTTCCTATCTCACGCATATAGCGGCTCATGTGTTACACGAACGCATTCTCCTGCTGTAACGGCCGACAGAGTCGTTCCAGAATGTGAAGGGCTGGTTGCAGGAGATTGAGCGATATGGGTCTGAGACCGTGAAGAAGCTCCTCATAGGTAACAAGTCTGATCTCGCTGAACGGAGGGTCGTCGAATACGATGCAGCGAAGGTGTGAAGTGTTCTATCCTGCCTTCTCCCTCCCTGCTTCACTTAATTCATCAAGTCACTTGCCGCTCATATATTGCACTGTCATAGGAATTCGCTGATCAGCTAGAAATCCCATTCGTGGAGACCTCTGCAAAGACATCGACGAATGTCGAAGAAGCTTTCCTAACCATGTCGAAACAAATTAAGGATAGGTACGGTCGCACTCCTCCTCGGGTTCAATTGTGGAGGCTTAGTACATCCTGCACGTTAGCCTGGACACGCCTTCCGAGACTGCCGGCGGATCCAAGGCAGGCGTGATTACACCGGGACGAAGCCTAGATGACCACAATTCAGGAGGATGCAGCTGTTAACACGGCGCATTCCCGCCTGCAATATCTCAAGCTTCATACCACAATCCACAGATGCCAGGGATGCGGAATGAGGAGTGCTTGCATGTGCACATGTCACCTATTTAGATCGCTTTATATCATGATTGCTATATTCCTGCGGATTAGTATACTGTATGCATACCATTTCTAGATACCTCAATGCATTGTCCATGGACACCGCCATCTTGGCACGGCTTCGCTGTGGCCATTTGGTGCGAATATATATTGTCATCCCTCTCGTGCATATACAATACTGACAAGAGCCCGATATGTTGATGCATGCAGCATCGACAAGTATAATGAGAGTGTGTGGTATTGCCATTGGCCCGGGGCCGCTGACCGTGGTGGCCCACGCCACAACGAGGAGCTTCCACATCTCAATATCAGCCTGCTTACTGTCTGAGTATCCGCGAGACGCAATGCGATGCTAACCAAGCTTGATAACTTCATTTATTCCTGTGAGTTTGCTAGCTAGTACCACGGCGCTCAGGCGCCTCAATATTGCTCAATATCGTGGTCATTGCTCCGTCCTGCAAACTTATAAGAAGCAAATAATCTCGAGGCGCACGATCATTTGTGATCTCCTAGAATGGCCTCAGCACTGCTCATTCATCGGCTGTCGCCAGCCCGGCGCTTACCATACACGAATACAATGGAACGTCGAAGACAATAACCTACGCCTGCTCTCCAATCTCCAGAGTTCACAACAAAAACAACGCAACCATGGCAATAACGACCCGAGTATACGCCTCTTCAGAGTGCGGCGCTGGCTGCTTTACGCCTTCCTCTTCGTGTCCTTCCCCCTCTCCACCATCGGCGGGCCCGCCATGTTCGCTAGTCTCTTCGCAATTCCGTTCCTTTACGGCGCGTCTGTTGGTGAGTAGTGTCTTTTGATTGACTGTTCGGGTCCTTACGAAGTGGTATAGCCGCTGCCGATTCTGTATCATATGTCTGCGTTGCGGGACAATGCGTTGAAGGGTTCGCGAATATCACCAGTAAGCTTCACGCAGCAATATGCACTTGAACGCGACGTTGACAACAGCACAGTTGGGGCCACATTGTCGGGATCGAGTTACAGCCTGCAACTCCTTCCTGACACTTACACATCCACGAGCAATCCCGAAGTGCTTCATGACCTACTCACGTCCTCCAATTCTACGCTTTCACCTTCAACTGGGTTCTCAGCCAACAAGACCATCTCACTCCCTCTCGATTTGGCTCTCGAGGCTGGTATCATCACATACGCAGACGCGAACTATTCCGGCTCCGCTTCCTTTACTGCGCTAAACACAAATGCTTCGACCGCGAACACCTCCAAGGAGCTGTCTGCAGGCTCTTTCGCACTTGCCTCAAATATGTGGGCATCTTTCTCTGGCAGCACCTCAGACAACCGTGTCATCTTCTGGGATGCCGTGCCTGACCTTTCCCAGCTGCCTTCCAGCACAATAAGCAGCCCACTCACTTTGCTCGGCATGGAGTCCTCCTCTTGCTCTCCCGCGTGTTCGAGCGCCGGCGTGTGCACGTCCTCAGGTACTTGCGAGTGCAAGGCAGGTTTTACCGGCTCGCAGTGCGAGTCGTGCGAGTCAAACCGTTTCGGACCGGACTGCTTGGCCTGCCCCGCAGGTTGTGCTGATTGTGACGATGGCTTGCAGGGTACCGGCAAGTGCCTGCAGTTCGAGGTCAGCGATCTGCCGTCGACGTGCAATTGCATCAATGGTGTATGTGAAAGCAACGGCGAGTGCACGTGCAATGCGGGATGGACAACCGCGTCGAATGGCACGGCGTGTGCGACGTGCGCGGCGGGATTTTTCCTGGATTCGAGTGGGAACTGCGAAAGTGAGTATTCAACAGCTGCTCGGGAATTGTTGCTCTTGCTCATGGTCATCAGTCTGTGGGCTAGGATGCACGGAGTGCGCGGATGGCACAGGCGACTGCATAACCTGCTCGTCTGGATTCAGCCGGAGCTCGGATGATGCGACTGAGTGCAATGCGCTTCAACAAACAACATCGAGCGGCACCGTGTGTCCAGACGGAAGCTTCAGTAATGGCACAACCTGTGTAACGTGTTCAACCTCGTGTCAGACCTGCAACGGGGCGACATCGAACGATTGCATCATCTGTGCTTCGGGGTCTTACAAGCTGAACGGCAGCTGCGTGTCCACGAACAGCGATGGCGTGTGCGAGAACTCAGTCATGATTGGGAACAACAACAAGTTCGAGTGCGACAGTGGGTACCTCTCTGCTGGTGCATCATGGGCGAGGAAACGAGCAGCTAACCGGTATTTTTTAGGTTGCCCGGCAAAGTGCACAAAGTGTGAGATTGCGGGCTTCTCGGCGGCATCGACGACCAATGAAGCAACGTGCACCGACTGCGTTGCTGGATACGTGCTATCGGATGGGGCATGCGTGGAGAGCTGTCCATCGGGAACGTTCCTCAGTCCCACGGATAATTTGACATGTACCGGTGAGCACGGTCGATTACTGAATCGCTTGTGCGCCTCTAACTGTTCATGTCTAGCTTGTGACTCTTCCTGCAGCACCTGCGTGGGGTCATCAACCTTCTGCTTATCGTGCTCGGATAGCAAACTAGCGTCTGACGGCAGTTGCGTATCATCCTGCCCATCGGGCACGTTCAGCTCTTCTGGCTCTTGCCTCGCCTGCCACCCAGATTGTGCTAGTTGCTCCGGCGGCTCCTTCAACCAGTGCTCCAGCTGTAACTCTGACCGCCCGGTTCTCGACAATGGCCGCTGCCTTCCGACATGCTCGCAGTCAGAGTTCTTCGACACGACGTCTTCCTCTTGCGTGTCGTGCGACTCGAGCTGTTCCAGTTGCTCCGGCTCGGGATCGGGAAATTGTCTTGCGTGCTCAAGCTCGAGTCAGGTCTTGCGTGGAGGGACGTGTGTTGACGCGGACTGTGGCAATTCCAGTAGCGTCGTGACCGGTCTTGGGATCTGCCTCTCCAGTCTCGTCTCATCATCATCCGACACGACCAGCGCATCAGACACAACCTCCCGTACAAGCACTACTACCACCTCCCTCGCATGGTGGGAGATCATGCTCATGGTGCTCGGCTGCGCCTTCATCTTCTTTATCATCGTCATGCTCTGGCGGCAGCGCATGCGCAAGAAGCGCGTGCAGGCGACGCGCAAGTTCGCATTGGCGAAGAGCCTCGACCGGCCACAGGGCTGGCGGTGGCGCCTCGTGCGGTTCTTCCGGCGCGGACCGCGGCACCAGCCTCACGTCGTGCCTGACGAAGAGTCGTTCGAGGACGTCAAGCTCGAGAAGCTGCGCGAGGCGGAGGGGGCGAGGTATCCGCTGTCTTTTGTTATGGAGAAGTCGCGCTACCAACCGGAGCCACTGCCTTCGCTGCGCAACTACGAGGACGACAATGTCCAGCGACCTCCGCGACACCAGCGCCGGACGTCGGGTGTCTCGCTCACGACGGACTCGATATATACGCAGGTGACTGGCTACCCACGCCGGGCGCCGCAGCCCCGCCAGCCGGTGCGAAATCCGAGGGACTTGTTGCCATCACGATTCTCAGATATGACATACGCCTCGGATGAGCGGTTGGAGCAGGCGAGAGCGCTAACGCCTGCGCAGGAGTACGCGCGGTCGGTGACGCAACAGCGGGATCTGCTCGCGCCTTCGCATACTGGCGGTTCACGCTCTAATAATCCTTTCTTACGATGAAGTGAACTTTGTAGAACTCTTTTCTTTGCACTTTATGTGGGCAGGGCCCTGAGACTTTTGTTTTCTCCTTCCCTGGACTGGACGATTTGGGCTGGATATCATGCAGACTTTTGCGGATATGCCTCTGCACGCCATTCGTTACGATCTGTAGCTCTCGCCTACATATCCCGGTTGTATTAATCTTCATGTATCGATATTAATGCTGCAATACAGTACCATGCCATATGTCGTTGAGAAACTCTAGCTCTAATTCTCCCGGTCGACATCAGGTTGGGAGAAATCTTTGAGGCAGTCAAACAAGATGATCTCAATATCAGCGTTCGAATTTTTCTTGTAAATTTGAAGTATAATGTAGTCTATATACATTACAGCATAGAAGTACAGTGTCCGCGTGGAGACAGCGCACGAAGAATACAGTACTGGACAGGTAGCGTCAATGATCCACGAAAACGAAGAATGGTACCCACGAGAAAAGAGTCCACGTTCCAGAATACACAATAAATCTGAGAGTATACCTATCAAAAAGAGAGAGGGCAGGTCAGCATGAAAGCTCGAGCAGAAGTAGCGACGAAGAAAATGAATGATCAGAAGGAACAATTGGCAATGTATTTGGTTCTTCTCCATTTGTGAGTCAGAACAGGTCTGAATGATTCTCATCTCACCGAAAGGAGTGAATGGAAAGACGGATGAGACACTCACCATAGAGAATAATACTGACGCTGCATAACGTACGGGAACCTAATCGAAATGTTGATGTCAGCGATGAGTTCAACATTATCACGAGGCAGAACACGAGATGCAGAAAGTTCAGAGAGAATATTGGCAATATAAGGTATCCTCACTACCCAAAAGGTTATCGGTACAGGTCTGAGAAGTTGTCATCATACAAAATGATACTTACGAGAACCTGACGTTCGGAACATTCGCTCACCTCTATGATATGAGTCGGGTGCTCAAGCCCCAACATGCATCGTAGGCGGCATCGAAGTTGGCATCGGCCTCCACTGCGCACGCGCTGGCGATGTCTCGCCATAATTCCAGTCCTCCTCCACTGCTGATGCGCCGCCCTCACCGCCGTCGCAGTCTTCCACATACACGCTGATGCCCACACCGTCCTCCGGCTCAAGCAGCACCTCGACGCCCGGGGGGCGATCGCGGTGCTCCTCCTGTAGCTGTAAATGCCGTAATGCGGTCATCAAGTCCTCCGCGAGCGGCGTCGCGTTCGGTGGATGTTCGAGTATGGGTTCCCATCCAACCGGCGGGGACCCCGGTGGCGAGATAAGGAAGTTCTTCTCGAGCTTCGGGGGACGTAGATGGATGTTATCGTATTCTGCTTCGTTCACGACGATAGTCGTGCGGTCTGCACGGTATACCCTAAGCAAAGCTGCTGGGCTGAGTGTCACATCCGTCAGCACACAGGCATATCCAGCAAGAGCGACAAGGCACCGACCTATCCTCCGATGGGCCTACGAGCAGCCTGTCGCAAGCATCCTTGGCTTGTTCTGCATCATCCTCAGAGTAATACACCAAAATGATCCTCGCAAAGGACTTCAACGGCGCCCACGCGTATATAGACCCGTATGTCCCAAAATGTCTACGCAATGTGTCTAGCACAATCGCCTCGAAAAAGGTCGGTGGAAGCTGCGCGATCACGAGCGTGTTCGTGCGCTGGGGCGTCGCTGTGCCAGAGTTACTCGTCAGAGATGGAGGCGTGCCCGCCAATGGTGACGAGGGGGCGGGGGAAGTGTGTTCGAATGTCATTTCAAAATGAAGGGGGATGGAATGAAGGAAAGGAGAGAGTAGGTGGGGAATTGAGCGAGTCGGCGCCGACTTTAGCAAGAAAATAACGTGATTACATAAGCTGGTACTTAGGCATGAGCGCTTAAGCAACGGGCCGCAGCCACACAGCCGCCACATCTCGCCGCAATGGTCTCTAGTTTCACCGATGCCAATTTTGAGCCTGAACAACAGAGCATCCAGCAATGCTGATTCATATATTCGATACAGTGCGATGCGATGAGATAAGCAGTAGACCGTGTATCCGAGCTGGTGGCACAGCACTCGACAGTTGGCCCCGATGCACCGAAACTCCGGCTTCACGCCAACGGGCCTGTCGTCTGCGTTATTTGCGGACGATTTTGTTGGATACATTCAACGTGATATACACTCCTCCATGCTATCCTACACCAACCTGCCATATCCTGTCAAGCATCACGCACCAATTGCACGAAACGCAAGGAGCATTACCGCGGATACGCACGGCGCCGCGCCACCGCCTCCCTTGGCTAATACACTCGAGCATTCTCCGAGTCCCAACTGTCATATCCTGTACGTTGCTAGTACTGCCGGCCCGACCGGCCATCTCGTCCCTGGATTTGCCTGCAATTGCAATGACCGAGGTAGAACTCTTTGAGGAGGTTTATGATCGTTCGCGAAGCCTCTCCTCCACCACAGCATTCTTCTTCTTGAGCGCATCCACCTTGTCTTCTTTCGTGGCGTCGTATGCGATTGTGACTTGATTGAAGCTTTGGGATTTCCGTAGTCAGCGATAGTTTGTAGGATATGTAGATGATACATACGGGTTATCCGCAGACTTCTGGAATTGCTTGTGCAGGAGCTCCTAAGGATTGGTCAGCATTTGTATGAGAGCTAGCAGCTCTCACAGACGTACCTGGTATTGCTTCAACCGTAAGCCAGGGTGCTGAGATGTGCGTGGGATTAGCATGGTTATGCACGTCGGCGGCGGTGGGTCATCGTACCTCAGCTCGCACGTTGGGCAATTCACGTTCCTTGTAGACCTCAAAAGCCGCCTTGTATCGTCGCTTAGGTGTTCGGCAGTCAAGCATCAGTGAACAATATCCTGATTGACGATCGATGAGTTCGCACCTCTGGATGTCTCTCGATTCCAGCAGCCTGCGTGCCAACGCTCGCCTTATCCATCTTCGCAGTCACCACCTCCAGCAGGTCAAGTGCGTTGTCAAGACCAGTAGCTGCAAATGCCTCCGGCTCCTCTGGCTTTCCGCCCTTGTCCTTCTCTGATGTCGAGATCGCCCCGAGACCGCCCCCAGCAGCGATGGCGCCGGGCCCTGCAGGCTTGACAGGCTTCGCAGCGACCTTCTTCGCGCCTGCCTTTGGCGCGCTCTTCACCTTGGACGGCGCGGAGGCCTCCTCCTCCGCCAGCAGGCGTGCAATTTCTGCCTTGCGGGCCAGCTCCGCACGCCGCTTCTCTTCCTTCTCCTCCTTAGCCTTGTTCACCTTGGCTCCATCCTGCCATTTATCTGCCTCCTTGTGCTCCTACAGATGTAACACCGTATTTGCGTAAGTATGGATACTACAGCGATTAGGATTCGGACGGACCTTCTCAGCCTCGGCAGCTGCGTTTTTCTTGGTTTTGTTCTCAGCTTTATTCGCTCTGCCCGCCTCCTTTTTTGCGTTCCCTCCTTTGGGTGCCATTGAGTATAAATGCAGGACGAGAGTTTGTGGAACAGAAATCTGGTGCACGTTGCAGAGACGGGACTTGAGTCAACGCGGCCTCCATCAGTCAGATTGAGAGTAATCTAATCTTATCTATACCATGAAGACCTCTGCCACTGGCAAATGCATCGTTCTTCGCCAGCGTGCTGCATGTTCAGCGTAACGGTTCTCTCTTTTTAACTGCGCTGTGAACTTGCTCTCGACGCACCCTGTCGCCATCCTGTTCTCGAGCCGGGAATATGTTTTGTTTCCCTTCTCACCTGACATGCCTCTGCTGGCGCCACTGCCACGGGAACGATCTGCGAGGCTCTGCCAAATTGCTACTTTCGACGACACTGCCAACTCCCACGTCTAGCGAGGCTCGGTACGACTCACAACGTTGCTTACTATCTTTGCATAGCTCGCTCCTTGGCTGGAAGCATCTGAATACCTTGCTCCCACCGATTTAGCCTGGGCTGCAAGACATGACTGATATGACGGCTGTTGGCAAGTGGGCCGTTGGGAACTCCTGTACGTTGTAGTATGCATGGACCCCTGAGATTAAGCTGAAAACCGACAGACGGTCCCATCCTGACTCAGACCGACCTGTATTTGCTGGAGAATGTTTCGTTGGAGTTGCATCCAATTCTTACTGGGGAAGCCTCAAGCTTCCAGCTTATATTCAACCTTTCAACAGGCAAGGAACTGCCTCAGGATCCTTGTAGGATGTGACCATTGATGCAAAACAACATCCACAGGCCAAATATCAGGCTATAACGGAGATGCGTCAAATAACGACCTACCATTCGATGCGAAGGACCAGCCTGCGACGTTGCCGCGCGTGGACACGCTAATCATCATCACGGAGATCAGTCCTTGGTGTACCATCGTGAAGAATCCCGCAGGTGTCACCCTCAGCGACGTTTGCACTACCCTCTGGAGAGAGTAGGTACTTCCGCAATGTCTGAATTGCTAGGGTTAAGTTAATCATACGACATAAGATACACGGACAATGCTATCACGGACAAAGAGCTGGAGGCACTCCCTGGCCGTATTCAAGAGCAGATCAAGCGAATCGCGACAGGTAGTTCCGGCAACGGTTGGAATTCGTTCTACTCGCCCGCTCCGACAGGCACGTCTCGACCGAAGCGGTCCGGTAAGCTTCCTATCTTCCTGATCGCGTGAAAGTCGCATTGAGCAATGCTGTCAACATCTCGCGCAGACTGGCTTCGCGAGAGGATCTTCTTTGAGCGACTGTCCAGGAAAGACCAATACGCAAAGCAACGCCTGGGGTTCTCTGCGCCGAACATCTTCGTGCTCAGTCTAAGCCAATATTATTGAGTTGTCATGCCTTATGACTTTCCTCCGTGCTATCTGTCTTCGCTTTCTCCTCGCATGGAACGTCAGTTGTATACCTTCTCGATTCTTCCTTGTACAATCGCTCGCTTCCACACCGACGAAACGCCCTCTTATTTCCATTTTTGTCTTTGCCTTTGTGCCTGCATGCAAAGGCATGCTGCCGCGACCCTGAATTTTCGTCATCGTGCTCCTCTCTACAATTTAACCCAGAGGAGCGGCGAGAATAGAAGTTGCGGTGTGCCCCTGCTTCGCCATGTGGTGGAGTGCATGTTAGCGAAGCATCGTGGGTGCTCTAAACTTTCGGAACTTCCGAAGGTGCTGGGCCAATTTTTCTGGGTTCTGAGGCCCGGGATTTCATATACAGGTCTTGGTTCTGCTCGGGAAGGTAATGGCAGTGCACAATCACGAAATGTAGTAGTATATCATTCAGCGAGCTCCGCGTGCAAAGCCGTTCAAACACCCTTTCTCTCGCCATTCTGCAATTGCGGCATGTCAGATACTCGCCGAGAAGTGATTCTCCTAAGGCCAGAACGTGTACTATCACAGCTCGTGTCCTGGAAGTCTCAGCACATGTACAAGCCCGTGGATGTGAACGCAGCAACGGAAGACCTGTCGCACTTCACACTGCCCGTGAATTGGCCTCCGAGATGCCTTACTGCACGTACGTCCCGCGAGATGATACAACGCACTCTGTTGATGACAAATGATCTATTTGGTACAATGCCTCACTACGACATACGTTCTATAAGCCACAGCGAGCGGAAACTGCGACGTGGACACGAGAAGCGATAGGAAGACAGCGACACCGCGGACGACCCTACTCAAGACACGAGGCCCGACCGCGCAGATGAGCTGCTTCACTGAGCCGCAACCGTAGCCGGAGTGGATGGTTCCCTGTAGGGAGCGGCAGGGCGGACCATCGCCTGGCCCTTCTTGTTGCGGTAGAAGATCACATCACCTGTCTCGGCGTTAATCATCGTCGTCACCGTAAGGATAGGCGGTACACACCTTCGTCCTCAACGAACTGGCACTCGTTGTAGGTGTCCCAGAGCGCCTTGAAGACGGGCTTGTCGGAGTACCGGTAGTGATCGCCAATGAACTCCTTGAGGTACTTGGTCGCCTCGGGGCCGTGGTCTACAACCAAGGTTGGTCATTGTGGTGCATTGTTACGGCCAACTGATACTTACAGAAGGGCATCATCGGGAAGAAGTGGTGGATGACGTGGAAGTGCGCGACGTCATGGAGGAAGAAACGACCTTGCCAGCCCAGGAAGTTACGGTCGACGGTGGCAGCGGCACCACGCTGGAAGTTCCACTGCTTATTGCGGTAGTGCGGTAGCTCGATGTCAGTGTGGTGCAGGTACGTGATCATGATGAACCTGTTGATTGACGTGAGACGAGACTGATAATTGATGAGACTGCCACTTGCCAGTGAGTGACCAAAAGCCACGGGATGCCGTAGAGCTTCATGACCTCGGAGAAGCCCCAGATCCTGCTTGACTCCATCACACCCCAGACCATCGCTGCGATACCGATGTTCGACATGATGACGACATTGCGCTGCCTCTTCGTGAACAGAACCGAGTTAGCTGTGGATGGAGGAATAAGCACCGGGGGCATGCGTTGCAAGAAATCATTACGTACGATCGAAGTGGTTCGTCCACTTAGGGTAGTTCTTCTGACCGGAAACGTTGAAGACTGATGAACAGATCTCCATCAGCTTCCCGAGGTACACATAAGGTGTCAGGCTTACGCAAGTAGGCTGGGAACGCGAGGAACTGCTGGCGAAGGAGCATGTAGAGAGTGTAGATAGGGGTGTCGCCGAGGTATTCTTCATAGTCGATTTTGTTGATTCCATCCTCCTTCGGGAGGCCGACATCACTGCGGGTCTTCGGAACGTACACCTCATCGCGCTCCATGGACGCATGGTTGCTGTGATGACGGTGATGCGAAATCTGCCAGCTGAAGTAGGGAGTCCAGAGGAAGGTGTGCGTGATCTATGAATACAACTGTCAATATCTGACATGCGATCATCTCCGGACACGATGAATGACTTACAAAGCCAACAATGTCGTTGACACGCTTGTTATCAGAGAATGCGCCGTGACCGCACTGTACGAGCATACCATTGAGCCTTGCTGGGTGTGATGAGACTCACAGGAAACTTACCTCATGGCCGATGACCCAAATGCCGGTGAAGATCAATCCCTGGAACCACCAACTGCAGACGTGTCAGCTTCTACGCTGCATGTATCGCAGTCTCCGTGGCGACTCACTAGACAAGCCAAGCACCCCAGCGAGCAACTTCAGCACCGACGGGAGTAAGCGTCTGCACAGCAGCGGCGCTCTTGAAGGTGGGGTCGATACCGAGACCCAGTTTCCAGACGATGGCCGCCAAGATGACATCACGAGCCAAGTACAACAAACCCTTCCAAGTCTGGCGAACGTGAAGGTGAGGCGGGATGGCCGCGCGGATCTCACTCAGAGTCCTGTAGATACGTGAGTAGCTGTCGGATGCACTGCTGTCCCAACGTCAGTACGTACCATGGCATGGGACTGAACTCTGGAAGCTGGTCCTCAGAGTATTCCTGCGTCGTCTTGTCCTTCGTAGGAGCGGCAGCGTCCATGGTTGTGGCCATTGCTAGAGGAATCTACTCTTGAGAAGCTCCCTGTCGCTGACTTCTCCAGGGGAGGGGCGATGAAGAAAGGATCACCAGCTGTTCATCACTTTTATCCTGGCCGGACTGCTCATACCAAACTCGCGGATTCGCACAATCGGGGTTCTGAGCGAACAGCGCCTCGCAGACGAATGATAATCAAGAGAGAAGGGGAAACGCGTATCAATCGGAAGACATTAGGCGCACGGGGGATGGTGGTAACGCTTAATCCGTAATGTCGAAGGATACCTCCGGAAATGAACATGATCAGATCCCAGGAACCTGGCAGGACCATTCTCCCTGCCGACAAGTGTTATGGAACAGAGACGTAAGTAGCTACCATTCGACGATACCCTGCTGCAGTCCACGTCTGCTTCGTCTGCTTGTGGGTATGCTACTTCAGCTTGCAGGCTGCTCCGTTTGATGAAACACGTCAACCGAGTTGCGGCTGTCTGACGAGAAGGGGGTAAATAACCCATTCAGATAAGGACATACGGAGACAAGGGATCTCGCGCTGAACTTTCGAGAACTGTCTGTTATGAGAAGGGCTTGTGAACTAAAACTCGAGTTAGAACCAAGGGGATACAACGTACGTGAAAGAAGCAGATTGAATCGCCACGTGGAGGAATCAATGGGCGCATGCCAGAAGAGGGACCACACGCTCGGCACCCCGCGAGGAGCGCCAGGGAACGGAAGTCGGCCGCACAGCTATCGGAGCGCTCGTCCCAAGGGGATAGAAAGCCAACTAAATTGATTCGTTCGCAGATGCACCGTGAGAATGCTTATGATTACACCGTACCGAATATCTGTTCAATGAGCATTGGAACGAATCTCGCTTTAGCTGACGGCTACGGTGCAAGTTTTTCGAGCCTGGCCCCGAAGGAAGGCTTGTTCGGAAGCCACTGAGTGCATTGGCAGATGTAGATACCGATTTGACGTTGAAGGGCCACCTTGAGCTTCAGAGTGATCGGATCTCCTTATGGAGATCTGCCTCCGATATGTCAACGATGCAGAGCCACCACTAGCGCGGTCGTTCGTTTCTGATGACAGCGTGCTTGCCCTATCTGGGTCCTGCTAATGGGACTCTTCAAAACGTCTGGCTGTTAACTCAAGCATAGAAGCTTAGTATGCACCATATGACCTTCACATACCTCTTTGTAGCAGTCAAGGCCAGGTCAAAACGGACGTGCCTCATTTGGCTGTCGAACGCCCACGCATCTCAGCTGACTTCGCCAGGAACAGTTAACATGCTCATTACTCCTTTGAGAACTTACTACGCGGAAGTCGCTACCTCACTGTTCTATACAATACGCTGAATGTCATGGACCCAAGAGGATGCTCGAACTCCTGCAGACAGAACTTCCAACCTACTGCGAATCAGCGAGAGAAATCTATGAGAGGACAGCAGACAGCCTTCCTTTGCAGTGAACGCACCATGTTCGTCTCTGAATCCGGACCAATTACTCAGCATGAAAATCACTGCCCCGGGAAGCGACTGCAGTCTTCATTTTGGGATATGGCTAATGGAGATGAGTCAGAACGCGAACAGCTCACAAAAATCGCTCCATGCATCGATATAGCTTCATCAGAACTTTTCTGTAAAGTTATCATCTTTGCCCCGAATGATTGAAACTTGATATGTATCTGAAGCAGCGAGAGAACACTTGACATGGTGCTGTAATGCGGTAAACATTGAGGTACTGCCGACAAGCAAGGAGACGGAAATCGTACAGCGGAGTCATTAATTGATGCGCAATATTGATGGTTGATGGACACTTATGGAACATTCATCACGGATTGCCCAATCATCGCATGCTCGCTTGCTCACCAGGACTTTCCATCTTCGTCTTCTTCCTCGCAGATACTTTGGGTCGCAAGTGGTCTCTGCTCATCTCTGGTCTTGGAATGAGCATAATATCCTTCACCGTTGGATAGAATGCACGCACCAGCGTATTCCTTCTGCTAAGAAGGACAATCCTCATTTTCCATTTGTGATCCTATCACCGCTGGTGACAAGCATGTCCATTGGATCCTGTCAAATGCAAAAGCAGCTCTCGATAGTTCTCCGACGCAACTCCATTTAGCATATGGACCAATGTCAAACTGGGGACATGCTCGCGGTTCGGCCAGCTGACTGACATGCTAATTCACGATCAAACAATGGATCAGCAGTGTCACGGAAACCCGCGAAATGGAATGGAACACTGCAGCTTCATCATCACGCCGAATGTCAGCATCACAAAGGCACTCGACGCCGCGACAGCGATGCTATCTGAATAATCGACATGTGCGCAAAAACATTAAGATGCAATGACAATATCGACGCTGCGTAGCACGCCGAGAGGCCTCAGCAATCGGCAATCTAGCTGTTTGGAGGGCTACCCGCATGAGGCTCGCGGTATGGAATGTGGGCGCTTGTTGATATGCCCAGCAGGCTGTAAGGCCGGAATGAGAACAGCACCCGTGAACGGTGGTCCTGTGGAGCAGGTTCAAGCATAAGCAACGGTTCGGTGACCGAGCTCAGCTAATCCCTGTCTCGTATATCGGCGAAGCGACAATGTGGTTCTTCTGATTGACTCGTAGCATGGAAGTCGTTGTGTAACTGCCTTCGGCAATGAGAAGTTAAACGTGCGAGTCGATGCCCTTGGGATTCGTTAGCATCTCATTAATAATCGCATACTCAAGCAGAATCATTCACCAAAGCAGCTTGAAACGGCTGTTGAAAAGAGTATGAGCCATGGCACGCAACCGCATGCATTTGAACGCATGTACGCAAGGTTTCGGGGCAGTGTAACGAACTTCAGACCACAGGTTGCGCGAAAAAAGCAACGCAACAACGAGTCAAAGAGATAGCACGACCACATACCTGCCAAGCTCTAGCGGAGAGCCAAGTATTGAGTCACAAAAATAGTGTTCTGTCCCTACAAAAATTGAATAAGTGCGGAGGAAGGCAGGAGCTGGATGATAGAAAGGGAGATTAGCCGATTGGACGAACCGGTGGTGGCCACAACTTGCGGTGGCGAATCAGCACTGCGAGGGCCTTGTAAGTTGTAACCGAACTATACAACCACTCAATTCTTTTCCGCTACAATTGATATGGTCTCGCTGCGTATCTACGCACTGGCCTCATCGATGGCTATGAGCCAGATACGGCTCCTGCTGTTGCATGATTTAACCGTTGGATGTGGGAAAGGATAACCTGGGCTTCAGCGCTTGATCCGAAGTCTCTCCCAGCTCGTGCTGACTGCATCCTAGTTCTGTTTCCTTATGTCGATCTTTAAGTCGCTGTGACGGGTCTGCAGATTCTATCTCATTGCGGTATTACTTCGAGTCACTTGGGGACCGTCGATCTCACTCGTCCGTATAATTGGTTCAAGGAGGTACGACACATTTGTTACTCGTCTATCCATAGCTATCTGAGTATCCGCATTTCTCGCGAAGGCGGCCACAATATAGCCACAATAGTGAGAGATTGAGACCGTATTGCCTCCATAAGAATGCTGCCATACACTCCAGTCATTCCGACTGTTCCCGGTTCAACTTCTAGGAATCCACCTACAGTACCACCACACACTCCCAATGGCCATTCTGCAATGCCGCCCTGGACCCAGCTGCAACAGATCCCTGTCAACCCTCCCTTTGTTGGCTTACACCCCATGACAGGCACGCCTGGATCCTACTTCATGCCACCCGTCGCGCTGCCACCTCAGCAAAGTCCCAGTGTCGCATCTGTCGGGAGCAATGGATTTCCTCCAGACTGGACTGGATTTCCAACCACATCGCCATACGCACAGAATGGGATGCCTCCCGCTTCGCATCCGCAAACGCCATTTGTCGCGCCCGGCGCCCCATACGCTGCATTTCAGCCGCAGCCTCCTGCAGGTTACCCCGTTTACCCTGGGATGTGGCCGATACCGATGATACCACAAATGGGTGGATTCACTCCGTATCCCATGCACGGTGGATGGGCACAGACTCCCTTTCCCGTTGGGGCAGGAGGGCTTCCTCCGCAGGCAGGTCCTGCTCAAGCCCAAGTCCCGCAACCGACAGGCGGTGCTCCGCCACCTCCGCCAATTCGTCCTCAAGATGCAAGTGAATTTGACAAATTCGCAGAGGGTCCACATTGTACGTGAAACGGCGGCTGATCAGTGTCATTTATCTGACATTGCAATTCGCAGATGGACCCGTTCTGTCTCCGCTTATGGTCAAGAAGGTAAAAGCGCGGTTGCAGCTGAATCCGCTGCTGATGCCGCCTCCCGAAGAAGAGGGGCGCGACTACATCAAGTGGAACATGCTCTTCTCCACTGCACAGTGCCAGCGCTCCTCTGACCCTGCCTATCGCTCCTGGTCTGATGGCCGCAACGCACCCGCAACCTGGCCGCGCGTGTCCTCTCTTCGCCTTATATCCCGCCACATACCATGGCCCATCGAAATCTCCGTGGACGAGGCCGTCGGCGTCACCTGCGGGGATGTCATTGAAGGCATACATACGTACATGAATGGGCGCGTCTTGCAACGGCAGTTCGACTCCGCGTCAGCAGACCACAAGCGTGTCATTTCAGACGCGTTCTACCACAATCGCTCGACGGCGCAGGGCGTGCCCGGTGGGCGGCTACCACAAACGCTCCTCCGCTTCGACTGGCTCGGGCAGGATACGATGTTTGGTGGGATCACAATCAATGAGCAGTTCGTCCAGGAAGTCTGTGGCGGGCCACTGCCGTGTGTGTTTGAGCTGTTGTGTCGAAGGCGCTACCCGATGTCCGAGCAGGAGATCTTGGAGCAGGAGGAGCGAGAGAGGCAGGCGGATGCGCGTACGAGGCGAAGGGGGCGGTCTCGGGCTACGTCACGAGCGACCTCCACTACTAGGACGTCCTCGCAGAATGGTAGTCAAACTGATTCCGGAGATGGGGCTGAGTGATTCAAATCTGCGTTCGATGCTGTGTTTTTCTTTATACCTCTGCTAGCTCAATACCCTTTCGTAAGCCTGTTGAAATATGTAACGCTCTTCTGTCGGTTGCAACGTTGTTGTGCGATGTATTAGTCTTGGTTAAAGGTACCTTGTGAACCTTGAGACTGTATTTTAGAACGCATGCGTCCTTGTTGTCCACGCTCATCTATATTGTCAGTCCATTTGGTGCTCCAATAAATATTGTGTCCGCAATGGCGAAACATCCAATTCGTGACAATAGAGTAATATCGCAGAAGTAAGCTATAGAAAGGTAACAGCTAGGCAAACACTCTCAAAATGAGAGCTGCGAAAACTGCCAACAGAGCCCAGCATACAAGCAGCAAGGACGATGCCATGACGGGGCCCTTCCCGACCGCCTCCTTCAACGCCTCTTCGAGTCCCTTCGCCATAGCGTCCATACCAAAGTTCTCTCTCGCGCGTCGACGCGCCCTCTCCGCGAGCGCCGTCCGCTCCGCTTCAGACAGACAGACAATTTCCGCCAACGCCTCTGCCCACACTTCGGGCTCTGGAGGGCGCAGCCAGCCGGTCCGTTCCTCCAACGGTGAGTCGATCACGCTTTCCGTAGGCCCTCCGCTATTGCAGGCTAAGATCGGTAGGCCGCAGACCATGCCCTCCACGGGCCCGATACCGAAGTGCTCGTTCATTGGCGTGTAGAGGAGTGCAAGGGTGGCATCAGAAGTCAGCAGTGCCGAACGCTGGGCTGTGGTGAAGTTGAGAAGGAAGAGGATGTCGGGAGAGGAAGGCGTTAGGTTAAAGGGCGGGATTGTGATGCGAGATGTGGAAGGCGTGACGATGTTGAAGGTCAGTGAGTTGGCCTTTGCGCGGTCGATCAACCCGACGAGGGTCATCATATTGTCCTCCAATCTTGGGTCATATCCACCTGACATCGTTGATTATCCGACGACTTTGGCGAATGACTGGGAAATGCTCACCTGCAATAATCAGCCTCATACTTTCCTGCGATGAAGATGAGCCTGAAGTCCGCTTTTTACGCAGCAGCGCAAAGGCATCAACTGCTAACGCAGCGTTCTTCTTCTTCTCAAAGCGATTCAACGACAGCAGCGTCGGGCGTTCACTGCTCTTTGGCGCGTCTCAGAACGTGCCACACACGCGAAATGATCGGGACGTACGAGGCAAGCTCAACGATATCCGGATCCGAGGCATCGTATGCCGTCGCCTCGTATGCCGACAGGTTAATCCCCGGATACACCACCTTGGGCGTCGATGGAATGGAAGGAAAGTGCTCTTTGAAGACCCGCGTGGTGAACTTCGAGTTGGCCAGGATAATATCGGCCTGTCTCGTTGTCACTTCCTCCAGCCTGTCCATCGGGAACCGATACATCCTCTTCAGCATGCTCCCACTCCTCCGGCCTTTGCCCTCCACGTACGCCCCGTCCGCGAGGAGCTTATCTGGGAAGTGACAGTAAAACACAACTCGCGTGTGCCCGAACGCACGCAGGAAGGGTATACATGTCGATAGTTGGTCTACAAAGTAGACATCGTATTTCGGCGAGGACGGGCGGAGCAGATAGGTCGTTAGGTGCAGTTGGCGGGCATGGGAGAAGAGGATGTGGAATTTGCCCTTGAACGAGCGCGGAAAAGGCGGTTCGATTCCATGCACCCGTAGAGTACCTGCATTCTGCCGATGTGAGCATGGAATCGTAGTACGTGATTCGCACGTACCATCTCGAGTCTCGTCGAAACAATGGTTCGGATCGTGATGCGAGGTGTAAACGTCAACCTCGTGCCCTAGCTTCTGCAGGCCGAGCGCAGCGTCCACAACCAAGCGTTCAGCACCGCCTGCGATGAAGGTGTCAGAGTAGTCGAGTCACGGTCGCACGACCTAATCACCTATTCCAAGGTCGGGATGCACAAAGGCAACGCGTAGCTTGGAAGATGAGGAAGCCATGCCTTGGCACCGAGCGCGATCAGAGTGATTCAACAGGTCCTATTAACAAAGGCAAAGCATACACGTCGCCTAAAGTGCAAAATAGTAACTGGAAACAGCAATTGAGGCGGGGAGTGGCAACGGGAGAGTGTGGACCAGAGTGACAACGATTTAGACGCCGGGCAGATCTATTACGAATAGCGCTCAAGGTGACAAAGGCTTGAACAAAATGTCGGATTAACAAATTCTGTATATATAGCGTTGATCAAAAGACTATAGGAGTCTCATTTGCTTTAAAGCAGGTAAAACAGGAATCTCAAAATCGCTCAAACACGAAGGAAGGCCGGTCAACTGTTGATCGTCATGGAAAAGTCCTTGAACCATGCGTACTGATCCTTTGGCGATGCATACTCCGGTTCATGTCCTCCGAAGAAAGTACTGTAAAGAAAGAGGGTCAGCATTTACTCGACGCCACTATGACCAAACACTGACCTGAAGAACAGTCCTGCGAAGCGGATCGGCTCCGAGGCCTGCATCGCTTCGATGGCGAAAAGCTCGGTCGTCGGCGCCACAGTGGGATAGACGGTGGTCGTGCTCGTTGTCACTGGCGTTACAGTTTGTGTGAGAGCGCCAGGTTGAGCACAGGTCGCCGCTGTGTTGAAGGCGTTAGACATCGCTTGAGTGGCCGACCCGTTCATATACGACGCTGCCATACATTGAGCCAATGAAGGAGAAGCAGCAGCGCCGGCGATCGGTTGTTCCGTGAGTGCAGTCGGCGAGGGAAGCAGGGCAGAACCAGCATAAAGTGAATCGTCACGCATGACCAGGATGCCGCTGCTGCCAGGCCAGAGCGCGACATGTCCGAGGATGCCCCCCGGGCCGAACAATCCACCGAGCAGACCTCCATCGTCTCCATCTGGGTCAGGCTGTGAAGTTGGTTCAGGATCAGGTGCCGATTGACCGTCGGCGCCGTCCGATCCATCACCATCATCGGGACTCTGCTGCGGAACGGGAGCATCACGATAATAAACATCTGAGCGATTAATGACTCGCTTCCCGTTGACCTCCAAGACAAAGCCTCCGTTTTGCGCGCCTGGAGTATTCAGGGTAACCGTCTGCCGCACACGTGTCCAGCCTCCCGCAGCGAAGTAGAATGAGCCACGGCCAATGGACAATCCGTATTCAGCATCGCAGACCGACAGTGGAGGGGTGGAGCAGAGCGCTCTTGTTTGTTTGTTCTTTGGAGCATACTGTCGGCGAAGGTATTTGTCAACAACCAGAGCCAATCTGCTTTAGCCATGACTGACCAGGTAAAGTTCACCGGCTCCTCCAGCTCGCCACATCAGGCGCGTGCTGAAGCAAGTGACCGCGACATCGCCTCCAGAACAGCCCATACGTCCGCCGTACAACCCGGGCAGTTTCCCACCTAGCACAAATTCGAAATCCGCCGGAAAGAAGACGCTGTACTCAAGAGACACGTTTTTCGCGTTGTGCAGGTCAAGTGGTGTGGCATAAAAGTCAGCCCCTCCTTGCGGTTCTGTTCCCGGGTTGATCGAGCTCTCGGGATAGAACAACTGCAAGGCCGTACTCGAATTGTCCCACGGCAAAGGAAAGTCGGACGTATTCGCGCCGCCTGCCATGGTGTTCAGCGTCACGGCGCTGATGTCTACTGGAATGCCGTCGACTACATGTAAGTTCTTCTGTCCGCAAGCAAAGTTCGTGACGTTGAAGTCGGCAAGATCTGACATGCGCGACGGAGCGGTCCACGCTGTCTGGGGTACAGACGGAGGTGGTAGAGGAGAGATGGTCACCACATCGGTTGCCGTCAATGGCGGAGCGGTGACGGTGACGGTGGTTGGAGGTTCCGTCAATGTCGCGGTAACCGTGCTCGTCAAAATATCGGTCACGGTATTAGGAGGGAATAGCAATACAGACATGGGCGATGTGACCGTCGGAGTGGCAAGTAGAGCAAGCGAAGAAGCTGCAGGAAGACTTGGCGGATTTTGAGATTCGGCGGGTGCTAGCAGCAGTGATGTCACAGAGCCAGATGTCTCAAGGATGGCCAGACCAGTGCCGGATGGTAGAAAGCTCTGTTCAGCGGTGACCAGTTCAGTCACCCAGACGATCTCTACAGAAGAAGAATTGCCGGCAGAGTCGAACGGGACAGCGATACAGTCTCTAGCAAAGTTCGCTAGAGCGAGGATCAGCAGCAACATGGTTGTTCAGTCCGCATTTCAGAAGAAGGGTCAGGAAGACGGCTTTCATATACATAACATGACTGTTGGACCGAAACCGAATGTCGCGCAGCGTTGCCTGGGAACGACAGTTTGTCAGAGATCGTGTGTTCCCTCAATCATATGACAGATGTCCGCATGCATCAGCTGTACCAATTTGATGAATCTGGTCCGGATAACACAAAGCAGCCATAAGTTGAACGGCACGGTGGCACTGGCAGAAACGACCTTAGGCATAAGATGGCAACTTCGGTTGAGAAAAGGACAGTTGCCAAGCATCAGCGGATATAAGAGATAACATTAATGTTTGCTGAGGAGGTGATCGCAAATTAAATGAGTGGTCGTGTACACGGGTCTTGAACGTTTGAACCTTATGGAGAGATGATAGACAACTGTTTGTATTTGTTTACCAAGAGCTTCGTCCTCACCCATATCTGGCAGCAAGTTCAATTGTCGACCGTACGGAAACGTGACTGAGGTTGCTACATCGTAAGCCGGATGGCGAAGATAAAAGCATCACCCCGAGCAAAGCGAAATACGCAAAGACACACTTCTCTATGCTCGCTGAATCCACGCGAAGAAGATCACGCGTTCGGCCACGCATTGACGAGCCACCGGCCCATTCCGCCGTCCGCGAAGTATTTGAAATTCTTTGAGCTGCAAAAGGTCTATCATCACCATTTCTGCATTTCGGGCCGGCAAGGATATATCAACAATCCGAGCCGGTGAACAACATCTCAAAATATGTATGCTTTGCGACAGATTGGTAGCCGCTTGAACTTTGATCGCGCCTGGCTCACTGGCAGGGCTGGCAGGTGCTTCACATCGGAGGTTCGCAGAAAGCAGAACGGATGAGTGGTGTGACTCCATTGTTGTGACTATGAAATGTAAAATCGCTTTACAGTAACCTTTTGCCCAGAGCTCGCCATGCGGATTGGGCTCTGTGTACGTGTTTTAACTTGAATTGTATCAGCTTCATCGGACCGTATATTGAAAAGGACTGACTGCGATTTTTTAAAAAAGTTTCAGAATTGTTCAAGCCATGCTGCGGCTTCCTGATATAGAAGCATCTGGGCGGCCCAATCTGTGCCACTAGGCCGCCAATCGCGATCGCTGTGCCACAGGCACAAAGGAAACTCCTCCCGCATGACCTTTCCGGTGGCCAATCTGATTTCTACGACCCACGAACTGTGGGCCACTGAGGACATGTGTGGCTTTGGACCACTAAATAATGCTGTGCCACTCCATGGCTAAGCGGGGCCATTTCACACCTCATGGCAACAACTGCGTTGATTGCGGGTCTCAGGGCATCAACTCTGCTATCTTTTTTTCGGTACATAAGAGAGAGAGGAGCGGCTCACCATATCCTTCCCAATATCTGTTTGGCGCATAGAAGCCAGACATCGCGATATCATCCTTCCCAACCTCACTTATTTCGACTCCCTACCATGACGTCTACGGCTCGCAATCCTCCCAGATTCAAGAAGATGATTCCAATGCAGAGACCGGTCTTCCAAGAGCAGCTACATGAGCGCCGAAGACACTTCGAGGAACTCCAGAGACTCCAGCCTATCAAGTTTTCTGAACCGCGTCAAGCATATCCCGGCGTGTCTTTGGTAAGCCTGGATAGACAATATCATTTCCTTGACCCCACCGTCGCGGGTGAGCTTGCGCCCGTGTTCGACTTTCCCGGAGTGACGGAGTCGCAGATCGTGCTGCATATAAAGGTACAACCACTCTTCATCCTCCCGATTCTTTATCATCGATTGTTTTTCGGACAGTGGCCTGGTTACTCGTATATTCAGTACCGGACCATCGACCTTCGAGAAGGCGGGGTGCCCATCACCCGTCGAAAACTCGCGGAAAAGGTTGCTACAGGTTTGATCGACTATACTCTACAGGTGAGTACAGGTCAGAGGATCCTAGCGTAAGCGTCCATTGACGGCCGCGTTTGGGTGTTCATAGGAGGCCACTAGTCATGCAGGGTGGAGAGACGCACCACACCAGTGGCGATTGGCAATTGACTTGCTCGATGAGCATCAAGGACTCTTTATCTCCTACAAGAATTTGCGCCTGACCGGCCTGACGTATTGCCACGACAACATCTTCATTCCAGACGTCTACTGTGTTACAGATGCCGAAGGTACACCCGTGGAGAACGAGGTACCAGAGCTTCCTATCGCCTACAGTCAGCTCGACGTTGAAAACCTCACTTTGGTCTACGCAACTTTCTAACATTGTTGATGTACGCATAAATTGCCGTTGTTTCATGTAGATATCGAATGAACCTAGTAAGCCAGTACACCATGTGTTCCATTCAACATAAAGTATCGATCGCTGGTATGGCGTGGATTTCAACCCACTGCTGCAGACATAGGCTCTTTATAGAAATGCTGAGCTGCCGCAGAAGCTACTCGTACACGGAAACAGATTCTATGAGCTCAAAGTCGCATTGTGAGATAGAAATGGCGGGTTCAACGGCGCTACACTGGCTCGCCAGCTGGTGCCCTTACTAAGGCCTCCATCAGTGAATTTGTACTCCAGGCTGAGGACCAAGTTGCTGCCTTACAAAGTCTTCCGCCACCGAAAGGCATGAGTTGTAACCACCTTTCCTGCGCCTTCATGCCATCGCTGCAGCAGTGAAGTTCGTGTCCCGGACCCTTCTCGAAATTCCCCTTGCTGGCTTCGTCAGTCACGATTATTTGCACTGCCCAGGAAGCTCTCAAGAGTGCTATTGATCTTCTTCGTGACTTGACAGTCAGGTCCAGTCGACTGTGCCTTGGCTTTCATCTCGAGCGTGCCATTGGTGATTGATCCGAGGGAAAGCGTGAATCTGTCATGTAACTGTGAATTGATATCGCATGTCTTGTTTTCAATGGGACACGACACTTGCCATCCTTGTCTCTGCGGTGACAGTTGTGAAACGTGTGCGCCGGAGGGCGACGCGTCAATGTGAGGAGTGCGTAGACCCACCTCCGGATGAAAGGTGCGTGCACATATCGGCTCGCAATCACGACACTAGCAACGCCCGGAGTGTCCTCAGCTGATGATAGTGGAGTAAGCAGATCGTAAACATACCGAATTCGCTCACCGCCCTGCGCACGGACTAACCGTCATAAAATACAGCCACATCTGACATAAAGAACCCAAGCATTTGATGTCAGCTGCCTGCGCGGCGGAGCTGGTGTATGACCGGTCGCTTGAAGCTGCGCAATGAGCTTAAACCGGACATTCCACTGGGTAGCAAGGCTCGGATTCTTGTTCCATCCGAAGGCCATATCTGTTCATAGAGTCCTCGGACTGATGCATGATACAGAACTATCTTGGCAGTTACAAAAGCAAATCAACATCATTGCCAATCGTTGATAGCAGGACGATCGGAGTTGGAAACGTTTTTCTTTTAGTAACTCCCGCATTCTTTGCACATTTCAACATTAACCATAACCCCGGGGAACTGATTATCTTCAGTGTCAGCGAATATGCTCTGTGACACACATTCAACATACATGCGAGTCACCCGAGAGACGGAATCTTGGCGACTTTCTGAGATCGAACGTCGGACGAGCTCCGATGACACTCCTTTTGTGATTCATGCGGGATCTGCTTCCCCGCGTAGAACCCAAGCACCTCTCTGAAGGCAAGCCAAAAATGATCACGAATTGCAGTCTGCGACTCTGCCAATCCATTCTCTTTCCAAAAGGTACTCGCTGGGGATGCTCATTGGAATACTGTCAGGGAAGTTCAAGCATTGTGCGTGTCCTATTGCCGTCGGACCTACCGTTATCAAACGATATGAATTGCCAAAATATGATCACCGATATGTCATAGAACAGGTACGTACTAGAGCAGCGTGTTGTTTCAAACTAGGCCGCAAGAGTTCCTCTGAAGATCTCCGCAGCGAAGCGTTCGTTCATGCCTATACGTAGCCATGTAAGCGAAACAGCTGATTTCATTATCCGTATGGCGATGCATGTCGGTATCCCGGCAGCATCGCTTACACTACTTTGACTGGAAGAATGTATGGAAGAACCACTTACCTCCGGATTGTCTCTAGCGCAATATATAAAGACATGACCTGTACATGAGTCGTCCAACATACCTCGGGTACGTGCTAGCATCACATCGCTCTCGAGCTTGGGCCATTGCAGTCTTGTCGAACCGACACATTTTAGGTAGGTTCCTCCATTTTTCAACTCCATGGACACTCCTTCAACAATTCTTTTCGGTATTCCAGTTGAAATTTGAAGATGGCTCGAGTATCATTTGATGCCGAGTTTATGAAACAAATCCTCCCCTCCGTGCCTCTCGACCATGCAAAGACCTTCCAAGTGGTACGCGACGAGCAGTCGCGCTCTCTTATCTTCTCCATAGGTACAGACAGTACACTTTTCTTTCTTCGGCCAGGCGGAACGAACGGTCAAACTTTCCACTGTAATCTCTCGAAGGCTTTTGGATTGAGCAAGTCATCCGTTGTTCACCAATTATCAGTGCTCCAGGGCGAGGACATGTCAATCTTCCTTGCGTTCAGCGTCGATGGCGAGAAACCTAATGACCCAGCTACAGTCTACGTCGTACGGCCTACGAAGCCGGCGGAGTGGCTCGACATGAAGGCTGACGCAATTCTCACCGACTGGCTGCTGCAAGGCGCGTCAGATGAGAAGTACCTCATCAAGAGTCTCTATCTCGTGGTATGTCTCACCGATATATCGTAACACGATGTTGAGCTCATCGGTACCCAGGGAGCCGCTGATACGACGAAGGGGTATCCACTTCTTGTTGCGATCCACACCCAGCCCGACGAGTCTCGACTCGATGCAGCCCTCCTCGATATCGACGTAGGGTCGAAGACGTGGACGTATTCGAACATTTTTGAGCTTCCCGAGGAGCCTTCGAAGATCACCGCTATGTGTGCCGCCGTCCTACCAGACAGCCTTAGTGGCGTTGTCTACCTCTCTGAAAGCTCAGGCAAGACGCGCTTGACATTCGCTGGGTTCAGGGGCGGCGCGCACAATGAACCGTACTCCACCAAACTCTTCCCGCCGCCTGAGGCGCAGAGCATTGCGACGTTCGTTACCAAGGAAGGTTTCACTGATTTGGTGATTGGGGGAAAGGGTCTATATCACTACACCTCCCGCCAGATTGCCAACCTCGACAACCCAAGCGGAGCTGATTGCTTTGCAACTGTCGTTGAGGACGACCCGTACCTCACGCAGTTGCGCCAGATTAATATCGCGCAGTCCGGAGGTGACATGACCGTCTTTGGCCGAAATGGCGACGATACCGTCGTTTATCAGCGCTGCAGTGTCGCCTACTCTGGCCCGGAGATAGCGCAGCTTGTTATTAAAGAGCGTGCTATCCCATTGATAACGCGTGAACAGGGAGGAGGGCACTTCACCGTACTCCTGGACTCTGCTACAGGCTCGCAGAAGCTCTTCGTTGTCGGGGAGAAGAACCAGCTGACACAGCTGGAACACAGCGGCACCACCCGTCTCTGGCAGCGCATCCTAGTCCTCGTTCCATCAGCGGGTGACAACAAGGAGATCGTTTCGTATACGACGCACATTCATGTCACGGACAAGAGCGGCGTGGCGATCACGAACAAGAAGTTCTTGCTCTGCAGCTCTGCAGCCGTCGATATTGGCATAAACGGCGGATCCATTTTCGCCACGCCCAGCGGCGTGCTAGTTACGACAGATATGTCAGGAGACATCACATTGATTCACAACGTCACTGGTCTCAGCTCTGTCGTCTTCACCTTCAAGGATGATCCTCATGGTGACACCGTTCTAGGTAAAGAGTACGTTATCAACCCATCCGCGAAGGCTCAGAGCAAGCTCGGAGCCATCAAATCCGGGGATGATTTGCGTTCAGTGCAGTTGCCAAATGGCGGCAAGCTCTTGGACCACTCCACGGCGAGCTCCGGAGACATCGACATGGTTGCAAAGGCTCTGCCGCAGCTGTGCAGAACTCTCAGCGCCGTACCGCAGGACGGATCTGAGCACCCAGAGGGAGGTGCCAGTGGCACCTATTACTTCTCATTGTCGGATATCTCCGACTGGGGTGCACGGGAGTGGGTCACCAAAGCAGTGAAGACAGTCGGGAAATTCTTCGTGGACGCCTCCAACTTCGTCATCGAGATCGCGGGCAAGGTGTACACCTTCGTGCTCAAGTCGCTCTCGCACATCTTCAAGGCGATACATTGGCTGCTGCAGGACGTACTCCACATTCCTATCGACAAGATCATCGAGTGGCTCGGTTTCGTCTTCGAGTGGGGCGACATCCTCGACACGCACAACATCATCTCCGGGATAGTCACCACGGCTATGGACATCGCCATCGCGAAGGTCGAGACTTTCGAGCAGGTTATTGATGGATGGTTTCAACAAGCGGATTTCATGATCAGTGCGCTTGATGCTATCCCGGGTGACGTTCGTGATCGCCTGACCGGTCCATCGGAGGTCAATGCAGAGTACCAGGCTGCAGATAAGACCACATCGGTGAACAATGCCCCCGGTAGCAACTGGTCAAGTTACCAGATAAAGCACGGCGGCGTAAAGGAGTCATTCAGTGCGCAAGGCGGCGATGCACCCGCATCCGGGGATCCTCTCGTTCAATTCTGGAATGACGTGGCGTTCCCGGCTTTCGACCAGATTCGGAAGACGATGCAAGACGCTATGCAGGACTTAGCCCGGGTGTTCGACGGCAGCAAGCAGTTCTCGCTCGGACAGTTGCTTGATCATTTCGGGGTGGACCTTCTCAGGAACATCTTGGGTGTGATTCGCCAGGTTTTCGTGGGCCTCATCAAGTTCGCCGCAGACTTCGCAACGGATATGAGGGCGGCGATCACGAAGAGCCTCGACATCCCACTGCTGACGCCGCTTTACAAGTGGATCACTCATGGCCATCAGCTTACCATCTTGGATGCTGTCTCCTTACTGGTCGCGGTCCCCCTTACGGTGGTATACAAGCTGATTACAGGGCAAAAACCCTCCGATAGTCCCGACGCGAAGGAGTTCATCCAGATGAGCAAGCAGTCGCATGTCAGCTTCATGTCGACTTTCGCTGCTCCGTCTTCCGCTTATCAGTCGGAAGCTTTCATGTCTATAGCGTCGTCCGCTCCTCCTTCGCGTCATCTCTCTCCCCTCGGTATCGACGTAGATGAGCTTATCAAAAAGCTCAAGCCGATTGTTTTACGTATCATCTCAATTGCCGTGCCTATCGTGAACGGCATCATCCTGCTACTTGCGCCTGCAGACTGGTATCTATCGGATACTACGGCGGAATCTCAAACCATTAAGTGGGGCTGGACGACGACAAAGGTTGCCATCAAGGTGATAGTGTGTGTCGGGACATATCCATGGGCCGATGTTCCTGGGCATCCCAATCTCCATCTATGTCGCCAGCTGACGTGGGGACTCAACATGTTCAGCATCTTCGCGGTGCCGTGTCCTGTGCGCGTGCGTGGCGTCGTCTCGCTCGCACTCGGGCTGTTCCAGCTCGTCCCGGAGGGCGCGAGCGTGCCGTGGGCCATCGAGTCTGCGACCGACGGATCGTACGGCGGCAACCTCGCTGGCGACACGGTGTGGGCGGACATTTCCGACAGACTGTTTGCGCTCGTGGGCACTGCTGGGGGAGGGGCTTGCATGCTCATGACGAAACCGGACCCCTATAGTTTCGGATTTGCGTGGATGACTTCGGAGGCCGCAATTATTTGTGAGACCATCAAGGCCGTGAAGTTTGAACCGACGGCCTCTGAGGGGATGCCACAGGCATCCCTGCAGAGCGTCTTTTGAGGGATTGAATGGTAGGTGGCTCGTTTGCATGTAAAGCGAACGCGTTGAGTGAGTCAATATTATAGACTGGACTGCTCCTGGTCTTCTGTTACGAGCTCTGTCACGTAAGTGCGCACGTTGCGAAGTTTTCCCTGTGTTGCTTGCTGTACCGGTATCCCTGAATGAGTGAGCGACCGAGAATGCACCCCTTTGTCTGCTGTTCCGTAATGAACCCTTGGTGGAATTCGTGTGGCGCCAGCAGTGTAATGTTCCTGCCGCCATGACCGTACGCAGTATAATATCTTCCCTTTGTCCTCGGAGAAGCACTCGCGAGGCGTTGACGCCCAAATATCCGTTTCGAAACGTGAGAGGCGGCATGTCAGCTGAGCTGCCCTCGAGTCAGAATGCGGGTTACTTTTGTCGTTTCCGATCCTTCAATGGCCTTAAGTTCCATCGTTACGAGCACGCCATCATCTTCATCTGAGATGTCCCCTTCAAATGCTCCGACATGTGGCAGAAGCGAGTCGAATTCTCGTAATCACTGAACGATTTTCATCAACGTAATTGAAGAAGAAGACTATGGTGTATTTGACATACCTGGGCAAGTGATAAGACCCAGGTCAGCAGTGGCAGATGTCAACTCCGAGTCGTATGTAGCGTAGGTGCCACTGGGCATTGCGTAGTGATACTCGCGTTCCGCACTGGCGAAAAGATTCATACGCCGAGAAAATTAAGATGTTCGAAAATTGGGAAATGATTAGCCGTTCCAAGCTAGCTCAGCTGGTCGCTGCTCCATAGTTGCGTACGTTGTCCCCTTGACTTTCGACAGGGCATATAGACCCACGCCAGACGTTGAGTTATCAGCACATCAAAGCACGGAATCTTCGCTATGTGCAGCCCTTCAGAGGACGAGACGAACTGCCAGGTCTAGCATATCCATACCGGGAACTCCGAGGGAAGAAGATCAAGGCGTGCATAGCTCATTCGTCCGGATCATATCAGGCTCGTTAGACTGCACCATGTCTTTGGTAGCCTGTTTGCATTGAAAGTGGTACTTTTGCACGGCGGGATTGAGATGATGGTTAAACTGCTTCTTTATTCTTACAATTAACGTATCTGCTGACAACATACTCGTCAGCCGCTGCATGCACTATTACAGGTCTAGTTTTCCAGCTGCCGTCAAGGTGTAGATTGATGAGATCACTCACTTCGTTCAGCAATCGCTTTTGAGCTTAGACAATGCTAGCAATTTTCAATATGCAGAACGGACTATGACTCACACGACACTAATGCGGGACCGGGTGCAGCGCGTCAATTTGGGCGCATCAAAGCGGAGAGTCGCGCAGCAGAACCCACAAGGATACATAAACCGATCGATCAGGAGGACAAAATGACTCCGCACTCCTCCCCCCGAATCCTCAACTTCCGCTGAGCTGAGCTGATTAGCCAGCCAGCTCCTTGTGGACTGCAGTGCGTTCTGAACGTGTAGCGTGACGCGCGTCTGTTACTCACTTGTCACGCGTCCCATCAGAGTATCACTGGCGAGGAGCTCATTCTCCAAATTCTACATCGGTGTTGTTTGACCTGTCTGGACGATGGAGATGGAGATAGAGCAACATCTTCGTATGTGAGGCGCCGTTGTACCAGAAATTCCATGCGAACTCGAACACCGCCATAAACGGGATCACGTTTTGACGAAAGTCGCTCCGAGGCACTCACACTGATAACGGTGAGTACCATGCGACAGCGCGCCGCCGAGGTCTCTCAATCGTTCTGCCAAGCGTCCTGAAACAGACAGCGGATGATTAGAATGCATGCGCTGTCTATTCGCTGTCTATTCGCTGTCAGGAACTAGACTCTGGACCAGGGATTTTGAACTTTGCACGTAAACCCCAAGCTCTGTCGCATTGATCGTATGTCTTCGCCTATCTATCCGGTCGATATGCTGCGCACACCACAGATGCCGCCCTGGTCGACGTTTGGCATCTCGTCAGTCACCGCTTGAACGAACTCAATCGAGCGCTACCAGACGCGTTATCTATGCGCGGGGTCTGGAGACGTGGAGACACTCCTGTGATGGGCAATTGACGGAACTATGCCAGGTCCAATTTTACGTCTCCGCCCCGTGCCTGGAGCTGCGAACCGCATGCTTCTCCTCTCGTGGTACCGCTATTGCTATCTTTGCCATGAGATTTGTCCGCCCTGCACCAATTATGCCAGCAAACCATGTGGGCTGCCGATCAATAACGGCGCTATCTCTGTCCCGATAAGTGCATGGCGCTGGTATATGAACTGGGTGCGATGTTCCAGGGATACTCCAAGGTCCTTCCTTCTCTTCTTCTTTCTCCTCAAGCGCGACGCAACGATGGCCGACCCAGTTGCGGAGCTGCCTGTGTATCAAGAGAAACACCTCTCGGACGAGTCGATTGATGTCAAGAACTTGGTCGAGGATGCCGAGATCGAAGTGGACGATGCCAAGATGACGAAGGAGGTGGAGGAGATGGAGGACAGGCTCGCCAACGACGAGGCGAGCGAGGACGAGTACCGTGTCGAAGAAGCATACGAGGTCGCCGTGAAGGTAGGTTGCTACCTTCTATGCTCGAGCGTATACTGTTGACCATAGGACACTCGCGCTCTTGCCTTAGGTCCTCTCCACCAAGGACGACCCTGAGCTCCAGGCGGTTACCTTTCGCACCATCGTCCTTGGCCTTGGCTTCTCTGCATTCGGCGCGTAAGTCTGCCAACATCGGCTTCGTAACCTGCACGTGTTGATATGCGGCACATTGCGCAGTGTGCTTGCTCAAATCTACTATTTCAAGCCTCAGACGCTTACCGTCTCCACCCTTCTCCTGCTGATATTGTCATACTGGTTCGGTAATGGCATGCATATTCTGCTCCCGTCGAAGGGCATCTGGCGGTTCCTCAACCCTGGTCCGTTCAACAGTACGTCTTTTCATTTTCGCAGTTTCGGCGGTGGCCGGACATGGTTTCATGTTTACGCTATCACCGGCAGTCAAGGAACATGTCGCTATTATTATCATGTCGTCCACGGCGGCTACCTCTGCGGTCGCCATCCAGGTCATTTCCGTCCAAGAGTGTAAGTACGGTCAGCTGTTGATAAGCTTCTGTCCTGCACGGCTAACGGGCGTCCTATCTATCAACAGTGTATTATAATAACAACATGGTCCGTAGTCTTCTATGATGACGTGTCAAACTGCGGATCCGTTGTATTGACGCCGAACGCCGCGCTTGACAGAATGCCGGGGTCGCGATTTTCACCCTTATCGGGTCGCAGTTGATTGGCTACGGATATGCAGGTCTCCTGCAGGATGTGCTGGTGAAGCCGACTAAGTGCTTCTGGCCGTCAAACAGTGAGTGCATCTGCGCATATATGCGGTGAAGTTCGCTCATTGTCGCTATATCTGTGCAGTTTACACTGCGAACCTGTTCCAGGCACTGCACTATGACAGGCAGATGACATCCAAGCGTGTCCGCTTGTTCTGGACAGTGTTTGCCCTGCTCTTCTGCTGGGAGATATTTCCGGAATGTACGTGCCTAGCTCTTTTCGCCTATCACGCACGTCTCATCGTTTGTGCCTTAGGGATTTTCCCGGTCCTGACGGGCGTATCCGTCTTCTGCTTGGCGGATAACCACAGCTCCGTGGTGCGCAACATCTTCGGCGGAGCGTCGAACAACGAGGGCATGGGCCTGCTCGCGGTGTGCTTCGACTGGAACCTGATCAGCAGCACGTGCCTGTGGTCGCCCCTCTGGCTGCAGTTGAACCAGGACATCGGGATTTTCTTTACGTACATCCTGATGGCGGGCGTTTACTATGGGAACATATGGAAGGCGAAGCAGTTCCCGTTCATGAGCCAAGCCATCTTCGTGAGTGTTGTCTCTAAGCGTTCGCAATTCGTGATAATGGCGCGATGCTGATTCGGCTCTTGGACTTGGCATAGGCCGAGAACGGCTCACAGTATGACCAAACGGCATTGCTAACTGACGGCAAGTTCGATGCGACCAAGTATGCTGAACTTGGGGTACGTTAAGCTTCATATATGCGCAGAAGATCGCTTCAACTGACTGTTCGACATCTGTCTGCAGCCCGCGTACTTCTCAGCAACCAATGCGCTCTACCTGATCACGTCGAATCTGTCGCTTGGTGCGATTGTCACGCATGTCGCGCTGTACAACTGGAAGGACCTCAAGCCCTTCGTGTTGTCTCTCAACCCGTGGAGCAAGACGCAGTTCTTGGTACACGATGCGGTGCGTCCTGTGTCGATGTTCACAGCGTTGTTTGTTTGAATACTGATGTCTTGTACAGCACTATGAGAAGATGAAGGTGTACAAGCAGATTCCGCGCTGGTGGTACACCGCCGTATTGCTGGCCGCCTACGGGATTGCCCAAGCAAGTGAGTGCACGAGCGATATCTCCATGATATTCGCTTGCTTATTGATGATTATTAGCTAACTATACTGGCGAGTCTGGGTTACCATGGTGGGCGCTCACAGTGCTCCTCATCATTGGCTTCGTCTTCTGCGCACTGTACTCTACTCTCGCTGCGACGATTGGGTTCACGGAATTCAACACGTCCGGCAATGGGTTCTTCCAGATGATCACTGGTTCGTATTCGTCAGTGCTGGTAACCATCCTCACATCTGACTCTGCTCTGCAGCGTATATTGTCCCTGGACGGCCTGTGGCGAATATGTATGGTGCCATGTACGGCGCGCACCCGATGCAGCAGGGTATATTGTTCTTGCAGGATTTGAAGCTTGGACAGTACTGCAAGCTAGCGCCGCGTGTGACGTTCTGCATGCAAATGGCTGGAACTGTCGTCGGCGCCATCCTCAACTGTGAGCGAAATCTTTAGATGAACGTAAAGATATGTACTGAATGGGTGGCTCGTCGACAGACATCATGATGCTGTCCATCATCAATGCTCAGCGGCCTGGTATGTTCCTTCATTGCCATAGTGTGCATTGCCACGAGCCCCGTTGATCTCGCGATGATAAGCCCTGCTCTCCATTGCTGGTACCCGTCTCTGGTCCGGACAGAACGCACAATCGTACAACTGTCAGTACATTCTCTTCATTTAGCTCCTCGCAAGCTCATATGCTCTCTCTGTCTTCAGCCAACGCCATCTCCTGGGGGGCGCTTGGTCCTGAGATGTTCGGTCCCCATTCCACCTACCGCATGGTCCCCATCTCGTTGGCCATCGGGCTCGTCCTGCCGATCCCATTCTACATCGCCGTAAGTCTGGCCCGACCGCGTTCGGTATTCATCGCTGAATTTCTGCGTATGTAGTACCGCATCTGGCCCAAGGCTGGCTTCCAGAACCTCAACACGTCCATCATCATGCAGGTACGTCTCATACGACATTGACTGATCGGTCCCTGGGTGACACATATTTCCACCTAGTACTCATGTTACCTGTCTGTCGGAGTGAACACGTCGGTTAAGTGAGTATTCTCGAGCGCTCGTGATTTGATTTTAGTTGCTGATTGGCCATGCAGCACGGGTATGGCGCTTGGTATCCTCTCCCAGTGGTGGATCCGTACACGTTACCCGAGATGGTTCACGAAATACAAGTACGTGATGATCCGCAGAGCATGCAGACTTCTTGTTGACCAGCTCCTTCTACTCAAAGCTACATCGTCGCCGCTGCGATGGATGGCGGCACTCAGGTCGTCATCTTCATCTTAAACTTTGTACGTTCATTCGCTCCTCCGCTACCCTCACTACTCATTCCTTCATAATATTTTACAGGCCATCTTCGGTGCTGCTGGAAACGCGCATAGTTTCCCAGAATGGTGGGGTAACGGTGAGTACAATGTTACATTGATTTTCAGAGTCCCGGTTCTGACGCGATGGCTCTGTAGACCTTAATCTGTCCGCTGATCGCTGTTTAGCTCCGGCGTGATGACGGTCGCCGGTGCAGGGATGCGCTGACTGTGTACTTTACTCGATGTTCATTATCGTCTGGGAGTTGATAATGTAGCGTATCTGGCCTGCTGGCAATATATGTACCGTTTAGATCTCGCGCTAGTCGAAGGGGGCCCTTGAGGCACAGCTACTAGTAGTTGTTCGACAAGTGGCTCGGACTCCTGGTTATGTTAGGCGAAGAAATACCCTGAGCAGGTCAATGTTGATCTCGCCAAAACGGTGTACGATGATCTCGTGAGATACGACGATGCTCGTCCACTCATCGGCATATAAGCTTATTAGCATGCAGGCGGCAGATATATATTGGAGCGATGTGAGAGGCACTAGCCGGACGTGACTTACAGATTCAAGGAAATGGAAACAGCTAGAAGTACAAGTACACCCCAAACTAGACGCAAGGGCGCAGATCTAAAGCTTCCTCATGTATTCAATCAGAATGGACAGACTATCAGATAGACAGAGTCGGATAAAAGATGTGACATGCCTCAAGTGCTCGAATACTCCAAGGCGCTCCCAGTTCACTCGACCGGCCGTCTCTTCTCCATTTCAATGTTGAGATCCTGAATTAATTCAGGTTCATCAAGGGCATCCTTTGCGTGTTTCCCCTTCACCACCGACACCATTGCTTCCTTGTCTACAATATAGACCCGCTGGTTTGGCAGCTGTGCAGCGTCAAGATTACGCGCCACGCTCTGGCGAGTCTGCGAGATATACTGCTCTCGCGCCCGCGCCATCAACTCAGCGTCACTCTCGTCCTCTCCCTGCACGAGGTCATCTGCAAGATTACGGATGTGCTGTCTCGACTTTGATCGGACGATGTACGCAGGGATCCTGAACCGCGCGCAATTCCGCAGGATAGCGACGTCCGTCTCGGTGAAACGATTGTCGAACAGCACGATGATGCAGTCGAAGATGTAAAGGCCTTGAGTATTGAAGTACACCCAGTCTGGGATGTTCAGAGTGCCTGCGCCGGGAATGTCGTACCATACGTAGGGGTTGTTGGGGTCAGGGTCGGGATACCGAGTGGGGGCGCTCGTCGTCTCTGTGATGCCAGTAGCAGCCGCGCCTTTATCCTTGTTACGGAGGCCGCGGAACGCATTGAGCAGCGACGACTTGCCGCTGCCCGAGACGCCGGCGATGGCAAAGTGGAAGATTCCTTCTTGATACTGAAGCTCTTTCTTCTTCTGCTCGAACTCCTCCTCATTGGGGAGGACGATGGGCCTGATGCCCTCCCTCAGGTCCTGCTCGGCTTTCTCCAACGCTACCCTGGCCTCCTCTGCAGCCTTCTCTGAAGCTTCTCTGGCTCGCTGGGCTGCTTCTTGCTCGGCCCGAGCCCTCTTTGCTTCCTCGTCTGCACGGACTCTCTCCGCCTCCGCGCGCTGCCTCTCCTCTTCAGCACGGCTGCGGAGCTCCTCCGCCTGATGCTTGTCCTCGTTTGCCTGTCGCATCAATTCTTCCGCTCTTCTTGCAGACTCTTCCGCGTGCCGTCTGGCCTCATCCGCGGCTACTCGCTCCATCTCCCTCCGTCTGGCCTCTTCTTCTGCTCTGATACGCTGCTCTTCAGCTATGCGCTGCTGCTCCGCCGCTCGCTGTCTCTCGGCTTCTAGCCTTTGCTGCTCCGCCTGCGCGGCCTCTGCTTGCTGCTGCTGGGCCCTCACGAGATCCTGCATCTGCGCCATAGTGCGGTTGTGAGCGGCACGTCTTCGAGACGAACGATTGCCCATTGTTGGCTATCACAGTAAAGTATTCCGAAGTTGGAGCGTTGATCTGATGCGGAGCGATGCAATGCTTGATCTCACTACAGAACGACACCAATAAGAGGCGAGACACGTACTTTTGAGAGGCCGCACACGATGTAGGGGATGAGAGCGCTGAGCAGCTGAAGTACGTGGTCCTCGCACCTTAATATCCTTGATTCGTGAAGTGCACCTTCACCCACGCTACACCATGTGTGCACGCTTCACGAATGGTGTACTGTTCATCAACTGCACTGACAATGAGCGACATAGCCCTTGAATAGCCGGAAGCTAAGCGAGAATGAATCGGTATGATGGCACTATCGCCGACCATTTTCACTAAGTGGGCATAGCGTCAGGCGACGATCAGAATGCATTACATATTTGGCACGTCGCACAGGCGAGAGAGGTAGCACATGCACCAAGGCAGGTTCACGTCGAGTCTTCCACGGATAAGGAGCCAAGTTCATGGTATGCTCGTTTGCATGCAAGGGACAATTAATGCGTCTCGTGCAATGTGTATCAGACCGCAGAAGAGCAGTGATTCTCGCTCCCATATACGGTTTGCCGTTCAAACCTAATATCGCTACGCAATCTCGGTTAAGGCAGACTCACGTTGGAATCAAGCCAGCCCTGAAGCCAGAGATTAAATCATGAGTTTGCAGCGCATGTTCAGTTGACAGCAAGCTTCTGTTCCGTAAGGCATGCATCAGATTGTGGTCCTCACAGATGCCTGGAGAGAAACCCCATCACGATATAATGACATAATTCATTTTGTACCGGGAAACTCACCTCACAAGACAACGAACACAGTTCTAGTACAAGTGAAGTTCCCAGCAGTCAAGAGATGCAGGCATAGTTGCAGTGCCTAGACTTGGGATGATGATGGACTTGATGCTCTTCCTCAGTTCCTTCTTGGGTTCAGCCGCCTGAGAATCCACAGCAGCCCTGTCCGTTGCTCGAGGCCTCTTTGGCCCTGGGCTCATTGCATCAGCAATAATTCAACTGCAAAACTATCGTGCATGCGGGGCTTGGAGCTCCTTACGCAAGCGAGTAACGAAGTGCAGATTAAGTCTCAGCGAGTGTTGTTCGGCCACATTTTCACACTCCGACCTATTTTATGGTTCACGATTACTTAGCAGTGCTGCTACAGTCTGCATGATGTTCTATCTAGTATCTACAGCATGGAGAGAATCGGATATGGATGTGAGACATAATGCCAGTTGTGACGGTCATATATATCTGCATTCCGCAAAGTTGACATCAAATCAGATTTGATAGCACATTATGATATGGTGAAAGATAGGCCATCCCCCGTGTTGGTCAGACGACATATAATTATGTAGGATACACAACGATACAGTCAAGCGAGTCGGTCAGAGAGCAGTCTGAGCAGCAGTGAGTCATGAGATGCCTATGGGGAAAGCAGGCCACAGGAGTTCGTCGCTACTGAAGTGAGGTAACAGTACAAAGTAAATATACAACGCTATAGTCCCAAGAATATCTGTCAAGCAAAAAGGCTCCAAAGACGCAAAGTCCGAAGATAACATGAGCACATTACATAGTTGTGCTGAACGTACCATCCGAACTTCGGCAAGGTGATGGTCGTGCAGAAACCGATTGAGGACAAGGCACTGGACGTGGACGCATGTCACGGTTAATAAAACGGACTCGGAAACATCTGGACAATCAGCGAGCAACTTACTTGTAATGACGGGCCGCAATGAGGCCTCGCATGAGTTCAGAATTCTATGCTTTCCTTGAATTTCGTCCCACTCTCAAACTTGCGCATGGAGCGTATAGTCGGAACTTCCGATCCTTGCCTCCTCGATTGCACCGAGAACCGCGCGGGGTCCGGCACCTTATCTTCTTGCTCCGCATGTCCGCCATCGCTTATATCGGCCCTCGTATCAACCTCTGAGAACGTCATGGACGTCGGAGACGTAGAGAACGGGTCGGTATACATGGGTGATTTCACCGGTGCAGCAAGCTCGACGGACTCTGCGCTTGGATCGTCATCGCCATCCGGGAGAGGGTTGGCAGCAGAAAGCGCAGCTGCAGCAGCAGGAGCAGCACGAGTCCGGTCACGGACATCTCTTTCGTCCTTCGCCACGAGCGTGCGATCGTCCGCAGTATCCCAGTCATCGTCGTTCGCACGAACCCAGCCCTCGGCCCTTCTCCTGCCAAACAGCCGCGAGATCCTCCCTCGCAGCCCGGAGAGCTGGAAGGAATTCGTGCTGGGGGCGTATTGCCGCCTTTGCAAACTTTGTGCGCGCCGCAGCTGGCGCTCGTATGGCGTGGGACTGTGGTCGCGGAGGAGGAAGAAGACCGCGATGCAGCATACAAGAACAATGACAGCGAGAGCGACGACAAGTATGATGAAGCCAGCGGCAGAGCCGTCTATTTCAGGTATATTGGAAGTAGAATCAACTGCCGTCTATGGAGATGCGAGTTCGGAGCGGATCAAGAGCGAAATAGAACGTGCTGCTTACCGTGGAAGAGAGGCCGTCGCCCGTCGTAGTGGCCAGGACATGTTTCACGTATAAAATGTTTGGTCGTCGCAGTGGAGCCATCCACAACAGATGGTGGGATCGTGGCAAGTTTTTGGCGGATAAGGCTCTAGCAGAAGCGCAGCACACGTGACATATACAAATGGATCATTTCCAACTGGATAAATTGTCTAGTAACTGTTGAATACGTCAACATGACTTATCGGCGAAAACACTGCGCGGCCGTTCGCCAGTGTCGTACTTGTTCGCTTGCTCTTTCCTGAGTCTATGTCGTATTCCTGCTAGCAATGACCAGTGAGAGACATATATTTCCGTCCTGTCCAGCATGCTCTGAAGGCATGTGCACTGTTTTTAACCCGTTCAACAAAGCGTGCGAATCTCATCCCGTGTGAGTCGGCTGCCGTCGAACCGACTCGCGCGCAAGAGTCGTTCCCCCGTTCCCCCGTCGTGTCTTGTTCTTAATCTTGATATTTCTGAAGGATCTCAGTCACCTGAGATGCGCCCAGATTCGAGGGTACGCACTCAGTGCCACCGGCACTCCGCCGACCAGATTGCCGCGTACAATCCAGCCGCCGCGAAGTGTTCTGATGGCTAGAACAAAGTTGTTCTGCACATTCGGTCAGGAACAGCGCGGCTGACAAGCTCAAGCTTCTGAACAGAAATCGGTAGAGGGGTATATTTATCAGCGATACTTTCGCACGATAGAACACGTAAGTCGGCCAGACCTATGTACACTACAAACTGACACGAAACGGAGGGGGGGAGGCGTAGTAGATACATGGAGCGAGAACGGAGATGAGATGCACGCATGACTCTATACCGCGGTGCGGCAGCCGAAATGAACCGTTCTGAAAGCGTCCATCGGTACAACGCAACCACCGCAGACGAAAAATACCATAGTCCATAAAGGTCGTACCCCTGGTCATCAGAGTCATAACATCTTGATGTCGCATCGTGAAGTTCATACGGGTTTTCATATCGTTACAGCGTAGATTCAAAGTCGAAGAAGTCGTTGATGTCGATATCCTGGAAGGGTGACATGCTGTACGTGGTAGGCTCGATGCCGAAATCCGCTAGCCCCTGCGTGTATCCCTCGTAGTCCGCCGCCGTAGTGTCGTACGAACAGCCGCTAACGGCGGGGCTCAGCTCCGCCAGGTTCTCCGCGCTGAAGTTGTTGGCCACAGCGTCGAGAGGGGCGAATGTCGGCGGCGGTGTCGGGGGAACGCGGGGGTCCCGTGCGCTCGAGGGGAAGTCGGACGTCCGCGGGGTCCGGTCGAAATCCACCCCCACCGCTGCAGACAGAAGGCCGTTCGACGAAGGCACATCTTCAGGGTACAACAGCGATGGCACTGACGCGCGTCGATACGGCATTTCGTAGCCCTCGACACTCGTGACGGCCACACTGGGCAGTGTTCCGTTCCAAGTCTGAAGCGACGAAGTGACCACCGTCAACGGCGACGGCAAAGCGCCAGAGGTGGTAGCGGCTCTGCGCCGACCGTAAAGCGGCGCAGGGCGCGGCGGACTCGCGATGCTCGGCGAAGAAGCATACGAAGATGCGGGGGGAGAGTCGACCGGCGTCGGAGGAAGCTAGAGTCATTATGGGTGAGTGAACTAATATATAGAATGAGAGAGAAACGTACTGAGGTCTGTAGCGCTTGGAAGAACAGCGGCTCCGCGCAGTCCTCTTGCTTTGGAGAGGGGGACTGACTAAGGGCCGCAACAGACGTGTCAAGAGCCCAGGACAAGCGACTATCAGGCTGCGGGTAGCTCGCTGGCCACCCGGACTTGTCGATCTCCGTATAGGGCGACGAGACCGAACCGAGTGGCTCCGCAGCGCCGCCCAAGACCCACTGCGAGCCAAAGCAAGGCGTCGACGCTGAAGCCTCGAAGGACGAATAGAGCCGGTGGTGGAAGTGCTCCTGAAGCGACGTCCCGAGCATGGACGACGACTTGAACTCATCCTCGCTGAATTCCCCGGGACTGGTGCGCGCGGAAGTGACCTCGAGCGACTCGTGTGGCCACTGCGACTCGATGCTGGCCGGGCTCGGGGGACTCGTCGAGTCGCTGGCGGACTCGGAGTCGGAGGCTGTGCCCTGCGGACGGTTGGCCACCTGCCGCACGAACGATTCGACCTGCTCGCGGCGTGTCATGGGAGCCCCCTCTTTTCGGGAGTCACTGGTGCGCCTTTGCGGTCGGTACTTGTAATCGGGATGCTCAAGCGCGTGCTCGAGTTTGACCTGCTCGGCTAGGCGATTCCAGTGCTCCTTCTCTGACTTGGTGAGCGAGCCCCACGCGTCGGCAGCTCGCTGGGACAGCGTCTTTTCCATGGTCGGCGCCTTGCCCTTGTTCGCCTGGGCGTGTTTCCGAGAAAAGTCGCGCCGGAAGAGTATGAAGGCGTTCGGAGGGCGCGGAGCCCACCTGGGATCCTTCTCGCGCTTTCGCTGAGCCCGCCGCTTGGAGGTGGCGCTTTGGTATACGGAGGAGTAGGAGCGCCTGACGGCCAGTCGCGTAGAGGAGGCGGGAAGAGCGGAACGTATGTAAGGAACGTGCGGCCCAGGTTGCGTTTGCTGAGTGGCGGTGGTGGTAGGCTCTGGAACCTGGGTCGGGCTGTAGCGAGCGGACCACATGCTTGCGGAGTCGCGGTCGACTGTCTGACAATACCAAGGCATTGTGCTTTGCGTGTGGGGGGACATGGCGGCCGGAGGGGAACAAGGCTAAGGACGGGACGCGGTGGAAGGTATTATAACGAGCAGCACCGAATCTTGCGCCTCGGTCTGCCGATATGGTGAGCCCGACCATCTCCTGTTGTAGAGATTGGATCTTGCCACTTCGTCTTCAATTGTGCGTGCAGCGGAAGAGGAACACTCTACTTTCTAAATGAGCAATCACGTGCGCTCGGCGAGGCCCCGGATTGAGATCTATGGCCCACCCGCTAATCACCCACCTTCGCTTGATGAGATTTCATCTCACGGATCCGCCATTCTCGCCATGAGGCTACCCAACAGCGACCCTATTTCTCCACCGAGTTCCGAGTCACGCGCATTTTTTCTAAATTATGCAAGCGAGACGGGTTTACCGGCTGTCTATCTTCAACATGCTCCATGCTACGCAATTGAAGGGTTTATAGCACGGTAGACGAAAGTCGGTTTGCTTAGCGAATTAGTGCGGATAATCCCGTTCTAAGTAGGAGTAAGTAATTCCTCCTGTCTAGTGATCACCTGGGAATCATCGCCCTTCGGCGAGGGACTCGGGACCGAGTAACTTTGTTCCTGGCCACTGCGTGGATCCCCCAAATCGAGATAGACCGGCTCGACAATGCGCGATGCTCCCTTCTCTTCCCGCGCACGTACGCAGACACGCCGCTCGCCGCTCGCCAGTGCCAGTGAGTGTACATAGTGGCTATACGCCTGCCACCTCTGGCCGCGCCGATCCGCCCCTCACCGTTCCCCACCAATTACTTCCCTCGTCCTTGAACGTGACATAAGAACACATCATATCGGCACGCATTACGACAGCGGCGCCAACAGGTTAACTAACGGCCTCGGTCTTTCTGCGAATTTCAAGGTGCTCCATGCATACATCATGATTGACTCCGCAGACGCCTCGTGGACGCCCGAGCTCGCGCTATGTGTCTATCAGGAGTGGCCGTTTAATATATGCTGTTCAGTCTCTTTGGCCCTGTGGGGGAGGGTTAGGACCACTGGCTGTTGCCCAGATAACGATCCGACGAGAGCGATCTAATTCAAGTGTGACAGCTGCCACTCGGCCAATTGTTGTCTGGATTGTGATTGCCGATATGGAACCAAAGCATCCGCCGCGATAGAATGCAGCCTCACGTCCTCCCCGAGAGCCTAACGTTTGAAAGGAGGCATTGGGCGGCTCCACTTTGACCAGTAAGAAACCGGAAAGCTTCCATCGTAATTGGTTAGGATGCGGGCGCGTTTCCGCAACGCTGCAGTCCGAAGCCCGGGCCGCCTGACTCTGATACCAACACCTGGAGCGCACCCCTATCTCGCACATTCCCTCGGGCACGCGACCGAGGGGAGACGTACCATGCGGCGCGACTTTGTGTCGCTTGCATAACCTTTGCGCCCGCAACGGTTATGGCTAGTGGACCCACGAATCCCGACGCGCTTGGCGCGGTCCAGGTGCTTCTCTGCACAAGGTCTTCCCGCGAATTGTTCTCCAGGTTCTCTGATTGCGTGTGCATGCTCGAGGAATCGCCTGCAGCACAGACTAGTCGCGTGGGTCGTGGATGCTATGCTGCAGCTTGGAATGATGTATCAAGGGCTCAATGGCTCTTCGGGGAAGGGGAAAGGGGGAACGACGAAAGACGATTGGTAACGATCCAATCTGCTTTGGTCTGGCGCAGTGGATAAAGCAACCACCCACTCGAGCTTCGAAAGAAAGCACAGAGCTTCTACGCTGCGTAATGACGCCTGACAATTCGAGATGTTCTGCAGAACATTATTACATCAGCTAGAATCCTACCGCGGAGAAGGGGGGTTCTATTCTATTCAGACTCTGCGATCTAAACTCGCGGTCACAATACATGGAGTCTTTCGCACTCGATGGAGATAAAATTGGAGCTCGCACACACACGTCCGGCGACTTTCCACAGGCACATCGCGGATCTCTTGCGTAAGCTAGGAAGGAACGGTGGCGATCCTTCCCCATCCGTCCCTAGTGCATTCAAAATTAACTAACAGAGCTCATGACGACAACCACCCGGCCCCGGGCAGGGGCGACTCGGTGTTCTTCGCGGCCGAATACATATGTACATTTGGCTCCCACTCCGCCCTCCCGCTCGGCAACATTGAGATCGCACATTTAGGTTATAGAATTCAAATGTGCTGGCCTAGATTGGTATGCTTTGAACGCCTGACGCCTGAGCCGGTGGTCGACCAGATAGGCAGGTCCCCCGGCATCGGGATTCATGGCGGTAGATGAGCACCCACTGTCCATAGATATATGACGTGTAGCATCGCACTCACACTTGGGACTACTTACGCACAGGGCAGCGCATCAAGCGTCAATACAGAAAGAGTTTGCCACTTGCCCAGAGTATCGCTCCACGGGCAAGGCACTATTGCAGCCGAAAGCTAATATGATTTAATTGTGTTTGCTTCGCGGGTGACCCGATATTCGGGTGCTCGCTCGGGGTGCTCTCAATTGGTCCTTCTCTTCGTCCCTTGTTCCCTTCTGATGATCTCTCTCGGAGATAAAGCAGCATCACGTCTGCACCCCATTGCGCAAAATGGTTAGCCTAAGCCTTAGTCGAGTTGTGGCACTCGAAAGCTGTTATTGTTAGTTCTACCCATCCCAATCGCTACGCAGGGACATCCTCTGACATACCATCGGGATGGTAGCTGTGGTTGAAGTGCACGATAACATGACTATCAAATGTTCAGCCTTACTACCCAAGTCGTGATGCGCACTCAGCGAGAACGTAAATTCCATCCATCCAAATTGCTATGCAGGAATCACACCATACATGGTACGATAGTTGTGGCGGAAGTGTACAATAATATGACTACAAATGTTCAGTCCATAGAGGTAATGCGTGGTGTCAAACTCCATCCAGTATGCAAGTCCAATTATAAGTCCGACTCTCGTCGCAAACTGTGAAACGAATGTAAACGGACGTCACTGTTACGTGAAAAGCGAGAGTCAACGTACCTCTGAAGCGTGGCATGCTTCACAATCCGCAAACAGAGGCGTCGACCTGGGTAGCAGTGGCAGTGATCCTTCCGAGGAACCCGGCCTGGTTATCGGTCAACGCGTTCATCGCCTCCTCCGCGATGTTGAACCCATTCAAAGCGACATCAATGGCCAGGACATTGATGGTGTTCCCATCGTAAGTCAACTGCCAGCACGTCCCGCAGTTCGGGCTGTCCCATCCCGTAACGGCCTGTGCACCGCCGATGTAGGGGAAGTCGGGGAGGGAACCGAACGTGGTGTAGCCCTTGCTCTCGAGGCCGTTGGGTCCGTTGGAACAGGCTACGGTGTCGAGCGAGCCTGCAGCGTTGTCGTAGGTGTTATCGTATGACACGGAGGCCGACGTCTGGGCAAGTGCGGATCCGCACAGGAGGGCGAACGAAGCGAAGAGAGACGTGAACGTGAACTTCATGATGTAATATGCGATGCTAATCGTTATGAGACTGTGTGTTTGGAGGGGGGAAGCCGGCGGGTGCTCTGGGAGAGAAAGGCTCGACGGAAGCATTTTTATATGCAGTCAAAGGTCAACCTCGGCCGTGGGGCATCCTCGGAGCGTGAGCACCTGGGCTGGCTAGTGACTGAGCGAGACCAGAGACGGCGAGGAAGTCCGGTACGAACGTGACATCGCTTGCTGCAAGAGCCTACTCCCGCATCGGAGTTGTGGGCACTCTAGCCATTCAAGCCGGCCAAGAGTGATCCCAGGACGGCGCATCATCGCCGTGCATCAGTCCAATGCACGGCAGCGATGAGAGAGTTCAGGGATTCCATTCGCAGAAAGTCTATTTGAGGACCTTTCAGGAGGAGGGAACAGTGCGAAGCGCTGATTGACAGCCACCATTGGGTAGCACGAGATGTCGATAGCTCACACGCACGGCGCTACGGAGTTAAAAGTCAGGCATGATGATCTTGTCCTGCCGGGTGTGACCAGGCTGGACGGTGATGCAGGGCCTTGATGTGAGAATCCATTCTGGCGTAGGCTGGCGTCCGACGCGCCGAGGTGGGGCGTGTATCACCCACATGACATAGTCAACGGCAAACGCGCGGAACGTCATGGTCGACGACGAACCACTGCAATCCAGGCAGGTGAGGCTGGGCAAATCAAAGCCTGTCCCGTCGTACCCGTGTAAGCGCGAAGCGATGACCATCGCTCGCCAAGTCCAAAAAATCCATGCGGTCCGGCTTCGCGTCCAACGCTAGGTGTCGAATGATAGACGAGTTGAATGAAGGCACATTGGTGTTCAGCTACTAAACGGCGACGAATCCTGCTGAGGGAGGAGGAAGAACGTAAGGATGAAAGCGACTCGATGCACGGCTCGCGAAGCAGAGATGAAACGCAAGCGAATTGAATGTGGCCTGCCCGCACGTGACCTTCTCCTACCATCAGCAAGCGCCTGCCCAGCGCTTTGAGCCTCCGACCGGACGTTCACCTGCTCAGCCATGTCAGTCGCGGGCCCGCTCCCCCTTCTCCTGCCACGCAAGTATGTTTCATCTGGAGAACGTGCGACCCATGAATGGACACCAAAAGCAAATCTCTCTGTCCCAAATCCACCACCTCCGGATGATGCCCGCACACATGATCAAGAGATGGCTATGGCAAGGCAGTTGATGGACGGTAAGCCCGTCAAGAAGGTCCGCCCGCGACGGACGGTGGACTACAGTGGGCCTATGGGCAGATGGGCATTGGTGAGCAATACGTTTGTGAGGTTCGCTACACGCGTGAGCTGAAGTGTGCTCAAGTTGCGCAAGCTGCGGCCGAATTCCACATATGTACCGTACTTGAGGCCTGCGCCTCCTTACATCATTGATGTACGAATACAATATTGCGAATGATATCGAATTTTGACGACTGAACGAGGACCGGTGAACAGCTTTTACCTCCAAAAGCATACCCAGATAACCCCTCCACATCCTTGTGCACGAAGTTTGTGCACACGTGTATTAACAAGTACCGGTGCCCTGTGAATTGCGTCACGGTTTGTTTCGTTTCTCGGGCTCGCTGCAACGCCATCTGTTCCATGCTGAGCTATGTAAACACAGTGGACACCGGAGGGCCGACGAGTGCTGACAGGCTCGACGAGCGGCGAATTCACGCTATGGAACGGCCTCACCTTCAACTTCGAGACGATCCTGCAAGCGCACGACACCGCCGTGCGCGCCATGAAGTTCACCCACGCCGGCGCATATCTCGTCTCTGCAGATCAGAGTGGCATCATCAAGTACTTCCAGCCAAACATGAACAACTTGACTGCGTGGACGGGACACCGGGAGGCCATCCGAGGCCTGAGCTTCAGCCCGGACGATCAGCGCTTTGCAACCGCTAGCGACGACTCTACAGTCAGAATATGGGCGTTTGAGGAGAGTCGGGAGGAGCGGGTCCTTACCGGTTGGTGCTCGAGATCTTCGAACGCTTCCTTGAAATCTCACGCTATTTCTCAGGACATGGGTGGGATGTCAAGTGCGTAGAATGGCATCCGAGCAAAGGGCTTCTGGTCTCCGGAAGCAAAGACAATATGATCAAATTCTGGGATCCAAGGACCGGGACAGTACTGTCTACACTGTGTGTATTCCTCGTCTCGTTCGCTTTTATTGCACTAAACGACCAGCAGGCACTACCACAAGAACACCGTACAAGCCCTGGCATGGTCCCCGAACGGCAACATGGTCGCCAGTGCCTCCAGAGACCAGACGGTCCGAGTGTTCGACATTCGCGCCATGAAGGAATTCCGCGTCCTGAAAGGGCACAAGAAGGAAGTGTGCTGTACGTCCAACCACCCCTCTCACCTTGAACGAAGCACCCAATCTGACATAACTGGCCGCTACAGCCATCACATGGCACCCCATCCACCCGCTCCTCGTCTCGGGAGGGTCCGAAGGCGCGATCCTGCACTGGGACCTCTCCTCCTCCACCGAAACCACCGCGCAAAGCGCCACCCAACCCGGGGCGCGCGCGACGCTCTCGCAAGCACACGACTCGAACGTCTGGGCGCTCGCCTTCCACCCGCTCGGCCACCTCTTCGTCAGCGCCTCCAACGACCACACCACGCGCTTCTGGTGCCGCGAGCGCCCCGGCGACGCCTCCTCCGTCTTCTCCGGGGGAGGCGAAAAGCCGCCCGAGGCGGATGGGACGGGCCAGGAGGAGGAGGAGGAGGCGATGGTCCCTGGGTTTGGGTTCGGCGGCGGCGCAGGAGGCCCTGGCGGCGGCCCCCCTCCTGGTGGTGGCGGGGGTGGTCCCAGCTGGTGGGGAAAGACGGAGGACGGCGACCGTACGATATCGCAGTCGTCCTCCTTTGACGGCGGCGCGTACGCGCGCGCCAGGTTCACCGGCCCGCAGCAATCATCACAGCAGCAGCAGCAGCAGCAGGACATGGGCGACGACTATATCCCGGGCTTTGGCGCGGCGGATGCGGGCGTGCCGACGAGCGCGGTGGCGGGACGCCAGAGTGGCCCGCTGCCGTCGCAGGAAGATATGTTTGGATCGGGCGAGCCCGAGCCCGAGCAGCGGGAGTGGCGGGGCGGTAGGGCGGGCAGAAGTACGCGTTGGGGCCCGCGGCGGGGTCGGCACTGATGGTGGTTCTCTGTTCCCTTCCATGTAGTATGTTTTCCAGAAATGATATCTGTGTACCGATCTCTAGGTGTTCTGCCTTTTGTGGGCTAAGCGAGGGCACCTCTGGAAGAACCCCTCTGCTTCGATCGCACCAGAAGCCAATGCACTCGCAGAGTTCTTCCTGCAGACTCAGCCTGAACCTCACTCACTCGCTAGCACACCATCGACCAGAAGGGATAACAGTGACTCTATAATTGTGAAAGGAGCAGACATTTGAGACGTGACGGGTGCGTGATACTACTGAGGCTCGAGCAGCAGGATGTGGGATATGTATCATGTATGTATGTACAGTACAGATCATCGAGGCCCGCGCGAGCACTGCTGCCGCAGGCGCACGACGCATGTAGTATGGTAAAAAAAATCATCGAAGCCAACTCGAATCTGTGTCGCATGTATCTGTATCTGTGGAAGGGGTAGCAGACTGTCCATGGGATGGCAGTATATAGATATAGAGAGAGGGAGAGAGACAGAGTGAGAGAGAAAGGTGTGAGATGACCAATTTTAAGCTGTGAAGCTGGGGCGGCGGCGGCGGCGCTCCAAGTACGTACTCGTACACAACTCTGATGTGAAAATCATAATCATGCCATGGGCTGGAGACCAGTGGGGAGGGGGAATCTGTATGGAGGGCGCATATGTGCATATGTGCAATGATAAGAAACGAGACGATGAGATGAGATGGGGACAGACAAATCGAGAGATGCAAGTCGCGAGACGAAAAAAATGGATATACGATTAGAAGACGAATCACGAACGATCAGTCAATACGCGAGCGACATCGGCGTCGAGCTCTCGCTCTCCACCATCCCGCGCGCAGTGGGGGTGCTGCTCCCGCTCACGCTCATGCGCGCGACGTCGTCGTAGCTCGACGAGCGCGGGGGCGTCTGCGCGGGTGAGAACAGGTAGTTCGGGTTCGGCGTGGATAAAAACTCCTCGACGCTCGACGCCGAACGCGAGCGCTGCAAGCTGTCTTGCTGCACGTCGAGCATCGAATCGGAGCCTGTATAGAAACAGAACCTGACAACGCGCCAACATCAGCGTCCGCCATCCTGTGCTGAGCCGCAGGACACTCACTTGTTCAAGAAGACGTGATAACTGTTGTCCATCACCGGGCTGCGCGCCCTGTCCGGGTTACTATCCAAAAACTTGAAGAGCAAGCTGTCCTCCACCGGCGACCCGCTAGGCGACGAGCTCCTTGACGACTCCGACGTCGACGTAATCGACGGCGTGCTCTCCTCGCTCCCGCCCCGCTCCACCGCCCACGTCGCGCTCAGCTTCCCACTATCAATCTCCACCGCCTCCACCTCCGCAGGCACGCGATACGTGTCCACCGAACTCAGCCTCGGGCCCTCCTCGCGGAACGCCGTCGGCAGCGTCTTCCTCACGCCCCCCTCCGCGCCCGCGCCCGCGAACCCCACGTGCAAATCAAAGTACCCGCGCTGGTGGTTCCGCCCCCTCTGGCGCGAAAACACCACCGGCGTGCTCGCAGGCGTGTCCTCCGAGTCCGAGTTCGCGTAGAACGCAGCGGTGTCGACGACCAAGTCGTCCGGATCGAGCATCCTCGGCGAGCCGCGCGTCACAAACGCCGTGCTGCTCTTCGCCTGGAACGTGCGCGCGGGAAAGTGCGGCAGCGTGTTCGGGTACGTGCTGTTCCGCGCGTGCCCCGCCGTCGGCGACGTCGGCGAGCTGTGCTTCCACGGGCTCCGCAGCGACGCGCTGAAGTCGTACCGGCTCGAGAGCGACGTGTGCGAGCGCAGGTTGAACGTTTCCACGTCCGAGCCCGACGGCGAGTGCGACGGCGACGAGCTCTTGCGCTGAGCGAGGTACCCGCCGAGCGTCTCGCGTACGCCCGCACTGGCGACCTTCTCCAGCCTCGTCTTGAGGTCCGCGATGCCCTCCTGCGCACGCCGCTCCTTCTCCCTATCCTGCGCGCTCTCCTGCAGCCTCCGCGCGAACCGTGCGCGGTAGTTCTCGCCGCCGTTGTTGTCCCAGATCTCCTTCCCCGCAGCGGTATACCGCACCGCGAGGAAGAGCGTCTTCTCCTCGATGCGCGCGAGCATGTCGCCTAGGCGTATGGTGAACGCGAACACGTCGAACACGCCCCCGGGCAGCGTCTGCACGTACTTGGCCGTCACCTCGCTCGTCGTCTGCCACCAGTCGAACGTGAACCGGATCGCGACCCACTTCTCGAACGCGATGTTCCGCACGCGCACGCGCCCGTTCGCTGAGGTGCCGTCCGCAGAGAGCACGAACTCCTCTAGGAGGACGTCCGTCTTGTCTGCCGTCTTCTCTGTCAACTTCTCCTTCTTCTCCTTCCGCTCCGGCATGTTCATCACCTCCATGACCAGAGCTCCCTTCTTCGTCTCCCGCCCCCTGCTCTCCGCACCGTATATCCATCCCGGCCAATCGTTCTCCGTCCCGCTCGTATCTGTCGTCGGGCTGCCGTCTCGCGACACCGCCGCCGGTTTCTGCTCCGCCAAAAACAACTTCACGTGTTCCAGCTTCGCATCGAAGTGCACGCTCTTGATATGCGACGGCGTGTTCGGCTCACTCTTGCTCGAGATTCCCGGACCGGTAATGACAGACAGGTCGCCTCTCGCGATTGCCCGCCGCGACTTCAAAGACGACTTGAGCGGCTCCCCAGACTTCTTGCGCACGAGTTGCGATGTGATGGATGCGGGTATAGACACAGACGCAGAACGCGTTGCGTGATTGGAACTCGTGCTAATGGTGGTCGTCTCGGGGCGATGCTTGCTAATCTTTGAACTCGATGGGCGGGGTGTCTCGTCGTCGTCGTCGAATGACATTGCAGACGGCTGCAGCGGCCATGCGACGCGCGACGCTGTGGACTTGGAGGGGACTGGTGTGGACTCTTCTGGTGGGCGCAATGCCACAGAGGGCATGTTGGTCCCGCTACGCGTGCGTCGATGGCGACCGACGACGAGGGGAGAATCTGACGAACTCGAGGAGCCGGAGCCCGAGGCGATGCGGGAGCCCTCAGAGCGTGGTGGGGTTGGGGGCTGCACGACGAGCGCAGGCGAGGTCGTGGTAGTAGCAGTCGTAGAGGTAGCTGATGGGGAGGTGCTGCTGCGTGATGGACTCTCTGTGAAGATGCTATGGAGGGAAGCGCTGGATGCATGATGGATGCGCGACGAGGAGGAGGAACGCTTGGGGATGCGAGGAAGGGGCGCGCCGGCGGTGTTAGAGTGCCGCGAGAAGGGGAAGGCGTAGTCCATGGAGGCAGTGGGTATTGCGGTGTTGTAACCGAGTGCGATGCTCATAGGGGTGTGGTGGACACGAACAGGATGGGATATGTCTAACACAGGTATCGTCGGTCAGGAGAACGCGCACGCAGGACGGCAGGACTCACTTTGTGGTGACACGTCGTTCCGATGCTGGCGTCGAATGGGTCCTCGCGCGACGATAGAGGGTGTAAATATAACAGGCAGAATGCACAGGAAGAAAGAAGAGTGGGTGATGCGCCGGACAGGAACTGGGAAGCGGTGATCAGCGTGCGGTGGGCGGCGGCTGGCAGGGTCAGCCCGCGGGGGAGTGGATGCAAACTCACCTGGAGTGATGGGGGTGGAGTACGAGCACTTATCGGTATGTATAGGGGGGAGAAAGACGGAGAATGGGGCGGCAGGGGAAGGGGAGATACGGCACGATAGTGCTTAGTCCGCGGCGGTTGCAAATTTGCGGCGCGGCTTACAGAGGAAAAGGCGGGGCGCGTCGTCGTGGGTCGTGATAAATAGAATGTGGACGACGAGGACGGGGGGTGGGGGGAGGAGGAGGAGGCCAGCGGCGGCGGCGGGAGGGAGGAGGAGGGCGTGAGGAAGGAGGGAGGGAGGAGGGAGGCTAAAAAGAGATGCAGGTTGAGAAGCGCGAGCAATAGATGGGGCGCACGTGGCCCGAGTCTCGACAGGAACTATCATGGGCGCCTATACCTTGTATTCCAAATTCACTACTACTATTTTTTTTCACCACTTCATGTCCATCACTGATGATGCGCGATCTGCCTCCTTTTGGCCGTCCCTGCGAATTGTTGCCATCGCTCATCAGTCGCACGTTCCTGCCTGCATGTCCGCGGGCACGATGCGACGGCGACGAGGCATAAGAGCGCGCAGGTTTTCTCCTGAGAGATCTGCAGGAGCTCTCAACGGAAGCGGACGCTCGGCCTCGATCCCTGCTATCGCGCGCCACCTCCCGCCTCGAATGACGGACTCTCCTTCCCACTCCCAGGTCGAGGCGCCTCCCAGGCCTGCTTGCCCAGCACTCGGCCCCGCTTTCGCTCCTCATCGTGCTGACCTCGCTGGCAGCCATCGCGCGACGTGGCCACGTAACAGCGGATGACACCATATCGATACCAATCCTCTGCCGTCGGATCACAGCCCTCACCCGATCGCAGCCCTCCATCTCGCGTACGCGACGCTGCCACCGTATAATACAGGCGCATCCTACCTGCTCATGCATATGCGCCTTCCAGGTCGTCTGCCCCGCCGCCCGCCGTCGCGCTCAGCAGCATCGTATTCCCAGCACTCCCGGCTTCGGTGGCAACCAGCAAATTGTGCCTATCCCTCACGTACACGCGGATCACCTCATCCTCGGCCTAATGGAACGACCTGCGACCGCAACAGGCAATATGATCCTCGCCAGATTGTCGCTTGCAACCCGCGGCACCTCGCCGAGCCCACGTTCGTGCTCTCCCCGAATGGGCCCCCTTCCAGCCAATCACCGCCGGCACCGGCGACTTTGCCAGTGTGAATGACGTCACGTGCATCCATTGTCCTCTTTCACCGGTCTGATGCACGCTCTTTGCAGCTTGTCCGAAGAAACGGCGGCTGTAAGTCCGAACGCTGATGCTGCATCGCTACATCTTCCGCGCACACTCGAACACTAACGTCTAGCTACCTGCTGCGATCTCCGCGCCCCCTCGCCCTCGGTCCGTCCATCATCCTCACTCTCCTGCAGGACGGTCAGCTGGCCTGCACGCGGCCACAACTTCACCACGCGCGATCACTATTGTTACTGCGCTACTGTGATGCTCCACACCCGCCCGCGCGGACGTGTCAAACCAGGGACACCGCCCGCCTAACGCGTTGTCTCTTGACCCCCTCGCCCCCAATGGACATTACTCTCGATCGTTGGGGCTCGCGGGCTGGACCGCAGTCTACTGTCAAGAAACCATTTTCGCTGTCTAGCTTTGACTTGACTGCGAGGCCACAGCTCCTGTTTGGGCACGCCTGAGCGGCTCAGCGCCTCGCTTGGGCGCTACCGTTCCACCCGCCGTAATCCCCGATAGCTCCACACTTCGGTCAGGTGGCCCCCTCGGTGAGTAACATCTATAATACACTTCTTCGTGATTTCGCTGACGGTCATTTGCAAAGCTCGGCGTGCTTCCCGATCGCGCCGCGCCAATGCAAATGCCCATTACATCCAGGCTCGCGCCGATGTTCATCAACTGCAAGATACCCGAACAATCGTAATCGTGATCATGAGAATGAAGATCCGGCCGGTGGCCGGCGTGTAGTGCAACGACACCGCATTGGTGGGACCGCTGAGCGTTGAAGCTTGAACTGAATACAAACGCGAATCTTCTGTCAGTCGATAGAGATGGTCAGCTTCGCATGCGTCGGTGGAACCATATCGATCCGTTTCAAGCTTCAGGCCTGGATGCGATACTCCAAGCCGAAAGGTGATAGTCGACCGCGCGTGATCTCAATACATCAGACATCTCAATGGCCGGTGTCCTTCACGGCGCGCAGTCTGACGCAAATGGATCATCGTGTGCGTTCATCGCTCGGCAGGATCATCATCATCATCATCATACGAATGCAGGATCTGCACGGAATTGCGTTGGTGACGTTCTCTTCTGTTTTTAAGGGTTGACCGAGAGCGGAGAGCGTAGATCAAAGGGGATGTGCAGCTTGAGGCTGGAGGTGCGCACACGAGGGGGCACGCGTCTGCACGTTCTGGGGAGACGCGCCACGCGATGTGTGGTTCTCGCGTGCGCTGGTGCGTCTTGCTGTGATGCTGTGTAGCGGTGTCAGTGTTAGGGTCTATGGGTGAGCTGATGCTGCGAGCCGATCAGGGTCATACGTGTCTGGATGATCGTGTGAGTTGCCCCCACCCCCCTCTATTTCGACTGGCGAGCTCGGAAGTGTGCGCCCTATTCCCTCGGGGTTCGTCCCGGAAAGCACGCATACATCTAGACGTTCGCGACTTTGCGGAGCCCGAGGCATCGCTCGTCGGTGATCTGAGCCCGGTGCATTTTCGAGTCTTGCAACTTGTCCCTGGTTTTTGATCGTCGAAGAAAATAAAATCAGATTGTAAGGTCGTCACGGTTACATGGTTACTCGCGTGTGTTGGGTGTGTGGGTCCGTGTGGAGTGTAATCATGATATGATATTGTATCTGATCGGGGTGTGGTTGCTCTCAAACGTTTGGAATATGCGATAGCAAGATGGGATAGCCGTATGTTCACTGATGAACACGCACGTAGTACTCGTAATTAAAGAACTTTACGCGGATGTGTTTCAGGATTCTATCAGGCTCAGGGCTGACATCGCGCTTCGGACGCAATAATGGGACATCACGCCATCTCACCACGTACGAATAAACGACTATTTTTTCTCAGTCTGGCGATCATCGACCTCTGGCGCAGTGAAGGAGCGCGTCAACCCACGAATAGGCAGCTGTGGCCCGATGGCCGAAGTTATCGGTGGCCAGCCTAGTTCCAGCTATGATGATCCCCGTTGCAATTGAATATTTGAATACGCCTTGAACGCCCGTCAGCGGGCCGAGCTCCATCCCCGGTACCTACGCCAGCATTTGAATTGCGGCTTATCTGCTGCACGCGGGAACGTAACATTCAAGCATTCAATTTCCATGCCAGGGACGCCGCCGTGCTAGTGGAAGTACCCTCTCCCGGTGCGCTCGTCCTGGCGCTCTGGGGACGTGTACTGCCAGTGTGGGGCGTTGGTCGAGGTTCGGGGCATGCGTGTGCTGGGGTGGCTAGGCTGGGGTAAGGGTGCGGGTGCGGGCCTTGGGTGGGGATCTGCGGGGCGTGCGGCGGAGGCGGAGGCTGTTTCCCCGCGCTTGGGCTCGGAGCGAGTAAGAAGCTCTGGATGCTGTAGTTATACCATAGCAGCGGTGCGGGGTCCGTTCGTGATCTTTATGCGCGGCAGATAACTTTAGTTTGGTCGCCAATTGGGATGGCCATTTTTGCAATGCGGTGCTGTGGAGAGGTCTCGCCTGGTCTTGTATTCAGTAATGACTTGGGGGTGCGGTGCGAATAGTTGGGTGCGTACACGGGTTGACTCGGGGTGACTTGGACTGTTTTTACGTTTGCGCGAGAGGCCCGGCGCTCGCTAACGGAAATTTTCAAATTTCCAAATGGCTGGTGCTGCCAGTGCTTCCTTATGGAGGATTTCCTGTTCGCTTCAAGTTGAGACAGCTCGCAGACACTGAATGTACTTTACAGACAATTATGCGCTGGTATGAGAGCGTTCACGTCTTGAATGTGCACCTTTGCAAGTAGCGAAATGGACGACGTGACAAGTCCAGAACGCCCACCGCTTGATTTGTGTGTGGTACGCCTGCGCTTAGTGGACTTTATGCCTACTGTGTTCAATGCGTTCTTTGGTAGCACAAGCTGACAGTGGAAGGTGAGCATGAAAACATTCTCGTGGATATGAAATGGTCAGTGCTTGACTACTCTGCCAGCAGCTTCTCCTATACGTGCAATGACTCACTGGAATTCAAGCGCCACTAGCATCAACTGCTTATTGGTCATTTGTCCGCGTCCAAAAACTTCGGACGCATCGCAGATATGTCTGCATAGTAGACCCAGTGATGCGTGTGCCGCTACACTCTTTGTGGCCGCGCAAGCTGACTGAAAAGGCAGGACTCGACTTGAAACTGCAGGATATGAGCCAATTCACCGGCTGCTCTGCAGAACTTGAAGACTCTGTGGTCGCTATGTGCCTCTGCCGCTTGTGGCCCCGCCGTGCCACACGCATATGATCCCGTCCGGCGGTACAGTTTCATGCATCAGCCGCTCCTCCATGCTTGCCTGTTTTGTCGACCGGCCTTAACTGCCCGTTGGAAGCGGACAAAGACCGCACTAATCGAGTAAAAAAAAAGAAACCCGTACCGCTTCTACACAGTTGCGCGGAGGATTGTCTTCGTACCGAACACTCATATACACACCACAAGGCTAGCCATTGTCACAGCGGCCATTCGTGTGATGCTCTCTCAGTACGCTATCGCTTTCTTGTCACAGCACGCTCTCTCACTCTCAGTCGCTTATAGTGAAATCGAGTCCGTGTGGCTGATTTTTCTTTCTCGGCGGCGCGTGCATATACGGCTTTGGGGGCCACTTGGGTGTCCACGCGTTTTTTTTGTTTGTCATGGGCCACTCGGATAGTTGTACGACCAGCAAGCTCTGCCGCATGCATGGCCAGTGGCCCAAGCCCACCACTCTCTACATATAAATGCACCCATCCTCCTCCACCCAGTACATCCACCACATCACAGTCTTCCACACATCACCCCTCTCAACATGCCCGCAAACGCGAACGAGATGTCCATCCCCATGCAGTCGTACGCGCCGGTTCGGGACGGGGGCGCGCGCAGCCACTTTAGCGACAACAAGCTCCTCCAGCGCATCACATTCTCCGAGCCGAGTCGCACCTCCGGCGGCGTGCCCCTGCGCAACCTCGGCCTCCCGCAGTTCCACCCCGAGCCGCAGGTGGCGGGCGCGTTATCTGCGCCGTTTGACAAGCCGGGCGTCGTGGAGAGCGCGATACGGGTGTACGTGCAGGTGAGCTTTGGATGACGATGTTTGTCTTTCTCTGCCGTGGAGGTGTTCTGATTAGTTTGGGGGACGGTGGTGTTTTGTAGTGGCCGGGGTATGAGGAGCATGTCTTTGAAGCGATCTCTCTGTTCAGGCGCGAGAGGGATTTCCGCCCGATCACGCGCCAGGAGCTCGCCGTCGAGGTCGCCGCTCTCGTGAAGCGTCACATAGACGTACGTCACCTTCTCCCCCACCCTCCATCCCTACCCCGACACCACCGCACCTTTCCTTTGCTCACGCACCCCCCACACAGACGCTCAAATACGCCGACCCGGCCACCTCGCCGAGCGCCGCCTACGCGCGGTACGCACTCGAGAACCTGCACTCGGCGCCGGGCGAGCGCCTCACGGAGAAGCATCTGAGGCTGACTGGCCTGCGGTACCAGACGGAGGACGTGTTCGTGCCGGAGATCGTTGTCTGGCACGATGGGGAAGGACAGCCCTGTGTGTTTGATGCTTTTCGTTTGGAGGGCAGTCAAGAGGATTGAGTCGTTACGGTGGGCGTGAGTGTCGTGGAACAGTGCTGTTATGGATTGTGAGCGATATTCCAGGATGATTGTATTGTATAGACGGATCGGATTATCATGTAGTTTTGACTGCTCGAAGCGGTATCTGAGAGGAAAAGAATAGGTTTGATGTGTCGACCCACATTCTGCTACCATGGAATATGTTTCAGCAACCTGCTCGAATCGACCGACGTCGGCTGTTCTGCTATATGTCTCTCTCTTGCACTGCAACTAATCAGCCTCTCGCGCCACCTTTCTGTGTCTTCTCCCCCACACCTTCCCAATAGTGTGATTATATAGCGTTCTGATTTCTCCGCTATGTAGTGAAACGAGCGATGTTAGACAGACGACAGACAGTCCATTCGCGAGTACACGAACGCATTCATATGACGGCCTGCGCGCTCTATAAACTCGAGCCGACTCATCTTTACTTATAGGTCGTGTTCACATACGTTCATTTCATTTTTGCTCCTTGTGTCACTGTGGAGTCTTACGCTACATATCCAAAGAAATCGCTGTCTCTATCGTTATTGTGATATCCGAGTCCTTCGAGGATTTCGAGTGCTCCAAACCCTGCTTCGAGCACTGCACCATGCTCTCCAGTCCTTCACCCCATCCCATCTCGAAAGTCCAGTTGAACTCACCCTCCCCCAACATGCTGGTCCAATCCCCGAGGACCGCTCCGAACCTATCACACCATTCTTGTCCTCCACCCTTTTCTTCCCTGAGCACCGAAACCACTAGAATACGATGACAGATAGAGCGCACGACCATACTTCCGGCCGATGAGAATGATGAATCTACGAAAGCGAAGGAAACGCATGATGGGCAGGCCGGAACGCTGAGAGAAGCGTATACAACCAGTCGCAATGGTAAATCAGAACATACGAACCAGATATTGTAGCATACGAAAACAAGGCGGTCCATTCACGATGCTACACGGGAGCAAAAGGTCCAGCCGTGGTAGTAGATGAGTGCACGGGGACCGGCCAGAGCAGTAAAGCGGAGCGATAGCAAACCAAAGCAATCAGACAAGACGCCATAGCGAGAATCTATAAGTTCAGTTGACACACGCAGAGAGAATCAGGTGTATCCGACGCTGCTATGGTTCAGAAAGCCAAGGTTTTGTGATTTTTCAGCGGCAGATGGCAATGAAGGGACGACAACGTTCGTCGACGGAACCAGGAATGTTGAGCCAAAAGCGATACATCTCCAGCATGGTGGCCAGCAGGCCTGGTGGGTGCTTGATTCCCAGAGGCGTCAAGAGCCTTCGGCCAGCGAGAGAAGCCTCCGTCCAATGAAACGCGGAGACAATGGAAACGAGTTGGCGAAGAGGCCGCGAAAGAAGAAGCCACACCGAGATGAGACGAAAGGCTTTACAGATACATGGAGGTCGATCGCTGTAAGACGTGCACAGCTAATGGCGGCACCAAGTTTCAACGCGGTCACGCCTGATCAGGCGCATTCGAGTGAATTCACTGCGTGATCGTGTCTCGTCCTCCAGAATATCTACCTGTCTGCGGTCCGCATTGGTCATACATTGTTCCATTGATACAATTATCTCTCCAGTATGGCTCAGTCGTGTAAATATGCTTCATGTAAGGGAATTGTGCATGAGCATGGACGCAGAATGTGTCGAGTTGGTACTCACTTCGCTGGTGAGGCTGAAACATCGTTCCTGACCCAGGTACTATTGAGTCACCATTGCCAACGAAAACATTGAGCTAAAGGTAGGCGCAAATCCATGTGCAATTCCGGATAGCAGACTGATAAGGAATACATACATGTATAGCATCGCCCCAGACGACTTCGGGGTAACCTTGCACCCACGCCTCTACGTATAAAAGAGACGGAATACTTCGCAGGCACTCTTGAGATGAAAACCAAAGCCGTGCACAGGTCCAATCATGACGCTTGATATTGTAAGCGGACTATTGTACAAAAATCATGGCACCTTCATGGCCAATGGTAAGCATCGGTTTTGTGAGACATGCACCGAGGTGAGTTCCACTTATCCTGACAAAACCAATGACGTCTTCTTCATTACTCTGCATTCATCCCACTATATTTGTTGTGAAGGACCAATGACAGGCAGGAGTTGACGCATTTTCAGCCTATATGAAGGCCCCGCTGGACGTTCACCATCTCCTCAGTCTCGACTAAACACCTTCACACAATCGACATGTCTGTGAGTGCCATTCACAGCATATCACTCTTCGAATTGGAATTGACACGGACGGACCATTCATCCAGGACAAAGCTACCTGCGCTAACGTTCAAGCCAACGGCGGCTCCTGCACCTACCCAGCGTGCGGCTGTGCAGAGCCCCCGAAAAACAAGTAAATGCACCCGACGATGCACCGTCCGTAGTAATAGGTCAGTTAATTGACGCTGCAATGACATGAGGTGTTAATTTGTGCCTATGCCAATTGCCAGCCATACGCCGGATTCCGATGGAGATTCTCTTGATGAATCGGGAAGATGGACGGCGGTAATTTTACGAGAGGCGACTTCACGGCTTGTACATTGTGATCCGTTCCGTGTTGCTAAACGGCATTGGGCATATTGAGCACACTCAGAGGGATAATTGAGTCTCACGCTAGCAATAGAGCGACGAAAAAGGGACGTAAGCTGACGGATGCGTGCAAGACGTCGAACACACAACGCGCGGTGTGAAAAGCATGGCTGCAGGTCGACAGGCTTGGACATGCATATGCAATAAGGCATCAGAGGTTATCAAACGGAGAGCACTTGCTCGTACAAATGTCCGAGAGCCTACGTTGTGTTTACATCAGCATGAGTGGACCATGTCTAGATAACCGGACTCACTTACCGATAACCAGTTGTAAACATCGCAGGAAGGCGTTCCCAAGGGTTCTGGTGCTCATTTCGCCCTTTTCGAGTAGAATCAACATCGAGCAGAATTCGTAGAAGAAGTTATCATTTATGCATTATCCAACATGCATTGCCGACCAGTGCATTTGTATGATAGCCAGAAGTATCTTCCTCGCAGTATGGTTCGTTAACCAGGCTTTCAAGCTCGCCTTCGTACCTCGCTTGCTTGGCCATTGGCATCGCAGTGACGGGTTGCAACTTGCGAGGTAGGATATGAAGTTGGGAGGTCGGGAGGATGTGTCACGTGATATCATTGCACATTGCCAGAGCTACGCAAGACTCAAGAGCTACGGGCTCTTTCCTCTCGTCTCATCGACCAACTCGCTCTCGCGCTGACGCCTTCTTACTTTGTACCTACGCTATTTGGCCATGTTTTCTGAGCCTCTGAGGCACTTCTCGTTAAGGAGAACAAGTGTGTTGGTGGGAAGCCATGTGTGCAACGTCTCTGCAAGGAATATGCCACTGTCAGCCTGGGACCACAATCTCTGTGCTCCGATGCTTGCAACGATCGGCGCGCAGATGTCTACTTCGGCCAAACCGACTGTTTTCGAAAACGATATCATCGTTGTACGCGGATTGGTACAATCAGTAAGCACATGCTGTTGCCAGGTGAACCGAGGGTATTGCTAATTCGAGAAGGAGCGCGACCAGAAGGTCAGGGAAGTACGGTTCAATAAGAAGCTGGTATGCGCCGACAATATACTCATTGACTCCTGTGATCTCATTTGCCAATGCTAGCTGGAAGGGATGGCACGGGTACAAAAGGCGGGGAAGCGGTCAAGGGTGTATGAGTTGCGAAAATTGAATAAAAAGGTCGAACTCTTCCTGTCAGTCCAATCTCCTCGTTCACAATCGCTCTCTAGAAACTCACATTGTTAATTCTTCGTGGTCAGGGGAAGAGCCATACAATCTCCCCAGGAAAGCGAGAAGTATAGATGGGAAGCTAAGAAGCATACAGAACTAATGCATGCTATAGCTGTGCGTACTTGTATTGCCATTGTGGCGTAACTTCTTCACCTTGGCATTGCAGCCTCTACATCCAGGTTTTTACGCGAATACCGCCTTTAAGCGGAGGATAGAACAGGAAAGCAGGTTGATATCCATCCCATTAGTACAAGCAGCCATCGCATCGCTCTCGGACGCACTTGGACCACTTGATGAGGAGGGCACATTGGAGCGCGCGGCTCAGGAACAACTCATGCGGTCGAAAATGCTCAATTCGGACATTGAAAATGTAATATTGGTGCTCAAGACAGGCCTTCCGTCCTTGTCGTCCACATATAGGCTCCGCAAACTCCCACCCGCCGCAAGAGCCATGATGGAAAAGCAGTATGAATCAGCCGCTATCGCAGCACGCGACGAGTCGGTGGACACGACAGAGTGCATTGCGGTGTCTGGCAAGACGGAGGGTGAAGGTGATCTCGACGCAGACGATGGTCAGCATGCTGGACCCGCTGGAGAAGACCAGCGAGACGACACAGGAGAGAGGACAGAACGTGATGGCCAAGACGCCCAAGCATCACGAGAAGTTAGCAAGGCAACGCCCGCGGATCGCGAGTAGGTCACCATTCCAATGATGTCCACGGAGCGAAAGGCCATGGAAAGAGAGGAGAGGCGCATCCCGTCTAGCTCCAGACATCGTGGCGGCCAATAGATCAATAACAAGAAGTCGCGGGAGAGATTGACGCAACCTATCGTGTGTCTTTGGGGGTGGGGGAGGAGGTGTTGGAAATTTGATCACCGTGCAATCAATACTGTGTAGACTTGCGTCACATATAGTTGGCGAACATGTTTTGTTCTCGATGCACAAGTTTGGCTGTCTCAATTTCCTTTGGATGTTGCAAGATATGGTGAGTCCATGATTTTCTCGCCCAACGATCCATGTCCGTATCCGAGATGCGCTGCCAATTCCGAGTACGAACTTCCCTGTGGCCGACTGCTTTGGCATATCATGAACGCGATGATCAAAAGTGATTAATATTGACTGCTCTCAGACTCCACGTGTTCATACTCTCATTGCATGCAGACGACGCACCGACTTAAACGGTATAACAAACAAGACAGTGACGTTTTAATAAGTTGAGCCTACCCATGAGAGGTAATCGCTGCAGGCATTAATGATCTCTAGCAGCCGGTTCAGATGAATCCAGGGAACCGTGTAACTACCATGTGTGCCGAAGAAAAATATGGCATACGAGGCCTTGGCCCTTAATTACAACTGACGAAACAATATCACATACAAGCAGACAGTAATGCAGCGATGGTTCCAGAATAGCAGAGTCGAATCGAGCATATCTACACCTGTTACGCACATCTGACCGACGATGTAGCATTTCTGCGCACAAATAAACTCGTTCTGATCCACCGTGTCCTGGATGCGATTGAACCATGCTCCATGAACTTCATGCTGTTTCTGCAAGGGATATTCGGCACTAGGCAGCCAGCGGGACATGTAAGAGCTTCGGCAAATTGATTGACGAAGCCAATATCACCGTATGCCGGCAACCACTGAGCACCCTGACCTACTTCTAAGGCGAAACTGTGAATCTTGTACATGTCGAGCAAATATTCGCCAGTGTGATACATGTCCTCTTTCATTCCATCCTCGCTGGAGAGTTCATATGTTGATGAGCCTGGTGGACTCCAAAGCTCGATCGCATTGCCGAAATGGATCACACAGTGCTTGGTGTTCGTTAAAAGCGGCGCGGCAGTACCTGTGGTAGGGTGGACGGCCATTCGGTAAGATGACCTCGAGACGCATACGTCGGAGATACTTCGGCCCAGATATTCCAGGTAGTAAACACTCTTTCACCTGATGAACGACAGGGAACCCTAGGTAGCAGTGTAAAAACCCACCTGAATGCCACGCCATTGGCGTGCATGAAAGCAAGATCCTGGAAACATGCATGAGCTTGGGATAGACATTGCCCAGCGTATGGATACTCGCCTCCGGAAATTGTTCGTCAAATTCCAAAGAGTCGCCGATGCAACTAAAATCCATTGTGTTCAGTTATAGATCGGGGAGCATGATGTGGGATATGCTTTGGTCTTCTTCATCCGTGAAGGCATCGAGGAGGGAGAATGCAGTGGTTAGTGGATGGGATCTTTTAGATGGGGAGGAGAACAGCTATACGACGGGCAGACGTGTGTCATCTGCAAAAACACCGTCATGCCGTCCGATAAACTAGTGGCCTTGATCATATGAATGCTTCCTGCATTTGTTACAACGAATGAGCCGTCAAAGATGATCGATATATGAGCTGAGTCTTATGAAAAAGTGCTGCGGCGCTTTTGCAGTCCTGACAATTCTGCGGAGCTTCACCTGTCCGAGTCTTCTCTCAGGAAGACGTTCAACTTCAGGGCGATAGCAAGGGCCCACTGAAAGGTATCCTCATGAGTAGAAGTCCCCCCCCCCCCGGTTCCTCCAAACGATCTTGTATGGACGAAGAGAGGATCTGAACATGTTGGAAGGAGAGTGCGCGCGGCACTCAGGCACGCTCTTGTCGCAAGCGGGGAGCAGTGGCCGGGTCGGACGATCGTAGCGACGTGCCCTAGCAACGGGTGGGCGTCGTACGATAGGTGATCTGAGGGCAGCACTAGTTAATAAATAATGGACCTCGAGATGTACATACCTTGATACTTCGACTACGTCTAAACGAGGTTCCTGGACATCGGATTCATCTTCGCTGTGCTTAGACCGGGAAATTCCAAGAGAACATCGGACTTGACTTGAGATCACCCCAACATTCCATGACGGTAGCAGCGTTGAGACAGCAATATGTCGTGTTCAGGAGCACACATCATAGAATATCAGGTGCGCGGAGTCCGAGGAGTGGTACGGACAAACATGTCCGCCTGGCATCTGCCCCAGAGCGGAAAACCTCAACCTCATACTAGTGTATGTTGGAAGCTGGTCGCACTTTGGCATGAATGAATGCTAGGAAACGTGCAAATGAGGCTTCTCCAAGTTTACCCAAAAATAACCACACAATGGGAGAGTCTGGATCTTTCGACTCGAATCGAGTGCCTTTTCCTGTGGCAATAAGGATCGATGCTTTCTTCCTGTAAGTCCCAGTTCTGCAGAAATGGAACTGCCGATTGTGACAGAGATTAATCCGTTCTGTAAAAGATTAATTACCAAGTCGGACTTACGCGGATATTATCCATTATCCAGTGAAAGAACGGGTTGATGTCTCCCGTTTCTGCTCCTTCCTTTCTCTTTCTGCCTATTGTTTGCATCGCTCGAGACACGCTCTTGGCGAATCCAGTAGAATCAGCGCATCGAGGTCACGGAACAGGCGAATCTGATGGCGCTTCGCCTTCATCCCCATTTGTAACAAGCGGACCGCATCCTTGTCAACGCAAAAGCCGACTCGCAAATCTCGCATTCTTCACTCTCCGTTCCGCGACGCAATATTCTGCTCAGCGACCCTTGTCGTACGAACACTATCTTATCTCGGTGGTTCGTGCGTTGAGGCCGACCGTCGACCGAACCCGTGAGATCGTCGCCCAGAGGCGGCTCATGGATGGCAGTACCGGACGCAGAGACGTTAGAGCTCGGTGGATGCAGACAAAGAATGCGGATGATATCGCCGGCGTCCGCTGGTGGCATCGTAAGTCATCTGGACGCATTGGCATCACGGCGCTCGCAGTATCTTCGCCGCGGCGGCTTCTCATATCGCTCCGTTACCGTCAGCGCACACGGAATGGCGATCCGATGTTGATATGGCATGCCGACGGGTAGAAGAACAAGCGCGGCACTTTAGCAAGCATGACGGCCTTCGCATATAAAAAAGTCACGGTCGTGGAAGACCTGGGAGGACAGTGTTCACACCACCACCACGCCGACTCAGAGATTCAGACTAACAAAATGTCGACCGGGCTCGAGTTTAAGGGCTATGCTATGACTGGTACGTGCACACAACACACCCGACACGTCAAAAGAGTTCATTCGTGTCTCGCGCCCTTGGCGGTTGTGTTCCGACAGATCCTGATCAGTACAGCGCGCTGAGCCTGATTTCGTACCAGCCAAAGACGTTCCAGGAGGATGATGTCGAGATCGCCATAACCCACTGCGGTGTCTGCGGCTCGGACGTGCACACCCTCTCGCAGGGCTGGGGCAACAGCCGGCTGCCCCTGGTCGTCGGGCATGAGATCATTGGGAAGGTCACACGCGTGGGCTCGAAGGTCAAGGACTTCAAGGTTGGCGACCGCGCCGGCGTGGGCGCACAAATTGGCAGCTGCATGGACTGTAAGCGCTGCAAGACCGATAACGAAAACTACTGTCTCAAGATGATCGACACATACGTGCGTGATCCCGTCCCGACGCTTAGTAGAACACGCTTATCGACCTTTGCACGCAGAATGACGTCTACCCTGATGGTGTCATCGCGCAGGGAGGCTATTCCACTGGGATCCGCGCACATCAGCGGTTCGTGTTCAAGATCCCGGACGCCATCGAGTCCAGGCATGCTGCGTCGATGTTCTGCGCGGGCCTGACCGTGTACTCCCCGTTGAAGTACAATGGCTGTGGACCCGGGAAGAAAGTTGGGGTCCTGGGCATTGGTGGCCTAGGGCATTATGCTGTTCTCTTTGCGAAGGCGATGGGTGCAGAGGTGTACGCGTTCACTCACAGCGAAAGTAAGTTGGAGGATGCGAAGAAGATGGGTGCGGATCACGTGATCAGCACGCACAATGATGTACGTAACTCTTTCTCATTTGCTTTGTTTTGGCCACTGACTCTCGAGCACGATCACGTAGGACTTTCACAAGCCTCTCGAGGGCGAGCTAGATATCCTCATCTCCACGGCGGACGTCTTCCGCGAGGACCGGCCATTCAAGAGCTACCTCTCGATGCTCTTCGTGCATGGCAAGTTCATCAACGTCGGTCTGCCCAACAGAGACAACCCCCTGCCGCGCATGCACGCATTCGACCTGCAGCCGAACGGCGTCTTCATCGGTGGCTCACACATCGGCAACAAGCTGGAGTGTCAGGAAATGCTGGAGCTCGCGGCGGAGAAAGGCATCAAGCCGTGGATCGAGGAGCTTCCGATGAGCCAGGCTAAAGCGGCGATTGAGGGCGTAAAGTCCGGGAAGGTGCGCTATCGGTACGTCCTCACTCAGGATATCGCCCCAGTTTCGTAAGCGGTGGTTGGCTCTCGATTAACACCTTGCAAAATCTGTGCTATTGATATCCACTGTGTTTCTGCCGGTTCTGAGCAGGCTAGTATATGTTCTGCCACCCTCGTAGCATAGCGTGTATCTAGCGTATCGTACGGATAGCTAACGATGCAACAAGATGGCAGAGTCTGCATGATCTACACGACCCCGTACACACTCACTACAATTTTGAACGCCAGAGCTCATATGAAAGCAATGGCTTTCCGATCGCAGCCAACGCACGACCAGCGGCGCTTCACCATCCATACTCCAATGAAGTATCCCATCATCGTTCAAGTTGGTACTCTGAAGGGAAAGGCTTGGCTCTTCGTTCGCTATATCACATCTGCCCAGCCCATAGGCGTTCTGTATTGATTTGGAATTGTATTCAAACATCCTGAAGATCCGGAGCAACAGGGAGAAGGTCGCATACACGCTCCAGAGGTCGGGAATTCCTCTGGGCGAGCAGTGGCGTATGTCATCTCATGACACAGCACTGTCATCCACTACTAGCTGTGGATGATTTTACGCTTTCCGTTAGCGGTCAGCAGCCGCCCTGCTGCCACTGACAGGTGAGTCTGACGCCCACGGTTTTGTAAATGCTGCTTGCTCTTATACCGGTCCGCCGCAGACATGACTCCGATGTTTTTATAAAAAGCGACCTCTTACGAGAACAGGGAACACGATAGAGTCACTATTGGCGAAAATCTGTCAGCTGTAGTTTCGGAATCGACGAGAACGGCGGTCCCCGCCTGATCATGATTGAACGAGAGCGGCAACTTCCCTGTCGCAAGTTATCTATGTCCACCTTCCTTCCGGCATACGCGCAAATTCTTGCTCTGCATCCGCAGACTCTCCGCATCTGCGCCCGCCCAAACAGCTGTTTCCCCGGCGAAACGTGCCTTTGGACGAGCCTGGTGACACTTGGAGCACTGTATGCATTGACGCCATCCACTTGCTGAACATTCTACGCGACCAATACATTCATATCCGCTATCCTCTTTCTTTCTGAGGACTCAATTTACTTTCTATCTAGGCAGCGGCAGGAATCCCGGACCTAGCGGGTTCTAGTACATCTCGGTGCTCTTCCGGATGGCGGAGGTGAGCCTGACTATCACGATATGAGCATCGCTTCCCTTTCGAGGAGAGTGGGCTGAAGATCATTGCAGTATAATTATCAGACGGTGCGAGCTCCCGTGGTTCGCACAGGCCCTGCTCCTGAACAGCTGAAAGTTTGGCGTTCCACGCGGGTCGGAAATGAAGACGGGATCCGTGATCTTGTGATATGATCAGCCTTGAAGCCCGTCTCCAGCTGCTCTAGCCTCAGAATCTCGTCAGGCCGCTCTCCCGGTCGTCCTCAAGTCTCCTCTAGCGCTGGATGCTTGCCACGTGGGTTCCCATTCCAGTCTCCGGTGGCGGGGGAATTCAGACCATCAGGCGATGAGGGCTTTTGGCTGTTCGTCACGAATGCTGGAGAACTACCGAATGCGCTGCACGACCCATCGTGCGACACATGTGTGCTATCGGATAAGCCTCTTCGTGGAGAAATTTCCCTGGACTCTGCCATCACTTGCAGATGGAAGTTCTGGGATGCATTGCAGGTCGTCAACTTATTTTAAGACGGCCTTCCTGGAGATGAACGGGCCTTGCGGACTTTCCCCCCCTCTTACTCGCCTCGCAGCTCTATCTCACATCGAGGTTTGAAATGGACTCCGGTGAACCAGTCGTGGAGTCGCTCGCGCGCTTACCAGACGAGGACGCAGTCCTGGGCACCCGCGCCGTCGCGTTTCCCGACGACCATGGGGAGATCATCGAGGAAAAGCTGCAACATTGGCACGGGCGGCCCAGGGGAGTGGAAATGAAACGTGAGATGACCAAGGAAGACAAGGAGCTCGCCGCCGCCGGCTATGAGCATCTCGACGAGCAGAAGATGAAGAAAGGCAGCGACCAGCTGGATGATGTCGACATCTTCGAGCACCAACTGTCATTCCATGAGCTCGGTTCTGCGCTCGACACCACTTTCGACTCAAAGGATCCTGGTCAGTCTTATGGTCTTTCTACTGAAGAAGCGAAGGCGCGGTTAGCACGCGATGGGCCCAATGTTCTCACTCCTCCCAAGAAGAAGTCGGCTTTGCGGATGGTATGTCATGTCCACGCTCGTTCACATCGGTAGTTATTGACGTCCTTCTCAGTATATCGATCTACTTTTGACAATGTTCAACATCTTGCTTATCTTTGCCGGCGTTCTCGAGTACATCTTGCTCGGTATTGACTTTAAGGTAAGGCCGGATCGTGTAAGCTACAACAGGCAGCAGCTGACCCGGTGGTCCTTAGGACAACTTTGCCAATACATACCTCGGCGGAATATTGATTGCGGTTGCCTTCCTCAATGCCTTCATCGAGTTCTTCCAACTGCAGAAGTCCGAGGCGATTCTGGCCTCATTCTTGGCCATGATCCCGCCGTCGTGCCATGTCGTTCGTGATGGTGCAATTACACAGGTGCCTGCCGCTGATCTCGTCAAAGGCGACATCGTGTTGCTTGTGAGTCTTCCAGGCCCTCCAGTCGTTAACCGGTGCGCCATCTGACTGCCGGGCGGTCCTAGCGAACGGGAGATAAAACACCTGCCGACCTTATTCTCTTCGCCGCCACGGACCTGAAGGTTGACAATAGCAATCTGACCGGCGAATCCGAAGCCCAGGAGCGGCTCGAGAAGCCGGAAGGAAGCAAGGCGAGGCCGGTGGAGGCGGAGAATTTGGTAAGCATCCCTTGCCCTTCCGATTTCCACAGACGCTTACCGTTGAATAGGTTTTCAACTCGACTCTGATTGTTAATGGCGAAGGATGGGGAGGTGAAAACCTAGTACACAGTATGGTTATCGTTCGTCCGGACTGATCATCCTTCCTATAGTCGTTGTGAGGACAGGCGACCACACTTTGATCGGTGCGCATTTACGTTGCGTGTTTTCGAATAAGTGACCAAAACCTGCTATAGGTCAGATTGCCGCCCTTACCGGAGGCGAGATGGGCAACAAGAGTCCTCTCGCTGTCGAGATGTAAGCCTGTTCGCTGCAAATAGTGACTTGGATCGTTGTATTAACGGTCGCCTGCGTAGTGCAAGATTCGTCATGATGGTCTCCGGAATCGCAATCATCTTCGCTGTCGTGTTCTTCGTCGTAGGCATTACGACCGTGTACAAAGGCAAGGGCGCGGAAACGGTAACCTTTGCCGTCTCCATTCTTGTGGCTTTCGTTCCTGAGGGGTTGCCTTCTGTCGTGACGCTATTGTAAGTCGATCGCGTTTTGATAAGCGCGACATGATGGCTGATGACAATCGACAGGCTGTCGATTGCTGCCAAGCGGATGGCCGCGCAGAATGTGCTAGTGAAGGATCTGCAGGGTGTCGAGACGCTAGGTCAGTGCATGTTATCTTAAGACATCGCACCGGTGACTGACTCGTATTGTAGGCTCGGTGAGGTGTACCACAACGCAGGCAAAACCTCGTCGCTAACGCGGTTCACAGCTTACTCTCCTCGCTACAGACAAGACTGGCACCTTGACCAGGAATCAAATGACGGTATGTTCGACTTCGCTGTACCGTTTCTCTGCGAGGAAGTAATCCCATGTCTCCTCCAGGTCACCAACCTCTGGAGCGGGGAGAAAATGTACACCGCCTTCCAATCCAATAACGACTCTGAGACAACGGAGGCGTTCTCCATTAATGCACCTGGAATGCATGAGATGGTGGATATCGCCGCGCTGAACTCCCGAGTCAAGTTCGACAAAACAGATGTGCCGTTCGATCAGCGCACAATCCTGGGCGACGCCACGGAGACCGGCTTGACGCGCTTCGCCGGCCGTTACATCCCCGACTATGATGCGCTCCATAAGCAACACCCGAAGGTGTTTGAGATTCCGTTCAACTCTTCGAACAAGTGGGCATTGGTGATTGTAAGTGATTGTCGCGTCAACCGCTGGGTCGTGCTTATTGGGTACGGTCGATAGCTCCACAAACCGCACGCCGCTGGCCCCCTCACTCTGTATATCAAAGGCGCTCCAGAACGTGTGTTAGCCAAGTGCTCTACCTACTTGAAAGACGGAAGCATTGAGCCGATAACGGACGACTTCAAGAACGCCTACGATGAGGCATATAACGTATGTCGTCCCGATCATTTGGCCGGGACTATTGTTGACCTGCGATCGCAGTACATGGCGTCAAGAGGTCATCGTGTCATTGCCTGCGCTCAGAAGCTTCTTCCTGCAGACCAGTACGACTATTCGTACCAATTCTCAAAGAACGACGGCCAATATCCGAGCTCGGAGTACTGTTTCTGCGGCTTGATCTCCTTGGAAGACCCTCCCAAGCATGGTGTCCGGGAAGCAATCGGAACGCTTCGTCTTGCAGGCATCAAGGTCATGATGGTCACAGGTATTTATCGAACGAACGTAAATGAGATACCCGCTGATGTGACTGGAAATAGGCGACCATCCGAAGACGGCAGAAGCGATCGCTCGCAAGATCAATCTCATCTTGGGTGATACCAAGGAGACCTTGAGTGCGAAGACTGGTCGTCCAATAGAAGAGATATACGAAGATGAGGTCGATGCGGTAGTGGTTCACGGTGATGAAATCGACGGACTGCAAGGCTGGCAGTGGGATCAGAGTGGGTGATTTTCTTACCATGTCTGTGCCTTTCTGAGCTGTTTGCTAGTTTTTGCCAAGAAGGAGATCGTTTTTGCACGTACCTCTCCTCAACATAAGCTAGAAATTGGTCAGTCACGGCAGCTCTTGCATCTCGACTACCAATCTCCAACTGTTTTTCACAGTCAAACATGCTCAGGCTCTCGGCCACATTGTCGGAGTGTAAGTACATAGACATGCATCGTACCGCAACAATCTAACAATGTACTTCGCAGTACTGGCGACGGTGTAAATGACTCTCCGGCTCTAAAGAGGGTACGTAAGAGCATCCTCGCAACATTCTCACGCAATTGACGTCCATGAAACAGGCTGATCTCGGCATTGCCATGAACGTATCCGGTTCGGATGTATCAAAGGAGGCTGCGAACATGATTTTGTTGGGTGAGTGCAGTGTATTCAAAGTCTGGCATTACGACTGACATAGTTGGGTAGACGACAATTTCGCGTCTACAGTCAGTAAGTAATAATGCTACCTCTCTTGTAAATGATCTTGCTGCTGAACCATGTCGTAGAGGGCGTAGCTGAGGGTCGCCAGATTTTCGTGAATTTGAAGCGATCTATCCAGTACGTATCGCTGACCGAGTCTTCAGACAACAACTGTTGACAAGCATATTAGGTACACGATCTCGCATAGTACCCCTGAGGTCATCCCCCAGCTGCTATGTAAGTGCTTGACTGAGCTCGTCATCACAGCCGCTTATCACCGTACCTTAGACGTCGTTGGGCCGATCCCTCTTCCTTTATCTGCCATCCTCATTCTGGTAATCGGTGCGTGTGACTATCTGACAATATGTTTTACCGCAATGGCCTAACAACTACTCTCTGCAGATCTCGGTTTCGAGCTATTCGTCGCGGTCAGCATATGCCCTACTGCCGCTTTATAATACACTGACGTTCGCGTTCCTTAGCTTTCCTTCGCTTGGGATAAGCCCGAAACGAAGGATGGTCTGATGCGCATGGCGCCGCGCAAGCCTGTGAACGAGCGTTCTATCATGTCGCTCAAGAAGCGTGCTCTGAAACGCACTAAGACGTTACGTCGGGACACGGAGACTCAGGAGGTCATTCAACCAAGCAAAATCTCGGCATGGGCCTCCAGTGTCAAGGCGCCCTTCCAGCGGCAATGGTGGGAGGACGCAATGGAAAGGACCGATGACGAGGGCCTGGTGGATAGCAAGCTGTTGAGCTACTCCTACTTGGAGGCTGGTGTGATAGAGATGATCGGAGCGTGAGTCAAATTGTTGTTCAGTAGACGCTTCACATCGGATCTGATGAGTGCATCACGCGCACAGACTGGTTGCATACTTTGTGGTGTTCTATAAGAACGGGTTCTCACCATCTGACTTGAGGGACGCACAATCCTCATCAACCGGTGTGTCTTCCCTTGCTTTGAGAGTGTATCAGAATGCTCAATAACACGTTTATTGGTAAATAGCATATTTCACCAAGTCTAGTCCGGATTTCATGAATGGCAGAGGACAGCTCATTGACGCTGCCCAGCAAGTTGAGGCCCTCGCGAAAGCTCAATCTATTGGTATGCACAAGAACACGTTTTCGCCACTCAAAGTGCTGATTCTCGTATCAGTGTACCTTTCCATCTTCATCATACAGTGCTTCAATGTGTATGCTGTCAAGGCTCGCTTCTCCTTCCCCTTCGGGCGCTCCATCATCGGTAATTACTACAACTTCCTCGGCATACTTGGTGGCGCGTGCCTTGGCATCTTCATCATCTACACGCCTCCTCTGCACGTCGTCTTCGGTGGCACGTATCATTTGAGTCCGCTGTACTGGCTCATTCCGATGGCGTTTGGCTGTGTGCTGCTGCTATGGGCAAGTATACGGGTGCTATTGCTCAGGAAAGGGATCGAGCAGAGCAGAGTGAAGGACATCAAGGGCTTGATGATGTGTAAGTCTACGATCGCTAGCCAATCCAGGTTCGTGCTGAATAATGATTTGCTCTACAGTCCCGACAATGCGCACATTGAGCATGCGCTCCAAGCATTGACCCCGTACACAGCAAGCGGTGTTTTAGTAGTACGCGCTGCTAGTCTACTTACGACTGTGCTGTTTGCATGACACAACGGTTCATAACACGGCCATGCTGTATGATTATGAACGATTCTATCATCATCATTATACCTCACGCATTCACGTCCCTCATGTATTGTACAATAGCAATTGATGCTGGTTAACAGACACACCGAGTCGACTGCTGTGAGAATTGGACAGCTAACGGCGGCATCAATTTTCAATGCGCTTATGCCTGATTAGACGGCGTGTACAAGTATATTCATGCGACCATGTCTCGCCCTCCAAAAAGACTTACCTGCCTGTGCGGTTGACATTCGCCTTACATTGCTCCATCGTTACGGTTAGTTCTTCAGTATGGTTCATGCGTGCCAGTATGCTTCATGCAGTGAGGGAATTGTATATGAGCATGGACGCGGAATGTGTCTAGTTGGTACTCACTTTGCTAGTGAGGCTAAGACATCGTTCCTGACCCGGGCACTATTCAATAACCATTGCCAACGAAAGCATTGAAGCTAGAAGGGGACGCGGATCCATTTATAATTCCGGATATCCGACTGATCAGGAATATACGCATGTTATAGCATCGCTCCAGATGACTTCGGGTAACCTTGCACCCACGCCTCCACGTATAAAAGACACGGAACACTTCGGAGGCACTCTTGAGACGAAGATCAAAGCCGTGCGCAGGTCTAATCATGATGCTTGAGATGCTAAGCAGATTATTGGCACAAGAGTCATAGCACCTTCATGGCCAATGTTAAGCGTCGGTTTTGTGAGAGAATCACCGAGGGCAGTTCCACTTATTCTGAAAAAACCAATGATATCTTCTTCATTCCTCTGCATTCATCCCACTGTTGAAGGGCCAATGACAGGCAGAAGTTGACGCCGTCGCAGCCTATATGAAGGTCCTGCTCGACGTAGACCATCTCCTCAGTCTCGAATACATACCTTCAAACAATCGACATGTCTGTGAGCGCCATTCACAGCACTATCACTCCTTGAGGTTTAAATTGACACGGGCGGACCATTCATCCAGGACAAAGCTACCTGCGCTAACGTTCAAGCCAACGGCGGCTCTTGCACCTACCCAACATGCGGCTGCGCAGAGCCCCCGAAGAACAAGTAAATGCGCCCGACGATGCGCCGTCCGTTGTCATAGGTGAGTTTAAGAGATGCTGCAATGATTGTGAGGTAGTAATCAATGTCGCTGACAATTGCTAGCGATACACCAGATCCTGATTGATATTGTCCTGATGGATGGAAGAGATGGACGGCGGTAGTCTTACGAGAGGCGACTTTATGGGCTTGTACGTTGTGATCCGTTCCGTGGAATTGAAACGAGATTGAACTTATTGAGCATACTCGGGGGGGGGGGGGGCTAATTGAACTACCAATGGAGCGCGAACATCACGCAAGCCGGTGGATGCATGCAAGATGTCGAGTGCATAACGCGCGGTGTGAAAGCGTGCTGCAGGTTGACAGCCTCCGACATGCATATGCAACAAAGCGTCGGTGGTTTTCAACTGCAAGCGGCTTGCTCATACAAGCGTCCATGAGAGCCTGCCTTATCTTCACATCAACATGACTGGGCCATGTCTACATGAACGGACTTACTCATCAAGTATTTTCATCTTTTCAACCGCTGGTGTCCAATTGTAAGAATTGCAGGAAGGCGTTCGCAAAGCTTCCGGTGCTCTTTCGGTTCTTTTTCGACTAGTACGTTGAACAGAACTTGTAGAGGAAGTGGTCGTCCATGCGTCATCTTCGATTATGCAACGTGCATCGCTGGTTAGAGCACTCATATAATGGTCAGAGGCATCTTTCTCGCAGTACACTTCATCAACCAGCCTTTCAAGCCCGTCTTCGTACCTCATTTGATCTTGATATCTCGTGACAAGTGAAGGATGGATCATGTAGGTTATAAATTCGACGAACAGCTGCTGTCTGGCTGTCATACCTTTGTGCGCATGTTGTACTGGTCTTCCAGGCTCGACTGTTCTACGGGCAGTTCGCTGCTTGGAATCCATCGACCAGGCAAAGTCCACAGAATGGCGTTGATTATAGAAAGCTGTCATAAGAACGGGCTCAGACTAAAGCAAGCGTGCGAGGTTGACAGCAGCGACGTAGGTCCCAAATGTTCCTCATTTTTGAACAGCAATTTGTGCCGGTCCGGTTTGGCTAGTTGGGCAGCTGGAAGTCCTAAATATTCAGAAGCATATCGTTCTTGCCATTCCTCAACCATAGAAAGGTACACATCCTCCAAGCATCTGACTCCTTCAGAGGCAGCATTCGCCACTTGATGTTTGTGACCCATGCGAATGAGCGCCGCGACGGCTGTCGTCTCCGCCAGTTCGTCACGCACGAAGTATTCGTGGATGGCTTAGCATCGATGGGCAAAATCTATGCGTTTACAGACCCACTTTAGACTATAAAACAGAAATCGCGGCCATTGAGAGAGTCTATCGACCTTATCAGATTGAAGACACACCACTAGATAATCTCCATGTTATACGTACAGCTGCGGCACTGCAAGCAGGTTGCAAAAACACCTGGAGTACTGAGCGAGGAGTTCACGGAAGATACGAGATCCGTATTCCTCTGCGACAAGATGATGGAACCGACGTCGTGCCAGAATTCCTCGTCTAGCTGGGATGCTATTTCGAATCTGGTTGGTGTTTGCTGTTACACAGTGAGTTGCAATTCATCCATGCCTGTTACCATAGAGAAGGTCAAGTCGTGTTGTAAACAGTATGTGACGATGTTCACGCTAAAACTGAAAGACGTTGAACTTGAGATCGGAAAAGTTGACCCACGGAGCACGTGACCGCGTTTTATCAATACATTTATGTACCGCGGATCATTCCTACGTAGTACATAGCGGTCGAGCGAGGCTCGCTAGAGTACGGGAGCGGTGGGCAAAATGGGAGGACGGAGAGGATGTGTGAGGCTTGGACAGAGTAATCGTAGGTGGAGTGATAGGTGGCGATCGAATGAGACCACCGGTCTCATCAAAAACGACGTCGTCTGCAACCAACCACGCGAAAGACGAACTGCGTAGTACAGATGTCGAGGGGAGCCCGAGAAACTTCGAAGTGTTTGACGAGATTCCACACCCACATACCGCCTCATGTTCTCTAGTACTAGTCTCGATGTATACGCACGGAGCCGACATCTTCGATCCTTCGTAAGTAGTCACCACCATTGGACATCCACATACTGGAGCAACAAGCAACAGCAATCGCTATGCCGATCTGTCATTTACTCTCAGGTCCCTCAATTCTGAACACGCTGCAACGCACAGCTGAACTATGATACTGAAATGAGTACGAGTGTGCGTAGCATTCAGGCACAAGAAGAGAAAAGCATGCACTACAAATCAAAACATGATCAAAAACAAGAGACCGTGTTGCTGTAGAACGCTGATAACCTAGCCGTGACAAATGCATACTGAAATTAACAGACATCGTATTTAGATCAGCTACCCTCCGTTTGAGATCCCAGTAAGCGTGAAGTCTAGATACGCCGCAAAGGTGTGTCGTTGCCTGCGCGAAGTTCGGCTGACTGTTCAGATTTTATGTTGCACTCCTCAAGAGTGTTATTGTGCCGAGGTTCGAAGGAGAAAAAACTGGGTAGACGATGCGAGAGGACTATTGAGGAACCACGAAAAGACCGTTCACTGGATGAAGGCGGTTTCGTGTGAATGCTGGCCTGAGGAGCGCATCGTCGCATGTATGTTTTGCCGTGAGCGTAGAAAGCCACTGCGACTCTGTGATCCAACGCCGCCTACAAATAATAGCCCCCGTCAAATATTTCGGGGAGGCGGTTCCATAGCTCTTCTTGCTCTTCTCGTTCCTTTTGTATCAGGAACGCTTTGCATGATGAACAGAAGTGATAGTAGAAGTCACTCTCACCGCACAAGTTAACCATTTCGTCATCAAAATATACAGCTCCGCTTTCCAGAGCACGAATGGACCTCTCGGCGAGTTCAACCTGCTCGCAGCCGTCGTTGTAAAGCACCCGGTCGAGGAATCTTTTGAGTTCGCCATCGCACCTCTTGCGATCTTGACAGTGAAATGCGCGTCCTCCATAGGATGGTCCATGGAGCGCGTATATTCTGCCGACCGCTGTTGCTCTGGCAGACATGAGCATCATGCGACCATCAATGCATCGCGCAACTTCTTCCGGGCTTAGTTGCTCCACCGAGCCATCTGCCATCTTGACCCCTTCCACCCATCTGTGACCAGGGTATTCGCAACAGAAGTAGAGCGCAGTTACCAGGATGGGTGCGGAATCGAGCAAGCGAGCGAGGTGGACTGCTGTGACGTCGCAGCCGTAACGATCACCATTCCCGTCATCGATGAGCTTTCGTCGTTTCTTCAGCCTTTGAATCTCTGAACGTGGTAAATTCAGACAGTAAGGATCGTATCGCTCTCGCCAAGCGTCAAGCGTCACGGGGAACGCATCCTGTAATCGAGTAGCTCCCTCTTTCATCGCATCTTCTATTTGATACTTGTGCCCAAGACGTATTAGTGCAGCTACGGCCAACGTTTTCACCGGCCTATCAGGTGCAAAGTGTCTATAGGATGCTCAGAGTCCACATCGTCCTGGTATTCAAACTAATTAACTCACTGTCGAGCGTGGAACAGAAAACGCAGCAGGTGTCGAAGATCCGCGGCGCGGTCGGAGAGATGCACGACGGGACAATTGTCGATCTGCTCCATAGTCTGCAGCTGTGGTATGGACAGCAGATCGCGGAACACCTCAGAATGCTCCGCTAGTATTCCGTGGAAGACGCGGAATCCCCATCCTTCCGCGATGAGCACGACGGATCCGTCTTGATACCAGTACTCCTCGTCCCTTTGCACTTCGTGAACGCCGATAGGAACCACCGTCTGAAAGTTCTCTCCGTGGTGTTCGATGTCCATGAGGGCGTTTTCTAGCGGAGGGAACGTTGGATGGACAATGTGTTTGGAGTGAATCAATTGGGAATTGGGACGCTAACAGCAAATCCGATACACGTGGTGTTGACTTTCCCGGCCAGCCCACCGCGCGTCCCATTGTAGCCACGCCCTATTATATACACGCGCGCTACTACTCTCCCACGCCAGTGGCGCAGGTCGCACCGGAGCCTCTCGCATCTCTCCGCACCCAGATTCCAACACGTGGGAGTCGTGGGACCCTAGTTTGCAGTGGTCTCGTACCTAAACCTCTTTTTCTGCGAACTTTATCTGCGAAAAAGAGGTCTGGGGCATTCTGATAGGGACACCCCCCCTTCCGCTAAGCGCCCTTTAAGCGCCCAGTTGTAACGGTCACAGAGTGCTTCCTGTGCCTTGATCAGATTTACTTTCCCGATGAGATGCCTTTTTAGGTAGTTGCTCATGCCAGTGCATGTGGCTTCGGTGTTGCCACCGAAGAAAATGTACTGTACTCACTTGAAACATATCTCATTATCCTCGACACAAATGAACTCAAGACAATATCCATATTCACATAGACAATTAGTAGTGATTTGAGTGGTGAGATAACAACTAGCATCTTTGTTGCATTCTCCGGCAGGAACAATGGCAACATGTATGCGACTGTCTTGCCAGCCCCTGTTCCAGCAATGGCAGAACCATCAACTCCCAAAATTATTGCCTCAGCGACATCAAGTTGCCATTTTCATGCTCGTATGTGACATTTCTTTGTAAAGGCTTCATCCATGGTCTGATGAGCATTGGATGAATTGTAGCTGCATTGTGCAGCAGCTTGTCACAGATTTTCGCCACAAAAGTCCGCACGTGACTTTTCTCACACCACAGATCACGTGCTTCACCAATATCTCACGCCACTCAGCCACAGACGTGACACGTAGAGATCAGGTGATAGTCCACATCGCATGTTATGGTCCAGACCCGCGAATGATATGGTCGGACCTGTCTATTCCAGGATACAATAGAGGCACCCGCTTGGGAACAAAGGGAACAAGGACTATTATTATGCATCAGCCTTCCGCTTCCTATTAGTTTAGCCAGAAGCCTAGGTAGGTACGATGCTCACACCAAAGAACAAAAGGGAAGCCTAGATAGGCACGATGTGCACACACATTACTGCGGCAACCATCGATCTTCCCACTTATTGTTCTACTTCCGGACATCCTATTGTTTCATGTACAGCCATTTGCTTATACCCGTAGATAGGTAGCTTAGGTAAGATAGCCCGCTGTACGTGTATATAAGACCAGCCATGTAGGGGACGAAACCTCAGATTGTTTCTCCTCGTCTACTACCTGTAGCACTCACTGAGCTCACCAGCTCCTTCATATATCTCTC